GGAACCAAGGCCGATGGGAGGAGGCGGAGAAGCTAGACGTGCAGGTGATGGAGACTCGCAAGACGAAGCTCGGAGCAGACCATCCAGACACGCTGACCAGCATGAACAACCTAGCTTTCACTTGGAAATCACTCGGCTGGACTGTAAAAGCTATATATCTGATGCAGCAGTGTGTACAACGGCGTGAACAAGTGCTAGGAGCTAGTTACCCGCACTACTTGTCTTCCCTGCTAATCCTGGAGCAATGGGAAGAAGAGCAAGCAGACGTGGAGTTACTTAACAGATTCAAAGACATGCGCTTGTAAGTATCTACGAGTATATATCATATTAAGCAAAGCTATGGCAACAATTGTAGCCTATGATGATACTATCTAATTTAGAGGCTATTTGTCAGAGGTATGGGGTGAACAGTGTAGCCTTGACTTCAACAGTGGAGAGATAGTAGCATTTAGGTGTAGGATAGACGAATCGCTGACGGGCTCTACCCGCCAGCTCCTAGTGCTATATAGTCCAAGTCACATGACCTTAGGGTGAGCCGCCTGGTCCATGGTGGGGGAGGTCTGACACTATTTGTTAGCACACAGAGTGTCAGATAATCGCGTGATGAGAATCGTCAAGTATCGGATGGAAAAGTTATGATTGATTAATTAAAGTCTGTCGTTCATCGTCTCTATATGTTTTCTTGTTGAATGCCTTCCAAGTAAGGGAGAAACCGTTTTAGGAATAGGTGTAGGCGCGCCAGCCACCTCCTAGATGACCATGTAATCGGACACAGAGGTCGTCTATTGGCTTGGTCCCTGGCGCCACGCTTTTACTATAATTAGTCTTCGCACGTGCACGTGGGCTTTGTTCCGGTACGTAGGGCTAACGGGTCGGAAAGCCTAACAGCAACGTGCTATAAGCCTTTTACCACGTGTTTAGGTAATATAAAATACGAGATGTAAGGATAATCATCGAATGTTTTAATTGGTTGACCATTCTCCAAAGTACCAACCAGGGGTGGTGATCCGCATAGATTGTGCACCAGCTGCAGCCTTATTGCTGGATCGACCTCGTATACAGAAACCAGGTTCTTGGGACAGTGGAGAGAGGGTCTAGCTATTGAAGAACTCACAGTAACATGATGTTGGCCCCATAGCTTATTGTAATTGATCTCGCCTAAGAAGGTATACCTTTTTTGCGAAGGGCGGAAGGTACTTTATAATTGTAATTTTTTGACAGCATAGATCAGATCGATAGAGAAGATATTGAAAGCTATTAATATAGAGTCTCGCTCTTAGGCAATCAAGATAGTAGGCTTTATTAGGCCCTAAAGTCGACGTACCGAGTAATTGTTTCGGCATAATGGGTGTTTCGTGAGAAATGGACGTACGTCAGTTATGCATACTTCCTGCACCAACTGAATGGAAGGACCGAGTATGCTAGCGTACATGCAGAAAGTGTATCAAATCAAGGATGGCAAAACGATTATCGAAGACCAGACCCAAAATGCAAATGTAAATGTAACCAAACCACGCACACCGTCTTCCAGCCATGAGGACTCTCACACCCCATTTTCAGTCCTCACTCCTCCTCACTCTCCCCGCTCCCCTCTACTACACACCCACACGGCCACATCCCACCCCTCCCCTTCACACCAGGATACTTCTCCCCAAACTCGCTCCACGCCATCTCTCCCACCTGCACCCTCCTCTCATCCTCAGGGTCGACCTGATGCCCCCGTCCAGTCTCGAGATCCTTGTCCCCCTTGAGCCCCCACATGTGCTTCTCGTAGTCCCATCCGTGCGTGCCAGGCTTGAGGAAGGCGGGGATCATGTTCCTCTTCCGGCGGTGTGGGGGCCCAACCTTCTTTTTCACGGCGGCTGCGGCGCGCTGGTTTTCGAGGTCGCGGTCGGGGATGGCGACCAGGTGGACGCTGGTGCTGTTCAACTTGAGGGCGGTGGTTGACATGATGAGGTGTGAGCGAGATGCCGGAAGGCTAAGGGCCCGGAGGGGCGTGGTGTTTGCGGTGCAGCCTAGGGTTGTCTCGAACGTTGGGTCGAGGGAGAAGGTGGACAGGAAGGGGTGGGGTTCCGCCTTGTTGAGGCAGGAGACGCTGCCGGGGAGATAGAGGTCATCTTTGGCGTGGTTCCAATCGAAGGTGTTGAGAGAGGGGGGTTTTGGCTGGGGTTTGGAGCCTGGTGGAGCTTTGATGGTTTGACTGTTCGTAGAGGGCGCTGCAGGTCTGGCAGCGGTGGATTTGGAAGCAGTAGGGCTGAGAGCGGTAGCAGGTTTGCGCTTAGGGGGTGGCATATCAGCTGCGACACCAGGTTTGCGCTTTCGAGGCAGTATATCGTCTGTGCTCACAGCTTTCTGGTTGAAAGGTGCCTTGGTAATTGAGGTTGATTGAGCAGGAGTTGCAGCCGCAGGCTTCTGTATGATGGAATAAGGGAGCCCTGCGTTTGTCCTGTCCAGCTTGGGTTTCTTGTTCGTCGCCTGTGGATCTTGGGCTGGCAATTTGCGTTTGCTATTCGCGTCTCCGTTCGTAGTCACGACGCGACCCCCATTCGTAACAACAACATTTTTCGCGCCCACAGGCGCTTTCTTGGAAACAGGAATCGGTGCAGACACATCCGCGGTCTCCCCACCCATTGCTAGCATCGCCATTATCTGCTCACGCATACTCCTCGTCACCCTCCCCATAGGCGCTTCTTCTCTTTCCTCCAGTCCATTGCTCTGCGTGCTTGCTCCATCCCCTTCTTTCCTTTCTTTCACCGTCCTCCCTTTCGGCCCTCGCCCATACGCTCTCGTCTCCACCTCAGTGATCCAGTCTCCAATCTGATTCTTGCTCCACTTCTGCGCCCCCTGCGTCTTTCCTTCCATCTCGTCGACCTTATCGTTGCCAGCGTACTTTCGAACATACTCGTCCAGCAATCTCTGGCGTGAGATCTTATGTGCAACGGCGCGTCCGTCGCGGGCTTGTGTGATACGTTTCCCACGGGCATCGTAGAGAGGGACGCGCAAACCGTCTGCCGTGAAGAAATGGTGGCCGGACGCGGACTTGGTGCCATTAGCCGTGTTGGAGTCTCCGGGCTTTCTGGCATCTGCGGCGAGCTTGTTATTCTTTATAACGCCGGTTTTCTTGGTGGAAGGGTTGAAGCCCGCCTTGACACCCTGCTTCGCTGTCTGCGCTTTCCATGGCTCCATAATGTATACTTTCGAACTTTCGAGTGTATAAGTATGCTGAACAACTTCACGTTGGGCTACATCAAACGAATCCAGGCACAAGATAGTCGTTTGCACAATGTGGGGGCCCCGGGTGAGCTTATAATGGTCGAAGTATATATGGAACAAAGCAAGTGCAACTCAAACAAGGCTATTGTTAGCAGCGCCATTGTTGTCTTGGAATCGGTCTTTGACAATAGTCCCCCGCACCATTGACGGACGTGGGATGTCTTATTGTACACTCGGGTGAGTCCTGATTGGCGGCGAGCAAGCATTTGTCTTATTACACGTGGTGAGTGGAGACTCACGAGACCGAGCCGAGCCGTGGAGGTGAACGCTAAAGTGAAGTCATGTCAGTCGGTAGCGAAACCAGATGGTGGACGTGGAACACAATCTCGCAACGCCATTACACATGATATAAACGCGGGATGTAGAACCCATCAGCTACCTAGACTATTGAGTAAAACATCTCATGCCAGGTAATGCATCCATCTTTGACATCCATATATGGATTGTTGGCAGATCGTGAGTGACACCCTCACATGATGATCGGATGGCGGCTGGGACGAAGGGAGCGTGGAATTATTGTCTCCGACGCTTGTTTGAGCTGCACGTCTTCTTGCCGTGGCTTCAGGTCAATGCCTTCATCCTCCGGTAGTGGGTCCAAGGACGCATCTCTGACCAGGAAGGCCAATATGATTAAGAGCATAGAAGCTATGATGCCAATGGCGCATAGATAGCGGTGACTTTGGACAAAGGCTTCCACCATAGGCACCCGGGGAGGCGATCCCCAAGGGTACAGATCTTCATGGGCCGTGGGCATAGCGTACATCATGTCGATTTCATTTTCGGTGACGATCCATTCGAGACTTTGGTGGAGCTTGGGGAGCAGTGCGTTCGTCCAGATCGCGCCAGCAAGCGACTGTCCGACGCCACTTCCAACCCGACACGCCGTCATATAAGCGCCGAGAAGTGTAGACAGCTGCGCATGATCTCGCGCTCCTTGAACGAAAGCCATTGCTGGAAATGGGAATAATCCTCCGGCGATGCCCAATAGTACTTGTGAGCAAGTGACTGCAAGCTGGCTGACGTTATCTGCTCCACTCGCGCGAGTATACTGGAGCACGAAGGAGGCGAGGTAGAATATTGCACCAAATCGAAGATACCACCTGAGGTCACGGGTTATGCTGATAATGACCCCGATGAAGAGGCCTACCAGTGTGGAAGTGAATGTATACAGGCCCACGATGTGTGCCGAATTGTCGTCATTATTGTTGTATCGAATTCCCAGTGCAATTAGAAGGTATGTGGATTGCACATAGTATGCCATATGATAGAGGAATCCCATGATGAGAGCTGTCACGATTCTCTTTTCCCCAAGCAGCTGTATACGTTCAGCGTTTCGTAAGTAAGGTTTGTCCACACCAGGTATGGCTAGACTCGCGAATGATTGGTCTTTGACTTACCTGACTTGGAAACATGGAATACTTTGAATACTTCTCCACGTAGTAAAATATTACGATACAGAGCAGCCCGGTAATAGTCATGGAGATTGTAGCGGGGCTTGACCCGTATCCCTGGCGGTGTGGGACCACGAGCGGCAACGATGCCCAAGGCGCCAAGAGACATACCACGATGCCCATGAAGCAAATCCATCCAAGTAGGTCCATTTGCCGGAGGCGTAGGAATAGGCGAGAGACGCAACCTCGAACAGGGATCCTCATCGCGTTCTCAAGCTCAGACGGGGACAGTCTTTTCTTCGCGTTGCGCTCGATTGTAAACAGACCTATGACCAAGGGCACAGAGCATACTTCCGGGACGGTCAGTTTCCAAGCGACTAGATTGGTTCTGGGATGTAGGACACGTACCGGTGTACAGAATTGCCGACCAAGCGAAACGCCACTTCACTGGGGGACAGGCTTCGACAAGGGCGTTCCTCAGCACGGCACTGAACCAGGTCGTCACCTAGACAGTTAGCCTGTATTTATAAGAGGCCGCGAATCATCTGCCATGAAGCAAACAACAGTTCGGCTTATCCCAGGGTGACGCGGGATATAAAAACCACTTGACGAGGTACTACACGTAACGATCGCGAGGAAGCTGGGGGACTTACGAGATACGGAAGGGCGGGCAAGTAAAACACGACTACTCTCAGTCTCATCGATGTAAGGTCCGCAATTATGATCTCAAACATTGAAATGACTCCCAGAAAACCGATCTAACGCTGTTAGTGGAGCAATTTTCTGGAGGCTTTGGATACTTACAGCCCAAATGACGGTGCCGCCCAAGAAGATTTGGATTGTGGTAGCCATAGCTTGTAAGGCAGTGCCTTTCAGGGGTTAGCTGGGTCTTGCAGTGCGGGACATTCGTCGTCTCCCGGAATTGCAACAGACACCAAGTGGCTTATTCTTGTGGCCTTTTCAGAGTGCTTACCTAGTGCGTAGAACGCGATAGAGGCGATGAGAGTTTCCGGACGGCCAAATACATCTGCGCTCTTTGAGATCAATGGGGTCATGGCAGCGGCGACAAGAGTAGGAACGGTATTGAGCGCCCCAAGCATCCCGCTCCTTTGGTAGCTTGTGGCAACCTCATACTGTCTCTCGTTAGATGCAAACATGAGGGTAGGTTGGACTACCCACCTGGTACAGGACACGCATGAAGTTGTCCAGGCTTTGTACAGTCGCCAACAAGAGGATCGACACAAGTACAAAGATCTTCTCTGAGGACAGGATGTTCTTTCTCATTATAGCAATGCGAAGATATCCGGGGCTATCCGCCCCAGTTGGGGGCTCTGCGTGTTCTCGAGGGATGTCTTGCGACTCCGCGGCTGCGACCGAAGTACCGGTATCGCAATACGCGGCTGCATTGTCGACGGCCTTGTCTGTTTGACTTGCACTGGGACTAAGTGGCTCGCTGGACTTGTAAGAGCCGGGCCTTGAACCAACCACGGTGATGGCATCGGGGTCGTAGCCGCCAGCCGCGTTCATGGACAGGACGCGCGCGGGCATGATAGTAACAGTGCGGGCTGGATCAAGCATGGGTGCCGACTGGGGCTGGGGGTTGCCCGCCATCTTTGCGGAGAAATTGGCAGGTACGAGCTCGACCTGCGCGTGCGAGCAACGACACCCACAGGCGAAGTCCACACACACACAGAAGGGAGGGGCTCCCGCTGCAAAGGGGCAGGCTGGACGAACAGAACTACCTGTGATACAGAGATGGCGGGAGATGTTATCGCGTCGCAAGGAAGAGATTGGTGACTAGGAATTGACCCGCGTAGTGAGGCTGGAGCAAACGGCAAGCGCGAGCGAGCGCTAGTGACCGTGAGAGTGAATGCAGTAGCCCGTGTTACCTGGCGCAAGCTTGCATGCACGCAGCTTGACTAGAGCTGAACACCCCAGTGCGCTGCATTTTGGGGAACAACTTCGATATTTACGGTGGTCTCTAGAGCGAAGCAGGCGGGCCGAGAGGTTGGACAGTGAGCTCGATGGGAATATGTCATTGCATGATGAGGAAAGAGCGGTCGGTCAGTCTGCAAGAGCATTTCAGACTTGGTTTTGGGGAACATGGACTTCCACGCTCGCGCCGAGGGACGGGCAGCTCCTGTGAGAGATGATAGACCTGGTGGACAAGACTCTGTGTCGTCGTTTTCTACGATGGTCTTTGACGATGGGGAGCATTGATGACGAGACAGGATGCATGCGCGATTGTGAGACAGGACGGCCAGGCAAGGCCATCATCGTGTAATCTTTTGTCCTGGCGACTCTTCTCCGCAGCTCTTGAGGTGGCCCTTTTCTTCGTCCATGGGCGAGTGCACATGGGAGCGATGTCGGGAAAGTGAGCCTGTTGCGGACAAGCACGGATGGGGAGTGGCACGTGAGGGCAACCGGACCCGCAAGCCGAGGCAACTGCGCGCCTCCATCATTTCGGGCCGCGTTGCGACCGCATGCTCGTCGGCCAGTGGACTCCTCCAGCACACCCTCGTCGCTTGATGCTATCGTGTGAGCGGTAGTCTTTCACCATGGTAGTCCGCGAGGACCTCGTAGAGTCGGCAGTAAGTTGCTCCTACCAAACGTAACGGAACAATACTGACAAGCGCAGGTCTCGTGTACGTTTATGGCGACGCCGTCACTCGTGCTACCCGCTGACCGCATCGCAGTTCTGCAAGACCCCTCGGTTGCCAGTGCGCCGTTGGAAAAGCGCATCGCATTCCTGCAGTCGAAGAACCTCACGCAAGAGGAAGTAGACGCCTCGCTCGCACGCGCTGCCGAAGGCCCCAGCCACGCCTCCTCACCAGCTCCGCAGAGCTCCACACCCTCCAACTATGCATACAGACCGCCTCAGTCGGCTCCGGCGTACGGGAGCTACCCTCCGCCGGGGTACTGGCAACAGCCGCCACCCCCAGAGTAAGCCATCTCAACCCATCCCTACACCCACGGACATGCACCCTGACAATCGCAAGGCCTCCGAAACGAGACTGGCGCGACTACTTCATCATGGCGACGGTGATGGGTGGTATCAGCTACGGTCTCTACTTCACAGCGAAGCGCTACATCGTGCCCCTCATTGCACCGCCTACGCCGCCCCAGCTCGAACAGGACAAAGCGTCCATAGACGAGTCGTTCAAGCGGGCTTTCGATCTCCTCGACCAATTGAACACAGACACATCTGCGCTCAAGGCATCTGAGGAAGCAAGGACAGCAAGACTCGACAACGCCCTCGGTGAAATGGAAAGCGTCCTCGCAAGCTTGAAGGAGTCATCCAAGCGGCAAGGGGATGACAACAGGCGGATAGAAGACGATGTGCGAGGACTGCGTGATCTCATTCCCAAGGCTCTTGATGCACAGAAGGACGCGACGGATACGCGATTGAAGGAGCTGTCGAGCGAGCTGAAGAGCTTGAAGACACTCGTTGGCAACAGAATGGGCGCTGGCGCAGCCCGTCCTCCTGCGACGACGACGCCCCCCAGCTACTATGGTTCAGGCCAGCCTTTGGGCTCCGCCCCGACTGCCAACAACATCAGCGGAGCAGCGACGCCCACCCCTGCACCTGTCTCCGCCCCCGCAACCCCAGCGCCCGAACAGCCCACAGCCTCTACAAGCGTTTCAGATAGCCAGGGAACCAGCGCTGGAACAACCCCCGCCCCCGCGCCCGAGAAGCCTGCAGCAGCCTCGTCACCCTACGGAAGGATGGCCAACGGGCGGGCTGCGATCCCCGCATGGCAGATGGCAGCAGCGAAGAAGAACGAAGAGTCAAAGAAGGACACGAGCGAGAGCGGTACAGCAGTTGAAGCCAGCGCAAGCTCGTAGGAAGAGTTGTTTTCGACCCCACGTAGTAAATCCTTCTACTAGCTTGTATTACATTACCTTCGTTTCAAGGAACTCACCATGTCAGATGACGTATTCCCAGGCGTTTTCGCATGTCTCTTTTTCGCATCTCGATCGTAGTCGATGTCTGCATCGGTGGTACACAACGCCCCGTTCTTGGCCAGCACATGCACCACGAGGCGCGGCAAGCAAGTGAAGAAATGCAGACTCTGAGTGACAGTCGAATTGTATGCAGACAGGCTACGCCCAGCGACATCGTACATGCCTTCGACTGAATCTAACCCACTCTAGTTATTTTTCTGAGGTCAATATAATGTGTTTGACGTTTGCGAGAGTTGCTAGGCGAGGCGTTGCAGAGCAGCAATTCAAAAGGAGTTGGCTTGCATTACGATCTGCACCCCTCTCTCCACAGCCTCGAAAAAACCTCGTATTTGTCTTCACAACACTGCTTGCATAGGCCTCAATACTAGTCAAGGCGATTGCTGATGACTTGGCGACCCTTTCTCGCGCGTCTCGACGCCACTTATTACATCTGGAACTTTGCCAAGGGCAGGCAGCTACATTTCGAAGCAAAGACACCAGTGTGCACTCGCAAACAATGCTCAGGATAGCACAAAATGCTCACCGGCGGGAGCATAACACTCGGAAAGGATGCAGCTGGGCTGCTCGGCGTAAGGAACGAGGCGAACAAACAACTTGGCAATGATGCAGTCGATGCTGCGTTCATCTTCGATGAACATAGAATCCATGGGATGCTTGCGAGGGGATGGATGGTATAAAAAGTCTCTCTGTCACCTCAGTCAACAGCACCAGCTCACCATCTCGCCGCAAAGCAACAAGACTCAACAATTTTAAAGCATTCAAACTTCTCCATACATTCATCCCATCCAAAATGAAGACCATCCTCGCACCCCTCTTTCTCCTGGCCGGCCTCGCCGCCGCAAACTTCGACCTCTACCAAGTCGACGAGAACAACAGCTGGGACGGCACCGGTGCTTTCAGCCAGTGGATGATCTTTGAAGCCGAGCCCGACTGCGACCAAGCCCTGGGCAAGCGCGGTACACATCCTTCCCCCTCACCCTCTCAACCCCCATACTGACCCTCCCAACGCAGACTCCTTCCGCGTCGGCTCCTCCGACGACGTCTCAGGAGACGCCGGCGTCCGCTGCGAGCCCGTCGAGCAGTGCTACTACTACGGCAATCCCTCGGAGATCTCCACCATCGAGATGAACTTCAACAGCGACGACCCTGCAAAGTACCACTTTACCATCTACAAGGATAGAAACTTTGACATGGTGGGCCTGGATGGGAATGTGTATGGGAACTGTATTGTTTTTCCTGGGGATGACTTTCAGTGCAGTGAGGGGACGTGGAGCAATGGGGGCAAGAGGATGTTCAGGTGTTTGACCGAGGTCACCGTGCAGAACATCATCGATGCGCAGGGTGGCATGGTCGGCTAGATTGGGCGTGGATGCGAACGGGGGCTGCAGACAATGGCATCGTTTGGGTCGGTGGTTGTTGAGTATTGTTTTCTTTTGAGAATGGTTTTCTACCTATTGACATGTTGGTACCTCACGAATATACTGTTCTGCTTTGAGTTGCGTGCGGAGGCGATACGACGTGCCAATTGATCACGCTCGGCTAGTGTGTACATGATACTCTCTCTTTACTTTACTCCTAATGCTGTGGTCTCATAGTGAACATGTCGGCATGCAATAATAATACGATCAACAGACGTTGCAGTGAGTTCGCCATGCCCGTGATTTAAGCAGTAAGGTCCCCCCGTTTACGGGGTGTTCAGTACACGGTGTACAGGGTAGTCTGCATCACGTAAGTAGAGATACTCTCGTTCTGGATTTCCCGCTGAGACAAGAGCAAACAAGGACGACAATACGATTGAACGCGGCAGAGTCCGAACCTGCGTCTTCGTCGACCTCACAGATGAGTTCCTACTGCTCAATTCCCGAGCCGACGTACAGGCGCTCGGCTGTTCGGGACCATGGAAGGTATATAGAGGGGCTGGGCCCTCAGAGAGTGTGGGTTCGTAGATTGGGGGCTCACGGCAGAGTAAGCCCTTTGGTGGGTGACAGGTCGAGGACGTCTTGACCGCCAGACCACGAGTTCGCAATGCGTACTTTTGACCTGTCTTGTAGTCGGAACACAGAGGACGACAATTTGGTTCATTCAGGCACAAATGTTTGCTGCCTAGTAGCAAACGAGTACCAAGTGGCGTAACACGCAACCCCTCTCCTTGATGCGAGACTCAATATCCAGCTTGCTCCTACGGTCCCTTTACACGGGTAGCTACATGTACCTTGCTCTGTCTAAGAAATCGACATACAGAACAACTTTATAAATGCCTTGTCGTTCCATTTTGCACCATGTGCATAATCCAGATTCGCTCATACCAGGCAGTGGACATCCAGCCTCTTGAACAGACCCTCGAGTGTGCAATAACTGAGCATGCTATCGCTTACGCCACGCTGAGACGTTTTCGTGACCCAATCTCATGTCCGATGTGCCATATTGAATGGTCTATTTCCGTTGATGGGTGCCATCAGGAGCTGTTCGACGATGACAGACTTACCCAGAACTTCATTTGGCCTCGCCTCCCACTGACCAGGCTTCAACAACAGGGACATTGTAGGCAAGAGGAATCAATGCGAGTTTCTTGAAATCCGCATAGAGGGCGGCGAAGTCCGTGCGCAGTCGTGCCGTTGGAGGGAAGTTGTACTCTCCAACCGAGGCAAGCATTAGTCCCCCGTGACTAAAGGTCGTCCATAGGATATAACAATAGGTGACGAAGAACTGACCAAGGCTCTGGAATAGATTCAAGCAGGATTCTTGCGCCGGAAGCAGGTCTTGGCCTGCCACTTTCCTTCGCAATCCCAGGGAATTCTGCTCATAGAGCTCGTTGAAGTCGATGTAGTGCTTCAGTGGACCTAGGAGCGCGAGGTACTCATCCTTGCGGAAATAAGGGCCAATAAAAGTCATGAAGTTGATGATATCCATGTGGGTAAGAGGGATCATGCGCCAGTAATTGGCCCGCTGGCGGATATGATAGCTGTCCAAGTGGTTCCACGCCTAGCAATGTCAGTTAGAAGTATTGTAACACTACTGTTTGACTCAAATGGCCACATATGGCAAGGTTCTCTTCGCCAAACACATGGTCGAAGAAGTATGTATTTGCGATTTGCAATCTCGCCTCGATGAATGCCCACTCCTCTTCGCTCGGCTCCTCAGTGAAGTGAACATACTCATTGAACACCGGGAGTGTCAATTCCATAGTGACAATCCAGATCCGGCCGACAAGACGGTTGAAGACTGTTCCAGGAGTGTCGTTGGTAGAAGCGCTGAGTGCCGCATTTTCTTCGGCGTTGATCGCGGCGATGAGTTGTGTAGCGCTCATCACAGCTGCCCCGTACATACCACTCGAGAGACCTGTAAGACCTCGAACATTCCCACCTGGGACGGGCTGTAGGGGAAGAGCGGCCCCCTGGATACGAGGCCCTTGGTTGCTGTCCATTGGGTGGGCGTGTGTAGTAGAGAGCAGGGACGCTTGCAATCGGAAACTGTATAGAGAGTGGAACAGCATAAACCATCTCTGCTAGCGTGGCACTTGCCAAGTGTATTTCACACTGTGAACTAGTGCGGCTGAGTTTCAAGTTTTGCTGCTTTCATTTGATCAAAGTCACTATTTGGGTGATGTATTTAGTTACTATTTGCAAAACCAAGCCATGAACTCGCAGTGGAACATTTCGTACATAAATCTCTGCATGAAGCTCTCGCTCACTCGCTACTCTGTCGGGTTCCCCAGATTCATCTTGGCCTTAGGCACCAGTGGCTAGCCTCCAGCACACGTTGATTAACGCACTCGTAGCACTAATATGCGCAAGCGTTCGAGGCACTGCGATGTTTGCGAGGTATGCCGGATAGTGCACCAACAACTTCGCAACGACGTGAAAGCCCAGCAGATTCACCACCTGTGAATCAGTGGGTGCAATGACCTGCGCCAGTGCGGCTGCCAGCGCAAAGCCTGGGAAGTTCTCCATGAGGGCATAGTGCGCGGATCGCAGGCGAAGTGGCAGCCCGTCCAACTCGGTAACGTGCTTGCGTGGATGATCATTGTCGAAACCTTCCTCCCGGCCCATGGCTTGTCCAGCAGCCGACGCGGCCCCAGACACTCCGAACGTCCAGAAGAGGTAGATGGCGGAAAGAGCTGGGATGGCTCGTCCGCTGGAAATGGATGAGATGCCGACACCAGGAACAAGTTTGATGAGAGTCTCGCTGAGCTTTTGGACGACACTGTCAGGTTTGGTGAGGTAGGAGCTGGGATATGGTCAGATTATCAGTCTGCGATCATGCGATTGTGAAAACGTACGTCAACGGTATCAATGCAAGATATAACGGGGCAGCACCCAGGATAGCTGCTCCGCCAGGATTGACGCTGATACTCGTCAGTGTTTGGCGGTTTGTGCAATGCGCGCAAGAACGTACACGCCATTCTCGGCGGCCACCTGCTTGGCTTTCTGCTTCTTGTCGTCCGACATGCCGTATGCTTCTTTAGAAGGTAGCTCAAACGTGATAGAGGTCCTCCTTCCGGTATGAGAGGGTTTGCTCTGCTTATGTTGCGTTTCGGGAAGGAGCCGAGGAACCCTGTTGCCGATGACGTCTTCGTTGTGCGGGGTTGGGCTGTCGTCTTGATGATAGACAAAACTCATTTGGAGGGCATGCGGAAAGATGCTATAAGAAAGACGTCGATCGTGTATTTGGAATTGAGGCTTAGCAGCGATGCTGGATGGAGAAGTAAACAGGCGCACGGGCCTGCTTAGCGTCCGTCGGTATAAAAGGCAGGGGCCATCATGCGGACAAGAGACGGAGCTGATCTAGACGCTGCTACTATCCTAGATAGTATAACTGTACTTATTAAGAATAGGCAACGACACTAGTCACTCAAATCTGATATAACGCGCATTGGGTGGCACAAAACTGATCGTGTTTCACTGCAATTCTTACCACTGAATGTTGGCGAGCTCGTGTATCTGACGAGTCGGCACGTAGTTGTTCCGACGGCTCGAGACGGAACAATACGCCGTGAGTGACATGATGCCCAGTTGCAACCTGGCGATGAAGTTAAGATACTGGGCTTTGAGGAGCGTGGATCACGATCGCAGATCCTCAATGCGGTATAGGTAAGCGAGGCGTTCCCCAGAGCATCGGGCCTTATGAGCACGCGCTTTAAGAGATACTACCGGACACAGCTCCGAGCTGGGCATGGTCACACGAACGCAGGATGATTGTATGTTTATTCTCGTGGATGTCCACAAGTCTTGTTGCGAACAAGATGTCCATCCGAATTTGCGGTGTTCCCTTTATCGGCAATTGAAAATCACCATCGCGGATGATGTAGTGTGGCTTGTGCACGCACCCATGACGCAATGGCAGCGGCATGTACGATACGCGCAAACAAACCTCCAAAAATGTGACCCCTCCTTTCACACCTATTTCCCTCCTTTGAGTATCATTATAAGCCAAGATGTCTGGAGGAGTGGTTTACAAGGACCTGCTCCCCATTCCCGCAGAGGATCCTCGTGAGGTGCATGGCACAACACCCACCCTGACAGATGAACCGACTGAAAGCCATGCGTTAGCCGTGGAGGCTGCAAAGAACCCTGAGCTTGCTGGGGCAGCTCAGATGCCTCATGGAGAAGAAGTGATCGACCTGGGCTGGAATGAACCTAAAGAGAAGGTGGAGGCGCCACTGGTTGGAGGATTGGGCAACGAGGATCTATGGCTGCTGGTTCGACGGTTCAACAAGGTAATGTTGTTGTATACTCCGTAACAACATAAACTAAAATAAAGCAGCAAATGTATCATGTGAAAGAGATTCCAAACCCACCTCCAGGTGGACTTGATCTCAACATTGCAGACGAAGAAGAATTCTCCCCCGACAAATTGAGGAGCAACATCGAGCGTCTCTACATGACTATCGTAAGTCTATCCGCTGTCATCACTGCTTTACTTGGCTTACCATAGATTAGGGCCTTGGCCTAATGGGCTTCGGAAAGCATATCATGCGGCTGCGATCATGGCGCGAGACTCGGCGCACGTCCTGGTTTTGCGCTGCGTACTTTGCCGCTTGGTTCCTCGATCTACTGGTCCCTGTCCTCTCTCTCACTGCCGTGGCACTCATTGCCTATCCACCAATACGTCCTATTATGTTCCCACCGGCCCCCATCGCTTTGGTCTCCGCTAAGACTGGAGGTATCCAGAAGCCAAAGTCTGGCACCTTGGGCAGTCATGATAGTGCCACTGGCGCCCCTGAGAATCACAAGGGCGAAGCTGTTGAGCAGGAGGCGAGTAACTTCGTTTCCGGAGTCGCTTCTATAGCACTGTCCAGCGCGACCGGAAAGCATCCTCAAGGTGAACCACCAGCAGGAGATGACTCTTCGGCAGATGCTGTTCCGGACCCGACTTCAATCGCAATTGGCGCTGCTGATGCGAAGGACAAAGCTGCCGGTGGCATTCCTACAAAGAAGCATGACAAGACGAAAGTACCTATGGAGACTGCCATGTGGAGCAAGATGCGGCCGATCATGCATGGTATCGCTGATGCAACCGACACTTGGGAGCGTTTCGCAAATGCACTCTCACCTACGCCCCCCTTTCCCCAAGACCGATATCGCATCCGCTTAGCTGCTGTCCTCGCACCCATTGTTTTCCTGTCTCTCTTCATCACATCCTACATGTTCATGAAAGGTCTCACCTTCGGTGTGGGCTTCGGTTTCTTTGGCGATCCTATCATCTTGCCAGCAGCCAGGTACTTGAACCGGGAGTTCCCTAATTGGCAGAAACTCCTAGAGCTCCGCAACACCCTTCTCAAAGGTGTCCCAACCAACGCCCAGCTAACCATTACTCTCCTCCGTATCGGTGAAGCAAACAAGGCACCTCTCCCACCTCCCCCTCACATCGCCGAACCACCCCCAGACAAGCCCGCGGATATCAGCGAAGAGGAACTCCGCGCCACCGGCGCCGACTACCCGCTCAATGCCACCCAAGAGGAGCTCGACGAAGCCATGACGCACGACCCGACCACCGCCCACGAGACGGCAGGTCCCGACATTGACTCCGCAAAGAATCAAAAGCACGGCAAAAAGGGCACTAAGATCCTTAACTTCTTTAAGGGCACTGTCAAAGGCGGCGTCGAAACTACCATCGGCGCTGACAAGGTCAAAGCCAAGGTCGGCGACATGCATGCGAAGAACCGTCTCGGTGCCGTTCAGAAGCCTGACGAGAATCTCAAGTCTGGTCCTGTCGAGTTCAAAGCGAGATACCACGGCCACAAGGGACACGTGTACATTACGACGAAGGCTACCATCCCCTGCGTTGCGTTCTCCACAGACAGCACGATCGAGAAGGTCGGTACGGAACAGAGAGAGGACTTGCATCCTCAGTGGAGCATTCCCATCGGCGAGATCAGCGAGATGCGTAAGGTCGGCGGATATGGCTGGAAGGCTAAGCTTGTCGTCGGCTGGGCGATGGGCAGGGAGGTTGCGGACGGCTTGGAAATTGTGTTGAAGGACAAGCCTCGGATGCCGGGGGAGAAGACCACGAAGCCTGGCGAGCCGATCAAGTATAAAGTGACTGCTGTGCCGCTGCGAGACGAGCTCTTCAATCGGCTGGTGAGTATGGGTGGGCAGAAGTGGGAGTGCTGGTAAAGAGACAGGCGTAATGCATACATGGATGGTGTTACAGAGGGTGCTGTTGGTACATATTGGAGGGTATACCCTGAGGGTTGTTGGTAAAGATTTTTCTATACAGTCCATTACTACACGAATCGATACGTTACATGCAATCATTCCATGCTCAGAATAGTTCCATAGAGATCATCGAGGCAGGGAAGACAGCATCCAGCACTAGGATTGACGTGACTTTAGCTATGATACCTGCAGCGCTCATGTCCAGATCTGCACTACAAGCGGAGATACAACACACATGTATACCTCCGCCCTTCACCACCCCGGATTGCGCTGCGGGGGTAAGATGTTCCCGACGGAGATAAGACGTCATCAACCTGGGAGCTCCACGTGCGCCTTAGCGATATTATCACCGCGTCGATCATTTTAACGCCGTCGGATCCTCTCACGTGACCCCACACCATCCACGGCTCTCTGGATACCGACCTCACGAACACCCTCAGGGCGCAATCTCTGACGCGCTCCCAACTAAGCAAGCTCCCGTCCCGTCATTGCCCTACAGAAAATTTCCTTCTCACGCCCCTCCAGCCTCGCCTTCCCAATCTCGCCCAAACTCGCCCAGAAGCCTCCGCTCGCGCCCTCCGTCCGCCCAAGCTCCTCCGCCAAGCATCGCGGGATGAGCGCTGGCCAAAATCTCTGTCGTGCAGGAATTTCCTGCACGCAGCACTCATCATGGACAGCCCTGACGCACAGCTTAGGGCATGCCGCTAATCCACCGCTACCCGGCGCCAGAATTTTCCCATGCCTTTCTTTCTGCCCAACCAAGTTTTTTTTCTCCTCTGGTGCCCGCGGCACAAAAGTGGGTAGGATAGGTTTTTTTCGTACACAGCTAGTGGGAGGCTTCTCGGGCTCAAGCGAGGCTACTCGGGCACGGCGGCAGGGTCCGTTCTACAGCATCAGCCGAGGGACAACTGCTGGCGTGGCTGCACGTGCCGTATGTCCGGCGTGGTGTGAAGAAAAAAAATAACGTTCATCGTGAAGGTTGCTTGTGGCTAGTGTTGTGCCGACGCGCTATTGTGCGGATCATCCGCTGCGCACATGTACGAGATCCGAGGTTAAGAGCTCGACTCGGGACCGGCAGCGGTGAGGCATTTCGTGGGCTGGTTAGTCACGGAGCGGTCGGCCGGTCGGTGGGTGGAAAAGTATCCGAGGTCTGGCGAGCAGGTCGACAGGCAGTCAGGGTCTTGCAGATGCAGATGCAGCAGAAGTATCGCGTGCGGTGGGCATGCGGATCTCCGACTGTCCGCCGACCGAGATGCGATAAGATAGAATGACGATCATGGACGTTTAGGAACGACAAGCGGTCACCGCGGCTATTGCTGGAGAGGGGTGTATATGCAATCTTGTTTGTGACTCAGATCTAAGTCTGGTGACCTATTGAGATATGGTTTTGGTATCAAGCTGATAAGAGCAGCAATGTGAAGGTGCTGGCACGAGGCCTTTGCTGAGGGGCTTGCTGATAGCGTCACTCATCATCGAGAATTGGTAGACTTGAGGCTGCTGAACAATTCACGATGTTTTATCTCCGGCTTGCTCACACGCCTGGGGTCTGCGCCCGAAATAGAAGGGATGCTCGGATGCGAATTTGTGAGCACAAGGTGAGCCTGTCGCGAGTGGTTGGCTCGTTTGTGCGTGCGCGGGTATTACTCATCGCTAGGCCCAACAGGGCATTCCATTCGTTGTGCTGCGGATAAACATGACTGGCACGGCTACAGCGATGCGATTCGCGAGTTGTTTTGGCGCGTTGTTGTCCTCGTTAGGAAAGCGCTGCCTGTGGAATTGCGATATCGCAGGGCCAGAAGATTGATTGTTGTAAGCCAACCGAGCTCGTCTTAACGAAATGTACGCCGCATTGTACTTGCCAACCCTGAATCGCGGGCCTCGACTTGAGCCACGTTGAGGACAGGAACAGGGCTAGCCGACGCTGAGAGGCTTGAGAGTGGGGCCGGGGTGAGGCGCGCTGGTACTTTGGTACCTGGGTACCTTGAGGCTGCCTGAAGGCCAGGGCGGATCTGACAGGACCGTTTTCTTGTTGAAGTTAATACTCTGCTGTATCTAGACGGTCCTCTTCTCAGCCGGCCCCGATAGTTGGGCTGATATTGTGTAGTTGATGCCAACACATGAGCAGCGCAACGAGGGGCAGCTTAGGGGCATAGTGTGCCCTGTCAATTACCAGCCCCTTCAGGACCAGGGCACGCGCGGCGTGTGTGTTCGAGCCTGAGACTCCAACACTCTGTCTGAGGAGCTGAGCCAAGACGACCAGGTACGTACCTGTGGCCGTTGCACAGCATGAACCCTTTGCCCTCGGGGATCAAACTCATGCGCGCACGCACCAGAAACCCATTGCTCGCATGAGTGGCCTGCATTCAAAACGAAACGCATGCCCAAACATGAAACTGCCATCGGAATTGCACAACGGGGAATTATGGCCGCTGAGATGACGGGGGCGCAGCCACATTGCGCATCGATCCCCACACTCAACTCGTGGCATTGAAGAGCGGGAAGACACATTTGCGGGAGCTGTGACATGCGATCGGTGCGCGTGCTCTAGATCTTGGCAATCGCGGAATGCAAAGGACATCTGGACGATACATGCACGCAGTATCAACGTCAACGACGCACAAGTGCAAGTCACGCGACGGGTTCCGTCGAGTCCCGCGTTGATCAACGTGACAAAGTTTCCTGTTTGTCCTCGCACAGAAGCGGACGGGGGACTGCAGACTAGCGATCGTGACCAAAGGAGCCCGCGGGAGGCCGACACGGAGTCGTTTTAACCCCGAGCCTGCCCCCAAGACATCGCGCTGTCGGAATGCTCGTCACCCAGCGCCGAGTTGCTCCGGCTGCGACCGGGGGATCTCGCCTGTGGCAGAGTTGCCTTGGCTGTGTCGTTGCTGCGTAGGCTTCGTCCGCAGCACTGTGCAGGATGCGGGCACACGCAAGCTCGTGGAGCACCTGTTCGCGACGCTCGTATCTGGCCGTTGCCTACAGGCGCCGTACGCGTACGGCGCGCGATCGCAATATGGTCCACGTTAGGCAATGGCGGCGCCGGTCAAGAATGATCCGCGCAGCCTCAGCCTTGCCGCAGTGCCGGCGCGCTGGCAGCTGGCTGGGCTCCCGCCCTTTGCAGGGGTCAGGCCACGCACGGGCGCGTAAAGGCGGTCAGGCGATAATTTTCAAAGTTCATGCGACGGAAAAGGTGCGATAAGGTAATGAACATGCAGTACTGATGGTGGGTGGGACGGGAAAACTACATCACGAGACAAAGTGGAGTAAGAGTGTTTTGGTAGAATTATCGTGTTTGATTTCAGTTTGCTAGGGGGAGTCTCAACCATCAGAGCGGGAGATCTCGTACCAGCCTATGTAGTTCCGTCCATCATGGTTCAATAGATTCCGTCCAAACAAAGAGTTGGGTAGTTCCGTAGCCATAACGTCGCGTCGTGCTCATGGGCCGCGCTGCAAATTCCCAGATATCCATCCAGTAGACAAAAGAAAATGTGATATAATGCTGAAAAAGACTCGCTCGCTAAAATGCTCAATCAAAGACAAGAAGAGGTCAACATGGCGGCGTTGGCCTTAGTAACTTGTGATGAGCGGAGCTGTTGATTCGGGCAGATAGATCTCTTCGCTTTGGAACAGCGGTTGCGACTTCTCGTCGTAGAAGGATGTGGTGAGCATGGCCTCCTTTGCCGAGAACTCCATTGTGGGTTGCGGCGGGGTAGGCGGCGACTCGTCGTCCGAGTCCTCGTCGTGGACGAGCTCTGGTGGTGATTGTGATGGTACGCGGGTAAGAGCGAGTCCCTCGTCGTCCTCCAAGTCGTCGTACTGGTCGTCCTCGTCGTCCACCTCGATGGTGCTGATCTGAACTGGTGCTTGTGCAATGCGGCGGGGCATGACCATGTCGAAGTCGCCCTCCTCATCATAGTAGTCAGACTCGGAGTCGGAGTCGGAAGAATCGTCGTCGTCGTCCTCAGGAATGCTGTCGGCCCACTGGATGTGTCGGGGCTCCTCTGACTTCTGTGCCTTGGCGACGGTGCTGTGGAACCAGGCCTCTTGCTGCCTCTCGGCGTCCTGGAGTTCGATCATGAGCGAGTCGAGGAGGTTGGCATGGCCGACGAGCAGGCGGAGGTCGTGGTCGGCGCGGCAGGCCTCCTTGCCCAGCTTGGAGCGGGCAGAGGCGGCGATGTAGTACGTCTGGGTGAGAGACATCCTTTGCTTCTTTGCGGGGGGCGAAGAGACGAAGGGAGTGCGGGTCGTCTCGGCAGAGATGGGCTCAAAGTGCGTTTGTATCCTTAGGTGGGATGTGGAAGGCATGTTGAATATGTAGGCAGAAATGTTTATGCCTGCGTCGGTGAGTCAGTTGTGGTCGGTGACTGAAGGGCGGGCTGCACAAACCTAATGCAGTAGCCAATGGCGTGGGAAGGTGGTCCGAGCAAAGGTTTCCGAGGAGTGAGTAGTCGTCGAGTAGTCGTGATGTCAAAAAGATTCTTGTTGAAGCTCTTTGAGTGGATTGGACTGTTGAAGTTGGTGACCGATGGCCTGAAGCGGACGGGCGCGGTGTATATGTATTTCTCTGACGGTGGATGACCAGGCCCGGGATGCTCGGGCTTGAGCATAACACCGACAAGAGCTCACCGCAAAGAAAGCCTGCGCCAGCGTCCGAGCGCGCGCTCGGCCAGCAGGGGTGCATCGTCGTCCGCTAGCTCCGCCCCGTAAATGTCCCTGGATGATTACGAACCTTGGAAAAGGCTACTGCTCGGCCGACTGCATTCGTTCGGGCTTTACACATGCCCACGGCTGGATCTGGCTTGGATGAATCATAACGCATGCCACGGCGCCATCGCTGCCAGAGGGCATCGCATGTAATCGCACCCCCATATGTCCGCCCTTCAGCAGAGTCACGGTCCAAAGTCCGCTAGCCCACGGCTGCAGACCGCACTTCTGTGCCTACGAGCACCTGCATGGAATGCCAGTTGCGCGTCCTCGCAAGAGCGTCGTCCGCCAAATTGCTGCTGCCTGAGCCCACACTGCGCTGGCGTGTGCTGGCACGCTGGCTCCAGTCGTCTCAGCCTCCGCGTGCTGCCAATCCGCGCCTCAGCTGATCTCGTCGAGCGTGGGCAGCCACAGCAGCGGACAGACCGCCCAGCCCGCGGGCCCTCCGTCGTCTGTGTAGAAAGTGCAGCTCGGCGCGCTCGCGTTCCATCGCTTGCGTCGCATCGCAGCGCTTCGCTTTGCACGCTGGAGACGACGGGACAGTCAATTGCACGGCTCTCGATTCCACCTCTGCTTGCGACGCCTTGCTCCCGTCGGGCCCGTCTACGCGTGCCCACCGCCTCGGGCTCGGAGCATCCAAATGTGCCCGTCCCACGATCGTTTCCGTGGTAGCAAGGAGTCATCACGCCTGCTCGGACGAATTGACAGCGCGTCCCGTGTTAGCGCAGAAGCGGGCACTCGGTCTTTGGCAGCCTCAGACGGGCGAACCAGCGGAACACCAAGGCTGCCGCCGTCCGCCCAAGTGTGGGGAAACGTCATGGCAGATCAGAGCAGGCCTTCTAACGATCACGCCTTCGTGAGGTTTGAAATTGACGCCGATTACTCACGTCTGCAGCATTGTGTCGAGTTGCCGTCTTGATTGGGCGGGCGGCTTGCTTTGCGAACGCTGCTGAACAATCTCGCCCTGACAAATGCTCCTACACGTCTAGCCAGCCAATCCTTAACGTTAGCCCGATGGTTGATGACACGATCATGCCCCTCACTCGCAAAGGGTCCGATCATGCTATCCCTTCACATTACTTGTTCATTCGCCGAGCGCGCGCCCGCACAATGCCATCATTTGCACATGCCTATCCCTCTTTCCAAGTGCGGGGGCATAGTCCTTGCGCTCGCGTCTGGACTCCTGCGAGCAGAATGCAACAATACATCGGATAGACCGCTGCTATTGCTACCCCTTCTGGAAGTCCATTCCTCGGACGCGCCTATTGTCGCATTGCGCACTATCCATTATTGCCTTGATTCACAGGCACGCATGCAAGCCTCGCACCAGCTTGTAACTGTCCCCCCGCCAACCATCCTCGCCAATCGCAACCAATGCTGAACGACCGTTCCAAAGGGCTGAACCTCCCCAAAGCGGGTAGCCCATCGCAGCCGCGTTTACTCAGCTCTCGCTACCCTGCGTTGGCGTGCACTTCGGCGACGCTTCGCACAGCCCTACGGTACCATCGCGCTGCTCAAGTAACACCGCATGCACCACATGCAAGGACCAAGCCAAGCGTCTGACAGGGCAATCCGTGGGACACCTTCACCGCCGCATCTGTGCCCCTAGGCAATCCTAAATGTACACCGCAGCCTCACCGCCAGGACCCAATATCCGCGACACCGCGCAATGCAGACGCGCATACATACCAGCGAGTATCTGCGTTTGATAATGCGTCGAATTGACCATCAGTTCGTTGCACAGCCTCGCACAGCCTTGTCTGTCCGCTAAAGCATGGCTCAATTTCTACGTGTTTGCTATTGCAGCCGCGCAACCGTTTACTCCAGTCTGCTAGCCATTAGGTATCACGAAGCGAACCGCCAATGCCACTCACAACCGCATTATTCATTCCCGCGTTTGTCGGAAGCTCAAGTAGGAGCGCGCAGGAAGCATTGCCCGTTTTGGTCATTGCTTGTGCAGTCCTGCGTTCGCTAATGATTGCTCATCCACTATTCGCAGCGGCAGGAGAGTGACAACATCTGCACGGTATTAGCAACCTGACTCCTCTACGAAGCATCAACCTCAGCAAGCCTCGACCCACGGATGGGAATTTTGTTGACGTCGACCACATGAACCCCAGGCTACCCACTTCCGGGTAACACCTCGCATACCAGATCGTAAAATCAAGACAAGCCCTACATCTACGTCCAACACACCACTCCTAATACTCCATTAGCCACGCAGTCGCTGACGAGTTTGATGTTCTCTCGGCCGCATAATTCCAGTAGGATCCGCACCTGCCGCCACTACCTTGCACGTCAACCCGTGACTGATGCGAGCGACTCCCACTCTGCATATTTCTACACCAGCAGTCCTCATTCGTAACAGTTAAATCACACCTACGATCCCGAATCAAATCCGTCGAATTATAGTGCACGCTTGGCCCCATACTCCGCAGCTAAACCCGCCTCCGTAATCGGACTATCTGGTCACTAAGCGACACAGCAACCGTACCGCTATTGGTAAGGGTACAATATACTCGACTCGTATCCTCTGTCAGATTTTGCTATCTCCGTTTGACGATGTACACGGGCACTGGGAAGTCTCGGAGCTGGCAGGACTTCATTGTCAGTCGTTGGGTTCTCCGCTAGACAGACAATGCATCCCTATCTGAGTCAAGTCACGCGATCGATCCAATCGACCCGCTCCTCGGATTGGCCCAGATCCATCATTATGATTATAGATTGTTTCACCATGGATACCGATGATGTTCGGTGGCTTTTCGCCGTGAGGTTGCTTGCGGGGTAAGTCCCCGAAGTCCGCTGCCAAACGCCGCAACGTCTCGATAAACACTGCAGCACAGCAAACCCAGCGCTCTTCAGAGATCACAGTGTCTAGCGGAGTCCGGAGTGGGACCCGCGGGGGAGATAATAATGAATTGGTCGAAATTTGTTGAGGGACGGGGCGAGTGCCATTGTATCTACGATCGTCGTCGTGTGTGGGGAGGTTGAGGTGGCAGCTTCGAAATATTGCATGAAGTCCGAGGTTGAGTCTGTTGGCTGTTCATGCGGGGTAAAGATTTATTGGGATATGTGACAGACGGAGAGCTAGGGATGAAGAGTGGATTGTTGAGTGTACGCAGATGCCGCGACTCTGGCTCTGCTCAGGAGGCTATCAGTACTCGTGAGAGCTTCCTGGTTACACACGTGCATCACTGGCTTTGAAGACCTTCTCAAAGGACCGGTCTTCCAGGTACCATGTAGTCTAAATGGTGATGATTCCTCATGCAACTAACTTATCCCTGATCCCAGATCTTCTCAGAAAAATGAAAAAGGATCTCACAAGCATATGCTATCTCCCATCACTCAAAACGTGCATACTACCAACCTGATGAGCGAATGCAGCGGGTGGTCTAAGATATGTGATCTCTGTCACGGGCTAGGATGTTGAAGTTTGGCGATGTTGAGGTATGGCGACTTTGAATGTATGCAATTCCAGATTGGGTCCATTGATTGTTCGTGTGCATTTAGATGTTTCTTCAATAATGTGTGACTCTCTAGGTGCAGTATCAATGCATCGCCATCGGATAGGGACGAAATGAATTTGCAACTCCTGTATCTGACTCCCTCTACATGCTACTGTTTCGCAATTGGACATTCTTTCGCGCCCTTGCGGTGTTTACTTGATAGGTCGTGCGCGCCTAGAAACCTAATAAATACCCTAGTGCTTCTAAGATTCTTTCGCACGAGATCAGCGAGCAAGGCTGTGAAACACTTGTGGCTGTGTTACACCACGACAGATTGCTTTGCTTTACCTTAAGTGATGCTTTGTCTGCCTTCTTTCTATTTTGAGGCTCAACCTGTCTCTGCTCTTACCTTTGACGTTTCTACCGTCGTCCGATCAATAACAAAGTGTCAATAAAGTACTGCGGGTGGTACCATGGCTGCTCGTCCTCATGATCAAGCAAGAGCCGCCCAAGCTGGCGCAACTCCTTTCACCATTCGAAATCCGTCCTTCTGAAATGTGCGAAACGAACGTCTCGGCGAAACGGAATTCTCCAAGATGCTGGCGACGCCAGCGGCTCGTGGAAGACAATCTTGGAGGGCATCGTGGATTATCTTATCGACTCTAATCGCTGGATTGGTCTGCGCCTTTGGGCACCATTTTATGAACGTTTATCTAGACGGTCGCGTCGTCGCAGAAACAACCATACCACAAGCATGGGTCCTTCGTCTTCAGACCGTCTTCGCCTTCCTAGTCAAGATGTTCTTGACAATTTGCGTTGGCGCCGCTTTCGTTCAACGACAATGGTGGAACTTTCAACGCCAACGATTCAGTGTCCATGAGATTGATACTGTCACGACAGTACTGGGTGATGTGTTTGGTTTGTTGAATATATCACCCTGGTGAAAAATGCCTTTACTGGCTGTCGCAGCCTTGATCTCATGGTGAGACCGCCATTGACAAGAGCAACTCAGCCGCTAACGCTGGCAGGACCGTACCTTTCGCTGCTGTCATCTCGCCCGGTTCTTTGCCGGTTGCGCTCAACGAAACTCAACATACTATACCTTACCAAATTCCCCAACTACCTACACTCTTCGATAATTACGGGTCATTCACGGATACTGTGGCGGATGGATCTAACCCAGAGGGACCTCTTACATCGATAGGTGGAGTTGTTACATCGATAAATGGTCGAGTTGCTACGACCGAGCTGTGGCAAGTTGCCCTAGGTACTGCAGTCTCAGGTCAAATTGCGGCTCTAGCAATGCGCTATCGCAATATGACGTACCAGTATCAGTTCTATGGACCAGTCCTCAAGTGCGTAACGGTCAAAAACGTCACTAAGCTCAAGAACACGTTGAACAATACCTTTCAAGGCAATCTTACTAGCGCAAACTACACCTCATGGGTTGCCGGCAGCGGATTAGTCTCTGAAAATCCGCAGATACGGCCCGAAACGCTCGATCAATTCTCGGACGAGTCAACAGGCGCTGGCATTTACATTGCACGTGGTGGTGGGAGTGGCTACGACGGCGCACCGGCACTTTCCTCGAACACGAATGCCACCGAATGCAGGTTGCACAACGGCTCATACAATGTGGCTTTCCAGTTTCGTTACCCAGAACAAAATCTCACGGTGTTGAACCTGGACTACGGGGCCCCGATAGGCCTCAGTCAGGAGACTCTTTACAAGAACCTTCCTCGAGAAGCTTATGCAGGTATCATGGAGGCCTTTTGTAGACTTCTTGTTGGTTATATTTCTGGCCCTCCTGATCCCTCGACGACGCCCTGGACACAGCAAACCTTTTTCACGAGCGCCAATATCCTGCACATAGACTGGAGTGAGGCCGAGAAGACACGGACTGGGTTGGAACAACTTTTTCAAAACATCACGCTCAGTCTATTGAGCAGAAGTAGCTTCATGTAAGTCATCCAACCCTCTCCAAGCAAGCTAAACGAAACGCAGCAAGAACTCAACCGAGGCCGACTTCATCCCTATCACCGCCTTCAGCTTCGTCAACGTCTATCGCTACGATCACATTGGCCTGTTCCTCGCGTACGGCCTCGCTCTACTTGGCACCTTGCTCTGCGCAATCGTGGGCTTGCACGCAGCCTGGGCAAACAAGGGAAGCTATCGAAACACCTTCTCGACTTTTGTGCGCAGCACCGACAACGACGAGTTACGATCGTTGCTTGATTCGGAAGACGACGGACGTGATCCGCTGCCCAAGCAGCTGGGGCCTGTTGAGCTCGTCATGCACAGGAGCAGATAGAATTGTTAGTGAGTACCAGGGCACGCATCATTAGAACATGATTGCGCCACCATGTTCAACCCAGCACGCACCATTATCCTTGTCAAACATCCTCACAGTTGTTCTAGTCACTTCGACTGCAGCAACCAGCCGGATAGACGAAGTCTATTCAGCTTCTGGCTGAGTAGATGCAGGGAGCTTGCAACTGAGTCTGTCATCACACATCTTGGTTGATTCCTCGCTGTCCCTTCGGGGGTATGGCCTTGGAAAGTCAAACGTGGAAAAGTGGCACAGGCAATCAGTTCAACATTGCAGTACTAGCGACATCATTGACGGTAAGCAGTACACAAGAGGCTCCGCGCGTGTTGAACAGGTAGGGAAACGATAAGCTCCAACGTCGAAATGAGATATGGAAGCATCTACAAGAGTGTTGCTCTTCCTGCCTGTTTGAACCATCCGGCTAGGGAAAGTTCCCCAGTCTGCTGAAGACATTCGTAATCCCGTGTACAATCAAGCTTCGGGCGTTGTAGTTCGCCAATCAATCGTTCTAGAGAGCCTGCTATCCGCACTAGCTAGGCTACCACTTTTCAGTACACATACCTGAATCTCGGGTTCTCCTTATCCGTAAGTCTTTCCCAAACCTCGCGATCCATATACTGCTCCTCGACACTGGCCTCGATTACCTTACGCTTCCGATTCATAGCAAAGTAGTACAGGAACAACGTAAAGGTTACGAAAGCGCAGCCAGCTTGGGTTCCCAAGACGGCGTACTTGGCCGGACGATATTCAGGCGCATCGCGAGCCTGGAAAGTCTGCGGGCCGATGATGTTGCCGATTGAAAAAGAGCCGCTGACTACGGCAGCACAGAAAGTGCGTTTGGTTGCGCCTGCGATGTTCGCGGCTGTCAACTGGACGATGCATATCAGCAAGACACGAGCAAAGGGTCCATCCTTACGTACGTTGTAGAATATGAAAAGTGGCGCAATGACAGCGTTAACGAGGTATATCCCGGCCAGCACACCTGATCGGTTAGTTATTGGTAGAAAGGACATCAGAGCACTGCCTATGATGCTGCGTTGGGGAATTAGACAGCTTCCTTGGTCATGTATGGAGTTTGACTTACGCAGGAATTATGCAAGCTATAATCCACGCCCAGCGGTGTGACTGCTTCCGGATGCCGTAGCCTACAAAGATTGTGAAGAAGATGCTGACAACGCCCGACGGCATGTTCATCAGTGCGGCCCGAGGGCCGCTATATCCTAAATTCCTGATAAGCGTGGAAGAATAGGTAGTGACCACGCCGCTCGAAATCGATAGCTTCGCATCGCATTAACTCAGTCACTGCCTCGTAACAACTCCATCGATGATCAGACCACGTACCAAAATTACTGCCAGGACAAGTAGGTAGACCTGCGGATCGACAAGCGCCTCCGAAATCTCGCTCAGTCGAAACTTGTGGTCGCGTATGCCCGTCTGGTTGATACTAACATGCTTAAGGTGCATGACCTTCTCGTCGTCCGTCATCCAGCGAGCTTGCATTGGTGTATCGGGCAGGAACATGAACGTGCATAGGCCGATCACAACAGTGATGCAGCCGAGCACAACAAACATGATCCTCCAACTGGCAAGCGCGGCCCCTGGCTTGACTTGCTGGAATCCGTACGAGACGGCACCGCCAACTATCTGGCCGATGCCCTAAGGGACCGATATAAAGTCAGTGTGATTCAAGACAAGGCGGTAAATGTCTCAGCTAAGAGTTAAGTCTTTCCTTCTGCAACAAAGACACACCCACGTTCTCCGGTGGTTTACTTACGGTTCCACAGCCCCAAAGAGAAAAGCGGGGAGCTTGTTCAGATTTGGTATACCATTGACTGCTAATCAGTAGCAAAGAAGGACCGATAGTCGCTTCGAAAATTCCTAGGAAGACGCGCGAAATGAGTAGTGTTTGATAGTTGTGGGCGGCCGCGCCGCAGGCTGTAGCAATGCCCCAGAGCATAACGTTTGCACCGACTGGCAATGCGGTTACGTATCAGCTGAATATCGTCCCTGCGTACTATTGGGACACTTACGCCATCTGGCAGCCGGAAATACTTGGAGACAATACGCTAGTCGTTCATATCAGCCACTTATCGTGTCTCTATCGGGTAATACTGGCTCACTGTTGGGCACTTCGAAGCAAAGAAGTGCAACGAAGAGAAAAGTCGCCACGTTACTGAACTCGTTTCCTTGCAGGTGCAGGTCTTTAGGCAGACCCATGACTGCCGCGTACTGTACATTGTTCACTGTTGCCCGCGCTTGATGAAGAAAGGTATACATACATTAAGTATAACTTTGTCAAGAAACTGCATTGTGTAGCAGCAAAACATCAACGGAACAATGTGCCAGTCAATCTTCTGCCGTAAGGCTTTGATATCGGCGGAGTCGAATCGCGCATTGCGATGTTTGTCGAGAAACTCCCAAGCAGCATCGACAGCAGGATAAGCTTGCACGTCAGCCTCGTGGCTGTGTTCGGCGTGTAGACCCATTCCAAACGAAGTGAATGAACGAAACGACGGCACAACAATGGGAGAGAAGTCTCGCAAAATAACTTCTCAACATTTACTCAGGGCCAAGGAGTTGCGCGGGGTACTTGCATCTGCTGGTGCTGCGTCGTTCATGCTTATGCTGCGTCGTACATGCTTGGTCGGCGGAGCTTCCTCTTTGGTTTTTAGCCACTGCAAAGCATGTCAGCACCTGTGACCGATGGACACATGCCTAGGGTGCGAGATTTCTTCAAGTTAGTCCGTGCCCAGGGTGCGAGGTTTATACAAGTAGGTGGAACGTTATACAGGCATTTCTCCAAAGCATTGGCTAGACCAACTGATCATGCGGACGGACTCTGCTTAAGGAGGTCTTCTGTAACTAAGAGTGGCAAGACTTAATATTGCGAGCTGCGAGAGACTGCGAGATATGGGTCTAAATTTTGATCGTAGTGATGCCGAACAAAGTATGCAAACTACTTTCTTTCATTGCAAAGACTCGAGACTTACACGGGCCACTTATACCTCGTCGTGCTCGTCAAACTTGATCATCATGACACGCGGACTCAGTAATGGACTCTGCGGATTGATCCTACGATAGTCATGCGCATCAAACGCAGCTTGCCGGGAAGCCAACACCGCTGGGCGGCACCTGGCAATGACTTCGTCCTCGTAATTGTCTATTGCAGCCCGGAGCGTGGACTCAGAAATAGTTCCCGAAAGCAATGGTGCGATTGTCTGAGCAATCTCTTGAATATCCTGGATACTGTGGTTAGCACCTGGGTGATTCATCAGCTTGGGTTTCCCAAATTGTCTCCCTTGGTGTACTCGCCGTCTCCACGATCTGTTATTGTTAGATCATGATGCACTGAATAGGGCGAAAATCTACTTACACATAGCCATTGGGTGCAGAGCATCTCCGACCAACATTGCTCGTCCATTGCCATGGACATCTTTTGCTGGCGGCCAGTCTGTAAGATCCAGAGGCTTCAATTCAGCTGTGTCCGGTAAGTTGAACGCCAATGAGCGAAAGGGTTCTGCCCATGTTTCAGCGAAGGTCTTCAATAGATCCAATCGTGCAGCATTTGAGGACGGCATGGCAAGCGGGCTGTCACGGTTGAGAAACCCTTTGCGATATGGCCAAGAGACAACGATCTGCGCGACGTAGCTCCGAGAACTCCCGTTGCCAGGCGCATCGAGCACTGGAACTACTGATTAGCTTAGTCGTAGATCATAAATTCGTGGGTCTCACCGCTGAAGTAAACGAAAGTATCGTTCTTAGACGACGTGGCCTGGAGGAAGAAAGAATCAAGATTACGCAACGGCTCAATTTCGATTGGCGACATGTGCAATTTGGTACCCATCAAGCGAATGGGTATATAGTTTTCGTTCGCGTCAGGGAGTAGTTGGCTTCGCACCTCTGAGTGCGTACCGTCACAACCCACCAAAAGGCTGCCCGAGCATTCCGAGCCATCTTTGAAGAAGACAGTCACTCCATCTTTAGCAGATTCGTATGAGCTGAGTGTCTTGCCCCACTGATCCCAGAGGTCAGCGCTAGTTCGCTCACAGCGTGAGTTCGGCCCCGTTACCTCGATAGCAATGCCTGTTGCCAACAAATTTCTAAACTTCTCTCGATTGACTCTGATTCTTCGTGACGCTGGTGCTGGAGGTGTTTTGCCCTTGAGCTCGCCGGTGCTCAGGTCGAAGAATGGGAATGTGGAAGCTTCGCCTCGCTCGACGGCAGCTCGGTCAACATATGCTTCAGGCAGACGATGCCACAATGAAGCCGGAAGCAAATCCCGTAAGGTGGGAAGGCTCCAAGTCAGGGTTAGTCCCCATCCTTCGTTCGTAGTCCCAAGGTTCTCTCGACGCTCGAAGATGCGAAATGGTATTTTGGCCAGGGTTAGGTATTGCGCAAGAAGGAGGCCGCTGATACCAGCGCCGATAATGATGACGGGGTTCTCGATCTTGTTGGCCATGGGTGCTTGGATGCAACCCCACCAGGACAAGAGACGATGCTTTCAATCGCGCTTACCTTCGATCAATCGGGGAGGTGCTGCTGTGGTCTGACCATTGGTTTACTAAGCGATGCAAATGCTCTCGACATTTTCTGCCGGACTGCCTGGATTTGCGATGTTCCCAGTTCCTCTCCTGACGCAAGGCATCTCCACGCTGCAGAGCTCAGTGGGCGTACAAACATGAGCTGGAAGAATCACACGTTGTGATACATATGCGCGACATGCAATGGAGCTGAAGAGGCCTCTGCCAAGGTTTTGCATCGGCAGCATGTATTACGAATAATTTCTCCGGCGTTCCGGTCATCATATCGCTTCATGTCCAGGTAGCGTTTGAAGATGCAGTCTCCGATTTTCGAGAGGAAGGAGCGACGCGGATGGACGCGGTAGGAATCGTGGGGCGACGCGCCGTTGCCGCATCAACCACCCCCAGCGCTTGTTTACCAAGCGAGCGCCTGCGTCACTCTTTTCCCTTACCGGTGGCACACTACGCAGAGCTACCCAAAACATTTTCTCCACACTTCCTTCTTCGCAATATGGCTATGGACCCTCCAGCGCGGCCCTCTGGCTCTTTGTTTGACGTTTACTTGCGACTGCGCCCATCAAAAGCTAGCGATGGGCGCTTCCTCACTGTCGTGGACAGCACCGAAGGCAGTCACCCCACGCACATAACCATCAAGCCACCGACAGATGACAAGCGCAAGAGAGCGGTTGAGACCTTTGCGTTCACAAAAGTGTTTGAGGAGGATGCCCGGCAAATGGAGCTGTTCAAGGGCGTCGGCATCGTCCCCATGATCGAGGGCGTACTGGGCGCCCCAGGACATCACGGACGAGATGGAACACTTGCAACGCTAGGCATGACCGGTTCTGGAAAGGTAGGAACTCTGGCATACGTACGGCTATGCAAACCTGACACTAAATGGTATTCAGAGTCACACAATTCTCGGAACAAAGTCGCAGCGCGGTCTGACGCAGATGGCACTCGATGTCCTCTTCCAGTCGACCGGAGAGCAGCTGGTGCAATCCTTCTATGGAGCGCCAGCATTTACATCTCTGGCTGCAGCCGATGTATCAGAAGCGCACATGTTCACAGCAACTGCCTTCCTGGACTCGATGTACGGTGACAACCAGTCTGAAGCGCGCTTCTCGCGTGCGCAGACACCCATGGCGGTTAGTACCTTTTTGTTACATCTCCGTGACTCTGTCTAATTTTCCTTGTCACCACCTTCTCGCCCGGTTGCCGGGGATGTGTGGTATCCCAACCTCCAAGCCACTTTCTCCAATCGCGCAAGTGCGGGTATACATTCAATCCTTCCTGTGAATGGGGTTCTCTCCATCAATCCGTGAAGTGTTTTGAACACAGGCTCACCCCAAAAAAAGGACTGCAGTTCGTTCATTACGAATGGCGGATCGCGCTCGAACAGAATACCCAGACCGTCTACTCTGCCGCAATCGCCGAGCGTTCACGACATCGATATACCCGTCGACGGGAACGCCGAGTACGCAATCGTCATCTCTATGTACGAAGTGTACAACGACCGCATCTTCGATCTGTTGACAGGAACCGCGACGAAGAACAAACACCCGAACCTGAAGCGACGACCGTTGCTGTTCAAGAGCACGGAACAGAGTCCGGATCGAAAAGTGGTCGCCGGTCTGACGAAGATCATCTGTGGAAGCTTTGAGGAGGCACTCATGGTGCTCGAGACTGGCTTGGTGGAGCGCAAGGTCACCGGTACCGGAAGCAATGCCGTGAGCTCGCGAAGTCACGGCTTCTTCTGCGTAGAGGTCAAGAAGCGCGATGCGAAGCGGAAAGGTTCCTGGTCAAGCAGCACGCTGACCATCGTTGACTTGGCTGGATCTGAGCGTGCGCGGAACGCAAAGACAGCTGGCGAGACATTGGCAGAAGCTGGCAAGATCAACGAGTCCCTCATGTATCTTGGCCAGTGCATGTCGATGCAGTCTGATCAGCAAGCTGGCTCAAGGGTACGTTCTCCTTGCCTGCACTCCTCCCACTGTACCTACTGACACCACCCAGAACGTCGTCCCCTTCCGGCAATGCAAGCTCACCGAGCTGCTCTTCTCGAATTCTTTCCCCTCCTCCACCCGAACGACACACTACCACCACCCCCAGAAATCCATTATGATCGTCACCGCCGACCCCAAGGGCGACTTTAACGCCACCTCCCAGATTCTCCGCTACTCCGCCCTCGCTCGCGAAGTCACTGTCCCGCGCATCCCTTCCACAACTTCCACACACATCCTCGGCAGCGGGCCCGCAAGAATCGGCACATCCTCTGGCCGGACAACGCCCTCAGGCCGCACCACTCCCTCCGCGATCCTCGAAGAACTCGACGCCGCAAACGCAGAGATCGCACGCCTCACCGCAGAAGTCGAGGTCTTCGCGCTGCGCCTGATGGAGGAGACGGCGCGCCGGAAAGCCGCAGAGGCGAGCTGGTCCGCAGCAGAGGATCGCATGCAGGATCTCGAGCAGGAGATCCGTGACGAGTGCTTTGCCGACACAGAGGCAGCTGTGGACGCAGAGCGCCGCCGGTGGCAGTCTGCGCTGGACAACGAGCAGGACTCGCAGCAGGCGCATCTCGATTCCAAGATCGATGTTGTCATCAAGGCGACCAAGGCGCAGATGCGGGACGAGGTGAAGGTGTATGAGGATCCGGATCCAGAGCTGCAGGACCGGGTAGATGAGCTGGAGCGTGAGAACGAGGTGTTGCGGGCAAAATTGGAGGCCAAAGAGCGTCAAGGGCAGCTGATGAGTGCGAGTCCTGTCAAGAAGATGAGGGTGCTCAAGCCGAAAAAGTGGGAGGATCCGGAAAGTGGCATGCGGATGGGGCTTGATGCCTTGGGACTCGAGGATTAGTCGTTTTAGAGCCTTTGAAGCCGCGTTGACGCTTACGTGACATGACATGATACGACGGCATGGGCGGCGTTGTGGGTTGCTTTTGGGATAAGCGATATCCTTGGACCTTGAAGCCGTTGCGGTCTTCTGTGTATCTATCCCTATAAGCTTTGTGACAATCACTTGTTTTTCTTAATCTAATTGAGTAATGGTCTTATGGTTGTTTCGTAGGGGAGGAATTCCCAATCGTGACTTGGTCCCTTCTTCATAAATCGTATCATGCTACCCTATGTATTTTCCCCCTCCCCCCCCCGCCGCAGCCGCCGCAGGTCCTTTATCCTGCCGACACGGCAATTTTGGTATTTACTCCCAGGACGGCCATAGCGCCAATCTGCCGTTCCTAAAAGGTAGTCTATCCGAGAAGTGAAGTCCGACCCCTACGCGCGCCGCACGCGAAGATAAGAATGCCTTGACAAGCACCGCCAAAAGCAACTAGCACATCTTGTACGTGCCCTGACCGGCCGACTGCCTGTGCATATCTTCTGTGTTCAGCTTGTACGTAATGGTAATGTCCAGATCCCTGTGGTTCTTCTCGCTCGGCCTGTTCTCGAGCTCACCGACAATCTTCTCGCCCTCCTCGACGGTCAGAACGTCTTGCAGGTAGAACACAGTCTGTTTCCAGTGCGTGTACTTGGTGTGAGGGCCGGTGGAGAACTTGATGGGCTTGTGACAGGCAGAGAATTCGATGTCGAACCAGGCGATGATAGCGTGGATGAAGTCGGAGCGGCGGACGTTGAGCTCATATGGGAGCTTGAAAGAGAGGTCGTCTACGGTGCATGTGTACAGGTCGAGGGTCAGAACGCTAGCGGGGTCGGTGACGACATACTTCATGTCTACGGTGTCGACGAGGGGCTCGGTCATGGCGGTGGCCTTGAGAGGGGTGTAATCGAAGCCCCAGACGTTATCCCAGACTGTTGTTGTCAGCAAGCGTGCCACGATCGTCGTGTCGATACATACAGCCAATCTTCTCGTCTTTGTACTCTCCGTCCTCAATACCAGCCATGAAGATGGTTGCCTTGTCGGGGAAAATCAAGCCGTCCTTGACGAGGTACTTGTCGCGCGCGTACAGCACGGTGTCCAGCATGGACTCGTAGAGGAGGAAGTATCCCATCCACTCGGAGATGATGATGTCCACCTTGTCAAAGGGCAGAACGACCTCCTCCATCTTGCCCTGCAGCAGCGTGATCTTGTCGCTCATGCCGTTGCGCTCAACGATCTCCTTCGCCTTGTCGATGATGGTGGACATGTCGACGCCGATGACATGTTTGGCGCCCGCACGCACAGCGAACCTATTATGAGTATATAAGCTTCAGTCGTCCCGTGGAAAGAGAGGTAGTCGAACATGCTCAGGATGGATGTACCGCATCCGACATCGAGGACGACCTTGTCCTTGAAGAGGTGGCCGTTCTGGTAAATTGCGTCGCGGTAACTCCTCGTTCGGACCTCATCTTTCTAGATTCAAATCAGCAAGGCTTCTTGTGGCGCTCGTGTGACAGCTGTCACGACGGTTGGCTCGGCACGCACCAGCATCTCCTCGTGGATACCTTTTCGCGCGTATTAGTATAGTTGCTCAGTGTGTGTAAGACTGCTGTGACCGACCATGGTGGTTGTAGCTGCAATTCAAACAATCGTCAGCAAATCTCTTCTTCTACATCAAGTGCATACAGGCTGGTGGGAGCATACCTGTTGAAGTAATGCGCCTCGGAGTGCGCCATGCCGGCAAGGGGGTCTTTCGCCCCGGTGTGTGAAGAAGCCATGGTGATAAATGAGATCTGGAGGAAAAGGACCTGAGACTGCAGAGGAAAGTTCAGGGCTGAGCGTTCCTGCCTGGTGGTGGTTTGCAAAAGCGAAAATCATAATTCATGTGGACCGTGCGCAGAGCCACGACTTGAGTCTCTGCCCCGCTACGAGCCCACTAACGCGAGAAAGTCTTCTAGGCCCACATTAGGCCGGCGTCGTCTACCGGACGAGTTGTCTTCGCCGCTTCAAGACTTGGAGCAACCAGAACGCCATGATTCAATTATCTAAGCAAACGCGGTGGCTAACTACAGACTGAGCGACGCTGAACAGCAGAATTCCTCCCTACAACTTAAGCCGTACTGAGAGGGGTATAACGTTGCATTTTGGACACCTTCCTCCCGTAATCATTCAAGTCGTGGTCTCGTAGCCGTCGTTCCAGGCTTTTCTCGTCTTCGCGGGACAATCGCCAAAGTTCCGCACTGTGCATCATCTCGAGGCAGAGTATTCAAGGCACACTTTCCGGGCTTCCGCCTCTCGTGAGCCTTCATCCAGCCACGTCCGCATCCCGGCGATAGTTCACTCCAAAGACCGCATTATTACCACTTACATAACAATCATTGCGCTTTTAAGACACTGAAAAGATGGAAATAGGATGAAGAAATGTGCGAAGGAAAGTTGGCGTCGTGCTTTCCGGTATTGATATGGGGAACGTCGCTTATCGGACCCGGATCTGATGAAATGTCTCCATGAAGCTTCGCGCGTCTTGCTGCTGTTAGCCAATTTTAGGTGTACATGCAGGTGATAGAACGTACCATTCGGCGTGGTGAATGTCAGCTGGTATCTACCTGATGATCCCTTGGGCAATTTGTACCCGTCCGTGAACATATAAGGATGAAGCTCGCGGAACGAAACAGTCTGCGCTCCCACACGCTTCATCCAGCCTCTGTGTCCGACGTACTGTGTAACGAAGGCTGTCCAGATAGGGATGGTCTTCAATGGTCCTCGGCGAGGTGTAGCTTCGAAGCGTACACAGCCTGAATCCTTGTCACGGAAGATCCGGAGTGCATGGCGGTACGCGTAAGTGTCGTCTTGTATCTCCCTACATCTGGTTTAGTATCTTCTATAGGAGGACACGATGGAGCGACAGCTTACCCTCCAAACTCTTGCTGTTCTCCAGGTTGGAAGAAATCCTCGAGACCTGGTGGTGTTTGGGTGTCATCTTGTCGTTTCATCGCGACCATGGTGCTCCAGAACAACACCATGCCTAATAGATTAGCCTATATTGTCTCGACGGACTTTGAAGGACATACGTTCATAGAGCGTGAATCGCAGGTTTGCCCAGAGATCGAGCTGGCCATCCTCACGGTTTACACGACATAGCTGCAAGCTCGATTCGGTGCGCAGCACTTTCAGACCAGTGAGCGGAAAGCAGTAACGCATTCTTCGCCCGGTTGGATCGAGGGTCAAGAAGAGAATCCGTGCTCGGTTATCTTCAGAGCGCCAGTAGAGCCTCACCCACACGTTCGTCGCTTCGAAAGGCCTAAGCGATGTTAGCCGAATCAGCAACCATGGTCGTCTTCTTACAGTTCAAGCACTTTCTCGAAGCCATCTTTCACCAGCAGCTCGATAGCTTGCGGCTCGTCTCTTCCGAGACACCGAGTCCTGGGTGCTGTCAGTTTCGTCAACACCGTCGTACGGAGTTTGCGTACGGTTGCCCAAGGGTTTGAAAGGGCGTTGAAGAATGTCTTCCATCAAGGATTTTCATCGCCCAATGAGCGACTGGGCCTCCAGAGTCATTGGAATGCAGCGAGTAAGTGTTTGAAGACGCATTTGAGTAGGTGGGTGATTGCGGCACTTCTGGTACGATAGGGGGTATGTATGGTATCTCGCCATAGACCGGAGAACGTGGTGGAGGCGGAGGCGGCGGTGGCGGTGGTGGGTGTTGGTGAGGATGATAAGCCGGATATGTGGTGCCCCGTTCAACGTGCGGTCTTGGGGGCAATGGGGGAGCGTGGTACTGGTACGGCTGGGGTGTTCGAGGCGCTGTAGGATAAGGACTTAGTGGTCTGTACGGACTCTGACGATAGTACTCGTATATGCTATGCGTCTGTGGGAAGTAGGAAAACACATCTTGATACAAGAAAGAAGCCATCGCTCGGTGACGGGCAATCGCCAGTTGCCAAGCGGAGGGGCCGGTCGGAGATGGCGAGGTGGAGGCTAAGAACAAGTAGACAAGAGATCGCAAGCATACCATGTGCACGTGGATCCACCGAGAGCCTGGAGAAATAGTCGTCAATTGGCTCTTGTTTCTTCAGTATCTTCGATAGCCGAGCCCGAATGTGGTCGACTTCTCCGTCATCTCCCTTGCTATTCGTCGTTAAACACATCAATCACAGGCCACCACGACAACCTACCTCCTCAAAATATCATGCAAGCCTTGCAGATAGGTTCTATACATTTCCAAACGCGCACTTAAAGGAATACCTTGTGCCCGCATCTCGTCGCACGCATCTTCCCAGATCTGCGCGTATGGCGGGGTACCGGGGAAAGCTCCAGGATGTTGTCGGCCCTTTCGCTTCGACTTGTTGAAGATGTTTCGGATGTCCTCCAGCGTATATTCCAGGCTCGGGAGACATATGTCGAGATCATGCACGATACGACCAACGTGCCTGCCATAGCGCGACAATGCCAGGTCCTCGTGTAGTACGTCAAGAGCGCTTGAGATGGCAAAGAGTTCGGCAATGTCACCCTTGATCTCTTTCGAATACTCTGGTATCTCGTCTAGGAAAGTACTGAGCGCGGTCGCTGTGTCTTGCGCATCTTTGGCGTAGTCGAGGAGCCGCAGGTCCATGGTGAGTCGCGTGATAGGATAACTGCAAGCGGGGAAGAAGACTACGGCATCGATACGCCCGAGATTCGAAAAGCAACGAGAGAATTAAAGCGAAAGGTGGACAAGTGGCAAGGCTGAGAATGAGCGTCTCGGGCGTGGGACCTCCGCCTTCAGAGTGAGGGAGCGCAGGTTGACGTGTCCAGCGAGCAGCAAGGCAAGCCGATGCACACCAATCGAACACTTATGCCGACGAAAACCCTGTATCGTACTGCACCTTATCCGCGCGCTGCAATTGTTCAACTCTTCGCGATTCTTGCCTTTCTGTTCGTTGCTTTGGCCCCCAAATCGAACTTTTCGATTCTCCTGCGGACCACTTTTTCCCATGCGAGTGCGGCTTGGTGAGAGACGAGACCGACTTTGTGCGCCTGACATGCAAGGCCAGTTTAGCAGCCACCGGATACGGACCAAAGAGGTGCGGCACGGCTGGGATGACCGCATCCATCAAATATGGAAGCGTCCCGCATGTTGCCGAGATGTTCAGCGGTATCCGCATTAGAAAGCCGTCCGATTGCTGATGGAAACGAGTTTCTGCCTGATCGGGGCGCATGTAAAGCTACAATAGTCAAGGATTGTGAGCGGCGAAATCATCAAAATAGAGAGCAACTCATCACCAAGCTGCAAATATGTATCGAATGAAATCGGATTGCTCTGGCGTGCCGCCTGTGGTTGGGCAGAAGGTGCGATGCATCATGCACTGCTGCTAGGCAACAGCGTCCCCACCAGATGATGTACATTGACGAATGTTTCTAAATGCAAAATTACAGCCACAGGAGCAAAGAGTGAAGGGCAACAGCGCACAGTAGTAGGCATGTCACATCTTTATATTTGAGGGAGGAAAAAGTAAGGCTGCGCCTCATTCTTCAGCGCCACGACTAGGTGACCGCCCTGTTTGTCTGCTCCCAGGCATTAACGCGATTGTGCGATGCGAAACGATTTGCTATAGGTCCGTCACGCAAGATGGGCGTCTCGATGCCTGGCCAGCCCCCCGGTTCCATGTTACGGGCCTGCCAGTCATGTTCAGACCGTACCGCGCCCTCCCTTTGGCATCGGATGTTGGTGTACCAAGGATGAACTTGGAGCCGCAAAGCGTGCCTTATTTCCCGAGGGCCTTCAGTCTCTCATCAACTAGCTTAGACACCATCTTCTCGAGGATCGCGAACTCGCCGTTTGCGGTCCCTTCAAAGTAACCAGCTACACTCTTCTCAACATACTTGCCAACCTGGTCAACCTCAACGTTGACCTCCTCGCCAACCTTCTTTGACGCCGTAACGACCTTTTCTTGTGTGTAGGCAATGAGCATGACCTCCCAGAAACCGTCAGGCCCGTCCTCGACCTTTGTCACGGTCAAGCTGGCTCCGTCGATGGTGACGTATCCCTTGTATACGACATATCTAAGCACGGCGGGATCGCGCGGTTTGAAGCGGAAGGTGAGCGCGTTTCCGTCGGGAGTTATAGATACTATTGAAGCGGTCGTGTCGACGTGTCCTTGTACAAAGTGACCACCCATGCGCGTCGATGCCGCGACAGCGCGTTCGAGATTGACTTTAGAGCCCTCTTTGAGCGAGCCCAAGTTCGTTTTGCGGAGCGTTTCGGGGGCGACGCCGACTTTGAAGGAAGTCTTGTCGAATTCCGTCACCGTCAAACATGTTCCTGTGTCTATTTTGAGCGGCGCTACGATAAACTGCGGAGGTTGCCCACCATTGATGGCGATGCTATCCCCCAATTGAGCGCCTTCCAGAATATGTTGCGCATCCCCGATGGTGAGCGAGGTTCCGCCGCCTCCGCTCGCAGTCTTGTCAAGCTGCTCCAAGGCAGTGACGGCTTGTCACGGTTAGTTGTGGCATGTTGACAATGGGTGGAGTAATGGGCCACTCACTGCCTATTATTTCAACAAGGCCGGTGAACATTGTCTCGTAGTGGGGTGACGCGGAAGTAGTGGCGGGGGCCGCAGGGTCAAGATGCCTCGGTCTGCGCCAGAGCTTGGGCCTCCGCGGGGAGCTTCGGGGAACTTCCAAATCTGCGATTTGGGAATGGAAGCTTGTCTGTCACCTCGACATCTTGCGGTTGCTTGCCTAAATATGCTCTTCCGACCTTCCAGTCAAGTCTTTCGGTCCTCGCTTACCCACAGTCAGCGCAATTGGTTCACAGCCCAGTCTCGAAGATGGCTAGCATCCGCAGCACGCAATGAGGACGGTACACTTCCGCTGGCGGGTATCAAGGTTCTTGACATGACAAGAGTTTTAGCCGGTGTAAGACGGACTGGCAAGGATGTCTCGTTACTCTGTCTAACAGCTAATTAGCCTTACTGCACACAAATACTTGGTGACCTGGGGTACGAATAGCGACCGTACGGTCCAACGATCCAACGATCCATAGTTGGGAGCCTTAGGTTCGAATTGACTTTGTTACAGGGCGGATGTCATAAAGATCGAGCATCCCACCAGAGGAGGTATGTGCGCATTGAATTCTATCTAGGAATCTTGCTGATCAGTGCGAGCAAGATGATACTCGAGCCTGGGGCCCACCTTACGCCAAATACGTCGACAGTAATCAGGAAGGGCCTGGTGAAAGTGCCTACTACTTAGCCGTAAATATGCGTGAGAAAAGTGCAGCCTTACTGTCAAATTGACTGGATTCAGGTCAACAGAAATAAACGATCTATCGGTCTCTCGTTCGCTCATCCTGCCGGAGTCGATATTCTACACAGGCTAGTGAAGGAATGCGACGTGCTTGTCGAAAATTATCTTCCTGGATCGTTGGCAAAATATGCGATGGATTACGCATCGGTCTCTAAGATCAACCCGGGTCTAATTTACGCTAGTATAACTGGCTATGGACAAACAGGGCCTTACAGTAATCGGGCTGGATATGATGTAATGGTCGAAGCGTACGTGTATGGTGCTTTACATAGGCGCGATACTAACAGGCTACAGCGAATTTGGCTTGATGCATATTACGGGCGCACGCGATGGTCCTCCAGTCAAAGTCGGGGTCGCCGTGACCGACCTGACCACAGGGCTTTACACTTCGAACTCGATTATGGCGGCTCTACTCAGTCGGATAAAATCTGGAAAGGGTCAACACATTGATGTAGCGCTCAGTGACTGCCAGTAAGATGCTCCGATCCTAATAATTAATAGTATACTGGCTTACGTTCATGTAGGACAGCCACACTTGCAAATATCGCGAGCTCTGCTCTTATTAGTGGCCAAAAGGACTCTGGGAGGTGGGGCACTTCACACCGTGAGTTCGATGGTGCTTCTCCGATGTCTTTGATAACTCACACATTGTAGCGTCAATTGTACCATACAAGGCTTTCAAGACGTTGGATGGCGATATTCTACTAGGCGGTGGCAATGATCGCCTGTACGGCGTTCTATGCACGAGGATCGGCAAGCCCGAATGGATACTGGATGCTAGGTTCAAGACTAACGCTCTGAGGGTGCAGAATCGCGATACCTTGGAAGAGATGATCGAAAGCGAGACAGTGCAGAAGACCACTGCAGAGTGGCTTGACATATTGGAAGGTTGTGGGATGCCATACGCAGCCATCAACGATGTGCAAGCGACACTGAACCATGACCATACCATTGCTCGCGGAATGGTGCAACAGATTGAGCACCCATCGTGCGGTCCAATCAAGTTGGTGAACACTCCAGTGAAATACTCGGAGTCGACTCCAGGCATCAGAACACCTCCTCCAACTCTGGGCCAACACACTGACGAGATACTACGAGGTACGCTTGGGATGGGATCCAAGGACATTGAAAGCTTGCGCAGCGAGGGCGTTGTAGCATAGAACTAGCCAATGGCGATAGACTGAGGTCCAATTTGTGCAAAATCAACCCTGTCGGTCTTGCCGATGGTATCGGAATGATGGTCGAACTGCACCTGCCATTAGTCAATCGTGCCTTCGCCGCTAGGGCCAATCCAGCAACAAGCTTCGCCGATCGGCAACTCCACATGAACCATTCGTTCCCTTCCACAGTTGCGCCAACAAGCGCAGGCAACCTATCTTTCGCAAGCGATACTGCAGCAAACATTCGTTACAGGACATGGACCCGCCAGACTCCAAGGCAGCGGGCTCCCCGGCGCTCAATCGCCCAAATACCGTGAGCGGCGCACCTAGCCAAACTAACCTCTCCACATCCACGGCGCAAACCACACCAAGCGCAACCACACAGCCCTCAATATGGGCCTCGCACAACACGATTGGCTCTGCGTCAAATTCTTCAGGCCCATCCTTCCCGCAATTCTCGGCTGCCACGGCCGAAATCCTCAAGAGGTTGCAGGCAAACCAAGGCAATGCGACTGCCGGTACCGCTGCGTTCGAGGCCAAGCGAGCAGAGGTGCTACAGAACTACGTTACGAGCGACAAGCTTCCGACGCCCCCGCCAGTAGCTGGAAACGGAAGGAGGGGCAGAGGCGGAAGAGTTGGAACGCCATTGAAGACAGAGAGTGGCGCGGGCTCGGCGGGGCCAACACCTGCTTCAAGAGGGTCCGGCAGAGGCAGAGGACGAGGCAGAGGTGGCGGCCGCGGCGGGAAGAGAAAGAGGGCAGAAAGTGAGGAGAGCGATGTGAATGGCGCCGCATCTCACTCTCTTGTACTGTGTCAACTGACCCCATACAGGACGACTCGGACATCTCTTCTTCATATACGCCGTTGCCAACACGGACGAAATCTGGCCGCAGCGTGAACAAGCCCGTAGCTTTCGTACCCACGATACCTGAGCCTACACAGACTGTCAAGCGAAGGAGATCAACAAAGACAATACTCGCGGCACAGTGCAAGACCTGCCACCGTGGTACCGATCCTACCAATAACCGAATTGTTTTCTGTGATAGCTGTAATACTGCATACCATCAGTATTGCCATGATCCGCCAATAAGCAATGAAGTGGTCACTGTTCTGGAGAAGGAGTGGTTATGCGGTCCTTGCGAGCGATCAAAGCAAATTGTCATCGAGGGAACAGGTGGCCTTACCACTGCGGAGGGTTTGTCAATAGATGAGGTGAGCCATCCGAAAGTGATATGTGGATAAGCTAACATTGCCTAGAAACGCGCATATTTCTCAACCCTCTCGCACGCGCGTCTAGTCTCTCTCCTCCTACACGCTTCAATACGGCATCCCGAACTGCCCGTTTTCCCACCCAACGTCCACGACTTGATCCCAGATCAATCAGCACCCACCTCGAAACCATCAGTACCCAAACCAACCTCACAACCCGCATCAACATCAACATCAAAACCATCAAATGGCCATGGCTCGATAAGTGGCACTCCGCGCTCCCGGCAACTCACAAACCCAAGCGGTTCAGACATTGATCCTTCAGAGGCTCAGCTCCTCGGTGAGATGAGCACACAGCGTCCATATACTATGAACCCTCCGTCTATCAACCCAAGTGGTGCACTGGATCAAGCAGATTATGACGATGGCTACGACTCCGATCCTCCTGCAAACTACCCCAAAGCCGGAAACGGTTTAGCACGTACACTCCGTCCTGAGTCTGAAGATCTGCAATGGCTCGTGGACGACAACTTCGAGGTGTTCTCTCATGGGTGGAAAGGCGACGGTACTGGCATGGGTGCTGACGGCGTCCTTGCCGACGCTATCGAGGATGTGGAATCTGGGAAGGCGTAGAACGTCGGCAACCCGATCGTGATGACCGTGACTTTACCGTGTGGGTTGAAGAGAGTGAGGTTCTGGCATGAAGAGGAGATTTTTATTGAGAGGAACGACCACGAGGGCGAGAGAAATGGGGATGGCAGCAGAATTGAGGAATAGGGGGGTGAAGGCAACGATCAAAGCAGTAAGCTTAGCGAGATTGATGATGAACAATTGGAGGAGTTGAGTCGCGAGGTCGAGAGGGGTGGAGGCAATGATCAGCAGAGCGCATTAAGCGCAAATGTGCTTAATGACCCATTTGCCCAATTCCGAAACGACGCCAGGGTTGACGAGAGCATGAGAGGGATCGATGATGCTGAGCTAATGAGGAGGTTCATGGCGACGCTCAGGCGGTATGTAAATGCGAATTACAACTGGAGGAGCATGCCAGCCGTTGACGACGATGAGTCGTCATCGTCCTCATGGGAGACCGATGATGGAGGTAGTTCAGCGTCCCAAAGGTCAACACAAAGGGAATAAGGTATCAAGTTGTAGGATAATCACTGGTATCAACAAAAGCTCTTCAATCCACACAGCTCCCTTTGAAAAATCGAGAACGTGAAATCCTAATCATGATGCATGAAGCAAAGGAAGTAAAGTCAGACTGGAGGCACTCTCTAGCCCTCCTCCTGGTCCATCCCATCCCTGCCCCTCTTCCCCTTGAATCCACCGCCGCCGCCGCCTCTCCTCCCGCGCTTGTCGTGAATCTCCTTCATCTCCTTGACTGCCACTCGCTGCGCTTCGCTCACCCGCTCAGCCAGTACCATAGCCTCGTCCTTGGGTACAACTTCCTCCTGGATCTTGGTCCCTAACGCCGTCTCTGTCCGCAGCCAGATTTCCACGTCGTATTGCGTCACGAACGAGATAGCCTTGCCGCTCTTGCCAGCTCTGGCTGTGCGGCCGACACGATGCACGTAGGTCTTGCTGTCCGGCGGTAGGTCGAGATTGATGACTAAGTCAACGGAGGGAATATCGAGACCACGGGCAGCGACGTCAGTCGCCACGAGGATGTCGCGGGACTTGGCCTTGAACTTCTGGAGCGCGCCGAGACGATTCGATTGGCTAAGCTGGCCGTGAATGGGGATGGCGCCGAAGCCGAGGGTGCGTAGCAGCACGGCAACGCGCTGTGCCTCGTTCACGGTGCGTGTGAAGATGATGGTAGGATGACCGATGGCGTCGTTGAGGATGTGGATCAGGTAGAGGTCCTTGTGCTTATGGGGGAGGAAGATGTAGCGCTGCATGAGCGTCGAGACGGTTTGGTGGGAGCTGGAGGAGATGCTGACGCGGACGGGGTTGTGGAGGGCCGCGCGCTGGAGGTTCTCTACCTTGGTCGACATGGTGGCCGAGAAGAGGTATGTGTGACGTCCCTCCCGTGGGAGGACCTTGAGAATCTTGTCGAGGATAGGGCCAAAGTCGAGGTCGAGCAGGCGATCGGCTTCGTCCATGACTAGATACTTCAAGTGCTTCAGCGAGAAGCCCTTGGTGTTCTCGAGGTGGTCTAGCAATCGTCCGGGTGTGGCAACGACAACATGCGGTCGCTTGCTGAGAGCAATTGCCTGCGCGACCATATCCATGCCACCCACGAGGGTGACGCATTTCACGTTGATAATGCTCCCGAGCGCCTCAACCTGCTGCGAGATCTGGTAAGCCAATTCTCGGGTTGGCGCAAGCACCAGTCCGAAGAGGGATTGCGGCTTTTCCATGAGCGACTGGAGGATAGGCAGTACAAAAGCGGCTGTCTTTCCAGAGCCCGTCTCTGCCAATCCAATGACATCGCGCCCTTCTAGGGCCAACGGGATCGATTGTTCCTGGATGGGCGTTGGGTTGGTGAATTTGAGGTTGGCGCAGGCTTCGCAGAGCTCTTCCCGTACGCCGAGGTCTGCGAAGGTTCTCTTGGATGATTCGCCTTGATCAACCGGTGCGCTCTCTTCCTCCGCTTCTACCACCTGTTCCGCATCTTCAGCGTCGTCCTCGCTAGATTCTGGGGCAGGTTCTGGTTCTTTGCGCGGCGCGGTCTTCGCATTGGGTTTCGCAGGGCGTTCCGAGCGTTTGGAGGGCTTGGATTTGTGCGGGTAAGGTCCAGCAGCGCTGGTGGGCGCATCGAGTTTTCTTCTCTTCACGGCAGGCATGTTGATGTGCAGCGTGCAGTGGGCGGGCGTGCAGCGTAAATTTCCAGGTGGAGCCGCCTTAAATCCGGCGCTGCCAAGATTTCGACAATTTTCTTGGGGCAGTCGCAACCTGCACCGAATACCAAGGTCAAACAATCAACTCGACCGACCAAAGGCGAGACGTTACTAAATACATCGATTGTATAAACCCTAGCTCTACTACCTCGCCGCTCGAATCGAGCAGACATTCTCAACATGGCGCGAGGAAATAGCGGTCGCCGGAAGCAGTCCGTCGCGGACAAGCAAGCGGTCGCAAAGCCAAAGGAGGGAAACCCCAAGAGCATGGTAATTCGGATAGGCGCCGGCGAGGTTGGATCTAGCGTCACGCAGTTGGTACAAGACGTACGGCAGGTCATGCAGCCAGACACTGCAGTGAGACTCAAGGTTCGTTCAAAATTCCTGCGCTCAACCCGCATTTGAACAGACGTTGACAGCGTGCAGGAGCGAAGAGCGAACAAACTGCGCGACTTCACCACCATGGCCGGTCCCCTCGGCGTAACCCACCTCCTCCTCTTCTCGCGCTCCGAGGCCGGAAACACAAACCTGCGCCTCGCAAAGACACCCCGCGGTCCAACCCTGCACTTCCGCGTCGAGAAATACTCCTTGGCAAAAGACATTATGAAGAGTGTGAAGCACTACCGCGCTGACCCACAGGCTTACAACGTTGCGCCCCTCCTCGTAATGAACAATTTCCTCACTTCAGAGGCCGAGCGCGAAAAGTTGGGAGACTCAGCACCACCAAAGCATCTCGAGAAGCTTGTCACAGATATGTTCCAGGGCTTGTTTCCGCCCATCCAACCGCACACCACGCCGCTCCACACAATCAAGCGAGTCCTGCTCTTGAACCGCGAGCCGCCGAAGGAGGACGATAATGGCACCATCACAATCACCGTTAGGCACTATGCGATCACAACAAAGATTACCGGTGTGCCGAAAGCGATACGGAGATTACACGCCGCGGAAAAGCTCATCAAGAGTCGGGAGAAGAAAGGCCGCGGGTTACCCAACCTAGGGAAGCTTGAGGATGTCGCGGATTATATGCTGGACCCATCGGCCGCGGGATATACGTCCGCAAGCGACACCGAAGCAGATACGGACGCCGAGGTCGAAGTCACAGCGCCGGTGCGGACGAAGGTCATGTCGAAGAAGGAGCGCGAACGTGCGAAGTCGGGCGACGGAACTTCCAAGGCGAAAACCAATGGACCAAGGGTTGAGAAGCGCGCAGTCAAACTCGTTGAGATTGGGCCGCGCATGAAGCTAAGGCTGACGAAAGTGGAGGAGGATGTGGCCGGCGGAAGAGTCATGTGGCACGAATTTGTCACGAAGACCAAGGAGGAGATGAAGCAGCTGGACGCTACATGGGAGAAGCGCAATCAGGAGAAGGCAGAGCGGAGGAGAATTCAAAAGGAGAACATTGAGAAGAAGCGGAAGGAGAGGGGCCAGAAGGGCGAAGGTGAAGAAGATGAGGATGAGGACGAGGAGATGGAAGACATTGATGAATACGATATGGACGACGATGTGTGGCATGACGAGGATGGTGAGGGCGGCGAGGAAGACGAAGAAGAACAAGAAGAATAGGTGGGAGGCATCGACGAGTGTAGTAATGATACCCATTTCCCATGTGGCTATTCTAACCCACGCTTTATGATGCCGTGGCGTACATTCCCATCAGACCTGCTTTGCGTTAGTGAAAGTTTCTACATCGTGGGATAGTCTAGAAGCTTGCCAATCTGACTGATAGTCCAATTAGCCTTCGCCTTCCTCCCCACACCCGCAGTTAGCCTATGCCGTTGCACGTTTGGTATCACATATCTAATGACTCGGATCCTTGTCCTACCTCTCTTCACTTCTGCTTCGGCTTCTTGATAACAACCTTGTCCTCGTCCGTCAACGCCCACCCCACCCCATCCTTCACCAACTCTGCCCACTCCCTATCAGCGCTCCTCTCCACAAACCTCTTATCCGCACTCAAATAGCCCTTCCCCAAGCACTTCAGCGCATGCACCCTGACGCCCTGCTCCGCAAACTCCATAATGCTCCGCTGATACCCATCGACCGCCTTCTTCATCTTCCAGAACACAACCCAATTATCCGCAACCAGCGCCTTGAGCACCAGATCGACTCTCCGATCCTTAAGATTGTATCGAAGTCGCGTTTCGTGCGCGAGCGCAATGTCGCCCTGCCGGCACGCTTGGTCGAGCACCAGCAGACCGACGTACTCTTTCAGATCGGGCGGGGAGAGGGGCGTCGCGGCGTGAAGGGCGGTGAGGAGGTAGTTCAGAGCGGGGAGGTAGGAGGCCCAGTCCTTGCAGAGGACGGCGGCGTGGATGCCGAAAAAGTATGCGCGGCGCGCGAACGCATCTTTGCGGGCTGTAGCGGTGATGGCCTCGCGGAGTTTACGGAAGGCGCTGAGGACGGTCGCGAGGTCGTTTATGGGAGGGCTGTTGAAGGTTGTCGGGGCGGCGGGGAGGGCATCGGCTGGAGGTGGGGGTGCGGCGGGGAACGGGAGGCCGAGGGGTGTAGTTGTAGGTGCGTCGGTGAGGGTTATGGAGGCGAAGAGGGAGGAGAGCTGCTTCTCGTTGATGGCGCAGAGGCGCATGTAGCGCTCGATCAGCTTGGAGAAGTAGAGCTCTTGCGTGCGAAAGTCGTTCAGTCTATGGATTTCAAGTCAGTGGGAAGGTCCGGTACCATAGAGAGATGAGCATGCCTCGTCTCGCCCTTGGACGGCAGCCCATACAGCTCAAGCGTATCTGCAGGTGCGGGCTTGAGCCGGTCGCCGCGACGCCATGCACCTGACGCACCACGACGGCTGGTCGGCCGCAACTGGTCGTTAGTCCTTGAAGTCATCGCTTGAGCTGCGCTGGGTCGTGACGGGAGCGTGGTTTGGTATCAAGACAGCTCATTCGGCAAGCGCTGTTAAGCGCAGAGAGAAGTGTTCTCACGGAAGGAGCATTTTGCCCTGGATTGGAAGTAGGAGGTACTTTCTGGCACTTGGTCAATGGATCGCGACGACCACAACACGCGCAACGGACATCCATGCGATGGACGATGCCCCGCGCGGCGATGGCTCGGAGCTGGAGGGGCAACACACCGAATTGGTACGTTGTGCCCGTGTCCCATGTTAACCGCGGCATACGCGTTTTTCCAGTCATGGCACATGCAATCCCTCCTCCAAGATCCTGTTGGCATAACAGCGCGTAGACGGGCAATATCCTGTTATTGCCTCGCATGCAATTCCTCATACGGCATAGCGGAGAATATCTTCTCTCAACATACACGTCGCGTCACCTGTCCGTCAACAGTCCCCTATAAATATAGAAAAGAGATCGTTCGCTGCACCTTATGAAATAGAACTTGCACCTGTTTAAATCCTCAATCTGAAGTCGGAGCATATCCTATTTCCCCTTTACGATGGACGCCGCCAAAGATGCTATCAGACAAATCTCTAAGCGCGAGAAAGAGCTAGAGCAAAAGATTGAAGAAAAACTGACTGTTCTATGGAACGAGCTCCCAGACTGGCAGCAAGACAACCAGTACATCCACTCGGGCTACCGACCTGCCACAAACTCCTACAGCAAGTCATTTGCATCAGTCGGGTACATCCACAACGAGACTGTCAATATCTGGACGCACGTCATTGGAGCATTACTAGCCCTCGTAGGTGCCGCGGTGGCCTATCAAACACTTGGACCGCGCTACGAATCCGCTACGAGAGAGGATGTTCTGGTGTTTAGCTGCTACTTCCTCGGTGCTATAGCATGCTTAGGCATGAGCGCGACATATCACACCATCTCAAACCACAGCCACGAAGTCGCGATCTGGGGCAATAAGCTGGACTATCTGGGCATCGTATTTTTGATCTGGGGAAGCTTTATTCCGGTCATGTACTACGGGTTTCAGAACGAGCCGCAGTTGATGAAGACGTATGTAACTATGGTAGGGCACATCTCGAGAAAGTTTGTGAAGCCGGAGGCTAACAGTCGCAGATTACGACCCTGGCCGCAGCAACCTCCACCGTCTCCGTCCACCACAAGTTCCGCACGCCCGCTCTCCGCCCTTTCCGCGCGCTGATGTTCGTGCTGATGGGCTTGTCGGCCGTGTTTCCTGTCATCCACGCCAAGAGTCTCTATGGCTACTCCCAGCTTCGTGAATCAATTGGTATCGATTGGATATTTCTAGAAGGATTTCTGTACATCTTTGGCGCTGCAATTTATGCGGCGCGGTTTCCAGAGCGGGTATGCCCAGGTAAATTCGATATTTGGGGATCTAGTCATCAGATCTTCCATGTTTTGGTTGTGTTGGCTGCGATAAGCCACCTTGTGGGGTTGGTCAAGGCGTTTGATTATGAGCATAGCGCGAGGGGTGGAGTGGAGAAGTTCATGTTTTTGAAAGGGGCGTGGAGATAGTTGCAATTTAGATGTGTATGGACGACTTCAGGGCGATGGTGTCGTGGTCCAGACTAGATATCAGAAGATAGATTATGCAGTACGAAGCCTTCTTGCGATCTTTCTTGAAGCAAATACAGGTGTTCAAAATTTTGTTGAAGGCGCAAGAAGATATTCTGTCTGGTATGACAGCTTGACTTTACTTGTGTCAATGTATGATGAAATCGACATCGCACACCTTGAGCAAATTTAGGACCAGTGCATTGTGGCGAGAAGAAAAGCGATAGGTTCTCGACAGAAGTTTAGATGAGGGAACGTAATCATCAAGATATTGAACGCTTCTGGTTCATTGCTGGAAGAACGGGGGAAGAAACCGCTACATTGGCGCTGAGGAGGTTGGGAAGTCAATGTTATTAAGCATATCGGGCCGCCGCTAGCTAATCACAATAGTCCCATAGCCTCCGGCCTAAACACGACGCCTTTTGTAATTGTCCACTTCTTTACTGCTGCCAATCCATTCCCACGGATATTCCCCATTTCGCCAACTGCCAGGATAGATAGTACATAGCGGCTTGTAATGGACTCCCGTCACCAACGTTGTCTAGAAGACCTCAACATGAATCTGCTTAGGAAGACAATGGAAGAGCATCCATCAAGCAGGCCCAAAAGAGCGAGGGGCAAGACTAGAAGTACGAGCGAGGAACCTTGGAAATGGATATCAGAATTAGAAAACTCATCCCCTGATTCCTCAAAAAGCTAACACCCGTCCGAGCACTTACCAACGTCACCAACACCATGCTCCTCCTGATCGCCGGCATCACCGGCCATGTCGGCCACCACCTCGCCCGCCACGCCATCGCCAAGGGCCTCACGGTCCGCGGCCTAGGTCGCAATCCCACCAAACTCGATCCCACCATCAAGCTCGAATCCTTCGTCCAAGCCGCTGATTACTATGATATCCCCGCGCTCGAAGCCGCCGTGTCCGGCGTTGACGCCATTATCGTCGCCTACATGGGCACGCCCGAGCTCCAAGTCGACGGGCACCTCCTCCTGCTCCGCGCCGCCGAGCGCGCCGGCGTCAAAGTCTTCCACACGTCCACCTGGACGTACGACTTCCGCAAGACGCGGTTCCTCGAGCACGAGAGTTACGATCCCTTCGTGGCATTTGCGCGCATCGCGGAGCTGACGAGCCCGATCAAGCCGATCTACGTGATGACCGGGGTGCTCGCGGAGGTGCTGTTTAGTCTGGAAGGCCGCGCGGATTTCAGCCCCAAGAGCGGTGGTGTGTTTGATCCCGTTGAGAAGTGCTTTGAGTACTATGGCACGGGGGATGAGAAGTATCAGTGGACGACTGAAGAGGATGCGGCAAGGTTTAGCATTGAGCTCATCATGTCAGAGGAGGCGAGGTCGGGGAACGGCGGGTACTTCAGTGCATGGTCGGGCGAGCACAGTGTGAAGGAGATTGCGGACGTATATGAGAAGGTCCGGGGGAAGCCTATTAGCTTGAAGAATATGGGCAGCGTGGAGGATCTGGAGAAGAAGGCGTTGGCGGACAGAGCGAACGGAACCCCAGCAGGCTTTTGGGCGTACATTGGGGCGTTTTATCAGCTGTTCACTATCAATGGGCGTTGGGTATTGACGGACGAGAATTTGTTTCCGAACGTGGAGAGAACGAGTCTGGCGGAATTCTTCAAGCAGTCGAACGTGAAGACTACTGGTATTGCATAATCAATACATTGCATCAAACAAGGAAGAGTTGCATAGAACCCAGGTCAGATAGACACGGGGCTGCAATTTGTAAATTCTTTATCAAATCATATACAGTAAGGATCATTTCACTGAAACACAAAATACGGCCCAAGCCGAGCGTTGTCTACAAAGCCTCAGCCAAGCAGAACAACTCTATGTGAACGCCTCGCCAAAGATAACCCCATATTCGAATTACGCCGTGTCCCATGCATGAAAAATCATTCGCCACACATATTGCTGTACAGTGATGCCCAATTGCCTGCTTAGAGCACCCTAGGCTGGCGGGCTAGCCGCCTTTGCAGCAGGCTTGGGCTTCGTAGCAGCAGCAATCTGCTCGTCCGACGGCAGCTCCGGAAGCGGGCTCAACCAGCCACGAGCCTTGTCATACGAGGCGACGGCCCTGACGAGTTTGATAAACACGTTCATGTTGCTCTTGTCCACGCGTTCCCTAAACTTGTTGATGAGTGTCTGGATCGGCATGCCATCGGGTGGTAGGGCAGTGTAGATCTCGCTCGCGGACGGAAGACGGCTCTCTGGAACATTCATCGTTAGCAAACGGTACACTAGGAAAAGTATCGTTAACGAAGAAAACTTACGAGGAGTAGCTGGCACGCCACCGGGAGCAGCAGGACTACCCGCGCGACTCCCATTGACCTGCGCGGATGGGCTTCCCGCACGGCTGGCCGAGGGACTAGCACCAGGGGTGCCGCCGAGGCGGACCTTGAGCTTGTGCTTCTTCGGCTTGCCAGCATCTGTCATCTCGCTGTCGCTGCCAGACGCAGCTCCTGTACGCAAGTGTCCAAGCTTGCGCGTACCGTCTGCGTTCTTCTCGTGCTTCTTCTTGTGCTTCTTACGCGCAGATTCGTTGCCGCTGGCTTCTGAGAGGTTCGCTGAGCCGGGTGCCGGTCGCTTCTTCTTGTTGACGTCGATGGAACGAGGCGCAGGAGTCGAACCGCCCTGTGTAGAGGCACCTGAAGCAGTCTTGTCGCCCTCGGGAGCCTTGCCATTCTGTTCAGCAGCCTTCTTCTTCTCCTCTTCCTCCTTGGCTCGTTGCCGCTCGGTCTCTGAGTCTGTTTCGCTGTATTCGGAGTCGCTGCCTGCGTAGTCGTAGTTCTTCTCACGCTTGACTAGAGACTTTCGTATCTCCTGCTCGAGGGCTTTTTCCTCTGCCTCTTTCTTCTCACGTTCTTCTTCAGCCCAAATCTGGCGTTCATCGCGCAAGTCAAAGGCAGCAGCCTGAAGCTGATCGCGCTTGAGCTTCTCTTGCGCTTCTTTGATGTTTTCCTCGTCGCCATCGAAAAGACCATTCAGACCTTCCTCGTCATCGGCAAAATCCTCTTCGACATTGAAGTCAATGTCGTCGGCGTCTGCCTCACGCTTGAATCTAGGCATGTCTTCGTCATCGAGTTGCTTGATCCTGCCTTCGTCATCGGCCCCACCGCCTACCCGCGTACGCAGTTGGCGTGCACGTGATGCCTTTTCATGCTCCATCTCCTCCTTCATCTTCTTCGCCTCGCGAGCTTCAAAGTATGAGTCCTTCTTTGCTTTCACCAACTCGGAATCCTCAGTCGACTTGGCCTTGGTCTTGGGGTCAAACTTGTACCAGCGCTCCAAGGGCGCAAGTTGAATGTGGGGGTTCTGCCCCGGCAAAGTCTCGAGGGTCAACATGACATGTCTATCAGACAACTGCGCCTCATAGTGTCCGGACCAAGTCTGCGAGTTGTCGTCATCCTCTAGGTGCCAAGGCAGAGTCTCCTCGTATCGCAGTCGCTGGCGCTTCTTCGCTTCAGGCGTATCGTCTGGACGGTACTTTTGCTCCGTCTTCTTGCCAAAGGGCTTGTTCTTGGTCGCGCCTGTCGGCGCGATCTGGGCCTGGATGTTCTCGCGCTTCAGACGACGCGCCTCCCGCTCCTCTTCCTGGCGCTCGCGCTCTTTGGCCTCTTCCAAGTCTTCCTCTTTCTCTTCCTCGGGTTCCTTGCCGCCTGGGGGTGCACGTGGGTCGCGGCGGTGGAGGCGAACGGGCGGAGTGAACTGTTTCTCGTCCTGAATGTTGACGTGGGTTTTGGCATGCATCCTCATGACGTGATGGCGCATCTCCTTCAATTCTTTGCGCGTCACGACGAGCGGGTACGATGCGGCACCCGCCTCGATGAACTCGCGGCGGAGCTGGTCGATGCTGACGGGCTGGTTGGGGGCATCACGCGTGTTCAGCTGGGTGAGCGAAGTGACGGTGCGCGCGACCTTCTTAAGCGGCCGCTGAGGTTGCCGCAGCACGCTCGTTGCCGGACGCGGCCTGCGTTTCTTGACGCCGGGAGCTGCCCCAGGTGCGGCGGCCGCGGCGTTCGCGGGCGGGGGCGGCGCTCCGTTCATCGCCGAGATTCGTGAGCGAGTGTGTGCGTATAGCAGGAGGCCTTCTCATGCGCCGGTGTAGGTTTGTGCATGGAAGAATGAAGGTGGGTGGGTGTGTTTGCGAAGGAAGAGAGAGGCCGTCGCTTTGTTACCTGCTGCGCGACGACGCCGCCAAGCCCTAGTATCGATACTAGCGCGGCGGGCGTGCAGGGGTCCGTGAGGCAGCCAGACCCTGCAATTCACCTCTGGCACCTGCGCCACGCGCCCACAAACACGGAATGAGCCGAGAAAGTCACGGCGCGTTTGTGGTCATTCAATTGGCCTGGTGTGCACGTACCGTCATACGTTGCCATCTTCCAACGACTTAGTCTGGCTCTATAGCGAGCAGCGCGCTTTCTCGGTATCCTAACGCAGGTTGAGGACCATTATCACCTCTCGACATGGCCGAACAGCAGGCGCAAAGCAGCCTGGAGGACCAGCTGCGAAGCATGATCCTCACCAACGTCACCATCGGCAGCACTCCGGATTCATCAAATGCCCACATGTCCAACCACCACCAGCAAAATTGGAGGTCACGAGGTCGGGGAAGGGGGCGCGGACGGCCGTACGCACCTCGCGGAGGGAACTATTGGGCTGGGACTGAGCATCAACATCGCGGCTTCCCCGCTGCACCGCCTGAGCAGAACATGGCGCCCCAATCCACGCCCAGGACACTTCAACGGCCGTACGATAACGGAAACACCTTGAATCTTGCGCATTCTGCAGGACCCTCGCGACCATACGGCCCGCATGGACATCCACCGCGCCGTGGTCAGACTATGAGGAGTTCGTACGCCAATGGAGGCTTTCAACAGCACCAAGTTTCAGATCTCACGCTCCAGGCAGCTTACCTCGATCACCTAGCTTCTCTAGAGATACCGAAAGCCGAGATCTCAAAGGAAGAGTACGAGGAAAAGGAAACCTTTAGGCAACAGCTGGAGGCGGTATGCCAGAAGGAGTTCACCAACAAGTACTCCGGCGACATTGCTTCCATCAAGCTGGTCACTTTTGGCAGCATAGCTTCCGGCTTTGCCACACCGGGGTCAGACATGGATCTCGCTATAGTGCCACAATGGAAAGACCCAACCAAGTCTCAGGATTCGAGTATCGACCGAGACATTCCGCGTTTGCTGGAACGCGCCGTCCTCGACGCAAAGATGGGTGGACGCCTTCTGACTAGAACACGTGTGCCGATCCTGAAAGTATGCCAAAAGCCCACCGAGGATCTGTACAACGCTCTCTTTGAAGAACGCCAGAAATGGGACCAATTGCCCGAGGAAGAGCAGTACGCAGCTCCCGCCGTTCCTGGTGCTGCAGTCCAAAACCCATCCGAGCCCCAGGAACAGGTCAACTCTCCACAGGTGAACGACTCGCAGAGTTTCCCCACGCTCGCAGAGGCCAAGGCAGTCAAAGGCATCGCGCGATCGGCTCCAAGCGCCAAAGTAATTGAGCACGATGATGAAGGCAAAGCGGAGGTTTTGCAGGCACCAGTATTTGACAGCTTTAAGGAAAACAATGGGCCTAAAGATATTGCAGATGCCGCTGACCCCTCGAAAAATCAACAGCCTCGCGGCCCCAAGAAGTGGCTACGAGAGAGGAAATCTGGCCCACTCGACTTTCCAAAGGTCGGTGTAGGAATTCAATGCGACGTCAACTTCGAGAACCCACTCGCAATTCATAACACCCAGCTACTCCGCTGCTATTCTCTCACAGACCCTCGCGTACGCCCTATGGTTCTCTTCATCAAAGCCTGGGCCAAGCGCCGAAAGATCAACAGCGCATACTCTGGCACCCTCTCCTCCTACGGCTGGGTTCTGATGGTCCTCCACTACCTTGTCAACATGGCCAATCCACCTGTCTGCCCAAACCTCCAGTCAAGCTGGCGCCCAACCACCACCAAAGCAGAAGACTTGCAGCAAATCCTTGAGCAAACCACCGTCGGGGGCTACGCCGTCCGCTTCTGGCACGACGAACCCGCTATCGTGCAGCTCGCCAGCGCTGGCCAGCTCAGCCGCAACACGCAGTCCATCGGCGAGCTCCTGCGCGGCTTCTTCCACTACTACGCCTCCATCCCACAGCCCAACCACTACGGTCAGAAGCACTGGTCCTTCTTCTGGGCGACGGAAGTGCTCAGCCTCCGGACGCCGGGCGGCATACGCCAGAAAACGGAGAAGGGCTGGACCAAGGCCACAACGACGATTTCGAACGGCAAGGAGGTCCGTCAGCGGTATCTGTTCGCTATCGAGGACCCGTTTGAGCTAGATCACAATGTCGCGCGCACGGTTACACATGATGGTATTGTGGCTATACGCGATGAGCTTCGCCGCGCGGGACGCATACTGAATTCTGTCGGGAGGGGACAGGCGCCTGAGGGTGGCTTGTTCGATGAGGTGGTGGAACAAGCGCCGCCGGTGATGCCGAACAAGACCGAAGATGGGTCTGAGACAGCGGCGCCGGTGGCAGAGGGAGCTGCTGGCGAGACTGATGGTGGAGCTGACAAAAGCACAACGCCCGCTGCAACAAATTATGCTGCACCTGGTTGTGGTACGGGTTGAGTCAGACATGGAATTTGAGGGATGCCACAAGGACCTCCTCAGATGAAAGAGGAGAACATCGCATAGCTTGCAGTGCATGAAAGCGTTGCGATGACGGCCAAATCATGATGATGGGGAGTTACAGGGGAGCGCGTACATAGCTTATGTTGGACAACACAGCACGGCCATCACGGGAAGGATTGTGTACGAAGAACAGCTCTCGAAGCAGCTCGGTATCTGAGTATATGTCATGTGCATACCTATAAGATCGAACCGCAAAAAAAAAAAAAACGAAACGTATGAAAGAATAGTGTGCGACGGCCTCGAGTGTTCACTCACGAGACTGGCCCTAAGATGGCAACCCTACGAGCCAAGAGGTCCTTCAAATGAACGTTTCATTGGATTGCTATCCGTAGATATTCATTATGCCGTAGCTTAGTACGCTCTTCACATTTGATTGAAAACTAACACACCGTGAACGTGCAGTTGCTTCCCATCCTGGAACTCTGCTGTATCCAAAGTGCCCTTGGAACTGACAACCTAATCTTGACGACTCAGCGCATCACCGCAACCGGCTTGTTTCGATCAGACAACTAAGCAGTCGTTGGCGCCGTCGTCTCCGTAGTGGTGGCGGTAGGGTGCGCAGCAGTCGTGATCTTCAAATCGCCCTTCTCGATATCACGCTGCAGCTGGTCAAGACGCGAGGAGCCGCCGTGCGTCTTCCAAGCAGGAATGCCGCTGTCGAAGACCTCGTCCATCTCCTCGAGGGTCTTGCCCTTGGTCTCAGGAGCTCTGCATCGCCTGTTAGCCACGTCTTCCAGTCTCCTTTGATTGGATTACTTACGTGAGGAACATGTGGATGAACGCAACGCCGTTGAAGGTAGCGAAGATCATGTACATCTTCCAGTTGATGTTCCACAGAAGCGGGGGCACACCGAAGGCGAGAATGCAGTTCCAGAGCCAGTTAGAGGCCGTGGCGAGGGAGACAGCCTTCGCGCGGACCTTAGCGGGGAAGATCTCAGATGGGTATGTCCACGAGGTTGGGCCCCAGGTGGTAGCAAAGCTGGCGACGAAGAGGTACGAGCAGGCGACGATGCCTTGCGATACGCTCTTGTTGTTGACGATGCGCCAGGAGGTATTCTTGTCGGGGTCGTCCCAGTGCTCTCCGTACGATGCCTGGAGCGCACCTGAGATGAAGAGCCAGGACATCATGAGGAAAGATCCGATTAACAGCGCCGGGCGGCGGCCAAACTTATCGAGATATATAATTGCCGGAAGAGTCATGGCCACGTTGATGATGTACTGGATGGAGGAGGTGAGCAACGGATCGGCAATGTTGGCTCCCTTCATGATGTAAACGATATAGTACATCCTATGTTTGTTAATGGAACGTTCTGCTCAGAGGAAGGACCGGAATGGGGGAAACACTTACATGATGTTCATGCCGCACAACTGGCTCCACATCTGGATGCTCATGCCGAGGATGACACGCTTGAAGATGCGCGGCTTGACGAGGGCCCCGAACGAAGTCTCGGCCTGCTCACGCTCAAATGCAAGCGCCTCCTCAATTTCCTTGTACTCGGCTAGAACCTTTGGATGATTTACATCTCCACCGCCATGTAGGTTAGCCAGGACCTGGATAGCCTCTTCCCAACGGTCCTTTGACGCCAGCCAGCGCGGAGAGTACGGGAAGAAGAACATGCCGACAAGGAGAATGAAGCCAGGAACCATCTGAATACCTTGGTGGTGTTAGTTGAGTCCGAATCTCGTATGGTGGAATTTGACTTACCCCACGGGATGCGGAAAGCCGACGTGCCCTGGTCCGGGTTGTTGGCGCCTCCGTCAACGAATGAGGCTCCGTATTGAATGAAGTACTGGATCAAGATACCCCTAGCAGGTGTCAGCATGTTTCAATGTATCCGGATGTGGCACAGTGTATCCTTACCAGGTGATGGCCCATTGTTGCAGCGAGACAACGCGACCACGGATTTCTTTGCGAGCAATCTCTGATTGGTACACGGGGACGATTGCCGAAGCGATACCAATTGAGATACCAGAAACCACACGACCAAAGCAGAGGAGAGCGACACCGTTGGCTGCAGTCTGGAAGATAGAGCCGATAATCCAGATCAAGGCGGAGACCTGAATCGCAGTACGGCGGGAGAGTCTATCGGCGATGAAGGAGGATATCAGCGAGCCGACCAAACTGCCTGCAGGCATCGATGCCGTGATTCCACCTTGACGGTAACCGGCAGCTGCAATAGTTAGCTTGACGACCTTTTTGAGGGTGTACTTTACATACGGTTGCCGAAATAGTTCTTGTAGCCATTCGTGCCCAGAACGCCTGACATCGAAGAGATATCAAAGCCGAACCTGTGGCGCAAGGTTAGTATATGCTTGAAAGGCGTTCATAGCTTCGCGCTGGGAGTTACATACAATCCACCGCCAATGGCGGCGAACGAGCAGATGGCGTAAGTATTGTAGAATGTCTGTATAAGCTTAGCATATCTTCATCAAGGTCGAGGTCGAGGTCGAGGTTAGCTAAGCTTACCTTCATCTTGCCAATTGCTTGAACTGGGTCGGCGGTACGTGGGGAAAACAGCACGCGCTGCAGGGCAGGCAGGGTTTATATGGCTGGTCGTTTGTTCGAACCCGCGTGATGGGGAGAGGGTGGCCTGCGCGTGCGCCAAGGAAGTCTATTCACCTGGAAACCCAGGACACGGCCGGCGGTGGTTGGCCCAAGAGTATGCGATCAGAGTCACCAGATCCTGCCACGGCTCACCCCCGCAAACAAGCACTCGTACTGAAGCGGAGATGTAATTTGGTGCCAATGTCTGGGGAACTGCAGGGGTGCCTGCTCGGCCATCCATATGCTGCAGCTACTCCACCAATCGAGTGGCCTGAGCATAACACCTTCCTCCCATAGTAGTGCTCGTCTGCGCAAGTTTGCCCACCCACCGGTCGCTTCAAGAGCGGCGCCCAGCTTGGGTTATCTGTTGACGCCGTGCAATGAAGTGAAACTTATGTCTCTTCGTACTCGTACCTCGTACTCGAACGCGTCAAACGTGATTGCGATATGCCAATGACTGATAGGGGCAGGTAGCAGTCACTTGAGCTTGACATGACAACCAAGGCAACTGAATACAGAGTCTCAGCTCAGGCCTTCGGAGACGGTGGGCAGATTCGCAGGCTGCTGCCACGAATGCCATGGAGGGCATGCAACGGAAAGGCGCAATCTGAGCTTGATCGGCATGTGCCAACCGGTTTCCTGTGATCCTTTGCTAGATCCGCTGACTTGGCAGCCAAGATGACTTTTCTCCATTGTACACGCGAGATTTTCCGTTGTTGACGGCCTTAAACATGGAGCTACTATCCTCTTGTGCAAAAGCTGAAGGGTCTTTATGCTGTGTCACCCGTCCTGGCGGGCGAAGGTTGGGTTTGGATGCGATCGACGTCTGACGATACCGGCGCCACTGCAACGGTGCGGAGAAAGCCTAACTGCAAGGCGCATAGCACATTCGCCCTCATTTACTCCGCTCGCAATCGAAGAGGGCGCCTCGCGTGAATACGAACTTACGAAGGATGCCTTTGGCCGAGAGGTCCTCGCTCTTGTCCACGTGAAATCCTACCAATCGCCGATCGCCGAGGACCCAAAACTGAAGCATGCGGCACGGGCGTGTGGAGTACGATATCTGGAAACACAGCCGTCGAGTGCTTTCCACCTACCACATTAATTCAGACCGACAGGCAAAACCTGAAGCTGGTACTACAGAAAAAGGGATTGGTTGCCCAGAACGCCAAAATTTAGCGGATTACAATGTCGACATTGCGAGGCCACAGCGTACAGTTATTCCGAGCGCGAACCACCTTGGGCTCTGGACCTCGGGTGCAGTGGCTGAATGATTATTCTTGGGTCTGGGTGCCGATGCTCGCGGATGATGAGGGAACTTGCTGTTGATAAGTGGAAGACACATGCCTGGCGAAGCCCCTCTACATATATGTAGCTTTCCAAGGGCGACGAGCGATTAAGCCTTGGCAAGCCTGGTGAGCACCTTTACCAAAACACACCGTCTACTACGAACACCAACAGGACCATATTTCCAACCCACCTAGTTAGTCCTATCGCATGGCACACAATGCATACACCTCATGTTGCTCCAATTTCTCCGAAAGATCACATATTTTCTTGCACCGCATTTCAAGGTCGTGTTTCTCCCAAAATGGGAAGGGTCTCGCAACATCACAACTAAAGGTCGCCCTGCAGGACAATGACTATGGCGTTCAAAATATCGACTATCGTGGAGTCCAAATCGCTGGGCGATAAACAATGCATCCGAGACTTGCAACATTTGGCGGGCTTGCAACTATGGTAGACGCTGTGCGAGCGTGACTTGCACCACACCTGGGCAACACTTTCAGACGCTGACAAAATCCTCCAAGCAAAGTGCTCACTGATGCGTACTTCATGAAATCGAACTGAAAAGCGACCTCAGCACAGGTCCCCTGTCATAGCGCGCAGCGCTGACTTAGCATCTGTCAAGCAAGGTATCACTTGGTTGTCATAGCAGCGACGACGGAGGCGTCAGCGGCAAAGTGAGGAATCGCACCCGTGCAGGGGCTCCAGGTTTGTCAAAGTTTAACGTTCAATAACAGGAGTCTTTGAGCTTAAGTTTTATGCCTGTCTGAACAACCCGAGGGCATACTAGGATTCCATTTCTTGACGGTAGGGAGACATCAGCTAACATTATCGGGAATCTCGGAGCTACATGCCTGCCATCCTGGGTCCCAGTGGCTCTTTCCTACGACGTTCGGCCGCGTGGCGTTGAAGACTTCGTTTCTGCCTCCAAGCTCATCCACGGGTCGCACGCTTATTCTGCTTCTGAGGCTCCAGCTACTATCCCTTTCTCCTGCATGTTGCCCCCACAACTTCGCCTCATGTATCTCTATCCAGCACTATCACTCCCGCTCTGGACCCGGCATCCTGGTATTCTGTTTACTATTCGCTGCACGTCATCTCAGGCGAGCCAGTAGCAGCGAGCTAAGCAGCTTGCCTTAGCCGCTTTCCCCAGTAAACCTCAACTATCGCTTCCCCCATGGAAGACTTAAACTGCAGCTTTGGCACGAGAGATGAAAAGAAGCATCGTCTGCGCGACACCATTTCTCACGTAACCCGGCTGTTCCCTGGTCGGTGGTTGCCGATTGGTGCCAATATGAGCCGACACAAAGCTCCTGCATGAGCGGGCACCTGCTGATGGTGGCAGCTGAACTAGCACATTGCGAAGACGCTTGAGCGCGACCACCGGTACAAGCACGAAGCACCATATAAGTTGCACTGTACATCGTTGCGCCTATACTGTACAGCACGCACCGTTCTCGATTACCGATTCTATCAAGAGTACCTTCTACGACTTTGTGCACTTTCAACATCCCATTAGGGTTTGTCACATACACCACTGGCTTACTTGCCTTCACCAACGCATCGGCCGACACTGTTTGAGATTTGCCTTTCCTTTATTTATCATCATAGGGTTGGTAGACGTGTAGCTTTACATTCAACACGAAGTTCCTAAGGCAGAAACACGTCAAGGGTTTGCCGGCTCAGACGCGCGGTCGCGAGCAGTGAGCGGTGAGACACACCGTGAGTTGTCGGGCAAAGGACGCAGGCCTTACCAACTATTTGTACCCCGGTCTCTACATTACCTGACCCAGAAGAAGAAACGAAGCTCCCCAAAAACGCAGAACATCCGCATCCGCAATCTCCATGTCAAGGAAGATCGGGTCCTAACAGCTTTACGAATTTCAGTCCCAAACGCCTTCCTTCCGGAGCGGTCCGCGTCCTCGCCCTCTTACATAATGGGGCGTCACATTACAAGCGCCGCGTTTGCTCGGACAAGCCTCACAACCTGCGATATGTTCATACTCGCGCTCGGGTACATGGATGCCAGAACGTTGCCCTCTCCCGAGCAGCTGATCGAAAGTGCAAGCCCGTGGTATCTGGATGCCGAAACGATATGGTGGCGGAAGTTTACGTTGAATATGAGGTGACGCATGAACAGCTTGGACTGTTACGCGCCTCGAATGTCCAGGTGACGAGGTCATGGCTTGTCAAATGGTTCGAGGCGACATGAATCCGTCCTTGTTCTTTTTGAACAAGAACACTTCTTTCATCACGACGATTCAGGGTACGCCTTGAGCTGAGGGTCTCAGTCCTATGTTGCACGATGGCATCTCAAGCCATCGTGTCAGCGACACTGCTGTGAAGGAACGGGAGATGCTTCTCACCTGGCAACTCAACCTGAAGGTCTTACACCCTGTCACCGGGACGATACAATAGCACAAGAGAGGTGTTCGATGACCACACCCTCGAGCACCAAGCTTGGGTTCTACCTACAACATTGCCGTGATGAGCGAGTGGTCTGCGGGTGTGCCGACGGCCCAGGCATCGTAGGAGAAGAGTTACTCGAGGCTTTAGGGGGCTTAGTCGTCAAATCCTGTGAAGAGTCAAATGGCCACAGTAGGTGGCAATAAGGACTGGACTTTCTGTGGCTATGAAATTTCGGATAGACCAATTAATAACACTTTTACGACTGTATAGTACAGTAAGTTCCTACAGGAGAAGGTATAGCAAAGGTGCAGTTTTTGTGTCGGCCACTGTGGGTGCTAAATTTCCGTCGTGGGATCATATCCGCTTGCAGCCACGTTTGATGAAAGATGTGCAATAGCAAGATCATGACGGCAATCCCAGAAAGTGACAGAAACGGATATAGGTCGAGTTTGGAAAGGCGAACAGTAGCATTAGGTTGAAGCTGTTGCATCTATCCAAACCAAGAAACACCATTAAACAGGACGGTGGTCTGTTGGTATTCGCAATTATCCGTGTATCGAGTCAAATCACTCGGCGCCGTCGCTACCGTTGAACTACCATGATGAAGAGCCATTGTAGACTAAGACGTGGTGTCCGATCTTCCCAATGCAATACGTGAACGCCATATGCATTACTGTGAGACAAGAACCGAGAAAACCGATAAAGAAAAAGTATCCGAGTGAAGTCTAGCTCCTCCATAAAGGACCTCAATCCTAATCAAGTCTTCGGACAGCTGAAAGGAGTTCATCAAGGCGATCCAACTTCTTGAGTTTGTTCAGTTGCTGAAGTTGATGAAGCTTTCCGAGCTGCTGAACCAGAGTATCTGATTTCGCTGAGGTCTCCTCGTTACTCCTTTCCACTGCTTCGATTAGTGTAAGGAGGTCCCTAACTTCACTGCTTGTGTCCGTTTCTCGACGACCTGCTCTTTCTTCAGCTTCCACTGTTGCTTTAATTTACTAGAAAATAAAAGGCGAAGAAGAACGGCGTTGCAGTCCGGAGGTGGCCACTTATCATGGCTGGCAGTATGCCCTCTGGTTTACTACTTAGCACAGTGGGATCCAGAGTGAGGGCTGCTAAACTTACTCAGCCAGGAAACAGACATCTTTGCTGGAGAAAGTAACAGGAGAACTTGCTATGAAGTGTGTAGTCTCGAGGAGAAGTGATGAGATTGGAGTCGAGAATTTCTCAATTGCGAAATACAATACCTAGCACAGAGTTAGTAACGTTGAGAAATGAGAGCCAGGTAGCCAGAGCCAATGTGTTGAGAAGGAATCTTACCACAAGTAGCGATGGAATGATGGTTATTGACTGGATAGAGTGGATGTCGGGAGTAAAGTACACAAGCGGTGACGCCAGGTTGAAAGGGTCTGGAGTCAGCCCTGGAAGGTGCTTGCAAAGAATTCGGTCCGGTACGGTAGGAGCGTGTGAATCGAATCCGCTAAATCTGAGCAGCAGTGGTCAGAGCCCCATCTCCCAGCACCCGCGCGACAATGATGTACGATATCAGCGTGCCAATGACGATCCTCCACTTGTTGCGACCGAACCAGCTCTGGCTTGCTTCCCGCGCTACCTGGCCTTGCTGGACGACAGCCCCAACTGTAGCCGCGCTGCCGTTTGCGCGCTTTCGCAGACCCGCCATGTCGGGCGAGCAGTGTGGTTGTGACGATGAAGCGAGGGGAAGGCCGGTCTGCAGGTTGATGCGCTTCTCCTTCATCCACGTCTGGTTCTCCTCGTCCAGCTCGGGCCACTCTGCGCGGAACTTGGTGCCGCCGTCGCCAGCCTTGATGGCGCCCGCACCGCGGGAGCCGTTGTTCTGCGCCTTGGAGCCGCCGCCCGTGCTGTTCCACCACCGTGTGCGCTGCGCGAACAGCTTGCGCTCTGCGTCTGACGCGCGGACCGAGCCGGTCGTCATCTCCTCGCTCGTCATGAAGCTCAACAGGCCCGTCAGGATGGTGCTGACCTCCCATGCGGGGTTGAAGCTTTTGGGGTGGAAGTCGGAGATGCTAAGGCACAGGCGGGTGCTGGACTGGAAACGGCCGGAGGGCGTGTGCATGCGGATGGCGGGCGGGGCGAAGGGGTAGTCGGGCGGGAACATGAGCGTGCCCCAGTACTGGCCCCCGTCGTACGGCGTGTCGGGCGGGCCGGTCAGGACGTAGTGCCACTCGAGGATGTTCCTCTCGGACGGGTGCGCGATGATGTACGGCGGGGGGGACTTGGAGATGGTCGCATATTCTCGCGTGAGACGCTTGGTTGCTGCAGGCGTCGCCATGGTATGTGTTTGTGTGTGAGGTGTGGGAGGGAGTAGAAGCGAGGGGAACGATCGAGGGTCGTGTGCACTGTGGTGCGTCGGACTTTAGGAGTTGGGCGGTAGTCCGCTGTTATAGTTCGCACGCGAAGACCAAGGTAAGAGACGACGTCAGAGGGTGGTGTGTGGTCTTTTCCCAGCGAATAATACTTTCAGGGTTCAGTGGTGGAACAGAGTAAAGGTGAAATCTGGCGGGAAGGGTTGATGGTGATCAGTGGAATATGAGTGGGTTCTAGAACTGGGGAAAGGCGCAGCCCTGAGCCAGCTTTGTCCTGCGACTGCGGCGGAAATGGCACGTGACCGACTTTTCCGGCTTCCAACGCCAAGCACCAACCACAACCTCAACCTCAACCTCAACCAGCAGCATCCATGGCTTCGCCGGTAGAAGACGATGTACGTTTGACGTTCTCGAATCGCTGCTCAAGCCATTGGTTGCAACCAGCGCAACGGCAGCTCAACAATGACCCGAAACCAGCTAATCGACGCTCCAGGTCTTCGAGAAGCTGAAAAATAAGACAAATCACAAGCAAGAGGACGATGACCTCAATGCGCGGAACTTTGCCCAGCATCAGCGGTCGCAGGAGAGGCTCGCCGAGCTCATCGACGACAACACCAGCCTGCCCGTCACCATCTCTTCGGTCCGCGTCCTCCATGCCAACCGCACGCGACGAAGCTTCCTGGAGCGCGTGGTCAACCCCATACTGAGTGCAAATCGAGACGAGCAATTCACTTTGGAGGAGGCGCTGAAGGAGGTTGGAAAAGCGACGGACAAGCTGAATCGCTTTGGTAAAGAAGCAAGAGATCGACGAAAAGGCCCACAGTCTGACGTACATAGGCATCTTCAAGTCACCCATATCCGTCTTTCTCGATCGACCCGACCCAACGAACCCTACCTCGTCCCCTACCGACGTCGATGTCTACATTTCAGCTCAAGAGCGCGGCTCGTATACGATCAAGACGGGTACTGAGGTTGGATCTTCGGAGGGAGACGCCTATATCAATGCGGAACTTCGCAACTTGTTCGGTGGCGCAGAGACACTGAACGCAAATGCTTCGCTTGGAACGCGCACACGATCTGCCTACTCACTTGCTTTCGACAGCCCGATTCTAGCCAATCCGGATTTCAAGTTCCAGCTCAATGGCTTCGCGAGCTCCACGTTGAAGAGCTGGGCAAGCCACGAGGAGGTGCTGCGTGGTGGAAATTCTAAGCTTCTGTGGAGGACGAAGAACGGTCATCAGCATGAGTTTGGCTACTCCGGCATCTTGCGCCAGGTGACGAGTCTGGCAGAGAATGCGTCTCCGACCGTTCGGGCAGAGGCGGGCAACTCTTTCAAGTCCAGCCTTACGTATTCTTGGATCAACGACAAGCGGGACAACCCGATGCTGCCGCAACGAGGATACCTCGCCAAGTCAGTGTCTGAGCTCGCAGGTTATGGGCCACTCAAGGGCGATGCAGCCTTTTTCAAGTCTGAGGCTGAGTCGCAGATAGCACTGCCGTTCGGCGATACTGGCATCACTCTGACTGCTGGCCTACGTGGTGGCCTGCTGTACCCTCTCGCACTTGGCGGAAGCGGCGCTCCTCAACCGTCCCGCATCAACGACCGGTTCCAGCTCGGCGGCCCTACCAGCGTCCGCGGTTTCCGCCTTTGCGGTCTTGGACCCCACGATGGGTCAGACGCTGTTGGCGGCGACGTTTTCGCGGCAGGTGGAGCCTCTCTGTTGTTCCCCGTGCCCAAGGTTGGCAAGGATACTCCTCTGCGTCTTCAAGCCTTCATCAACGGTGGCCGTCTGCTCTCCCTCAAGAACCCCAACAAGGAGGCCCCCATGGACGCTGATACTGTACAAAGCAGCATGAAGAAGACGCTCGCCAGCCTGCGCGACGGTTTACCTAGCGCTGCGGCTGGTTTTGGCCTAGTGTATGCCCACCCGATTGCAAGATTCGAGATCAACTTCAGTTTGCCTTTAGTGATCAGGGCAAAGGAAGAAGCGAGGAAGGGACTGAGCTTTGGAGTGGGTGTGGAATTCTTGTAGTAACATGCGAACTAGCGGGCAATGTAGATATTGTACGAGTAGGAAAGCGCAGATAGACCGCCTCGGCCTTCGCACAATTCTCTTCACTATGTCACTCTGTATGGGTGGAGGGCTTCCCTTGAGGTCCTCAATGCTCAACCTCTGCCTTGTCCGTACAGCTACTTCTTCTTAGCTGATCAGCACCTCGAACGGCTTCGTCATTTCAGAGCCCTCATTGCATCATTGGACCTCCTAGTCCTGTACTCTGTTGAATAGACCCTAAAAGCTCTAAAGTCCACAACTCCACATGCAAGACGCGAAGCACAACGGCCATCAAGCCACGCCACGCGCGGAGGATGCACGCCGCGTGGCGCCACAACCGCACTTACGCTAAGGATCGCCAGCCATTGCCGATCGTGCGCTCCCAAACTGCGCCAGACGAGAAGTCCACATTTTCCAATCTTACAGCAAGCATTCATCCAAGATAACAGGATGTGGCACATACAATTTCACAGCCTCATTCACGCCGCATCAGGCTGAAGTCCCTAAATCAAAGCCCCATGCAGGGCAAAGCCTCCGTTTCGTTTCGTTTCGTGCGCTAGCATCGTCCCCGCTGTTTGATGTCACGATCGACAGGAGTGTGGGCTACGCGAGTGGGCGTCATTCGCTGTACATGTTTGCTACGGCTGGTGTGCCCCTGTTGTGCCTGTGGCTGGGGTACGACATCGAATCGTTGGTGGGCGACGCGCGAGGGTTGGGACACCCTCGTGGCACCGTGATTCAGGTATAAGTAGCAAGTGGTGGCCAATCCGGCCTGGCAGGTACAAGCACAGCTGTCTATCTACAGGGTTAGACTCGCATATTTCGAGATATATATCACCTTGGCCTACGAAAATCGCGGGAAGAACTACCGTCGCACCTGCCATCAATACTCACAAATCCACCACAATGCGCTTCGCATCGATAACAGTGCTTTCCGCGCTCGGCGCCTCCCTCGCCGCTGCCCTCCCAACAGAGCTCACAGAGTTCTTCCTCGTCACTTCAGATCAGTCAGAACCGAGCACCAACTCGTCAAATCTGCGCGGCGTCCACGCGACAACTCCATTCGTAGGCGCTTCCCCCTTCCATCTTTCCACTCCCCACTCCCCATCCCATCCCATCCCACCAACTAACCCTCCCCAGGCCGAAGACCCTGTCTCTCAATCGACCCTCCTCCTCCGCCTCATCGGCGCCGGCTACAACTCCCTCCCCAACTTCACGCTCGCCGACGGCGTCCTCTCCACCATCACGCAGGGCCCGCACGGTATCGGATCGTACCGGTACAACAGCACAGCGGTCACGGCGGGCAGCGAACTGCAGTTTGTAGCGCAGAAGCAGGTGAGCGGGAATGTGGGGCTGAATGGCGGGTATCTCGTGACGGTGGACGGGGAGATGGAGGGGTGGACGATTTGTAATTCCGAGAGTGGGACGGATGTGCTGTACTGGAAGGGGAAAGGGAGTGACTGTGTGAGCACGTTTCTGCATGCGGTGACGAAGCCACCGTATCGGAAGGCGTGAGGAGAAATGGGATGACGGTCTTTGTAGTCGATGATGAATCAATTGACACGATGATGATGACCATCACCGAGCGCGAACGTATGGCCTATACAATGTGCTGGCCATCTATAATAGCAAATCTAATTTCCAGTCTCTCACTTCTCTACACTATTCTGCGACAGACAAGTGCTTGACTCTTATGGTGGCACCGGCCTGGCTTGTTTAATGGCCTTGAGAAAGTGCTCTGCGTGTGGACTACGTTGCTCCCGTGCTCAGGACTGAAGTTCAAACCGCCAGCATGTACGGGTATGGAACGGACGATCCTGCTGTTGTACAGTGACCAAAGAGAAATATGGTCAAAGACATGTCTCTCTTCGTCGAAAAAGCTCAATCACCGCTGTCGATTATAAGAAGCGTAGCTGCTCCACCATGTTTATCATCGTCGGCTCTTCTCCAAAAGCCTAGGATCAGCCGACTGCCGTGGAGACAGACCCGCAGTCATAGGCTTTCTCCCTACTGAGCTTTTCAAATCACAATTGGAGAACGAGAATGTCCCGCTTTACAACTAGAATGCATCGAAAGAAATGACGTGGTTCCCGGACCTGTTCTGGCCAATCCACTAGATACTGAAACACCTGCCGGTTGGCGTCATGTTCGCTCTGTTGGCTTTTCTGGAAAGTTCTAGTCAACCAACTCGAAACAGCTGCACACAACGCACATGGAACTTGCCTTGCTTCCTGCAGACCTAGGCAAAGATCAACATACCGAGCCTGCTGAACTCTACTTTCCAAGCCCAAGTACGGGACCGAGACTACAATTTTCAGACAAGGCGTCTCTATGCGCGTCCCCTTACGCACTATTGAAAACATCAGGTCGAGGCTTGATGCCTTCGTGGACTCCTAAAACCCTCGTACCAGCCCAGCATGGCTTTCCTTGGCTGTCGATTTTCCAGACCGAGAAACCTGCACACACTGCCTACATATGCGGAATCAACTTGGAATAGTCGATTACGAAAGAAGCAAGTATCAACCGTGATGTGCCCTGGACCGGAGTTGGACCAAGATCTACAGACACTCGTGTCTCGGTCTACAAATGCAGTGCAGGAAATCATGATGGGGCCTGGAGGCAGCGTATCTTTGCAAGCGGATACACTAAGCGTCGCCGTGTGAGTCGAAGAAAACCAAGATTGGAATGCATCTGATCGATGGTGGGCTTCAAATTTCTTCTCAGATCACGCTAATTATGGCTGCCATCGACGTGAACGCCGTTTGCCTGAAAGAGCGAGATGGAGAGGACTCGTGGCCACGCTGTGCTCGGAGCAAACACACCAACGAGCTCATGGGGCCTATCCTGTCTCGCCTCGCCTGTGCGTACCAAGAAGCGCCGAAGGCCCCGGCGATGGGAGGCTTTGGTGCCTCAAGGTTGCATACTGAGGAGCTGGTGATGCTGGTCACCATGCAGATGGCACAACGATGATGGCATCAGCGCGGTCAACAGAGGAGACAGGACCTTGCCACGCACATGATAGCTTTTGACTCGCGCATAGAGCTCCTGTCTAGGATCCATACAAAACCTTGATCAGAATATTTGAAGGCCAAGGGCCCCCATCGAACTGCTCCTGTTCCGCTTTCTGGCACTTGGGTAAAGTCCAAGTAACACGTCGTGGAGAGATTGTTACGAGAGCCGTGGTCTTGTACATGACCCTAAGTTCAAGAGCGACCAGACGGCCCGAAACGCATAGACTGTTGTGTCGACTTGGGTAGGCTGTCTGGTGGCTAGACCAAGCGGTGCCACTCGCTTCCATGTTTTGGTGTCGGACTGTTCAGAGAAAACCTGTTAATGACATAAACATAGAAGAGTAGAAGGATACTGGGGTGAGGGTGTTAGAGCAAATGGTCGCATGCTCCCACGGTTGGCGTGCAGTGTTGATCTTGCACGAGGCTAACAAGCGGTAGCCTAGGCGATGGATATTCTCCTGTGCTACATGGTGATGCAGCACCGCCACGTGCAGCTTGAGCTGGTGGAGACGAAACAAACACAAGCATGCGGTGTTACGAATAGTGAAGATGCAGGGCTCCCAAAGGTGTGGGCGTCGGAAGCAGAGGTGGTCAGATGCAGCGACGGTGGCCTTGAGGGGAACCGGACATGCGCCGCGGCTCTGGTTGGCTGCAAGAGAGACAAAGATCAGACAGACAGTCTTTTCTCAAACAATGGCCGAATTGGGACGTGATGCGAAAGATGACTGAAACCGAGTAACATGGTAACGGCGCAGCGAGCGATGATAGGTGACAGCACACGATCGCATGAAGGAGGCTGAAAAAACGGCAAATTGAGTGGCTATGCGCGCGCCGTGGCGGTTTACAAACAAACACAAGGCGGAAGAGGCGAGCAGCGGGCATCAGCCGCTGCGCCCAAGGAGCGAAACACGTTGAGTATTATCGCACTGCAGGCGTCAAGCTGCTCCGCGCAGCGATCAATATTGATGGCGCTGTGGAGTCGAGCGATGATATCGATGATGTACGCCGCTCCGCCAAATATAGGCGCATGGTGGCGCACTATCGACCGCTATGCCCCGGTCGCTAGGCCAGACTGGTGCAGTCCCCTGCCGCTTTTCTCTGGCCTCCGCTGCATTACGGCGCCGTCTCCTAATCACCTCACCACCGCCAACCTCCTCGACCCTCACCCTCGTTCCCGCCCGCATTTCCCTTGCTCCTTTGCCAGTCGCTCGTTTTCCGGGGCGTGGGAGTGAATCTTGAACCAGCATCCCTTTTCTTGACGCGTTCCAGCTCGTGTTGACAGCCTCCGAGTGGCCCCTCGAGACGCAGTTCCACCTCGCACCACCGCCGAGCTGACCACCGGTGTTCAACCGTCGCACCCGCCTTTCCGCTCGCCAGCCGCCAGCCTGCCCACCCGCAGTTCCATTAATTCGAACCCTCCTCCGAAGCACTCTCCGTCCGCGCCATGAGGCCGTCCCAGCTGCTAGCCGCAGGAGTGGCCCTTTTGTCCGTCACGGCCGCGACCTCCAATGTCTTCGACAGCATAAACGCGTTGGGCAAACCGGAGCACATGCTCTTGCCTCGACAGGACAGTAAGTTGACGGCACCATGCATATCGTATGTCCGTGCTCACTCGGGGTAGACCAAGATGTGCAGAGCTCCTCAGCGAAGAAAGACGCATCGACCACAGCAGCTCCCAAGGAGACCAACCAATCATCCGGGACCGAGAAGCCCACAGCAACCAAGAGCGACGCGAAGACGACCGGCAAGGACTCGTCCGACAAGGCCACCAAGACGACCGGCAAGCCCAAGGTTACCAACTTCGGCCCCGATGTGCAGCCTGGAGGTATCCAGATGGTCACTCCGAATCCCGTCCTGGGTGCGCAGTACTACAAGGTCGGCGACTGGGTCACCTTTGCGTGGAACTACACTTCGCTCTCCATCACACCCTCGCACGTCGACATTCTGGCCTCGTGCTCTGTCAACCAACAGACGTACACCATCGCCGTGAACCACTCGGTGCAGGCGACCGATACCATACTCTGGGACACCGGTGCCTACCAGAGCCAGCACCCAAACGGTCCCAATTTTGTCAGCGAGACCTACACGCTGCTCATCTACGACTCCGAGTCTAGCGTCAGTGCCACTGCTAAGCCTGGCTACCTGTCGCCATTCAGCCAGTTCTACTTCGGCATGTACACGCCGCAGCCCTACGTGAACTGGTCAGGTAAGACGCATTCCAATCGATGCCTTAGTGGATTGGCCCGCTGACACACATCGCAGAATTCGAGTGCGCGAACTGCCTAAAGAACGACGCCTTCTCCATCTTCGCGAGCGGCACGACCAAGGTTCTCTTTGTCACCTTTGGAACGACCATTGCGTCCTTCCTGTACTTCGCCGTCACTTTCGGTATCATATGAGAACACTCTACGCCACACGCCTCCGAAACCTACAGCACACCACGGCTGCTTCAGCATCACACACGATTACGGCATTCCTTCCATTCATAACTTGTTTATACTTTCACTCCTTACTTGGGACCAAAAATGGGACACGGCGCATCTTGGGCTTGCAGCGTTCGTCACGTCCAATCATTCACTCCAACTCAGTCATTCAAGGCACACGGTGTTGGGCGGGGTCACTTTTTTTGTAGGAGCATGGACCGGTCGCATTTGGGAAACATACGCATCTATAATAATCGAGAGACGAGAGAATGAGTGTGCTTGGCTATACTCGTAATATCTTCGTTTAGTTTGGGAGTAGACGGGCGGGAGAGGGACTGGGATCGATCGCGAGATTTACTACAGTCATGATGTATGTACGTAGAGTCTTGTCAATATTACAACCAGCGCAAAGCAGTGGAGCTTGTTGATATCATTACCGGTTTGGAACTTTGCCAATGTTGTGGTAATCTGCTGTCAACGCGCGGAATGCGTGCGCACAATCTTGCCCTAGCAACAAAATCTAGGCAAGGATGCTGTGGTATCTCCCTCCCTTAACGCCGTGAAATGTCCATGATGATGCGCCATATGTCCCCACTTCCGGCATGCAATCGCATCTCTAATGGAATGAAAAGAGAAAGGAAAAAGAGTCTATCTTCTCCCAGCAGCGGCGCCCACGCCAGCGCCAGTATCTCTCCACTCATCCTTCAACTTCCACCTCCCCCTCCCACTCCCGCCGCCCTTCTCCATCGTCGCAATCACCCGCAGCATCTCTCTGAACTCCTCGCTCCGTCCCGGCACTGCCCGACAGTAGTGATCAAAATGGTCCACCAGCATCTTTGTCGGGACGACCCCGCCATGCGTGAGCATGAAGTCGCGGATCTTCTCCAGCATCTGGCGGCCGCGCAGGGACGTCGGCTGGGGCGTGTTTCCACGCGAGGAGCCGGGCGTCATTGTGCCGGCGGGCGTGATAGGGAGAGCGCGGCCCTGGCGGGCTGCGAGGTTGGACAGTACGGATGACGACGAGGGGCCTCCCGCAGCGCCCCCTCGTCCACCGCCGCGGCCGCCACGGGAGCTGTGCAGGTTGCCCCGGGTAGGTGGTGGGGGACGGCCGGCTTCGCCGTGCGTGCCTGTCCAGGTGGGCACGCCGATGGGTGTGTTGCGGGCCTCCTCCATGCTCTTTTTCAATTGCTCTGCGGCGACGGCGGCTTGACGCTTGGCTTCACGCTGGACGAAGGCGGGGTCGGCTTGGACCTTGCGCTTGCGGCCGGTGCCGGTAGTGCTCATGATTGTGTCGTGCTCGAGTACGGAATGGACGCCTGACTTTGAGAAGATGGACGACATGAGCCGCGAGTCGGACTTGGCTTCTTCACCGTCTTCTCTTGTCGTGTCTTCAGAGTCAGAGGGTGGAGCCTGGTACGCCTCTGCTGCTGCGACGCCTGCCATTGCTGCAAGCTCGGCTTGTCCAGTCGCATCGGAAGCGGGCTGTGTCGTTTGATTTGCTGTTTTGCCATTCTTATCAAATTGTACTTCTGAGCCACGGAACATGTTCCCAGTCTCGGTCTCACCATCAGCTTTGTCACTACCGAGCGTGAAGAGATCGTGTAAATCGCTCATCTGGAATGTCTGGCGCTGCTTTGGGTCTTTGAGAACCTTGTTGGTAAGAAATTGTTTGAAGATCTGACGGTGGTAGATCTTCTCCTCGATAGTACCAGCAGACATGAGACGATATATCTCAACCTCTCGCTTCTGGCCGAGGCGCCACGAGCGCTCGCGGGCCTGTATGTCTGTGGAAGGGTTCCAGTCGGGGTCGTAGATGATCACGCGATTAGCTCCTGTGAGATTAACGCCCAGGCCTCCAACCTTCGTGGTGAGGAGGAACACGTGCAGGTTCGGGTCGTTGTTGAACTCGTCCACCATATCCTGTCGCTTCGCGATGGGTGTCTCTCCGTCCATCCGTCGGTAATTGATCTCTGGTATGCGATCGAGGTACTTTTGGAGAATGTCAAGCATTATGCGATGCTGTGCGAAAAGGAGCGTCTTGTGTCCGCCCTTGACCCACAGAGATAGAAGCTCCTTCACGACCTGCATCTTCCCTGACTTATTCCCGGCGCCGTAGTCATAGGCAGCTTTTTTAGACAAGTTCTTGTGATCCACGAGATCGGGGTGATTGCATATTTTGCGCAGGATATCTATGCCAAAGAGCATTTGTCGTTTGCCGTTGGCTATGGACTTCATCTCATCTGAATTCAAGAAGCCCTCATATGCTTCTCGCTGCTGACGAGTCAACTTGCAGAACAGAACCTGCTCTTTCTTCTTTGGAAGATCTGCTGCCACATCAACTTTGAATCGTTGCAATAGATATGGGCTGACGGCTTCCTTCAATGTCTCTGCACATTGCATCGCGGTCTCAAACTCAAGGTTCGACGCATTCGCATAACCGCCGCGCTTGATAGGAAACTCAAACTGATTGCGAAAGTTGACCAGAGTACCGAGGCGCATAGGGAATACGAAGTCGAAGAGCGACCACAGCTCAGTGAGATTGTTCTGCATCGGGGTGCCTGAGAGGATGATGCGGCTCGAAGTGCGCAGTTCCTTGCAGTGAATTGTAACGTTGGCGTCAGGATTTCGGATCTTGTGCCCCTCGTCGAGGATAGCTGTTTCCCAATCCACGGGTACCAGAAACTCTGCGTAGGTTTGAAGTCCAGTGTAGGTCGTGACCAAGACATGTCCCTCACGCCTGACCTTCTCTACGATCTTCTTGGCGGCCTTGCCAGCACCTGTCAAGGTGTCATCATAGTCACCGTATGCTCGCAGCTCCATCTCACGCTCCATCGCCTCTTCACTGCGAGTGTTGAGCATGCCGGTTCCGGACGAATGGAGAATGGACACGCGCAGTGCCGGCCACCATCGATGGAACTCGTTCACCCATTGCTTCATCACAGTAGCCGGGCAAACCACAATGACCGGCTTGGTGAGCTTCTTCGAATAATGTAGACCAGCGACAAAAGATATAGCTTGGATGGTCTTACCCAGACCCATTTCATCGCCAACAATGCCGCCGACATTCTGCGAGTAAAGCTCCCACAACCATTGTACACCCGTCTTCTGGTAGTCGAACAGCGCGGGATAGATGTCGCCAGGAATCTTGAAATCACCGTCCAGCTCAGTATCAGCCTCAGTCGGGTGGGGCTTGTAGCACTCGTCCTCGTCCTCATCTTCTTGAAAGAGTTGACCACTCCGTTCTGCGGCCTGCTTCCGTGCCGCAGCACGTTTCTCGGACCACGCGCGTATTCGCTTTTGGTACACCTTCTCGTTACCGTCATCAACACCAGCCAGGTCATCCTGCTCATCCGCGAATTGTATGGTTTTGGTCTGCTTCTTCGCCCTCTTAGGGGCCGCCTTGCGCTTTCGTCCGTTTTCAGCCTCTGAGTATTCATCATCGTTCGTCAGGTCCTCTATGTCATCGTCGGTCTCTCCAAGAGCCGCCAGCTGACGATCGCTCATTCCCGGTGCAAATGCATCGTCGGATTCATCGCCAGGCGTTTCTGGGGCGCTGCTACCCTCCCGTGAGCTGACGGGTCCCGAAGCCGGGAATGTGCGTCGCTTCTTCCTCGGGCGCGGCGTGTCGGGAGGAGTACTTGCATTCGAAGTTGTATCCGCAATGTCGAATCCGGGTTTCATGAGGTTCTGGTGTGATTTCGGCCCCTTGCTCGCCTCCTCAACCATGTCGTCTACCTCTGCAACCTGCATCACTTCAGCAAGCGTACCTGACTCCTGCTTATCCTGCGCGATCTTGGAGAACGGCGTAATCTTGCCGGTCCGGATCAGAAACTCGCGCCGGCTCTCGTTCGGCAGAGGGCCATGGACTCCATCTAGAGCAGCCCCCTCGTCGCCCTCCACATTGTGTCTGTCGTTTATGCGCTTCTGTATCGCATCGAGCTCTTCGTCTATCCCGTCAATCTTCTTTTGGAACTCCTGAATCTCTGCACGTATCTTGGTCTTCTGCGACGGGAGCAGAGGCATTGCCAGCCTACTCCGCAGTTTTTGTATCGCCACCTGCGCTCGTTTGGCCTCGGTATCGACCTTCTCCATGCGCTTCTTGTCTCGCTCATCCGCCTGCTCTGTGAGCAGCTGCTCGGCCTGCCTACCGATGTCACGCTCCAAATCATCTTGGTCCCTAGTTCCAGTTGTAAGGAACTTCAACCGTGTCTCTTCATCGGCGTCTGAAGAAAGCTCGTCGGCAGGTGGCGCACCGTCGACTTCGGCATGTTCCGGCGCAGTCGTGTCTACGATCTCGACGGCAAAATTTTGTACTGCACTCGAGGTGGCAACCTCTGGAGAGGGTGAGGCAGACATTGCGACAGGAAGAGTGTTGGACAAGTAAGCGGTTCGCGACAACTGGTTGCGGCAGGCGAGCGGGAAGAGAATGTCTCGAGAAGTCGATTTCGTAGACTACGCCGCGGCGAGAGGAGCGAGACGGCGTGTGCGAAAGCGAACAAAGAAGCGCATGACGGGCGGGCCCGTTAAAGAAGGCTGCAGTGAATGTGAAGGTTGACTCTTTCGCTAGGGCGATTACATCATTGAACGCGGGATCACGTGGACACGCACGATTGCAGCTCGACGCGTCGTTGCACCCTACTCTATTACTTACATCGCGATGCATGCTACCAGAAACATGATGGTAATACAATCGTGAACAGATGACGTAGAGAGAGTATCAATTGCGCTGATGTATACTTTACGTGCTTTCCATGCGTTGTCTTAAACCCGGCAGTCACTACCTACAGGTACGCTACTGCACTTAGCCACCGGCCTCCTGCTGCCTTGGGTGACTTCAGTTCGCTTCTGCCTTCCCCCACATAACCTACATCTACAACTTCGGTTTTGGGGTATCGTGCTTCCACCCCGGCATATCCGCCAGGTCCTTCGCCGGCGCTGCCCGCCTCGACTTCAACGCATCTCCACCTGGACGCCATCTCCAAGCATTTGCGAGATCTTCCGCCAAGTCGCCCTCCACCAACTCTACAACATGCTTCCCAATGTTGGGTAGGAGTTTGAATGTGTGACCACTATCACCAGTGGCCATAATCAGGTTCTTCCATTTCGGATGTTCGCATATCAGCAATGCAGCATCCGCGGTATCTGTGCACCAACATAGTGATCGGTTGAACAATTTCTTGTTCTTGAACCGGGGGAGGAAGGTGTCGATGGCTCTCCGGATACTCTTCTCGGAAGCATCTGGATAGGTGTCTGTCGGATGTTTTGCATGAGACCTAGGAACGGAGATTTGTCTTGGAGCCTTTGCACCATAAGGCTGATGCTCCTTAAACCGGGTGAATCCAGGGAATTCATCGCAAACTTTGATCACACCGTACTCGTCTGGCTCGAAGAAGAAACCCACGTCCCCATTATACACAACCGGCGCATTCTTATATTCGGCCACCTCTTGAGGTGTCAGGCGCATGTGAGCATATACCCAAGCCTGCCCATGGGTTAGTATTGACTAGTTCATTTGCATGTGCAACTCACTTTCGATACACACTGGTCGTCAAGATCCACCAGTACGGAACTCCAGGCTCCCGCGGCGAGTACGACCTTGTCGGCGTAGTATTGCGTACCGTCAGCCGTTTCTACACCAATGCAAGTTGCACTGTCTTCCGCGAATAGTGGTTTTTTGAATGATCCAGCACCACCGAACCCGAAATTAACACCTTGCTCTTTCAGATACAAGCCGATGGCTCTGATGGCTTTGGCTGCTGCTAGCCAGCCTCCATCTTCACTGAAAATGGCTTTCCAGCCTTTGATCTTCTCACGCTCGAGTTGAGGAGCCTTTTCCAGGATTTGGTCTTCGGTCTCCAACCACTCGTTAGTCTTTTCGAGTCCTACGCCTGCATCGAGCAGTGTCTGATACTGCTTGCGCAAATCTCTGATGCCTTCCTCTGTATGTTCACAATCGAGCTGGCATCTAGTCAGCCCTAAAGATTGCATCTCACTTCAAATCTGCACATACACGGCCGGTATTGTGGAAGAAGGCCTTGAACAAATCGTCGTTCTTCCACATATCTCGCGCTTCCAGACTCAGTTGCACATCAACCTTGTTCCGTAGGCGGATGCCCATGATTTTGTTGAGATCATTTCCAGCTGATTGAGCAGATGGAATCTCGTATGTGTCGAGAACGGTGATGTTCGAAGGTGTGTATCCATACCGGAGCAAATGCAGTGCTGTTGACGATCCGATGGTACCTCCTCCTCCGACAATGATGAATTTGGTATCTACTCGTAAAATCGCCATTTCCCGAGGCCGCGATCGCGCTTGATGTTTCTAACGGCAAATGCGCTTGGGTCTGAGTCGCTCCGAGCGCTTAAGTATCGCGACCTGTCGAACACGCCACCTTCGAGCACGACAGTAATGACTTCTATTAGGGTAACCTTGGGCTATCGTACGATTGACTAATAGTTACATGCGCAAGGCATCGTCTATTCCTCCGGAATGGCATCGGAGCAGCAGCAGGCACTTGGGCCGATAGCGAGTTGCCCGACTGTTAAAATCTCCCACCACGGTTTAGCGCGACAGACGTCCAAAATACCATCACTCAGTTGATTTCCCTCAACTTGTTATCCCTGAACGAATCGTTATTCTAATATTGTGGGACTAGAGCATTACTCCCCGTCTAGATAAAAAGGAGTTCCACTCGAGATATTGCAGATTACACCGCTTCGTCGACCTTTGTCTTTGGCAGGCGTGCTCTAGTCTTTTTGGTCCGCGGAGCTACAAACGACTGAATCAGCACGCCGCTTCAGCGCCTACCTCCGAGGGTGCGGTTAGAATTGGCCGCGCACCGAAGGCTTTCACCCTGCCGTAAGCCAAGTCGCTAGCATCTGCAAGCTTTGACCAGAACTACTATTTTATCTTGGTGCGGTTAGACAGATGAGGAGCGAAAACATCCCGATCGGATGGTACAGGTATGGGGGCCCTCCCCACTACCGCACTCTTACCGCACGGAGCACAGCGTCGCTTGAGTCCATGCTCCACAGCCCATATCTACACAATCTGGGGAATCTTAGCTTCGGTGCTAGTCCAGGCCCGCAGATAAGTCGCTGCTCTGAGTGTGGCACGCGGAGAGCGAGGAAATGATAGGCGACGCTACAGCTTGGAGTGTATGCCTTCCGCCGCCGCATATAAAGAGTCGAGCAATGCACCACCTCGAAGGCTATAGAGCATTATCAGCTTTCCTTACATACTTAGTTGCGCTCGGCTCAGTAGTGAGACGTCTTCGACATGTCTAACTTCGATGCTGCTCCTCCGAATACCCATGCTGGTGGTAACAACAATGTCCTGCGAGCAAAGGGCAACGACCCGATGAACCCTGCGGCCCCTTCTCAATATGCCGACGAGAATGTCGACATGGTGGCTTATTCGAAGAATGTCCCCTTATGGAAGCGTGTATACCAGCACAGCTTGACTCAGATGATGCTACTCAGTGTTCAGGCGTTTTGTGGTCCAGCAATGACCGATGCTATTGCTGGTGCGTATGAAGCCAACGTGTGAAAGTCCTCATGAGCTGACTTGATGTAGGTCTCGGCGGAGGTGGACTTGCAACTCCCCAGACAAGCAACATTGCAACTGCAATCAACTACGCTCTTCTCGCCATTGTCTGTCTGCTTGGTGGTCCCATCGTGAACAAGCTCGGGACCAAATGGGCACTCGTTATCGGCGCCATGTCTTTTCCCATTCGAGGCTCTTCATATTATTGCAATAGCAAGTTCGGCAACCAGTGGTACCTGATCCTTGGTTCCTTCTTCACCGGCATTGGAACAGGGTGTTGGTATGTCGCTGAGTCGGGTTCTATCATGTCACTGGCTCCCTCAGGAGCACGTGGGAAGTACCTCGCTCTGTGGATCGTATCGCGGAACTTGGGCCAGCTCGTTGGAGGTGCGATCAACCTGGCGAAGAACCACCAGAAGGGCGCATCAGGAGGTGTGACACCGGATACATATATTGCGTTCCTGATCATTGAGTCGATGGCTTTGCCGTTTGCCTTTTTGATCTCACCTCTAGAGAACGTAGTCCGTTCTGACGGCACGAGGATCTTGGTTTCCGAGCGAATCGGTACGAAGCAGGAGTTCAAAAAGATCAAAGTCACGATGACCTCAAAACTCATTGTGCTTTCTGCGCTTTGGGCGTTTTGGTCTTTCTTCTACAGGTAAATTGCCCCGTCAATTTCTAACAAATACAACTCGACTAACAGAACACAGCGGCACCTGGTCAACCTATCTTGGAACGTATTTCTCCGTTCGCTCGCGCGCTCTCTCCTCGCTCGTCTCGCCCTTCTTCTGCATCGTCGGTTGCTTCGGTCTAGGTTTTATCCTCGACATGAAGAATTTTTCGCAACGTCGCCGCGCTCAAATTGGTCTTATCACCGTCGTCGTCCTCAACCTCGGCGTCTACATCTGGTCCGTCATCATGCAAACCCGGTTCAACGCTTCCTCTCCTGGCAAGATCGACTGGGATGAACCTCTTTACCCCATCGCGTTTCTGCCCTATTTCTTCGTCCAGACCACTGGTCCCCTATCCCAGTCGTACATGTACTGGCTTCTCAGCTCCTTTGCGACGGACGCACAGGCCAACGTGCGGAACGGTGCGGCGTTCAGATGTCTTGAGGCGGTGGGGCAGGCTGTCAGCTATGGGATGAACACGCAGATCAAGACGAGTCCGCTGATTGGATTCTGCGTTACCTTTGGATTAATGGCGCTTGCGTTCGCCCCAATGCTCATATTGGTGAACTCGGTACCTGATCGCATTCCGGCCGATGTAATCGCCGAGGAACAGGACAAGGTGTATACGAAGACTGAGAATATTGAGGCATCGAACGGTGCATAACGGGTGGCAGCAAAGCATAGCGGAATACATTGTGGAAGCGTAGCAAAAAGCGATTCGGTCCTCGCATCACCTACAGTTAGCTGAAAGTGCCAGTCGCTTAGTTCCAAGGTCCGCTTCTCTGCCCGTTCCAGCTTATCTCTGTGCATAGATCCGAACCCCCACCAAAAGCTCGAATGCGCGTTCAGCGGATGGGTGTGCCAAAAGATTACAACCTTAGAGTTATTTGCAACACTAGGGCTGAGTGAACCCTGGCGGTGAATTCTGCTCTATCTCAAACATCAGTCGAATTCCAAAACTCACCGGAACAGATTCGCCATGGGTCAGCACTTGGACTACACCACGGCTAACGCCCCGTCCTTGAGGCTTCACCGCCACAGAGTCATGGCCGTTACATTTTCTTGTCGGATGCTGAGACGAGGGGGCAGATGCTCTCAACGTCACTTTTCGACCTATTTCTGATAGAAATGTGTAGTCTTGTTTGCTGACTTTGGAACTGTTCGATTTCAGCACATTAGAAAGCAGGGACTGACGTTCTCGACGTGGGGCAGGATAATATGCCTCCCCGCAGATGGACCTACTTCCGTCGTATCTCAATCAAGCCTCTGCTAGCCCCAGCAACCTTTCCCAAAGCTTACTGATGCTTGTGCCTAATTAAATGAAATGCGATCTAGCCTACACCACTCTCTGTTTCTATCATGATGTCCATGCTCAAAAAACTTGTGGTACTACTCAGCGATAGCCGCTTCGAGTAAATGTGATGATACTTGTAAAGAAAATGCAACAAAACACGCACTTCTACGCCCGCTAGCTAGACGCCACCGGGACGATGCGTGCGCAGCCATTTTAAAAGCTGGTGCTGACTCTAGCTATGGAACCTGAGCTGTGGAGAGGCATAGAGCTTTTGCTTCCCCTGATTGACTCACCATGCCACTTGCAACTTATGCTCCTTAGCGGATCAACAATGACCTTAAGAAAGGCACCGTACTTGTCACTGCGATCGAGAAGAAGGTGAGGTGGTCACCTAATGAAACGTATTCAAGATATATCCTACGCCAAATTGGGAAGTCGACGGATACAAAAGCCTCACTTATGGACAGTATGGCGATTCTATCGAAAAGGTAGCCCACTGGCTAGACACTCAGCTGAGCAAGGCGACCGCGACCGACACGGTGGCCTATCTGGGTCCCAACGATCTGCGAAATGCCATTCTGTGGCCCGCTGTGGTTAAGACAGGGAGGAAGCTCATGATACCAGACGGAAGGGGTACGTAAGCCCGGGGTACAGGTTCTAGGTGCTAGGCGCAAGCAACATCTGAATCTTTTCAGATATGACTTACACTCTAGCTAAGTTTAAATCTCTTACCTCCATTCCCTAATCTTCTGCCCTGTCATAAGATGTACCTATCACTGACTTGTACTCCCAACCTTAGTCACAGACGAGGGTCTGAAGACATTGCTGAGAGATACGAAGGCCAAAGTATGGATTTCGACGGAAGACGACGTAAAGGGCCCGCTTGATTCTCTTTCTGAAGGCCTCACGAACATTGCCCTACCGCCTATGGACTGGTGCCTTTGCGCCTCCTGGCACGAGCACTATCCTTATGAGAAGACATGGGACGAAGCGAAATGGGATGAGATCTTGATCATCCACACTTCGGGAACAACCGGGCTTCAGAAGCCGATTTATCATACCAACGGCTGGCACGTGTGCTCCAAGGCACGGGAGTTGCCCAAAATTCACTTTCCGCGTGGAACTGTACACGATGCGTGGCTTGGCAAGAGCGTGGTTTTATCTTGTCCACCTCAATGGTTGGGAGGATTGGTTCACTACGTCAATTTCCTAGTCTACGCGAGTACAGTCGCCGTTATCCCTCCAGCAGACCACGCAGCATTTTCTCCGGATGTGTTCAAGAAGCTTATACGCATGGACACAGCGGACGGGATCAAATGTCCGCCACATTCCATACATCAGTTGTATGCTGAAGCAGAGACACAACAGCTGATGAAGGACTTCCAGTTCATCGTATATTTGGGCGCCGCGCTAGTTAAGCAGATGATCCAGGTGTCTCCGTGAGACTTCCCACTTGAAGCTCTGTAGTCATCGTAGAGTTGAATTTTGGGAGGGTGCGAACCTGGCACGATCGTGTGCATTGACTGACGGCGTGCATTGAGTGCACAGGCACGGTACCGGTACGTTAGCTGGAAAAAGAATGAGAGGCGGACGAATGTATGGCTCAACACGCACTGATCTAGACGCGCTGGGCTCGAGTTATCATCACCACACAGCAGCGCGCCAACGCCAACGCGGCGAACGCTATCCTTCAACAGGATTGGTGGCTGCGTTAACTCCGCTGTTCCAGCTCGGCACAGGTCGAGATTGCAGTCCATGGTCGTGGCATCCGCTGCACTAGGCGCCAAAATCTTGTTTATCCTTTTCGGGAAAATTCGTTCACATAAACTACTGCTTGCCGAGAAAAGCAAAACAAGAGGAAGGTTACGGGGCAGCGACGCAGTACACAGATGGCCCGAACAGTGGAAGCGCATAGACTGAAAAAGGATGACGTTGATGTGAAGGACGGTTGCGCGTGGACTCGCGGATATTCGGAGCACAACATAATGCACGCAGCTATGAACGCGCCGGGCCCGTCTGAGATAGGTTGATCTAACTGTGGCAGCGAGGCTGCTGGTGAAATGGGGTGGAGCACTGCGCTGCCTTGTCAAGCAACTCACGGATGCACGCCATCAACCGACTTGTTGCAAGCGAATTTGCTACACATGATTCCCTTTGTACAGTAGCTACAAAACGAGAAGTACATCTACAAGAATCTGAATTACAACACTTGTGTCCCAAATTCAGCGTTCCCCCACAACCGGGACGTGAGGGTCTGGATCTTCGTCGGAGCCATGTCCGAAGTTGGTCCGCCGCGCTCGATCCGGACGCCGTGGTACGAACGTAATGCAGACGAACTAAAGGAGACAGGCGTATAAGAGAGGCTGCGAGACTGTTCTCATGCTGGGTGTACATCTGGCATTCCAGAAGACGACAAATATGGCTCCAGCATGGGATCCAAGCTTACTGCCAGACCTGACAGGCAAGATTTTCGTTGTCACAGGAGGCAATACAGGAATGTACGTACACGAACACGTGCAAGACCTTTTGCAAACTAATCTGATTTGAGTTTGTAGCGGGTACATCACCATCCAGCATTTGTTGAGCCGAAACGCCAGAGTCTGGCTGGGAGCTAGAGATGCAACGAAAGCACAGGCAGCAATCCGCAGCCTTCGAGAAACGAATCCGAAAGGTGAAGTAGAGCACTTGCTCCTCGATCACATGGACTTGGCCAGCGTAGCACGCGCTGCGGAGCAGGTCTTGGAACGTGAGAAGAGCCTGAACGGTATCATAAATAACGCTGGCATCATGGCTACACCTTACGCTCTGAGCAAGGACGGATACGAGGCTCAATGGCAGGTAAGTCGACATGTGTCACATAGATCTAAGATCTTCAGCTGACTTGAAGCACCATAGACAAACTACATATCGCATTGGCTGCTTACATACAAGCTACTCCCGCTGCTCCAGGCAACGGCCAAACGACAGGGTGCCGGGAGTGCTCGAGTTGTTTGTGTCACCTCGGTGGGCCATAAATTCTACAGGCAGAAGAAAATCGATTATGGGGCAATAAATTCTCAAGATAGTACCCCGTACCAGCGATATGGCCTTTCCAAGCTGGGAAACATCTTGCATGCAAAGCAGATCGCGGCAACGTATGGCCCATCCTCCGCGCTGGGCGAGACTGGCGGCGAGGTATGGGCCGCCACCTGCCACCCTGGCAATTACGACACGTACGTCTCTAGGTCCTCTTTAGACAGGCGGCGGTATCTAACTTATATCTCGCAGCCAACTAACCCAGGGAGGTGGTACACTGGTTACAATAGCTAAACCGCTCCTGAAGCTCTTCGGTATCATTGATACCAACATGGACAACGGCAGCCATTCATCGCTCTTCATTGGAGCTAGCCAAGAGTTCAAGAGGGAGATGTGTGGAGAGTACTTTGTGCCTATTGCAAAGTTAGCGCGTCCAAGCGCTATCGCACAGGACGCAAACGAAGCTACCCAGCTATGGTCGTGGACAGAGAAGGAGCTACGATCTCGCAGCTTAATCTAGGAGACTACTGCTATTCTGCATTAATATACATAAGAGAAGTAGTTTATTTTCTTACCTCTCTCCGACATATGCTGCACTAGTAAAGTGGATCCAACCGAAGTGAGACTCACCGTACCGCAGCACCAACCAAGTTTCTTGCGCGCTGCACCTAGTAGAGGTCTTTGCAGCTCAGAGGAGTCTCGACAGACTTCCACCTTGTGTCTGCCAGTCCAATACAAGTAGGTGTCAATGGTCAAGCAAACTTCTATCTCCTCTCACACCGTCTCCACCTTCCCCCTGCCTCGGAGTACAGCAAGATTCTGTACGAAACTGCTCAAGATGTTGTCCTGATTTCTGACGTATACAACCAGTGGTCGTGGCTCGTTCACAAATTGAGCCTAATGCTGCACATGGCACATATCTGGATTGCGCAGAATAGTCCTCAATCTGGTCTCAACATAGTCCCGATACCATTTGCCGAACCTTATGATAACGGAAACATCGTCGTCAAAGCACTCGAAGGCTAAGGAGATCTTGTTGTATGCGGATAAGTGAATGATGGCTTCAGACTCCGCAGTTTGTTGCTGGGCTTAAGCACAAATTTACTTGCATCCGTCCACTACAAGGCCAAAAGCACCGGAAAAAGTCTCTACGGATTTGAATCCATGGACGATATCCTGGAACACGGAGAGAGGGAGTCCCATGAAGGAGTTCAAAATCAAGACAAGCCAGAGCTGGCTTGTTCTGGCGGATGTTGCAGATGCGGTTATCATATGCTCGGAGCTCGGAGAAGCAATAGCTCCTGCATAAAGTTGCTGTCGTAGCAATGCACAGTGGAACACGGTTCCTTGCGGACGCACCTTGCAGCTCATCTCTCTTGTCTTGATCGATTCAGAAGTCGTGCAGGAAGGCAATCGTTCTCGCTGGACGAGCCCAAACAAGTCCCGCTGTCTCACCGGAAGATACACTGGAGGGGTTCTGGCGATCCCTTCGAAGTTTGCCACCACGAGAGCCAAAGCCGCAACGCCCTCCCGCCATCCTCCCACATTTCTCTCCACATGCCGAGCCGCCAGATCCCGCAGTGCGCTATGCCGTAACTTTGGCGATTTATGCACGATCTTGGAATGTACAGCCCCGGATCCAATCGATGATGACGATGTTCCTGGACTAAGAACCACGATCCCCGCAATTTCCCCGCAGTCGCACCCGCGATTCGTGAAAAACGTCACTTCGGTATGATCTCGTCCGAAATCAAGATGTTTGAAACCTAGGTAGAAATCGGAGGAGCACGGAAACATGGTGACAAAGTGTTCTGCTTGGACGCCCACGATATTTCGATCGAATTGCCCTTCCGGTGCTCCTCAAGCATGAAGTCTCTTCTCAGCGCCTCAGTTTTGAGCTTGATCTCTTCTGCATCCGCAATACCGTATGCAGAGTACATCCTCGCGCCAGATTCCCGAGCGCTCCATCCGGCCTCCGTGCACAGCTCGAATGGCTCGGTCAGTAACGCTGAGAGCCTCACATCCTCACCCGGAAGCGCCGTTTTCGAGGATGATGCTGCTACGGCGTACGACTTTGGGAAGAACATTGCTGGCGTAGTTTCCTTGACCGTCGGATCTGTGTCAGACTCTGACCAGTACATCGGTGTGACTTTTTCGGAATCGTCCCTCTGGGTCTCCAACAAATCGTCGGACGCTACTGCAGATGCTGGGAAGGATGAGACATTGTGGTTCCAAGTCACGGCACCAGGCAGATACACTGCACCCCGCGAGAAGGAACGAGGAGGATTTCGGTACATGACAGTGGTACACAACAGTACAGGAAAGGTCGAAATTACCTCTGCAGAAGTCTATTTCACCCCGATGCCGCACTGGGAAGACGATGCGCTGCGTAATTACACTGGCTATTTCCACTGCGATGGTAAGGCTTTTAGATAGTAACAACCAAGGATGCAGCTGACAATTTTAGATGAACTTCTGAATCGCGTTTGGTATGCCGGCGCATATACTAACCAGATGTGCACAATCGACCCTCACCATGGCAATGCGTTGGTTCATCTGGGCACGATCAACAGTTCGGTATCCGACGCGACCAACGTAACTTGGTATTACAACTATACAATCACAAACGGGAGCTCTGCATTGACTGATGGAGCGAAGAGAGACAGACTTGTATGGGCCGGAGGTAGACTCTCTCGTATCTTGTGGAAGTGAACCTACTGACGCCATGTAGATATGGCTATTGCTGTTCCAGGTGTCGTGGCTTCGACAAACGATGTCGTCTCCATTGAGAATTCCCTCAACTCGTTGTTCGCAGTCCAGAACAGGACCACCGGTCAGCTTCCGTATGCTGGGCGTCCGTTTTTCTCTGTGCTATCCTTTACATACCACCTGTATACTTTGATCGGTGTGACCGATCACTACCTTTATACCGTATGTCTCAGATTTAGTTCACAGTGTTGATATGATAGAATTGGCTGACAGACCGTAGGGTAATCTTGACTACGCATCATCACTCTGGTCGGAATGGAAGCTCGCACTGAACTTCTCTCTGAGTTTTATCGACGACAGTGGCTTGATGAATGTCACATCGCCATCCGACTGGCTGCGCTTTGGCATGGGTGGGCACAATATCGAGGTGTGTTGGTCTAACAGTGGATTGTAGTTGACATTCTAAGAGGCTACAGGCAAACTCTATCCTTTACTATACCATCAACCAAGGTATCTCACTCGCGGAGGCACTAAACGACACTGAGCCTGTGGCATTCTGGCAGTCAACAGCCGAGAAGATCAAATCTGCTGCCAATGAGCGTCTTTGGAACAGTAACGCCGGCATGTACATCGATAACGAGACCACAACACTCATGCCCCAAGACGGCAACTCTTGGGCCGTGGTCTCGAACCTTACGCTCAATTCCTCCCAGATTAAGTCTATCAGCAGCAACCTTGCAGACCGGTGGACCCCATACGGAGCACCTGCGCCGGAGGCTGCCGACGCTATCTCACCATTCATCTCTGGGTTTGAGCTGCAAACTCATTTCCTCGCTGAGAACACCACTGCTGCACTCGGCTTGATGAGGCTTCAGTGGGGTTTCATGCTTAACGATCCCAGAATGACGAACTCGACCTTCATCGAAGGGTATTCTACGACTGGTGAGCTTCACTATGCTCCGTATTTAAATGATGCGCGCATCTCACACGCCCATGGATGGGCGACTGGACCGACGTCCTCGCTCACGTTCTACGTGGCTGGAATCCAACTGCTGGGTGCTGGAGGAAAGACATGGCGCATCGCTCCTTCCCTTGGCGATCTTACCTTCGCAGACGCTGGCTTCAGTACTGGCGTGGGCTTCTTCTCTGCCAAGACTCAAGTGGCCAACGGAGGCTTCCAGATCGATTTCGAGACTCCCGAAGGTACAAGCGGTGAAGTGAGGATGCCGAAAGCGTCGTGTGCAGGACGTGCCTTATTGAAAGCGTCCAGTGGGAAATATGCGGCTCTCGAGATTGAGGTTACGCACGCGAATACCGGACCGATATCTGTAGCGGATGTGCCTGGAGGCAAGTGGGAGGTTACATTCAGTTGTACATAGAGAAGCTTTCATCACTGCGATTGATAGAAATGGGAAGTAAATATGCATATCTAAGGAAGAAGTTATTATTGGTTTTTGAGTAAGTACTGGCCTGCAAGAGAGGTCGGCACGGGGTCAATTTTCCATCCGATCCGGCTCGGCTCACTGATGAGACGTTTCCACTCGGAGGGCGAGCTACGTTCCCGAAGACAATTGGTACAAGCAAGCACGTTTGTCAAATGCATCGGATGGCCGAATATTTGTCATTACCTACGCAATGCCCAATCGTGATCGGAGCGGATGTACACTCAGCTATGCTTGCCGCGGAAGTTCCGCCAGTATATAAAAGCTCCTGGATCAATATGGATTTGATATCAATTACTTGAAAAGAGAGACTCTCAACTCCTGGTACTCAGACCATACGATGACGACCTCCATTCCTAACGCCAAATCCAAGCCTCTTCGTATCGGAGTTCTGTACGAGGAAGTTCAGCTAACCGACCTCGCGGGTCTGGACATACTTGGAAATATGTCTTCTCGAATAGTTAACATGGTTACCAACCTCATTCCTGCCATGGAGAAGCTCAAGCCCTATGCCCGAGACATGGAGTTTCTCTACATATCCTCCTCACTAGAGCCAGCCTGGGCGACACCGGACATGTTCATTCGACCCACACACACATACGAAAGCGCCCCGCGCGACTTGGACATCATTCTCATCGGGGGGCCAGATCCCCAGAAGGTCCCCGAAGCCAGTCTGACGTTTCTGAGGGAGGCGAGCAAGCAGACGAAGGCGATATTAACGACGTGTACGGGCGGCATGTGGCTTGCAAAGAGCGGGGTCTTGGACGGCAAGAAGGCAACTACAAACAGGATATTGCTAGAACCGGCGAGACATGTTTTCCCCAACGTGGAGTGGCAGGACGAGCGGTGGGTAACTGTGGATGGTCACTTTGAGGGCGCGCAGCTGTGGACAGCTGGGGGTGCCAAGTGCGGTAAGTCAACCCGAAGTGGTATGTCTAGTTTGGACCTAATCTGAGCGCAGGAATCGACATGGTGATTGAGTATGCCTTGCAGAACTTCCATGAACAGCTGGTGGCGTCATCGTGTGGAAGCCTGGAGTTTGAGATTGAAGGACGGAGCAAGAGTTACAAGGGCCCTTTCGTTCCTGTCGTGTAGAGGGTTTCTTAGTGATAGAGAGGGTGTTTGTCAATCATCTAGGACTGAGGCTTTCGAGCTGTTGGCAGGAAAGAAAATCGGCCGCAGCCCTCTAAATGCTCTGCAGTTCACTGTGGCAAGAAAACAACTACATTCTATCAAGAAAGCTCACTGCTCACGTATGTCGCTTCCCTTTGCCCCGGCTTTGCTCTACACCCCAGTGCGCGGGGATTCTCTTTTCACTTGTACCGCGAGGAGCTCCGCCGTTCGGTAGCGCAGGATAACCCTCCAGTACGGCTTCTTCCACAGGCACTTGTGCCCTCGCACGGTTGCGCTCAAGCATCTGTTCCATTTCCACTTCGTAAGGCCTCACCACGCCTATCGTCCAAGGCCTGTTGCTCCTAACGATATATTGAGTCTGAGCCGGAGCTGGGATCTGTGACTCTGCAGAAACCCCAACGATCCTGTCCAAGAGAGCTTCGATCGACAGTTTGCTTCCGCTCGGCAGATCGCGCCTTCAGCTCTTCCACACGTAATTTTTATGCGCTGAGATCATGGGCGACCGGCGTGATTGTGCTCCAGGCCCACCGCTATCTGGTATTGTTGCCTTTACACAGAGATTGTGAATTGTTCTCTATGATTATTGTGACCCCTCCATACGCGACTCGGGCAGTGGTATGGCTACGAGCCATCCCCAAGCAACTATGCTGGCATCAAGCCTATTAGCCTATGACATCCTCTGAGCGTCGCGCCGTAAATCCTTAAAATGTTGCACGATATTCCTTGGACCTTTGTAAAGAAAGCTTGCTTTGCGCCCAGGATCTCCGCATCGGGTGACGGTGTGCCGGTCACGGGCAGTATCTAAGCCAACCTTCCAAAGTGTTCCATTACATATCACAACCGAGTCCGAAGGATTCGATTTCAAAGGACCTGACTCTTTGGTATTCAAATCTTTGCATATCGTACTGAACCATGGCCTTCCCGATTCCTCCCGCTTTGCAGAGAAGCGTTGATGCGACCAAGGTCGAACACATTCAACTTGGCACATCTGGATTGCGTGCTTCGTATCCAATTCTTGGAGGAATGACCCTTAGGTTCAAGGCGTGGGAGAAATGGGTACATTGCAGAAGCCCCTCAAGCTATCCAAATCGACTATAGCCAACGGTTTGTTGACTCCTTCATTCAATTTCTGGGCTCTTCAAGAAGAGAGATCTCTGGCCATCCTGAAGACTGCATATGATAAGCACCTGGGACACGGCCCAAGGCCTACTCCAATGAGAAGAGCGAAGCCGCCATGGGCAAAGCTCTGAAGCATTTTGCAATTCCAAGGGAGAAGGTAATCTCGACGAAGAAGCTGCGGGCTTATATGGCGAGGATGACGGCATCAATGAGTTCGCTTTTGGGTCTCGAATGGGACAGCCTGTGGACTACGTCAACCACGGAGGTACGTGCATGCATGCAATTACTCTGAATGTATAAGAACTCTATCCTTGCGGCACGATGGCTGACAAGTCGTCAATCTCAGATCTCTCACTGGATTCAATCTTCAACGCCGTCGAAAAGAGTCTCGCCCGTCTCGGAACTCCCTACATCGATGTTCTCCAAATCCACCTCGTCGATACTACCGTACCCCTCAAGAAGATCATGAAACCTCTCCATGACCTCGTCCAAGCTGGAAAATATCGCTATCTAGGCGCTTCCTCGATGTGGACGTACCAATTGCACAGCTGCAGCTTGATGCGGAAAAAATTGGATGGACGAAGTTTGTAAGTATGCAGGACCTCTACAATTTGACCTATCGGGAAGAAGAGCGCGATGTGAACAGGTTCTCCAAAGAGACGCGGTAGGAATTATTCCTTGGAGCTCGATGAACGGGGAGCAGCTGGCGAGGCCATTTGGTAAGGATGACAGCATTAGGGCCACGACGCCGCACCCAATGACCTCGGCTCTGACGGACGCGGAGAAGGAAATCATCAATCGGGCAGAGAGGTTCTCTGGTGACAGCACCTGGTCTATGAGTGTGCTGTCGTTAGCCAGTCTGAAGGCCAAGGGTGCTGTCCCTATTGTTGGATTCGACTCGGTGTCAACGGTTGGCGAAGCTGCCGGATTACGAGGAGAATCCTACGGAGATCAGTACGATATGACGACCTGCGCTTTTTCTCTCAGTGTAATGATCATCAGAACTGTTGGGATAGCAGGCATTCGAACTGTGAATGTGCTCCTTATCCGAAATTTTCTGGGGATGTGTTGCGGAAAGAGCGGTGTCTTTCGGAGTTCGACGGAACTGTAATCGACAGGGATCCTAACACCACTTGATTCAATTGAAAGAAGCCCCAGTGTGGGTGATGCCGTATTAAAAAGTTCCGGCAAGGGATACTGCTGAATCAATGTTGAAGATCGAGAATCGGGTGTCTTCGATCTAGTGAATTTAATAAATTTAATAAGTACTCGAACTGTCTCCAACTATCAGAAAAATTCTTCCAAAAACTGACAGACCATATTTAAAATCACCGCCAGTCCGGTATTTCGCCCACCAGTGTCGTTACGAGTGACGTGGAAGTTAAAAGTTCGAAAGCACTTTCAGAGGCTCGACCACAAATCACATGATTCATGCGCCACATTTCCTTCACAGTAAGTTATGTCAGCCCTCGAACGCGCGCCTCATCATGATAAACGCGCTCCCAGCCTTCGCAGAATGTTTGGTTCCACTCTCCCGCACTCCCGCACTGCTCACCACTCGGCAGTGTTCAAAGTCCAGCACTCCAGCTCCCATCGCTGACACGTCGACATCACGCTGCTTGGATGGTAACGTCAAATCAACTTTGATCGAGTCTGAAAAAATATGGGGCTCGTAAACTGGGTCTTTGGCAATAATCAAAGGCTCTAGAGCAAGCATCGTCTACCACGACTCCCGGAGACAAGCTTAACGACGAAGTCAAGGCGTGTAGTCAAGACGCTACTCCTGGTGCGAGCACTCCTAGCTGTGATTTCCATTTTACCGTCGAAGATATCGAAAGCGGAGACGAAATGTCGGACGCTGACGAAGATCCTGAAGATAAACGTCTGGACACTGAGACTCAATCCTCGAACAACGTGCAGGCAAGTGCTTCGCCGCGACAACTGGTTGTCAAGTGCAGTCTAATCGTGTCGTAGATCAAACCCTCCGATTCCATGAAATCCGCTACAAGCTCGCGGTCCTCTACAGCCGAGCTTTTTGGAGGTGACGATACTGACTTCCTGGACGATTTCTTTACGGAGGATTCTGTTCCATTGAAGTTCCAGCGGCCCACCCAGGCTCTACCAGAAAACAACAAGGATAATGCAAGCCCAGAAAGCACGGAGACAGGCACCGACGATGACGTGGGCGAAGAAGACGAGGATTCTGACGGCTACATGTAAGCACACCTCCAACCAAGCACTTTGGACCCACTAACCTGCCGACAGAGCATTGCCACCTACCTCTGGCCCCGAAGACGCCCCCGAACAGTCCACCTTGCCAGAATCTAGAGATCCTGGAGAAGATGACCATATCGACTCCCCGACCGATGAAGACCAGAACGATGCGGACAAGGACGAGAAAGAAGAGTACACGCAAAGAGGTGCCGCGTCAGAGCAAAAAGCTTTCACGGAAGAACAGGTTGCTATCGTCGAGGCATCCAGCGCCAATGCTGAGCCTGAGCCTTCGCGCCAGCATGTTTTCCGCTTGAACTCTGTCGATTCACATGAGGATGAGGGTGAATCCACAGTGCTGCTACCTATCGAACAAAAGATGTGCAAGATCTTCAGGAACGTCTATCCCGCTCTCCCAAGCCACGAAATTCCTGGCAACATGCACATCATTGACTGGAAGACACTTATGGGACCGGATCACACGGGACCAGACCCCGACGATGAGGAGGAATTTCTCTTGCACTTCGTCAAGCCGCGCTTATGCGATGCGGTGGCGACAATCCTGTTCGAATCAGTCCCCTCCGCACTCGACGCTTGGCTCGACCGGTCCAAGAAGGTCGTGGAGTGGTGGCACAGCCCGCACTATCTTCTTCGTGGGGCATGAGGACTGTTTTCCGGCGCGACGGAAACAATGTCATCGTAGGAACCTTCACTGACCTTGGCTTCTCAGTCTGCTGGTCGCACTATATCCAGGTTGAAATCAATGATGACGGACAGGGGACCGAGAGATATGCTTTCCAGGGTGGACAATTCCAGAAGAAGCCCGGAGAGAACGAGCCTGGCGCTTCTTCGCAAAAGATCCGTGGTGACATTGACTGGGAGTCGTTCGAAATTGGTGAAGCCAAGTACTACGACTACGACGAGCTGTCGGATCCAGTCGAGGCATTGTGGCACGGCCGGGTGCTAGCGTGTACGATACTTAGAATGATCCTGAACAATTATAATCAGTATCGCGGCGGTAATACTGTTGAGCTGGTTGTGGACGGGGAATTAACGTCAATAGAGCAGCGGGGTATTAGGCGGGTGCCTAGAATCAACGGCATCGAGAACGACCGGATTGAGGAAGTGATTTCGTCTTCTGGATTGTTTGCTCCGTTCGAAGAAAGCATTTTATCTTCGGAGTTGTAGTCCGAGGAGATGAACGAAGTTAACCTTGAAGCGATGACATGTTAATTTACATGATTAGTAGTGCTATCCTAGCGGCACGCCTTCAAACATTGGAATGCAGCTTTAGCTGTAGGATTGCGGTTGCTATAGTTTTCGAGTGAGTGGTATCGAGTAGCACAGGCTTAAACAAGACGAGTGGCAAGTGTTTTTCTTCAAGCGTGGTGATTGGAAGGGAAGGTGCTGCCCTGCCCCCCTCCTGACGGCTATTTGATTTTAGCTCGACCATCACTTTGTATTGCAGGCGAGTTTTGGACTCATGGGAAAGCATGATGATCCACACACATAGACTTAGCATTGTGTGATACACACATTCGTTCCTTATCTAAACACCGCTCCTTCGCTTCCCAGGGTATCATACGGCACATCAAATAACTGTGCTATCGCTAAAACGACGAGAAATTTATTCAGAAAACAGCAAAGCAGCCATCGTCTTCGTTGCTGCGAACACGCCTTTGCTCTGCAGAATGGAATCAAAGATTTCCGGTATCTTCTTAAAACTATCATTGCTATCCACCTCGCGCCCTGTGTGACATGTTAGCATTGCTATCCTTTTTCTCGGTTTTCATTACTAGATGCACTTACAGACGCGCGGCACGGCAGAGACAACACCCACCTCAGACTCGGCCTCACCTGTCCAATCAAAGCGAATCCTCCAGTTGATTTTGAGTGATACATGTCTGTCCTCTAGCACCAGGGTGTCGCGGCCAAGATTCCGGCTCAGATCTTGTCGCGAGAGAATGCGACTTTGTTTGCCTCTACTTCGGACGTCGATGTTTTCAGTGTCATCGCTTGTTCGTCCAGGTATGAGGTGCCTAAAGGCGATTTCACAACGATGCCAGAATTCCGCACGCTTCTTTATAACTTCCCAGTACGAGCCAACCGCCCAGCAGGCGTTGCCAAGGTCTTTTTCTTTCGCTCTCACCCTCATAAAGGCCCCTAGCTCGCGCTCGGCCCAGTGAGGGAGTTGGAGAAGATTCAAGTCGACTATTGCATTGCTAAGTGTGTCGATCGTTATAGAGATAGACGCTGTGAGAAGACTCTGCGGGCCGGTGATATCAATCAGGTGCCTTTGGTGGACCCGGCTCGAGATGAGAGGATTCTGCCCGCGCGAAACGTTCAGTTTCGTGGTAAATTCGAACGAAGTAAACATCTGTAGATAGGAAAGCGGGTCTTCAAGCTCCAGTGGTTGATGGGACGCAACGGGGTTGTCAGGCTGTGGGTTGGGTGGAGCGATCCGTTGAGTGGCGAAAGGCAGGAAAGAACATAGCATCGAGGACAGAGCTGGAGGTTGACCCTCGTCCTCTTCTGCTCCGCTTTTTACGAGCTCATTGATGAATTTAACCAGCGCCTCTCGTTCTTCTGGCGGGCCCACGTACGATGCCGGTTGTGCTTGTGATCTTCCTATCTCCTCCGCACATTTTGAGACCAGTTCTTCTAGGAGCCTCAGCTCCTTCTCTAAACGAGCCTTCTCGCGCTTCTTCTCTTCGAGTTCAGGATCAGGTGGCTGTGGCTTATCTTGCCGTGTTTGCTGAGCTAGTCCTTCAACGTTTCGCACCTGCCCGTCCATTGGCACATCTATTCCGTCCTGATGCACAGCAGGTGTTTTTCTTGGGGTGCGCGACATTCTCGAGGGATCTTTTAGGCGCGGCGGCAGCTTATTGGGCGAGGAAAAGAGACCGGGACGCGGTGTGTACCCTTCTTCGGCGCCTCTATGGGATGGTGTCGCAGGCAATGCTGCTTCCTCCTCTAATGTCTCGCCGGCTAAGCGCTCTTTTCTCGAGCGTGTTTTTTGTGCGCGGGACGTGGTTTGTGATACGGGGTTCCGTACATGAGGCGATTGTGCTCCGGCGACGGCTCCGTTTGCATCCTCCTCCGCTGTTATTGGCGCCATATCCCCCTGCTCGCCCAAGATGAAGGCGCGTGCCTGCTTCCCACGCGCAAGTATATCTGCGCGGCCGTTGAGTGCTGTCGCATCGGATGAGGAAGGTCGCTGGAGAAGATCGGGGTACCCGCGCGAAAGACTGGCTTTGGTGGGCGATGCAAATGAAGGCCTTCGCGGGGGTCTGCGCGGTGGCTCTTTCAGAGGACTCGAGGATCTAGCAGGCGTGCCCTTCGTGGGTGAGATAGAAAACCGTCGAGGGGGAGCCTTCAGTGGACTTGTTTGTCGGTCTTCGGCGTTGAAAAAGGAGCGCGACGATATAGAAGGTCTGCGCGGCGGCTGCTTCAGCGGACTGGTCAGTCGGTCTCCTCCGGGCGAGGCTGTCTTCCTTCTCTTCCTGGCTGGCTCAGTCATTGTCTTCTACTCGGACGCAACAAGCCGTATGCGGTCGGAAACGCGTGATATAGGGTTGCGCACGCGTCGCTTTGTAGCAATTGATATATCAATACATTGGATGCCAGTATTTACATGCGTTGGGGGAGGTCGTTGCGCGTAGTGAAGTCGAGTTGGCGCGCGTCGCGTGGTGTCTGTTGCGGGCCAGCTGCTTGGTTGGCCTGCGGGGGTAAACTAGCCGAGCGACAGCAGAAGGCCCCTAGGATGACTTCATAGCCGAGCTCCATGCATTCGTCATCCGGCCTGTCGCGAACTTTTCGTACACTTTCGCAACGTACGAAAGCGCGCTGCTTCAACCCAACAGTGTGGCCGCATACATGAAGGCACATAGACGGCGCTGTTGTTGAAGCGATTGGGCAAATTCTTATACCCTAACATGGAGCAGCTTGGGCGATCCGCCAGACCTCTAGCATTGTACCGCAGCCTCTGCGCGTCTTGCTGTCCTACGACACCCAGGAAATCGCTGCAGTTAGGTTCGGAGAGACCAGGGCTCCAGAACAGTGACCGGATACAGCGACGCTTCAAGGGCTACATTGCGCCGCCTGGCCATCAGGCATACCCTATTGAGGGCTATTATGCAGGTGCGTGGCAAGAGCTCCTGACGAAAGCACTCCAACAACTAATACCTATCACTAGAAATCCTCAAGAAGCCTGTATCTAAAAGCTCCCCCGCACCACGTACCGCCACCTCGCCGCCTCCGCCCGCATGGGAATGGCTCCCCAAGACGGGCGAAGAAGAGACCCTTACAAGAGCAAGCAAATTCTTCGGTTCGGTGGCAGGACCAGAAGAAAGGAGGAAAGAAATAGACGCCGCCTCACACGAGATTGCCGGTGTCATCGTCCCGCCCAAGCCCGAAGAACCAGACAATTGCTGCATGTCTGGCTGCGTGAACTGCGTATGGGACATGTACAGAGACGAGATGGAAGAATGGGCGGCGAAGAGTACCGAAGCTCGTGCCAGAATGCAAGCTCAACGAGAACGTGGACAAGGGAGTGGAAGCATAATAGCGGGCAAGGACACGCCCACACACATCGCAACGAGCATGGACGATGACGGCGGGGGCAGCGAAACGAATTGGGTTGCGCCAGCAAGCCAGGATGCCTTGTTCGACAATATACCCGTAGGCATACGAGAGTTCATGCGGACGGAGAAGAAGCTGAAGGAGAGACAAAAGGGGCGTGCAGCAGCAGCATAGCGTGAATTACCCAATACCCATGATATCAACCATTTCAAATGCATTGCCTATAGCTCCCCGTTGTACGCCGATTGTTATGCCCCTCTTGTCCCAGCGCAGACGCCGGTGTTTGGTTTAGTCGGAGCCAACGTCCACGCCTTTTGCGCTGAGCTCGGCGCGTGCTTCCGCTATCTGCGACATCAATTCCTTGTGCGCCTCGGGGACATCGTTGAAGGTGAAGACTCCCCAGCCGAGCTTGAAGAGGAGGTATGCGCCGAACGATACGAGGGCCCAGAAAGGGAGCTGCAATGTAATCAGCTAGCGCACAATGATTGACATGAAGCGATGTTTACCACAGGGACGACCTCGCTCTGGATCTTTTCCGGGAAAGACACAATCTCCAGGAAAACCGCCAGGTAGAGCTATACGAATCAGAAGCATGCCCTACAATTGCAGCGTCAGAGCAATCACATACAGAGGTGAAGAGGAGGGCGATGGAGATGGTCTGCTGAGCGCGCGTCATATCTGCGGTAGAGAGTATGCGATTCTGGTTCTGGCCGAAAGTCGTGGGATGCAACAACACTGAGCACTCCTGGTGTTGTGTAGTCGTCGCTGCCACATTTCAGAAGACGGCGCCAAGGCCAGCTCCACAGGCCCCTGTTTTGGCACGTGAGCTAAGCGAAGCCCTGGAGCTTCCCCAATTGATCAGCATACAAAAGCAAAAACGACGTTTGAGCAATTCCCTTCTTTAACGACATACACCCTTGTTAATTTGGAGACTTCCCCTCAGCTCACGGATCTTGGGCGCCGACATCAATTGCATTAAGGCATCCATGCATGAGCGCCAGTTCTGGCCAACAGGGTTCAGGCAAACAAAGTTTCGACTTGCTGCCTCCAGATCATTTTCCTAATCTGCTGTGAATACTACTTTTCAGAATGCTACCTTAGATATCGAAATTCTTGAAATTCGACCTATTCCGCCATTTTGGTTCTCGCATCTCAACTTCTGAAGCAACATGTTTTCTACGAGGGATGACTCCCAGCAATCCCTAGCGGACCTCGAGAACTATCTGGACCAAGGCCCACACGCAGGCCCGCGAAAGTTATCAGAGATAGCGTCGTGGCTGCAGCTTCTAGAGCCAACGGGAAGCTCCGAAGCTGATGTAAAGGCTGTCCAGCTTTTGGGTACCGCAGCAGGAAAGCAGTGGGACGAGCAACGTACGGCCCACAGAAGTGAGCAAGAGAACCCAACATCAGACTAACCGTAACAGGCGTATGGCAAGATCTGTTCCGGGAGCATGAGATTCTCGCAAGTGTGCTACACAACCTCGACCCTTCGACAGATTGTGTTGCACTCAACAACCAGTACCTGCGAGTTATTGGGAACTCGGTCGCTTACAATGGTAACGCCGTCCTTCTCGCAGTGTCAATTTTCTGACAGAATTCAAGACTCGAACCGTGAAGAAGTTGTCAACTTTTTCACAAAGATCGTGAGCTGCCTGGGGCAGAAGGAACTTAGAAGGACTGCATTAGCGGTACTATACAATCTCGGCCAGGACTACGGTACGTACCGCCTACTTGAATCGGGACCTCTTCTGAACAAGGTTAGAACCTGCCAACGTTCAAGCAGCGGAAGCCAGACTTGACCGAACCATAACACAACAATTGGCGGCAGACGACATTCCTGAAGAAGCCATCGACTTCGCAACAACAATCATCAATCGGACTACAGAGAAGCTTACCCCGGCACAGTTAGGAGATGAAACTTCCATGGCAGTCTTCGACGATATTCTGCGCACTGCAGCAGAGTACGACGAGGATCACTGTCAGGACTATGTGGCATTGATCGTCCACTACTTACAAGATCCGGAATTTCAGCAAAAAGTCGCACGCCCCGACGTTGTGCAAAGACTTCTAGAGCTGTTGCTTGACCTTGAGTTCAATGAGCTGACCAAGGATGAAGTGCTGATTGCTATGCAAGAATTGGCCACGCAGAACAACCCGAATGAGATTGCCTCCGAGGAAACAAGCGTAATACTCATGGTCCGCCTAGTGAACTGTGTGTCTGCCTTGTCTGCGACCGACGCCTTTGTTAAAAGTTTCACATTGGAGTCTCGAATAGTACACATATTGAAGGAGAAGCTTGTATCGGCACAAGCGATGCCATCCACGGTGTGCGCCTGTGTCATGTTGGGTAACATTGCGACTTCGGATAGCGTTTGTATCGATATGGTCCAGAAGTTGGGCTTGCACGAAGCGCTGATCAAGATCCTCGCAATGCGCAAAGAGCAAGCACTTCTGTACGCTGCTGCCGGCTTCATGCGACACCTTACCTTTCCCGAATCCAATCGACCGATTCTAGGAGCAGCTGGGCTTGTTGAAACTTGCTGCCATCTGTTTGGCAATATCCAAGATCCTGCCGTCCGTGGAGAAGGAGCAGCCATCCTCTGCAAACTAGTAACGAACTGCTTGCCCAACATTGACCAAGTAGTAGGCAAAGGTCTGCCGGCAAATATCATGCTAGCTCCGCTACCAGACGTCCCATTTCCCGGGAACCCTAGATTTCTCCACCATATCGTCAGACAGGCATTGGCACCATCGGCACCGCTGCCCAGTACATCGATGAAGAACCCCATGATTGAGCTTAGTCGAACTCTAGTTGCCATATTGCGGTATATCCGCCGCCCAGCTTCGGAAGGAGATTTGGAAGAGTTGACGCGCTGTTTCTTCGACGTCCCTGCGGTGGCCCGACCACTTGCTAGATTAATTCGGCAGCGTTTCTACGCCGATGCACGATCTGAAGGTCTGCTGGGGTTGGGGCTTATGGCACAGACTGCGGAAGGTGCAGCGTGCGTCATTGAAGAGATAAAGGTAGATACAGGTCTGCTGGATGTCATCAAGGAGTTTGCAGGCGAGCAAAGAGGCGGTGCGCAGAAGAGCAATGAGAGCGCCGGAAGGGACTATCAAAATGCGGTGGTATTGTTGCATGGTCTCGCTACAAACGGGGTAAGTCAAGATTGCAGGATTGTTGTCTCGCGTTGTTGAGTTGCTGACCCAATTTGTGACAGGGAGACGGCATGGATGCGGCTCTGAGAAGCGACGTGGAGGGATTGCAGAGAGAGTTGAGCAAACTCATGGTGTCGTGAGACGAACTTGATCTGGCTCAAGAAAGACTGGAGAGCTTTAAATCAGATAGACTTGTTTGTACCCAAAGCACTTGTAGCGAGAGCGCTACTGGCGAACGAAGTGAAGCCGGCATCACCCCACCACTAATCCATGTTCCTGCATGCCGCGTTCCACAACATATCCACCGAAGACTGCAACCTCGAACCACATCGCGAAAAGCACGCTCAACCACAGCGAATCATGGCCTTCGCATTTGTAGTGAAGAGCAAAAGTGCACGGAGGATGTCACGCGGAGCGTAATCACAGCGCTTCTGATTGGTCAGACGGCCGCTGATGTAATGACCAACGCCGTCCGATGCGAGCATAGCCAGGCCGCGAGGGTCTAATGGTAAGTGCTCGTTCGACGTATATATAGCTTCAGATCCCTTCACTGAGTCTGCTCATACATAGCTCCTCATCATCCAGCTCTCAAACAAAACCCAGCCACACAACCACACACCTTCAAAACCACCCTTCCCCATCACTTTCAAGATGACCTGCTGCGGTAAGCTATTCTCAACTACTATAACTGCGGCGTTTACTGATGTACTTCGCAGCACGTAACAACGGCGAGTGCCTTTGCGCCAAGGAGGCAACCTGCAGCTGTGGAAAGCAGCCCGCTCTCCAGTGTAGTACGTCCTCCGTGTCTCTTCCCAAGACACTATGACATATGCTAACGAACCATCACAGCATGCGACAAGGCCGCTACCGAGAACAAGATGCCTACAAACACTTGCCAGTGCGGAAAGCGCGCAGAAGGTGCGTTTCAACCTTTTCCTACAAATAAACGAAATAAGTCTAGATTCTAACCCTTCTTCAGACAGCTGCACATGCGGCCGCTCCTCTGACAACGGCTCCTCATCCCTCGAGACCGACTTCACGACCAAGAAATAAGCTGGTTGAGTGCGGTGTGCGAGTTAATGAATGCATTGGGCCTGGGGTTTATGGCGTTTCAACGGCGGGTATGCGGCCTGAAGCGGTTTGCTGAGGCTTAGATTGGACATCGGGATGTTCTGGGATTCAGACGACTGCATTGAACATTGTACCAGTAGCAGATGAATCAAGGCATTTGGAGATCGATCTCGATCCTTACCGGCGCTGTGACTTCTTTCGACGATATTAGATTTGGCTCAAGGTACATTTTGGCCAACAGAAGCGACCTGCAGTGAATCTCATCTGTACCATCTTGAGAACGAACGACAAGCCGCCTTTCGTGCCTGGGTGGTCATTTCACATTGCCATCTATGATGGCAGGCATATAAGCGCGGTGCATGCTCCGTGAGTGATTGGCGCGGTAAGATTCTTCTTGGACAACTGTATAGGAACTCGACAATATCCGAGCCTTCCTGCCAGGTGCTATGGAGCTGGAGCTGTGGAACATGACCAAGCGGAGTTTGATGGGGAACGAACCGCAAAAGGGACGCGCATTGGCCAGCCTCGACAACTCTTGGCAGTCTCTCCACCCGCTGCTCATCAAGCGCTCCCGCAGGTCCCGCAGATGCATCCCGGCAAGCTGCAGCGTGCGCTCTCCTGTGTTTCCTAATGATTCTTCTCCCTCGTTGACCCGCGCGCGCCTTCACTAATTTCACGACTGACGAGTAATTCTGCCCTCGACCCCTTTCGCTTGCCCCACGCTACGACGCACGCACCCCCCTCGAGTATCGACCGCCAGACCGACGCCGAACCGCGCCTCCACGCTGTCTGGCTACCTCTCCACCGGGAACCGCCCGCCGCAGGGCATCGCTCGACGCTCGACATGGCTTCAGGATCTGGTGGCGGGAGTTTGTTCAGCCGGAACAACTCAGGCAATGTTCCGACCATGCGAGGCCTGGTCTCGTTCATTGCGGACCTCCGAAACGCAAGAGCGAGGGAGCTGGAAGAGAAGCGCATAAACAAGGAATTGGCAAACATACGACAGAAGTTCAGAGACGGCGGACTGAATGGCTACCAGAAGAAAAAATACGTCTGCAAGTTGCTATATATATACATTCTGGGCTGGAACGTGGATTTTGGACACCTCGAAGCCGTCAATCTTATATCGGCCACGAAATACTCGGAGAAGCAAATCGGCTACCTTGCGGTCACCCTCTTCCTACATGAAGAGCACGAGCTGCTACACCTGGTTGTTAACAGCATACGGAAGGATCTCCTGGACCACAATGAGCTGAACAATTGTCTGGCATTGCATGCGATTGCCAACGTGGGCGGGAAAGAGATGGGAGAGGCGCTCAGCGGCGATGTCCACCGGTTGTTGATTTCACCGTTAGTGCCATGTTGACAGGGAGAAGTCCGAGGGCTAATTGTCGTAGGGCATCGAAAGCATTCGTGAAGAAAAAGGCTGCGCTCACCCTGTTGCGCTTGTACCGGAAGTACCCAAACATTGTCATGAACGAATGGGCGGAACGAATAATATCGCTCATGGACGATCCAGACATGGGAGTCGCGCTCTCCGTCACTTCTTTAGTCATGGCTTTGGTTCAGGACAACCAGGAACAATACAAAGGAAGTTATGTGAAAGCGGCGAATAGGCTCAAACGGGTCGTCGTTGACGGGGAGTGCGCAGAGGGTTACTACTACTACAAAGTGCCGTGTCCGTGGATACAGGTCAAGCTGCTCAAATTATTGCAGTACTACCCACCGCCAGGTCTGTAACACAGGAGGACGACATTATGAAGATGTGCTTACTAGTATCAACAGAAGATTCACATATCCGAAAGCTCATCCGCGAAGCATTACAAAAGATCATGGATTCTGCACTCGAGATGCCAAAGAACGTACAGCAGAACAACGCCCAAAACGCGGTGCTATTTGAAGCTATTAACTTAGTCATTCATCTAGACACCGAACAAGATCTGATGGTTCAAATCTCTACACGTCTAGGAAAGTTCATCGCATCCCGAGAGACAAACGTGCGATATTTGGGATTGGAAGCTATGACACATTTGGCTGCGCGTGCTGAAACACTCGACCCCATCAAGAAGCACCAATCCATCATTATTGGGTCATTAAGAGATAGGGATATCAGTGTGCGACGGCAAGGTCTGGATCTTCTATACAGCATGTGTGACATGACGAATGCGCAAGCCATCGTCCAGGAACTCCTCCGATATCTCCAATCGGCCGACTACGCCATAAGAGAAGAGATGGTGCTCAAGATAGCCATTCTGACTGAAAAGTACGCGACCGATGTGCAATGGTATGTCGATATATCACTACGACTTATTTCCATGGCTGGCGACCACGTTAGCGACGAAGTATGGCAGAGGGTCACACAAATTGTCACGAACAACGAGGAGCTCCAGATATACGCCGCGCAGAACATCCTACAGTACGTCAAGTCTGACTGCCACGAAACCCTGGTCAAGATAGGTGGGTATCTGCTCGGAGAATTTGGTCATTTGATCGCAGACAACAAGGGCTGCAGTCCGATTGAGCAGTACATGGCGTTGAATGGTAAGATGCGAGGCTGTTCATCGAGCACGAGAGCGATAATACTTTCATGTTTCGTGAAGTTTGTGAACTTGTTCCCTGAGATCAAGCCGCAGCTATTGCAGACGTTCCGCGCGTATAGCCACTCGCTGGATTCTGAACTGCAGCAGCGAGCATGCGAATACCTTGCGATGGCGACCATGCCCACAGACGATCTGCTGCGGACCGTGTGTGACGAAATGCCGCCGTTCCCCGAGAGAACATCAGCGCTCTTGTCCCGGTTGCATCAAAAGCATGCCGGTACGAGCGACAAGCGTACTTGGGTGGTGGGTGGCAAGGATGCCAATACAGACCTAAAGGAACTAAGTATTGCGCACCAACCCACCGGATTAAAGAGGAGTTTCACGAACGCCACGCCAAGAGACAACGCAACGAGCGCGACAAATGGAACTAATGGCGTAAATGCTCTTTCGAGCGATCTGGCCGGACTCGATATGAGCATTGACACGAACAAAGTCCTAAAGGCCCCGAACCTTGCGAGCGCTGCACATCTCAGCCCAGACTGGGAAATTGGTTACTATCGTCTACTACTCCGGTCAGAAGGCGTGCTGTACGAGGATGCACAGATTCAGATTGGCCTCCGCACAGAATACCGAGGGCAGCTTGGATGCCTTATTTTCTACTTCGCCAACCGATCACCCTTTCCTATGGGCTCATTCACGACCACGCTTGATAACAGAGCGGCGGAAACCCTCAAGACAGATATCAAGGGCTTACCAGATACGGTCATCCCGCCCGAGGGGCAGACCCAGCAAACCATTATGTTCGAGGCGAAGAACGTCTTTGAAGATCCGCCTACCATCCGTATATCATACCTCGCTGGCTCGCTTCAGGCATTGACCCTTCAATTGCCCGTATATCTCCACAAGTACATGGATGCTGCCGAGCTCAGTGCTGAAGACTTCTTCAAAAGATGGAAACAGATTGGAGGCGCGCCACGCGAAGCCCAACGCATCTTCGGACTCGTGAACAAGAACCGCACAATGAGCATGGAGTTTGTGAGAAGGGTAGTACAGGGATTCAAATGGGGCATTCTGGACGGCGTGGATCCGAATCCCAAGAACCTTGTTGGTGCTACGGTATTGCACACGTCGGATGGCAAGTTTGGGTGTCTGCTTAGACTTGAGCCGAACATGGACACTCAGGTAAGACTGGTTTCCCATCTCTGCGAGTATGGCTAATCAATACAGATGTTCCGCATCACCATTCGGGCGACTGATGAAGGTGTTCCACCAGTCCTGATCAAGGCAATGGAAGAGCGCTTGTCGCAGGGCATCGAGGGCGTATTGTAATGGACCGACATCGTCGACTTGCTCGTGGGGCTTTTTCGTGTAAACACATCTAGGGACAGGCGCGTAATGTCCTGCAAAGCGTTCGGATGTTGTCATGTGCTTTTGCGTGCATATGCGTGGAGCGATATGATGAAAAGCTACGGTGGATTGCCGGCGGCGGGAGAAGCATACCCTTGGGCAGATATGTTTAATTGTGAACGCTTTTTTGTGGGGACGAACGCAACGTGAGGATATGGCGAGCGTGTGAGTCTGGTGATTTGTGTGGAAACTGCTTTGGGCGGTGAGTCACCATACAAATGTTCGGAGTGTGTCGGCTTCACGCACTGTCGAGATACCTACCATGCTTGAGCGAATGCCCAAGGGCTCGTGTCAAGGGCGCAGGGCGCAGCTCGGGCGATTGGACTTCCCGCACTAGTTATGGCTTCTACTCAGCCACATCGTCGTCTTCGTATCGGAAGGATACACACCCGCAGCAATCAGCTACTTGCTTTCTTCATTGTATACACAGTGGTTGGTCCTGCCTGCAAACCCATCTTCCGAGGAGCAACTGCCATAAGTGTTGCGGCAAGAGCAAAAAAGGGCGCAGATGCGAATCGCAACCACGGTTCGCGCTGCCGCCTTTGGACTACAACATTTACATGTCCACGCATAACATACTACTCAAAGACGTATTCTCACATCGTTTCACGAAACAGAAGGTATCCTCTGAGTCATCTACACTGCAATCGTTCACTTCCACACGCGGCATCGGACAAACCAACGCGAATCCAAACCAAACACCAACATCCCTTCGACACCATCGGCACCCACGCTTCCACCGGAAATCATGGCAGCATCGTTAAGGGCCCAATCCCAATCCCAATCCCAATCCCAATCCCAATCCCAATCCCAGAAAACTGGCCCTGTCTACTTCTGGAAGCCGTACGATCCTCCCCAGTACACAGTTGCTATGCCTTAGACATGGACAACTTGTAACCAACCCTCTTTTATGACTCAGCTGACTTTGTACCCGCGAGTATAGACAAGATGGACACGGGTATCTGGGCCAGTGGTTCTGGAGCCCCTGGACGTACGAGGGCGACACGTACAAGACGGCAGAGATGTGGATGATGGTTGGGAAGGCGCGGCTGTTTGGAGATGAGGTATGCTGTGCTCCAGTGCTTCGCTTGAGCTGGCTAACGATTCGCGCCGCGCAGGATGTCGCGCGGGATATTCTGGCCGCGGATGATCCTAGGGAGCAGAGGGCGCTGGGGAGGAAGGTGCGGAACTTTGACGAGAAGGTCTGGGATAAGAGTGCGTTCCTTCCTTTTCTACGTCTGCCTATCTATTTGCATGGTGCCAGGGCGTGCTGACGTGTTCTGCGCAGACAAGGTGCGCATCGTTGAGGAAGGCAACTACCTCAAGTTCACAATCTCCGAAGACGCAGAGAGTCTGCGGGCGATGCTGCTCGCGACGGGCGAGAGGGAACTGGTCGAGGCAAGCCCGATGGATCGGATTTGGGGCGTGGGGTTTGCGGAGAAGAATGCTGGGGTGAATCGGGCGAGGTGGGGACAAAATCTGCTGGGGAGGGCGTTGATGAATGTTCGAAGGAGGCTGAGTGAGGAGAACACTCGGAAGGAGAAGGCCAAGGGAGAAGAAGAGGAACAGGAGGAGGAATAAACGGTGGTAGACACGCTGTTTAGGGCGTAATAGTATTGTTTGATGTCTCACTTCGTCGCAAACAAGAAACAAGGTCTAAACGACAGAAACGTATCGTCTCCTACACTCGAACCAATCACCCCACGTCATTCACCTCGCCCCAACCCGCCAAAAACACCCTTGAAGTAGCAAAGAGAGAATCACCTCTTTACGAATCGAACTCAAGCTCCGGGTCCCACACACCGCAGCTGATACCCCGGCCACTCCTGACGGGTGTGACCCCAGCACGACGCCCAGGGAATGTGACCCCAGGGTGGTATCCCTCGTTACTGGCCCCGACTCAGTCCCTGGGCCAAACCCGAAGGCTAGACCACTGCGCCAACAAGTTGACTTGGAACCGACCCGCTGCGGATTGTGTCTTTCGAATGATGGTTGGAGGACGCCGGAAGTGATATATATAGGTAGGGTATTTAGCAAGTGAGAGGTGAAGCGCGGGCGGCGTTGATTGATAAGCAAACGGGCGCATGCGAGGTGAAAGGTACGCAGCGTTGCATTAGCTAGGCCAGGTGAATGACGGGCAGATGTGTGGGGAGAGCGAGACGTTGTCCAGCCCGCAGCAATCGCGAGATTCGTCAAATCCTCACCACAACAGCGTCTCCTCTCGCCCCGGCCTCTCGGCAAGCCAGTCGTCCCACGTCTGTATCTCCACGCGTGCCTGGTGCGTGTCTGTGAACGTCACGTTGGCCCCGTACGTCTTGTTACTGAGCGCTGTTTCCGGCGACGCTCCCTCGATCTCCAGCGTCCCGTGGCGATCGCTAGCTTCCAGTCCTAGTATCAGCTCGCATAGCGCCGCTGCAAATGTGCTGTCGTGTAAGACCTCTTGTTGTGGGTATTCGCGAAGTAGGTGTACAACCTGCTTACGAAGCTCTGGGGTGATGCCACTGATGTTGGCTAGAATAAGGAGGGGCGTCGTGGTCGGTAAAGTAGGGACAAAATCAGATGGGTTCTCAGACCGTGTTTGTGAGATGGGTTCGTGGAGAATAGATTCGGCGAGAGTCAGCGCTTGTTCGAAGTGGATCGATAGAATTTCTTGTTCGTCTAGTATCGGGTTCGTGGCCTGCAGGTCTTTGAGATACGTGTCTCCGATAGCGGGCGGGGAGTTGCTAGGACTGTCGCGGAGTAAAATCCCACCGCGCCCCCGTCGATATACCAATCCCCTCGCTGATGATTCCGATGCTGCGAGAACTGGGTGGTATGTTGTGTTTAAAGGGAACATGTCGGTAGGGCTATCGAGAAAGAGCGGGAAACACGTCGCGTGATACATGCGGAGCACGTCTACTGCCTTTTTCTGAGACTTTTTCGGTGTAGTAATCGAATTAAAGCACGTGCACTCTGCGAAGGTATCCAGCACGAATGCGTCGATAGCCGTGCTCAATTCATGGTAGGCACGGACGTAAGGCTGTTGGCGACGGATCAAGGCCGCAAGGACGCTCTCTTCGCCGTGCAGTACGAGACGTGCAACCTCACGTCCATTGCGCTGTGACATCGCCATCAGCCCGTTAAGTAAAGATTTGATGGCTCTTCCGGCATGGCTAAGATTCGAAGGCGTTGCTCGGGAGGGGTGGCATCTCCCATGTTCGCATGTTTCAGAGGAAGCTGGGATTGAGGGAGCACTATAAGTTCTCCAAGTGATGTAGGCGCTTGCATCGCTCAGGAGTTCTCGCCCGACGGAATCTGTGCTGCTATTGAGGAGTTGAGCTGTGACCTCGAGACAGGCAACGACCGAGAATAAATCATAGTAAGGGACTGGCGCGCGGTCAAAAGTGGATGGTACGGTATCAGTAATTCTTCGATTTGTAGATCTTGAGAATGTAGACCTTGTAGGTGTCTTTCTCATTTCGTGGAGCTCCTGAATAAGATGTTTTGCCGCGCTCAAATGGATCGCAGCATCCGAGTACAGTCCCTGGAAGCTGCAAAGATAGGTGAATACGACACTAGTTGTCAATGCTCGCCAATTCTGCTCCTGACCGCTAGAAGGAGTTTTTGGGCGGACCAGATGGTTGATAGCAGCGTTGATCTGTTGCAGTGCAAACGTTGTACCACTTCCTGCAGTACTGCCGGTGGTTTTGGTGGAGGTTTCGTGCACTGCTCCCAGAGCCACCACAGCGTGCCATATCGTCGAGTCTAGGTGACATGCTCGTGGTATATACGTAAGCCAGAATTCGGCCTCGAACACGCCCGCAATCGTGGGTGCTGTGACGTCCAAAAAGTAGCGAAAACTCCGGATTTCCTGGTCGTTCTTCTTGGGCAGAGCAATTCTCAGTTGTTTTCGTAGTGCCTCTGTGCTGGTACTTGATGTATTTTGATGAGATCCAGATGGGGAGTTCCTTGGACTTATGGGCTGGTACCCATCACATTTCCTCCCAGTCGATACGCAACGATTGCATTCGGGCTTCTGCTCGTCGCATCGAACTCTTCGAACCCTTATAATTGTTAGCGCCTTCGGCAAACCATGGACGATAGACGTGCGAGAGATGCTCACTTGCATGTAATGCATCCAGTTTTGCCTCTCCGAAATCGACGTGGACGCTCTGGGTTGCATTCAACTATCCGATACTTTTGCGTATGCGATTCTACAGGCATTGCATTGTCTTATCCAGAGTTCCAAGCCGTGCAAACATGCAGATCGAGAGCCTCGAATATTGTCGTATATGACGAACCGCAGGCAGTATATATACCAAGCAAGCGCACCCCAAGAAGTCTGATGGACTTCCATTTTTACTTAGTGGCTGTAGATGCTGTAGACGGCGCGCGCGACTCACCCCGCTGCTTCCGATATTTGAGATAGCACGGGCTGGCCGCGGTCCCGAGGTCTTCAACTTCTTCACACCGTATATATGCGATGACTAAGTTGACAGGGCTGGCTTTGTGTAGTGCAGCGATGCTGCCAGTAGGGTATGACAAATACACGGTGCCAAAGGGCGGAAGGGCTGTGTGTATGCCTCTCAGAACTGTGTAGAGGGACTGTGGGCCCCATCTGCTTAGGTTGGAGGAAAGTGCGAAATACGCTTGAAACCACCCGATGGGGTCAACCGAGCTGGCCAATAGTGGAAGTCACCATCGTGCAACTACGCTTGATAGGCCATTTCGAGAGCATTAGCGGTCAGACATTGCGAATTTTTCCAAGGCCTTAAAAAAGCGAATGTATAGGGCTGACTCACTTGTGTAAGCTTTTCAGCCTCAGCGCGCAACGTCATTGCACCTCTGGGTACAGAGACCACTTGGGAAAGCTTACGCGAAGACTGCGCTTGGCATACTGTGATTTTCCTGTATGGTCAGGTATGGTCAGGTGTAATCCTGAAAGTGTGCATAAAATATGGCCATCCCGGCCTTGCACTGCCTGGTTCGGTTGATAGGGCGGTGCATATCTCTTAGAAGCAAGTTGTGCCTTAGCTTGCGCTTCAAGACCAACATACTCAGCTCTCGCGCCCTTCTTTGCAATTGACAAGTAAGGAAACAGGCGAATTGTCGTTCATTACGAGGTAGTGTTAACGGTGGATATCTTCACCTACACATATCTGATTGTAGATGCTCAGTTTCGCGATACTGAACTACCACAGGATGACCACGGTACAAGATAGAGGTTCATATTCACGGTGGTCAATGTCTGTACTCAGATCCACCATGATTGTCGTCCACAGCACCAGATCGTCGACCCCAGTCAAATGACATCCTACCATGAGTGCCAGGTTCCCTTTGAATGACACCATATATATGGCCTATCCGATCGACCTTGAGGCATCGGGTCCAGTTATGCAACCGGCGCGGGCCGCACTTCTCTCGGACAGCCTATCCTGTCCTCTGCATAGTACCATCGCACGTAGGCCGTCAATAGCCTAAGCCCCAGAGCACGACACACCTCCGTCGCTCCCGAAGCGACAAGTCCCGACTACGTGAAGACGAAGACGACGCGGCGCAGGGTAGTCTGAACACTTCTTTGATTGATTCTGCACTACCAAGATCTATTCCTCCGCATCGGCCTTGAACGCGACTCTCTTGTTCTTGTTCTTTTCCTTCTTCGGCTCGATGGTCTTGGGTGCGGTTGCAGGAATCGCGGCGGCGGCATCGAGATCGTCCTCATCATCAGACATCAGGTCTATCAGATTCGCTGCCTCCGTCGTCGTCATCTGCACTTCGCCGGACTGCGCGGCCATCTCCGACAGCCACGCGGCATCGTCGTCTTCCGAGTCGTCTTCCTCCTCCTCTACCTCTTCCGCTTCCCCCTCTTTAGGATCTCCTTTCTTTGCCACCTTCTCGGCCTTCTGGGCCTTCTTCTCAGCATCCCTCTCGGTCCAATGCTTCTTGACAGGCGGCTGGGCACGAGCCGCCCGTTGGGCACGCGCTTTGAGGCCTGAAACAATAGCAAGAACCGTGGCCAGCAATATGCCTAGTGCAACCAGAGCAGAGTTCTGAGGGTCATCGTACACCTTCTGCTTCGAGATGCTCCACTGCTCCACGAAGTCATGCCTCAGGGAGCCGATCCTGCCGTATTGGTCGAATCTCCTCCGCCAGATGAACCGATAGGGCGTCCGGTACGGCGAGCCGGCTTCGTACACGCCCTCGTCGGGACACTTCCAGGTCCTCCGCGTGCATTCCTTCTCCTGGTCCGCTTCAGGCCCCATATGGTCTCCGAGTGAGGTAGACAGGTCGCTGTACACCTTTTCTGCGGGTAGAATCTCGATTCGATCGATGGTATACGAGGATGCGGCCTCGTTGGACCAACCCCCTTCATTCTGATCGCGCATGGAAACTTGAACAATCTCTTGTTCCTGGGGATCCAGGAGGAAGTCGGCACCGTCGTTGCCGAGCCCCATAACGCGGAAGCGCAGGGCAGGCTGGTGGTTGTAGTACGGCGGGCCGCCTGTGGGGTCGCCCTCGACCAGCCGGTCATAGTCGAGCTCCAGCTTCTGCCCGCGAATATGGTGCCTCCCCTCCTCCTCACCCTCGGCGATGGCTATGATCGCATCCCTCTTGGTGTCGTCGGGCACGTGGTACGCGGAAAGACGCGGGGGGATGTAGTAGTTCTGCAGCGGCAGGAACGGCGTGCCGTCAAGGAGGAGCGTCTTGTTGTCTGCGGAGAGCTCGAACTTGAGCAGAAGCGCGTGCGGTGCGCTGGCGTCTTTGGAGGGATAGCCGCGCGTAGAGAGCTTGACGATTGCGCTGCGCTGCGGCTGTAGCCACGTTACCGACGATGCAGCAGCTGTGAGGCCAGACTGCGTGAGGACCGCGAGAGAGAGAAGAAGAGGCGCGATCATCTTGAGCAGGGCATTGAACGTGGTGGGGAAAGGAGAGACGTGAAAGTGCTGGTGAGCTTGCGTGGTGGAAAATAAAATCTCGGAAATCGCGCACCTTTCCGAGCATTCCGAGATGCACAACAGATCGTCATAACAGCCACAGCGCATGCAAGATACAACGTGCACCTTGCAACGTGCGATTCATGAGAATGTATTCATTTTACTTTGAAAATGGCGTACCCGCATCCTGCGTCCGCTTCCCTCGGCAAGAGAATCGAAGCACACGTTAAGCGCATCACTGCAAACACCGCCAGAATCACGCGTCTAGCACAGGCCTTGAGAGACCAGCCAGAGCCTATAGGCACCGCGAGGGAAGAGCACCCTGTTCCGAAGGCGAGCATCAGACCAGTCGCGGGAGCCGAAGCGAGGGCAGACAGTGGCTTTTGGGGGATGCGGCAACCATGCTTTCTAGTCCTTTGCAAGTTTCGGTTTCTCTCGCGATACAGCCCGACGAAAAGCACCGGCTGATGCGTGATCGCCATGTACTAGTTCGATAGTCAGTGGTTCCTGTGTAAAAGAATGTATGGGCGCCACGCGCCGTGACAGCGTAATGGCTAGCCAAGCAGGCCGAAGGGGCAGGCAGTTGATGCGATGACTGCGGGCCATATAGACAGTGCGGCGGGCCTTTCAGGCTGTAGATGGGCAGGTGTCGGCGTGTGAGACGGTGTCGGTGGATAGAGCAGGCAATATATGGGAGAGCATGTCCAGGTGGGATGGTGGACCAATCCGCGCCGGGCTTGCACAAGTGCGGAGGCGGGAACTCACGTGCTGCGTTGCGACCGCACGTCGACGTTTGCTTGTCGTCCAACCTCGCTGCAAGCGATAGCCTGCGAGCTGCCTTATTGCTGCAGCGAGCCGCCCGCCGTCGCGCCGCCGCCATGAGTACCATGATCACCTTCGCGGCCAACAACGAGTTCTTCAGGAAGCGCAAGCGTAATGCGACCCCGGTGCTGTTCTCCGCGAGCCAGGTTGCTAATGCTCCACCAGGCGTACATCGCGCATGCGACTCGTGCAAGAAACGACGGGTAAGCAGCCTCCACAGCCGCACGCAGCATGGTGGCGGCTCTCTAACCGTCCAGTAGAAGCGATGCAGCCATACCTTCGACGACGACGCGGATGCCGGAAGCTCTACCAAAAGCGGACAGCCCGCCAACCATGCTCAGGAACCTCATGCATCAAATGCCAGCTATCCTGATCAAAGAGGCCCGCGGGCGGATTCTCAGCGCGATGGAGCAGGAACCCACTCTTCCATGGCGCCCTACAGCCCCAGCGACGACCCGCCCGCTCAGACGCCGCCCAACTTCCTCGGCTACCTGAACCCGGAGGCTGTCCTCAGGGAGCAGGTCTACTCGGAGAAGGGCAAGTCAACGCAGTCTCCCGTGATTCCCTCCATAGGCCAGTGGATAGAAGGCGAGAACCCTGCCCTAGGCAGACCATCCACGAGCCAGCCCGGAGCAGCACCAGCAAGATTCGATGACACGAGTCCGACTGCGAACCAGGACGTCAGAGTCCAGCGAGCTCTTCGTCAGTATCTGGAAGCAGTCGGCGTCACAATTTTACCACCTCGGGAGTGTCAAGACGGCTTGCTCGACCTCTACTTCAACTATGTCCATCCGTTGCTCCCGCTGATTGACCAAGATGTATTTGCCGAACGCTACGCCCAAGGGCATGAGTCTCGTCTGTTGATGCAGGCAATATGTATTGTAGCTTCAAAGCATGCCGATGCTGGGAGCTATCTGTGTCTCGGCGACGATCCTCGCAAGATGGGCCCGCGCGAGTTCTCACATCGCCTGTACAACGCTGTCATCGCAGGCATTGAGGCCAAGCTGGAGAAGAACCGTGTCGTCTTGATACAGGTCCTAGCACTGATATCGCTGCACTGCGAAGGCCCCGATGGTGCCGAGCAGGCGTCAATGCATCTCGCACAGGCTATACACCACGCACACACGTTCGGCCTGCAGTTCGGACATCAGTGGAAAAACCAAAAGTCCGACGACCAAGAAAACCTAGAAGACCTTTTCTGGTGCTTGTGGAGTCTGGACAAGATCAACGCTTGCATGAATGGGAGACCGCTCTTGATGCATGAACGCGATAATAGTCTGACGAAGCTGCCTACGGATCCAGAGAAGAGGCAGAGTCCGTTCGGTGTTTGGCTGCAGATATCAGAGATGCTTGACAAAGTCATAGACTACTACAGACCTGGCAGCAAGGCAGAAGAGACGGGCTGGGAAGGTGACGACTTTCTGGGTTTTGAGGAGATGGTCGGCGACGGCGAGGACAAGCTTGAAGGTCCTATCATGAGTGAGTTGCACCTAGAGTACATGGTCAAAATACTCATCAGCTGCAGGCTTACTGTCACTCTTCCACCACACCATGTGCATGGCATCGCACAAGTCACTGTCTATAAACGCTCCCGTCAAGTCCACGCCGTCCTATGTCCGACAAAGTCTATCCGCGACTCGAGTGATCCATCTGCTAAATGCAGAAGCTCCCGAACGTCTACCACCCCTACCACTAGTCCCCTATGCACTATCTGTTGCCCTGAGCGTGGTCTATCGGCATTTCCGTTCTAGAAGGCTGAAGGTGCACATCAACCGCGCAAGTGAAGAACTGAAGCAATGCGTCGTGCTCCTTAACCGCCTACGTTACGCATGGTGGGCAGCTGGCACAATGGCTGATCTCGGCACCGCCGTCCTGAACAACGCAGAACGCAACACGCGCACAGCAAACACGCCCGCCGCTCCCGCAGACCATTTGCACCACCCCGTTACCAAACCAGATCCGGCGGGTACCCACATCCAGCAGCAGCATCACGCGTCCACGCCGAGCAACTGGCAGACCCTCGACAACGCCACGCCAATTGATCCGCGCCTGCAAGCTCCAAATCCAGCCTCCGCACCCACGCCACACATGACGCATCTTCTCAATCCTCTCCCGCCACCACCTACGCCGGGCCAGCATCCAACGAGCAGCGAGCGCGGCTCCCATTCGCAACATCCCGGCGCAGCACCGCCGATGGCGCACGCGGGCCAGCCGTTCGACTTCTCCGAGGCAAGTCCGGATTGGCTGAACTTTGACACTGCGTTTGAGAACTTTGAGGGACTACTGGGGAGCTCGGGTGCAGATCTGAGCAATGAGCTGTTTAGGCCGTTAAATTATGAGAGTCTAGATGGGTTTCTGGATCCGGGGAATTGAGGGTGGCATCTTATGGAGTCATCTGGATAGGGCGGGCACGGAGCATGGAGATGCTGCGATAGCAAAGGAAGCTGTATATTCTTTGTGTGTTTGTAGATGACTGTCTTTATGTCGGTATAAAGTGTCTATACGGTGTGTTCGGAAGTATTTCCTTAGGCCGAAATCGGGTTGGGAATAGGGTACGTGTGGGAAATGTAGGCAGGGCAGGATATCACATGTTAGGACAGGACTGGGCGCTTGCAGTATACCACTTCTGGCTTGCTTAGGAAATGGTTTCTTCTCTTCACACCCTCTAGGATATCGCTGTGTTGTTTTGTTGCTCTGCTCTGATCTTTAGACTAGGCTAGCAACCTACGACTCGTGTGCTACACTTCCCTCGCCGGACGGAAGAGCCTGCTCGCGCCTCCCTTCGGAAAATGTGAGCGGAAGAAGCACCCCTCACCTTCGAGGTGATGTGATGATGCGCAAGGAAAACCATTCACCTTCTAAGTTATACACACAGTAAGAGTGTTCTCAAGAATGCTCTGCAACCAGGACGCCCGTGTACAAATTAGCCAATAGTGTGCTCATGCTCTCTTACAACCTCTATCTCCAGCCCCTAAATTATGCTTGATTGCCTAGAATCGCTGTATTTCACCTGCCGCACCTTATATGCTTCTTACCTTGGTGTCGACAGCTGTATGCAGAGCGCGGCGAGCCTAGAGCCCTGTCTGGAGGAGCGGAGTAACATGCACATGTTGTTCCTAGATCCATCCGCGTATAGTACCACTGGTATCAGATTCGCTAGCAATGGCCCTCGGCCAGCGCAGGTGAAGAGGTCGGGCCTCAGTCAAGGACTGGCATCGACTGGCTCTGCGTACCACGCTGTTTGGTGGTGCCGTACACGCGCGGCACCTCCGTTGGGATGTATAATTGTGCGCTTGATGAAGCGTACAGGGTGATGTTGGGCCGCAGATGTCGTGGGATATGTGAGGGGGAAGTAGATGTTCGCACGGTCCGATGATAGGACATATCGGAACGTCTGAGGAGCTAAGGCTGTCGAAGATGCGGTTCTAGTTAGTGTGAGTTGCAAATATCTATTGAGCGTTGTGTGTGAACAGATGGCTGGACACGTAGTGTGGAGCGGGCATGTGAGCAGCACCATAGGTCAAGGAAAGCATCTAACGGATTTTGAGATTGTAGAAAAAGATAGCAGCGTCCAGCAGTATTTTTGAGACTCTCTAATATGTACTGGCCTTGTAATAGTGGCCTGCAGTTTCCCGTGATGAAGTGAAGAATGGGGCGGTAATTTTGACTTCTCTGGAACCGCATGCCGGCGGACTGAGTTCTGGTAGCTGTGTTGGATTGCACCATGAGACTTGCTGCGAAAAGACGTATGTCTGTGAGCAGTTGCCAGTCTGTTCTGCGTCAATCTCGGTGGAATATTCACTGAAAGGTCCAGTGCCAGACTGTCATTGTTCCGCAACATAAACAGAGCACTGAGGCGGTACGCGCTCCGCGAGACATGGGATCCTGTGGCAAGGTGTCCGGCATACCCTGTGAAACACCGCAAGGCTTCCAAGCTTGCGAAGATCACTGACATCCAAGCGCTGTCCTAGACGTAGTCCGACAGCGGCGCTTGCGCTCAGAATATCGTGACTGTTTATGCCACAGTCAATAGGACGAAGATGGAGCAGCATGCGTGGAGATGCGTGTTCTCAATCTCCACACGAAAATAGCACGGCATTCCCAAGTCCCGAAAAGCGCCCATCTAAACCCACGCCTTTGGGACTGTTTGGCTACGCAGCTATTACTCATGGCGAAGGTCGCTAGCAGCGGGATTAGATGATGGCAGAATGATCTATCATCATCAACCGTGCGTATCTGGATGATCTGGATCCCAATCTATTTCCACTCGTGCATTGGTGTTTCACCCAGATGACCTCACGCCTCACGCTCTCGCACGCGCGAGAGCGACACCCCACCGCTGCGGCACGCACGGTCAGACCAGAGGCCATGTACTCGAAACCATCCTGGGCGCCAGACATCCTTCAGCCCGTTGTGTGGGGAGGATCCAGCGGATCGTAGACGATGTGATGGGTGCGGCGTGGTGCGATGCTGTACGGTACCTTACGGCGCAGTTCATCGCGAATGCAACTGCACCGCACCAAGTTCATCTCACGTCAATCTCATCGGTCTAGAGTATGTATGCATGTCTTCCCCCAGACTTCATACCGTCGGTTACCCTGATTCGGGAGTGAGGGCGTCTATATCAGTGCTGGTGGAGGCGCTTACGAATAGAGTGTTGGCGCTAGGGCAAGGTTTCGTCTCATGGATTGGACGGGATGATGTTCACGATAATTTGATGTTCTGTTTGCGAGTTTCTTCGTCAGCTGGGGACGCCAGTCTGCGTCCCCACTGAGCGTGCGCCTGCGCCTCACAGCTGCGTTTCACGTCGTCTCCCATGGCACGCCTTGTTCCCGACGCAGCGGCTACGGCGACGATGGTTGTGGTGGCTAGGTCCTATGTTCTACGCCATTCCAGCTGAGGAAGTCCAAACCTTGAGAAGGTCTGCGTGACGGTTGGTCGCAATGTAGGCCAGAACTCGGACCCCAGGGCGTCTGAGCGCACCGCATCCTGTGGCGTTAATGATTGCGTTGTGAGGAAGGTGTTCGGGTGAAGGATGCTGCAAGGCGAATGTCGTTGGAGGCCGTACAAACTGCGAAGCTGACTGAATCCTTTGCTGTCCGCGTTGTGGGCCACACAGCCTTGCAGAGGACGAAGGACTTACGTGCGAAAGTAAGATTGGTGACATTGCAGTTGCCGAACTGATACCTAGGGTGGCAGAAGGGCAATACTTTAGGATGCATCGGGATTGGCGATCAGTTGATGGGGGCCAAGGGTGAATTGTTCGCGTACTACAATGGCAACCGCTGCATCAAGCCTTCAAGATGCAGGCGGCTTCGCGGTTTCCGAATAATACGAATGTCATCCAGAGGAGGTGAAGGACCAACTACGGCGCTTACGCTGAACGTGCAGTCTCCCATGTGATTCGCCTCATCGCCGAGATTGATCGTGGAGGACATACCCGAGAACTACCATTGTAGGCATTAGCAGAAGCGTTCGGTGGTGTACATGGTGATAATCTAGGGACCGTGCTGCATGTAGTGCTCAGCTGATGACTCGGAGAAAATAGCATCCTCATGGTGGAATAACGGCCTGGTGCAAAGCTTAGCTGGTTCGACCTAGTTTTAGGCCTGGAAGGCACTTTGGTCAACAGCTTGATCTCGAAGCCGCCGAGTCTTGGTAGCGACCCAGGGCGGGCCGGAGTGTATTCATTGGTTCTGCCCCATGACTTCCAACGGCGGCCGTTCGCTACCGGTGGTCCGTTCGAACGCTTCAGCGTTAAGACTTAACGATAATGGGCACCTGTAGTCGAGAAACTATGACCTGTACATTCTGCAGGGCAATACACAAACGCCGCGATGGTATCCCATCAAACGTAGTAGACCACGGCGGATCAGCCGGACTCTCGAGTACTCAAGCGTTCCGACAAAGTTGGCAATCTGGGTCGGTGGCCGCATGTTCATCTGACAGTAAATTCATCTCATCACCACCCGCATGTTCGATGCTAGCCACATGACCAGCGTATTCATAGGATGGAGGAATGGTAATCATATGCAGCCCGCGGATACTCGTATAGCAAGCATTCTGAAAATTGCGGACCAATCGAGGATTACCGCGACTTGCATATGCCTGGGTGTCCTCCAAGATGAACAAGATCATCTGGGGTTGACCTGCTCACTGCAGGTCAAGAGCGACAAAATGCTGGTCTTTGCGGCGAAATATACGATGTGCTGATCTTTCAATGTGATCGAGCAAATCAGATCAGGAGCACCTTGTTGTTGTGCTGTGCGGGTTAAAGATCTGACCTCAGCATACTCCGTCTGGATGAAACGCAGGGCTCTTTCGTCATTGGTCCGTTGCCTGGCTGGCAACCGCTCCACAACCGGTGTAAGCACTTCTTCTGGCACACGGCACGCACTTTCAGCGCTACCTGCCCGAAAGATACTCCGTACCCGCGCGCTGATTATGAAGGCTGGTTTCGAGTGCTGGTTCGTTCAGGGCTCCCAGTCTCATTGTTGGGATCGTCCCAGGGTTAATTTGGGTAACACGGGACAACAAAGTCGCTTTCAAAATCAGAAACTGCGAACCCATGCTCCGCGCATCCAAAGCATGAACAGCGATAATAGAATGTTTCCGGAACCATAGCAACGAAACGCCCATGCCTAGAGATCGTGTCTTGGATCTACTGGCAACGCGGCGGGCTATTGCTCGCCAATCACTGCGATGTTGCAGAGCCTTGCAGAGCTGGTGTGGAGCTGGCAAGGGATCGCATGTCGCTGGTCGGCCACTCGATACTGGCAGTGAGCGGCAAAGAAGAGCAATGATAGGGATGTTCAGATCGAGATCGCCTCAACACGACAACTGTGGTGCTCTGTGGTGTCATAGGTCCATCACTTGCCAACACGAGGATTCTAGACGAGGCCTGGAATCCCTGACCGGAGGCTGGTGGGTCTGTGAAGCCCTGTGGAAGAGGATCGTCAAGGCGACGGCGTCACTGGTAATGCCTCAGGAATTCAATCGCAGCAGCCACGTTGCGGAAAGCCAAAAGTCATCGGGCCGGATGGCGGCACACCAGTGTACTTGTTGGATTCGATTGGAGAGAGTCCCTGCAGATGCGCAGTATACTACGCAAGTAGCGTTCATTAGCATGAAGACTTGCAGAGTGTGAGAGTCTTCACGGTGGCGGGGCAGTGGACTATCGATAAGGTCGTCGGTGGTCCGTTCGATGGCCAGCTCACGTCACGGGACGCTTGGCATTACCGCCAGTCTTCTCCCGGACTAGCAGATCTGCCCGAGGCACGCTCAAGCAGCGGTGAGCGACCTGACACTTCCACTGAGACCGTTTGAGTACGTACTCCATACGACGGATCCCATGCGTTTGAGGAGTCCGGCCTGCCACGGAGACGCAAGCAAATGAGCCCGTCGCGCGATAGCCGTGAGGCATTGGTAGTGATCCACTGGTTTGGTGGACCCTCAATGTCGGCATAGAACAAGCGCAGTGTGTGGATGTGTTGCCTCATCACTCGGTGTTCCAAGATGTGGAATATTGGCTGTGGTGCAGGACTCAGGGGCCACGTTCAATACTCCGTTGACAAACAGTTCTATTCAAAGCGACTCTAAAAGAGGTATGTCCTCCAGAGGTGCAGTTATTGACAAGTGCAGGGCTACATCCACTCCGCAGCCGCGTCCTTGGGAACGGGCAATGGCGAGTTACTCGGGACGGTATGGCACATACAGTGGGCGTGACAAGGAGTGCAGCGTGGCAATCTCGCTCGGACACGATCAGCAGCGCCTGTGCTCACAGACTCCCGCTCCGTGTTTGATGACCTCTGTCAACGGGAAGCGAAGCCTGGCACGGATGCCGGCGGGATGCGTGAGCGATGAAAAGAAAATCCTGCAGCGTCCTCGTGCTGGCAGCTCGGTTCCCATCTGAGCGGGAAGCATTCCATGGCTCGGACCCTGGGCAGGTTGCCCGCTGGGGGCAAGCGCAGGTGGTTAATCATCCAACGGGCGTGGATACGAGGAAATGAGATGCACGCCGGTAGAAATCCCTTGCTCGATGCAGCCTATTTCGATCGGCACCCCCTTTCGATCTCGCAAGCGGTTCGCGGTTGGGAGAGGGCGGTTCGAGATGATGAGAGGGTGATTGCGCAAGCGCCACGTTTGTAGAGAGGCCCAGTGGCTCGCTGGTTTGCTCGTAGAGCGTGAGCTTGCGGTGCTGCCGTCGTAGCGGCGCCGTGCTGGCGACAGTCACAAGATGGGTGTGCCACCAGGCTCTGCGAAAGCCCGTGAGTCAGAGGCGCGTGGTTGGCAGCGATGGAGATTATCGGCGCTGCGATTGGGCGGGAGCGAAACTCTGTAGAAAATTCTACGTGGCGTGGCGTGTTACTGGCTGCACCCGCAAATCACGGCCCAAACTGGGCTTGCGGGGCGCCGATGGCAGAGAAGGCTCTGGACGTTAGTCATGGCTGTGGCAGCAAGATTGTCAATATATCGACGGGCCAATAGGCGCAGCGACGGGCCAGGCGGCGACCAGGCTCTGCACCGTCGAAGCACTGGGGAAGCTCCAAGCGCGATGCCACGGCCAGGCTGTTTGGCGCGCGCAGGTTCGAGACAGCGTGCAGCTGGATGGGGAAGGACAAAGCAGAGTGGGTGCGGGCGCAGCGTGAAGCTCCACCATGGCGAAACCGGAAACGTGAGCGCGGCTGTCAAAGGGCTTGCGAGTCCGACACGGCCGGGTTCAGGCAGCAGATGCGCGCAAAGGTCTGATGGCAGCATGACATTGACAGTCAGAGCAGTGCCGCAGCTCGCGGTGGGCGGCTGGTTTCGTCATGACCATCGAACGCCGGCCGTGCGCGACCACAGATGAGACTGGTCACAGACGTCGTAAGCTTGCAGGCTTTGCGGTGTCTGGCGCTAGGCTCTAGCTGCGATCCGCCTGCGCGCTGGGGCGACTCTCCGGCCGGTGGCAGGCCGGCTGGGTGCTGGGTGCTGGCTGGGTGCTGGCTGGGTGCTGGCTGGGTGCTGCTGCTGGCTGGGAAGGCGGGCACTGAAGGCTGGGGCGAGTCGCCGCGCCCAGGCGTGCGTGCGTCTGCGGTGCGCGCAGGCCACTCGCGGCCCTCAACAGCAGCGCGGTGGCGAGCCCGGGAGCAGCGCAGGAGCAGGTGCAGGCTCGCTAGCACGCCGTGGCAGCGACTCGACGCCCCAGAGCAGCCTGGTGCAGCGCGCGCCGCCGTGTGTGACGGCGACGCTGCGACGGCCGGGATGCCTGCGACTGCGACCGGTGCTGACGGGCTCGACGCGCGCCATTGGCCGCTGCGCACACAGCCGCCCGGCGAGCAGCGGAGCGACGCCGCGCCGGGCAGTGGGCGCTGCGTGTGGGTGGCATGAATCAGGCGCCTTTGTTGCTTTGTTGTTGGCGGCGCCATGCTGCGTGCGGCCTAGCCGCCTGCATCCCTCGCGTTCGCCTCCCTGCACGCCCAGCACGGTTGCAGCGGTGGGCCCGCCATCGCTAGCGGCACCCACGGCGTGGCCCTCGACGCCCATCCTTCGCTGAGCGCCGCGGGTGGCCTGTCTGCCCTCCCGTCTTCGTCATAGCGCCCCTTGCTAGGCCCATCCTTCCCTATATTTACAGAAAACCGGGGCGTCCACCGCCCAATAGCCTGCAGGGGCCCAAAAGACACGAGCCTTTATCACACTGGCGCCCTCGACCGCATACATCATATCCCGCCTCACCCAGACCTCATATACATCCTCTCCACCCGTATCAAGAGCACGCTCCTTACCATCAAGCCATCAGCCTCGCTCCCTATCACGGTTCGACTCATCCTCTGTCCGGCCATCCCCCTCCACATCCACCGCCGCCTGTCCATGGGATTTCTGTCTTTCTAATACGTTGCTGTCTCTTTATCCAAGCTTCCAGTCACGGGACCTCATTTGGACTCACCGACCCAGTCATAGTCATAGCCAGTCCGCTCCCTTCTCCCAGGAAGTACTTATCCCGTCCTTGAGGCCTTCAGTGGACCGTCGAGGACTCTACACAACCCCCCTACCAGACCATGTTGCCGACCCCCCCTGCATCTCCCACCCTCAATGGATTTTGCAACCCGGAAGACCGCCTAGGCCAGATCCTCGCTGGAAGACTCCAGTTGACAGGTATCCTTGGAGTAGGTGCTTATGGAGTCGTCTACACCGCCGTGGACATCCAGACCAACACGCCCTATGCCGTCAAGGCCCTTAACAAGATCGGCCTGGAGCCCCGGCAACGAAAGTTCCAGCAGAGGGAAATCCAGCTCCACCACCAGGCCAGTGCCCATCCCAATGTTGTCTCCTTGGTAAAGATCATGGACGCTCCAGACTGCACATATGTTGTCATCGAGTACTGCCCAGAGGGCGACCTGTTCTCAAACATCACTGAGCAGGGAAAGTATGTTGGTAACGATGCACTTGCCAAGAGGGCCTTCCTCCAGATATTGGATGCCGTGGAATTCTGCCACTCCATTGGAATCTACCACAGGGACCTCAAGCCGGAGAACGTTTTGGTGACTGACAATGGAATGACCTGCAAGCTTGCCGATTTCGGACTGGCCACCAACGACCACATCACGTCTGATTTCGGATGCGGCTCGACCTTCTACATGTCGCCTGGTAAGCTCACATTTACAGTCCTAGCTCAAGTCACGTGCTAATTCTTGGCAGAATGCCAGACGGCCGCTCCCAAGGCCTACTCCTGCTACGCGTCAGCCCCTAACGACGTCTGGAGCCTCGGTGTTATCCTCGTCAATCTGACTTGTGGACGCAACCCATGGAAGCGCGCCTCGTATGAGGACAGCACTTTCCGTGCCTACATGAAGGACCCCAAATTCTTGAGATCCATTCTGCCCATCTCCCCGGAATTGGACTCCATCATGAGGCGCATCTTTGAGTTCAACCCCGTCAAGAGGATCACCATCCCCGAGCTCCGCGAGTTGATCATGCGATGCCCCAGGTTCACTGCTACCAAGTCAGCGGCTCCTACGCCAATGGCTTCCCCACCATTTGCTCCCGTGGACTACCAGGAGGCCTCCTACTACCAGGCTGTACCGCCTGCGGCTGCCCTTCCTGGCCCAGTCTACTCCCCCTCCGTCTGGGAGCTACCCTCACCCCAACACTCCATCTCTTCAGGAAGCTCGAACTCAGATACCGAATGTGTTTTCTCCTCTTGCTCATCAGCTTCCTCTGCCTCCTCGACTTCATCCTTCACGCACGTCCATCCGGCCCAGAAGCCGTCTGTGCGTCAATCTACATACGTTTCCCAGCCACCCGCCAGTGGATGGTTCCACCCCTTCTTCCAAGCAGCCAACCTGGTCAAGCATGTGTCGTTCCAGCCACCGATGATGGCTCCGGTACATGTTTACTAGATGGTCCCGCTTCCACGTGGTCCCCATCCGGACACGCTTGTTCACGATGTGTTCATATTTTCCTTCGCATCTTAAAAGTCATGACGAGATGATATTCTGCAGCGGCTATTACTATTGCACGGTGTCAGCGCGGACCAGGATTCCCGGCGTTTTTCCAAAATAGACCTTCAGCATCAGATCTAGCAGGCCCAGGATCCACCCTCTTCTTTGCCGGATCTGAAAGCCTCGGATTAGAACATGTACTACGTTTTTAACTTGGGAGGCCGAAGCCTTGACGGTTTGTCTCCATGTGTGGATATTTGCACGATTTGGTTGTTGCACGAGACAACGATTTTTCGAAGGAGGGGCTTTCTATGCATTTCACGGAGTTGCTATTTCTACGATGGACTTTGGATACCTTGAAAGGTTTTTCAGTCGTTTACGATCACTTATTCTTTTCCTTTATTCTTATCAAAGATACCAGAGCAGGTTAAACACCTTTTGACTCACACTGTACGGTAGTTGTCCTGAAAACATGGACGGAGAAGTCTTGCCCAGCGGCAAGTTCAACAACAATATCAAGAGACATTATGGCGATGCAACGAATTGTTGCATCTGCCGAAGACCAACAGTCACATTCACATTCACGATGCTTTGAGGTGAATACGACGCTCTCATTACTCCAGACGTCCTGGATCAAGATCTCACCTGCTCCCGTTCCGCTTTGCCCGTCTTCGTACGAATATTCACAGCGCCCATGTCGTAAAGTCGGTGACACAAGGCAGCGCACCACTGCATGACCCTTGTCTCGCGTCCTTAGGAAAAGCAACCGTCTCAAAACGGCCGTCTGCCTTCGCCTAAGTGAAGCAGCCAACCAGCATCCATGCACCCCCACCCGTATAGAGTTGGCGGAGGGCGGGCCAGGGCGTACATGCTTCGCGCATGCTACGTTTGCGCACTGTCGTCCGCGAACGAATGGCACGCGTTGCAAGGCCCGAAGGTTTGCCAGAGCACAAGCTGAGGGTGTAGCGTGCAGTAGACTGATTTGACAGACACGTTTGCTGGCATGGGCAGGATTGAGCCGGCCGCTGGGTCTGCATCCGCCTTACAGTGCATGCTAGACCACACGCAGCTAGCCAGCGCCGGCGTTTCTTAGCAGATTGATGAGCAGCCGACGGCAGATTAATGACGAGATGCTCGATCGAGACTCCATGTCTTGCTGCGACTTTTGCATGCCGCTTGTGAGTTTTGGGGAGAGGCTGAGCAAGCCATTCCCAGTGCCAATGCTCCAAGATGCAGCCCCCATGCGCGCTGGAAGGACTGGATATTGAATTGGGCTGGATTCCATGTATCAGCTGCACGGCAATCGCAAGGGAGCCTGTAGCATCACCAACACCATCATTTGAGATGAGATTGTTGAGATCGCTATAATTCGTGATGAGCAATCCAAGACCCAGGCACCAGCCGTCCCGCGTCTCAGCCATCCACTAGTCGAGTTTTTGTGTCGCTCAGGGCTGAGTTTGCGTTCGACCACCACTGTCCATCAGCTCTTTGTCTTGCGGCGCCAGGCCGAAGTAGATACGGGGGCGTCACCGGAAATCACGATGCACCGTTGCGTGTAGCAGGGAGCGTTTGGCGGCGTCGATAGCCTAATCATCTGACGAGCCATGATTACCAAAGAGCATGCGATGCTCGCTCAGCTGGCGAATAGGAGCGTGAGCACTCTGTACGCCGTGCAACACCTTGGCTGGAGGCGCACGCCTCGACGAGATGGCGTGCAGCCCCTGATCTTGGCCGGTGGCAAGCATCACGACCTGCTTCTCACCACGACAATAATCCCTCAACAACCGTCTCCTGTCACATCGCAGCCGATCAGCCGCCGCGGGATTCTAAACTCGACTAGCGCTTGATTGAGAAGCTTTTGGGGCGCTCGGGCATCCGTAAGTGGCGACGTCTGGACCACTTCCATCTGATTGTAGCCGTTACCTAGTTTTGCGCTGCACGAGATATATTGCCCATCCCAAGGATCCGTCTCATTCGCCCGCTGCTGCAAGTCGTGAGCTGACCACTGTATAGTCCGTATGTTTCTGCATTGGTGTGGCGTAGAGCAATATCCGTGACTATCCCACGCGGACTCCATCCAACACTGCATTGTCCTCATGGGGAAGCTACGGAAAGCCTTTGAGCCTTGTCGAGAAAAATTTCTGCTTGTGAGCCGTTCGTGACATGAGAGCCATGTGCATACCAACATCTGCCATGCCAGATTTTTCCGACAGGTGAGCTGCAGCCTTCTCGGCCGGTCGACGTCTTCGTTCAGCCACACTTCTTACGCGGACTCCTGATGCTGCCTATACGATATGTGATTAGGCACCGTTGGAGCATCTGCATTAGAGCACATGTTCATGCGCAATTCAACAGGAGAGCAGCAAGCGCATAGCCGAGCAGGGGAGAGTCCTCGAGACATACATATCCATTGTGGCTGCTGTCTGTTGTACGACCGACGACACCATCATCCGGGGCTGTTACCTGTATCACCACACCAAGGTGTGGCTGTGCTTTGCCGGGTGTGCATAATGCTTTTCTCACTGACCTACTTGCCGGTCCATTGCTGATGGATATTTGCTTTTAGACAAAGTTCCGAGTGATGCCTGTCCAAGGCTTCTTGGAACCTGGCTTAATGCCTGCGAACCCAAGCTGGTGTGGCGGATGCATAGTGTCTAGCTCTCGCGTGTTCCTTCTTTGTTCGTACCGGTTAGATATTTCAGAACTCAGAGCCAAGCTTTGATGCGTCCACTGCAGCCAGCTGACGGTAGGAACCTAGGCTCAGCCATCGAACCACAACTTCAGTCGGCGAGACGCATTCTAAGCCGACTTCTCCTGCACCTGTATTAGCTTGTGCAGTTCACCACCGCGAGCTTCCCCGTCCTCGTCTCGAGAGCCGACAGAACCACCACCGTGACACCGAGGTGTTCCCGGTGGGCTTGAGTGCCGGCTGGTTGTACAGCTCGATTGATGCGTCGCACCTTCGGTCGTTGGCGGAACATGACTGTTGCTGTGTTCGCGCCTTCCCCACGATGAGCCAACCTCCCCACCTCAGGGTTCGTCGGCTGCAGCTGTCGACCCGAGTAGCACTGCAGCATCTCCAACTTTGGTTCTCCGCAGCAAGCAACCGCGTACTATCGCCAGCCTCCTGTGCTACGTTGCCCCAGTTTGCTTCTCACCCTTGCATCCCCACGAGGTACCCACTGTCAGCTCCGGCGGCTACCCGTCTCTGAAACCGACCCGAGGATGCAATTGACTGGTTCCGTGCGGTGTGGCTCTCGGGGAGGAGCTCGCATCTTGGAGGCGTTACGTTCCGCGATCAAGTCGGGACTTCTTATGTGAGAGTCAGCGAGCACATGTCGAACAGTGTCTGATGGTGCAATGTTTCAACCTTGCGGAAGAGCCTTCAAATGTTCTCTTTCCAGGAAATGTCCTCCACAAGTGCACCAATGTGGTTCCTCTGCCTTCGTTATCCAAAGACAGGTCTGAGTTGTAGTGCTCCGTCTGACTGCAGGCGACAGTGTACCCTCTCTCAAACGCAACTGTACACAAGAACTGTCACGTAACGGCGGTTTGGTATGTAAAGGTGCAGGATCTCAAGCAAAAGTCGTGGTTGCACGTGGTCCAGCGACTCCTCATCCAGAAGCAGTCGTGTCGGTATGACTTCAAGTGTTAGCGACGTTCACACAACGTCCTTCACCGGCCCCTGCTATCCCTTTCTTCCTCAATTTCTCATTGTTCTCTCAGACGCTGAGGCTAACGCTAGCCACCTTGTGTCTGTCACACCTCACCTTCGAACAGCTTCTCGGTATCTAGGCACGAATCCTCGTTCGATGTCCCTTTCCGGGCCGAAATAGGGTCCCCGAACGCAAACCGAAATGTGGAGCAACAAGAAACATGTCCTGCTTGTGAGCCAAACTTCGGCTCGAGCCTGCAGCTGAGTAGGTTTGGAAGTCGGGACAGCTAATGCTTGCAAGCGCTGCAGCATCCGGCGGAACCCATGTGTGGGTGGCTATGTTATTCTGCCACTGTCGGCTTTGTGGAACGCAATGTATGTGTGGACTGCGATAAAGGCGGGTTGCTGACGCTGTAACATCTTAGAGTTTTCGTGCTGGACATAGCCTCTACGCTTGCCACACAGCTAGAGATGCGACGATCAACTCTACTCTAGATTCAACACTACCTTCAAAACTTAATTAGTGTGAATCAAGACGCGTCTGTTGTGCAACTTTTGCGGCAGATGTGCCTATCCATCCCTTACCGAGCGAAACACCAATCTTCCATTCCGATCCTTGCCGAAAATCGCATCCCGCAGGCGCTCCCTGGACCCACACCCACATCGGAGATTTTGAGACCTATCAATACTCTCTGCCGCTTCAATTCGTAACAATGTTGTGCCAACGCATCATGCGTATCACGACATGGACGTTCTCTTCCCCGCATTAACATCGTTGCCACGAGGCAGCTAGCTCAAGCACATTCGTTCTGCACGCTGTTCTCGTTGAGCCGTTCGAGACCTGCGGACGCATATTCTTAGTGAAGGTGCCACAGTGATAGCTCAAAGACAGTACTGAGCTCTGTAGCACGAGCGAAGACATTCTTTGCCACTGCTCACCGCCACCCGGAAAACTCAAGTACCCTTTGTAACCCCGTTGCACAATACGCGTGAATACAGACTCGACGCTATGGGTAGGTCATTTGGCACTCCCTCTCCACTTCGCAGTCTGGTATGAAATGCTCTCATCCAGGAATTCACCGCGTATGGTAGCATTCGGAAAGATTTATTGACGTGCGCTATGCCCACGGGAAAACGAGACGTCGAGCCTGAGCGATGTCTGCCTGATTTTGGCTTCATCGTGCGTCGTCAAGTCTACTTGACCGAGATCCTCAGTTGCAAGTCAACGGCGATGTCTTACACAATACGCACAAACATTGCAAGTCGAATAAACCGACACATCATTGCGACAGCTCAATTTGCATATTGCATGAAGAACAGAAGTCCATTCTCTTATCGGTAGTGTCATAGCAGGAGATAGTGATTGGCACTGAAAGCTGCTGCTCCTAGAACCAGTGCTTTCGAGCGCGGCGATGTATCTGCATCAATGAATTCAGACTGTCCGGTTGAGACTGCCCTCATCACCAGCGCGGGGTCACCAAAGCATACCCGCAACCGCCATGCTCACACTACGATCGATCCTCACACTTCTCGTTCCTGATCATGATCAATCTGTTCGTCTAGTCGCGCCGTCACGCGTATCTGAGCCTGCTCTGTTGCCTTCTTCCTGGCTTTGTTTTTCAGAACATGACGAGCAATCGACTGCGTCTCGCCTATGTTACAGGGTTGCATACTGTGAAAGAACGATACATTACAGGAAGAGGATTGATTCTGCACCTAGGCATGGGCGGGCACAGTCGCCTCCGTGAACCTGGGTGTGAACGACAGAAGGAAGGTCCGATCAGCAAGAACGTCTGCCACGCCATTGACCTCGACGGCCCTTCCGCTGGACAGTGAGCACGCCTACCGCTACACGCCGCCAACGAATCCTCCCTACGGCTATCGTACTATCAACAGCAGGGCCGCTTTGGTTCCAGCATATTTCTATGCAGACCGACGATCGCTCACAATGGATACACATTCTTCCTGCCCATGGTCACTCGCCGACTCTCCAATCGCCGACTCCCCAACACTGTCGCAGCGCGTGTCGTGGTCCAACTCATCAACGAGCATTAAGAACAGCGAAGGCATAAAGTACCGTGATGAGTTCCGCAGATTATATGAGAGCACGTCCGAAGCTGTGTATTGTACGCCCATGCCCAAGATCGAGATTGCGACACCGGAGCCAACGCACAGTAGCTCTCGCGTGGGAGTAGCACCTGTCTCGGAAGAAGAGCGTACCTCAGAAGACCCGAAGTCTATAAAGCAAGCGACCGAGATGTGCGCCCCGCTAGATCCAAATCTCCTCGAATGGGAGGGCATTCAAGATTCTGACCATCCAGGGAACTGGCCAGGCTGGAAGAAGACCGGCAATATCACGATCATCTTGATGATGTGTGTGACTCAGTGAGTACAACTTCAAACACTGTGGGAGTTCAATCACGTTATCGATCGGCAGTGCATTCGCAACCACCGCTCCCATACCCGTTATCGGAATGATACAGGTAGATTTCGGGTCGAATGATGTCTACCTGTCAGCGTTTGTTGTCTGCGCCTACGTCCTTGGCTTCACAGCAGGGCCCTTGCTGGTTGTTCCGCTTGCTGAAGACCTTGGTCGCGTTATCATGTATCATTTTTGCAACATCCTCTTCATCAGTTTCAACTGCTGGTGTGCGAAATCCGAGGATCTGGTCATGCTAGCGCTAGCACGATTCCTCTCGGGCTGTGGAGGTGCTGTTGCCCAGTCTCTCGCAGCTCGCAGCATCAGCGTCTTGGTCCAAGGTGGCGTGGGTCTCCTCATGGCATTCGTGGTGTTAGCTGTCTACCTCACTCCAGCTATCAGTCCACTTGTTGGGAGTCATATCTACATCGACTAGGGCTGGCTGTGGATCTTCTGGGTTACAGCAATGATGGGTGGCTTCTGCACCGTCATCGGCGTTGCGATATCCGAAACACACGAACCGATACTCCTACGCAGAAAGGCATTTATGAGGACACAAAGCACCCACAATTGGGGACTTTACACGCCCTATGGTTTCGGCGAACACCCAGGTCAAACCGTCAGTACCCGCTTCAAGCGCACTTTTCCCCAACCTTTGCGCATACTCCTCTCGCCGTCGTTCTTCTTTACTTCATTCATACCTGCTGCAGGCTACGCAATCTTGTACATAATTTACATCAATCTGCCACGGGCCTTTCTTCCCGTCTATATTTAGCCGTCAAGGAATCTTGGCCTTGCCTACTTTGAAATTGCAGTGGGCATTATCATCGCCATCGCTACCGGAGCTGCAACAAGCGAAAAATATGCAACGCTGCAAGCCACAAGGAATGACACGAGAGCGGAAAATAGACTGGTTCAACTCTTATGCTTTTGGCCATTCACACCCCTGGGGCTCTGTCTATATGGATACTTCTGCGTCAGAAGATGCATTGGGCGGGCGCGATAGTCAGTCTGGAATTTATTGGTGCTGGAGTCATGTTCGCCATCGTATGTTACCATCTTCACTCAGCCTCTCTCGCCTGCTGACAAAATGTAGCAACTCAACGGTCTTTACCTTATCGACGCATTTCCTACAAGGTTTATATCTGCTACACACGCAAGCATACTTCTGCAACCGCTATTGGGGGCGCCATCCCATTATTCTCACAAAAACTGTACGATTATGCTAGTCCACCGGACATATTCTATCTTCTGCGGGGCGTTTCATTCTTTTTGACTGTTGTACCGGGTATCTTCTCACTCAGAAGAGGAGAGAGGCAGGCGTGATACCAACGTTCTTGCGTGGATGAAACGCGCGTATGGTGCTCGCCTCACTTTCACTTTCATCGTAATCGTAGTGTTTGCTATTGTTCACTTATTGGCCATCCCGCTACGCGTTCTCACTATTGTAATAATGTGCTGAGACGAATTCACTTATTGTCTTCTTAGCACAACATCGGCCTCGATGCATTGGCAGGATATAAATTTGAGCTCTCAAGCACGTTTCTTCGTTTCCTCATACATTCCAGCTACCTCATTGCACATCGCAACATCAAATCTTTCTTCAGCTATCAATTACTTCGCACTTGAGACATCGTATTCTCCATTCGCGCTTCTAATATCACAGCTGTCCTCCTTAGCGTCTGCACGCTAGCGTGGGACGAGGATATCTACTACCGGTCTTTCCTTGGACCGATCCTCGACCTGATTTTGGACCGTGATCCCTACGACCCCTTCGACTCAGGCTCTGGCTATGCTATCTTCATTGACGACAACTGGAACGTGATCAGCGCATTCTTACCTGCTCTGGAGCCTTCTGCTCCTTGTTTCGCTACCACCTCTCATCATCTTTGCACACCTGGTCCGCAGTGCCGCCGTCCACGCCCTTTGGGGCGAAACCACACTCAAAGGCTTGAAGGCTCCGCGGACGAATCTACAACCCAGTTCTAATACACGCTACATGATACTCGGCGGAGACGGAACGGTGATCTGGGTCTGTGGAGTGGGCGGCGGATTCGAAGATATGATCGGCGGGAACATTGAGGGGGCTATTGCCAGGTTCTACAGGTGCATGCGTCCTGCGCGCCCTCATCTTCGACACCGTTGCAGCCCACCGGACGCAGCACGACGCCATCACTACCGGCGCGAACCTCGTCCGCAAGTTCACCCGCGAGATGGCACCCGAGCCGCACGCTCAACCCGATCCACCATCACCGATCTTGACCTGGACGGGCCTGTACAACAAGCATCGTAACTTTCACAAGCGCATATCGAGCAGCTTGAAGGTACGCGATAGTTAGCGGACTCGACTACTCCGTCCGGTCGAGGACTATATCGCGGGCAGGACTGGGATGCGAGAAGAGGAGTTTGTGGACGAGGCGGTTGTGAGTTCGTGATTTGCGGGCAGGAAGCCGTCGCGGCCGCGACCAACTCAGCTTGATCGGAGGTGCAGGAGCGGTAGCAGCAATCGTGAGAATCGACGGAGGGGAAGGTCGACGGAGAGGCAGGTCGATGAAGATGATTACATGACTATGGAAGATGCTTAGGAATTGCGGGATAGGATTGGCGTGTGGATTGGATCGGACATGGAAACGTTTTCGGCATGATTGCGTTTGAGTCAGTCGCAAGAACGATGGAGGTGAACGTTGGGCACGGGGTATGAGTGCATTTCCACCGAAGAAAAGACGAGGAGAATCAAGTAGGATGGCAGAGTGGATGCTCATGTGCTGACACTGTAGTATTGAGGTTGTATACGCGACGGTTCGGACTTTAGCCCTCGATGCTGTACATCCGTCATTCCTGCCTTTCCACTTCCACACACGACATGTACAATGATCATCCACCGTCCATCAGCTTATCTCATCCGAGTTCCTGAGCTCTTACTGTGAGATCCCCTGTCTACCAACGGCCGTTCAAGGTGGCCATCCAAGGTTCACTGCGACAATGGCCGGCCAGACCTCCGCGTGCCAGCAGCCTCTGAGCCTGGAATGTGCCCCAAGCGCCTGTACTCTGAGAGGAGCGGCATCTGGAGGTTACACGGATTGCATTTACCACGTTGCTGGATTCTTTGAGCCATACACCCACAAGCCAGCGTAGACGGGCGCCAACTCATCGTAGATTAAGGATGCATCTACACACACATGACATTGCCCTACTACGAGAACGGCAGGAAGAACAATGGCTGCGGAATCATGTACATGCGGAACTGACTTTAATATCATTGATGCCTCTCGCCCTATGGAGTTCGAACTCGATGCATCGGCAAAAGGAATCGCAATCCCGCTTTCCCACAGGCTTAGCGTTGGCTCGTTACGCAATGCGCGTGTCACCGAATGCGACACCATCGGTGCCACTGCACAATGACAGCTGAGACACGAAACATGCCAGGTGCACCCCTAAGATGCTACAAACCATAGAGAGGTTGCCGATTGCCTAATGGGAGGCGCGTCCATCGATACCGGTGAAGGCGAGGAGCTTGAGACCTGCCAACCAAGACTCAACCATGTGGCACTTGCCAGCGCACCAGATATTCTCAATTTGATGTATATGTGAAGGCAACATTGGCGTTTGCCTTAGACTCGTTCAGTATCAGAAGCCCACCGCCGCACCTGCCACTTGACTTACGTTTTTATAACCCCGCCGACACGACCATTTCCGAACACCTACATCGACTGATATCGCCTCAACATAAAATGGAGGATCAGCCTGAGCATAGTGTCTCGAACGAGAAGTCTACAGCAGTGGGTGAACGCCAACTGCATCGCGGCGACTATGGAGCCGAGACGGAGTTGCAGAGGCATCTCTCGACACGACATGTTACGATGATAGCTCTTGGCTCGTCAATCGGCATGGGTTTGTGGCTAGGCTCCGGCAAGTCTCTTGCTTCAGGCGGACCAGTCGGTGAGTCTCCAAGGGCTGCAGATCGCGGTAGAGTGACACAAACTTATCACAAGCTATGGCAGGTATCTTCTTAGGCTACATACTCGCTGGGTCAATGGTTTGGGCTGTTAGCCACTCAATTGGAGAGTTGGCCGTGCTTTATCCTCTCCCCTCGGCTTTCGTGCAATGGACTGGCAAATTCGTCAGCCCTTCCGCAGCATTCTCGCTGGGCTGGGCATACTGTAAGTCTATCGTCGCGATGCCGAATTCGGCCGTGAGAATCTGTATGCTAACAGGTGATAGGGTTCAACTATATCCTCACCGTTGCCAATGAGATCCAGGTTACTTCTGTCGTAATGGGTTTCTGGACAGATGACCTTCCGAACGCGGCATGGATCACCATTTTCTGGGCCGTGGTCACTCTAGCAAACGTCTTCGGCGTCAAAGTTTTTGGTGAGATCGAGGTCGTCGGCGCATCGATCAAGTTTGGGTGGATCATCGTGGTCATCTTCTCATTGATAGGTATGGATGGCTTGAGTAGCTATGCAAGTCATCACTGACAAGACTGATATAGTGACTTCTGCAGGTGGTGCACCTGGCCATGGTCCGATCGGTTTCCGGTACTGGAACTCCGACCCATTTACCCACGGGTTCAAGGGCTTTCTTTCGGTCATGCCGACGTGCATCTTCGCCATGGCAGGTTCAGAAAATTGTGGCCTCGTAGCTGCCGAGACGAGAAATCCTCGGAGGTCCGTCCCTCGAGCAGTGGGCTCAATCTGGCTGCGATTATCGCTCTTCTACATCCTTGGAGCTATGATGGTGACCATCAACGTCGATCCTCACAACAAAGACCTTTTCGGCCAATCCGGCACGAATGCCTCTCCTTTCGTAATTGCATACAGAGAGGCTCGTCTTCCTGCCCTTGCCCACATGATGAATGCGGTCATTCTGATCTCGGTCGTCACAACCGGTACCATCTATATATACAGCGGCAGTCGCAACATTCTTGGACTCGCGCATCTCGGCATGGCACCAAAGCAATTCAAGCACGCGGATGACTCAGGCCGACCTTGGCCTGGCCTTGTTCTGTCCATCATCCTCGGTGGCGGACTTGCCTATCTGAATGTAAAGAACAGCTCTGCTGACGTCTTCTCTTGGTTATCCAACATGACGTCGTTATTCACGCTGTTTGGCTGGGGTATGATCTGCCTAGCGCATATTCGATTCCGCCACGCATGGCATGCGCAAGGCCGCTCTGATTCGGATCTCCCCTGGAAGTCCTGGACCTACCCCTACAGTGCCTGGTGGGGCCTCATCTGGTGTATGGTTCTCATCGTCGTGGAGTTCTACCTAGCGGTCTGGCCTCTGGGCTTGCCACCTTCCGCCAAGAACTTCTTCTCAAACTACGTTTCGGTGATTGCTATCGTAGTTCTCTACTTGGGTGCGAGGACATACTATCGAGGCCCGTGGTGGATCAAGCTTACGGACATCGACCTGGATGCTAACAGGCGTTTCTACGTCGACACTGAGATAGAGAAGGTGCCTGAGAAAGGTCTACGCGGCAAGGCGGAGAAGGTACTGGGATTTTTGTTCAATTGAACAAGAGCAGGCCGTCATGGTAGGCTGTTCGGAAGAGACGACTCCTTCATGAAATGATAGATTCATACAATGATCGCACGCAGTGTATGGAGGGCGCGACTCATGTGAGAATGCAAATGCAATATGGTTTAATATGAGAAGATTCGCGGTAACTCATTCGTCACTTTCTTGCATGCTTGTGGCTTCCATGTGAGTGTCCTACATCCTGCTCTGCCAAGGTCGGATCCCACGTAGCAGCATCCCCGACGTCCTCCCACATGACGGCTCGCTCTGTTTCCCAGCTCCACGCTACGATCGCATCGAAATTGCGACAAGTATGTTTCGTGGAAAAGTCCGGCAAAGAGTTTTGTCGCCGAGGCACGGCACTGTCGTCGATGAAAGTAACGGGAGTGACGTCGGCGGTACACATCAAGCTCAGTCGCAAGGCGTCAACGCAATGATCTATGAAACATTCAGCTCAAGGGTGTAACTTGTATCTTCGGGATGCTCACCATGATGAGTCTGGATGGTGCTCCTGGTCGCGTTCTGGACAAGGTAATCCGCCCTGTAATAGTCCCAGTTGTAGAACAACGCCTTTCTCAACTCGTCCTGAGACTCTTGATCAGCTCCGCACATTGCTCTCTCGACCGGTCAGATAGACCGGATGGTCACTCACCAAACAATGCAACAAATGAAATACCTCCAGCATAGCAACATACCCGCCCTGCGCATCTGGAATTTGATGCTGACTCTTCGTCCCGTCCACGAGCTTCTTCCCCAGACCCTTTAACTCTTCGCCAGATAATCTGAGACCCGGCATCCCTATCCCGACATTCGTCCATGCTTCGTCGACTTCTTTGGGCGGACGCACACCGTTGGGACCTCGGAATGTATTCGTTTGTGAGATCTCTGCGTTGAAGAAGTCGGGCTTATTGTATCTGACGGCGGTGAGAGCGGGTGCTGGTACGATGTGTCAGCGCTTTTCCATGAACGGAGGGGGCGTGGCTGCGTACACCAAGTTGACAGTTTACGGGAACAGTTCTCAAGAGATGACTGCCGCCAAACAGCCGAACTGACAAGGAGATATAAAGTTGATGTTGCGATGTGTGAGAGCAGGAGAGAGTGGTCGCTTAGCATCCTCCTCCACTTGGAACGTGGGACAACCACCTTTTCTGAACCGAGAAGGCCATGGTCTTCCTCGTGTATTGTCTCTGTGCTGGTTACGCTACGATACGAGCCGCTTTCTGAACCGAAGGCCATGAGGGAGAGAGAAGATACAGTGCTGGATACAGACCGCTGGGCCGATAAAGTGCAAGTCGCAGATCTCGCACTGTGTTTTCTTGATCTCTCATGGCCGACTTGCGTATACGATACTCCCTACGAGACTAGCTTCGTTGGGAAGGTAGATGGAGGGAACCTCTCGTATTGCTATCGTTCCTACGGGGTCCCTGCTAGCTTGTGCTGGACCCTGCAATTTTCTGCGTGTGTCTTCCGAAGTGTGACTTCTGTAAGAGGATGCGTCTGCGAAGCCACAATTGTTCAGATGGGACGAGGTAGCGAAGAAGAATCGCCAAGCTTTTGCTTGACTTTCTCAAGCGCAACGTCGTCCAAGATCGTGGACTAGTTATATCAATCATTCAGTAAAGTTCTTATAAGGTTTCTTCTTATTTGGCCGCACATTGCACTTACAGTACAGTACTTACCTAAGTCTTCAAGATCACCCTATGTATGTTCGTATCGAGCCATGGGCGTGATAGTGATAAGTTGGATTCTATTCGGCACTCGTGGTAAACATGATACGGTCCAGTGTTGGCTTCGTATGCACCCTGCTCGAGATGGGTGTCTGAAAGTGGAACGTCAGCCCCAATCTGGACCCGAGTGGTATTCTTTATGTCCTTTGCAAAGAATCAGTACTGAAGATGCACATCATTGGGAAGTCGAGCTTGGTACTCACCCATGACGGTCCCAGCTTTATTCAGTCCAGCTAATATCTCAAGGTACCAGAAACCACTCCTCTTCCCAGTCATACGCGTACGCTATCTCCAGTAGAGAAGTTCGTATCTGTAGCATCACCGCTCTTACGTCTGGCTAGCACAGATGATCCTTTGGAGTCCCGGTGCTTAGTACCCCGAACCGCAAGAAGCAGGAGACAAGACTATCTCTGGCCATTCGGGTATCGATCTAGAACAGCGGCTTAGCAGTCTATGCTCTCTTCGACGTTGGTAGACTAAACTTACGCTTTGATTGGCCGTGGTCCTTATGGAGGAACCTCCAGGCTGTGGCAATATGAGCTACACGCGATGCAGCATCTGGAGTGACGCTACTCCTCAGAGTGACGAACTCCTCATTCTAGCCTAAAATATGATGGCAGTATGCCGGCAAAATCACGGCTGTCGACGGTTCAGTCTGTTCGTCTGCCAGAGAAGGATCACTGAGCCGTCTATAAGAGTAGTCCATCCAACTGAAACAATCAGCAAGCATACACCCAAAGCTCTATTACGCCCACATCACCTTGACTCATAGCTTCTATTCCTAAAGCAAGTATCGTCATGAAGGCCGCCATCGCATTTCTGATCCTCGCCGCCTCGGCCTCGGCTGCTCCCATTGCTGGACGTGCCCCTCTCGCGGAGTCCACACTCAACACTCGCGTCGGCGCATTTTCCGCTGAAGCGTGCTACGGGGATTGGTGCGAGACAAAGCGTGAGGTAAGTCTTCCCCTAGTTCTAGAATCCGATCAAGAGCTGACATATCGAGATAGGCTTCTCCTGATAAGCGCGACTCTACGCTCAACAATCGCGTCGGTGCATTTTCTGCCGAGGCGTGCTACGGCGACTGGTGTGAGACGAAGCGTGAGGTTGCTGGACATTCTGCCAAAGAGCCACGCGAGGCAAATGCTAAGACAATCAATACTCGTGTCGGCGCGTTCTCAGCCGAAGCATGTTATGGCGACTGGTGCGAGACGAAGCGCGAAGCCAAGGCTGAGGCTGAGAACTGAAGTGAGTGAAGGGATGAGTCGAGGTTGAGCATGTTAGCTACGTTGGAAGCCGATGCAGGACACGAGCGTAGGGCGGTAGTAGGGTGCTGCTGATTTTGGCCTTGTCATTGAAACGGGCCACGCATGATAGGTTGGCGTTCAGTAGGTAGCGTGACTTACGTAGCGTAAGGAGCGATCGAGTGTTCACCGACCAACTGCCCGCAAGACAACACTTTCGCTATGATGTTCTCACATTTGTCCATCTATTTGCGCAAACGCGGTTCCAGATATCTTAAACAGTGATCGGTCCAGCATGTTACCACATGCCGTGGCTAAATGACTACGCCTCAATCGCACTGCTGTGCCTCTGTATCTACTTTTCCCCATTGTCACACTCCCGAAGTGATGGCTCGTCTTCAGCCTCTAACTGTCAGTGTGACTGGGAAATCTGCACACACTAAGCTGCACTGCGTGCAATAAACGATGATCATTGTATTTCTTTTGGTTAGTACTCGCATCGAATAGCTTACCTGTACTAAATGTCCCAGTTCCTTGCGGCGTATAGCTACCGCTTCATCTCACACCCTCTCAGCAAGTATCCCGGGCCAAAGCTGGCTATAATGACAGATTGTTACACCGTGTATATTGCATTGAAGAACCGTCTGCATCTGGTGACCTACCATGACCACCAACAATACGGTACGATGCTCTGCCAATTTTACCCGTTACCCAGGGCGCCGCCAACAATGACCCAGGCTCAGTAACACGACACAGCCCGAACAAGCTGGTATTCAACTCCCACAGAGCGCTTCATGGTATAGTTCCATCACAACTCGCTCTCTCACCATCCCACTTTGGCGCGAGCTGCCCGTAGGAGATCCGGGATCGATAGAGCCCCTACTTATCGACGGCCACTTGGTGCCCGCCGGGACCTGGGTCGGTGTGAATATGTACACGATTCACCACAATGAGGAATACTTCCCTGAGTCGTTCGCATATGGACTCGAGCGGTGACTCGAGGAAGGAGAAACAGCAGAGACGATTGCAGCCCGCAAGAAGCTGCGCGACGTCTTTTCTCCGTTTGGTGTTGGCTCAAGGGCCTGTGCTGGCAAGGCGATGGCGTACATGGAGGCCAGTCTTACTCCGGCGTTGACAATGTGGTGCTTTGACTTTGGGTTGTCGAAAGACCCTAAGTTGGCCAGTATCGGAGGTGGTTAGCCAACGGACCAGACGACGCGCGATCGGGTCGAGGAGTTTCAGACTTATGACGAGTTCATCTCCACGCACGACGGGCCCTATCTCACGTTCAGACCGCATGGTGATACCTTTCGCGATATCGAGTAATTACCGAGTCAAGGACGGTCTTCTCTGCGTACAAAACCCACAAGTAGATACGCCGACCAGGAAGAGAATATAATGTACTTTCACTTTTGTTGATTCGTCTGTTCTTGTCGCAGAACAGCGACCGAATACGAGGTCTATCCGTTTATCTAAACCAGGCATGCTGTCCGTTCCGCACTGGAAGGTAACAGGCATGCATGTGCAATACAGTAAAAACATTACAAAAACAAGATGAGCCCAAAATAGCCAAAGATGAGATAGGAAACCTCCCAGGATGGGAAAGAAACACTAACTCATTACCATGCGTCATGTCGCTAAGAAGTACATGTCCCAAGCATTGGACGATTGAGACGACGATGAAGGAAAAAAGCTGAGCATCTGTTGTATGTGAAACAACCGGAGTGTTTACCGCTTACGGACGGTACGGATGCTGCTCGTTAGGTGGCGGTGATGTGGGAGACTGTGTCCGGTAAGGGTTTGTGCCCGCATTCGAGGACGTTGACCTCAGACCGCCGGATTGCTGCTGCTGCATTGCGGGACCGCGAGCATCATTACGTGGAGGCGGGGGGACCATTGTCTGGTACTGGTATTCCTCTATGTTTCCGGTTGAGATCGAGCTTGGTGAACCAGGCGTGCGTGGCACCGAAAGTGGTGCAGGTGCGTATGAGTTAGCATTGTTAGAGTGTTGAGGCGACGGATTCACGGCGAGAGGGAGTGGAGGCATGGCTTGCCTAGTCTCGGTGCTGTAGCCACTGGGAGTGGGCGCGAGAGTAGAACCGCCCTTGCGGCGACCGCCACTGCTTGCCTTGTGCAAGAGGCCGCGAACTTCATCTAGATCCGGACGGTTACTGCTCATGCTAGGACGGCCGTCTATACTCGGGCGACCGATGGTGCTACCGTCGTCGCGTGCTCCCCAAGTGTCATCGCGAACAGCGTCTACACCAGGCTTGCGATTGTTGATCTGGTTGATAGCAGCGCCCTCGCTGCCAGTGGCGAGGTAGTCGAATCCGGTAGACTTGCCCGTGTCTTCGTTGTCATCTGGCGTCTTTGTGGGATACAGACGGGCAGCGTCCTTGTCGTCGAGGTACTTCTGTCGCACTGACTGCGCGTGCTCAGGCGAAATAGCTACAGACCAGGAAGGCTTGTCGGCACTACCAAGAGCAGCGTCGCTACCACCAGGGCCAGCAATCGGAACCTTCCTTAGGGCGACGACCAGAGCACACATGAATTTGGACCTTCGGGATGCTCGAAGGCTCTCGTTAGACCAATTGCTCTTGTGGCGGATCTCGACACGCAGCTCGAGCTTGTTCATCTCAGCGATGCTCACGACCTCGACTTCAATCTCCGGGTGGAAGTCACGAGTGTTGGCAGGCTCGCGTACGAAAGTCGCCAGCTCCTGCTTAAGAGCGTTGATGTCTTCGAATGAGGTGCCGAAATCGCAGAAGATGGACACTTGCTCTCGCATCGCCGTCGAACGCGTAATGTTCTCTACCCACAAGTTGTTGAGGACGATGTTGGGCGTTTGCACAATTTTGCCGTTGTTTACACGCTTGAAGACGGTGTAGAGCAGGGAGATGTGCTCGACGGTGAATTGATCGGCGCCAACATCGACACGGTCGCCGATATCGTATGGGTGCTTGACGAAGAGGAAAATGCAGGAACCGAGGACTTCCTGGCACGTGGCAGCAAAGACGAAGGACAAAGAAAGTAGAGCCGTGGCGGAAGTCGCAAGAGTCGTCGTAAAGCTTGGGCTGAGGAAGCAGACGATAACGAAGATGCAGACAATGAAGACGATGGTGAACAGAAGAGCATCGAGGGCGTTGATGGCCTGGTCGACATCGTGCATACTGGACGCGATAGACTTGCGCTCACGTCCAAATTCTGCCACGGTCATGATCATCTCTTCAAGAGAAATGTCGCCGTTGCCGTCTTTGTCAAGCGCGCCAAAGCACTCCTCGGCCTCTTGTTGGCGACCGGCGCCCATGACCTCGACCAGATCGTCCATGTATAATTCGTTCTTGCCTTCGACGACAAACGACAGCCAGATGCGCCTAGCCAAAGCCTCAGCAGAGCGGTTGTGCTCGATGGCTTCCAGTACAATCGAGTGAGCCGAGTTGGGGTCGAAGACCTTTTTGCCGGTGATTTCTTGGGCAACAGCACCGAAGACGCCCGTGACCTTGTCTCCAACACGTCCCACGTTCTGCAACAGACGCATCGGGGTCTTGGAGCCTGAGCGATTGTGGCCCATTGTCGCTTTCCTGCTTCCGATAATGAAGGGCATATTGTCCTGAATGATATAATCTTCTTCGGCGAACTCGTTGGAGTATTCTGGAAAGAGGGCGCGGGAGGCGTCGTACATAACCCCCAGGAGGTAGATGTTGCGTTTTGAGTCCTTGATCTTGGAATCAAATTGCTTCCTGTGATAGCTGATACTGATCAACTGGATGAGCACGCGCTCGGCAAGAATGATACAGGTGCACACCAGGAGAGCAAGCAGGACAGATCCGACTTTGGTCATCCAGGTTGGCTTTTGGTCGGATGGCTGCACGATGAGGACCTGGTATGTGACCTGGTTGACGATCATCCAGAAAACGAAAGAGAGTGGCTTCTCGAGAGCAGCGAGCAATTGAACATATTTCTTGATACCGGGGCTGACGACGCCGACAAGGAATTCGAAGATGCGGGGAAGGAAGTGAGCGACGATCTTGCATGCCCAGAAACTGAGCCAGACTGGATATCAGGTCAGTGGTTTGTCTTTGGTTCGCAACAGCTGCGTGTACGTACTGATCTCGATCCAGATGAAGAACAAGCGCGGTTCAGCGCCATTCTCGCCTCCGATCCTGACAGACTTTTTGATTACGCCTGTGGCGGCGAGGATGATGGGAATAGCCAAAACGAGTGCCAGTGGAGCAACATAGATCATGTAGCGTGTGACGATGCTGAAGTTGAGAATCTTCATATACAGCTTGCCCATTCTGTTGAGGGCTGTCTTGTCCTCGTCATCCTGGGAAGCGCCAGGGGCAGCATATCCGTTCCCCCTGGAGTCGACCTTCTGGACACGCCGCCTGCCATGGAAAATACCCCTCTTCTCAGAAGAGCCGGACTTCTCCTCTCGCAATGTGGCGGTATGTGAGGGCGAGTGACTGACGACAGTCTGCAGGGGTATGTCTGCGGTGTTGCTCATGTTGCCTGTTTCTTCGTGCAGCGGCTGGAAGCCCTGGCGGGAGAGTCGAGTAGATGATCTCTTGGAGAGGTTCGCCGACATCGAAGGGCTGCGAGGGACCCTTGGGACGCACGGTAGGAGAGGCGATGGAAAGGGCGGTGGTCACCGCGGCGGTGGCAGGCGAGGGAATGCGATCGGTGGAGCTCCGATCAACCGATCAGCTGGGACAGAAGAGAAGAGTGGAGAGACTCGTGGATTGTGCGTCAAGCACCAAGGGAAGGAAGGTGGGACAACAGCGGCACCTAGGAAGACCAGCTGTCGCAGTTGTGCAGGGACAGGATGCTATTAACGAGAGGAGTCGCTCCGGGGGCTGCACTGCAAGGCAGGTCGCGAGGGGCTCGGGCAATGGACAAAGAGACAAAGAAAAAGGGAGCAGAGTCTTTCTTGAGCGTGGAATGCGTTTGCTCGTGTCGCGGAGGACCCTTGCACGCTGCAGGTACGCGCGCCACAGGCTTAACCACGCTGGGCGCTGAAACAGCACTAAAGTCCGGCAGGCTGCGCCCTCGAGCAAATCATAGTGTGCCCAGCGGCGCTGCCAGAGCATCTCAGCCCGCTGTTCGCACCCATCCCCAGCGACGGCTCATGAGCTGCCTCTGCAAGCGAGCGGCCCACCAGCGAGTGGAATCGCAGCCGATCCTGCCTGTGACGAGGACGTGTTGCGTAACAGGAGAGATCGCGAGCAGCTGAACCGCTCCACCGCAGACCCCTGAGTCGCATCACATCTGGCCGCTGACGTCCTCGTCCTCTTATCGATAGCCTAGCTACTGCTCCCGCTGTGCCGCGGTGCCGCTGTCCCGGCCGGAGTTCGCGAGCGCCCTGAGGCTCGGGCATGCTTCAAGGCTGCGTTTGCGCGTCTCGAGTCGAGGGAGCCAAACTGTGCAGCCGCCGGGCACGAGGCGCGGTACCATCGCAACTCGCACCATACCCCGTTTACAAGCCCGAGCAAACGTGGCTGCTGTCGGCCGTCATCTTGTCGAAACCTGGGGTGAGATGGCGTGTTAGATATCCCCGGCGCAATCGCGGGCCTCCTGCTACCGGGCTGCTGGGATCCTGAGCGTCCTCACATCTCCCACATGCAGCCCGAACAACGTCGTGAAACCACGTGGCGTCGATTCATTTTGCACAGCGACCGTTCGACACATCTCAAGAAAATTCTGAAAGCGCTCGCGAGATGATCCCCACAAGCTGTCAGAACCCAATTGGCGGGGTGCCGGCATTGCGCGTAGCCGGTACCTGCCCTGCAGATCTAGTGCAGGGGGTCGAATACATGAGACGTCCAGGTCCAGAACATAGAGGTCCAGAACACAGAGACGCGCAAACGTTGAGAACGACAATGGGGCCGACAGTCTGACCGCGAGCGCCCTTTCGTCAGTCAACCTGGATTGCGCAAAGATTGCGTGTGCCAACACCTCGGGCTGGAGCACATCTCCCGATATCGAAAACGGATCCTCTACTCTCCACCAGCGCCTCGTGGACATGTTCGCCGTCGCCTCCCTACGGTCAGTAGAGGCGAAGGGACGCGATATTGTATTACTGCATAACTTGATAGAATGTGAATTCGACCGATAACCGAGTCAAGTTCGTAGCGAACGCACGTCTGCCAAATTCACCTCTGCAAACGCAAGCATCATGGCTCAGTGCTCTAACGACTTCGCAGCTCTTCTCAGTCATACCTCCGCGGCCCCAAACGCAGAATATGCTAGGGAGACAGTTGCGCTCAGAACCTTCACAGTCTTACTGCTATACTCTTAAGCTTTGCTCACCGCCGGCATCTCGCCTACCTGAGGTGATCCCGGGGCACCCAACTTGTCAGCTTGAGCTTGCAATGCATAGCGTGCGAGAAGCCGTGGAACCAATGCTAAATATCTTGAGTAGATGGGTAGATGCACGGTGGATGCAACGCGGCAGATCTAACCATGCTTGTGTACGTTGGTACGGAGCCACACCATCACAAGCACAGAACATGAATGATGCAAAAACTGTGCTTCTTTGGCTACAAGAACACTTGCGCTGCTTTTGTTGATAAAGGGCCGATATATGACTACGACGAGACTACCCACCACCTGAGCCAGTGGAGAACGGGCAAAGCGCGCTCCCGTCAGCGCACTGGAGAAGACAACAGCATAACTGTCACGGTCGCCATAGTCAGCATACGGTATACGAAGAGGTTTTCCGAATCCATCGTCTGGGGTTGGTGGGAGTGTATAGGTCCGGTAAATCCGTCGGCCGCAAAGGAACTCAACCATACCCATGGTTGCCTACAGTCCCTATAGGGATGCGGGTAGGGGCAAGACTAATTGGAAAGTAAAGAGATGCACTGGTGCTGGTAGTGGCATTGTCGTAGTTGTCGCGGTTGCACGTCCGCAATTAAGTGGTGCTCGCAGGCGCAAGCAGCGCCTCGCGAGGCAAGAGCACTCTCGACAGAGACTGTCATCGGTGACAGTGGAAGTTGCTCCGCTCGTTTTGCAAAACACAATCATACAGATGTAATCGTAGGGGCGAGAAGGTCAATCGTTCTTTGCTGTACACCTTCCATATGGCATACACGAGCTCTGCGCAGGATTCGAACACCCGAGGTAGCAAGCTGAAATACTCGTCTCGCATACTCGTACTGCGTAAGAGCCGTCGGTCAGGTAGACTGCACTTGCTGTACTTTGTGAGCGCGGTTAAATATCCCTGTCACCCCGGCATGAGCCCACCACGTACCTGAAATTGTGCGGAGCTCGTGGCTACGGGCAGTCCCAACCCAAGTCCCGGCAAAAAGCTTGCGTGCTCGTGTCCTCTGGTCTGGAAATCTAGGCGAGAGACTACAATATGGTATCGTACTACCGTGGTGCTTTCTTGAGTCGCATGAGTGTTTATAGAAGATTCTTCGACTGCCTTTGTTCGCCTCTCTAAACTACTGCGCATGCTATACAGCTGTTGCCGTAAAGAGCTCAGAAATAGTGAGTACCAAGCCCGTGATTCGCACGTAACATCTCGAGATCCTGTGGGTGAGCCTTGGCTTTCGCGATAGACGGAAAAAAGTAGGCAATGCGCCGGATGCTTCCGCCCAGCTTCTGCTACGCTGCAGTAGTGTCACAAAGGATTCACACTGTAACCAATCTGATGCGGTGGAAAGAGCTCGGAGGTCTCGGAAGCTGACGCCATGTGGGTGTTGTTGTGTATACTGATGGTAGAAGAATAGGGAAGGAGGGATGACACATGCCGAAGGAAGGTGCACTAGTCTTCTCACGGCTTCCTCACGTGTCTGCCCCTCCGGGTTCAAAGGGAAGTGCTCCGGTACCGTAAGGAACCATTCCTCCACACCTCCATATAATCTCCAATTGAGCCTGTTCGTTCGCTTCCAGAATCTGCGTTCCTGCGTTCCTGATCCCGGCACACCAATCATGAGCCTCTCACATCAGCTGGGGCCTGCAAGAACTGGGGTGCATCTCACGCATATTAAAATCCATATTGTGGCGGCCGGACCATCAGTACAGTCGCCCCAGCACATAGAGCCGGGATTGATGAGCCACTTCTACAGATGAAATTCGCACCTGAAGGAGTGGATCCCCAGCTCTTGGAGTATATAAGTCATCAACAGAGACGACTACTGGGGGAGCTGCTCCCGCCTTTCGTGCATTCAATCAGATTCACAATGAGGACCTCTTGCGCTCTGCTTGCAATTGCAGCTTCCGCAGCTGCACTCCCTGGGGGACATAAACCCAAACCGCAACCCGATGCAGATGGAAAATATACCCTCACAGCCCCGGGCATCAGGGCTCAGGTACGATGAATCACCATCCGGCTTTTGACATTGTTCCTGTCGTACCCTCAAGGATTGTGTATTTGCGCGAGACTGCATGCGCCAAGAGACGGCGACCGAATGCTTACGTGGCTTACTTACCACAGTTCATCCCTTATGCTGCAACTCTTACAAACCTGTTTGTAAAAGGTGAATTGATTGAGTCCATTGTATGATACGTAGCTGAACCGGATAGACAAGAATGGTGTTGAGACAGACATCGTGCTCGGCTACGACAACACGTCTTACTATCGTACGTCTCCAAACTTTAGCTGAGAGTCATTTCTGACCACAGAAAAGCCGTGGATCCTGGTCACCCAGTATACAACGCCATTCCTGGACGCTATGTCAACCGTATCGGAAACGGCACTTACTCTATTGATGGTGTGACGTACCACACCGAGAAGAACGATGGCCCGAACACCCTTCACAGCGGAACAAACAATTGGTCTTTTAGAGTCTGGAACGTCACCGATGTGACCAGCTCATCAATAACATTCTCGATCCATGACCCATCCAACTCTTCCCTTGGCATGATCGGAGACGTTGATGCCAGTGTGACCTACTCCGTTTCGAAGAACAAGTGGAGCATCGTGATCGATGCCATCTCGCCACAAAAGAAGACACCCCTCATGCTCACGCAGCACACTTACTTCCAGCTTGATGCATTCAAGAACCCAGCAAACAGGACTATCTGGAACCACACTCTGTATGCGCCTGCCGCAAAGCGCGCATTGGTGGCCGATCAGAACGCATTGCCCACTGGTGAGATTGCGAACATCACCAAAAACAGCATCGACGACTTCTGGACTGCGCCTCACAAGCTGGGCTTCAAGTCCAGCGATCCCGGTTTCGAGAACCACTGCGGTAACGGCTGCCACGGGTACAACGGCGCCTTGGCCTTTGACAACAAGAGGAACAAGAAGGATGTTGCACTCACTCTCAGCAGCGCGTTCAGCGGCATCAAGGCTGAGCTCACTACCGACCAGGACGCGGTGGTGCTGTACACCTGCAACTGGAACGATGGAAAGACTGAGTTCAAAAGTACGCAGGGCGTGGCGGGCCAAGACAAGTTCATCCCGCGCGATGGGTGCATTGCCATTGAGGCCCAAGACTACGTTGATGGAATTAACCAGTAAGTTGTGTTATTTGAGCAGATCCATCACGTGCTAACGGTTCTCCGCACAGTCCTGAGTGGGGACGTCTCGATGAGCAGATCACTGGACCTGGGGACAAATACCATTGGGCATCGTCGTGGGAATTTGGCACTATCTAGCCAGCATGTCGGGAGGGTTTAGGGCAGTTATACCGAAGGAAAGGGCATGTAGATTCAGCAAAAGATAACACAAACACTATTTGCAGCGCCTTGCTTGCCTGAATCGAGTATGTACAGGCCAGATCAGACAGCGCACGCCCGGAAAGGCTAGGAAATGAAAGGGTATGCTGGCCGTGCCTGTCTGACTAAGGGCTAGTGTACCTCGTCATCGATCGAGCGCGACCTGATAGCCTCACTTCGGGCTGCCATGGGCTGCCAGTTGTGGGTCGCATAAACCACGTCAGCGATGCGAGATGGGCCTGAGCAGGCTTGCGCGGACCTGTCGGGTTTTGGCAGTTTGAAGTCTCTGATTGCAGCGCGGTGAAGGTGTATGCGTGACGCTGGATGAAAGACACAGATGAGCAGTCGCGGTAGGTAGGCCGGGCGGGGCCTTGGAGGCTAAGCAGCACAAGCTCCAATTAGGCGGTGCATGGCTGCGTCACAAAGGCTGTCTCAGCGCGCGTCTGTCTTGCGCTGGGCGTGAATTCCAGGGCCGCGACGCTGGCAGACGTTGGCGGCGCGCAGGGTCGCGCAGGTCTGATGAATGGCATGTGAGCTGGCTCCGGCCTGCGCGCCTTCCCCGCCGCGACCCACCTGCACGCCCATATCCTGGACGTGCCAAGAGCATACATCATCCAAGCCTCCTCTCCCTCACCACTCTGCCCTGCCCACCTAGCGCCCAAACACCTGTTGCTGCTGTCGCATTTCTACACAAACCAGCCCCAGCCCATGCACGCCCGCGCCCGCCGTGCGACTGCAGGCCCCCGCGGACGGCGCCATTGACCCTGTGAGCAGTGCTGTGCATACACGCAATTCTATCATGTCCTTGTGACACGCGCTATCTCTCGCACCCCTCGACCTCCTCTCGCTCGCTTTAGCCAACAGATAGGGAAGGAAATCGCGTGCTTGCACAGCTGATACTCCCTCGCCCTTGCTTATCTGCCCCGTTGCTTCCTCGGCTCGCTCGCTGCATCGACCGCCTCCCCACAATCGCCGGCACAACCGCAACGACACGCTCTCGCAATGGGGAACAGCCAGGCAAAAGAATCGCGTCCCACGTCGTCTCGCGGCACGGGGCGCCCATCGAACAGCCGCCAAGCCAGCTCACCCACTGCATCCGGGCCGGAGGAATCTTCGCGGCACGGTAGATCCGGCAGCGGTGTATACGGCAACTCTCGGAGCGGACGTGGAAGCAGACCCGACCTCTCCTTTCTAGGCATTGGGGGCAGCACTGAACGGGATCCGGCTCTGGAACCCAGGCGCGAAACCAAGGCGGAGCGGGAGGCGCGGAAGCTGGAGAAAGAGCGGCAACAGCGGGCGCAGGACCGGGAGCGCAGTATCCGGGAAGAGGGAGTAGATGGAGGCTTCTTGGTCACTTTGGGCACATACACGGGTCCGGAAGACTTCAGCAAGCCCACCGTCCGGCAATTGCAGGTATGTACCATTCCTGCGGTGTCATCAAATCTCACAGATGTCTAGATAGAGCGCCGGCTGGCTCCGTTCTGGAAAGGTCTTAATGACCACGAAGACACATGGACTGAGCATCAGTTGGTAGCTGTAGTCAATGACAAACCCCTACCGGCGCCCGACGAGATCCCAGAAGAAGAGCCACCGCGGCCGAATAACCTCAGCACTGAATGGAACCCGCGCAGCTCCAATCAGAACATAAACAGTCTCACCGTTGCCATGGGTGGGCGCACCATGTCGCAAGCCTCTGATCGCTCTGCCAATCTCACTGCGTCACATCCGGCTTTCTCACTCCCCTCACCAACATCTCCAATTGCAAACTCACCCTCTTCGACTCCCTTCTTCCGTGGCCGGGCTAAAACTCTCGCTGCACTCACATCAGGCTCTCGCAATGCCTCACAGACCGAAATGGGTCCTCAAGAGGTCCAACTCCCCAAAGACCCCTATGTCAATGGGCAGCGCCTTGAGGTCTTTCTGTACAAAGATGCGTCCGAATGTCCCATTTGCTTTCTCTACTATCCTCCGTACCTGAATAAAACGCGGTGTTGCGATCAACCTATCTGCTCTGAATGCTTTGTACAGATCAAAAGACCGGACCCTCATCCACCGGAGCACCACGGCGACTCCAACGAGCCAGGTAGTCCACCACCGGAGCCTCAGGAGGACGGTACTTTGGTGTCTGAGCCCGCATGCTGTCCTTTCTGTGTCCAAGCCGAGTTTGGCATTACTTACGAACCTCCACCTTTCAGAAGAGGACTAGTCTATGCTGGTTCAGGACATAATTCGTTATCGATGGCGGCAGCTTCGGCCATGTCATCGACATCGTCCCTGAACTCTCAAGGCCTCACATCACCTGGTCGGAGAAGAGCGGGATCGCTTGCAGCCACGGATTCATCAGTCATTACAACGGATCGCGTTCGACCCGACTGGGCGAAGAAACTGGCCGATGCGAGAGCCCATGCCCTTCGCCGAGCTGCTGCAGCGACAGCTTTGCATAATGCCGCATACATGATGGGCAACATCCAATCAGACAGCCGAGGTTTTAGCCTTGGGAGACGAAGGCGGACCATGTTCGGTAGTGACAGCGCCAGCACAAGCGGCAACGGAACGCCTCGTGGAGGAGATGTCAATGGCCTTCTTACTGCAGCGGCAGCGCAAGGATCTTCCAGTCGCACTGAGGGCCAGAGCGACTTGACTTCTAACCGGCAGAGTTCTCGAAGGGGCAACAGGCTGGAAGACCTCGAAGACTTGATGATGATGGAAGCCATCAGGTTGTCGCTCGCTGCTGAGGAGGAGCGCAAGAAGAGAGAGGAGAAAGAAGCAGCCAAAGAGGCGAAGAAGGAGGAAAAAAGGAAGGCGAAAGAGGCGAGAAAGGCCGAGAAAGCTGCGCGTAAAAGTGGATTCTTCATGAGTACAAATCAGGACGGCGCCGAAGATGATTCTGTGGGTGGTTCGTCCTCAGCTACAGGGAAAGGAAAAGCCGTCGATCGGTCTGGAGGATACGCAGCGTTCAACCCCATGGACGAGCCGACGTCTACCATCAATGCTTCATCTTCTTCCAGGGATGATTCGCAAAAGCATCTAGAACAGAGCCGATCTACCCTAAACTCGTCTTTACGAAGGGAGGGGAGTGGATCCGGAACTTCACCCTCCGCCGACTCCTTTAGCGTTGAACAACCATCCCACCGCGCGGCGTTACGCAACCTTTCGAATGCTTCGTCGTCGACATCCTCGCTTGCGGAGTCCCTTCAGGGATCGCTACAAAACGATAGTCACGGCAACTATGGCGCTTCTACGTCGTCATTCGGTCCTAGTCCAAACGCATCAGGCGTGAGTCTGGGCGTCGAAAATGACACTCCGCCCCAAGGTACACCCGGCACCGAACCCATGTTCAACTTCCGCAGCTTAGCAGAAGTCATAACAAAAGAGGAAGGCAAGGGCAGTGACAATCCTCAGTATATTGAAAATGTTGCAGAAGGCAAAGCCGCTACTCCCGAGCCTGCCGCTGCTGTGCTGACGTCTACAAACGCCGCTAGCTATACTCCATCCCCTCCAAAGATCGCGATCGAGCCGCCACAAGTCCCTACTCTACCTGCATTGGAACCCATGTCACCCCTTGACGCAAGTGTCTCGACTATCAAACCCGGCGAGAGTGATCGATCAGTTGACGAAGAGGATGAAATTGAGCCTGCGCCTCGTATTGAAGCTCTGCCGGGCACCGGAAGTAACCTCGATCATAAGCACATTGGGAATGTAAGCATGGTGGATCGCATAGGACAGCATCAACCTACGCAGTAAATTTTTCCTTGTTGGCTTTCTTGCATTCAGGCGTTTGAAGGGATTCGGCAGAAACTCGGCGCAGAACATCGGCCATTCGTCTTGGCCTCAGATTTTAGCCTTCTCCACAGATGGGCGGACCACTCTATATTCATAGTGTTTCATTGTATTTCCCAAACGGTCGTTTGGGTCCCGGATTTGATGGGTGCATTGGAATGTGGACGGTGTGTTAGCATACGCCAGGAAGGCGTAATGGTTGTGCTGGATGGAAGTAAGAAGCTGAGCACACCCGCCGATTCTTGCGTCGGATCTCTACGAAATTGGTAGAAAGTCACAGCTCAATCGATGAAAGTTCATTGTTGCATTCGTGGTCTTGATACTTCTTAGGTGTAGCCAGTTCATACCTGTCTCAGACGTGTCTTGTATGGACTGATCACGGCCGTTTGCTGACCTACGGTGCTGTGCAACATTCAAGCAAACAAGTCCGGGTCTGTCGGTGTTGAGAGTCATTCACGCAAACAATACCAATAACAACCTCCTCAGCCCACGGCTACATGTAGTCTCTCATACAGAATCGCACCATCAGCATACACACGAACACGTAGTCTAGCGGTCCATTATGCCCCCACCCCAAGACCCAACGGCTTCTCGTCGCTTCCGAATATGTCAGCACTCATGTGCTGCCAGTCTTCTGAGATTGATAAGCCTATGGCTTCCCTTGTGGCGGTGAGGAAACTCCAAGGTCTGAGAAAGGCGGGTTGCTGTGGCTGGGTGATGGGGAGACGTCGGTTCAAATCCGAATGTATTCAATCTTCTTTTTCGTAATTTATTTGTCTGTCTGGTGTCGTTCCTCTAGGAACTAGTTACAGAGATTGACTGACTATTCCCGCATCATGATTTCCATGGCTGAACATTCGGAACGTGTCAAAGCGAATACAAGGCGGTGCACCGGGCTGTTCCTAGCCATACGTAGAGCGTTCCTATCTAGTTAGCTTCAAGTACGGTAGTAGCGGCTGCGGATGCTACATAAATCAGCTCATTCTTCTATGCAATGACGACTTGGTTTGGTGAGGTTTCAGACGGATCAAGCTGTGCATCCTTTTGAAGGCAGACGGCTCCTTTAACGGTTGCTATTGCCGTGTTTGACACCTTAGAGCCGTGCAAAATGCCCGCTGTAGTTCTGTGAATGGTGGACAGCATGCAGCAAACGGCGCGATGGAGTCGCGCTGAGAAAGAGGGTGAAAGGCACGGCGGGTCCTTCGTCAAGCTTCTGCAGCCCGGCGCCCCGGCTTTCACAAAGAGACGACAAGCAGTGTGTATATAACCGCTGCACCTACACCCTTTAAGTTCTCACTCAGTGCAACCCACCCTGCGTTGGAGGTGGGGAGTTGAGATAGGATCCGAGGCCCTGCACGTGTGGCGTTGGTCGAGTGGTGTGGCGCGGACCCCCGAACCTCCGCACCTGTTACCAATTTGTTTACAGAGCGGGACATCATAGCAACCGGGGCACCACCTGGACGCATCACCCTCCCGCCAACACCGTCGTTCCTCCGCACAGCGCATTCAGCCAGCAGCATGCCCGGCTATCGCGACCGCGAGTCCATTGTGCCTATGGACTTTGAGTACGACAACCGCATCGGCCCGGTAGATTCGCAGTCGCCCTTCATCGCGCACGCGGCCAAGAAGCGTAAGCTGGTTTCCTTTGCGTCGTCGCACCCCGAGTCCGAGGAGCAAGTACAGAAGCTGAACGAAGGGCCACCCTTTGGCCCACCTGCTGCAGGCACCCACTCCATCTTCGACTCGCCGTCCAAGAGCTCCTTCGCGACGCCGAACCATCCCAAGCTGAGCGACCCCAGCGGCCAGCGCTTCCTCTTCTCGCAAACGACCCAGAAGGCGCTTCCACAGACGCCCCAGAACAAGAACGTCTGGGATCTGCGCACGCCGCAGAGCATCGTCGATAGCAGCGGCGGCGAGACTCCCAGCCACGACACGCCCGCGCACGACAGCGACTCGGCAACGCCAGACACGCAGCTGGCCCTCACCATGGGCGACCTGACGCACGGCGACCGCAAGAGCCCCTCAAAGCGCTCCAGTTTCTTCAAGAGCCTGCCGTGGAACAAGAGCCCCTCCAAGGACAAGAGCGCGCGCGAGAAGCCCTACTCCAAGAAGGTGGAAAACCGCGTGCTGAAGCGCCGCCTCAAGTCGCGGACTCGCCATGAGTACGAATCAGAGACCGAGTCGCCCGCTAAGAACATCCAGCAGGCAGCACCCGCAATTGGCTTCGCAGCCAAGATCCCCGGCGTCCTCGCCTGGGTCGAAGCCCATCCGAACCTGCCCAACGTGCTCTCTTACTACATGCAATTCCTCGTAAACACAGCGCTAGGTTTCTTCTTCCTGTGGATCGTATACGTTGTCTACTCTGCTGTCATGGCCGATATCGACAACGAGGCACACAACAAGGTGCGCGACATCATGCATGAGATCGCCGTCTGCTCCTCCGAGTACGAGCGCAATGGCTGCGACAAGCCAGTGCCCGCCCTCGAATCGCTGTGTCAGAACTGGAAGCGCTGCAAGGAGCGCGACGCATACCAGGTTGCGCGCGCAAGCGTCGGTGCGCGCACCTTCGCTATGATCTTCAACAGCTTCGTGGAGGAGTTCAGCTACAAATCTATGGTATTTTTGCTCCTTCTCCTTAGTCTCTGTTGGAAGCGGGACAGCATCAGCGCTGCTGTGGCGGACAAGGCAGACCAGCTGCAGCAGGTGGCTGCTCTGCGCGCGCTGGGCTATCAGATCCATGGCCCGTCCCCTCAAGCCCTTCATGGGCCTCCCACCCCGCGTGCCTTCCTTCCACCCGATGAGCATCTCGCTGACACGAATCTTGATTAGCTTTTCACTGCCATCATTCTCTTTGGCTCCCTAAACCTTTCCAACTGGGCCTTCGGCTTCTGGCGCCAGAAAGCGCAACCACACCCCCAACACGAGTATCCGCCCGTCCCCCAGACTCCCCAGCGATATCCCAGCGGTGGCTACATGGTCGACAACAACGGCTGGCACACGCCTGCTCCTTACATGACACCGTACGGGAACATGGAGCAACGGCCCATGTTGCAGCATGCACAAAGCATGCCCGCCGCACTTCCCAGCACAGGAGAGGATACCCTAAGAAGTCCCAGCAAAAAGGCGGCCAGGCGGTAATACCACACTCACTCTTGTTTCCTTATTTTCTTGCTCCTTTGTTCTCTATTTATTGTAGGGAGGCATCTTGGCGTTTGCGCGTTCGGCTTACACGGTACATAGATGCGATGGATGACAGATTGCTTCCAGGGTCTGGCGCAAGGGGGGGGCGTAAACATAACGTACCTGGAACGAAAGGCACAGTTGTCATCATAACGAAATTTTACTTTGTTAATGTGTATGCTAATTGCTTGTGTATGCTCGTGTATTGTGAAGACAGGCTGTACAAACATCCCTTCAAGCGGAATATCTCGAGACGCCTTTGAGGTAAGGGACTACGCAACAACGGAAAAGAAATGACTAACGTCCCTCCCTACAGGTCGAAAAAACCCCTAATTCGAAAAATGCGAGCAGTACATCAACTTTAAACTATAATAACTTAGCCTATACATTAACATATACAATTATTCTTAGCAAATATTTTACTATTATGTTATCCCCTAATTACCTAATCCATAGATAACCTTTATCTATTATAGATTGGGCTTCTATTGTTACAAGGGGTTTCCACTTACCTGAACCAGGTTTGTACCTTGCGAGTATTCAGTGATTCGAGCGTGAGGGATGGCGGTATCAAAGAGGGTGTTGTGAATATCCTATACCGTACGGTAATACGATACAACAAATATCAAGAGAAGGCTAACGATTCGTATAAAGACGAGTGGCTTCAATTTAGATGTAAAAGTAAGCTTTCGAAGTTGACTACAAAGAATAGGGAACGTTGAGAGAATGTCCTCGACTATACACCAGTCGTCCCATTCTTCGATGTCCTTGTTATCCCGCCAAGGCATTGTTGTCCCCGGACCTTCCGTTGTCCCTGGGACATCCTCCATATGCGGGACTTCGGCATTTGACCTGGTTATCCCGCCAAGCCTTCGCTTCGGCGGGACATCGTCACGTGACGTCGGTCCTTGGCTCTTCCGCTTGATTATGCTGATGCGTTGTTCCTTACCATGAGCCTCATCTCTTGTCGTGCCATCTTCTGCCGAAACCCTGTCGTGCTTCTTTGTGATCGTAACATTTAGCTTATTCCGATGGACCAAGAAACATGGGAAGATAGCCTGTTCCAAGTAGGCATTAACAAAACTAGACCTTATGATCGTAGCTAACTATGTGTTTAGAGGGTAAATATGCTAGTAGTTATAATATCTAGAATAACTAACATAATTATAGGGCGTAAGTAGATCTGCGAATACTAATATACGAGGCGGTTGCTGATTCTAGTGCGTTTGGTGGTGTAGCGCGTAAGTAGACCTGTGAATACTAGCATGTGAGGGTGCTGCTACTGATTCTAGTGCGTTTGGTGGTGTAGCGCGTAAGTAGAAGACCTACGAATACTGGCATGCGAGGCTGCTACTAATTTCTAGCGCGTTGGGTGGTATAGATTGTAAGTAGGCCTGCGAATACTAGCATGTGAGGCTGCTGCTAATTCTGGCACGTTTGGCGGTATAGGCTGTAAGTAGACCTATGAATACTGGCATGCGTGGCTACTGCTGCTAATTCTAGTATGTTTGGTGGTGTAGCGCGTAAGTAGATCTGTGAATACTAGTATGTGAGGCTACTGCTGATTCTGGCACGTTTGGTGGTGTAGACCGTAAGTAAACTTATAAATACTGGCATATAAGGCTGCTGCTGATTCTAGCGCGTTTGGTGGTGTAGAAGGTAAGTAGACCTGCTAATACTAGCATGTAAGGCTGCTACTAATTCTGGCGCGTCTGGTAATGTAGTATGTAAGTAGACCTGCTTAATACTGGCATATAAGGCTGCTGCTCATTCTAGCGCGTTTCGCGGTGTAGTCTGTAAGTAGATCTGTAAATACTGACATGTGAGGCTGCTGCTGATCCTAGCGCGTTTGGCGGTGTAGTCTGTAAGTAGATCTGTAATTCCTGACATGCGAGGCAGTTGCTAATTCTGGCGCGTTTGGTGTAGGCTGTAAGTAGATCTGTAAATACTGGCATGCGAGGCAGTTGCTAATTCTGGCGCGTTTGGCGGTGTAGGAGGTAAGTAGACCTGTGAATACTAATATGCGAGGCTACTGCTAATTCTGGCGCGTTTGGTGGTGTAGAACGTAAGTAAACTTACAACTACTGGCATGTGAGGCTGCTGCTAATTTCTGGCGCGTTTGGTGGTGTAGGACGTAAGTAGACCTTTGAATACTGGCATGCGAAGCTGCTACTGATTCTGGCACGTCTGGTGGTCTAGATTGTGAGTAGACCTGCTTAATACTAGCATGAGAGGCTGCTGCTGATTCTGGCACGATTGGTGGTGTAGGCTGTAAGTAGACCTGCGAATACTGGTATGCGAGGCTGCTACTGATTTTGGCACGTTTGGCGGTGTAGCGCGTAAGTAGACCTGTGAATACTGGCATGTGAGGGTGCTGCTATTAATTCTGGCATGTTCGGTGGTGTAGCGCGTAAGTAGACCTGCGAATACTAGCATGCGAGGCTGCTGCTGATTTCTGGCGCGTTTGGTGATATAGAGGGTAAGTGGACCTTTGATTACTGGCATGTAAAGCGGCTGCTGATTCCAGCGCGTTTGGTGGTATAGGACGTAAGTAGACCTGTGAATACTGATATACGAAGCGGCTGCTAATTCTGGCACGTCTGGTGGCGTAGATTGTAAGTAGACCTGCGAATACTGGCATGCAAGGCTGCTGCTGATTCTAGCACGTTTGGCGGTGTAGCCCGTAAGTAGACCTGCGAATGTTTGCCCTTGGGTAGTTGCTAATACTAATGTAGCTCGACGGCTGGGGCCATGCCTACGACAATAACTTCGCTCTGGAATTCTTCGAAAGCCTACCATCGAGCATGCTACCGATTTATCTTGTCCCAGTTCAGTGTTGTGCCTGCTGTACTTCAATTGTTGCTACTGATTGCAGCATTAATCTTTCCGACGTTAGTGTTGCTGGAAAAAGTTGCCAGATCTGCGCTCTGCTCCTCCGTACAATTCGTGCAGTTCACCGCCACCCTAATGATGGTGAACTAAATGTTCAAATCGTTCGGGAAGGGTCAGCGTTGAAAATTGGATGGGACGGGCCTCAAATTCTTAGGTTGTATTCTGATTCAGGTCAGTATCTTCAATTTATGCACACTAGCCAGGGCCGTTACTAATTGCATATCACTACAGCAGAATCTTCCACTGACCTTGATAATAACATCAAGATCAGCTTTCCAGTCTTACCCGAACCTGAAAGTCCAGCACGTTTCGCGCTACTTCGCGCATGGCTTCGCTGGTGTGACGAGTCCCATGATTGCAACAGACATTCCGGGACAGCATTACCGACTAGGCTCCTCCACATTGGGGACCCCGATATCCTGTATCTTTATTGTCCTAAGGAAAAGGACATAATCAGATACGCCGCGTTGTCCCATTGCTGGGGCGAACACCCTCCCACAAAGGACAGTCCTCGATTCTGCACAACCGATGACAACATTGAAACACGACTCAAAGGGTTCAGTTTCTCTGAACTACCAAAAACATTTCGGGACGCAGTCCGAGTAACTCGGGAGCTGGGTATCCAATACCTCTGGATCGACTCACTGTGCATAATTCAGTGGAACAAGAAAGACTGGGAACATGAGGCCACGCGTATGGAAGGCGTCTTCGCTTCGGCCTACTGCACAATCGCCGCAACTTCGGCTGTTGATTCGGAAGCTGGATTCCTTACGCGGAATGTGAGCAATGATTGTGTCCTTGTCCAAGCTGCTTCAGGCAGGCGGCTCTATATCTGCGCCGATACGGATGATTCCAACAACCATGTTGATATAGACGATTTCGACGACCACGTCGAGAAGGCTCGACTCAGCACGCGAGCATGGGTATTGCAAGAAAGGGTTTTATCACGACGAACGATCCATTTCAGTGACAAGCAGATGTACTGGGAATGTGGTAAGGGGGTGTACTGCGAAACCCTTACTAGACTAGAAAGGTAAGAGCTAAACAATGTTTGATAGCCCAATACCTTCCTAACTTTTTTATTCTGCTCCTCAGCTCTGCCCGAAAGACATACTTCATGCTCGATCCAAAGTTCCCGGACCGGCTCTCCGCATCAGGCGTCTACCGTACCATGGAATTCATTCATTTTCTTTCCAAAGTCTACTCGAGGTGTCACCTGACAAATGAAACCGATAGATGTGTTGCGATGTCCGGGTTAGAAGCCCGTATTGCACGCGCTAGAGGGTGTGAAAGCAGATATGGCATCTTCGGGGAGTTCTTTCACAGGAATCTCCTATGGCTGAGGTCTGACGGGGAAAAGACGAAGCGGATTGGGTACGAACCCGGGATTGTGCCATCTTGGTCATGGATGGCATATGGTGGACGTATACATTTCATCGACGTTCCTTCCATCGGCGTTCGTTCCAGTGATACGGGTTGGAATATCAAACTCCAATTTGATAAGGAGGAAAAACATGCCTTGGTCACCGACATAGGAGTTTTCCGGAACTGTATTCTGGAACAAAGGGATATAAGCTACGCAGTCTTAGACTCGAGCAAAGCAGAAAGAGGGCGGGTTTGGTATGATATCGAGGCGAATGGAGACCTTTACACTGAGCGGTGTGTTGTTGTTGGGAGGGAGTCTGGTGAGTCTGGTGAAAATGAGCGGTGGCTGAGGAATAAGAAGTACTACATATTGGTTGTCAGGCCGACCAGTGTGGATAGCGAGTATGCGAGGGTTGGAGTTGGATGGATTCAGAGTGACTACGTTGCGAGGCAGAGGCTCAACGTGCGAGTCGTGTGAACGGCCTCGCACTTGAAAATTTGGCGGAGTAACTGATGGATAGGGTACGTGGATTCAATGTCAAGTTATGAGGTGTGGTCTATATATTGGCTCCTTCTACCTGCATTATGATGCTTCGTCAGAATCGGGCTTCTTTAAGCATGGCGTTCCACTATTCTGAGTAAAGCTTATTGCCAAGACTTCCGAGAGAGTGAATGTGAGTATTTTACCACATGCTTGGCTGCGACGCCACTTCCTCTTTGCACAGAACGGTGTTAGCAGCAGCAGCAGCAGCAGCAGCAGCAGCAGTAGCAGCATGTTTAGCGGTACTTATAGCAGACGATTAAACCACAAATACTTTAACTCGCCACCGCTAGCATAGAGGATGCTCAACCCGCACCAGTCACAGGGTTGCAAGGGAGGCGATAACATATAGATACAGCTAAAGAGGAGTGTTATACGCAGCTCTAGATACTATAGAATCTAGCCTATAGCCTCCACTATAGCTCTACTACTACGTACTCATATTCTAGAACTCATAATGTTACGATCACAGGAAACACAAGCAGGGAGTCGGCGGGAAATAACGCGACTGAAGATGAAGCTGATGGTAAGCAACAAAGAGACAGTTTAATCTATTAGGATTGCCAAGAACTACTGTCACGTAACCACTCCACCGCCAAGAGGACGTTCTCCCTAGAGAATTTAGTCTTAGTAGGGGAATAGGAGGTTCTCCCGCCAAGAAGTAAGTATCCGGAGATAAAAGATTTAGCTTAGGGGAATGGAGGATAGGACAACTAACGTGCATCCCTGCGTAGCGAGACGCACGGTGTGGCGAGACAAATGAGGGGTACTTTGACTTTTAGCAGCTAAAACATTGTACAAAATCCGGCTCAGGATTGGGAGTAGTGTAAGGACTCAGCCGGCCCGGCTCTTGTCCCCGCCCAAACCTCAGCCTTGACCCTGCTTCTCGTTAACCAACTCAGGTTCTCTGCAAACACCAGAATTCGCCACCTAACAAGACCATGGCCAGTGCGGGTCGGACATCCTCCCTGCTAGTGTAGGAAAATCCTACAGAGATTTGGTATGAATCTGTATTCCCAAACATTCCACTGCTTAATCATCCCAGTGGCAATTGCCATATAAGCACCCTAGGCCGCTCTCATCTACCGGATCATTACTGTACCGCGGCAAGTTGACTCACTTAAGTGATAGATGGGCTACCTGCTACTCCTTCGGAACCATGTCCTTTTCCAAAAGTTTAGCCTATGAAGAAGCTGCGCAACACGCCGACGCCCTGATCTGCCTTAGCCAACCCCTACATGCCAAAGTGGATATATGGAGCCCTGTATTGCGGGCTCTCTAGTAAAGCCTCCTGAATTTCCTCGCAAAGCTCTGTGTCTCTCGCTATTTGCCTAATCATCTCAACGCGTCCGCAGCGCCTTAACCGCCCGATGGATGCCCCTATATATCATCATGTCTTCCCTTCCCTCGTCCTGGATGGTCTCATAAAACACCTTGGCCAAATATACACAGTGGCTGTCAGACACTTCCCAGACCGTCCCAACTACGTGCCGGAACCCCGCCAGTTGGAACGCGCTCACGAGATGAGTTCCCTCGCAGACAGCTTAGAGAAGGATCTAAAGGATCCGAGCGTCCATGGCCAGCGAAATGGAAAATCTTGCAGGCTCACAAGTGCGCTAGAATTTCATCTCTGCACACGTAACCTAGCCGTGACATCTTCCGGAGGTGGGACCGCCTTAACGAATCCTCCCTATCACAGCGGATTGAACGTAGAGTCTCATTGTTTTTCCCCCACGTATGTAAGGTGAGGGAGAAGGGAGAAGGGAGAAGGAGGGGATGGGGGTCTGATTCTAAGATATCGTAGCATATTGGGTCAACATCGGCTCAGATGTCGTGATAATCCGTGTTGGGCGTTGCACTTGAGGAATATGAGCTAGGGACTAAGTATGTTCAAGCCTTGGAATGCACATGCGCCTTGCTCGCCGTTGGGATGTAGTGGGCTCCCTGTTTCTTGCGACGTAATTGGACAGGTCAGCTCACTTTCAGCTCAATATAGCTGACGGTATGTGGCACGAACAAGGGCTGAGCTATTCCTGGCCTGGACGCAAGCACAAAATATCGCATGATTGGCGCCTTATGGCTTCGTTTAAAAATTTCTTCGGTTTAGTAATGTCTTGATTTGGATATGCCAGCAAGGAGAAGTTCAGTGCGAAGTATCCAGTTCATCAGGAAACGGGAAAGGGCGCCCTAACAGCTGCCGCCCGCTTCGTGCAATTCCAACTTGCGGAACTGTTCACAGCTACGTAGGCATGTGTATTTCGAAAGGACCTGCGTCGGCACTTGAGACTATATGAAACATGACTAGCCCTTAGCTACCCAAAAGCAGGCTGAGATTGGACTCTAGCGATTGAACCGTGCGAAAAGAGGTTACCGCTATGTGTACCCCGAGTATCGTCTTTGACCGAAGGCTCGCTATTCAGCTGAGATCATGCAAAGTTCGTGTTGCCAAATGAAAGACATATCGGCATCGCGAGAAACGAAAACATTGTATAAGTACCACGCATGCCTCCGGGTTCTATGGCCTTCTATTCGATCGATGAGCACATTCAATCATACTTTGGCAATCTTCATTTTTGTCACACGCAACAGCTGTAATCGCGAGCTTCAAGTCTTGACTCTATTTACCTACCATCTTCTCTTCAACTTCATATTGCAATCATGGGTTGGGGCGGTTGTGTCGGCATCATGAACGCTTCTCCGTTCATCTGGACGCAAACAAGCCAGTCATCATATCAGATGAATTCATGGTCCTTTCCGGGTTCAATTGATCCTGGGCAACTCTCTACGACGTACATCGAATTCGACCAAGGAATCTTCACGACCGAGACCGACACTTCTGCTGTTGTGGCATTCCAGCTCAACAATCCTTCGTCTACCGAGATCCAAATCCATTCAGAGGTCTACAGACCGGAAGACCTCGATAACCCGGGAAACGTCCAGAACATCTACGTTCAGCTGAACAACTTCCCCTCTGACCAGAACGGCCAACGAATTGACCTTGGCTTCAACCACGACCAATGTGTGACGCTCTATCTGACCAGTGCCACGGACTCTCTGTACGCAAACAGTGCTCCCGTCAATTGGATGCATGCCACCCTTGACCTCATCGGCGACAAAACACTGCGTCAAATTGCACTCCCTGGCGCACATGATGCTGGAATGGGACCGGATTTCATGTCCGGGACCGCCTTTTCGGTGGCGGACAATACGAAAACCCAAGCTACTACCATCGGCGGTCAATTGCTGCAGGGCATACGTTGGTTTGATATCCGGCCTGTCATGGGAGATGGGGGCCAATGGTTGTCTGGACACTATAGCGACGGCTTTGCCGGCTGGCAGGGCGGTAATGGAGAAGTAAGTACAGACTTGCACAAATACCTATGAGACCAAGCATGAACACTAATGGTTTTTCTGCTAGCCTATCTCTCGTGTTATTTCCGATGTCAACGATTTCTTATCGCAGAACCAAGAACTGGTCATCCTCGAATTGTCGCACAGTATAAACAGCGACGACAGCTACAGGTACGGTGCATTAATTCCCCTTTTCAATGACGCTGACAAGAATACTTCTATAGAAGCCTCAATATAGCCGAATGGAACGCGCTCTTTGATATGCTCGTCGGAAACATATCTCACCTATACACCAACCCCGTAGCTGACCTTTCGACGATCCCAATACGCGACTTCATCGGAAGCGGCCCGGCCGTTGTGGTAGTCGCCCGCGATGACGACAGCGTTTTGGGCGACTACGCCAACCACGGAATCCATCCAAGCTCCTCCTACCGTGTCTTCAACAAGTACTCCGAAAGCGCAAAACCAGACTATGTCGTCAGCGATCAAATCTCCAAACTGCAGAACTGGAAAACTCTGGAACCGGGTGACAACGCCTTCTTGCTGTCCTGGACCGAAACCGAGTCGAGTGTCAACGCTGTGCCTGGTTTTGGAGAGGGCAACAAAGCGAATGCAAGGGAGATTAATGTTAGGTTGTTTGGGAGTTTGGTGCCGGTCTTAACGAAGGAGGTTTTTCCTAATATTATCATCGAGGATTACGTCGAGAGGAAGGACCTTGCAAGTCTTGCCATGGGAATCAACTTCCGGAACCATGCTTTGTGAGGTTAGATAGCTTTAGAAGAAGCTGCCTCTCGAAGACTAAGTAGCGTGGCTTGGGACGCCGACGTGGGCGTTTTACTTGTAGTCTATCGAGCAGCGTGCTAGAACAGAAATGCAGAGCTTTGCGAGGAACGCCAGGAGATTATACTAAAGAGCTCGCAATATTGGGCTCTATATGTCCACTATGGGGTGTAGGCGTTGGGTAAGACAGGCTAGGGCGTGGGCGGGTTGTTTACAAGGCTTCTTGTTCAGTTCCTCAGCTTCACTATATAGGCTAGACGTTTGAATGAGGACATGATTCAGTAACTTAGGACTCGTAGGTGAGCTCATCTATCACTTAGTGAGTCAACTTGCCACGGTATCACTTTAGGGTTGGGGGCAGCCGATGGCGCTTGGGTGGCAAATCGCCACCTACATGATTAAGCAGTAGAAGGTATGAGAATACAGATTCATGCAAAACATCTGTAGGCTTTGCCTGTACTAGCAGGGAGGATGGCCGAACCGTACCTGCCATAGCATTGTGGGGTTGCGAATACTAGTGCTTTCGGAGAATAATAGAGTTAGTTAAAGTGATGCATGGCTAAGGATAGGTTGGCGGGCAGATGCCAAGTTGTGAGACTGACACGTGCTGGCTGACTAAAGTACCAGTAGCTGACAGAGTCCCAGCACTGCTTCCACTCCTACGTCGGGATTACTGATCTTTCAATGCGCACAGCCCCTGGAGTCATCTCGCATTAGCCGGGATTAGTGGTTCGCTTCAGCTGGAAGTACTAATCGACATAGCAGCCCGCCATGAATTTGCCAGTGACAGCGCGTATAGGGCTAAGGAAGGCTCTCTAGCATCAGTGAGAGGTTCTAGGGCTTAGGCAGGGTTATTCTACAAAAAATTTATAGCGATAAAGGCTTAGTGTTAGCGTTGTAGAGAAAAAAGTCTATTATGCCACGAAAGAAGGCTCTGTACAAATTAAGCTCGGAAGTGAGGATACAAACGTAATTTTTGGAGAAGAGGGGTTCATATGTTTTTAGACTTAGGTATAGCAGATTATTCTCATGTAATTATAGCCAGATTTGTTGTGCGCCTAGGTTTTGCAGTTGCTGAAAGTCAAAGTACCTGTTAGAACCCTAGGTATCCTGTACCTCACCTCCCCGGTCACGGAATATCCGTCGAGACAGGGCGCAGCCAGGGGCGATTAGGTCCAGGCTAACAGTAGCTAGCTATAAAGGCTAGGGGCTGTCGGATCTGGTCCGACAGCGATTAGTCTCTCCTACAATCTACTTTAGTTGCCCGTCTTGTACCTGTCTACATTGCTCGCCTGTGAATCCTGACAACCACTCGCATTTTCCGAACCAGGGGTTTTTTCGACCTGCAGGGAGGAATGTTAGGAACTAACATAGTCAGAAGATGGTAAGGAGAGAGACTAAGAAAGGAAGACATGAACAAACTATATGGAAAAGGAGTTATAGGAGAAGAGAGATGGATAGACAATGGAGAAAAACGATGAAGAAAAATTCGAGATGACGGTAGGGAATCCATGCTAAAAAAAAAAAAAAGGGGAGGACAGAACACTTCAGATGCCAGGAAACGACAGACAGCCCGAAAGAGATGACCCGGCCCACTCTACTTGTACCCCCACCCACGCCTATATTCCCTCGCCATCTTTACACCCTCCCTCGAGACCTGCGGCCCCTGCATGATTCCCCCACCCCACTCGTCATGGGCACCGTACACTGCTCATCTCCGTAGAACTGGCAGCGGAACTTTGGCTCCAAGGTAACCGAGGTGAGCTCAGGCTCAAGACTGGCGTATGTGGCGTTGAGGAAGGTTTCCGCATTGGCAACGTGGGGTCTCAAGACCAGCGGAGTAGATCTATCATCTGCATAGAGCGCAAGGGTTACGCCGGCGTGGCCTGCAATGTTCATGTTGCGGTGGGTGACGCAGCCATGGTCGGATTGGCCGGGGAAGGGGGCTGGGACGGCGGCGATCAAGGGGAGGAGGGGAATGGACGCGAAGATGGGGGACGTTGTCGCGACAGTACTTTGATGCGTGCGGACTGGAGGAACGAATGGGCCGCGCGACTCGTATCTGGACGGGTAGGTCTCGCCTTATATCTACCAGCTGGACATTGGGAAGCGGTTGCGTCCTTGGTCACAACATGCTTTGCACCCTTTCGAGCGAGCACTGCTTTGTTGTGAGCTGCTACGCCTTGTCAGGATTGTTGTTGGAAAGGGACCGCGCCGCGTTGCTTCTCTGGCCACTACTATTACTTATCTGTATTTGGGTATGAGAGCTTCCAGGTACCTTGTCCGATACCCGATACTCACATCATGATCGGGACACAGCTGTGGGAGATGCATTGCTGCTGCTTGTTCTACTGCTAACTGCTTGACTTTCAGAGGCGCTGGCACTGTAGGGCACGCCACAACCGCCATGATTTAGTAGGTAGAAGAAACTGAGCTGTTTGAGCGGTGAGCCCGAATGAACTATTCGTAATGAGTTAAGCGTAGCAAGAACAACCCTCCAAATCCAAGTGCTCAATATACATCATGAAGCGGATGCCTGAACTCTAAAGGCCGACCAAATCGATGAAGCATTACATCCCACAGTCAATCTTTACAGCGCTACATATTCAGCGCTCACGCAGGAGTCAAACCAACCTTGACACCGTTGCCAGAGCACACCGTCAACGTGAGGCCTTCTTGCCACTTACCTCCGTTCGGGTCTCTGCTCTCGATCTTGCTGAACTCCTGCAGAAGCCTAACTGTGACGAAGCTCGCCTCGGTGAGCGCATACTGCTGGCCCAGGCAGATGCGCGGTCCTCCGTTGAAAGGCAGGTACTCCCAGCCAGGGCGGAGGTTCTCCCAGCGCTCGGGCTTGTACTCGGCTGCGTCGGGTCCGTAGAAATCGGTGCGGCGATGCATGGTATACGGTGAGTACGTCACAATGGTGCCTTTGGGAACGAACAAAGGAGCCTTGCCTTCGGCGCCGCCGCCAATGGGAAGGACAGTGTCTTTGACAGCATAGCGGGAGTTGCCAGGAACCACGGGGTGAGTGCGGAGTGCTGAATGGCGTTAGCATCTGCACACTGGGCACAATTATGCATGAGCGAGAATTGCTGTGCGACTTACATTCGTTCAAGCACCATTTGAGATACTTCATGTTCCTCAGCTCCTCGTAGGTAGGCAGTCTGCCTTCCAAAGGTGCTACCTCTTCCCTCAGCTTCGCCCAAATGTCTGGGCGGAGAGCGAGGTGGAAGAACATGTTGCTGAGCAGACTGGCTGTGGTGTCACGCCCCGCAAGGAGGATGTTCATCAACTCGCTGCGGATCCGCTCTTTGTCGTCCGTCTGCTTGACCAATTCCTTGATGAAGATATATCGGTCATCTTCAGGCATACCGGCGGCTTTCTCCGCTTGGCGCTCCCGAATCGCCTGCTCGACGAACTTGTCCACATAAGTGTGGCATATCTTTAGTGCGTCTTCGCCCTCCTTGTTTGATCGGAGGAAGTTGAGAGCGTTCCATCGAAGGCGGGTAAGGATGTCGTCTTGCGCGAATTGGAAAGCGCGGGCGAAGATGGCATCTTCGTTTTCTGTGTCGTCTTCGCTCATACGCAGCGAGTCTGTTGAGTGGTTGAAGAGAAATTCGGTTGCAGAGTCAATAGTCAGCTTAAAGAATAAGTCCTGCAGGTCGACCGTAGACCCGTCTCTGGGAATGTGCTTGAGCATGAGCTTGAAGTGACGGTCGAAAGCCTCCAGGTCCGCAATCTGATCGCGCGCAAAATTGGGCCTGAGAAGGTGCCTGCTGTTCTGCCACTTCTCGCCATCACTGTTGAAGATGCCATCGCCGAGCAGCGGCGCAAACGCCAGGTAGCGATTTCCGAAGCTGTAGTCCTTGAACCTGAGACTCAGAATGGTCTTTATGTTCTCAGGCTCGCATGTGGTGATCATAGGCATGTGCAGCATCCTAGTAAGGTATGTGTTGACGCCCATTTGACGGAAACGCTCCTGGTTGCGCTCGAGCATCTTGCGTTCATTTTTGTTGACGATATTTTCCTTGATGACATCCCAGCCTAGAATGGGCTCTTTATTATAGCGCTTCGGACACGGTTCGCAGCCATGTTGACTGATGAAATTGCGGCGATTAAGATATAGCTGAACACGAGAGAAGACGATGTAGGAGAGGAGCGCGCCAGCGACGATGAACGTGAGCGGGTGGTCGATGAGACCCATGGTGGGAGACTGGGACGAGCAGAAGATTTGAAGCTAGTCGATGCGAAGCAGCGTCTTGTGCGTTGGTAAATGATGCGTAGTCCGGATGACAAAGAGACCGACTCGCTTGTCGCTCAGGTGGTGAAACCTGCGTCCGGCTCTTGAATCAAAAGCAAGAGTCGCGATGCTGTGGTGCTGCACTGCGCTGTTTCTCGCCTTCTTTGCAACACAACCGCCCGAGTCTTGCACGATGGAAGAAAGTGGTAAATGAAATTTTGCGAAGACGGGTACCGTCTTGAGTAAAACCGATTGACGTTAATAACACTAGCCAACACCCCAGGGTTTCCGTTCTTTTTATCTTCACCTGCTTGGAGTTGAAGCACGCACCTCGCAAGAAGGGCTAAAACGGGAAGTTGACCCTTACAGGATGCTCGTTCGCTTGGTAGAAGATCGCTCGGCCGACGAGACCAGACTGCTGCTTGGGCTTGGGCACCGGTACCACCGATAGCAGCGGGACGCAATGAGGCCCCCGAGGAGCACGAGCGGACAAATTCAGGTGCCGCGGCCGTCGGCGGTCACGCACCAGTGATGCAATGTACTGGAGATTGGTGGGGACACTGCAGAAGCAACAGAGTAGCTTGGTTCCCCTGGCGTGCTTGTTGAAGGGCTGTGGAAGGCGAGGAATGCTTCGAGCAGCTGTCGCGCGCTGTCTGTACCAATATCCGTGCCGTCGTCCTGAACAGCGCCAGTAGATTTAGACACCCGCGGCGCCACGCTCGCTGATTCCGGTGGCAGTAGCGTTTACCCTGCTAGGACAGGGAGGACGTGCACCAATGTGCTCAAAGAAGGACCAGCCGAGGCATAGGCGAGCGGGCGAATCGGAGGAAAGCAAATCCCGTCTACAGCGTCAGCCATGATTTGCTGATGCTTGCCAAATATTCACTTGAAATAGATCCACCTCAGCTGCAGGTTACTGTGCGCTTTCGGTCTTTCGGAAATTTTGCAAGCCACAGTTATACACATGCCAACGCGTACGCGCACCCCGCCACACCTCACATTACATTGAGCACTCTAATCGATCTTAATATGAGAACTCATTCGGTGCGTCTGCCTCAAATAGTGGACGTCTGGAAGCATGTGCGCCAATGGGGCATTCACAAGGCAATTATACGACGACGTATCTCACCCTATCACGATCTTGGACTGTCCGAACTTGTGACCCAAGACCGACTTTCACGCTTATGCAAGAGCTCGTTTGTGTTGCACATGCTGCTATCGGTTTCTTTCCTATTTACGCTCATCAGACTTTATCCACTTCACGTGATTGATCGTCTCTTTCTCCAAATACTCATACACCTGGCTGTAGTCCTTGCACACATGCTTTGCATCCCAGCCATCACTCCCACCAAGGTCCTCGCCAGTGATTGGATCGCCAGGGAAGGTTGTTGCGGCTCCTTCCAGTGCAACATCCCCCGCACACATGATGGCCTGTCTAATGTACTCAAAGCAGTGGTTGATGTGCCACGGCATCCTGACTTTGTTCTGAAAACCGAGGTCTACAGAAACTTGAAGCGTGTTGTAGGCTTCTAAGATCGTGTACAAGCAGTGCAGCTGATGTGTCATCGAAGTAGTGAAAACAGTTTGCTTGGTGTAGTCGTGGATCGGCTTTGGCAGATTGGAGTATTGGGCAGGCTCTTTGACCTCAACGTAGCCGAGGCCTTCCGGGACCATGTCAAGCCATGCTTTCTGGGTCTTCTCACTCCAAAAGTCCGATGCATTCTCCGGGGCAAACACGGTATTCGGCTTGAAGCTCACGATTTGCTGAGAGACTACGGTAGGTCAGTATCGTTGTGTAGAGCAGATAGCAGGTGTCGGTACATTTAGGCGCGAAACCCGATATATCCCCAGCAAGTTCATACGTATGGCTTTCTCTAAGTTTCCATCTCCTTTCAACTAATAACGCGAAGATAACAAGCAACAGTGTTGTATCAAAGATCCACCGGTATGGCTTGATTTTCATCCAGAGCGTTCTCCTCCTCTTTTGCCTTGGCTGTGCATCTGCTTCCTCCTCCCAGTCCTCCACATCGGTATCTGAGTCTGAGTGACTACCTAGGTTACGTAGCGCATTGTATCGGTGGTCGTCCTTCGTCTTGGCTGCCACCCCCGTTTTCGATATGTCGAGCGTCGATTGATATGGTGTAAATCGAGGCATCACTAGGTTGTGCCTCTCCAATACTCCTTCCGCAGGTTCATGAGGGGATACAAGGAAGAAAGATCTAAGAATGGTGTTATTTTATTCATTGGAGATGTCAAACAGTCGCTGTAACGCCAAGTGTGTTATGAGGTTCTAGCTGCCTCGAAGAGCAACGAGGTGGCGGAAAACCAAGAAAAACCTTAGAGCCGCCGACAAAAGATTTCACTTGATCCAAGGCGCGTATATAGGTGCAGGATTGATGTTGTACTACAGAAGCTCGCATGTCCTCTTTCGTGAGCTATGCGAAGCAAAGCATCAATCATTTGATGACTGGGTTCATGATTGCTCGGTGCCCAGACGTGACAATGGAATGCAGCCTTCTGAGACGATAAGATGCCGCGTGCATATACAGGCGATGGCTTGTGGCATTTTGAGCCTGTTGCAGCAAGCATGGGAGATGGTAGGTGAGCGCTGAGATGGGACGCGCAGCTGTAGTGGGGCTGGGTGGGGCGGACGGACGGGGACGGGGACGCGGAGTCGGGGCAGATCACCGGTTCCGTCTCACGACCATCGTCAACACAGGCCCCAGCATTGCCCCAAACCTGGGCCCAGAGCCCACCAATATTACATCTGCAAGAAGAGGGCGACTGATTTTCGTCATCAGATTTGGACGATTTGCACATACCAATCACAAGCGCCCAATATCACAGGTAAGCATTCATCAATTCCATCCGAAGCAAGCAAGGAGTCCAACTAAGTAAACCGTGTGGGTTCAGAGTCCGAGATCGCGCGACGCAGGATTCAACCAGCCTTCTCCAGTGCCCAAGCCTCATACGACAAAAAGTGGCATTCGTCGTAAGCGTTCGGTAATGCAATCGACTTGTATTGCCCCAAGGTCTCCAATTATCGCCACTCTTGCACCCCACTATAGGATTGGAATGATCTGGCGATGTAGTGAACGAAGAGAGGCACAGAGGGCGTAGTCTACAGACTGGGAACGGTCGCAGTCCTGGCTTTCGCGACTCCTTCCTCAGACTTTTCACGGTTTCGAGCATGCATCCGCCTCTTTGCAGTTGAACTGTACTTCTGTACTTCGAGCAGTTCAGGAGATACTTCCCCGTCATGCAAGAGTCGAGACCGAGCAATAGTAACCGAGTCACGATGGCCTCGAAATTTCATCTCAGAGTCATCCACATTGGAGAGACGACGATCCGCCAGCGGTTTCTTGAAATCGTTGGACAATGTTGCAATGGTCCCCAGTGCAACTTCAGCGTCTGGAACAACCAGGATGGCTACGGATTCTTCCGCACTATCATGGAATCTATCGACTTCCAGCTTTTCCGCAGCGTCTGTTACGTATTGCGATGGTGGTCTCGATGATGAAGCTGTACCGGGCGTCGAAGTTGCATAGGACGGAGCGCCGGTCGTCTCTTGACTGTTTGATGGGGCTCTTATTGTAATATTTCCATCGTCATCTTCGACACAAGTCACAGCATAAGCATGGCTTTCATCGTCGGGAAAGACGACAACCTGGGGTGCAAAAGACTCCAGTCCTGGCCCCCTGCCCCAGTCCCACTCGCATAAATTCGAATTCACGTGTCTCAAATCACTTTCTCTTGCTGAACTAAGCGTTTGGAGAGCACGGCTTGGCAAGGAAATCCTGCAGTGGACTCTTTTGTTGTCTTCAGCTGGAATGTCGTCCCAGACAACTTCGTGACAGCTATCAGCCGACTTTATGATCTGCATTGTGGGAGTCGTGGTGCTAATATCGGGCTTACGTGATAGAACGTTGACTTCGTAGGTTGGTGTCAGGGTGACCACATGTACGTCCGTCTTGGTCAAAGCCGGCACTGCCATCTCGCTTTTGATTTCCGGCCGTAAGCATGAAGGGTCCCCTCCGACAACAATTTGGCTTTCAGTAGTGAGGTCGCCATGGCTCTTGTCTTCCTCGAAAGTGTTCATCATTGTATCGCTTACCCATGGCTTCAACGGCAGAACTGTTCGCATTCCTATGGCATCAAGTCCTTTGAAATCAACAGGCTTGAGACGTCGCAAGGACTGGTATGGTCGATGATGCTCTGTTATACTGCTAGAGTCTGCAGTGGATTCGGCAGGTGTCTCCTCGGCGTTTGGTGTATGCTTCATACTCGACTTGAGTGGTGCTTTTAGCCTGTCGCGGTAAGCTTCTCTGGGTTCTTGCAACATCAGAATCGGTGCAGAGATGGAAATGCTTGGTATTCCCCGTATGCCAGGACTTGAGGTCTGCGAATCGGCCTCCTGAGAAGAACTACTTGCAGCTCGTGACTTCCGCGCTCGCAGTGGCGTTATACGAGGTCGTCTAGGACGCCGGGTCTCTGTGTCATCGGTGTTTCTGTAGTCTGGCCTGATCTCTGCATCGTTACACGGCCTGTGCACTGTCTGGCTTCCGGTGCGAGGGGCCGTCTGCCGCTGTTTTGAAGCCGTGTAGCTTGTTCGTTGCTGAGAAACTAATACTGAGTCGCTCTTCGACCTCTTTGTGCTACCTTGTGCATGGTTAGCGTACGAATCTGCGTGTCTCGTCTGGCGTATGCGTGCCTTTGGGAGGCTCTGCATCGAAATTTGCAGACGATTGACTCTGAAGTGGCGCCAACAGGAAGTCTTGCCGGGAGTCCGACGCTGTGAGCCAGTCATAAAGACTCAGCAAAGGACGTGGCTCGTGGCGTATCTCCTCCGACACATGCGTACCTTGAAGTGGCCCTCGATCGAAGTACGGAGACGACCGTTCCTTGAGAGGGGTCAAGAAATTTTCTGGCTCAGAATCCGATGTTGTGAGCCAGTCGTGAAGACTTAGAAGTATGGGTCGATCGCGACGACGCATGGGCATCCCCTCTTCGTGAAGCTAACAGGCTTGTGGGTTCAAGGGGTTGCTGAGTCTCGTGGAACATGCCCCGAGGCGTGGTGGAAACACGCAGCTTGTTGTTTGTAGGTAAAGATGGGCTTGCGGCGAGGGCAGGTTGCGTGCTTGGAGGGGGAGGATTCACAGGTGGTTTGGTACGAGGCCAGGGATGGTCCCAAGGCTGGCTGATAGTGCGCTTGAGGTGAGTGGTTCCTGCCCGCTAGGAAGGGTCGCGCACGGAAGGTACGCCCGTTGCGAAAGCCAGAGACCAGAACATAACTATACCACTCGATAGGTGCGAAAGCGCACTTTTGGTGGAGCAAAGCATGGTCGTCGATCTACAGCAACACCGAAGCGCGGACGCAGAGAGGCAGCAGATTAATCTCAGCTACCAACAAAACTGTAGAGGGTCGGTTCGTGATGCTGCACCCTTGGTGACGTCTTGGTATCTTCCGTGGCTGGTAGACGCCTTAAGTCGGAAGCTAGGCGTTGTGAGTCGCAGTTGCGCTGTCACTTTTGCTCAGTAATTGCATGCTCTTAGGTGCGCGATAGAACTAAGCCATCGACCGTTGTGGCCATTGCAAAACGGTAAGAGGAGCTGGCCGCTTGGGGAAGCGTCGGAGGAGAGGCCAGTGTAGTTTGCCACTAAGCTCGATGCATAGCTTTTTCTGGCATATGGGCGGCGGAAGTGTTCGAAAGCTGCTAGGGCATTTGGCTCCCGTATTCACACTGTTACCCGACAGCCATAGCTGGAGAGAGGTCGTGGTTGTACTTGACAATGTGTACAGGTAGGCCTTTCAGTTCCGCGGCTGCCTGCCAAACCAAGCCTAGCAGGACGCCGCGCAAACCAGCGCTCAGCGACTCACAATCGCCCTCACGCCCTCGTGCGGTCCGATCTTCGCATCCATCACGTCAGTGAGGCTCCGGCGAAGTATCCCTCTCTACCTTGCAGCAGCCCTGTGCGCGATGATACGTACGCAGAGACGCCTCCAATATCCGGAAAGGCCGCCAATTCTGGCCCCAACGGAATTACCGAGCGCGATGGCAAAATCATTGCAGCTGCCCGTTCCAGGACCAAACACCGGAGCACGTGCAGCCTTGCTTCTACAGCAGGAGCAAGGCGTGCTCCACGGATCGCTCGTGTTCCTGGTGTTCGCGTGCGCTTCTCCACGGTATTAATACCGGATGCTGTGTCTGCTGGGATTGAGCACACGACCATATTGCTCCTGAAGATGATACGCTCGCTGTCTCTCGGTCTGTTCGCCGTTCTGCACTTGTGTAGCGTTGGGGCGTCTCCCACGAGCTACGCAACTCCACCGGTCAACGAAACGAACTGCAACGGCAAGACGTTCATCTACGAAGAGCTTGCGGGCTGGGGTACATTGCCCGGCGATGCTCGTGATCGATTTGGAGACACAATCGGAGGCATTGGGAGCGCTATCGCATTAGACAAGAAGTCGTGGAAGAAGAAGTCTGGGAAGAAAGAAGGATACGAAGGCATTCTTTGGGGTCTCCCCGATAGAGGTTGGAACACCCAAGGAACTCAAAATACCCAGTCACGACTACACAAGTTCAGCGTCTCGTTCGATATCGTAGCCACCGCCACCAAAGAAAAGCCTGCCTCTCCGAACTTCCATCTCAAGTACTTGGACACTGTTCTGCTCACTGGCCCGGATGGTGTGCCAACCACTGGTATGAACATGATTCCACTGCAATGTGTTAGTAGGACCAATGCTGATGTCTTTCATAGGTTTAGACGCAGACCCGACTGGCCATGCGTCGTACCCTGGCTTCCCAGACCTCCCAGTCGCAACTTGTAAGCAAGCGTCCACATTTCCCCACCGATGTTAACCACAGCAGTTACTGGTGATGGCTTTGGCGGGGCCGGTCCAGGCGGCAAACGCATAGCCATAGATTCGGAGGGTCTTGTCCTCGGTGACGACGGCTCCTTCTGGATCAGCGACGAGTATGGTATGTGTCTTTGGGATGGCTGTCAGCGATCTACATGACTAACATCAAGCCCAGGACCGTATATTTACCAGTTCGACAAGCGCGGCAAGATGATCAATGCCATCCGCCCCAATGATGCTTTGATCCCGTTCCGCAATGGCACCGAAAGGCATGTTTCATTGCTTTCTCTCTATTGCACCTCTAATCCTGGGTAGCTTCAATGCCGCTTCACCGCCAATCTACAACCAAGACTTCGTCATCACGCCTAAGGATCCAGATAGTGGTCGAGGCAACAACCAAGGACTGGAGGGCCTGACTGCTTCCCCTGATGGCAAATACTTGTACTCGTTGCTGCAGAGCGCCGCGTTTGTAAACCAACAATCTGTAAAGGTGCAATACTGATTGTGTTCAGGATCCAAGAGGGAGGTTCGAAGTCCAAGAACCGCCGCTATGCCCGCCTGCTAAAGTACCGTCTGAAGGGAAAGAAGGTAGAGTACGATGCCGAGTATGTAGTTCCGCTGCCCATTCTTCCTACGGACAAGGTTGCTGGGCAGTCGGAGATTCATTTCATCTCGGACAACCAGTTCCTTATGCTCGCCCGCGACTCTGGCTCTGGCCACGGACAGGACAGCTCTGAGTCGATCTATCGCAACGCGGATGTCTTTGACATCTCCAAAGCCACCAACATCAAGAACTCAAAGAACGACGCCACCGGAGGTGCTATTGCGAGCTCCAAGGGCGTACTCAATGCTGACGTTGTGCCGGCGCAATACTGCCCCTGGTTATCCTTCAACAACAACGACCAGCTGAACCGCTTCGGAGTGCACAACGGAGGCGAGCAGGATGCGACTCTGTTGAACGAAAAGTGGGAGAGCTTGGCTCTGCTTCCAGTCGATGGAAAGTTCAGAACGAAGGGAGACGGCGACGAATACTATCTCATCTCGTTCTCGGACAACGACTTCATCACCCAAGACGGTTAGTACTTTCCACGAGCAAGCGAGGACTCAATACTGACTTCGATCGTCCAGGATACATCAACTCTGGAAAGAACAAATATGCTGATGCCTCTGGCTTCAACATCGATACTCAGGTCCTCGTCTTCAAAGTGAGGCTACCGAAGGGGGCTAAACCTCTATGATCGCTGTTCAATATATCAAATTAGAGTAAATCACTTGAAATACAATCTCGCGTTATCAAAGCTTGTGAATACGCGTCGACCATGTCGCAATCATTGAGCGCATTGTTTTCGGCTGTCGCAGGCTAACGATACCCGCACCCTCACTGCTCTTCTACGACACCCTAAGCGAGCAATATTGTGCACGACTGAACCACAACATCGAATGCCAACTGAACGAGGCTAGTTCAATCTTACACTTGTCAGTCGACATGTTAGAGGGGGTTTCGCTCGCCTTCGCCTTACTCGCGCCCATCTCAGCTACGACGCGTTCGTTGGCGGCTGGCCTGATCTGATGCCTATTCGCAGCGTAGTACTATTTCGTGCATGCCCATCTGAGATCCATTGTAGCTTCCGGAGCGCTCCATGCTGCGCCGTGTGCAAGGTTGAAGTCCAGCTTCAAGTCCAGCCATCGACATGCCTTCTACGACTGCGCCTCGATAGCTGCTCATAATTGCAGTGAACGGACGGCTAAGATCTCCGTAGCAGGAGAATACGTTCATGCAGTTTGAATGCCTGGACAGAATGCGGCCGTGATCACCTTTCATCCGGATACACCGGGTTGTCACTGCGAGACAACAACAAGCCCAGGAGCGGTCCCACGAAACCGCGAGTAGGTCCTGCTCTCAATCTCGCTAGCTTAGATCAGTTAATAGCCTCCCAATACACGCCATCCCATAGTTTCAGCCGCGATCAGAGCATCAAGCCCACTGCACGTGGCGGCTGGCATCGAGAAAACCCCCGAGCTGGAACCGAACCGTCAGCCAATCTCCTGGGACGGCCTGGATTTCTGCAGCAGGTGTCGGCCACTAATCACACGGTGCTGGCCTCGTTCCGGGCCCATCGAGGTCTGCGAACCTAGCGCTGGGTGATGCAGACACTGAGCGATTGCAGTAGCGGCATCCAAGTGCTCGGTTTCAGAGTCTGGCCGTGTCAAATCCAAGTACGCTTTGTGAGAAACAGTCGACTTCTCGTCGCTCGCACATCTCCAGTTCGGTGTTCTAGGAGTGAGGCTGAAAATTGATTTCGGGGCCACTGTTCCTCATGGATACGCTCGCTATAGCTGGGATCATTGCTACGAGCGCTGAGGGAGCCTTCGCGTACTTAATTGGCCGACAATACGCCGTTTGCCTCAAATGTAAGATTCAAAACAAGCAGTGTTGAGCGCAAGACTTCCTGGTCTTCCGATCTGGGTCGCGTCATGTCCCCAAGTCCTGTACCACCACGTGGAAAGTGCATATCTCACGAGTCATTCAGGCCTTGACTCCCTACACACGCCTTGTCAAGCACTCGCAGCATTCCACACTTGCACCGGAACAAGGCAAATGCGACGCTTAGCTCTTCGCAAGCCAACCTGTACTGTCACGCGTATGCTCGGAATCCTCCTCCGCACATAAGGTCCTGCACTAGTGTCTTGGAGCGGACACTAGGGGCACCCCGCATCGAATTACCCCAGGCTGCCCCGGATTTGCTCAGTCCGTTGTGGCCAGAATTCCGCGATCTGGAACCGCCTGGTGGCTTTGTCTGCGTCTGCGCTTGCGGTTGTCGAGTCCCGAGCGTGCTGGAGTACCAATTGCAGGTATAAACACCACGGCGCGCACGACTGATGCCTGCAGCAGCCGCGACGAGTTTTCTCCTCCAGTACGCTCTCGTCCCTTGAGAGGTGCTTGTCCTGCGGTTCTGAGCTTTGCTGCACATATTCACCCACATTGATCCTCGCCTGACTGAGTACATCGACCGTCGACAGTCCTGACTCGCAATCCTCTTGCCACGCACCGGTCCATCTACGCAATACATGGCCGACGAGAAGGCCGCAGCCGTGATGGCAGAAGCCATTGGAAAGAACGAGACCGAATCTAATCATATCGAAGATGTGCATGTTGTGAAGAAAGTGCACGCTGATGGGCACGTGGATTTGGTTGATGCCCACGCCATTGGCGGAGCCTTCGAAGAGATGCCAGACGGATACTTCTGGAGCATCCAGTTCATTGGCACCGTGGTCGTACGTTTTTAATTTTGCTGGCAGAGCCACAGAATAAAATTAACAATTCGCAGGCAGTGTGCTGCGGAAGCATTTGCGCCTATCTTGGATGGGTGTTGCCTGCGAACACGCTGTAAGTAGATTTGGTTCTTCAGAACCAACTTGTCCTGACTTGACACAGTTTGTTGATCAATGAGGATATCGGGCCCTCCAAGGATCTCAACTGGGTAGCGACAATATGGACCATTGGCTCAGCAATCGGTTTCCTGCTTGTCGGTCGCTTGTCAGACATCTTCGGGCGCAAGTGGATGGTCATCGGAACCAACGTGCTCGGTCTTTGTGGATGCATAGTCGGCGGCACCGCGAAAAACATCGATACTCTCGTTGGCGCCAACTTGATGAATGGAATCGCTGCTGCAGGACAACTTTCCTTTGGCATCGTGCTCGGAGAGCTCGTACCGAACAAGCACAGAGGACCAATCGTCACCTTGGTTTTCGTTTCATCTTTGCCGTTTGCTGGTAGGCCTCAATTGCGCTAGCCAGACGGAAACTTTGCTGACAAGAAGCAGTCTTTGGACCGATTATTGCTCGAACATTCATCCTGAAAACGGCGGCTGGGTGGCGCTGGTCGTACTATCTCGGCATCATCCTGTCCGGCATCACCATCATCTTGTACCAGTTTCTCTACCATCCTCCGACCTATGACCAGCTCCACGTCTCAGGAAAGACAAAGTGGCAACAGTTCAAGGAACTTGATTTTGTCGGCATCTTCCTCTTCATCGCCGGCACTGTGCTCTTCTTGATCGGTCTGAGCTGGGGCGGCACCACTTACCCATGGAAGTCTGGTAAGTCTTCGACAGCACCTTCGAGTATACAAGCCGCTAACGTGCACAGCTGCCGTCCTCTGCACCATAGTGCTCGGCGCCGCCACCCTCGTTGCGTTCGGCCTATACGAGCAATACGTCTTCAAAGGCCAGGCTATCATGCCACCGCGCCTGTTCAAGAAACTCGAATACGTCGCCATCGTCATGGTAGCTTGCGTCGGCGCCATGGTTTACTATGCGCTTACCATTCTCTGGCCCACCATCCTTGGCACCGTCTATACGACAGACGTCATCAAGATCGGCTGGGCATCCTCGGTCGTGGGAGGCGGCATCCTGCTTGGTCAGATCTTCGGAGGTTTCGCGCTCTCCTACCTGCCTAAGGTCAAGTGGCAGCTCGTCATCCTTTCTACAATGGGCACTGCATTTCTAGCCGCCGAGGCCAGCTTGAAGCCCGACGGGTACGCGACATTCATCACGCTCGGCGTTCTCGCAACCTTTGTTATCGGCTGGGTTGACAACATCTCCTTCCCCGGTGTAACACTTCTGTGGGAATCCCAGGACATCGGCCTCGCGACTGGTGTGCTCGGTTCTATCCGTGCCATTGGCGGAGCTGTCGCGCAGACAGTATACGTCTCAATTTTGAACAACAAGATTGCGACGTATCTGCCTGAATTTGTCGCACCTGCAGCAACCAATGCAGGCTTGCCTGCTTCTTCCCTTCCGCAACTCTTCGCCGGAATCACTGCTGGCAACTTCACAGCCGTTCCTGGAATCACACCCGAGATCATTGCTGTAACTGGGGCAGCTACGCAAAAGGCGTACATCGAAAGCTTCAGAATTGTGTTTTACGCGACGATACCGTTTGGCGTGCTGTTGATCGTCTTCAGCGCATTGAGCCCCAACTTCGAAAAATATCTGAGCATGAATGTAGCGAAGAGGTTGCAGAATCTTAATGCGAACTTGCAAGGCGAAGGAAGAGAGAAGGAGGGCGAAGCAGTCTAGACCGTTCTTCAGCACCTTCGTATCATGTTATAATGTATCCATCGCTTTTTGGCATAAAGTCGCATTGCGCGTAGAACCTGCAATTGACATTCTGATTTGATCAAGTGGTTCAAGCTGAGGTGTAGAAGCGATGGCATATTAAATGGGTGAATGAGCCCAGATAGGGTCAGTATCGCACCTGCCGGCACTAGATCGCTGCTGCCTCTCAACACAAGTCGAGATGAAGTGAGTGCACTCGCTCTGTACAGTCTCCCTTCTGAGACCTGTGCAAAAGCCGAAGTGAAGACCCTTGACTTAAAATGAACGCGCAGCGGAGACGGCAACACATGCTTCCGAGCCCAAGCAATCGCGCATATGGTAGGTCCAGGCTATTTTTTGTGGCTGTGGCTGACTGCGGAGTACACTCCGGTGCGCAAACAACTTGCGTGACAGGTCAATAGCGGATATGGTGTGCCTTTATGGTCAGATGAGCTACAAATCCATCACTAAGCTTGTCAGCAGTAGCCGATTCACGTACGAAACAAGGACTGCTAGATGTACAGCAACCGACAATGAATCCGCTCTTCATGCATTACGCAGTAGATACAAAAAAGCGCACATGGGTACTATAGTATCAAAAATAATACAATCGTGAAATCTTCACCCCTATCACGTCCCCAATCCACCCAGTCTATATTTACCCTGACGGAGGAGTAAAGGCGGCGTTAGCGGTCTTTGAACATACCCAAAGGAAACACAAGTCAGCGAGCATCGGTCTCAGAAAAACGGCTTGGACCGAGAAGGACTGGTGGAAATGAGGTGGGTTTAGATACCGAGGGTGAATTCGACACCAACGTCGATGTCGCGCGCCATCTTCACCACCTTCGAGAACTGAACAGACTTCTCAGCGGCGGCCTGGAGGTCGTCGATGGAAAAGATCTTGAGGCCAGACTCGTTGATCTAGTGCAATGTTAGCTATGTATCAAGTTCGAGTGGCCGAGGAGCTTACCAGCTTGTGTGCCTGCTCCATGTTGGTTCCCTGCAACCGGGCAATGATGGGTATCCTCAAGTTCATGGTCTCGACGACCGAGATGAGGCCCTTGGCAATAGCATCGCAGCGCACAATACCACCGAAGATGTTGACAAAGATGGCAGTGACCTTGGGGTCAGAGGTGATGAGCTCGAAAGCCTGCTTGATGGCCTCGGGGGTGGCACCTCCGCCAACGTCCAGGAAGTTGGCTGGCGAGCCGCCGTTCAGCTTGATGATGTCCATGGTGGCCATGGCAAGACCGGCACCGTTGACAAGGCAGCCGATGTCACCGTCAAGCTTGATGAAGTTGAGGCCGGAAGCAGCGGCCTTGACCTCGTCGGCGTCCTCCTGGGTAACGTCCCTCCACTCGAAAACCTCCTTCTGTCGGAAGTCGGCGTTGTCGTCGAAGTTGAGCTTGGCATCCATGGCAAGGACACGGTGGTCGGTGGTCTCGGAGAGCGGGTTGATCTCGATCTGGGTAGCGTCCTTCTCCATGAAGACCTTGTACAGGTTCTGGATGGTCTGCTTGGCCTCCTCGATGCACTGCTCCGAGAAGCCGAGCTGGTTGGCGATGTTGCGCGCAATGTCGTCGGTGACGCCCTCGTGGATGTTGATTTGGGTGGTGATGATGGCCTCGGGGTGCTCCTTGGCGACGGCCTCGATGTCCATGCCGCCCTGGGACGAGGCGACGATGACGGGGCCTTGCGAGGCGCGGTCCATGAGGACGGCGAGATAGAACTCGCGGCGGGCAAACTTGCGCTCGACGATGTAGACGGCGTTGCAGAGCCGGCCGGCGGCTCCAGTCTGCTTGGTGATGAGCTTGTGGCCGATCATCTGGTCGGCGAGGATGGACGCTTCACGGGGCCTGTTCACAACCGTCAGCGCGGGTTCCTGCACATTGCGCCGGGTGGGCTGCGTACGAGTAGACGACCCGGACACCGCCCTTGAAGCCATTGTCGAAGGTGCCCTTTCCTCGGCCTCCAGCAAGGACTTGGGCCTTGATCACAGCGTCTTCTCCGCCTGCATGTCCAATTAGCCAGTGCCCAGCGATGCTGCGCGTGTGGGCAGACGCGTACCGATCTCCTTCGCGACCTTCTCTGCTTCCGCGGCGCTGGTTGCGACTCCGCCTTTGGGCACGCCAATGCCGTACTGCATGCTCCATTAGCTCCATGCCGTTGCGGCCAGGTGTGCCATGCTCCCGTACCGATTCCAGCAGGCTCGCGGACCTGTACTCGTGTATCGACAAGAATCTGCTCTGCTGTGCGACCGACGGCCTCGATGAAGACTTCTGCGCCCCGTCAGCATCTTCCCCAATTGCGATGCACCTGCGCGTCACAGGCTGGGGCAGCTCCGCAAGCTCCCCTGGAACAACGTACAGCAGCAGCGCGCAGAGCGCTTGTGAGCGGCCGGGCGCGGGCGAGGTTGTACATGGCGTCCTTGTTACTGAACACCAAGAAGCGTGGGATAAGGGCAAAGGGGGTGGATGGAGCTGATGGAGTTGCAGCTTTGGATGTATCGTAGCAGTTGCGGAGGACTGCCGCACGGACGTCCAAGACTTTTCGGGTGAGACCGTTAGAAAAAGTCGCGCTCGATATGGTCGACCATTCACTCCCGGCCGGCTGTTTATTGACTGAGCCCTCGACATGTCAAAACGGAACAGCGAAGGCGAGGTCCTGTCCAATAAGCTCGCTGTCGGCCTTGCCAGATTCCAGCAGCAGCAATTCGCGGCCCTGTTTGGAGACAGCGCGCCCGCAGTAGCAGAATCACATGACCAGAAGGCAATCGAGCAGGCCAGCACTGCAGACCTCAAAGGAGACGGAGACGACGAATCGTGTGTCTCCCGGACAATGCGAGCTTGCATGGCGTCAGGCTGACGGTAGGTGTAGGTTCGGGCTCGGTGCAATAATTCCCAAGGATGTGCAAGATGGCAGCTTCACCAGCCGCATACCAACCTCACATGAGAGACTACTCGAGAACCTGATAGGCAAGAAAGCAGCCAAAGCGCATATGGCCGCTAAACAGAAGCATGCTGCCACGGTCAAGCCACAAAAACCCGAGAAACCCACACTGGCCAAGGACGAAAGCGATGAAGAAGAGGGCCGAGCAGCTTCGTTCAGATCCAGGCGCCAGAGACACACCGTTCCACCAGTAGCCAAGCAAGAGGATAGCGATGATGAAGATGAAGAATCAAGAGCCTTGAGTCTCCGCTCAAAGAAGCTCAAAACCGACGGGCAGTCCCGAGATCTAGGGGGAAAGGTTGACGCCATGGCCAATGGGCCAGAAAACGAGCTTGCCGAGGAAAAGGCCGAAGGGATTAAAAACCATACGCCCGTATCACGTCCACCAAAGGCCAAGCCAAAAAGCTACCTGGATGAGATTCTCGGCGAGAAAGCTAAGAAGAAGAACAAGAAGAAGAAGAAGTCAAAGATCGGCGGCGAGAAGACAGATGACTGAGCTCGTGTCCCAATGTGTGGTGAACGAGCTGATAAGCAGTGCGAAAGATACCCAACATGATTCAAGTATGAATATATTCAGACGGACGGACTGGCATAGTGAAGAGCTCGTGTGTTGACCACTTGCAAAGTATGGGAAGCTCAAGACCTCTACGTTCTATTGTTTACAGATACTGCTAGTCTTACTCCCGAATGATCAAACTTGCCATGCCCATTCCTGTTCCAATGCACTTGCTAAGCACGCCAACCTGCTTATCTGTCCTCGCCATCTCATGCAACAAAGTAGCCAGCATCCTGCCGCTGGTCGCACCCAGCGGATGTCCTAACGCAATGGCTCCTCCATTGGGATTTATCTTATCCATGTTATTTTCCAGCCCCAGTTTCCGTATGCAGTACAACGCCTGGCTGGCAAACGCCTCGTTGATCTCCCAGATATCCACCTCATCCTTCTTGACTCCCGTGTACTCCAGCAACGCCGGAATTGCCAGCGCAGGTCCAACTCCCATCTCGTCCGGCGAGCACCCAACCACCTGCGAGCCAGCGAACTTGCCAATGATGTGCGATGTCAATCCAAGCTCAGCCGCAGTCGAGCGGCGCATCATCAGCGCGGCAGAAGCGCCGTCAGATACCTGACTGCTGTTTCCTGCGGTGCTAGTACCGTCGCTCTTGAATGCTGGCTTCATCGCGCCCAGCTTCTCTACCGTCGTTGTGGGCCGGATTCCGTCGTCCTGGGTGACCGTAATCTCCTTCTCGCTCTCCGGGACCTCGGGATCAATCCACCTCGTGGTGACAGGCACAATCTCTTTGTCGAAGAGGCCCGACTCCCTCGCCTTTGCCGCGCGCTTGTGCGACTCGGTCGCAAACGCATCCTGGTCTGCGCGGTTTACGCCGTACCTCTCCGCCACGTTTTCGGCCGTGATGCCCATGCCCATGATACAATCTCTGGCCTCCTTCACAGGCGACTCCTTCATTTCCCTCCACAGCTCCGTGGGGATAGCCCTGCTGCCGTAGTTGCGTGTCATGCTCTCCATACCGCCACCGATGCCAACGTCGATTTGCCCGACGGCAATCGCATTCGCAATGTGGGTTATGGCAGTGAGACCAGATGCGCAAGCGCGGTTCGCTGTGCTGAACGATGTGGTGGTGGGGATACCAACGTGATTGGCGGCCATGCGGCCTGCTTTCGAGCCGCCGAGTTCGGACAGGACGGTACCGATGCAAACATCATTGATCTTCGCGGGGTCGAGGTTGGGAAACTTGGTGATGGTGGCTTTCAGGACCTAAAAGTATAGATGTTTAGCTCAGGCGGCGAAAGCGATTTGAGGGCGGTGGTACGCACAGCTGCGAGCAGCTCATGGTCGTATGCGTCTCTCAAACCGCCCTTCTTTGCTCTTGTGACAGGCGTTCGGAGAGCAGACAGGAAGACAACATCGTGGGGGTTCTTTTGCAAAATGTTTTTAACGCCCTTTTGTACAAAACCCGCCATCATGGAAAGTGTAAATGCTACGATATAACGCCAATCACACTGTTAAAGGAGAAGAAAGCGAGGCGGAGCAAGAGAGGGAAGGTTCTGAAACAAAGAACGGAGGCAAGGGCTACGACAAGAAGAAAAAAGCTGGTTGCCGTGGATGAGATGCATGGCGGCTACGGGCGAAGCTCCTGGAGCTTCGGCAGTGATGCGCGGATAAGACTTGATCCACACAGCTCGAGGTGCGGGGAGAGAAATGCCGACTGGACCGCCGAGCGCCCGTTTTCCGCGCCAGCCCCAGGCGCACCACGGAAAACAATCCTACGCGTCGGATAACAAACATCATTAAAAAGGGACGGGAACTGACAAAAGTAGTGGCTCAATTCGTCCAATCTATCAGAGCGAAGAGACACCCAGAAAGTGCCTGAACCCCGGGGAGCGTCATGGCATCCACCCCTTTTCCGCTCCATGCAATATGCCGTCCAACGTGCAGTCATCTCTCATAATCACTCTCACCATCTCGTCTAGATAGATCAAATCCGCCGACCGAGGTCGGCACGCAGAAGGTCATGGTGGGATGCCTATGCGGCGGGGTATACAAGGCGGAAGATGTCGTTCAAGACGTACCAGCTTCCGGCTTCGCTCTTGAGCTGGAAGACCTGGGTGTAGCTCATGGGCTGCTCCTGTCCATCAACCTGTGCCTCCGTCAGCATCTCCAACGAGAGAAGGCCCTGAATGGGATATCCGCACCTGCAGAGCGCCGGTAACCAAGACGATGATGCCGTCTTCGGCCGAGGGCTGTGCGTCTTTGGTCGCGACCTTGTGGATGACCTGGTTGAAGGGGAGGTTCTGGGCGCATTAGTATTCGCGTTGCGGTAGGCCGTACAAGGCGCATACCGTGAGCTTCTCGACGATGCCATCTGCACCCTGGACAGGCTGCTGCTCGAACGTGAGCATCGACTGCGGGCGCTACATAGAGTCAGCCATGTTATCCGACCACCAAACATGGGATCGCCATACGTAAAGCGCCTTCAGAGCAGGGCGGTTCTTGTCGAAGGTGTCATAGTAGAAGTCCACAAATTGCTCTAGCGAACAACGTTAGCAATAAGGTCGGAGCAGCGTCGTGGCAGACGTCGAGGGTCGCAGGGCATCGAGAGAGCCTTGGGGCTGATTACCGGCAATCGTCTGGAATTCTGGGTCAACGTCAGTCACTGCAGGCAAAGTGCTTTGCGTGTTTACAGGCGCGGGGCCCCTTGGCGGAGGGGTATGCGCTGGGCGACTTACCGGCTGCCATCTTGACGGTATAAGTCTAGAATTAAGAAAGAGTGGGTGTGGCGAGTCGTTTGTCAGGAGCGCGCGCGCAGATTTTGAAGAGTTGCTCGGGTCGTCGTTGTCGGGCTGTTGCGCTCGAGTGTTAGGCACACGGTGGTGGGGCAGCGCCGCAGCTTCCATCGGGCCGTTCTTTGTTCCGCGGCCAATTTCTTAATCTCTTTCTCATGCTTCTCACCTCGAGCCCCTTCAGTTCTCAACTCCACCTTCAAAGCACCTTGTGCCGACCGCCAATAGCTTCGTCTCACGCAGGGCATGGTTCAAGTCGATTTCGGATTGTAGTGTAAGTCAAACCCATTTCGCGCGCACCTCCCTATGATGATAAACCATTCTAAACTTCTGAGTTTTCGATGAAGTTTCAAACAAGCATGTCAAGCTCAACAATCTGAGACAATCCTACTTTGACACATTTCTCGATGCTATGCGAACTTCCGCTGACTTCATTGGGACAGTGACCATGGAAACATCTATTTGAGTCGTCTACGCAACGTCTACATTCATGTCTCATTCGATCTCGCTATTCTCCTCATAGGCCCTTCGCCTGGAAGGACTTGACCGTATCGACGATGCTCTCCTCAAACGTCTTATACCTCAGTCCCAGGATTTGGACACTGCGCTCGTTGTTGAACGAGAAGTAGTTCTTGATTCCTCCCTCTGGGTAGTCACCTCCAGGTGTCGACTCTGCAGGCAGGTCCTTGAACTGCGGGAAGTGCTTCTTAACAATCTGACCGATCTCCTTGTTTGAGAAGTGGCCGGCCAATGTAAAGAACCGCTTGTTGGCCGCGGCTTCCTTCTCCGCCGCGGCGACGTGAGCCTCCGCGACATCGCGTACATCAACCCACAGATGCACACCGGTAGCGGCAATTTCGTCTTTCCACTTGCCTTGTGCTGCTGCCAGGATACGCTGGTTTGATGTGTTAAGGTTTTCCAAACTGTCGAGAGCGTGAATCTGTACTATCGTGTCAGTGACTGTGCATGGCCTGTTGTGCGGACTGCCGCTTACAATTGGTCCGAAGACTAACGGTGGGTTAATTGTTGCGATGGTGAAGTTGGGCTTTTCCTTGTCCAGGAACTCCCAGGCTGCCTTTTCAGCGAAGGTTTTCGAGGCTCGGTATCCAGCCTGGGGGCTCTCTAGAGCCTCTTCGTGTGTAATAGGGTTCCAGTCCTCCTCCGAGTAGACATGGCCTGGCCAATTGCCTTTGCCGGGGTTGACAATGGCGGCAAATGATGATGTTATTACCACGCGCTTAACTGAAGGAGCTGACTTCTTGATCGACTTCAATATGCCCGTGGTGCCAATGACTGCAGGGTCAAGAAGGTCCTGTCTGGTCAGCTGCGAAGCTTACTTTCTTTCTGGCTTGCGCTCACCTTCTGCACATCTGTGACGTTGAAGTGGAAGGGGCTCGCTGTGTGCAACACTGCTTCAAAGGGCGGGTCTGATACAACAGCCTCGTCAAATGCGCCTTCCTGTGCGATATCTGGTACTATGGCGAAACTAAGCTGGCCGCTGTCGACAGCGCTCTTGTTATCTGCCTTGATCTTGTCGGCTTTCTCCTGGGTGCGCACTGTAGTAACAACGGAATGTCCTCGCTTTAGCAGCACATCCAAGGTGTGAGCAGCGATGAAGCCGCTTCCGCCAGTAAGTAGGATTCGGGTCATGTTGTAAATGTGAATAGAGGTAGACGGCGTAAATGTGAATAGAAGTAGACGGATGGTATCGAGTGTACAGATCTAGAGCAGGAAACAGAAACTGACGACAACGTGGGCATGATGTCGCCATCCTTTATGTACTAGCTGCGGGGCAAGAGCAACCGAACCGACATTCGGATATAGCTCCAACCTCCTTGATGCTTATCAAACAGCTGTGACGCATATTTGATGATGGCAAGGTTTATCTCCGACATACTGCCTATTGCCAGTTGTGGTCTGTGTGTCTGTGTACCACCATGTCTCCCATCCGACGACCGGGTGGCGACTCATTCACACGGCAGAGCCGCGCTTACACAGCTCCCGTAGGCGCGGGAGCCGCACCCTGACGTGCAGGAAGGCTTAGGGCTATGCGAGTAAGACGAATGACCGCTCCTCCCCTTTGCTGACATGCCAAATAGGATGAATGGCAGGCTGAACATAGCTGCGCGGAGCTGCGGCGGGGCAATGTGGTGGAAGCGGTGGTGGGGCATTAAATGAGGGGCAACAGGGTCTTCACGACTCGAATTCGACCTCCTGTTCAATCTTCTCGTACTTCTCGGTTTCCAAGGCTCAATTCGATATGTCCGCTGCTAAGAGGAGCCCACCCTTTAGGGCTGAACACGTCGGATCGTTGCTTCGCCCGCAAGAGCTCGTGCAGAAGCGGTACGATGTTGCTGCTGGCAAGGCACCGGCATCGGAGCTAATCCCGTTGGAAGACAAGCTCATCGAGCAAGTGATTAAGACGCAGAAGGATGCAGGACTCCACGTGGTGTCCAGTGGTGAATACACTAGGTATTTCACGCATTTCTCCTAGCGCGAAGACCAACGACGGTAACTGACCAGCATGGTACCAGACATATGTTTTGGGGCACTTTCTTCGAAGAACTCAATGGCATGAAGGAGCTACAGCTCGGTGTCCTGAAGGGCTATGATCAGGATATGTTCCGAATGTACGCGCCCGATGTCAAATCGTTCTTCGAGTCGAAGGAGGTCCCCAACCAGGTCACGGTGTGCACAGGCAAGATTTCTCACCCTGGACACTCGAGTAACCAGCGCGAGGTCGACATTATGAAGAAGTTGGTGCCCGAAAGCGAATGGAAGAACATCAAGATTACGTTGATTTCCCCCTCGTGGTATCACTTCCGATACAGGGCTGGACAAGCCTACCCCAAGGAGGTCTATGCCAACGATGAGGAATACTTTGAGGATGTAGCGAAGGCATACCAGGCAGAATTGAAGTTCTTGCATGACCAGGGAATCAGGAACATACAAATCGATGACCCGAACCTCGCCTACTTCTGCTCCGAGGCTATGTTGGAAGGCTGGGCCGCCGACAAGGGCAATGACAAGACCGCAGATGAGATGTTCGATGCGTACGTCCAATTCTACAACAAGTGCTTTGAGAGACCCGAGGACATGCATCTCGGTATCCATCTGTGCCGTGGAAACTACGTTGGCAGCCGCCACTTTTCCGAGGGCGCGTACGACAAGATTGCAAAGAAACTATTCCAGGTAAATGTCATTTCACCCGGGGACAATTCCGTTTCTGACATTCTATAGGACCTTAACGTTGACACTTACTACCTCGAATATGACACCCCGCGCGCTGGTGGCTTTGAGCCGTTGACTTATTTGCCGAAGAACAGTACGTCAAGAGTGCACTCTCATGTTTTGCATTCGAGCGCATCATGGAAATTCACTGACCTTGCGCAGAAAATGCCGTCTTGGGTGTCGTTACCTCCAAATTCCCCGAGCTCGAGAACAAGGACGAGATGGTTGCTCGCGTGAACCAAGCAGCCGACTTCGTAGCAAAAGGAACCGGCCAATCCAAGGAAGATGCACTGCAGCAGCTTTGCGTCAGTCCGCAGTGCGGTTTTGCAAGCCATGCTGAAGGCAATGCGTTGGGATATGAAGATATGCGGAAGAAGCTACAACTCGTGCGAAGCATCGCGGACGAGCTCTGGCCCGGACAACAGTAATTTGTATAATGCATGTTAGGAGTATTGGGACTTTTCAATATTGTATGGTATGATATCTGGAGGAAAGGAGACTAAGCGGCCTGAGGGCCCGGAAGACCGCCAGTCCAGCAGTTTCATGCAAAAAGCTTAACCTACTACGCAGAGAGGAAGAGAGCTTTGATCTCAACATCAAACACATAATCAAAACAGTGCATCATCCATTGCACAAGCAAACAAAAAGTTCACTTTCCAGCGTCCCGCTCCTCATTCATCAGCGCGTACCAATCGATCATCGTCCGACCCTCATTGGCCACCATAGGATAGTCCTCTTTCAAGCCCCTAACCTTCATGTTCTGCAAGGTAAGGTGCTCATTAATCACCGTGACTCCGTCGCAGTTATCGCCGTGCACGCAGCATTTCAAGATGCCACATCCGGTCTTCTTCGGTCCCTTCTCGATGCTATCTTTGTTGAAGTCGTTGAACGCTTCGTTCAGGGCAAGGCTAGCAGCTTTCATACTGTCTGAGCGGGTACGACCAGTGCGCTGCACAGACTTTTGTCGTCCCTGGACGAGGTCGAACATCGAGGGACCAGGAAGATCCTTGTGAATGGAAGCACTGCTGGACGAGACATCTGCAATGGTGAGCACGTAATTTGCTGAAATCAAATTGACCTTGCTTACTCGAGGTGACCCTGGGTTTGTTACCCAGGAGGAAAAGACCACCCGAACCACGTGAGTACGGACGATCTGGCGGCTGAAGGGGCGCGTCGTTGAGTTCCGCCAGGGAGATACCGCTCGTGACACGGGAAGGATGACGTGATTGCGACCGAGGCAGTGTGTCATTGGATCCTGCCAGAGAAATGCCGCTTGGAACGCGGGAATGGGCACGCGACGGCGATTGATGGAGTGTGGGATTGATTTCTGCCAGAGCTATGCCACTCGTGGCACGAGAACCAGGACGAGACGGCTCTTGGTTGGACTCCTTGTTCAAGTCGCTCAGGTATGAGTTGACCGCGTGGGGGTTCAAAAGATCTGTAGCTGTCATTTGCTCTGCTCTACGGCCTCCCGTCACTCATAGCCTTACCTGGACGTTTCTTTTGTAGTGCAAGAAGGTTGTCGATGACGCGTCCTTGCTCCAACAATGTCTCCATCTGAGATGTTGACGCCACTGTACCCAACGGCGCTGGCGACGCGGCGCGCGTTCCCCATGGCTTCGGTGTCCCTGATTGTGACGGAGTCGGTGTTCCGCGGTGAGAAGCAGGCGCGGACTGGGCTAAGAACATAGCACGATCATTGTAGTGGCTCTCCGCTTCGTTCTTGGGGATCTCAAGGCGAAAGTGGCCCTCTGACAAATTCGAAGACTCACCACATTGCGCGGCTACATGCGGTTGTCAGTACGATTTGAGACACGCGACATGGGCTCTTGCCACTGGCTCACGCCTTCAAGTGCACGCCAATTTGTTTTCCACCTTTTACTTACGATTTGCTCCACGATTGGACGGTGTCATGCCTGGGATCCCGCCTGTCTGGCCCTCGAACGCACCAGTTCCGCCATCTTCGTTCTTGTTTTTCTCTTGGTCCTCCCAGGCATGCGCCATGCTGCGGTGCAGTGCGGCAACCTCAGGTTCGTGGCGAGTGCCAGGCACACCGAGCGGGTGAAATGGCGGTGCAGTGTCGACCGTCGTTCCGACAATGTGGATTCCCTTCTTGGTAGCAAACGGAATCGGTTCGACGGACACGCCGGCCTTCGAGTATAGGTAGTGTCCCCGGTACCAGTACGCGATTCCCGTCTCAATTGGATGGATGCCGTAGAACCCGGATATGTTGACTTCCATTCCTTTGGCCTTTTGGGTGCCAGGGGGAAGCTCCTTTTTGGCCATGACGCAGGTGTGTACTTTCGGTGCACTCGGGGTTGGTGTTGGGGAAGGTGATGGGGCAGGGGTAGGGGATGGGGCCCAGATAATTATCGCGGGCCCGGACTTGAAAACATACCTGCGCGAACGTAACGATTCCATGTTTTAACGGTGCTTAGCGGATGTTAAAGGCAGGGGCCAGGTTGAAAAGTTGTAAGGGTCGCGACAAACGGAAGAGCTTGGCACTTGCCTTTGGAGTTGCTGGAGTAATGAGGTGAAGGACGCCGACAGACTCAGTTACGTACTGCCCAGAAACGTCCTTCACCCAGATAAGTCAACCCAGTATAGGGCCACAGCTTGTGGTTTCTTTTGAAGCTAAAGGCGTTAGCTGACATCGATCCACACATGTTACTTTAGTGTTCGTGTTGAGCATCAGTGATGGTAACATATAATAGCCCTCACTCTCAAGATTACGATTTCAACCAGGAATAAAATCCTACCTCTTCGAAATAGCTGTGCCGGCTGATAAGGATACTCGGAACCTAATCATACGTGAGTTGTGATATAAGAATTGTATCAATGGAGCGGTTGTCGATGCATCACTAAGTTATACGAGGTGGAGTGCCTCTCCATCAATCTAAAACTAGTTAGAGTAGGCAAGGTTGAGTGGTTCTGCGGAAACGAAATCAAGGTACAAGGAACACACATAAGGGCTCCGAAAGGGATTTTCAATAGATAATATTATGCATGTACATTCATAATTAAAAATACAGCCCGGTTGGATCTTAATTCTTATATCAACTTTCATCAGGGTTCTACTGACGGCCAGCAGATGTGCCATCCTCGGGCCCAGGAAGCCCTTCATCATCACCAGGCTCAGCATAAGTACCAGCCTGCTTTGTAGCACCGCGGGTGCGGCTATCAATGATGTTGGAGCTGTCGATAGCGTCTTTCTCATCGCGCTCTGCACTTGGTAAGCGTACCTCCATGTACGAATAGACAGATGAACGTACCAAGCTGCTCATCTGAGTCGGCATTTCCAGAACCATAAGGGTCCTCTACAGGGGCCTCGTCACGCTGGACGGGAATCGTGCTCTGGCCGGTACGACTGGCGTAGTCGTTGTCGCCGGCATCGCCAATGGGGATCTGCTCATTGGAGGACATGTTCGTGAAAGAGTAAGATGATGGCGTGTAAGGATAAGTAAGAGATTGCTGATTGTTGTTTGTTATTGATATGAGATTGCTGATTTGACCAGTTATTGAGAAGTATTTGAAGGTTTATTTATATGCGTGGTGGTAAACATGATACGTCATGGGAACGGTGCTCTATCAAAGCCTCTGACGGCGCAATGTAGAAAAGAAGGGTCGATCGGACCGTCAGCCTTCCATGCGATTTGATCATGACAACATGATGCCATAGAAGATCTGGTATCGACATGGTACGCTATACTTTAATCGGGGTAGCCCTACCGGAGAGGGCCAGGTTCGCGTGTGGCAAACAGATCGAGTAATGAGCGGTACCTAGTCGATAGAGGCAGATGGCTGGGATGGCTCGGAACAAAGAAAGTTGGGTGCGCTTGGTTGCATGATCGTCTTGACGCCCATGCTTACTTGTGGTAAAGACTAGTCTGCGCGTCAGAGTCGTCGCTGATGGAGCTTGATAGTGCTCTGGTGCGTTCGAAGCAACGGCAGACAAAAGAAGGAACATTTTTGCGCAATGCACGCGAGTGGCTCTCGGATAACTCAGACGTCGTCACGCTGTCGCGAAACGCATCTAATGGCGAATCGTCTATTAGACCCTCGATGGACGGGATATTCGGCGTTTCTACCAGGTACAGACCATCCTCTATCCAGCTAACAACTCTCTTGTCACCCCGGCGACTGTTTCTCCAAGGCGCTACCACAGGTTAGCGAACGTCAACGAAGGCCCCGCTTCGCCTAGCACCAGGCACAAGATGCAGATCTGCAGAAGATCGATCTTTCAAATTCGCTAATCTGGTGGCTGGGATCGCATTCTGATGATGTCGATATCGTGTCGGAACTGACGCGCTAACACGAAAAATCGTGACGCCCTGACAACGCGTCTTTCAGCCAAATAGGGTAAGCTCGGAGCAAAGGGAAAGAGGACAGTGACAAGTTATTAGTCGAAAGCAATAAACATGACGTGAATCGTTACGCACCTGACTTAGATCGAGCCACGAAATACATGAAATGCTCCGCTTACGACCAAACGTTTCATTCGCGTGGGTATCTATAATACACGCAAGTACGACGATTTGAATGAACACTGTTGCAATTATTCCACCTCTTGTGAAGATCCTTATATGAACCTGTATGGTGCCATGCTAACAAGCACTTAAATCTCGGGTCTAGCCGAAACAATTACTCCTCTTCATAGTTGACGGCGGCCTTCTTCCTACCACTTCTAAGTCATGTCAGCTTATTCAAAACACGGTGTCTAGCACTGTGGTACCTCTTCTGCGGGGCGGCCTTGTCGGCTGCAGCCTTCTTGCCCCGCTTGGCCTTGGGCGGCTCTGGCTCCTCGGCAGAGTCGTCTTCTTTGACATCCTGCTTGGGCGCTGCCTTCCGACTACGCTTGGCCTTGGAAGGCTCAGGCTCTTCCACGTCCTTCAGGGCTGCTTTCTTGCCACGCTTGGGCTTGGGTGCCTCGACTTCCTCAGCAGCCTCCTCCTCATTCTCCTCTTGCTTAGCGGCCTTCTTGCCCTTGCCGCGCGCTTTCTTGGGAGCAGGGCCTTCCTCATCATCGTCCTCCTTCTTGGCACGACCTCGTTTTGCCTTGGGCTCGGGAGCTTCTTCGTCGTCCTGCAGGTTCGCTTAGTTTCGCGCAGAATAATGAAATCTTCACTTCCTTACCTCAACGCCTTTCCCAAGCTTCTTCTTCTGAGCTGCGGTGAGACGGAAGCCCTTTTGACCAGGTCGGTTGCACTCGATATCCTGTATAGAGTGAATAGTGTGATGCTGCGGGAAGATCGCTTTACTTACGCCTTTCCAATCCTCATCGGGCACGTGCCCGTTTTTCAGGGCGAAGTCAACCTTCTCTTGCAGTTCTGCAGGAAGCTCATCGTAGCCATCGACCATGTCCGTATCGCCTCCGCTCTCCTCGATAAGGTGGGCGACCTGTGCCGGCGTCACGCAGCCCCTGGTACGTTAGAGTAAACCCATTTTAGATTGATTCACAGCCTACCAATGCTTGTATGCCCAGCTTGTGTGCTCCTGGATGGTGACCTGTGTCGCAAAGCGGAGCTCACCCTTCCCAATCTTCACACCTTCTTTCTTGCACTCGGTATTCTTGCAACCAGCCCGGGCATTCTTGGATTCCTCTGCGTGCAGTTAGGTTCTGCAAGGGTTCATCTTCTCGAGTTTCGCAATGCACGTGTAGTGACTTACCCACGCGGTATGGCATGTTCAGAAGCGCGTCTGGTGCGCTGCGTGTCTAAAGAGGACTGGCGGAGTTGATGCGCGTCACGGGAGAGAGTGGACAGGATGTAGGTAGTGACGCGAGCGATTTGTGCGCAGTGTAAATATTTGTTGAATAAGGGCGAGGTATGGGTTGGGGAAGTTGCTATGCAGCTTGCGCTCGGGCCCTACGCGTCGCAAACACGGTGACGGCATGCATCTGAAAAAGTTTGGGGCGCGCAACCACCGCCTGCGACACTGCGCAAACACACCCACCGCAGGCCACCGTGCATCAATGAGCTCGGTCCATACGTGCTTCCGCAGCGCGCTTGCACACACATTCCGTCCGTCGACCGCAGAGGCCGCCGCATCCTGGACCGTCCCTGCCTTTCTCGTGCCCGCTTGCACTCGCCCCCGTGGTCGCCCCTTCTCCGCAAAACGCCGCAGGGCCAGCGCAGACGCCAACCCCATCCATCCCGAACGTACCCTCGAGATAGCCTACAAAGGCACCGCCTGGGACCTCCCGCAGAACCCCACCAGACCGCCGCTCGGCTCGTGTATACCGCTCCCTGCACAGCATGTGCGCGCCGACATCCAGCACTGGCTCCGTGCCATAGACCCATTTCTCCCACCACCCCTCCGCCGTCATCAATCGAACGAATCTAACGGTCCAGCGACATCTGCTCCCTCTTCAGCGGGTGATACATTGGTGACTGCATCAGACATTGCGTACTTCTTGGTCGCCGCTCAGTATTATGCTCATGATATCCTGAGCCATGTGGGCCTGAGTGAGAAGCGTTGGGACGCTGTTATCTGGATTGCTAAGAAGCTTGTTAGTGCTGGAAAGGCGTCGACACAGGCTCCTGTAAAACTTGAGTCATTTGGCCTTGCAATTCCTCTCGAACAGCAGCACATGTCGCTCTCAGAGCTCACAAACGATGCTCTCAGGATCCAACCGCCTCGCACTGCTTTCTCGATTCCTACCAAGCCGGCCCATAATCTGAATGGGCTCACTTCCATTCCAGAGACCATCGAGCCGAGACACCGATTGATCAAGCGAGCCTTAGGACAACTCTGGCGTACGCTGGGCACTATGATCCTGGCCGCCGCCGAGGAGCAGCCCGATCACACATCGATCATGCATCATGTGCTCGAAATTCTGGCCTACCTCCACCACAAGGGCCTCATTCCAGGCTCCGTCTACGCACACAAACCGGAGCCGGACAACTATGCTCTCCAGCAGCCTCCAACGTTACATGTTCTGTCGTCCAAAATCCTGACGGCCCTCTCGGATGCGCAGTGGAGAGCCCACGAAGCCTCTGTGAAAACTGCGACCGAGCGCCTCAATGCATCATACTTCTTAGGCCATGAAATACCAGGCTCACGATACAAAGTACAAGTCACAGGAGTAGCTCCAGAGCTGTGGCTCGAGCTGGTGCTTTGGTCCTGCCTTCATGGCGGTTGGACTATGGATGGGTCTGCAATCCTCGAGGAAATTGCTTCTCACCGAGGAGATCGACCTTGGGTCCTCACGAGCTGGAAAGAGCTGCTCGAGGCCGAGCGAGAGGAGCAGAAAACCGCCACTCAGAAAGGATGGGGCCTGTTTGGAAACCGTCCAGAAAGCCTCCCCCAGGGCGATCAACGAGCGCGGACTCAGCGAAAAATCAGTAGTGAGGTCGTCACCGCTATCGTTGACGGACTCGTGAACGAAGTACGTTTGGGCGTTGGTGCGCGAGGGATCTCACCTGAGCATCTTGTCGATCGCATCAAAGTCCTCAAGAAATTTCTCGACCACAATCTGCTCAGTTTAGGGTCCACAACCTGGGACTCGGTCATCTTGCGTCTTCTCGAATCGGGCAGTGTTGTTCCGGAGAAGCGTCCTGAGATCTTATTGAGCATTCTAGATTTGGCATCCGAGTTTGGCTCGGAAGTCAGTGCTGTGAATGCATCTTCAAAACCAACAGCAACGGAGTCCGAACCACCTTACTTCTTTGAGCCGACCACATTACCTATCAGCCTCTTGCACCGGACGATGCGATCATACATCAACATTGGCGATATCGCGGGCGCCATGAGTACGTTGGAGAAGCTTCAAGAGCTTACAGATCAGAACAAGCAGAAGTCACTGGCGCACTTTTTCACAGTCTTGATGACTATACCGCTTCGCCGGAATGAGCATTTCACGAGCCGAGTGCCTCCCATCGAGTTTCCGGCTTTCGAGAACCAGATATCTGTGCCGCTACTGGCCAAGCTTCTTGATCTCATCACCTCTGCCAATATGTACGACCTGGGCCGCTGGCTCTTGTTTTCAAAAGACTTGGATGGACCACTGATCCGGCCCGGCATGTATGGGAACTTTGTCATGGCCGCATCAATCATCCGTTTTGGTACAATGGCTGGTGACCATGATCTTGTACTCAAGATTGTGAACCAGACGAGCACTGCCGATAGCACTCCAGGACAACCTTTTAAACATCGCATGCCACACGAGTTCTTCACCGCACTGTTGCGTAGCCAGATCAAGCTACATCGATGGGTATCCGTGCGTGGAATGCAAAATTACGCGCTGGAGTCCCAAGGATTCAAGGTGAAGCCCGAAATTCTCGCGCAATTTGCTGCAGAATTGCTCCGCGTTTCGGCACAAAGGGAGGGAGCGGAAGCCACCAAGGCAGATGCCAAAAGCGCGTTCACGAACATGCTCTTCACATGGGAGAACTTATTCTTGAACGACATGCGGAACGAGCTGTACTGTATTCTTGCTGTACTGTCATCTGTGCATGCGGAATGGAAGGACTACTGTTCAGGTTTCCTTGCTCACGCGGCACAACAGGATATCAAGCTGTCCACTGACGAATTCAACATCATACTAAGTGGGGTGCTTGATGGGTACGGGACTCTGAAAGCCAAGGAAGTCGTGGAGAAGTGGTGCTACCAAGCTCCTCGAATGTTCGAGCCGTTCAGGGCCCCTGGTGGGTTGCCTACTATGTCCAAGTATCGCCCCACCAAGGCAGAGGAGTACGCGAGTTGGCCGGAAAACATTGAGGCCCACAAGACCTCGGGGGCGACGCTCATCTTACAAGGGCGTGTGCACGCCAATCGACAAACGGTCTGGGCCATTCTGCGAAAGGTGCGGCAGGAGCACGAAGAGCTCCAGCGTAGAGGTGAAGAAGCGCTCCTCGCGAAGCGCGGTGAGATGCGCGAGACGCTCAAGTGGGCCGCGAGACTGCTGTACTACATGGGGTTCGACTATGAGGATATCATGCGAGATCTGGGCAGTCTTGCGGACCTAGCTGGTCTTGCGGCTCCGGTGGCGTCTGCGGCGACGCTACAGCTTTGGGAGGAAGGGCCGGTGGTGTAAAGACATGGGCCAGGCCGGCGAAGTGCGTTGCCTCGGACCTAGAATATAGTTTTTTTTGGTAAAATGTTCAATACAATTACTCGACCCACATGTACACGTGAGCGCCCTTGTTACCTAGGCACATGCACTGTGTAACTCCGGCAGCCTTGTCTGACTCTTGCTTGACCCGCTGTATATCTGGCTTTTTCGTACACACCAACGAATAGGAGGCATCGGTCATACTTGAGATGGTGAGTACCTCAAGCGATATAGGGCTAGCGGTCCAATCAGACAGTCTCAGGGTCCGATGACACGTTTGATGTGGCTGTCTGCAGCGCAATTCGGCCAGCGTCAAGTGGAGTCGAACGAGGCCAGCTAGCGGCCAATGACAAGTGGAGCATCCAACGGCTGGCGTGTGGTCATTGCAGATGCTGAGCCTCGTTCGAGGCCGGCGCTGGCCGCGAGCGAGAGGAAAGGAGCTGCTCAACGAAGCCGTCAGCCCTCGAAGCAATCTTAGCTTGCACTGAGCGGTCCCGAGAAGGTCAGGCTATATACAGGCCCATGTTTTAGGCTTGGAGACGACATGCATGGACAGCGTCCGCGGCCCGCTGCTGTACGCTCCTGGCACGGTTGCGTTTGCACCGCTACACCGCCCTTTCTCTGCCGGAGCCAGAGCGTATCGATAGGTGCGACGAGGGGCCAAGCGACGTCAACAGAAGCATCTGAACGATGATCTATGGAGACGTTTCCGCGTGCTGATCAGGTAGCACCTGCGATGGCGGGTGCGATTGTCGTGCAGCAAATTGGCTATGACGACGCGGGGGAGAAATTCGTCGTGGACTGAGCGCAGGTAGTCCGAGCGAGGCATGTACGTCCTCGGATGCATGCACGTCTTCTGGGATGCGCGGGGCTCGTCAGGCTGGCGTCTGCAGCCCGGCCAATTGCGGCCCTCTGGAGCTGCCTGACGCTGGATTTAGCCCCGTTGTCCTCATCAAAGCGTTTTGAATCTTCGCTGGATCCGTCCAGGGCCTAGTTTGGTGGGGAATGGCCAGTGGGCCTGTCCTCAACGCGAGGGGCACACGACAGCGAGGAGCCTCCTCGCAGTCCGTCGCAGAGCGAGCGCGGCGAGAGACAGCCACCGCCGCTGCCGCCTGGGGGACTCAGACCATGAAGACTAATCGCAGGCCATGATCCTGGGCTGTTGGCTGCGCTGAGGTTGGCTCGTACTTTGTGCTGTGACTGTCCGATCAATCTCACCGCTGGTAGCATACGGCGCTAGCATCCCAGTCTACCCCTATCAGGCAAGGCGGGCCAAGATTTCCCGAAATTTTGAGGAAAGAGCAGAGCGCCCATCCCGCTCCTCACGCTCCATACCACCTACAGACAACGAAGTCGCCATATCCTCTACAGAGACCACAAACCCATTTACCACACCATCTTCGTCGAGACAATGCCGCAGGCAATCGCTGAGCTCTAAATTCCCTCTGGGCGGCCCACAATCCATGTGGGCCGTTCCAGCCGGCCGCTCACGAGTATTCACACCTCTACGACGATAACAATCCACGACTGTGTGAAGCACCTCTGCTCGCACTCGTACCCAGATTGATCTATCGTCTGCCCTGCGCTGCCAATCCACTATTGTCAGTTCTGCTGGACATCTCCAACAGGAATCGACTTCCACCAAGGCCCATCATAGTTAGGAGCCTTGCGCCCAGTACACCACACCATACTCTACCGAACGTTACTATCTTGACCCCTGCGACCTCCCGACCTCGACTCCGATCTCTCTCTCCCCTCTCCTTCCTCGTCTCTAGTATACTGCGAACCTGCATCCCATCTCGCATATCACCGCATAAAGACAAGAATATCAGACGTTTTCAATGGCGCATTCACCCCAATCGCGCCCCGCCATGGTCGAATTGGGTGGTCAACATCTGCATGAGCACCAACCCATACACGACACTCCCGCTGGCGTCCGCAGAAGCGACCAGCGTTCCGCTTCATCCGACGAAGCCGCCCCGAATAACACCGGCCATGCGGGCGGCCGCGGCAATGGCCAAGCTACCACCGATGAAGCATCCAATGAGGATGACGACGAAGACAGTAGTGCTGCTCAAGACGACCTGGAAGAGGACGAAGAAGATCCAGACACAATCGCCCCGTCTCATGGCCGTGGCAAGGGCAAAGGTAAAGGGATACGCCCCTCAATCTACATCGAGCCTGTCGATGAAGACGAGTCACACGCCGAAGAAGAATCAGTTCTTGGCGAAACGGGGCTGACTGTCAGCAAACACCCCGTTAGCAGCCTGCTAGCCGGGAACAAGAAGCGTACCTTCAGCAACCTTTCTAACACCTCAGTGTTGTTTGGAGATGATGAATTGGACAACCATAGCTTCCCCCGACGCAAGGTGGCGCGGAAGCTCAGCAACGGCACCTTCAAGCCTCTGTTGAAATACAAGGAGAATGCTAACGAGGACATGAATGACATTGAGAACGCTATCGAGACGGACGACGAAGATTACAGCGGTGTCAACCTCGTGCCTGAGGATGACGATTCCGAAATAGAAGATATTGAGCATCAAGAAGAAAGCTTCATCATTCAAGAAGAGGAGCACGGTACTTCTGCTCTCATCAATCAGTTCAATGATGCACGGCGACTGAGCCTCGATAGCCTGGCGAGCGACAACATCTTCGACTTCACTGCACCACTGGACCAGACCTATGATGTGAACCACGCCGACATGGGCTTTGCCCGATTTTTTGAACCGGCTCCTATACCAACGTCGCCTGAAGTGGTAGCCAAGAGGAAATTTTCAGACAGCTCTACTAAGCGTGTCCGTTTTGACGATGAAGTCCAGATGTCGGACAGCTCAAGCTCCTCTTCGGATGAATTGGACAGTTCTCTCTATCCTGACCTGTTCCTTGATCAGGATAAGCTACCTGCAAGCTTGTCTCAGCTTTTAGAATATGATCAAGACGAGGATTACGGTGATTATGATTCTCCTGCATCCGAGATGTCTTTCTGGGACTTCGGTCAAGATGAGTTACATCAAAGCACTGCAGGAGCCGAAGAGTTTGAGGAGTCTTCCGACCCCGGGTCCAGTGGTTATGAAAGTATGCTATCTCCATTTAATAGACCTATTGAGAGACTAACTTCCCACTCTAGCTGACATGGGTGATACTACTGATGAATACGAGTCCGATTCGGATGCCCCTCCTGAAACACCGCTACGCAAGAAATCAGTCCTGCGTCAGCCTCCTTCAGCACCTGGTTCCAGGTTCAACAGTCCACAAGCTTTCGAGCGATCGTCCAAACCCATAGGCCGTGCCATTCCCCCAACTCGCGGAATCTTCATCCACGAGGATTTCAGCAAAGCCATCGCATTCACTAACCGCACCACGAAGAGGCTTACCTTTTATCGCCCGCGAACTCCCCTGATATCCTGGGTTCCCCTCAATGGTGCGCAGAGTAGCTCCACCAGCAATGCCAATGACAGTCCTCGTACTTCGCTAGCACAACTGAATGCCTCAGATAGCGAAGTCAGCAACGAGGTCTTCAGCAACCCTTTCACAACTTCGGACATCATGCTCACCGGGATATTCGGCTCGGCTCCTTCCAACGACTACTTTTTTGGTACCGACAGCATAGGACCACCGGAAGCATTCTACCCTTTTGTCAGCATTGGAACAAACGGCGCGGTCTTGGACGACGAAGATGATCCCGAGGATGAAGACTACGAAGACGATCTCAACATCACGGATTTCATGGACTTCGGATCCGACGTCGATGCCACGGACGTGGAGCAGGACGATGATGAGACGGACATCCCCGCTACCCCGGCGGTCTCTACGACGGCGATGCCGGGTTCCACCCCTGCCATGTCTACACCCATGGTCGATACGCCCACCACTCGCAAGCGAACAACTTCTGACGCGATGCTCCAACATTTCGACCGTGGAGTAGTTACTGCCTTCCGTAACAATCAGAACCGCTACCGCGATATCGCCCAGTTACCCTCCGATCCAACTATTCGAGCTTCTGTCTCCCGTCCTGTCCGATCTGGGAAGTCGGCCGAGACTCTCATGACTCCGCTTCGCAAGCGGCCGACGAGAAGGACAGCTAAGTCGCCCTTCCAAGCCAGCTCGCCTATGGTCAACGCCAGCTCTCCTCTGAGTGGCGTTACCAAGGCCTCATCTCGGCTCAACAAATCGCTCATGAATCCTCCTCGCGCTCCGAGAATGGGAGCATTCACCTAGTCATGAGTGTTGACTGGCTCCGTGAGCTTCGTCATGAAACATCTTGGAGATCTGGTTTATGGAAGATTTGACGACAATCTCTCGGGAGACTGTCGAATGACCTTACGATACCCACGGCCCTCTTTCCTGGTAATATCTTACGACTGTGTCGTTAATACACAATTGGTTATGCATTGCATGGTCACCAAAAGTTTTCCTGGAGCGGACCACGCGGTCGGCCCAGCAAAAGTCGATACGATTGTTCATGCACGGACTGTCGTCTCAAGGTTCTTTTTGAACATACTTTCATTTCGCTGCTACTTTGATTCCCCCTTCCTTTTGTCCTACAGTTCTCCTCGTTACGAATGCTTTGTCTTCTTAGATTCTTTCCAGAACAAGCATTCACGAACGATGTGCGCGGATTCTGTTCTTTTCGGATCTGGGCGACACCCGCGACGCTTTCCATGGCGTTGTCAGCGTTTTCTGGTTGGCGTGTATCTTGACGGGTCTGGATCGACAAGCCTCACGGCGCACACCACGGTTTAGTGCTTATCCTGCAGCTTCTTGCAGGTGTTGGTTGTTGGGTCCGGGGTACCGGTTGGACAGGGGCATTTTCGTTCCAGATTCTGTCTTTTTCGTTTTTCTGAGATGGCTATGTGTAGGAGTATTGATGAATTTCTCATCCTCGCCCGTTAACAATGAAACTTAAAACATGAAAGGCCATGCTACGCGGATAATGCAGTGATGTAAGTGAGAGTTATCATCAAAGGTCGAGAGAAACGCGGGTCAGTAAGTCAAGCGAGACGCAGCGTATCTGGGGCGATCGTATCTGCGCTATGCGGCGGGCGCCTGTGTGCGATTTAGACGCTCGGCGTGCACAAGGCGTCGAGGGTCTGAGCGTACCCTGCCGATCTGGCATCGGACGGGCCCAAGCTCTAGCTCCACCGCACCGACGTCACTTCACCACGGAACGTTTGTCTCACGTGAAACTTCGCAGCCAAAACACGCGCGTCGCGTGTTGTTCAGGACGAGCAATGGACGATGTCGAAAACAAACATGGTGCGCCTCGGGCGCTCTTCGATTCTGTCAAAGTGAGTGGCACGCTCTGGATGCGATCCTGGGGCACCCTGCGCGACTGAGCAAGGATTGGGGATTTCGACTGACCCATGCACAGGACATATCACTCACACCCTTCCGCATAGCGACGTCCCCACCTCTCCTGAGGACTTACCTCCGCACCTTGCTCCTCCTACTCACGTCCTCGCTTCTGTTCGCCGCCGCCGTGATAGCGTACACCTCGTTCTACTACGCCTACATTCCCATCCGCGGGCTCCAGGTGCCGGTATACCTGCAGTATGAGCACTCCCCCTCCGTAGCGACTACGCGCGATACACCTCCGGTCGACCTTCGGATCCCCAAGCAACCCTACGGCATCGCCAACATCGACGGCCTCGTCTCCCGCCAGAAATACGATGTCGAAGTCACCATGGTCCTACCGCGCAGCGAGAACAACCTTGCAGCGGGGAACTGGATGGTTGGGCTAGACATGCGGGGTCCCGGGACGCGTTCCCCTGGCATCAAGTCGCTGCTGGGATGGGAGGACGAGTGGGAAGTGGAGGATTACTCACAGGGCCCGAATTCTGGAACAACCAAGGAGGGCATCTCCCCAGAAGAGGCCGCTCAGGCTGCTTTGCGAAAAACGGAGGTCCTTGCACGGAGTAGACGGCCTGCTATCCTGACATACAGGAGTTGGCTGACCGAGATGTGTTATCGGGCGTTGCGGCTCCCCCTGTATGTTGTCGGGTGGGGGACCGAGAGCGAGACGGTGAGCGTAATGGTCATGGAGGGCGTGCAGTTCGAGAAAGGATGGAGAAATGTGCCGGCTTCGATCCGACTAGAATTGCGGTCCAAGACCCCGCTCGAGGTGTATCGGGTGAGCGTGAGGTTCGTAGCGAAGCTGGAGGGTCTGCGGTGGGTCATGTACACCCACCGACTCACTTCGGCCGCGGTGTTCATCGGTGTGTTTTGGGGGGTCGAGATGGGTGTACTGCTCTTCACATGGGCGTTGTTTGCATTTTGCATGGGCACAGTCGACGACGAGAATACAACGCAGGGTGGAGAGAAAGTGAAGACCGAGCGGGGCACCGTTACGCCCAAGACTGAGCCTGCGGAATCAGAACCACCGACGCCAATGAGCGACACCGATCGCGCGTTCCCGACTCTTTCTACACAGCAACCACTTCGTTACTCATCCTCTTCACCGAAGGAGGAGCGAGCTACGCCGGCACTCGAAGATATACCCACCAGGGAAGAGGCTGAAGCCGATGACGAGGATGATGATTTCCTGGTGGAGGAACCCATACCGAATTCCGCAGCGGGCGTTCTGACAGATTCGGGAATTGGCACAAGTATGGAGAGCAGCATTGAGCGGAAGGGTTTGAACAGGCGAAAATCGCAACGAGATAGGTAGTTTAGCCAAGTGCTTCAGCGTGACGAGTGTAGACAGGATTGGCGATTCCAATGATATGGTCACGCGCCATGCAAACATACCACTTCCGTACTGGCTGCAATTAGATTATGTCGACATTCTAACAAGACGTGCTCTATGTTTGTATCCACGGGTATATGTGCGTCCGTCTCATCCCAGCCTCACGTCTCTATCATAGCATCGGCCGCGTCTCCGTGGCGGCAGCGCCATGCTTCTTCAAAATACGCCCCTGTCCTTCCTGCATATGCTTCGCAATCTCCTCATCAGTCAGCTGTGTCACATTGTCCAACGCAACAGCTTCCCTCTTGAGAGACTTGGCCAGCAGCTTCTCGCCGTCGCTTGACGCAGCCTTGCCGTCCACAACCTCACTGCAGAACTTGGCATACTCTTCGAAGAACGTCTTCGATGCGGGAAGCGAGTCCAACATCATGGCAAAACAATGCGGCATGGCTTCGAATTCGCGCCACCTTACAACGGCACCCTGCTGGTGCATTCTCTTCGCCAGGACAGCGTCCTCGTCACGCAGCATTTCCTCTCCCAGCCCGAAAAACGTCGGGGGTGAGTTGGACCAGTCCTTCGCTGCAACGGGCGATACGAGCGGATGCTTGAGCGCCTCGCCCTCGCAGTACAGATCCGCGCGCGGGGGGTCTGCAGGCCAGGCCGCGTCTGGTGGGTAGTTCATACCCTGAGTGTGCGAAGGGGGCGGCAGGTAGTCGTACTTTGCCAGTCCTTCGACGGAGGGAAGTGAGCGTGTTATGTCGAGCCAGGGAGAGCTAAGGGCGAGGCCCGCTGGGAGCGGAATCTCGACATCTTTCCCGTACCAACGGACGGTGGGAAGACCGGTTCCGCTGTGGGAGCGATGGATCTGCAGGAGCAGCTGGAGGAGCGAGGTACAGAGCAAGCCGCCTGCTGAGTCGCCTCCGAAGACTATCTCCGCAGCGGGTACGGGCTCGTGGGGCGCGTCGGGCGGTGGAGCGAGGAGAGACAGGTAGGCCATGAATGCGTCGAGGATTGCAGCAGGGAATGCGTTCTGCGGCGCCAGGCGATATCTCACGCTGAAAACTCGACCGCCTGTCAAGCGCGCCAGCTTTCCTGTGACGTGTCGGTAGGTTGCCGGGTCTAGAAGGTACATTGCGCCGCCATGGAAATACAGGAGCGTGACCTTGCTCTTCACTTCGCCCATCAACTTTCCGTACTTGTCTCGCTCACTCATACCTGTGGGCTCAGGCTCAGTGTCCGAGACTCCAGCGCGGCCACCGGTCCATTCGCCTTCTACATTGTGCATATCGCACTTGGTCCATTTTTCGGTGCCGTCGCCCATGTCCTGGATGGCTTTGAAGAGCAGCTGTCGAACGTCGTCTTCCTCTGGAGTCTTGAGCTGGACTTTCGACACCCACACCGTGCCTTTGACGCCGGTGTCCTTGGTGGTCAGGTGTTGCAACTTGGTGATGGGGGTCATTCTGTTGCTGGGGCCGAGCATGTCACGAAGGACTTTGATGGTCAACTCAGTGCGCAAGTCCCATTTTGAAGATGTTTCCGAAAATCTCAGAGTATGTGCCAGCGCAGTCTTGAATATGAATGGTGTTTTGGGAAGCAGTAGCTTCAGCATTGCGGAGGGCGAAGACTCCATCGTGGCGTTGTCGTGTACCGACTGCAGAACTGGATGTAGCTAGTAAGCACGCGATCGGATACAAAGGGGGGTCGCTAAAAGGGAAATGAAGATATACAATAAAGGAAGAAGGGGTTGCTAGAGGGACCGGGGCAAATAAAGTTGAGGTCAAGACTCAAGGCTACAGGGGTATCAGTAACGTGCCTCGGCATCTCATTTGATGTTTAGCGCACATGGCTAGCCTGATTTAGTTATTTTCGTGTCGGAGAATTGAATAGGAGAGTCATGATTTAGGCAAAACTTACACCAGCCACAACAGACTTCACATAGCAGGTTGCATGGACCGTGTGCACTCTGTGTGAATCATATAATTGAATTAAGAGACTTAACAGCCTGCACCCTTGACCCAGGGGTATCTTTGTATGTGTGCCTACCAAAAACCCAGTCCGACAAACGCCCAATAACGTGCACGCTTCGCAAGACAAATAACAGATAGAGGCTGCACCGCTCGTGAATCCGTCCTTCTGCACCGGCTAATGCCTGGCTCAGTTGTTTCGGGGTTCACTCAACTGGTGTGGCAGCGGCAATGGTTGGAGAACTCTATCCATCCAATTCACCCTCTTCGCTCATGACCTCGTCCCCACCGTTGGCATCTTCCTTGGCTTTCCCGTTGCCATTGGCAGGCTCCGGCTCAGGGTCTAACTCCGGTTCAGGCATCGGGTGCTGGCCCGGGGTCGGGGTATCGAAGTAGGAGCCGTCTTCGGGTGATCGCAGTCCAGCGTATATGTTGGGTTCGCCGTCTTTGCTGGGCACCGTCTCGTAGATGTCGGCCATATGATTGCATGCGCGTCGGATGTCGCGCAGCTTGACGCATTGTATCTCCCACCAAGGCTTGCCATCTTCTTCTGGCAGTTCAAGTCCCACCATGCGCGCACCTGCATACAGCGAAGCAGCAGCGATGGTGCGAGATGAGAAAAGTAGGCAGAGCTGGGTAAGGCAGGAGTCGGAGAGAAAAGCCCAGGCAGCATTCCGCAAGCTCTTGTTGTGCTCCACATTATAGTACTTGAGCATGTCGTACATGGTCTTGTAGGGTGGCTCGATGTTCATGTCAAAGGAGAGTGATTCGAGGAGGACGTCTTCCGAGTACAAGATGGTGTCTCGCCATTTCCAGAAATCTTTTGTCTGCTCGTCGACGAGCTTGTTTGGATCCTTGAGCGCTACCCGCACGCAGGCTACCACGATCTCCTTCATCTTGCGGACGTTCTCTTCGACCTTCGTAGCAAGGAATAGTGCAGTAGCGGCGACTTGCTGCTTCATGGTCAGGTGCGGCTCGTGGACAGCTTGGGATATGGCGCTTACGTAGTGATGCAGTGGCTTGTAGCCAGGCCGGGGCTTTAGGCTGTTCCGCATGAGATAGCGATTGAAGAAGACGGCAGCGGTGCTGAGCGTGGTCTGGGGCAGCTTCAGCATCATGCCGACCTGCAGGATGAAGTTGACGCCCTTGCGGCGCAATGCGCGCTCTTCTTCGGGCGACATGCCGTCGACGATCGAGGGCGCCTGTAGCAGCTCGTCCTCGGTGAAGAGCCACTGCTCCTCAGCCTCGACGACTGCGGGCGGCGGCGGCCGTGGCCGTTCGCGCACTGGAGGCGCAGGCGTGGGTGTTGCCGAAACCATGACAGTGGGCGGGAGTGGCCTCTGGAGTGCCGAGATTGGAGGTGGTGCGTGTCGCCACTGGGCGCCGAAAGATGGGCGCACGGCGGTCGGAGGAACGAGCGGTTGCAGAGCAGATCAATTTGTGCGCGTGGTATGCGTAGAGGGCGCCGGCGTGCTATCTTGAGGAAAGCGGCGGTTCGCAGCCGAAGCAGGAACCATGGGGGACGATGCGCCGGTGGAGCGTGGGTGAGGATATTGTGCGCCGGTATCAATACGATCAAGGTGAAAGTTAGCATCCCCACCCACGCATGGGCCGTGCATATGCAGGGCGTGGGGATCGACCAATCGCCGCCCTTAACCTCTCCAGACTTCTAGCGAGGCTTCCGCGATGCTTCGAGAAAGGTGATAGGCTCTGACACTAACAATCGCAAGGTCTAGGACATCCTCGCCGATAGTTAGAACTCAACAGCAGCAGAGCAATAACAGTGAATCCGTGGTCTCGAGCCTCTGAGTGACGGACATTGTCTTGGTCCGTGAACCAACAAACAACAAAGAACACGCCAGGCGTTTGGGATACGCTTCTTTATACTCAGACCCTCGGTCTCGGTCCTCTTCCCGAAGAAGTGTTTCGGTTCCCGTCCGATATCGTGCTCGCGAAAGATCCGCGGACAGCAGAGGAGTGTAAGTCCTTCTCCGGCTCAGGTGTACAGAACCATTGGAATGAGGACTGCGCGTTGGCTTGTACTCGCCTGGGTCTGCTTGGTGTCAATAACATTCATGATCTGAAAGAGTGTACGAAGGTGTTGCCGATGTCATAGCTAAGGAACAAAGGGACCGGAGAACTGTTGGAGGATCAGTGATAGCGGCCCGGTTCAACTTTGGAATCAATGGCGACGAAGTTTCAATGTTCGAGGCAGCATAGCATCGCATCGAGGTTTACATAAACGACATATTGGGAAACGAAATTGTAGATGCAGAAGACTTCTATTGCAACGCAGCTGTTATGCCCTCGATCTTGTCGTAATGTTCTCATCCGTGTATATGCAAACCACCAGAAACTCCAGTTTCCGACCGTGAACTTTTCCGACCGTATCGTACTAAAATTACAGAGCGAAGGATCAGAGCACCTCTGCTACGCAGAGTATTACAAAGGATATATAGCAGATAACAGTGTTTGTGTGTACATCCCGAGGCGCCGTGGAATGCATGTTTCGATCTAGTACGGTGCACGTCTCTACTCGTGGTAGATGGCCTCGAATAAGTAAATAACTCCAAATGCGAGGAACGCAACGGCACCTCCGAGAGTCACTGTACAAAGTTAGAGCTGATTTGCTTTGCAATTTGGATCAGAGCACTTACCAACACGCATGCTGACCTTGCCAGCAATTGCACGGCCGCCGATGACAGCGCCTGCTGTACAAAGACCATGCCCAACAATCGCACCTCCAGTCACCCACCAGTAGTCCGAGCCGGCGGCCATTGCCACTGTGGCGATCTGGCTACGGTCGCCCCACTCGCCTAGGAATGTCATGACGAAAGTCTGCACCCAAGCAGGGCTGAGAAGAAGAGAAAACAGATTGTTGAGGCCGCTCAGTGCGCCGGAAAGAGAGGAACCGGTTGGTGAAGGAGCACGATCAGGTGAAGAGGAAGGACTGCGGGCTGGGGCGGGCAGTCGAGAGTTGGAACGCGAGCGGCGAGCGCGGCCGGATTCGAGCACGTAGGGAGAGATGGACGACTTTCTGCGGCCGCCCTTTTGTTGCCTAGCTTGGGACTCCTTCTCTTCCAGCTCCTGTTCCACTTCGCGCATCTCTTCTCCAACACCCTCATCGGGGCTCATGGCCATACCTTCACGCATCAGCTTCACACCGAAGATGAGGAAAAGGCCAGCGGCAGCGAGGTGGGTAAAGCGTTCGGGAATCAGTGTTGGCACGGCGTGGCCTAGGACCGCGGAGAGGACGGTCATGACGATGAGGGCGGAAAAGGCGGCGGAGAAGACGAGGATGCGGGGATGGCGCATGGCCATAAGGGCAGCGACGAGGAAGGTCTTGTCGCCAATCTCGGAGAAGATGATCATGGTGAAGGAAAGAACGAAGGAGTGGAAGGGCTGGATGACGCCGCCGGGTTCGCCGTCCGCGGGCACGGCGCCCGCGTCTGTCTTGGGCGTGGTGTCGAGCGGGTTGGTCTTCTCTGACGAGGGAGGGATGGGATGGGGAATGTCGTGTGGGCTGTCGGGTAGATCTGTGGGTTTCTGTCGCCTGGTCAGTTGTGGAAGCGCATCAGGCATTGGCTACGACTCACCTCGAGCCCCTGTGCGCCCAGTACGCGAGTCTCACCGTCTGCATCCTTGCTCTTGTCCTTGGACGCCTCGAGCTTGTCCTTGAGGTTCTGCTGCTCGCCATGCGACGAGGGCAGTTCGGGTGCCTCCTTGGGCGACTCGGGCACCTTCTCCATCTTCTCGCCCGTCTTGCCCTCGTGGGCCAATCGCTCCTTGTCCTTTGCAGAGACGCCGCCCTCGGTGCCGGTGACGCCTTTCGGGGACTCCCGGTTCGGGTCGTTCATCACGCTGTCGTCGTCCTCGATCTTGGCCGCCAGCTCCTCCTTCTCTGCCGTTGTCGGCTTGCGGGAGCCAGGCCGAAGCTCCTCTATGCCGCCGGGGCCCTTCTTGGTTGCCACGGTCTTGTCGTCGACATAGGGCCCAGCGTGCGGCTTGCCGTCGAAGCCGTCCACGGGTGCATCCTTGGTGCCTTTGTTGCCGGGCGCAAGAGCTGCTGCTGCTGCGACCGGTGCGTCCGTTGCGGTGGCGAGCTCGGTGGAGTCGGCGCGTGCGACCTTTGCGTCGCGGGCGTCTGCGAGGACCTGTGCGGAGAGCACCTGGACTGCGGGCAGCAGCAGGAGGAGGGCCGTCGCGCGCGGCTGTCGCAGCCTCATGGTGTGTCGATGGTCGATGGCTAGGCGAGCAGGGTGCGGGTGCGAGGGTGCAATGACGGGACACGCGGGAACAGAGTGGATGCGGCGAGGATCAACGCCAGAGCTGGAGAAAACGTCGATGTAGCGAGTGCAGAGAATGGAACGGGGCTGTTTCTGGTGTCGAGTGCTTACTCGGCGTCGGTTTTGTGAGACGAACAGACCATGGGCGCAAGGAGCGCAAGGGGGGTATGCGTATGCGTCCGCTGCGGGTTCGTGTCCAGGGTTAGCTGAGAACACCGGCCCGTGGCTACGCCTTCAGGGGCGGCAAAGGAAACGCCGGCAAACAAGTGTCCACGTCGACGTCTCCAGCAGCGCGCCGTGCACACGTACTCTCGTGCTGCATCCGTGTTCCAAGCCCGTTCCACCTTTGGTTGCACAGCAGTCACTAGCCGCAACCAGCGCTCAACTGCAAGACGCCGCCCACACTGATGACAGATAGTCTCCATCTCCAGGGCAGAACGGCGACGTAGAGGCCTCCAAGCACCGACTGGCTTTGAAGTCCATGTACGCACTGCACACTTCGTTCGAGGCGGGCGTGCCCTGCCATGAACGCATTGATGGCTCTGCAGACGATCGCGCGCCGCAGAGGACGAAGACAACTCAAGCACACATGCACTGCCTTTAGTGCGGGACTGCAAGCACGCGACAAGCGACCAGAGGCGCCGTCAACACCGATGCCTTCTGCACACAACGGCAAGACTTGGGCGGGTGCCAGGTACATCTGCCCATGTGAGGCGCGTCATGTGACGACGTGCAACGCAGTCGTGCCGCTGCCTTAGGTAAGGCGGGCCGTTGCATCTCGAATGTTGTGATTACGCGCACCTCAACCCTCCGACACGCCCCGCGCGTTCGCAGGCACCCTACTCCCACCCGCAACTGCGCAGCCATGGCAGATCACAGAGGCGTGCACTCGTCCCGCCGGCGCATCACCCCGGCCCCGCAGCCGCCGCCCAAAGCAACCACGACCTCTCCACCAGCCGCGCGCACAACGCGCCGAAGAGGCGCAAGAAGCGCAAGCCGCGATGTCGACGAACCCACCAAACCAGCGCGTCGCAGCGCGCGCCAAGCAAGCATCGCCAGCGTCCTTGGTGAGAACGAGCCCGACGCCAGAGCACTTTCACGCGCAAAGCGTCAGGCTCAAAAAGAAGCTATTCCAGGTGCGTCGCGCCCGCCCGTCCGCAAACACCCGTGTGCTTGATATCTTTGTCCCCAACAGCTAGCTGATATTGCAGCAGACCTGACAGTCGTAGAAGAAGTTCAGATCCCGAACGCGCCCGCATCACCGCCACGCACAAGCACGGAAATCGCAATACCCCGTCGCTCGCTTGGTGCAGTGTCCGAGATGTCTGGTACAACGGCGATATCGTCCTTCACCATGGTCGAAGCTGAAACCTTGGAGCCTCGCTTCATGCTTCGCTACTTATCCAGGCTTCATGAAGAAGTAGTCGAGTGCCTAGACCATCTGGTCCCTGCAGAGGGCGGCATGGTGGAAGACGCTCAACGTATTGAGCTTTTACATGATCCGAATTCTGACTTCTTGGCTGACTACAACGCCTTCGATCTACAATTGAGGGCACGTCTCAGTCACTATCGTGGAGACAATCAGCAGTATATACACATTCGAGCTGCGCACGCTGCACTGTTTCCAGGACCAAATCAAGACGCTGCGACTAGAACCGGCTTGGACTTGCTACTCTATCAAGCCAACCTGATAGTCTTTGCCAAAGACATGATGCCTCTGGAGAGGAACGACAAAACCACAGTAGCAGCGCTTCGGGATCTTGATACTCATTTTCCGTCTTTGTTTCTCCCAGCCCTTACTCTTGATATCAACGCCGCCGAATCGGCCGCCGGTGAAAGTGCTTTGCTACAAGAGACTTTCGAGCTGGCGTTAGAGCTGCGAACGCAACTAGCCATCTCTTCTCTGTCCCATGGACTCACAGACAATGCGTTTGATCCTGACGCTGCGCTAGATGAAGTGTTCTGTCATCCTCCAGAAAGCATTCCCCAGTTGGGTGTATTTCGCGGCTGGTCTACGTTTGAACTGGGTGGAGAGGATTCCCCCTTGCCCGGAGCATTTGTTCAAAAGGTTGTTGCTCGCATGGCGGCCATCAGGGAGTTCTTCTCCACAGGCGAAACATCACAGGGACAGGAAGGAAGCGTGAACCTGGACGATTTAAGCGCGACATTCCCGTGGACTGCGCTCGTGCTACGCTTAGTAGGCTGGGTGCGTGCTCGGGACAACGAGCTTGCAGCCGCTATTCACTATCATGGCGGTGCGCGTGGCATCCTAGAGATGATCAAGGCCGAAAAGGAACGAGCTATCGCGGTTGTAGGAACAGGGCGAGTTGTTTCGCGGTCCTCGCCTCGCAAGAGCCGTTCTTCTTTCGGACGAAATCGCAGGCGAAGCAGTGGAAAATTTGATCCAAACGCAGAAGTCGACACCGAGGTCCTCAGCAAGCTCATTGCACGAGAAGGTGCCCATCCTCAACTTCAGACGGCGCCGGCGGCTTCCACTACTCTGCAAGAGTCGCAAGAAGAAGAGGCTGAGCTGATGGCAATGGAGCACGGCCAGGAAATGCAACAAGACGACGATGTCGAGTCACAACCTTATCGAGATGATGAGGGTAACGATGCAACGAACGCTGTGGAACAACATGTACACGACTTGGCGGCAGATGATATCGTACCAACGCCTGTAGAGGAAATCTTGAATCATCCACTGCCCGTTCAAGAGCCAGAGATCCTGGAAGCGTCGCGACCACCTCAATCAACGAATGACTTCGTCAGTCTTCTTAAAGAGACCCGTTCATCAGACAAAGAGAATCGGGGGATTTCTTCTCTGTTTGAGCGACAAGCGAATGCGCAGCGCGTTCAATTTGGAGATGGGTTTGATGATAGTCAACCCACACCTGGCCCCTCTCGAAGCCAACCATCGGCTGGTGCGTCCCGAAAGGGTAAGGAACCCCAGCGTCCTAGTCCCCGGAAGCGGAAGATTCACGAAGTTTCCGACGACGATGATGATGATGATGCTTTTGAAACGGCTCCTCGCAGTAGAAATATCCAGCAACAAAGGGCAAACGCACCTAAACGTGTCCGTATTGAACCAAGCTCATCTGGCGCACCCACCAGCCACCAGCCTCGGCCCAAATATTTTAATGATGGATTTCAGTCTATAGAAGATTTCCCACGGCCCGAGAACGATGAGCCATCCGAGCCCGAAGCCCCTGAAATGACCGAAGAGGCTCCTCCCAGATCCACTTTCGACGATATCAGAGCTTTGGCCCGCGCGAATGCCATTCACAAGCCGCGTAGACGTAGAATTAATAGACCGTGGACTACGGCAGAAGAGGAGGCTTTGATATCGTACATGTCAGAGTGTCCGCGACAGTATTCCAAGATTCTTCAGATTGATAGGGATAGTCCACGCAAGTACTTCCATGCACTGGAGAACGGCGAGTGGATCGCATATCGCTCACAGGTCGACCTGAAGGACAAAGCGAGGGTAATGGCCAAGAACATGATCAAGTAAGCCCAGAACTCTTCGGCGAATGCTGCATACTAATTTTTAACAGGGCCGGTGCAGGTTTGCGACCAGGGTTTCAGGGTGTGATCACGCCCGCCATGGAGCAGCAATTGAGAGCTGATGGGTTTCATTTCTAACATGTGGTGTCAGACCGATGAGCGGGTGTTTTCCTCGGCGTTGCGACAGTTCATTGGGACGGTTGGGCGGTTTTACTTTCTATGCTAGATACCCCTTGGTCATCAAGACCCTCGCCGTACTTTAGTTATTGAGACATGATACTTCCGTTTATCTTCACACCCAATGGTACTTCGCCCGTGCTACTGGTGCTAATATTGAGTGCAAGCATGTTGCAGAGGCATGCGCATCCTGGCACCAGGAATTCCATGCTAGAAATCAACGCCAAACATACGCACATGGTGAGCTAATCCGACATAGGCTAGGTGATTTGTGCAACCTCTCATCATTTCTCAGGTACAACGCAAGACAATGTTCAGCATGCATCCTATCTTCGACCCATGCCGTGATGATCCCAATGTGTTCTGACAGATGAAGCTACGTTGTGTTCTGCTTCTAGATGATCAGTTCCAGACCCATGCACCTGGAGCCTCATCGATGACGTCGGTACCTCGCGACATCCTATTGCGACACACTCTCCACGCCACAACCAAACCCAGATCGCACACCCTCAATTATTCCAGTATCTGTCGGTCCTTGAGCTCTACGGTACATCAGCACCCAGCAGCCTCGAGAAACTCCTCCAAAATGTCATGGATGGACAGCTGGTCCCGCCCTTCCAAATCACAGGCCACACCGCCTCCACTATACCTTACTATCGGCGATGCAGTGCCTTATTGCCATAGCTGCGGCCGCGTTATTGGAGAGAGGAAAAAGCATGCGGGACAGGAAGTCAAGTACTGCTCCGCACGGTGTCGAAACAACAAGCCCCGTCCTATCGACAGAAGGATCGAGGCTGTCTTTGCCGCCTTGCTCGACGGCGCGACACCTGAGTCTCTCAAAGATAAAGATAGTGATGTTGAAGGCGAAGTTGTGCCCGTGGGACGGAGCAGCAAAGAATCCAACGAGAAAAGCAGTGGTAAAAAGAAGAAAACAGTAAAGGGCGACCCGAGGATCATCGCAGAGTGTGCAACCGTCGAGGAGATCGTCTTCGCACGGGAGAAGGACCCTACGAAGGTTTTCGGTCGGAGGAAGAACAGGGCTGCGAGAGGAGTGGTCGAAGAGGGCGAGTGGAAGAGCGTGGATATGGTCGATGATCCTCACGTCCCTACAACACAATCGACCGCTCCCGATACATCAAGTGAGAAGGACCACACATCAGATGTGGACTCTGAGGACGCCACGGGTGGGGTCTCTTTGGTTAAGAAAGACATGAATGAGCCAGCCTACGGTTTTGGTGCCGGAAAAATCCGCCCCCCACAAGAAAAGTCCGACATCAACGGCGGCATTGGCGGTGAGAAGGGCCGGGCGGAGCGCATCCATGAGACCGACGAGATGAAGGCAAAAAGGAAGGACGGTGAACGAAGGGCTGAGGAAAAGGAGATGGTTAAGCGGGCTGCAAGAAGGGGTGTTGCATTCGGATTTGGTGATGGCGAAGAGAAGCGGAAGTGTGAGGCTGTGATGAAGGGAGTGGTCGTCGAGAGTAGCTTTGCAAAAGGCGAGTGGGGGATAAGATGGAGAGAGAAATGAGCACTGAAGCAGGGTCGAACTCTGTAAGATAAACCGCAGGGTTGCATGAAGTCTCGTCAAAAGAGCATGCACGGTCTTATAGAATGTTTCTTTGCATCATTCTTCAAAAGGGGATAAATGACGATGCTTGAGTTGCGTGCGATTTGCGATTCGTTATCTCGGGTAGGGGCGCCACATGGTGCGCATCCCTGGCGGCGATCTGCATTATAGAAACTTTGAGCCAGATAAGTATCACATCTGCGCAAGCTTACCCATGTTCGTTCTCAGGATCGACAGGAGACCCGTATTGTACTGTGCTGCTACGTAGCTAAGAGATAGCTCCTGCAGGTCTCGGTCACTCACTGTGCGCGATGAGCAACACGGTCGGGTGCGAGAGGTACCCCTCCATGGTACTCATCAGCAAACTGCTGTGCGCAGAAAGTGTACAGCTAGGACCAAGGACCTGAATCGCACGTTCATTTGAGGATGATGGATGGCTTGAAGCGAGTCGCATGACACGAGCCTGGTAGGACACAAAGAGGTGGCGCTCCTGCGACAGCCCCAGCACAAATCTATGTACCCGAGCAAGAGCTCTGCGACTAGAGCAGAACTAGATTCACAATTACAAAGAATCTGTCCAAAACACGTTTAGTAGTTTGTACGGAATGGAAAATAATGCTACTATACCCATCAGCTTCGATGTTCGCGCTTCGACTGATGCTTGGTTTAGTTATTGTGATTCCCAACCGACAACATCTAGTGCATATGCATACCACAATGTGCCCTCTACCATGGAGTCTCCCGCATTTAGTGCAGAGACAGCGGCTTCAATGGCCAAGGGCAAGCGACAGTACGAGCTCGGGAAATTCGACTTCCGAAATGAGGCAGCTCAGCTACAAAAACAAATGTGCTAGACCCTTACCGGTAGTCCTCGACTCGGCGTTTGGTCACCTTCTTTGCCCTCTCGCTTCCACTCCACTACCCCTTCAACCACTACCCCAATTTTAGACATAATGAAGGCCACAAGCTACGTTGCCCTTGCAATTAGCTGCTTCATTGCGGGCTCCACCTCCGCTCCTACGCCTGAGCTGATAGATCTCACTGGCGTCGTGGGCTCGATCGCCAACGGGAACACTGCAGGCAACGGCAATGGCAACGGCAACGGCATTGGCAACGGGAACCAGGCTGGAAACAACAATCTCATCAACATTGGCCTCAAGGAGCGTGGTCTGGTCGATAGCCTCGCCGGAGCCCTGGGATCAATCACGAAACCCTCGGCTGGCAACGGTATGTTTCCAAAGCACTCTTTGACAAACGTCAGGTTGGTTTGCGGACCGGCGCCCGCGATGTATCTCCGAACAGTACTAACACAATGATTCTGTCAGGAAATAGCAACGGAAACGGTAATGGAGATGGAAACTCAGTTGGGAACGGGAACCAAGCGGGCAATGGCAACACAGTCAATCTAGGCGACGTGAACGTTCCTAGCGTCACGTTACCTGAGATCGAATTGCCAGACATCAACCTAAGCCCTTCGATTAAGTTAGTTGTGTAACACCCGAACGGGATGGAATGGACCTTGCTAATGCATTTGCAGCATGGCACGATCGCCGGTATGAGGGAACATGATCCCGGGGCGTGACATCGCTACGAGGGAGTGTGAATCTGTTCTTGCATGTGTTATTAGCTAGTATGTGAGTTGGGCGTCAACACTTCTGTCAATCGCAGCCGTGGAACATTCATATTTTATTCTGATCTTGCAATTCTTCTGGACACACTTTGAGCATTACTTATCATCACGTTGCGAAGCTAGAAATTGGGAGGACCGGGAATTTCAATAGCGCCCTCGATTGCGTCTCAAGCCATCGAGTATTCAAGATATAAGCTTCCTGGGGACCACTTAGTCCCATAATTTGCCAATGGCCTAAGAAGAAGTTGCATGCTGTGTCTCGCGACCTAGTCGATATGAATTTACGGGTAGGTAAGATATGTCTAATAGTGCTCGCCAATGTTATTGCTTGGCTTGTCGCAGTTTTGCAACGCTGTGCATGTTCAATTGCGAACGGCCCTTGTAGTGTAGGCCTTGTTAAGCTTCTTCGCTACTGACGGCCACATTGAATGAGTGCGCAGCCTTTCACACTGGGCCACTGGAAACCTTACAACTGGGTCATCACTCTCGCAAAATGAGTTAAGACGTAAACTATCACCGATCCATCACGACATGCATCAGGCTGCTCTGTGTGTGAGCCACGACGTCCCTATAGCGGGTAAGGATGCAGCACATGCATGTTATAGAATACTGAACGCCATTTCTCATAATCCACAAGTCTGGACTTGACTGCCTTTCCAATGTATCATCAGACTTCTAGGTTGATTTGCGCAAGCGTTGAGAGCTTGATGGTCGTGCGCACCTATCCAACGCCAGTGTGTTCTACTGCCGCTCCTTTGAGCGCCCGCCCATATAACTTGCATCTCACCACGATTGACGTACGAGGATGAACGCGACTTCTTTGCTCAAGCACACCATGCAGGGTTAAGTGAAGCTAAGTAGACGTTTGGTCTGTAGCTATGGACAACAAATTGAACAAGGCGGGTAGAATTCTGATGGCCCAGCATCAACGAGTCATACCAGTCACACAGCCCGAGTGGATATTCGGACCTTCGGGCGTCGTTATCGAAACCCATAAAAACATACCTGATGGCTCCTTGGTAACATCTCAACCGTCGAAAGAGCGCCTCCTAGTGGCCCTAGACCAGATGAAAACGTGACTTCGTACTAGCGCTGTGTGCATCATGCTCTCTTACACGATCCACAGTTTGTGGATCTTAAGCTCGCTTGTCACTGTTGCCAATGGATTCCTGTGCTTTCACATTGCTATTTTTGGCATCAGGTTGCAATACAGCAGCCGTCGTCAACCGCAAGGTCGCCGATGAGCATACTGGCGCTTAAAAGGACAGTCAAGTCTGTTGGATTTTAAATTGCACAATCAAGAAGTCGATGATTACTAGTATCGAGATCCTGTGAAGTCATTGCTATGCGATAGCCGAGGATGGACGAGTGAATTTCAACGATTAGTAAGAAAAGGCATCATGAAAACAGTTTTTGGTGACCTGGTATAAGATCTGACCGGACTGATTGACCAAAGCTTACGAGTCGAGGTCAATTTTGCGGGTTGAGCCGACGGTTTTGAGCCATCCGGCCACCGTACTCTAGTTCGTTGCCCATCCTTCTCTTTGTTTTGGGGCCCATACTCCTGAAGCTACTTGCAATATGAAAGAAATGTGGAGCCTAGAAGCCTAGGCTTACTTTAAGGGTGGCGATAAGCGGGCATTATTGTGCTATTCCGGTCGAACAGAGACGTCAAGGAATGAGTCCCAGATTGTATACTGTTCTTGGTTACTATGCTCGTTCAAATATTTTCGAATTATCCAGGGCTCCAGAAAGTGCGTTGCAGAGCATTCTGTGTACCCTTCCATGATTGCATAGACTCGAACTCACACCTTTACGTCCTATAGCCATTGCTACTACGGTCTCTAATGCGCCTCTCATCACTTCCTTCCATCTAGGCGACCGTGCGTGTCGTAAAGACCCTAACATTAACCGCTGGCTAAATGGCCTCTGCGATGACATGCATACACCTACCCACATCACAGCCATTTCATCGTATTCCCACGCTGTTGGGTTGCCTTGATCCAGGAAACAGAGACACATATGTATTGATTTAATTTATCGGCCTGGGACGCTTCCGCGAGTGCGGCCCGGCCGGAATCCATAGACCTGGAAGGACTCCTTGTCTTCGTATCATCGATAATATCGATGTTGTATTGCAGCAAGCCCGGCCGCTATGCATGAGTAGGTACATGAGAATTGCGGTAGCAAAATATGTACTTCTCGGAATAGACATTCACGCAGGCTAACAATCCCGAGTCTTGTCCCGAGTCTGTTCTTGGGGGCGATCAGGATGGTTTTTTGTAAGTCTGGATGCAAAGGATTCAGCTGGGCATCTGATAAGCATGGCGAAGACTGCGTTATTTACGGACAAGATGAGTATAAGAGAGGGCTGCGTGGAGCACGATCCGCATCTAAGCACGGCAGCGACCTCTTGATTCTCCGATTCCTCTATCACCATGCAGTTCCTATCTGCTGCCTGCCTCATCGCGTCCGCCTACACCGCCAGTGCTGCCTCGCTCCTCGAACGGACACTCGCTCTCCGCCAAAACAGCATCAATGCCATCCAGAATTGGTCTAATGACTTCGCCGATGTCGATTTCAACAACAACGCTGGCGGAAACTTCAACGTAACCTGGGACAATGGATTTGGTGGGAATTTTGTGGTCGGAAAAGGGTACCGCCCTGGGCGTGATATGTAAGTGGAACATCTACGAAGCATTCGGTGGAAAGGACGTGTCTTCGACACTTGTTATGCAAAAGCTAATCAAGTCCTGGATCAGGCTCTTCAATTACTCCGGAACCTTCGAAACAGACGGCTGGGCCTACCTCGCGCTGTACGGCTGGACCACCAACCCGTTGGTTGAGTACTACGTGATTGAGTCCAGTGAGTAGCATACATTCTCTACCTTGCCAATTTGTACTCAGACCACTGAACCTTCCGCAACAGTGGGCAAGCACAACCCCTCCGACAACGCCTCTGCAACCCAGTACGGCACTCTGACCTCCGACGGCGGTACCTACGAAATCTGGCAAAAGCAGCGCACCAACGCGCCCTCCATCATCGGCGATCACACCGACTTCCAACAATACTGGTCCATCCGCACCAAGATGCACTGCGGCGGTACTATCAACACGGGCAACCATTTTCGTGCGTGGGAAGCTGCAGGACTGCCGCTCGGAAAGCAGAACTACATGGTCATGGGTATCGAAGGCCAGCAGGGCAGTGGGGAGGCGGATATCACTGTGGGTGTGCGGCCTACGGTGGCGGTCCCCGAGACACCAACGAGTACGTATAGAAGTGTGCGCAGGACTAGTACGAGGAGGACGAGTACATCAACGAAGAGGATTTCGACCGTGGCCCCGGCGCAGGCTACCGTGACAAGTGTCTAAATTGCGATGGCCATTTGGTATGACGGCGCACATGTCCTGAGGGACCACCTTTCAATTTTGAAGTAGAAATGGTGGATTGAGTAGTCTAGATATTAAAAGTTAGTAAATGAACTTAGAGCATTCGGCGCTGAGACTTGCTGTTCGGGACACTCACCCCCTATCAGCGAGTTATTTGCTTCTCGATGTACGCAGCAATCTGAATGGTAAAATTCGGCTCTTTACTGTGGAAAGAACTACAGAAAGCTGACTGTAGATCCGGCTCCAATGCAAGTTGTCGCTACGTGGTTGCCTGTTGGCATGGCCAGCTTGTACATGAGAAGCTCGACGCTCGAGCTTAGGGCTCCACAGAAAGTCTGCTCAAGTCAGCGAGCTTCTTTTCTAGGATGGTCAAGTATATGCACATGCAGGGGTATGCCGGTATGCAGCCAGCCACCGCACAACACCTGTGGACTCGTTCCGAGACTTTCCCAATTCTCCCACCCACGCAACATCGCCTACATATATCTGAAAATTAGCGCTGGTGCTCGGGTATCTGCTTTCGCCGTGACGCCAAGCAATTCATCCAGAGTGCACCTGGATAGTGCGTAAACCTACCCTGCCATGCCTCCGTCCACTCCATGAGCCCGCCCTGCTCCATGCGGCCCTAGAGGTTCGGTAGGCATGAGCAATTCCACGTACACAATTCAAACCTCACGATGAACCTGCAAGCGATTCATTTGTTAGGATTTACCTACACGATCAGGCAAACATGTGGGTTGCAGACCACCAGTGGACACTGCCCCTACTCCCTCATCCCGTCCGTGGCCCTGCCCACGGAAGGCGGATTTCAGTGAAAGGGTATAAAACGAGCTGAAAAACACTTCGGGTGTTTTCTATCGCAGGATTAGCTGCTCGAACCGCATTCATTTGGTCACGACCGCAATCCGAACAACGGAATGCGACAAGTTTTGCCTTTTTGTGTCTCGTACGGGTCGGAAGCTCCCTGATAACAATCTCAGTTCTAATGGCTATGGAATTATATATTCCAGAGAGATGCCTGTGCAGAGGATTAGATCAAAGTATTCAATCTCGTCTCGAGTCAAGCTTCGCCTCGAGTTCAGCTTCGTTCCGCGAAAGGGCCGCAATCATGCACCCACTGCAGGGCTGCGGCCGCGACGTCAACCCGATCAATCGGATGCGATAAGTTTGGCTTTTGTGTAGTCTTTTGCGTAGTTTGCAATTGATTGGTAAGGAAGGGAAGAAGCTACAGCTTGGCCGCGGTGCGCACGGGGGGGTTTTCTTTTCTAACAAACCAAGTGCTGCCATGAGGCTTTACCTAAGTGATTTTTCTACAGTCTCTGTTTAAGTCTTTCATCCTCGTTGTCTTTCGTGATCAAATTTGAGTGCCTGTAGTCGTAATGCCAATCATCCCTCCCCAAATCAGCCCTTACCTGGTAGTTCGCCTCCGCGTCCTCCAGCACTTGCATGTCGATGTCCGCAACGCTCATTCCCTCTGCGCAGCTGCCCATGCGGACCAAGGGCCCTATAAATGGGACGACGACTTGAGAGAGGCCGGCGTAACCGCGGCCGGGCGGGCCTCCTGCGTTGGCGAAGACGACCGCTGCATTCTGGTTAGCCCCATGATCAAGCTTCATGCAACAAGGGTATTTGTAAATATAAGAAATCGACTGGAGAAGAAGGGCATCCAACTTACCACACGTATTTTCAAACGCTCTACAGGTCAGCATGCTATCCAGAAATAACGCCTCCGAGCTCGGGTTCAGCGCTAGTCCCGCAGGATTGCAGTCATTCAGCGTCCAGAACGTAGGAGTGATAATGATCTTCGCCCCGTTCGCTATAAGTTCGCGAAAAGCCTCTGGAAAGGCCAAATCCCAGCATATCAGCATGCCCACTTTGCCGATGGGCGTGTCGAAGACCTGATGGACGTCTCGCCCACTTCCTGTGAGATGTTCGCGTTCGGGATGCCTGTTAGATCGTCAGCTCCCATCGTTTGACCGCTGCATGAGGAGAAAATGAAGAAATTTTTGGAAACATACCACAGGTTTTTTTTGACATATTTGCCGAGGACGTTGCCCTCATGGTCGATAAAGTACGCAACGTTGAGCAGCTTATTTTCCTCTGCTTCCTCCTGGGGATGCGACTCCACAATGGTGCCAGGCTGTATGCATATCCCACAGTCCTTCGCCAGCTCCTTGTACTTGTTCAGATAGATCTCCCATTGGTTGCACAAACCGACAAATGCTGGATCCTTTGGTAGCCAGTTCGTGAGGTGGTATTCTGCGAGTCTGAATCAGAACAGCCAACAGAACCAACTGCAAATAAGTAAAACAGACTTACCAGGTAAAACAACCAGCTCGGCGCCCTGCGCTGCAGCAGTCCGGATATATGTTGCTGCTTTGTTGAAGTTGTGCTCGGGCTGCATCGGCTATACCCTGTCAAAATGACGCATCCTGGGCGCAACGTTTCGACATACCTTGGGATACAGCTGAATGACAGCGACTTTAACGAGAGGCGCCATTTTCGCTTTAACTTTTTCAGGCGATACAATATACGGTATTGCGCTGTGTTGGCACTGCAGCATGTCCCGTGCGACTGTCCGATGGAAGAGGAGATTCGGCGTTAATGTACGGGGCGGAGATAGATAGTGTGCTCAAGGCAAACGCTGATTGGTTCTCATTCTCACCTCGGGAAGCTGAGAAGATGAGATCAATAGAATAGCCTGGTCAACAGCTGTACCGAAGTATCAGAGGGTGCAGCGGGTGCGTCGGGATTGGTCAGATAAATCATAAGCCAGATAAGGAAAGACATTTGAGTGTGTTCAACGCTGAAACTCCGCAAGATCGAAGGAATTTCATCTTGGTAGTGACGATGAACAACGTCAAAGGGAAAAGAAAATTGAAGAGCTCTCAAGACCGACAGCAAGGACGATTAGCGGTAGCCGCGATCTGTGTAAACGATCAAACACTCCCCACGAAACTCCACCCCACCATGCCTCCATCTCTACCAGTTGCTTTGGTCTCGCCCTATCCGCACCAAACGCTCTCAGCTCACTTAATCTCACCTAAATTTGGAGCATAATTACTTACCGCGAAAAGGGCCTTCAAAGCCGCGACATCCACAAACCCACCCAAGTCTTCCTTATAGACTGCGTGCTTCTTGGCCTCCACCAACTTCCTGCTGAACTTATCATAGTGCTCCTTGTTTGCGAATGTGAGGATCGCCACGCCGTCTACATCGCTGAAGCCTTGAGATTCTTCAACGGTTGTTCCACTCCCATCCAGAGCAGGGTCAACTGGATGCGTTGCAACAGGACGCTCGATATAGTGCCGCGTATAAGAAAGAGGAAACTCGTATCCGACCAGCTTCTTAACAAGCGGAACATGAATGGTCTCCCAGTGATGTTTGAACTCTTCAGAGCTGATACCCGATTTGCGCGGAACGTGGAGAATGACCGAGTAAGTCATAGTGGTTGCCAAGTGTGGAAGCCGAGGGTGCCGCTTTGCAGACTAGTTTGTCGTTTTCTCTTCTTCATATGATTGATGAGAAGTTGGATAGAAGATGCGCAGGTGAGAGGAGGGCGTTTCGCTTTCAAGCTGTGCGCACGGAGTTAGCTTGATGCTTATTGCCGACCCCCCGAATGGACAACCACATTCCTTTTCCCCCACCGCGAGAAATGCTGCCATGTCAATAAAGTGGGCGCTCTTGGCATTATGTTGCATGTCGTGTTGCCGTTTACAGCGTACATCGCGTTGAAGATGTGTACATGCCCTGTTGGAGCCGTGAGCTTCACATTTGCCTATGCAGGCTGTATAGATCAGCTGTTGAAACCTTCAAGCGGAAAGCTTCGGGTGCAAAGTTTGTTGCTAGTATTTTGCAAAACGCCGTTGAGAGCGGGCGCTTGGGGTATCTATGCTCGAAAAAAACAGGACATGATTTGTTGAAGGATGAATCCCGAAGTCCATCAACGCCATACACTAATGCTAGGATGATAGAGAATCCATTGGCAAGGTCAATGAAGAGCTCAGACCCCACATGAAAATGAATACACCATAGAAAACCAAGGTACCCTCTGTGCGGACCGATAATTGTATACAATGCCCGCTGATCACGACACTGAATGAACGAGAGGAGGTAGCATGCGCGAGACAACCGGTATGGGTGCGCCCGATGCGGGGGCACTGATCTGTTGTATCGGTGCGAAGAAGTCGTAGCCACCGAGAGGGTGCCACAAGGAATCCAGTTAAGACCGGTGGAGCTATTTACGAGCGGCGGTCACGGCGTTTTCAGGCGGCAGACACCCTTAGGCCACGGCGGCATCAGCCCACTGACTGCTCACTCGAACGCCGCTTGTCATGTATGTCTCTTCGTCCGAATCGGAACCCAGCTCGGATACGGTATCCAGGAGCGTATAGCGGTTGGTGATAGGCATAGATCTCTGAATAGTTGGAGTCAAGTCCAGAACCTTCGCTACAGGTCGAGGCAAAGGTGCCGCGCATTCGTCGGGACACCTGCAAAGTGAGCCTACTAACATGTAAATCGTGTGTAGAGGCTTACCAGTCGATGCGCAAGCCTTTGTATACAGTGCGCGACATCATACAAGTCCTCGCGAACAACGCGTTATGAATAGAGTTGGTGGAGATGAAGGCATCGCCACCTCGGAAATAGATGTCGACGACCTGCGAGTTCTCATTAGATCTTTGTCTTGTCTATGTTAGACTGCGTATGTAATGACTAACGACAAGATTGTGTATGTGGTCAAGGTGATCACGGATCTGATCTGCCGTGAGTTTTCCTAGCGCTCCACGAACGATCAGATTACGGCTGGCTCCGCTGGCAATCTTGTTCGCGACATGTTGGGGCACATGGAACTGACGATCGTTCCATCGGAACTCAAGCCGCTTCGTATGCAGGTAGATATCTTTGCGCTTTGCATGGGCCAGGAAATCAGCTTCATGCGAATCAGCGACCAAAGTGGTTACGAGGATCGACACGCAAGCGTTAGCGTAGACAACTCACCTGCGCCGTCAACGAACGACACAGTAGCAGAACGATCGTTGCGGAGGAAGATGTCCAAAACGCGTCCGCCTCGGATGATGTCAACCAAGTCCTTGTGTGTGGTTCGGTCGGAAAGGTTGGTGATGAGGACCGTCCGTTGATCATGCACAGGAACACGGTTGGCAGCCTCGCGCACATCTTCCTCCTCCTTATCTGACGTTTCGAACGAATCAAGCTGGTCGTAGCTGTAGACCCTGTTGTGGGGCTGGGAGAGCTTCCGCAGCTTTACGGCGCCTTCAAGGGTCATATTGTGTGAGGTGGGCGGAGAGTCTTCGAGTTGAGGACGGCTAACGACAACGGGCACGGATTGAGGTCGGGCAAACGTCTCTTCCCAGGAACTTGACAGACTCGTGTATGTCTTCGGCTCGTCGTGTGCAGCGCCCTCACCCGCAAGCAACGTGTCCAAGGTTTCGACCGTGAGTCCACCGCGAAATAGTGCGCTCTTGAGAAGATCTAGCCTACGTTAGACAAATGCTCATAGCCTGGGGTCTACCTGTGGTCGAGAGCGTACTATATTCTCGAACAGCTTGTAGCAAGTAATCATACTCGGCTTTGGAGATGGTCACATTGTTCGACAAGCTTGGGGTGGTATCGAAATCATGACCAGAAGTATGCTGTGAGACTCGTCAGTTCACCGTGAAATGCACAAATTTTGGAAGAGACTCACGAATTCAGCTCTATAAGCAGTCAGCCATCAGCAAACAGTATCAAATTACGGCGCAGCAGCGCTAGCTCACCGACGTAGTAGGGCATCAAAGTAGGGCCTGCCTATAGTGACAGTTGCCATGGCGAGAGAAGCACGTCAAGGCCGACGAGTGCCTTTGCGAGGTGCGGACAAGGTCAGAGGAAGAAGTCACTTGAAAGAGAATAGCTCTCTCAGGTGGGAGTGTTATCGGCTGGTGGCCCAAGCTCCTTTACTGCGTCGCGCTTTCCACCTACGCACCGCTTTCCGCACTGTTGGAAGCACGCTAGCGCGGCTCGCTCCTTCCCCCGGATCTGCGCCAGATCGCAACCGCCGCCGTTCCTGCAGCCCATGGTGGCTCCATGCCGCTCACTGACTAGACTGCTCCTTATGCCGAAGTCTGCCGCTGGCCGGCGAGACCTTCTTTATACGCAGACATCAGGCCACATCAATTATTTCATGGCACGGATGGAGGTAGAGACCTCGTGTAACTTTGGCTGCACACCCTGAGCCTTTACCCGCCTAAGCGAGCCTAGCGCGTCGCGTGGGAGGTGACAGCTCAAAGTTTTGCGGCGTCATTGTTACTCTCCATGGACTCTCCCAACCCCAGCCCTGCTCCACCTAGCCCGTCGCAGCAGCTCGCAAAGCATGCGCCCGTCGAGGGTAGCGATGGCTTCAGCTCGTACTTTAGCCAGCTGACCGGCAACCCTTTCTTCACTGCCGTACGCCTACTACCGCCGCGGGTCCAGACATGTGCTCACGACCGTTATAGGGCTTCGGTCTCGCAGCGCTCGCGACTGTAGGGCGCATCGGTCAAAAAAGCCTTGTGCAAGGCGCATCGCTTTTACGCCGCCGCATGCTTGTCGACATCGAGATCACCCATCACGATGAAGCCTACCCATGGTTGCTGCTCTGGATGACCAACTTCCACCGCTCACAGCTCGCCGGTGCACAGCAAGCCTCGCAAGGCGGTATACTCTCGTCTATCGTCCAACGAATCAACCCGCGTCTCCACCATTTGCAAGTGAGCACTGCTCAGTCCAAATCAGGATCACCTCGATCTGCACACTTCGCCTTCGTTCCCGGTCATGGCCAGCACATTCTGCGCTATGGCAGTTCTTTCGTTCTCGTGGATAGGCAGCGGCAAAAGTCATACAACATGTCGACGGGTGTACCCTTCGAGACCATAAGAATGACGACGCTATACTCGCACCGCCGTGTATTCGAGGACATTTTCGCCGAAGCTCACGAAATGCACCAACAACTGCAGGAGGGCAAGACAACAATACATACTTCGAACGGAATGGACTGGAAGCCATTTGGAGAACCAAAGCGGAAGCGCCCTCTTCAGTCCATTGTCCTGGAACGAGGCGTAAAGGAGAGGATTGTGGAAGACGTGGAAGCTTTCATCAAAGCGCGAACTTGGTACCTCGATCGCGGCATACCGTACAGAAGAGGCTATCTTTTGTACGGCCCGCCGGGAACAGGCAAGAGCTCCTTCATCCAGGCGCTGGCCGGTCATCTGGATTACGATATTGCCATACTAAACGTCAGCGAACGGGGGTTGCACGATGACAAGCTCAGTCACATGTTGAGTAGGGTGCCACCGCGGACGATTGTACTGCTAGAGGACATTGATGTAGCTTTTGCGAATCGCAAACAGGCGGACGCAGAGGGCTATTCGGGTGCCAATGTCACGTTCTCGGGCCTCCTGAATGCGCTCGATGGCGTGGCTAGCGGTGAGGAGCGCATAATCTTTCTCACCACCAACTACGTAGAGAGGCTCGATGAGGCGCTCATTCGTCCTGGGCGAGTGGACATGACCGTGCGACTGGGCGAAGCGACAGAGTATCAGATCGGAGAGCTGTGGGATCGCTTTTACGCGGAGTTTGACACCGAGGGCGCGGGGAAGAAGCAATTTCTCGCCAAGACCAACCGGCTCGGACTCACGAACACAGTGAGCACTGCAGCCCTACAGGGCTTGTTTCTATACAACAAAGACGACCCCGAGGGCGCCATCAAAATGGTGCAGGGCCTCACCGCCGGTCACCCTCGGCGCGCCGAAGACCATGTGGAGCTTCCCGGCCACGTTGATGTAAATGATGTCAGATAGAGCGGCACATCGCTAGTGCGACTTTAGACTGCTGTACTAAGTATGTAAAAACAATGTAACAACACGAGGTGCAAACGGAGAAACTACCCGTCGTGACAGCGCGCCGGACACGCGCAGAATTCCGATCATGCAGGAGGGCGTGACGACGTGCAGCTCTGGCGTGAGGGACGTTTCGGGTGAGCCAGTCAGGACCGAAGGCTTCCCGCGGATCTAGCCGTTATCAAAAGATCTGATAAATCAGCAGTCCACCAGACCCATCGCTGCTAGCCAATTTCATGTTTTACACACGCGCCCATGCCGCCTGTCCTGTATAATGCGTGCGGACGCCCGCGTCGTGCGGCCTGACGGTAACTCCACTGCCGCTACCAGCGCAACCCTGTTCGACGCCGAAACACGGGCAGCTGAGGCCGCGCTGCCAGGCAGCTACGAGCTTCAAGCCCTTCCCGATAAAGCAGCCCCTGCTCGCTTCAGCCCCCATGACGACAGCGTTGTTCCTTCTCAGCCATCTGAGTCTTTGACCGAAATTGACGACCCAGCCATGTCGCGCGCGCCGCTGCTGCTGCGCTCGTCGCCAGCGCAGGGCACCGGCTCATACGGTGGCCTGCCGGTCTTGTCGGTCAGCTCCAGCCCTGACGACTCAGATGATCATGTGACCAACTTTCTACGACGGGGCAAGAGAAAAGGGAAAAGCAAACTACGAAACAGCGAGCCTTCTACGAGACGGAACTACATCGAATCCAGCAACAATGGTTCTAGTCAGAGCGGACCAGTGGTTACAGCCTCTACACGACGCCGCGCGAAAAGAGATTCGAACAGTCGCGAGTCTCTCGACGAAGCATTTGCTGGCCAGGAAGAATCACTTTTGGAGTCCAGATTCAACACGGGTGGCATAGGAGCATCTGGGATCTCTGCTCCACGTGTATTTGAAAGCCTGCAATCATCATCCACAGGCAGCCCCATGGATGAATCGGAAGATGACGACTCATCCGAACCAGAGGATCTGCACGACAGCAAGACTAACGGCCACGTCGCTGACAACTCTCCCTACGCTCAGGTGCGAGCGGCAGTGGGTGCCAGCGATGACTTCACGCTTTCCATCAACACACCACGCATGTGGATTCTGTCCATTATGTTCGCTATACTAGGATCATCTACGAATCTTTTCTTTTCCTTGAGATACCCCAGCGTCAGCATTACGCCCATTATTGCTCTTTTGCTTGTTCATCCACTTGGCCTGCTCTGGGATCAGGTATTCAAACGACATGATGACCCCGAAGAACTGTTCGAGAACGGAGTGTTTGTGTCAAGAGGGAACAGCCGGTCTGGTTCAACCCGTCACGCACATGTACCCCGCCCTTCCCTGCCCCGGAAATCACGATTTCGACTTTGGTTGGCGCAAGGCCGTTGGAACCTAAAGGAGCATTGCTGCGTCTACATCAGCAGCAATGTTTCCTTTGGGTTCGCGTTCGCCACAGACGTTAGTAACTACGTACCACGAACGTCAAATCTGTGCACAGCGCTAATGTAGCCTTAGGTCATCGTTGAGCAAACCAAGTTTTACAAACAGGACCTAGGTGTTGTGTATCAGGTCTTACTTACCTTGTCCACACAAATTCTCGGCTATGCCCTCGCTGGTCTCACACGACAGTACCTTGTCCGTCCAAGCGGCATGATATGGCCAGGCACGCTTGTTCCGGCCACCATGTTCACGGCGCTGCACAAGGACGAAAACAAGCCGGCTAATGGATGGACAATATCCCCTTCCAAATTCTTCGTGCGCGTTTTGCTGGGCGCTGTCGCATTCTACTTTCTGCCCGGTCTTCTGTTCCCTGCATTGAGCTACTTCAGCGTCATCACATGGTTCGCACCAAAGAACGTTGTGATTGCTAATCTTGTAAGTCTGTCCGTTCTTCACTGTGATCGCCGCTAACGGCTCTAGTTTGGAATTTCTTCCGGCCTTGGCTTATTTCCCGTGACCTTTGACTGGGCACAAATTGCATACATTGGGTCTCCGCTCATCATCCCGTTCTGGGCAGCTCTCAACATCCTTGGTGGCCTGGTCGTAGTCATGTGGTTTGCGGCACCAATCATGTGTATGTGCACTACATTCATGGATTCGCAACCTGCTAAGCCGCTATAGACTATATGAACGTGATGTATTCTTCGTACATGCCAATACTCTCAACCATCGTGTTCGATAACCGCGGCAAGCCGTACGACGTCAGCAAAATCTTGACTGATAATTTTCTATTCGATAAAGAGGCATACGAGAACTACAGTCGTGTCTTTCTTCCCATAACATATGTTTTGAGCTATGCATTACAGTTCGCCGCGCTCACAGCTCTAGTCACTCACACAGCTGTGTGGCATGGGAAAGATATTCTGAAGCAGTGGCGTCACTCATGGGCGGAAATCAGAGGGAGACCTGGCGTTGCTTACGAACCTCTACAAACCGCGGAAAACGGTCGAGCCAGCTCCGAGAGGGTTCATAGGATGAGCACCTCGTCCGAGCCAGAGCTGGAGAACCTGCTGACGGCCGAGGACGTTCATAACCGCCTCATGCGAAGATATGACGACGTTCCGATATTCTGGTACCTCATGACCGGCATCAGTATGGGTGCCATAGGCATGTTCGTTGTTGAGTACTACCCGATCCACCTGCCCTGGTACGGCCTCCTCCTGGCCCTCGGCATCGCCGTCACCCTCTTCGTCCCTATCGGCATCATCATGGCCATCACAAATCAGCAAAGCAGCCTCTACCTTATCTGCCAGCTTATCTGCGGAGTCGTCTTCCCCGGCCGTCCCGTTGCAAACATGGTCTTCACAACATACGGCTATATCACCTCGACCCAAGGACTTAAATTCTCCTCGGATCTGAAGTTGGGCCACTACATGAAGATCCCGCCCAAGATACTCTTCAACCTTCAGCTCTCCGCAACCATCATCTCCAGCTTGACGCAGATCGGCGTCTTAAACTGGATGCTCGCTTTCATTCCCGGTATCTGCACGTCGGAAGCCATTAACGGCTTCACCTGCCCCATTGCACGCGTCCACTTCAACGGCTCCGTCCTGTGGGGCGTGGTAGGTCCCAAGCAGTTCTTCGGCCCCGGCGCGCTCTACCGCCCGCTTGTGTGGGCGTTCCTCGTTGGCGCTATCGCACCCATCCTGTTGTGGCTTCCTGCCCGCCGCAATCGCAAATCCATCCTGCGCCGCATCAGCTTCCCTGTCGTGTTTGGTTCGTTATCGTGGATCCCGCCGGCTACCGGCCTGAACTTCAGCGTCTGGGCGATCGTATGCTACGTTTTCAACTACCACATCAGGAACCGGAAGAAGGAGTGGTGGAACAAGTACAACATGACGCTAAGTGCAGCATTGGATAGCGGCCTAGCAGTAGGAGTCGTGATTATCTTTTTCGGCTTTGTGTTCCCGGGGTGGATGGACGGTTTCAAGTGGTGGGGCACGGAGGTGTACAAGCAGGTGAGTTCTTCCACAATGCACATTTGCAGAAGGCTACATACTGACATTACACCAGGGCTGCGACTGGCAGGCATGTTCGTACAGGACGGTTCCAGAGAGTGGGCATTTCGGGCCACCAGACTGGTGATGATTTTGCATCGCTTCTGTGCTTCGATTCACTCGGTGCATTGGGTCATTGCGTTGATAGGTTCTTGCAGCATAGCGGTCGGCCTGCTTGCGCTCGGCGCGCATTTGGGAGACATTTGGGATTATATGAGTTGAACGTAGTATGAACTGACGTGCGTAGGCATACGTATTCCGGCATTGTAATGGAGTGTGGGCGATGCTTTTCTGTGTTACTGCGCCTGTGGTCTGGGTTAGACGTCGATGTGTGTAGGGCGAATCATCAGATAAATTCGAACAAAATTTACGTATGCTCTCGGACTGGAAGCTCATCAGCGCACGTTTCTTGGAAATAGACAAGAATGTTCACTCTGGATTGATGCTATCTGTATCTTCCAGGAGAAACCCAAGAAGGAAACGACACGGAAGAAAGCAAGGAAAGCGAAAAAGAAGGGTAAGACGAGGGGTCAAGTCACCGCGGTGGAAGCCGAGGTGAAGAAGCAAGCGCAAGAAGGGTTCACAGCAGACGAGAATCGCGAGGAGCGCAATCAGCTAGTGCAGGCGGTGGGACCGGTCTATAGCCAAAGAGAAGTTGTCGTATGGATTGGTGATTATGAAGAAATTGGGCATTTCCTACAATATTTTGAACAATATTCGGGTATCTACTCACTGGTAAGTCCGACTGGCAAGAAACTTGCGCAACACAAAAACTGGTCACAGGTTCGGGTCACTCAAGAAATCGGCATGGCCAAGAATACAATCTTTGCTACCAGAAAGCAGACTTCATGTGTATGGATCACACTCAAAACTCTAGGCGGAGATACACAAAACGGCGCGAATGGTATCTGATGTGGCCGAACAATCATTTTGGGATGCACGTTTCCGTCTTTGGCCAAGCTGTTCTGTAAGGACTTGAGGAGAAACAGCTTTGGATCTTGTATACAGGCAGCTAGACTAGATCTTGTAGAGCGGGGAGATGTTCGTTGTGAGTTCGTCGAATTTGATTAGCGCTCAGATGGGTGGTGCATATTATGATGATGCTGCAGTCCACTGTGGTCTATCAAAGCAGACCTGGCCACTTCATAAAGCGACTTGAACACGACTCAATATCTTCGCAGCTCATCAGCTCAGGAACGCTGGTATTGCCTTAGCGACCATCTATGTAGTTGCGGTTGTGAAGGAGGTTGCCCATACCTGAACGCGGCTTAGCGCTATCAACCGTCCTGGGCTATGGTAGCGTTCCACGGGTATTCTCGGACTTTCTTTCAGGCGTCGGCCACAGCCCTATCTCCCCAGCCTTCTACAAGCCTTATCTGGGGTATCTTGGTAACACCTGGTAGCACGCGACAGCACCATATTACCCAAACGCCTCGACTGTCATATCTAAGAGCCATGCTATGATCGCTCCGATTTAGTGACGGGCCGGGCTGCTCGGCTCTGTTTACCAGCTTAGCAGACCCTTTTGACCATGGGACAATTGCCCGGTACCGACGTCTCACTTGCACTCCATATGACTGGCAAACACGCTTTGACCAGAGCCGTATCTTGTGACCCAGCTCTCCCTTCCCGACAGAAGCCTATCAACCCTTATCATGTTGACCGCCGAACAAAGCAGCCAGTGGAATGCTATAAGGTGCAGAGGTGCGGGCCTTGTTCGCGGTCACCCATTCTTGACCTCAAAGCACCAAGGACGTCTCCTCTGCTATATTAGCGTGAGCATCTTGCTGCTCTCGATCTCAACTCAACACCACATTTCTATGGCCTCGAACTCTCTTCTTCTCACCAAAACCGAGGACTACGACAACGACGTCACTGTCGGAACGATAAAATGTACCGCGCCCGTTGCATTCGGAGGCGAAGAACAATGGTTCTATCTACCAGCCACCAAGAAGTTCGACCTTACCCGCGGAGCAGCACAGAAGATGGTCTTTGAATGCGACGCAGACGAGCGCCATACCGGCTTCATGATCGACCCCGGAACGTCGGTCCTGATTGTCGTCGACATGCAAAACTACTTCATCAACCCAATCTACCGAGACCACGCAGCGGGTCTTGCCGCCATCGAACCAACCCTGAAAGTCATCGAGCGGTGCCGAAAGGAGGGTATTCAGATCGCCTGGCTCAACTGGGGAATCAACGACCAGTCTCTCCAAAGCATGGCGCCTGCAATCCAGCGAGGCTTCAGCACGAGCTTGGGCTGGCACATCGGTCTTGGTGCTCAGCTTCCTGCGAAGCAGGGAAGATGTCTTTTCAAGCGCACATGGAACGCCGAGCTCTATGACCCTTTCAGAGCCGTTGCTCAGCCTGGAGATCTCTTCTTCGACAAGACGCGCATGAGCGGGCTATGGTCGACTGAGGAGCCACTTCACGAGTATCTGCGGGCTGTCGGGAAGCAGACGTTGCTCTTTGCGGGTGTAAACACGGATCAGTGCGTCTTCGGCACAGTGTCTGATGCGTACTCCTACGGCTGGGACTGCATCATGCTGCGCGACTGCACAGGGACCATGACGGGTCGGGGTGCACAGGAACTGACGGAGTATCAGGTGTCAACAAACATGGGGTTCGTGACTACGAGCAGCGCATTCTGCGAAGCGCTGATCTGCGAGCATTTTGAGGGGTGCTGAGGTGGCCTACCCAGCTTCGTTTGCGGGATCTTTCTGTGGGCGGTCCGTTGATTGTTGCGTTTTTGAGCGTTCGTGTTATATATACCCTATTTAGTAGATGCGAATAACATGTGCAAACATTTAGACCATTTGATGGTATCCTGAGGCGGCGTCCTGGTCCACCCACTTCAGTCTCGCCCGACGGCAGCCGTTGCCTTCGAGGAGACACAACTCAGCATGTTTCCCTTAATTTACCTTCCCCGATTTCCAGGCCATAATCATGTTACTCTACCTACGTTCGTTTGAAGGTCTCCATCCCGTTGATCATGAGCTACAGTGACGCACCCCAGCCCACTCGGCTATTTCTGACTTCGCCACTTCCCTGACCCACATCCCTGCAACACTGCATCCGGGCAGAACAACAGCCTATCCACACGCTAGCAGCAGGCGCAGATGGCGATTCATCGTGTTCCACGCCACACAGCCTGGCTGCGGTGTCGAAAAGCTGGCGGTGCCGGAGGCCGCATCGCCTGCCTGATCGGCAGCGGCTGAGGATGACGCGGCGCTAGACGAGCTGCGGTCTGACAGTGCGTCCGCAGCAGGGGGATGGCTGTGAGTATTAAGATGGAGAAGGGGAGCTGGGGAGCGCGGTTGAGCAAACATACAGGCAAAGAGAATAGTTCAACACATCACTCGTTAACGTTCAGTCCTTATTCAACACACAACGGTTCGAGGAGCGCTCTACGAACGCTACACGTTGCTGCAAATGTCACCAGCATCCTACACCAACGACTTTGACGAGCAAAACCCTGCCGCCATGTTCCAATCCATCGACCTCATCGTCAAGATGCGCAAGGAGAGCGAGCTAGAGGAGCTCGAGCGGACGCGGTCGAGCTCTACTTCTTCATCCAACACGGAGCGACGACCATCTATTCCTGAACGGATTATTGTTACGGAGGACGGCGTGGTGAGGGCTATCGAGACGATTGGCGTGTGCGAGGAGGAGAGGCGGGGGAGGAAGAGGCTGGAGGAGGGCGCGGTGAGGTACTACGCGCGGTTTGGGGAGAGGCCGGTCATTGATTAGGGTGTGGCGAGGGAAGGAGGAGAGATACCCAGAGGGCTGTTGAGCAATGCGGTTTTGCTTGAGAGACACAGCATGAAAGTAATGAGATATACGACAAGATTTACTGATAATATCAGACCGAAATCATCGCGCCCTTGATGTACCTACTCTACCTCCCCTTCCATTCACACCCTCAACCCATTCACCCAGCCATGCTTCCACACCGCTGATATCACCACTATACCCATCCATCAAATAAACCTCCACCTCACGAGCCTCCCTACTCCCATCCTCATCCCCTACCCCTCCCCCACCACCATCTCCTCCAAACACCCTCCCCAAGCCCGTGAAATCCCCTTCCAACTGCCCCCTCCACATCGCACACCTCCCATTCCTCGCCGCCGGAAACATCCTCTCCCAGCCGTACTCGCTCTCCTCATCATCCAATCCCCAACTGTCCTCGGCCGAATCTGGCGGCCCTAGCAGCATGCCCAGCCTCCTCAAGCAGTCGCCCGGCACAACGCCTGAGTTTTCGAACGGCGTGCTGAGGAACGCATGTAGCGCGGGCGTGTACCGGTACCGCGCCCAGAAGGTATGCGTTGCGAAGAAGGAGGCTGTGATGTCGTGCAACAGGCGGGCAAGGAGGGGGGAGTCTGGGTGGGGGGAGAGATGGAGGCGCGGTGGGATGGGGGAGTATGGGGATGTTTTCGAGGGGATGGTGCACGCGTGAGAGAGGAAGAGATAGGGTGGTTGGATGATGATGTCTTTTGTGGGTTGATGGGGCCAGTTGTGCCACTTGTGCACGAAGGTGTAGACTAGGTCTCTGAGCTCTTGCGGCAGCCGCGAAAAGAATAGGGCGAGGAAGTCGTCGGGAGCGGAAGCGGGACAGTCAATCTTGGATCTATGGTCCTGCTTCAGGTCTTTTGCTGGCGGTACGTGCGTGTCTTCCAAGAGAGAGGCGCGGCATCTTGGGGCGAGTGCTATCCTTCCTCCTGCGAGAACTTGTGAGTCCGCGTGAGGCATGTTTGTGCTGACGAGCTCGTAGGTCTCGCGTTCCCTGTTGACAATTTTGTCGAGGCGCCACTGGTCTTTGGTGTATGTTCTGGTGCTGGGAGGATTGAAGGATGACATGATAGAAAGCAAGATCATGTGTTAACTGTATTAGTGGGCTTGGTGTTCAGAATGGGACGAGTGTATTTATACGTTTCGTGCGCTTGTGGGGGCCGAAAACAAGCACTCAGCTGGATATGGACATGCATGCTGATTCAGTCTTCGAAAGCTGAAGAAAGCAAGATTCATCCACCCATTGGATAGGATGGAACAATAAGTATCGCGTCTCAATCAACATCCGGCACAAGCTGCCCGTTGATAATCATCATGTTTTCCCGGCCTAGCTTCTTCATCGCTTTCAGGGCTTCCGCATCCCTCAATTTCTTCGTCTCTTCGTCCGTGACCAGCACAAAGTCGTACGTCAACAGCTTTGTGCCCTCCTTGACACCGTATTTCTTCGCTTGTTCCGCGTTCACGGTGCCCAGATCCACGATGAGCGATTCTTTGACACCGAAGACGGCGTCGGATGTCTCGTATGGGTCGCCTCGAAGGTATAACGCTCTGTCGGATTGTTAGCTGCGAAACATCGAAGGCAGAGGAAGTCAGGCGGAAGGGGCGACTTGCGTGATCAAATGATCGTAACCCTGCTTTTCGAACATGAAATGCATATGACTCGGCCGCCAAGGATGTCTTCCCAGCTTCCCGAGCATGACCCCCACAGGCCCATCGTTCGGAATGCGATAGGGTACTGGCACAATCGCCTTGAACCAGAACACACCCTCATCATCACTCCTCATGATGCCTCTTCCATCTGGCCTATCGCCGCTATAGCTCTCGTACTGAACGTCGTACGCCCCTTTGCTGTCCGTTTCCCAGATGTCGATTTTGACGTCTTGTATGGGTTTGCCGTCGGTAGACTTTACATTGCAAAGGCAGAGTAACGGTTCGCCTTGGGGATCGGCTGAGATGGATGAGCCGGTCGATTGTTCTTGAGCGTCGTGCGTGTGGTATGGGCCGAGAACGGTGCCTTCGGTGGAGGCGGGCGGCTTGGGGTGGTCTATTGAGTCGACGAGGAGGGAGAGGCCGAGCGTGTCGGAGAGGAGGATGAATTCCTATTGTCAAGAGCCCATTAGCAGCTCGTTCCAAGCGGGTCTCTGAATTGTAAGGATACAGTATGCTTACCTGCCGCACATCTGTGCATTTCTTGCCTACTGAAGTCAGGAACTCAATGCCTGCCATCCACTCCGTGGTGCTGAGACGCGTTTCCCGCGCAAAGTCGTGCATGTGCGATACCAGCCTCTCCAACACATATTTTAGCCGCGCGTCCGAGGTCTGCGCGTTAATCAAGTGGACGTTATCAGTAATATTATCGATCGTCAGATCTTTGAGGATCGGGACGTCGACCTTCTCGTGTGTTCCTGCCATTGCGGGGTGGTCCTACCGAACACAGAGAGTCAATTGGGGAACACGCAACTGGCACGAGGGAAATATAGGGAGCAGAGGAGAGAGAGAACGGCTATACAAGTAATTGCAACCAGCATAGGATCAGTCAGGTGTTAGCAATGCGTTCCACAGTAGGAACGGCTCGATTCCGAATGAGGGGTAGCAAAGCCGACCCCAGACACAGCATGATGACATGGCAAAAGGAGAGTGCTCATAGGCCTAGGAGTGCGAGACTAGGAGCGACGCGTGCTGTTTCGCCCCGCTTGGGGTCGTGAGATGGAGGTCGGAGTACAACTCGGTAGACGAGGAATGTGGGGTAACATTGGAGCTTGGTAGACGTCACGTGCCGTGTTGTGTCCAAAAGCATCTGATGCGATAACGTATATTCTGTGATACTTCATGCGTTCAGCTCTTTAGGCGTAAGCTCTGGGGGCTTCTGGTCCGTTGGTGATGAGTACTGAAGGGCGAATTCCGTGCCAGAAGACTGCCTGAACCCGACTTGTGCCGGCCTCTCCCACTTACTCAACAATGACATCCAAGACCCTCCTCTCTTCCTTCCTAATCTCTACCCAACCTCCCTCCTCAACTCTCACTATCTTCCCGTCAATGCACACCCTCCTCCACTTACCCTCATCCTCATGAAACTCAATCCTCAGCCCATCAACCTCCTCGTACCTCACCATTGGATCCTCGACATGCTTGCCACCCGCATACGCCAGACCCATAACCCTCATAGCCTCATCCCCACTCGTAGGCCCAAAATGCACAAGCCACAGACTGCCGTCCAGCGGTTTAGTCTTCGGGCTTATGCAGAACGGTTTCTCGAGGTTCGACACCATAGTGGCGAGAACGTACATGTGTTCTTCTTCTGGGAGCGGCTGCCAATCCGAGCCGTGTAGTACAGATACAGAAGCGCGGTAAGGGTGAGGCGGTGAGCCGTCGGCAGGGTAGAGCGCTTCTTTCGCAGCCATCTTGAAGCGATCGATGCCGAACTTGCGGTACTCTGCGGTGTCGCTATCGGCGACGAGAGAGGCGTGCATGGCCCAGCTAGCGACTACAGTGCCGTGAAGAATGGGGCGGCCGCTCTTGGGGTCTTGAGGGAGGACTTCTTCGTCGCGGGCTTCGTTGGTAAGGAGGCGCGCGCCGGGGGAGAATGAGGCGGTGAATATGGGGAGAGGTCTTCGATGGGCCTCATCGGAGGGGTTGAGGCACAGTGCCTTCAGGCCCCATGTGTCTTGACGGGCATTCTCAACGTTGATGGAATGGTATAGAGCGTTGGCGGTGCCGAGTGGGAGCAACACCACCGTTGGTGCTCTGTAAGTCGGAGAAACTGGTTGGGCCAGGAGACCATTTACGAGGTCGATCACACCACCGTCTCCAGTGAGCAGTACTATTCGCAGGCTTATACCGGCGCTAGCCGTAGGGAAGAATATGTCGTTGGTGAGCTCCTGAATAGTAGTTGCTGATTCGGTGCGGTGGGTGAGGAAGTTTGTATGACCTTCTGGCCAGAGCGTCTCCAGAATCGGCTTTACAGCTTTTTCGTAGAAGATTCCTGCCTTTCCGGTGCCAGAACCGGTAGAGATGATGACGTGCGTTTCTTCGTCGCTTGTATTGTGTGGGCGGATGGATGGCTGTGTCTGATTATCTTCCTTGATGATGACCTCTGGCACTGCACTGTCATCCTTCTCTTCGCCTGCACGAAGCTGCAAGCTTATGACCGTCGACAAAGCTCCATGCTTGCTGGGAACAGATGCTATTGTAGTGAGATTGTTGCCTGAGGCGTCGCCATCGTTGGCTTTTACTGTGGGTGAAATTGAATTGGCCATATCATCAAAAGACGTCGCTTTTTCAGTGTCACGTCTCAAGCCGACAAGAGGTAATTATGGGTGGAGGCCCAACGCTCAAGCAGATGGTCCCCATCGTGAAGGCTGTATGCAACGATAACGCCATTCCCGCAGTTGCTCGCTTACACCACCGCCCCACACATTGGTTGTCTAGCTGCTTTGGGGGCACAGCTTCCGTTGCTCTCAGGGAGACAAAGAAGCGCTCAAATATGAAACAAGTAAGACAAATGTTGAAGCGGAACATCTGCTCCGACGGCGATCCAGGTAGCTGAAATTGTGCATTAACTCGGACGGGACCGCAGCGCACGTCAGCAGCGATTGCGAATAGCTCCAGCATTACATCATCCCGATGAGACCTTGGCACTGAGTGCACGCTGTTGCGCAGCGCAACCTGGTGCTGCTCCCCAGCTCAGCCGGGGCCTGCTACTGATACCACGCCGTCAGCAGAGCCCACAGCTCCCCAAATTGCGCACCCTCAGCCTCAGCGCACCTTCCGCATCTGATTACCCATCCAGCCCTACACGGCCGTCCTCTTCGCTCTCGAAAGAGCTAGCTTTCCGATCCTCCCGCGCGCCCACCCAACTCACACCCACCACCGCCTCTCGCATGCGCGCCCAAGGCCACCGCCTTCCCTCCACCCTCGCAACTTCCCACTCCCGAACGGCATCATGAACGGCGGCTGGGTCTTCCTCATCATCCTCATCCTCGCCGTCGTCGGCGGCTACGGCGGCTGGGTAGCCTACTCGCGCATCCGGGCCTCGCGCCTGGGCCTTCCACCGCCCTCCCTCAACCCCTTCAACCGCAGCGGCGACGAGACCTCCAACTACCCCGGCCCCGCGCCCACCGGCATCAAGGGCTGGTTTGACGCCCAGATCTTCAAGTTCAAGAACCGCAACAACCGCACCGCGCACGGCGCGTACGAGGAGAGCGGCACCGGGTACAACAGCAGCCGGGGCCGCGGCGCTGGACACAGACTCGATCCCGACGAGGCGTGGGATGCGCGCGTCGGCAACGAGGCGTACTACGAGGAGCAGGAGCTGGGGCTGCATGAGCCGGCGAACGCGCGGACCGGCCCACAGAGCAGCAATCCGTATGAGAGCCAGCCGTACGGTGCGCCGTCGCCAGGCTTCCACGAGCCGGACCGCGGAAGGAGTCGCAACAGGGACTACGATGAGCGAAGCGATGGGGGGCTCGGCGTACGGCAGAATCCGTTTGGGGATGAGAACGCGGCGAGTCTGCGCGGTGTAAGTCCGCGCCCGTTGGACCAGCATGTCGACACGAGTTATGGCGGTGCGAGCGCGGGGCAGCAGAAGAAGAAGGGCAGTGCGGAAAATAGCCCGACCGAGTCTCGGAGGAGTGTATTCCACGAGGAGATGTAGGAGGAGATGCACCTGGATTTGCGGGCGTTCTTGGATGGCTCATGTAGCGACTGGGTTTTCTTCACTTCTGAGAATATATCACGTTGGGGAGGCTTTTGTTGAAAAGTTTGGTGCGAAATGTAGGATTGAGGATGACGATGCCTGGACGACGACAGAGGTACATAATCTCCTTTACACTGTCGGTTGTGTTCTACGACCGCCAGGTCTGATGGCAGCCTGACTAGACAGGTCGACTTTAATGCTTTGCTACTTGCTTCAATATTTCTTCAGCTGCGCCGCGCGTTCATGAACTCGAGGACATCGAACGAGTTGGCAGCCGCTTGAGTGCCGCTTTCTTGCTGTCTCCTCTCCTTTCGCTCGGCCTCCCTCTGCTGCTGCTGCTGCTGCTGCTTCTTCGCCTTCTTGTTAGGAACACGCTCAATCGGCACTTCCACGTTTGCTGAAGCATACACCTCAGCAATAAGCTCTTGCAGCAGCTCTTGATCGCCTTGAGGCTTTCTTGCCTGGCCTGGGACAAGAAACAGCTCTGTGATCGGGCCCATGCTCTGCAAATCGGTATGGATCTGACTAGCAATTGGGAGCAGTGAGGACGATCCGTCTGCGTGGAGAGACAACCACACTTTGATGCACTGCTTCAGGAACCGTAAAGAGTAGAGCGCGGCGTGTAGGCTGGCGGTAAGGTGGATGTATTCCCACGTATTGTCGAAATTGGCGTTCAGGACGCGTAGCCAAAGTGCAAGGGATGGAGCGGAGTTCAACTCAGGTAGAACAATGCCGATGGCGAACAGGGGCCATGTAAGGCTGTGTGGCACTTCTCGTTCAGCTGTCCATTCTATCCAAGCGCTTATGTTGCGGGCGTAGCTTTGCATCATAACTGAAAGTTCTTGGGGCGGATACAGCTCAATTTCCTGCAGGCTGACCTTCTGGGCTTTGCGTCTGTGCTCCTGGACTCTAGAGCGATCTGTAGTGAAGATGCTATAGGATACGGCCCGCAGATCCTGGCCGTGCGCCCATGCTGAAGCACGGTGCTGGTCCTCTACGAGAAATGGAAGGTAGACAATAGGGTTAAGCCTCGAGTTTAGGCCTTGATAAATGAACTCTGAGATTCTGACATCTAGATTTTGTAACGATGAGACCGTCCGGTTGGCGAAGAAAAAGTCTTCTGAGGTTGGAGCGACCGTGTAGCGCTTAACGAAGTCGAGATATGTTTGGGACGTGGGATCTACGCGTTTCGCTTCTCCAATTAGCTTGCTCTCAGGACTGTGGGAATCATGAGTCAAGCAGTATGCGAACGACGTAAGGTTCGGAAGGCCAAGCTCTTCGCATATAGCAGATGGGGAGTAGCCCTTGAACTTAGGTTCAGGCCAAAGTTCGGCATCTCTGTAAAACAAGAGCCGGAATTCCGGGGAATAATCGTATAGTAGAAGATCAGTGTCGTCGCTGACGATCAACGAAGCGGGCTCCTCCGTGGCCTGGAGCGCACACCAATCATCAGCTTCGCCTGGAACATTGCGAGTGACCGGTGCGTATTCGCTGTCTGCCAAAGCCTCTCGCAAAGCCGGTGCGAGAAACGAGTATGAGACGGAGCCAAGCGAGGTAGGTAATGGACACGTCGTAGCAGGGAAATTGGACCTCAGTCCATTGGCTTGCTGATTGTAACGCGCTGTCCTGGTTATCCGTTCAGCTTCCTTCGTCTGTGGAAGTGCTCCATCAAATAGGATGGCTTTGCTATGAAACGTTATTAGCAAAGCTCAGTGAGGGCTCGAATCTAAATGCATGTCTTGCATGCCTCGCGTATGCACCTGAATTGTCGCCTCGCTGCATGCAGCGGGATATACTCGCCAACGAAATATATGTGCAGTTGGGACGTTGACACCTCAACAAGAAAGCTCAAATTTCAAGGGAAGTGATTGTGCCGCGATGTGCGACCTTCTCTGATTCCGGCGGGTAAACCTCGACTCCTGTACAAGCCGACACTGCATGGGCGCGGCGTACTGACACGTGCAACAAATACGAGGTGCTGGTAACTCACACCTTGATATTAATGCCCTCCAGGGTTCTAAGCCAGCGCAGCGCTTGAAATGTGATATCGGTGTACGCTGGGATGCGCGACACGTTGCCTCTATCTAAAGCTGCCAAAGCCAGCTTGTGGGCGTGATACGCAAGCGAAGGACCGTCGATGATAGCGTGGTATCCTTTCAACTCTTCGAGGGAGTATCGAGTCGCATGCGCCTCAAGGCGCCTGGCTAAGCCGGGTATCCCCATAGTGAATGACCAAGGATGTACAGAAATGCTCTTCTCAGATGACCCCAAAATACACTGGGCAGGTTTGGGCGCTCAGAGGTTCATCATATCACCTTGTATGGGCGCAAATGAAACCAGCCACCGGTCCAGTGTGGCACGCCCGCGGGCTGAGGCGAGGCAGGGATGGTGCAAGCCGTTGAGTGATCGCCCTCGTATCGACCAGGATCACGAATGCACAGCCTTATCTGGACTGCAAAGCCATCGAGAACGTCGGCTCGGGAGAATTTTCGTTGTTGAGGCGAAGATCAGGAGAGCGTGGAGGTCGACAAAACGTGCGAAGGCTAGCAACAGTCTGGCCAATGGATGGGCGGCGGCGAGGAGCGAAGCAGGGGTAGGTAGGTGGCACCTGCGTCATCCCGCCATGGGGAAGCTGCCACTGCCCCTCACATCTAAAAGTCGTCCACAGCGGCCAGACACCTGTCCCCTCAATTCCTCCACAACAGCCTGAAATCCAAAGACATTCAAGATGAGCGTTCGGACCGTATCTCTCAAGCCCTATACCGACCAGAAGCCCGGCACGTAAGTACCCTGACAGACTTTCGGCTGTGTTTACACGTCTTAGCCGCCCCGTTATTGCTCGATCCTTTCTCTGCATCCAGATTACATTCCATGCATATCGCACCATCCTTTCCTATACACTGCCATCTGCACCTCAACCCATTGAGCTCCTCATGCATTTGTTAGAGGACCATGGCTAACGAATGGTTTCGCACCAGTTCTGGCCTGCGCAAGAAGGTCAAGGTCTTCCAGCAAGAGAACTATTCCGAGGCGTTCGTTGCCAGCATCCTGCTCTCAATTCCCGAAGGTGTTGAAGGGTCCACCCTTGTCATCGGTGGTGACGGACGCTACTGGAACCCCGAGGTCACACAGCTGATTGCCAAGATTGGCGCTGGATACGGCGTCAAGAAGCTCATCATCGGCCAAGATGGCATCTTAAGCACACCAGCTGCTAGCAATGTCATCAGGATACGGAAAGCGACCGGTGGTATCTTGTTGACTGCCAGCCACAACCCCGGTGGTATGTTCTGCCATCATGTGGTTGTAGGGACTCGCTGACAAACTGAGCAGGCCCTGACGAGGATTTTGGTATCAAATACAACCTTACCAACGGTGCTCCCGCTCCGGAAAGCGTCACCAACAAGATCTACGAGACCTCCAAGAACCTCACTTCGTACAAGATCGCCGACATCCCTGATGTCGACCTGAGCAAGCTCGGCTCTGAGAAGTACGGACCGCTAGAGGTCGAGATCATCCACTCCACCAAGGATTATCTTGAGATGCTCAAGAACATCTTCGACTTTGATCTTATCAAGAAGTTCCTTAAGGATCACTCCGATTTCAAGCTTCTCTTCGACGGCTTGAGCGGTGTCACCGGCTCATACGGTGTCGACATCTTCGAGAAGGAGCTCGGCATCCCAAACAGCACTCAAAACTGTATTCCGAAGCCAGACTTCGGTGGCCACCACCCAGATCCCAACCTCGTCTACGCTAAGTCTCTTGTCGACGCGGTGGAGAAGAACAGCATTCACTTCGGTGCTGCCAGTGATGGTGACGGTGACCGCAACATGATCTACGGTGCCGGTGCTTTCGTGTCTCCGGGAGACAGCTTGGCCATCATCGCCCACCATGCGGAACTCATCCCATGGTTCAAGAAGCAGGGAATCTACGGCCTTGCGCGAAGCATGCCCACTTCAGGTGCGATCGACCTGGTAGCAAAGAAGAAGGGTGTGCAGAGTTACGAAGTGCCCACTGGCTGGAAGTTTTTCTGCGGACTTTTTGACTCTGACAAGATGAACATCTGCGGTGAGGAGAGCTTCGGAACCGGCAGCAACCACATCCGTGAGAAGGATGGTCTGTGGGCCGTCGTGGCATGGCTCAACATCATCGCCGGTATCGGCGAGCAGACGGGGTCAACGCCAAGCATTGGATCCATCCAGAAAGACTTCTGGAAGACGTATGGTCGCACATTTTTCACTCGCTACGATTACGAAGGCGTCGACAGCGAGGGTGCCAACAAGGTGGTCGCTCACATGAAGGAGCTCATCACCACCAAGAAGGACGAATTCGTCGGCTCGTCCATCTCCGGTCGCAAGGTCGTGGAGGCCGACGACTTCTCTTACACAGACCTCGACGGCAGCGTCAGCAAGAACCAGGGCATCTTCGTCAAGTTCGATGACGGCAGCCGCATCGTTGTGCGCTTGTCAGGAACTGGCAGCAGCGGAGCCACCATTCGTCTGTACATCGAGAAGCACGACTCTGACGAGAAGACGTACGATCTCGATGCGCAGGACTACCTCAAGGACAATGTCAAGCTCGCGACCGATCTACTCAAGTTGCAGGAGTATGTCGGCCGCACCGAGCCCGATGTCAAGACGTAATCGCGGAAGGATATCATCTTATTTACCTGAGCAATGGCACGAGAAAGGCGAAAATTACGAGACATGACTTGCATTAGCGATTGAAGCCTGGCTGGTACGAGCGATAAGTGAAAAATCGTATTCGATCGATAGATATTCCCTACCTGTTGCTTCTTGAAATTGAGAACGTGCTGCCAATCCCTCCAAATGCTTATCTTGCGAGGTCTAGAGCACATCAGGCCAGCCTCACAGATTCCCAGTCTTCCCCTTGAGGAAACCCTAAATGGAAACGTCCACACTTTCCCACACCAATGTCCGGATCGGCCACCGCTTCGAATGATTCAACCCTTCCTCCTATATCCGAACTATCGTCATCACTTTCTACACCCATCAAATGGCAATGCAGGCTCGGCCCACTAATACCGGCCATCCATGCTGGAATCTTGTACCCATACAAAGTCCCTTTAACCTTCTCCACCAGACGGCATTGCGAAGAGTCCTTCTGGATTAAGGTCACATTGGTGAATGTTCCTTTCACTTTGAACGGTAGCATGGAATTCATGCCACCAACTGTAGGCAGCGCATCCGTGGACGCGAGCAACTCTTTCAATCCCGCGAAACTCAACGTAGCTTCCTGTGCAAGCTTGATGAGGCGTAGAGGCTGAAAAACAGTGACCATCGCGAAACAAAGTTGGTCATTCGATCTGGCCGGTGTGGCATTCCCCGCGGCCGAAACAACGTAGGCCCGGGAGTCCAGTAAGATCATCAAGTCTCCATTTTCGAACACTCCGATGCCGTCAGTTCCATGGCTTGTGAGGTCTGCTGCGCGTGGCTGGCCTGTATTGAAGCCCTTGTGTACCGCTGTCCACGTGGAGAACTGGAATATGTCGTTTGGTATGGATGCGACCATGCTTTCAGAAGGTATGCAGTTCGAGTTTGTTTTGCGTTGCGGAGCTTAGGAACGATGGTAGGTTGGTCGTAACATTCATTCATGCAGCAGTATCAATAGCTCAAGTTGCTTACGGCATTGGGGCCGAGCTTGGTCCCGGGCCTCCACTCCCGACTCACTTCGTCCAATCTGCATTCCCAGAGTAAAGCTGTTACCGCGATTTATCTTCCTAAGAGAAGGTAACACTATTGCGATTTTGGGCTTGCGCGTTATGCGTCGTCCACGCATTCAATTATTCTGACGTCATTTAACGGGTCTTGGCTCGACCCTCCCGTTGCCGATAATTTGACAACTTGGGGAATCGACAAACGCCGCGAGGACTTCCATTCCTCGACGATTCAGGCGCAGCACGCAGTTCCTTATCATGGGTGCCTGCGCAACTTAATCGCAATTGAACTTCGCGCGCATAACAGAATCGAAGGAAACTCGGCCGAAAGAATGCTGTTTAGGAAGGTAGCGAACGAAATCCGTGGTTTGCAGTAGGCCTTGCGGTCTCCAGTGGGTCCTAACGTTGAACGCCCGAAGATCAAGCGCGTGCAGCACCAAAATGTGGACACTGGCGACCTGCCATTTGGTTAAACAGTCTGACATTCCCGTTTCTGACGCTAATTAGGCGCTGAGACGCTTCTTTAGTCTACCTTGTCACGCTTTTGGGACCTGCCTGCTTGGCTCTACCTTCACGCTTAGGTATACTCCGGAAAAACTTGCCAACCCTGCCACCGCCAAGGTACTAACATGAAAGTGAATTTGCAGGACCGTGGGATCAGATTGGCAATGGATTGGCAATCAGATCGAGAGATGACGGCAAGTAATCATTGGAGGTATAAAAAGAATAGTAAGTCGACCATGACGGATCTGATCCTACATCTATTTCGGTCCCTTCTTTTCGGAACTTCGCGTTCATTTTACACGCTGCTACCAGCGCTCTAACATGCGTCCCGCACCATTTTTTACGGGCTTGGCTGCCATTGCGCTCGCCGTAGAGCCCTTTTTCAACGAACCGGATACGGGTCTAGAGACCTTTTTACAGCAGACAAACAACTGGACTGAAGGAATTCAGCCAGCATTGAAAGATATTCGTGGCCTGAACGACTTCGACTTCGCTGCTCGTCAGAAGCTCTCGACTGAGAACTACTTCTACTACCGGACCGGAAGTGCCGGCGAGTGGAGCTATCGCAACAACTTGGACATCTGGCAGAAGGTCAAATTCAGGCCTAGATTCCTGCGTGATACCACAAATGTAAACGAGACTTTGAGAATCACTATTTTGGGCTACGACTTCACGAGTCCGGTGTTCATTGCACCTGCCCCAAGAGCACAGTATTGCGATGAGCGAGGTGAAATCAACTACGTGGAGGCCTCGGCGGATGAAGACACTCTCTACGTTGCGGCGATGTATGCGAAGAAGACCATTGAGGAGATTGCTGCTGCGAAGTCTAATAGCACCATCAACGGCCCGCAAGTCATCTTCCAACAGGTAAGCTTAAATTTACCACCCGTCTCACTCGACACATTGCTTACAATTCTTAGATCTATACCAACGCCAACCTCTCAGTAACGTGGGATAACATTGCGCGTGCCGAGCGCACCGGAGCCAAAGCCATCGTCTGGACCATCGACGCACCTGGCGACGCCGTTCGCCACCGTGCTGCTCGCTTCGACACTACTAATGCCAACTCCGCCACCTCCAAGCTCACCTGGGATCTCTATGACCAGATGAAGAACCGCACCTCCCTCCCCATCATCCCCAAAGGCATCGCCTCCGTTGAAGACGCCCAAGAAGCCATCCGCCGCGGCGTAAGAGCAATCTACATCAGCAACCACGGCGGCCGACAGCTCGATCACTCTCCCTCACCCCTCGAAATCGCCTACGAAATCTACCGCAATGCACCTGAGGTGTTCACACAGGTTGAAGTCCTAGCCGACTCAGGCGTCCGATACGGCACCGATGTCCTGAAGCTGATGGCGTTGGGTGTCAAGGCTGTGGGTCTTGGACGACCGTTCTTGTACGCGAACTGTTATGGCAGGGAAGGCGTTCAGAAGGCGATTCAGATGATGAAGAAGGAGATTGCACTGGATGCGGCACAGGTGGGTATCGCGGATGTGAGGAAGATAGGGCCAAGTGTGATCAATGCGAAGGGGTTGGAGGATACGGTGTATATTGGGTAGAGGAATTAGTGAGGTGGAAGGGACGTTACTCATGTTTTACTTCTCTTCTTGTATGTAGCCATTTAGTGTTTGTGCATTGCATTCCTAGGAGAGAGAGTACTCTTTCGATTTTGGCATTCCAGGACCTGGGTATAACTCGCCTTGAGTTCCTCTCATTTGATGCAGGCATGAATCACCATTCCCGCCGCTGGTAGCGGTGCACACAGCCCACGCAGGTAGCAGTCTTGTCTTTGAATCCATTAATTAGCTCAATATCGAATCCCCTCTCTTCCTCTAGTCTTTCAGGAAGGTTGGTACACGCAAAGGTGCCCAGACACACATTCCGCATATGTGTCAAACCTCTATTCCGGTCAGGGGCTCTTAGTCATGCGTAAATCTCTGCTTGTAAGGCGTCCACAGAACTAGGCAACGTGAATCTAGACACCGAGACACGTCATATCACTCTGCACGGGGTTTCCTCCACAGACACGCATAATGTGGCCGCAAGGTATATTGTGATCGAACCAAGACCGGCACATGGGTGATTTTGAAGATCGCTTTAGTATCCTGTAGAATCTGGTGATACAGTGAAAGTGCAGGGTTCGACTTGAGATATTCATATTGGTGATTTTGCCACCAAGCTCCAGCTAGATTCTGATGCAGTCATTCCTTTCTGGAGATTTGGCGCCATGCATTTAACTTCTTTGGTAGGGAAGTATCCTCCCCACACACACGGGGACTTTGAGGTTCCATTTCGATTCCTCCAAACCACCGCCATGCTTTCGCCAACGACTTGTTCTTGGCCAAAGTTCAAAAGACTCCAATGTTCTGCTCCTCTCCTAGAATTGTTAGTCCACAGCAACAAGACGCCCAGGACATCATAGTGTATGGTACGCGGTTTAGTTCCAGGACAGGGGCAGCACAAAGACTTGCTATATTCCGACATGCTTTTTTAGTACCCCACAGCACGTGGAGTAGAAGTTGCGTGAAGAACGTAACGGCGCTGCGAGAGCCGTATTTAAACACCTCTGACCGTTGCACGGGCCTCTTGACCGCGTGTGATTGACACGTGAAGGCATGAGTATCGTCGCAAGCCACTCCAGACGAGCGGACACTCGCACCTCTCCCACATCCAGTCTAATGAAAAACTTCCGAAGAGCCTGTTTCGCGCAAAATAGTCGCGACATGGTCAATACGCTGTGCTCGTTTTGGACAAAGATATCGTACAATCTAGCCAGGGGTATCTACAACTCGTCGATCATGTGCAGTCCGTCCATAGTGCCTAATAGCCCGGTCCTCAGCCCCGACGCAGAAACTCCGTAGCACTTGTACCTCCCATGAACCAAACTCCGTTACAAATGACAAATTGAACATGCAAGGCCGAAATCTCGAGACCGCTCACGAGATCTGACACGAGGGACAGCTCTACTCATCTCCATCCCTCATCTCCGTATCTCCATCCTCATCCCCACCTCCTGCTCCCTCTTCCTCCTCTTCTTCCTCTTCCTCCTCATTGTCCCCTTCCGTATCCGTATCTTTCACCTCCCTATCCAAACTCCTCTGTAAGTTCGGAAACAAGCTAGGTCTCGACGCAGAAATAGCTCGATTTCCCACACCGTGGATCTGCTGTCCCATCTCCTGCACTTCGTCCTCATCAAGCTCGCTAAGCTCGCTCTCGTCGTCTGCATCGTCGTGCACGGAGGCAGGGGCGCTGCGCTCGTCAGCGGTGACGCTAGGAGCTGCCGTAATCGTGCCGTTTGTCGTGGCGTTGGGCGGCTTCAGTGCGCTGGGCCCTGTGACAGGCGTGGGAGAGGGCTCAGGCGCCGCGGAATTGTCAGGTGAGGGAGCGGTTCGCGCAGTAACGGCGTTTGTCGAGGGTAGCGTCGCGTGTGCTACGATAGGCGGGGAGCGAATAGGCATCACCGACGTAGTGGGAGGGGCGACCGCACCGGCTGGTTTTTGCGCGCACGCTTCGGCGCGACGTTGGATCTCTCTGCGACCGACAGTCTTGGCTCGAGGTTTGGGGACAGGTTCGGCGACCGGTTGTAGTTGAGGTGGCGGCTGCAATTGACTTGAATGGAAGAGGCTGAAGGGGGCGTTATGACTGTCAGTAGGTATGGCGCCATCAACTTGACCCTGTAGCACTGATGGCAGGAATGGCGCTCCAGGTCCTGCCTGTGCGCCGGCGTCTGGTGTTGCTGTTCCTGTCGAAAGCGGTTTTTGTTCTGAAGGTAAAGGTGGGAGGGTTGGGCCGACCGTGTTGTAGAGCAGGGCGAAGGTATCCCCAAGGAGGTCGTCGATTGGGACAGCTTTAGTGAGGCCATTGTTAACGCGCTTCAGCTCCACCGTATGTCGCAGTACATCGAGAGCAGGATGCTGTGTCTTCGGGTCCTGGCACCACGCTTCGAGACGGGTAGCCTGGACGTTATATTCTTCGAAATTCATAGCTCTGAAGACAATGTCCTCCTGGCCATCAGGAATCTGGCCCATTCTTCGCAGGAGTTGGAGGTATGTTTGGCATAGTTCCTGCCATAACTTCGTGTGCTCGAAGAAATCTGTCTGCTTTCTCCGAACACGTCGGGCCAACGCCTCTAGGTTTGGTTGGTCGCCAGTTTGGTTAAGCAGGTGAACGAAAAATTTGGTGTAACGGCTGGTGTACACGAAGTGGCGGCCGGGTCGCTCATGTTCGGGCTTCCATACTTGGACTGCCATAGTTTTCGTAAAGATCTGCTGGGTGAGCTCATGTTTTGCGCCCTGAGCGACCATAATATCATTGGACTCATCATATATGACATGAGCCGCTCGAGCAATAATGCGATGGTGCCAGCTTGACTTGTCAGTGTTACGTAGCGCCTTGAGCACCTTGAGTATGTATCCTTCCCATTCGTCGGTGTTTTCTGGAGTGCTGAGGTTCTCTGAGAATGGTGTGTTGGACAGGACCTCAACACCCTTCTCTATGTCAACCGTTTTGCGCTGAACAAGCTTGTGAGTAATAGAGACGAGCTTGTAATGAGGCTCCAGAATCGGCTCTCTGCCCCGCTCTTTCTTCTCAGGTACAGTGTTGATAGCATTCACGATGGCTTTGATGACTTCTTCCCAAGATGGTCCGTTTCTCAAAGTCGGCGGTCTGCCTTCTGCTGTAGCCCTCCGAATTTCGTCCATATTGGCACAGTGCATCTTCCAGAGGCTTTTTGCAAGCATATAGTGGTTCCACCATTTCTCGGGTTCACCTCTGGCCGCGAGCTTAAACAAAGCTCCAGCAAACTTCCAAGCGGTGAAGGGCAACAATGGAGCAAATGGTAAATTCGTGTATACAGGCGCATGGTCCGGCGCACTGTAGAACTTCTTCTCCGTATCCTTGATGTCAAACGCATTCATACTGAAAGGCTCTCGCGATGAGGCGTAAATCCGGTTGCCAAAGTCTGCGTACAACCGGGAGACTTTCGCAAGCGTTTCAATGGATAGGTCTGCTTCGCGAACGGCACAGTTAACTGCCATACAATAACAGTGGATTGCCGCCCGCTGCCAGGTGACGAGCTCTACGCTACTGTTGTTGAGTTTCTCAGCGGTCCAGGACACAGCCTCTTCCAACTGGGTATCGTTCGCTTGCGCAAGGCGATACCACGTCTCCCAACGCTCGCTGGAGAACTCCAAATCTTGCAAAAAGAATGCCTGAGCAAAGTTGACGTCCTCGGTCGGTTGTTGAGTAGTCCTCTTCTGCATTTTGAACTTGGTAAGTGCAAGATTTCCCATCAAGAAGTACCATCCCTTGGCGGCCGGAGCGACGGAGGCATCAGCAAGGATCGGTTTTGTGGGAAGTGTTCCAACACCCTTCAAGCAGCTGAGCAAGTCTGTTGGGTTTATTGGAGACTTTAGATAGGCCTTTAGTATCCTTCCATTTTGTGATATGTCTTCATGAACTCTGGGCCTTCCAAGTGCTCCATGTATCCGGTCGATCGTGGTTTTCAACTCGTGTTTCGCAAGATCCTTGATATTCATCTTGGCAGCTTGAGAAAGGATGAATGTCATCAATTTCATCGCTGCACTCCTGTCGAGAATGTCGGCATTGGAGCCATATTCTTGGCATTCCGCTGGGTCGATAAAGGTTCTCAAACCATAAAGATCGTAGAGCACCTGTGATAGCTCGGTGGCCAGTGTATCGGGTTCAGGAATATCCTGGAACGATAGCATTTCGTCCTTCGCTAGTCTGAGGAAGAGGCGTCCGGCCGCGTGGCCACAAGACCGTACCCCAAGAGCATGATGAACATGGCGCAGAAAAACAAATTGCTCGTCAGAGGGTAGTTCGAATTTGTCCGGTGTTTGGGAGATGCCTTCCTTGAAGAGATAGTACTGGAGGATCCAGAGCCGTACCTGGACATCGTTGAGGCGGGTAGTGATATTGGCGAAGGTAGATGGCGGGAATCCTTCCGCGTATCGAGGTATGTTATGCTGTCCGACCCGGATCAAATCCTGCAAGGAGTTTGCTGCAGCCAGGATGCGTAGCGATTGCGAAATCGCTGACATGGACGATTGCATGTGCTCGTAGGTCAGACAAGCAAACGCATCCTTCTCATCCCTAATAATCTGAAGAATTTTTACCACAATCTCGTCAACAATGCGAATACACCTTATGAGCTCCACATGTCTGTCCACATCAGAGCTTTCCTGATAGGTAAGAGTGCTGAACTTTCCCGTCAAGGTTTCGATACTTCGCAGGTAGCAAGATAGCACTTTTGGCGGATATTCGATTGCCTCGTAGGCTTCGCGGAGGCGCTGCCACAACGAAAGCCTCAGGCTGACAGATGCCGAATCGAGGAATTTCCTCATCTCTTGCAGGGGTGATGCACGCGCGTTTTGCACGTCTGCAGGACCCTCGTCAGTCGTTGGCGTTTCTCCGTGCTCTTCCACTGTACCGCTTGTATGCCCGTTCGTGACCAAATCGGACTCATCTGATAATTCAAGAATGGGTTCCAAACTCTCTATGACAGCGACAGGATCCTTCTCTTCGGTGTCGAAGACCTTCAAGAAAAAGTCCTTCATGCTGATGCGGACAAGCTCACGATCTATCGCAGCCACTGAAAGCTCCGGCATGACTGCGTTGTTCTGGACCTCAATTGTATGCCCATCCGAAGACTTGAAGATCTCTTTGAGCTCTTCCATAGCAAAAAGAACATGTTGAGGTAGTACCTCATCGTCGACGCTCATCTGAAAGACGGACGCCCATATATGACGCAAAGACAACTCGTCGAGCGGTTCAACATTCGGTTGGCAGCTCGAGCGTAGTTGCATAGCTTCACGTGCGAGCGAAACCCAACGCGATAGTCGATCATTTTGCTCTGTCTGCGTGCTTGGATTGACGCCGCTGCTAGGATGCTTGATCAACGAGTAGACGTCGAGATGGAGTTCGAAAATTGTCTCGATCAGTTCGATCTGTGCACGATCAAAAGCTGAAAGTGCATACTGCTGCGCCTGCTCTCGTGCTTCTAGTATTCTACCATTTAGAGCCTCGAGGCGGTCGAGCATACGATTGTGAATGAATTCATCAACATTGACAAGAATCTGAACCACTTGTCGTTTGAGGTCCTCTGCCCACCGGTATTGAACATAAGTCGACTTGCTGCTTTGCGTGCTGTCGTCTGTTGTTGAAAGGAAGCCCGGTGCTAAAAGGGCCTCAATCCAGGAGAATGCCACTTCTTGCGTAGAGAGCCAGGCATCGTTGATAGTTTGTACGAATGAAGCAAGCTTCTCGCTTTGCAAGGTTGGTTTTACACAAGCCTGTGCAGTACTAGATTTGGAGTAACCCAGAAACGCATTCAGGCCAGCTTCTCGCGATGCTCCACCAAGATCCATAGGCTCTGGACTGAGTAATACGGGTGCGATTTTAGATCCTGATGTTTGTAAGGCGATGTACATGTCGCATGCGGCTTTGTCGACACTGTCGGTCGCCGCCGCTCCAGTGCTAGACTTGCTGACCAGATCACGTAGTTTCTCCAAAGTTCCGAGACCCTCAACACCAAGCCTCTCGAACTGGTCGTTCATCACTTCGCGCAGGCATTTATCAGCATTTGTAAATGGCCAAAGCTGATCCTCAAGTGTATTGCTGACAGCCTGCCCCATGGCCTCCGCGCCCAGGCCCGCTTCTGAATCTCGTGCTCGAAGGCGTTTACTTCGGGCACGACCACCCTCAGCAGTTTCTGGTAGCCCGGCAGAGTCTGTGGAGCGTTTGCGCGAAAGCTCTCTCCCGTTTTCAGCCAGCGTTGCTGATTCTCCCTCGTCAACTTTGTTGACATTTTCAGGCCTCTCCTGGTCGGCCATCATCGTGTCCTCGTCCTGTCTCGCGGAAGCGGCGAGTTTGTCTTGCTCGGCTATGTTATCCACGTTTGGGGGCTCTGTGATCACAGTCTCCTCCTCTACATTTGCGTTCTCGGTGGGTTCGGTGATAGTGGCTTCAGATGGCATACCAAGGGCGATCGCGCAACCTGGGTGGATGTTTGCGATTGCAGTGTTGGTTTCTGTCATATAGTGGCGAAGAATTACATCTCCTGCACCCGCCCAATCCCACTTGAGTGGACTTAAGATAACACGCTGAGGTGGTCGCTCGGCAGCTGGTGCTATGGGCCGCGAAATCTCAGAGGGGACCGGAGCCCAAGGATAGGGGTTCAGTCGTTTCTTGAGCGTCTCGGAGAGTTTCTTCTTCCTCAGTGTTGCAAGTGGGGGCATCTCGAGAGATAGTGAGTCCTCTAGCTTGCTGACTAGTTCGCGGAGCTGATGGCCCGCAAAGCCCTCCTCAAGGCCTGGCAGACGGAGCAGGCTGTCATACGCCTCGTCATTCCCGTCCAGCACGGCCTCAAGGCAGAACCGGGCAATGCGCGAGCTCCCAAGCATAGCCGCCACGGAGGCTGTCCTTAGCCATAGGTCCAAATCCGTGTCTTCCTTGTCCAAAGCGTCTGCAAAGTTTGCCAAGGCGGACCCTACTTGTCCTGGGCTGTCCTGTTGCAAGGGAATGCCACGCTCGTTGGCCCAATGCTGCATCGTCTCAAGGATAAATTGGCCATGGTTTTTATACGAAAGGTGCAGTAGTTGCGGGAGCGTGTTCGGCGCGGTCTCGGTGCCGCCGGTGGCCTGGACAGGACCGGCATCAATGTCATCGAGGATGCTGTCGAACACCAGCTCGTCTCCGTAGAGCTCATGGCGCTTGTACTCGGTAAGCGATTCGTGGTATCTGAAGATTTCGGATTCGAAGAGCGCTTTGTAGGCTTCGGCGGTTCTCTCAAACGATTGCGGGCCCTCGGAGTGGTGCTTGAGGGCGGTTTGGTAGAGCTTCAGAGCCTCTTCGATCTGGATTTCCTTGGTGTCGTCGATCTCAACCTCCTCCTCGTTCTCGGGCTCGACGTTGAGCGCATGCCAGGCCGACTTTGTCTATGTTAGCAGAACCGCTGCAGGCGTGGTTTGCGCTCCATCCAGCACATGTGAAGCTCCCGCAGTTGGACTTACCATGATGATGGGTGCATCTAAGGGAGAGTGCCAGCGCGCAAACAACGCAGGTACATGTCCGAAGCACAGCGTGCTCGCATCAGGCAGCCGTGCGCGCGAATCCGAGCCTCGTACGCGGCGTGTCGAGAGTGTCGGTCGCGTACACGTCGTGTCCGGGAGCTAGCTGTCCTTGGCGCGAACAAGCCACAGCACGGCGCCAGCATGGAGGGAAGCACCTCCGACCCGCCGCATGCTGTCCTCGAGGAATCGACACAGCCCTGACACTCGCCCACGGACCCCTCCGACAGCCCACCTGCAGCCCGGCGCATGCTGTTGTAGACTCGACTCTCATCCACGCTTCTTCCGCGCCCCGCTTCACGCGTGAGCCATGGTGACGGCTCCAGCTGTTCCTGAGTACGCAGCATCCCTCCAAGCTTCCCAGACAGCCACATGTTGTGCCAGGCGACGCTTTGAATAGCGCCTGGATCGCACGCAGTTCACATGAACAGCTTCCGCAATCAGCGACATTATTCAGGTGGCCAGCTGCTAATTAGGGCATTCGCAGGATCTTTGAGGAGGAGCTGCACTCTGCCATCGAAGCGCGCTCTGAGACCCTTCAGACCCTCCGAGAATTAGGCCCTCCAGATCTCGTCCACCTCATCAAGCAGCCAGTCAGAGATGTCAAGAAACAGGTAGGGCATGTCCTGGGCAATCCAAACGTGAGAAGGAAGCGCTAATGTACCGCAGGTGGGAGTCTACCACCATGTTACCGGAATCGACGCGTCGTCCTCGGCCAGTCTGGCAGCCTACATCAACACCCTGACCTTCTCACCCCACGACAAGCAACACAAGGTTGTCTCTGGCCTGTACTGGTATGGGGAAACTGAGAAAAGCATGGGACTTTGCTGACGGCGCGTAGCTGCTACAATGCGTTCTCGCGACTGGATATGCGCGTGCAAGTGTACATTCCTGGTACCGTGGAGAGCTACTGCATCGACGAGCGTGGCGACAAGCGCGTCGCGACGGACGAGTTGTGGCTAGAAACGTACCTGTGCAGCGTGCTCCGCGCATACTCATACGCCGACGACGGTTCGGGCGACACAATCAAGAAAATCGTCGGCGTGCGGAGATTCAATCCCATTACAAGCACCGAAAGTGAACATAAGTTTCTGGATGCAGCAGAGCGCTTGTTCTTCAATGGCTGGCAACTTGGTTCCGATCCTGAGATCCAGGTCCCCAACCTCGTCTCGAACCACCTCACAACCGGGCTTCTTAACTACATCCATACCACGGGTCGATATGCGTCAGGAATAAACTTGTTTGAAAAGCTGCGCACCAAGGATCCCGAGATATCATCCTTATTAGCGAGGGTATACATTGAGGCCGACGAGGAGGTCAAAGCGGTACAATTGCTGCACGAGGCCATACAGGATTTGCCCATGGACTACTCACTATTGGATTGCCAAGCCGAATTTTGCAACAAGAAGGGACGTGGCGACTTGGCCTTGGAGATCGCAAAGAGAAGCGTGGTCTCCGCACCCAGCGAGTTTGGAACGTGGGCCCGCTTGGCCGAAATCTACGTCAGTCTCGAGCAATGGGATCTGGCTCTGCTGACGCTCAACTCATGTCCCATGTTCACATACCAGGACAAGGACGCACCGCGGATGCCTGAGCCGCAGAGAGTCTTCTTGCCAATCATGCCCGAAGCAATCTGCGACGAGATAATAGACAGCCCCGTAGATGACGTCGAGCTCGTGCACCCTACACTCCGCAAGCTCCACGCCGCAGGCTTCAAGGGAACGTTCCTCAAAGCCTACATGCTCCTCACTGAAATCACAAAGAAGATCGGCTGGGACCAGCTGCTCAAGATACGGAGTCAAGTCTTCGTCATGGAAGAAGAGTACCGCAACGAGAAGCAGACTGCACCCCACGGCCAGACCACCTCACGTAACGCGAGCGTCACCGCATTGCGCTCGCCCTCTCCGACACCCAAGACCAATGGCGAAGTCCATGGCGAAGTCCATGGCGAAGTTGAAGAAACCTCATCTGATGCGGAGGAGGATGCGACAAACGGCGGTCCATCTTCATCTGCTCCACCTGCACTAGAAAAGCCCTCCCACACGGTCGCTTCCGAGGTCGTCAAGGCCGGCTCCGAGGACCCGCACCCTGTCACACCCTCGAATCCCAACCAGCAAAACTACACGCACTTCCACAACAAGCGTCTGTGTGAGCGCTGGCTCGACAATCTGTTCATGGTACTCTACGAGGATCTGCGCGTGTATACGATTTGGCGCACCGAGATGGCACAGTACCGATCGCAGCAGCTGCTATACAAGAAGTCAGCCGAGGAGTGGGAGATTCTGGGCGAGCTGGCGGAGAGACTGCATCACGAGGAGGAGGCGATCGATGCGTATGAGAACTGCTTGCAGATGAAGTTTAGCCCGAAGGCGATGAGGGGCGTTCTGAAGCTGGAGGATGGGAGTGGCGGGAACGTGAGGGATGTATGCGGGGCGTTGATCAGGTTGGTCACGTGGCAGTATCGGTGGTACTCTGAGGTATGTCTTCTCCAGTGTTGCGTGCAGGGAGGAGAACGCGCTAACATGGACAGTTCTCTCCAAATTTGCTGTACACCATTCGCAAACTCATCGAGGAAGAGGGCGCCGTCAAGATTAGGAGTATCATCCAGGGGACCAGCCTGCCGCAGCATGTGTTGGATCTCACGCACCAGTATGCGGCGTTGTGTGCTGCATTCAGGAGCAGTGGGAGTGACGGTTGAGCGATATATCAAGGTGCAGGGGGAAGCTTTACGGCCTTCGAATGTTGCTAATCACATCACAACGTCCATGTGCGGAGAGTTCTGTTCAGCGGACGAGTTGATAGAGGGATACCCTGGTACATGTTTAGTAGGGTATAAGAACGTTGTGACATCTGCTGAGGTTTCACGAAATGGAGCTTAGTGTCCATTGTCATGTCATCGCAGCACATTTGGCAATCCGCTGGCCGTAGGCTGACAGTCCGTCAACTTCATGCACATTCCTCATCCTCACAAGTCGAGCCGCTTTGAGTCTCGTCACAAGCTAGACGTGCTTGCAATCAATGTATTCATTTTTATCGTGACAAGATCCGAGTCCCATCAGGTCGCCCGTAGCATTTCATCATGCTTTCCCTCGCAATTCAATGAGACCCATGAACCGATATAAAAGCCCACGAATGAACACCATATGCCATCCACCACTCCATGCTGAACCAGACGCTCCGCACAAACGCGACAGCGGCGCGTTTAACGGTACGACTTCTGGTACCTGGCGCGGGCACCGGGACCACCGAACTTCTTGGGCTCGCACCGCCTGTTGTCGGCGACGAGGAGTGTGCGGTCGTACTGGACAAGGGCCTGCTTGAGCTGGTTCTTGGAGTGCTCATCGACGTATTTCTGGTAGTAGGCGATGATGGACTTGGCGATGGCTTGACGGATGGCGTAGATCTGCGAGGTGTGACCACCACCGGAGACGCGCACGCGGATGTCGACGTCGGCTGTGTCTGGTGTTAGTGGTGTCCTTGATTCCGTTTCTCCTTCATGCGGTTGTGGGTGCGCGTACCGAACTTGTCGAGGCCGAGGATCAGGATGGGCTCGTAGACCTTGAAGCGGAGCAGCTCGGGCTGCACAAGGCTGAGGGGCTTTCCGTTGACCTTAACGAGGCCCTTGCCAGCCTAGACATATCATCAGTATGATTGCCGTCACGGGTCCTGGCGTTCAATGTACCTTGCAGTGGGCGACGGCTGCGACATGTTAGCTGGGGTTCGCAATACGGCGCGCAAATGGTGGGGAATGCAGGAGCGTACCAGTCGCGGTCTTCTTCTTGCCGAAGCATTGCACGCTCTGGGTAGACATGGTGGGCGACTGTGTGGTTAGTTGCGTGCGGTGGTGATAGCGCTGTCGTCGTGGAAGCAAAGGTTCGTCGATGTCGAAAGTGTGGAAGTTGCAAAATGCTAAGCGAGCCAATGGGCGCTAGCGCGAGTTTACCGCAAAGCGTCAACCTTACGTAAGCCTGCAACCCTCTGAGAGCGATTCGACAGCGACTTCACCATTTCCTCACCAGCCTCATGTTTGTTTTGCTCATTGAGTGCGGAATAAGATCGCGTTCCGTAGCCGTACCGGAGACTTCCGTGCAGACGGAACGAAGAAGGGTCATACCCAATCAGTAGTCGACATGCCTTATCGACTGTATGTCTTCGGCAGCAATGGCGAAGGCCAACTCGGGATTGAAGCAGCGGATATAGTCCAGAATCCCACAATCGCGCATTCTTGGCCTGCAGAGAAAGGCATCAGCGCTCTCTGCGGTGGCGATAACCACACACTTGTCATTGCCTCCGACGGTTCGCTGCATCATGCAGGCAGTACTGAGAAGCTTCAACTGGGTCCCGTACCATCCGGAAAACCAACAATTTGTCATTTCCAGAGGACTGATAAGCTAGGTATCAACTTTTGCGCGGCTGCTTGCGAATCTTCTGCCTATATAAGAAATGGAGTCCCTAACATGGCCGATGGCTCAACCGTTACGATCGTCTCAATTGAAGGCACAGATCACTGGGGCGAGGGGGCCTTCAGCGCACTTGAATTACCTCAGACCACGGTTGACTTTGCTGCTGGTAATTGGCATTACGTTGCCATCATGTCCAATGGCGACGTGCTAGGCTGGGGCAAGTCTAGACTCGATCAGCTTGGGCCGAGATTGTCAGCACAGCAGAAAATCACGGAGCCTACCCTAATTAAAGAGGACATCCCCTTTCGACCTGTCAAAGTGGTGTGCGGCAAAGAGTTCACATATCTGGTCTCAGATCCTTCCACGGGCGAACACCATCTGCTCGGGCGAGACAAGTTCTCCCTACGTAGCTCCATGCCAGGAGACATCAAAGACTGGAAACAAATCGGAGCAACATGGCACGCAATATTTATCTTATTTCGAAACGGGAGCCTTACAGCCTGGGGTAAAGAGAACATGTGGAAGCTGTTGCCTACCGATCTACCCGCTATAGAACAGATGGCAGTCGGCAGCGAACACGTCCTCGCTTTGACCAGAGATGGAAAGCTCATCAGTTGGGGCTGGGGCAAGCATGGCAACTGCGGTAACCTGACAGAGCTTGGTGATGAGGTGAAGAATGATATGGTGAGCGGCATCTGGAACGAAATCGACATACCTGGGACGATCAAATTCATTGGTGCGGGCTTCTGCACGAGCTTCGTGCTTGCGGAAATTGTGGAACAATGACCTGATAGATCGATGAGTTGCGAATCAGACTCGTCAATGAGGCTGCTACGAAGCCTCGTGATCTGCCATTCATAAGCGACGAAGGCTGGGCCAACATAGTGCAACGCTCATAAAGTACTGACTCATCAGCATTCACGATCAGCATCCAAAACAGGATGCCCATCGCCTTTGATGCAGTCGGCGACATCATGTCAGTATGCCTTCTTATCAAGGACCTCGTCGACGCCCTTGACGAGGCACGCGGCTCTGAGGCTGAGTACCGTTCTTTGATTCGCGAACTCTGGATCCTTGTCCGAGCCCTTTTAAAGATCGATTGACTCACAAGGACCCATGGTAATGGAGCTACGCCCGAACTTCGAAGCTTGTGCGAAACAGCGCAACGAGCGGCGAACCAATGCAAGAGCTCGGTGGCGGAGTTCTTGGACCGAATAAAGAAGTACACGAAGTCATTTGAGGACGGCCAGAAGCCCAACATGATGAAGAAAGCAGTGATGGGAGTGAGATGGCGCGTGGGAGAAAGAGAGGCTGTGTAGCGGTTTTGCGTAGAGCTCGAGCTTGCAGATGCTATTGGCAACAGCCAATGCGTAAGGCTTCCGCTATGTCTTGAGACTGGATACTAAGAGTTACCCAGAACTTTGTCTGCTACCAATAACAAAGATGTCAAAAACCATCTGGACAGGATCGAAGAACAGAGAGAGCAGCGATTTGCAAGCCAAAATGCCTTGCTGCTCGACCGCATCGATGCAACAGATTACCAAGGGAAACATGGCTACAAGTAAGATTGCCTACGCCCTGAGGCCCGACTAGCTACGACGACTTGGGACTAACTTAAATTCACTCCTCCACAAGGTGATGGCCACGAATATTGCGACCTGCCATGCCATTGTAAATATACAAAATGCTCTCTCAAGCCGGCTCCAACGCACCCTCATTGAGGAGCCTTTCGTACTGGAAGATCCAATTGCCCGGATAGTGACTGTCCGCAATTCATTACGCCATGAGAAGCTTTTAATGCCGTGTTTGAGCTCCGCTTCCGCAACCTTGGGGGGTTCAAAAAGGTCTAAGATAGGCAGTATAGGCTTCAAGAGAAGGTTACAAGAAGAGGGGTTGACCAGACACGCCCTTATTAGAGAGCATTTCTACCTGGCCAGCGCATCGAAACGAGTTTCATTTTCCGTAGCGACGAGAGTAATGAAGCTACGCGCGAGGGCACCAACGTCATTACATGCCCGGGCTGCCAGGCTTCATCATTTGACGCGAGTGACAGTGATACACAGTGTTCAAACTCCTTGATGTGGTTTCGTCGAATTACTGTTGTCACAGAAATGGAACCGCCGACGCCGCCAGTTCCTTTACCGAGTCCATGGAGAACGACTGCTGCATTTCAGAAGCCAGGCTTTTCTGCACGATTCGGCGATACCCCAATGGGTGAGAAGCCGTGGATGGATCTGTGCCCTGGCCATAACAGGAAACTCATTGATGAGAAACCTTAGATACCTCATGGCTTTTAACTGCTCAGCTGCTGTTCATGACTAATAGTCAAAGACTGCCATTGACGTGTAGCCTTCGTTACCAACCATGAACGCCATGTAGCACCTTTCCAATCAGGGAACGTCCATAAAGGCGTGAAAAGGCCCGAGGCCGCGTAGGTTGGATTGTAGATCCAAAGACGTAGTATCTCCTCGAAAGTCTGAGTACACTGTGTTGCCCCACGGAGGCCAATACAATTTCTACATCTTTATATCGAGTAGGCGTGCCGCAAGACTAGACTACAACTTGATGTTTTCACGTGGGCTTGCGGTCGCCAAAGAAGCTGTGCTTCGGGATCGGAGCAAGCTTCGTTGAGAATAGGGATACTAGCTTCTGGTGAAGCTCCACCATTGCATTGTGTGTCAGTGCCATCGTGGCGAGTAGTACAGGCGGGTAGTGGAAGCAGTTGAGGTGGGTGTCCGCGATGGAGAAGGCAGCGGAACAGCAGCGGGCGACGTTTTATGGGCAATAGGTACGGGAGTTCAGTGCTCAGTAGAGTTACTGGGGAAGTATGACTGAAAGGGTTTCACCGGGCAGTGGGGAATGGGGCGCGCTCGAGGTCGAGGTTGGGTTGAGTCTGTCAATGCACTCAGTTTTTGGTGACCGTAGACTCACCAAGGTAACTGCACACGTCTAGCTTCTTAGAAAGCTACCGTGGTGAACAGAAGCCGGGCGCGCATTATACGTACATAAAAGTAGCCGTGGTAGCGCTGAATGCGACCACTCGACGGCGTCTCAACTCTCGTCGCCTAGTCCTCATGAGCACGACGTTTATAAAATTACTTTCCCTCAATGGTTCAAAACATTCCATCGATGCCTTAAAGTATGCATCGAATTGATACATGCTTGTGGTATGGTAGCGTCTATAGGCCACGTCTATGATGGTCTTGAGATGGGAATGAAGGAAAGTTATCGTATCGGCCATTCCAGCGAGAGCCAGAGTAGCAACGATAGCCGGAGCAGTAACGGCGACAGCAGAGACGAAGGCCGATTGAACGATGAGAGTGAAGGTATATCGTAAGCTTATAAGATCGCAGCAAGTCAATATGATACGCGCTGATACAACGCAGCTTTTGACAATGACTCGAGAACCTTGGAAGGTTTCGATGTCTGATGAAAAGCCAAATTGAAGAACATCGAAGCCAGCTCTGGTACGTTCCTGCCAGTTGAGGGGCGAGTGATCATTTCTCAGACAACCGCCATTGGTCTTTTACTTTAAACCTTCACTACATGCAACGCAAATGCCCAGACAACGACCCGAGAAACGTGAAACAGCTCCACTACATATATCAATTTGATCTGAATGTCTATTAACTACTCAAAATGACGTATGGCTTGACATTCATGCGAAGTTTTTGGAAACCAGTCCGCTTATCGTCAGATATGTGGAACGTCATGGGTTCGACCCCCAGCTGGCTCTGACCTTAGTAAAGGCCTTTCCTTGACCGCTCGAGGCGCCGATAGGATTGGCTGGAGCTAGGGGATAAGGGTTCGGCAGCCTTAACGCCACTTACGACCTTCCTTGACCGTGCGCATGCGCTGATGGGTTGATACGAGCTGGGAAGGGGCCTTAGTTCACTTCTAAGCAGCCTCAGTAGGTTCTGCCCTCGCCGAACAGCTTAGGCAGCTGGGCAGTGAGTCTCAAGCGGGCCGAAACGGGAGGCTTAGGGGTGTTAGGTTTTTTTTTTTCTTTCTTTTTTATCCTTTCTAGAAGTATCCATCAACACTGCTAACAACTGTTATACAGTGGAACTATGCGATCTTTCCTATCGATAGGATCTCGATTCTGAGTTGACTGGGGGCTGCACATGAGCTAAAAGCTAAGTACGAATTTTTGGCCGCAATCGTCGTGTACCTTACGGGCACATACTACTTGTCTCTTAATATGACGCAGCACTCAACCAGCAGAGGTAGACAGTTTTCGTCTATCTCAAGCGCCGGCACAACCTGCCTTGTTGTGTTGGCAGCCCATCGGTCCCTTCCACTCTCCATTCATCACTGCCGACTCCCGTCACAGCATAAAACACGTCCCAGGGATCTCTGACCTTCTTGATACCCAACAACCTGTTGTAGTTACTTCCATAGAAACTTTCCTGGAACCCAGGCTCTTCGGTGTCGGCCTCGTTCATGTACGCCCCGCTGCCTGGAGTCGCATCGCGCCATTTCTGCGCGTACGCGTTGAGCCTGGCATGGCTCGCAATCATCTCTTCCGCCGTACGCTCGGGCCCGTAGCTACCTGTATCGAAGCCTGTCGCATGCATGATAGCATTTCGCAGATGCGGGTTGACCGCAGAGTCTGCGCCCGGGTAGCCCGCTGTTGCATAAGACGGGTGATAGTCGACACTGTGGAAGCTGTAGTGCCCCTCTTCGACCCAGATTCGTATGGCAGCCATTGCTTTGAAAAATTCGGGCGAGCTTGGGTCCTCGAAGATGGAGCGCGGAAAGAGGCGCGAGGCGAAGCGGCCATTGCCAACCGCCTCGCCGGGACCATTGGGCCGAAATGAATATGAAGGGTAGGTCGGCCACCAGCCGACAGTAGCTTTGATGTCGATTCCAACGTCGTGTAAGTCCTGCACGATTGGAGCGACAAAATCGCTGAAGTCATTAGCGGACATACCGGGCATGATCACTTGGCCAGTGAACGAAAAGATTCGTTCAGTCCTGTTGAAGATGGGGTTGGGAGCTTGAGTGGAGAGACTGTTCCAACCGATACCTTTTGCGTCATTTATTCGTACGAGATGCGCAAAGTAGGCATTGATCCCATTCCAGAAGGTTTCGTTCGTGGCCTCCGCGTACGCAGTTGTGTTGTCCACCCATTCAGCAATGTTCGCTTGCTCAAAGTTTACGCCTGTTTGGAAATTGAAGTTCATCCGAGCAACAGAGATAGAATCATGTGCTTTGACAATGGCTGATGTGACGATACCGTAGTTGCCTGAGAGGTCGTTAACATCGAAAGCCCCAAAAAAGATGACAATAAAGTATACTTACTCGGACCCCCTCCTCGGATGGCAAAGAAAAGGTCTTCATTTTCCTCCACATCTGCGTGGACAAACCTTCCATCCGCTGTCACAAGCTCCAATGCCAGTACTTGATCGGCCATGAGCCCAAATTTGGAGGAGATATATGAAAATCCTCCTCCTTGCATGTAACCGCCGTATGCGCCGACCGTCGAGGAACCAGGAGCAAGTAGGGTAATGTTGTTTTCCTCCATGTGGGGAAACAGTTCGTATTGCTCCAGGGCTACGCCTACCCTGGCGGCCTTGCCCTCATATTTTCCAATCTGCACGGATGGCAGGTATTGAAAATCTTTCAAATGATGCACATACACTTGGAGCGCACCACCTCCAGTGTTTCGACCGAGGTAATCGTGACCTGTGTTCCTGTAATTATCAGTAAATATGGCACTACATTGGAAATTTGCCATACTTGATGGTAAGCCGGATGTTATGGTTTCTCGCAAAGTTAACAGCGAGCTGAACCTGCTTTACCGTTGAAACGATTACCACATAGGCCGGGAAATACTCGATATGACAAGCAGAAAGAGGCGGAATGGTGGTGTTAGAACTGGGAGGCGACGCTCCAGGTACCGGGCAGGGGTTTCCCAGAGTCCACTGGTTGAATGGTATCAAGGGATCTTCTCTCCTACACTTCAATCAGCTCCAGTACGGAACTAGGAAAGGTAAGCTAGCATACACAAATAGCGAGCTTCTAGATTGTTGTCGCCAAGCGGCACACTTGGTGGTATTCTCGTAGATTCCAGAATAGCAAGCTGCTGCAGGAGGGATGGCCTTGAGCAATGCTCCCCCTAAGCTGGAATTGAAAGCATTCCATCGATCGAGAGTCGGCCAGTTGCTATCACCTGGGAAGGTCTTGCATTCTGCTTTGATGTCACCTGGTAATTGACCAAACTTGATGTCTGAGTTGTTAGCAACGTCATCGTCAGTGAGCTGTACGCTTTCATATGGGAAATTGTATGCGACAATGATCTTAAACGTAACGAAGAGACTGAGACGAACGCCGAGTGACACCATTCTGATACCTGCGTAGAGACCAGAGAAAATGCGCTTTGGAAGCACCTAGATCTGAGGAAGCCGTTTTATATCTGCAATTTTCCCACGCGAGCGTCCTGCTCCGGCCTCCTCTGTAGAGTAAAAGATTATTGTATTTGCGAAAAGGGCTAGCAAGAAAGATACGGACGGTTACAATGCAGCGCCTACCCCATTCAGTGCATGATTATGCCCGGTGTCTGGGCATGCATCGCAGCCTTGGTATACTAATCTTCCCGGTGCGACATGAGTCTCCCAATCTATTAGGCGCCGTAGGGATTTTCTACTGCGCATCAGAAACATGCAGTGTAGGCATTATGCATTTCAAAAAGTCCATTGGTACGGGGAGTAATACCGAGAGCGGCGCGAGAACACGATATGTTGGTATACACAGGTTCGGCACTGGACGTGCGTCCTTTGCCGTATTCCCGCACTTTAACCTGCATACCCAAGGTCGTATATGCCGATCTCGTACCAGCGCAACGGAAAGGTGTGGTCAGGCAGACAGTAGACCTGCTTTGATGGTTCGATGAAGCTTGGAGAGGTGGTGAATGACAAATTAACTCGGTGCATCCCATAAAACTGCCGATATGGTACATCGCCAAGGTAGGAAAGCCAGGTCAGCGGAAGAGAGAGCCACGTTATGCCCATGGCTCGACCAGATGCCCGTTCAATTCATTTGGAGGAGAGTGGACATGTCATAATACGCTTCGTGAGTCGTTGATGAAGGGAAGGAAGACTGCACGCGCCGATCTACCTCAGGCTCTCTAGCGTGTGCCTTATTAAGCCGAAACCATCTCTCGCGACCTTCGGCAGCCTCAACACCTCAGCCAGTGATGTTATATGCATCGATCGAAATTCCATCTACAATTGCATGCCGGACGTACTGCAGCGTCTGAAAAGCCTAGATTTACGTAATGACTTCGAGCAATGCTCGCTCTTCTCGGCTTTCTCGGCCTTCACGGTCGACTGCCCTCGCGTTCAAGTCACTGTCGGACGTGTCCATGAGGAAGATCCCTAAAGAATCCTCATTAGGCAGCAATTTCTGATACTTGTCCGCGATTCTCCGCATGTCGGCTCTTCCTCCGGCCGAACATGCGACATCGACTATCCCCAATAGCTTGACTATAAATATGCAGTGTCCATGGAGTAGACTCACACAACTCGATTCGTCACAATCTTAAATCATCTGTTTGCAGAATACCCATAGCAGAACACCGCAAGCAAGCCGTAATTCCCAAAAGCCCCATACATCCGTCATGGACGCCCTCATACCCCAGATCCGCACTCTCTACGCCAAAGCCGACGAGCAAACCCGCTACAAAATCCAACAAGACCTCCGCGACCTCCAAACCTCGTTCGACAACGAGTGGAACCTCGTAATCAGGATCGCATCTGGCGTACACTCCTCGCTATACCGCTATCGGACTACCCTTGACTAACACTCCTAGTCCCTCCAAATGCCCCTCGTGAAAGTCGGGACTGATCTCTCCCTCTTCACCACCCTTTCTTCATCCAAAGGCCCTCTTGCCATCTCCACCCTCGCAACAAGCACGTCTGCAGCCCCCAAAATGCTCTTCCACCTCCTCCGCGCCATGGCAGCCTTCGGCCTCATCGATCAGCCCTCAGCCGACACTTTCGCCGCGAACCAGACTACACATGCGCTAGCTGATGTTCACGTCTCCGGCGCGATAGCGCACGCGTACGACATCCATCTGCCCACTGCGTACGCGCTCCCGGCTTGGCTTGCAGAGAACGAGTATCGGGACATGACTGACAACAAAAACCTGCCATTCCACAGGGCCCTGAACACCGATCTGACGCCGTTTGAGTGGATGAAGCAGCATCCTGAGCAGATGGCGTCGCTAGGACACGCAATGGCGATTCAGAGGGAGGGAACCTGGGTGGACTCGTACCCAGTCGCGTCTGCTATAGGCGATTTCCAGGCCGCAGCTGACAGCGCGTTGCTCGTTGACATTGGTGGCGGTTTCGGTCAGCAAGCGCTTGCCTTCAAGAACAGCGTCACTAGTACGGCGGGCAGAATCATCGTGCAAGACGTGCAAGCAACCCTCAAGAGCGCGCCCGAGGTTGAGGGACTGGAATTTCAAGAACACGATTTCTTCAAGGATCAACCGATCAAGGGAGCTAAATTTTACTACTTAAGACATATTCTACATGACTGGACGGACGAGGACAGCATCCGGATCCTGAAGGCAGTAGTCCCAGCTTTGGGACCTGACTCACGCATTGTGATCGATGAGGTTGTCTTGCCGGACGCACAGCTGCCATGGCAGGCTGCGTATAGTACGTGTATGGAAATATCATTCGAGAAGAACCCAAACTAATTCTTGGAAAAGTGGACCTTACAATGATGGCATCGTTGGGCGGGGTCGAACGGACGAAGAAAGAATTCGAGACGTTGCTAGACGCAAGTGATCTACGAACACTCGAAATTCATCGGTATGACGCAAAAATGCAGAGCGTTATCATCGCAGCACCGAAGTAACAATGACGCGATGTCGTCTGCGCTTTGCTACCTCTTGTTGAGCTCCTCTCCGCTCTGCCCATGTCTTGCCGCTCCAACATTATTAGCCCTGTAAACAATATATGCTCTTTGTATAACTGTATAAGAGATTTTTCTGGTCATTGTTCCATGGTTCCTCCAGACTCATTCGATCTACTCGATTGACACACACGACAGCGTACGATGGAAGAGCGTGAAAGGACTGAACCGATGAGCTTGTAGCCCCGCTCAACGCCGGTTGAAGTCGCGCGCACGATATCGGTCATCTCGAGATCTTCCTGTCATGGGATGTATGCCATCACCACGAAAATCGGGTCGGTGTTCGGAACGAAGGTGTTGATCAGATGATCGCGATTGTTTGTGGGGATCACTTTCGTACCGAGCTGATCGAGATACTTCATAGAAGTGTCGTGTGTCACGGTGCCGATACTCGCGCCCCTGGTAGTCAGCCCAGGATCGGCGCTCAGTGTCCTTGCGGGCGTGTAGATCAGTTCCTCCACGGTGACGGCGGTCGTCTCCACGATATCGAATGTTGTCACAATTGCTCTGTCGGTCATGGTGGGACCTACGGGGTGATGCGGAACGATCTCGGCGATAAGGGTGGGACTCTGCATGAGACCACTCATGAAGAGAATCGTCTCGATAGGGACGGCGTTCGTCTCTAAGTCTCGAATCGATACGTCGGTCGCGGTTACTATAGTCTTCGATGTCCTGCCCCTCGTTCTGATACCTCGCCGGAGCCCGATCACGCTCGCTGTCGCTAACGCGGTCTTTCCTCCTGACTGACGCACAGGAGGGATGAGCTCCACGAGGATACGTCTCGGTCCATTGTGTCAGGAAGGTTGCTGACGACCTTCCTCTACCCAGCACATCATTGCGTGCGCTGTCGCGCCGGTGATCGCGATCTTCCCAACGGCCAACTTTTTTGCATTCTTCACGACGCCGGTAAGGAGACGGGATGCGCTTACGCTTTCGAAGGGGATCCTCGAACACATCAATGTTACCTGTCTTTTTAGTTCTCGTGAAAAGGCTTGGATCGTTGCGAGGTGACGAGGGGCGTTGGAACGCTCTAGCAGCGTTACGTCCAAAATCTTGCGCCTTACTCGGGAGTTGCTTGAGAGGGGCCAAGACCTCTCGACCTTCTGGTGTATGCTCCGTCGACTGCGATAAACCTATGGCGTCGAGCGCAACGTCTGGCTTTGGCTTCTGGATACCAAGTGCGGGTGTGTCCACGGACGCAACTTGCGCGGACGGCTGCTGATACCCTGACGGATCCGGGCTACGGTCAGCTGAAGCATTGGGTGAGAACACTCTTCTGAGTTTCCCGAGGGGTTCCAGATTCGCCGCAGATGCTTGAGGGCCCGTGCCGCTCTTGCGACGATACTGGCGTGACTCTTCATCGATTTTTCCCGTTGCAATGGAAGTGTAGTCTTTTAATTTACTCTTTTTCGCCGGTAATCGCTTTGGATCAGGCCAGTCTAGTTTCCGCTGCTCGCTAACCATACGAATCGACTGCTCCCGCGTGTCGATCTCATGCAGAGAATTTGGCATCGAAGGTTTTTTCGGAAGGGGTTTGAACTTCGCTTGCCATTCCTGGGCCAACGCGAGAGCTCCACTGGTCTCGAGGCGTGTTCGCGGAGAAGGAGCTCTCTTTGTGGGATCCTTGGTCCCTTTCACGCTCCGTATGTTTGCGATTGACCCAGTCATAGTGGTCCTCATCGTCGAAAAAGGCGCCTCCGCGTTTGGTGGGTGGGAAACGCCTGGCTCATCGACCTGCGCCGGAGCGGTATCTGACCATTTCGCGTTGAGCTTAGACTCGGTGTGGCTGGTAGTTGTCTGTTCAGTACTCAAGAGCGGAGCGCTACGGCTGTCCTTGGCACCAGAGGAAACTGGAGCCATGTCGTTCACGCTTCTAACCTCATGGACATGTGACGCGCATGCCTCCACGCTAGAGGAATCCGCCAGGTTTTCGAAGCGCCTGCGCTTTCCGAGAGGCTCAAGGTTTGCCGCGCTGGCTTTAGGACCTCCGCCCATCTTGTAAAAAGTGAAGTTGTGATGTGGAAGAGGTGGCCCGTCGTAGTAAGTTCCCTTGAGTGGACCGCAGAAGTTGGTTGAGCTGGCGCGAAGGTAGAGAAGGAAACGGGGAGGTGGAAGTAACGCGACGGTGAAGCGCCAGTTGTGACGTGTTTTAGGACAATAAGGAAAGTACGACTCATTCACTTCCTCAACACAGTATGGATTCGCTCACGATTTGCTAATATATTCACATTTGCTTTGCGCTACACTAAAGCCAGAGAACAAGAACTGTACTAAAATCTCGATGGTTGCGACAACTCGCCCGACGAGGAAGACTGGTCAAGCCAGTATTTGTTTGGAGAGGAGCACGAAGCAACCTCCTTTGCATCCAGCCTGTCTCTAAAGACTACCGTCGCCGTAGTGCGGGTCTTCGATGCATGATATGCAGTCTCATCTAGCGGTCTTCTCAGATGTAGACAACCAGCGCACTCGCCGGTTGTCTCTGACTGATTACATTTCTAGGCCGAGGATCTGGAGATTGCCTATGATTCTTCCCACTCAGGGAACCTACCACCCACTTGGAAAGAAAGTCCCTTTTGACCAGGGCAAGTCTTTACAGGTTTCGATGCGCGTGTCGGGTTGGTCCAGGTCTAACCCACGCCCGCAAGTTTACGCAAAATCCAATGAGCTGCAGTGAAAAACCCCCCGATTTTCAGAAACATTGAGGCGTGATCCGCCAACCGAACCGTCGGTGTTGAACCGCGCCATAAGAGACGCAATGCGAGCGTACATGCATACGAACTGAAAGACAAACCTTCAACGACGACTAGGGCAAAGTCAACATCAATACACCTTTCCCAAAATAAAAAAAATAAAACAAAAATAAAATCCAAGGACAGGACTATATGCCAAGCTCATCGAACAACGGAATGGCCGGAAATCTAGTCTTTGAAGAATTGTGACTTTCTCCTGAACTGTGCGCGGCTCATTGTCTCATTGACGTCATTTCTCTTCTTCTTCGCGGACTCGTCTTCGCTTCCGTCATCGATGAAGTCGCGGGACTCATCGTAGTTGGATTCGATGACCATGTTTTTCCGCTTAGGCTTCTTCTTATCGGACCCGCCAGCCTCTAGGGGGCTGTGAGTCTTACGCTGGCGGGTACCAGAGCCAGATGCCTTTTGATCTTCCTCGGCGGCAATCGAGTCCTGGTGCTGATGTCGAGACCTCTTTTGCGCGGGCTTCATCTCTTCCTGTTCGTCTTCTTCGTCTCGCTGGCGCTTGATACCCTTTGACTTAAGCTTGGTACCCTGCTCGACATCCTTCGTGAGAGAGACCGAATGTTGACTAGCAGTCTTTGTGGTATCTTCTTCCTTCTTCGATGCTTTGTTGCCCGGAGCAGTAACCCGAGCTTTCTTATGCTCTGGTTCCTGCTCTTCCTCGGCATCCCTCCCTCGCTGGTGCTTTTTACTTTTTGCTACCAGGGGACGGGATGACTGTGCGTCAGCTGCAGCCGTGGCTGGGTGTTTGGAAGGAGAAGGTAGCTCAGGAGTTGACCCTGTAGAGGTTCCAGCCGGGACTGGGGCGGATGCTCTCTCGATCGCGATCGGGCTGCCATCGTGTCGAGCCTTCTTTGGTAACGGCTTCGCTTCGTTCTCAACCTCTTCATCCACGTCGTTCTCTCGCTGACGCTTAGTCCGCTTCCGTAAGGATGGAGCATCGTCGCGATCATGCATAGGTGACTTAGCCAGTGGACGTATCGAACGCTCGCGCGAATGGAATTGTGATCGCTGCGGGCCACCCGTGCCCCCCGCCACAAGCGTCCGAGCGCGGAAATCTGCGATCTTCCTAGCGATATATATATGATCGTCAGTCATTTCAGGGCGCAATACCGCACCAATGCGGTTGGCGATGCGGAGCAAGATCTTGTGCTGCGCTTCCGGCCGAAGCTTAGCACGAAGCGCATCACCATCTGGCGTCTGCGGAAAGGAATCGGCCAATACTCCTGTGAGTAGGCCATACTCGTAGTTGCTATTCGAGTTGAGTTGAAAGCCTAGCATCAAGGTTTTGAGCTTATTCTTCACCCACAACTGACGCAGCACTGACTGTTCGAGAGCTAAAAGCTGGGTGGAGTATTCCTCGTCGTTGGCGGTGAGAATCTCGACGTAATCCTTCAGCTTGTCAGATTTCTGAACCTCGAGACCTCGTGTTGTGAGTTCGTCCCGAAGTCTTTCCAGTCGAACAGCAATGGGTCTATCCTTAGAACGCAAGTGGGCCGGGTCATGGTACACCCGCGGGACAACAGGGCGGGGGTTTGAACGAGATCGAGTGAGTTTTATGTCACGGCTTCGTTGCGCAGGCTCCTCAGCCTGACGCTGCGGAACCGAGACAGCGTGCTGGTGGGGCTTTGATGAGGTTGCAGGCACAGGGTTTTGTGTAGCTGCTTTTAGGGCCTCAGCGCGCGGAAACCCTCCATGGAAGGCATGAGGTGGTGTGGTGACTGCCTCTGAATCTTTGCATGACTGGGACACCTATATGATATATGTGAGTTGAAGTGCCTAGGCCGAGGAGATTTCAACTGACCTTGTGGGAAAAGTTCGGTGTGGTGCCCGGGATAGGGCCAGAGACAGGCGCGGGTTTGACCTGGAAAGCTGTCGCCTGGGAGAAGATCGCCGCCACAATGCCAAAAATACCGGCAGCGGACGCATCACCGGTTATAGACGGCGAAAATGCTGTGGGCGGGGCGTTGGCAGTGGTGGCCTGGCGCTCAGCCTTATTCTTTGCCTGTATGAAGTGTCAACACGCGGGGGGTTTGAACCTCCTAGCTATACTGACCATAAACGCCTTGTACTCGGGCGAACCGAACTTGAGCTTCTTCTCAGGTTGTTCGGACATAGTACCGACTGTTCTGGAAGATTACCTGAGGGAGTTGCGGATGGTGTGTAGCTAGCTAGGTCGAGGCCAGTTGCGCGGTCAAGGGCCGGGTGTGCGAGGAGAGGCTGCAACACCGTGCCAGACAAAAAAAAGGGCAAGCCGAGAAAGGTTGTTTGACTCAGGATGTCAGACGTGCGTGTGTCTGTGTGCTGGGGCAGAGTGCAGCTGGTGAAATGAATGAAGAGAGGCCTTCCGGTGCTCAATTTGTCTGCTTGATTGCGAGAGCGCTGTGAAAGAGCGCGCTCGAGCCTCGCGCAGCGCCCTTTCCCCAGAGGGAGGCGCGAGAGGGTTAAGCTTGGGCCTTAGCATTGATGCAGCACTCATCAGCCGGAGCGAGGGTTGAAAATGAGAGTATGGTTTGTTTCAGGATGGTCGAACATATGGGATGTTCTCCGCCGATGGAAGACATATAATGAGGAAATATAGAATAACCTATAAGCCTCGAAGGAATATTACATGACTTGGCTTAGCTGTATATAGACATGGAGGCAGACTCTTTCTGATATCCTATCGGAGAATGGTACAAACTTGCTACACGCACATGAACAATAGCTTCATGCATTCGCAAACAACGGAAGTCTGACTGTAATGTACGTGAAAACCATATCAACTGCGTTTAGATTAAGCATCACATAACGAAAAAGGCAGCCAGTTGTGCCTCAAAAGATGATTCAGAGAATTCTATCGGGGTACCGTAATAATTATTGCCCAACAAATGCAAACTCCAACTCCATTTGGGATGTCACCCCGGGTGTCATTTCATAAGTGCTAGAATCAAACTTTCCGCTTGGCTCGAACATTTACCACCCTGTCTTAACTCACAACGGCATGTACCTACCTTAGCTAACAGAGAATTTGAATTTCGAGGGAACCATACATCACCCTGTCTTAAATCACACTGGCTTGGTACCCGCACTTTTTGGGTACAAAGACAGTCTATAAGCGTACTATGTGCGAGGGAAAGCAGCTTGTCGACAAATGTGAACGGCAAACATACGGTCGAAGACTCTAGTACGCAACCGTGACGTACTTTCCAAATTCGTTTTCCTAGACCTTGACTAAATTAGCTTCTTATCGTCGTCGCTCTCATAGTCGGTGTTCTCATCCATGGACTCGAAGCCGTCGTAGTCGTTCTCCTCATTTGTCTCCATATCGGGGGACTTTGACTCATAGCCACTATCTTGAGAGTCTTCTTTCATGGGCTCCTTGAAATCGTCATCCTCATCAGAGGAATAAGAGGAGGAAGAGGACGAAGAAAAGGAGTCTATGTCAACTTCCATCTCGGCCAAGCCCAAGCTAGACACCCAGGAGCTCAACCGCTGCCTCAGCACGAAGTCGCTCATCCCCGCAAGCGCATCTGGCGTCGCGATGCCAGCGGCGACAGCTTCATGCTCCTGCTGAAGGCGCGTGATGTCGTCGATGCGGTATTGCATTACGAAGGTGTGCCCTTGTCGAAAGTAAATTGCCTCTGCGAGTTGGTGCACGATTGGGCCAGACGCGATGGCGTTCATGATAGAGGACATGGTGGATTGGAGATCCTCTTGGCCGGTGAAAACTTGGGCCGCGAGGTCCATTAGCTCGTCGAAGTTCTTGGCCTTCAAGGCCGTGAGCTGGTTGCATGCTGGGATGGCGGCAGCAGCAGGGAGAGAGCTAGCGTTGCTGGTGGAAGGAGCCGAGTAGAGAGGGTGGTTGAAGGCGGTGATTTGAGACATGATGATGGTTTGGGAGAGGTTTGAGAGATGGTGGGTGTAGTGGTGTTATCACGAGTGGTGAGGAGTTGAAGGGGTAGTGGTTGTGGGAGTAGCTGTGGGCATGTGGGTGTTTTGGAAGAGGCTTTGAAGACGGTCTTCAGTCGTGAAGTGGTGTGAATTTGGGATGGAGAGAACCAGATGTGGACGACGTTCGATAGGATTATATGTGCTGTGGAGCTGTGTGGGCTGTTGAGATCAGAATTTTTCGCTACCATAGCATCAGTGTCACGATAGCCGTTGAGATCACGTCTTTCGCTACCGCAGCTCCAGTTTCACGATGGCCGTTGGGTCAAGATCGAGCACACCTGTATCATGGGTTTTTTTTAGGCCCCTGAATTGTACTAGGAGGTACCATCGCAAGCTTGAGCGCATTATAAGTCTTCCACCATCCACCATGATGATAGGTCGAGTTACCCCAAGATATACTGCAGCAAGTCAGGGTATACGCAGATGTTCGCTCCTCTACCGGTAGACTAGGGGAGGCGTTAGAGATAAGAAGTCAGGAGTGGATCCCCGATCCAAGGGTGAAGCGATAGCCGTTGGAACAGTACCAGCGGAGGAATCTGATCCAAGTCCATCTGGGCTGCGGTACCAGACTCTTAGTTCAGCAACGGTCACAGCAGAGGCCCCTCAAGATTCCACGCCTTTCGATGCTGATCTGGTCAGGCCTTGGAAGCAGTTCTGTGCGCCTCTGTTCTCAACCAGTCCACGTATACCGGCACAGGACCAGCGCAAATCTTCCCACACATTCCGCGCCCACCTATCGATTGATCCCGAGAGCGCTCGCATTCATCAGTGAACTAACGTCTTGGAGGAGCCTCCTGGCCGTCGCCGCTAAACGTTGGTAGTTGCCATGTAACACTGGCCATTCCAAGCAGGCACACACTGGAAGCAACGGCTATAGCGTGATCAGTGATAACGAGACGCCAGCACACATCATGGAAGTGACGGCGAGGAAGGGTAGATTTGCGATGAACACGAGGGTTAAGATAGGGGCGCTGTAGGGCATGTCTTCGTCCCGTGCGGGAAGGAACTTCCAGATACATGGTACCGCGGATTTATAGCTGCATTCTCGTGCGGGCTCTGTCCTAGCTCAAGTCTCTCGCTGTCCCAGACCATCTCGTGCATGCAGTTCGCATATTGAAAATAGATAGCCCGATTCTGCAATTTCGATGGCAAAGACTTGGGTGCTGGTAGAAAGCCGAGCACCAACGTAAAGCTTTGACGTCGAAAACGCCGTTGTGTGTCGTCGATAACAACCTTGGATTACTCTGGCCCATGTGTCCCCACGGCTGTAGTGGACCCTTCGTGGACCCTTGGTTGTCGTTGTTGGAACCGGGCACCGGAGAAACATGAGCTCCGACAACTTTGGACCCGCGGCCTCGGCGTTTGGCGCGAGACAGCTTCTAGACACGCAGCATTCACTTGAACCCCGCGCACACGACGCCCGAAGTAGCTTTGCTTTTTGACACGACTTTACGACCCTGAACCTGTAATTCATAACGCCCTTATTCGATCCACGACAATCTCCCTACTATCCGCATACCCAGTTCACACGCCCCTGTAGCACCGCAGTGACGCGAGCCGCAACAAAGACGAGACGAATACACGTAACTCTGGGACAATATGGGTGGATACATTTCCAAATTCAGCGCTCTCATCTGGTCCAAGAAGGAGATTCGGATATTGATCCTTGGGCTGGTATGCGACCCTCCTGCACCACAGGCGGCGTAGGCGCTGATTACAAATGGGAATAGGACAACGCGGGGAAGACCACACTGCTGTACAGATTAAAGGTGAGAGACGCTTTCCCAAGGTGTAATCGGGCTCTTGTACTAATACAAGGGCTAGATTGGTGAGGTTGTCACCACGATACCCACGATCGGCTTCAACGTGGAGTCGGTCACATACAAGAACCTCAACTTCAATGTCTGGGTACGCTCCAAGCATTTAAGACCTACCTGACATCCAGCCTTGCTCATTTCGTCCAGGATCTCGGAGGTCAGACCTCGATCCGACCATACTGGCGGTGCTACTACGCCAACACCGCTGCCGTGATCTTCGTCATAGACTCTACCGATATCGACCGTCTCTCGACCGCTTCCGAGGAGCTATCCGCGATGCTCAACGAGGAAGAGCTGCGGGACGCTGCCCTGCTGGTGTTTGCGAACAAGCAAGATCAGCCAGGGGCCAAGGGCGCCGGCGAGATCAGCGAGGCGCTGCGGTTAGGAGAGCTAAAAGACCGGAACTGGAGCATAGTCGCATGCTCGGCTGTTGACGGCCGGGGTGTTGACGAGGGCATGGATTGGCTTGTGGTAGGTGCAGCGACACTCTTGCGGGACACTAGATGCTAACAAACTCAGCAAACGGTGAACCAAGACCAGTAGGCATGCGGTGACATTTGGGCATGGCGTAATTTGGAAGAGGGTATGACTTCGAGTCCCCAGCATGGCGGAGTTCCGGCGTTCGCATAGGCAGCGGTGGGCAGCGTTTGGCACTTGGCCGGAACAATGCAAGTACCACGTATATATCCCCTATATGATCCGAACACTATCAAGCACCCACCATCCTTCATGTATCTCCCTTTGATCTCGTAGGCACCTTGGGCTATTTCTAAGCACGCATAAGCTCTTCCACATGAACGTTATAGGTACTGAAGATGAGGCAAGGAGGCAAGGAACCGGGCATTCGATAATCTCTCGTGGTCTTTTGGAGGGGAGGCTCACAATTGTTAAGCAATTGGAGGATGATCGCGGTGCACCGGAAATGACCCGGTCGGATAGATGCGTGAACACTTGCTGTGTCCCGTGTGTATATGGAGGGACCTATGAGGAGCACGGCGAGTCGTCTAGACCATTCGGTATGATGATCGCGGAAAAAATTAGCAGGGACTAGGGGCGCGGTCTCTGTTGCTGGGCGGAACAGGACGTACCCGAGCGGCTACTCCTCTGTTTCACGCTGAATGAAGTGCCGCAGCATAGTGAAAACATGTTCGATGGTGCGGCGAGCTGTGAAGGCAAGACCGAGCTCGAGCATCTCAAGAAGGCTCGACTTGTACAGACCGCACCTCCCTCGTTCAACCTCACCCGATCGCACAAAATGACTGTTGCGACTGACACCAACAATCTCCGCGAGGCTGTTGCCCGCCTTGAGGCGGAAGCTAGCTCCACCGACGACACTATTCGGCGTCCTGCTACGCTTATATCTCAATGAACAGCTTTACTCGATATACGATCTAATCTGGCGAAGGACCGCAGGCAAATCTAGTCGGACCCGGGTGTCGGCAGGCTTGCTTTGGAATGGGAACAAACTACATCAATTAGTCGAAGCAGAGACGGTCACCTTTCGGCTTCGAAAGCGATGATTGCATGAAGCGCTTTGTCGCAGCGTCTGCGATTCTGGAAGACATGGGTTTCTATTGATAGATACTGCGATCGTCTGCGAAGCAAGCTTGAGATATACAGTGTGTTTTCCAGAACTGAAAATAGTACAAACCGTCGGAACTGTGCATATAGGTAAGAATAATGTCGAAATCCTTACGAAGAATGGCATTCAAGTTCCTTTACTCTTACGTTCATTTTATCTTATATACTTAACAACATGATCTAGACAGCCTTCCACCGTACTCAGCGGGAGGTGTAGATAGGCCAAACGAAAGTCATCCTAGCCACGGAAGAGCAGGACTTGACGGTGCTTAAACATCATCACGACGCTACGACCAAGATCACGTCAATTTCCCGTTTTGCAACCGGCGTCCTGTTGACACGCAAAGCGGCCGTTACCATCCTGTATAAGCCAACGAACCCCGAACAACTCCAGGGAGCGGGACAATACTGGGCTCAAGTCTTGCGTATGGATAAACGTTAGAACAACTATAACAGTGGCGATACCTTCGTCTTGGAAAGAGATACGTAGTCCTCAGTAGTCGCTAATCGACGAGTAGGACACCATAGACTCGGACCCGATCGACCCTGCTGGGCTGTGCATCCAGGTGTGCTTCAGTGAGCTTGATGAATACACAGCCCCCCTAGGATCTCAAGTAGAACTAATCGGATATGGATGAATGGCTCCAGTGGCTCTGCGAACCTTACATTCTCCAGGTTCTCCTCCGACCATGTCTCTAGACGATTAAACTTCGTTTTTGCATAGCCTTCTCCAAATCTCAGCCATTGTTCTGCCCTCAGCTAGATCGAGTACGCCATTAACCACCCGCACGGTCCGTAAGTCAGTGTCAGTTCTTATATTAACACTACCGAAATGATCCAGCTAGACTTGCTAGCGTACACTTCTTTATTCCTGTGCGTCCCGGCGCTGTCCATCGGCTTGTGTATGAGGACGAGGAGGATCAATTAACAAGTCTTTGGTCCTCATCTGCCTATTATGGATTTGAGAAGATACGTAAGACAACGACATTTCAAGAATGGGTTTGGCACCGGCGAAGACAGGAAGTTATGAATGGGCCTGGTCTGGCGCTCTTCGGGAAGAGACAAAGGGGCAAGTCTCGACTCACTCTCGACTCCGCCAGTGGTCCAGTGCAGATGAATTCTTGGGACTGTGCGTATGATTGGAGTTCGTGTTGGAGTAAATGGCGTGCGAGATGTATGCATTTGCGTACAAAAGAAACGGGTTGGTGCCTAGCAGCAATTGAGCTGAAACGTCTTTCCTTGGTTTAGGTTTACCCTTGTATGCTCGCTATAACGCAGATTGTAATTTTGATGACATTTCCCGAACATTACGGCTTCTCGCGACTTAAACCCTCAGGCGGGTCTTCCACCTTCTTCTTCTTCTCCTCGGCACCCAGCTGCGCCGCTTCTTCCGCTTTCGTCAATTCCTCTCCTTCCCTGGGTTCTACCTTCCTCGCAACCTTCTCTTCTACTTTTTGTTCAACCTTCCTCTTCGGCACCTGCTTCTCCAGCTCCCAGCTAATACAATCCACAGCCCTCAACATCGTCCTCGCATCCTCCAAATCCTTGATCCATTTCTCCCGCCTCTCCACATCTTCCTGCGCCTGACTCCTGACTCTGCTCTCAAACACATTGACCTCATTCTTGAACTGCTCTTCCAACTTCTTCAACTCCGCAATGGTAAGACTAGGATCGTGGCTCTCCGTATCAGGCACAGACGGATGGTCCGCGAGCCACGCCTCTCGCGGCGCCTGCGCCTCAAACGCCGCCGTTTGTCGGAGCCAGTGTTCGCCGGCGAAGATGCGGCGGTCGGCCTCGTCCGCGTTCGCGCGGATGCGGTTGTACGCGATGGTCAGAAGCTGCAGCTCGCGGATGCGGGTCTGCTTGTCGGCTTCGTCGGGGTGCTCTGAGTGCACATAGGCGTATTGTTTCTGGGAGAGGTGATAGGCGACGAATTCTGCTTCTCGGAGGAGAGCGTTTTTTTCGCGGACGCAGTCGTCGATTTCGGACTGGATGGAGGCGGCATTTAGTGCCTGGAGGTGCTGGGTCCAGTCTGGCGCGGGGATGTAGTATGCAGCGTTTTCGGGTGCGGCAGGGTCTGTGGTGGTGCTAGTATCTGCTGTGGGAGCGGGAACGGAGGGGAGGCCGAATTTCTCGGGGGTGTCGTAGACTTCGGCGGGGAGGTTGTAGGCGCGGAAGACGCCGTTGTGGCGGATGTAGCCTTGAATGAGAGGATCAAAGTTCTGCATAAGCATCTTGTCCCAGAAGATGTGGTGGAACTCTAACATGCGTCTTCGACGCTGGCGCTCTAGCTCTTCCATTGCTTTTGGGCGCTCGCCGGTGTATTGGAAGTATGCGTGCGATAATAGAACTCCAGTACATGCGCCGATGTTGGTCATGCCTATCATGCGCGTCCACCACGATACGGTTGGTCTCCGCATGAATAGCGTGGGTAGGAAGGCTACAAAGCCCGCTGCTGCTCCGGCCAAACACCCATCTTCGACGGTGTATTGCTCCGTCTTCTCGTATAGCTTAGGCGGCGTGGGGCGTCTAACCTCCTGCGAAACCACAATAGTCGTGAAGCTCTTATGATAATATGCATTGGCAGCTGCGGCCACCCCGATTGCCCATAGCCCCAGTCTCCCCGACGACCTCACGAACAGCACAGTGCCCGAGACCTTCTTGTTCGGCATGACCCGCCGCGTGTACCGCGCAGCGAAGGTCGCATGGCCCGCGGCGGCGACTGTCGAGGAAACGACAGCGTACTGGAGTGTCGCGTTTGCGCCCAGAGGATCCGGCCTCTTCGGGACAATGTAGTGCTGGCCCTCGCCTGCAGTGCCGTCAGTATCGCATGCCCACGCCCCCCGCAAGATCCTACTCACCAGGCGGAATAAACAATCGCAGCACCATGGCGTGGCACGGCTGCTCAGGAACAACCGCAGTGCAGGCGAGCACGCGGTATACACAAGCAGGCACCCGCACCGGTGAAGGGCGCGAGGCTGAGGCAGCGATCTCGGCATGTTGTGCAGGCGCAAGGCTGGCCCATGACAGGCCTACATCCTTCCCTCAGCTGCAGTGTGACACAGTCGGCTGGGCAGGGCGGTGACTGGCATGAAGCCGCATCGCGCAAAGGCTATGCGCCGCGCCGTGAGATTGTGCGGGCCCCGCATGGGGGCCGGAAGGACCATGGATGGACAGTTGGGACATCTGTAGCTGTAGCTTGCCGTCCCGCATGCTGTTGTTCGGATGCGCTATCCGGATGGGCCGCGCCGGGGTCGCGCTATCTCGCCACGTGATGCGCAGCAACCTGTAGACCGAGGCCCTCAGCGTACAGCGTACACGTACCCGGAAGCGTAGAGTAGGTCTGGTGTAGGTCTATCTGGGGCCAAATGGGAGCTACCCAGCTGGACACACTTCGAGAGTTTAGTCACGGTCTGAACGACAAAGATAGCTTCTACGATTGCATTGCGTTCGGGCATTGTGCTACTCCCACGCTCACACCCTCCCAGTTTCCCAGCCCGAGCAAACCATTCTAAGGCTAGAGCATACATCCGACAGGTATTAGGTATACAACACGCCAAGTCCAGGTATTCCGAAAACCGCCCCAAGCGAGAGAATACCTTAACACCGCGCTAGCCCGGGTCCCAAAAAATAACAGTAGATTGAGCAAAAGCAAAATTGACAAAAGAAATATGACGTGTGAGGGAATGTCCAAAACAGAGTTGGAAATGTCATCAGAACACCGACCCACTATTAAAACTTTTCGTGGAAACGCAAAAGGCCAGCCTTAAAATCGGAATTGGAATCGTCCGAATGATCAGACACGAGCTCGGGTGTGGAATCGTCCCGATGGTCATTCATAGTAGCGTGGGCCACACCGTAATGCTATCGCTTGTTGTGCATAAGTATGCGCATGTCTTCAGTCCGAAGGAACTCGAATATCCCCTCGTTGAGTCGGTCTAACCCGTCCTTGAACAGATTTTCGGTCCCTGCTGTATTCGTCATGATTGTGAATGTGCGACAAAGGACGTCTTCAGTGCTCAATCCCACAGCGTTACTCATGCTCTTCCATTTAAGCCGCATCATCCTCAGGTCGTTCAACGCTAGAAGTCGCTCTACCATCTCTGTAGCTGGCACAGCCGGCGAGTACGCAAACGTGTGACGGAGTTGCTGTATCTTTCGACGTTCAGTAATCCACGTTAATAATATCCTTGAATGGAGATCGTAGAGCTGGCCTGTTTCTTTGCGGTAGTGCGCGGTGCCAAGATGCCAAAGAGATTCAATCTTGTGCAAAAGTACGCTTTCATCTGGTGGGGATGTTACCCTAGGGAACAAATACTGCATGAGAGAGCCCAGAACTTCGCACTGGAGGAGACCAAGATCCAATTCTGCATGCGCCTGAGGAGGCACTTGAGCGGCGTCCTGAGGGTGGCTCCTTAATATGGGCGCAGCTTGGGGCGCATAGGCAGTGGGAACTGCTGGCACCGGCGCAACATTGACAAGGTGGGAAACACGAGTAGCGGGTACAGGCTGGATATACTGTGGTGGACCTTGTGATGTGGGTCCAGTGACGTTCTGAGCCATGGGTGCACCGCTCGGACGAGGAGATTGATGCGGATGAGTCGACGGAGCTGGAGCTGGTTGCGCTTGGTGCATCGGTTGAGATGTTATTGATGGCGCGATCGGAGTGCTGGACCTGCTTGATCGCTGCTGAGTAAGACTCGTACGATGATGGTGGTGGTGCATGATGGGTGTGTTCGACCGGCTCGTCGGTTGAGGTTGCGCCTGAATCGTGTGTTGCGATGGAATCGGAGGAGGCTGCACGTGTTGCACGGTAGGCGAATTCCGAGCACTGACTCCATTGCCGACAACTGGCGAGTGTATCGCTTGGAACGGGGGAGCTGATGTGGACGCAGTTACGAGAAGTGGCGCCTTTGGTGGGGTAGACGCTTTTGGCGCCATTGGTCCTCCGTGAAATGGGCTGGAATCGTAAGGACTGGAGTAATTGCGCCCATTTGTTGGCGGCGCAGGGGCAACTGGTTTCTGTGATGGCGATACCCTGACTGGAGGGGACGCATTAACAGACGTAAAGCTACCGGTGTTGACTGCGGTGAACCCATTGGCTGGCGGGGTGGGATTGGGCGTCCTCGCTGTACCGTTCAGATCATTACTCGACAACGTGGTCAGCTGCGGTCTAGTAGAATCGGACGGTGTGGCGCCGTTGGTCGGTAAGTGCCCATTTGAGTGGCTGTGAGGGAGGCTTGGCACGGGTGGGACGTTTTGAGAGTTGTCTGAGACAGACCCATCAGCAACAAAGGAAATAATAGATTTACGCGGACTGTTCCGCGAGCTGGGCATCGTGTGGCTCTGGTAGCGCTTTGCAGCAGGCGTAGAGTCTATCTCGTCACCATCCGAAAGGGACGTAAATGCCGAGCTCTTGCGCTTCTTGCCATTGATGGGTTTGACAGCGAACTCGGCTCCGGCAGTCGTGGGGCCATCTGCTGTAGACGGCGTGCGCGACTGCGGGGTGTCATTCGGGGACTGATGGAATGTTAGAATGCTTGGACATGATGAGTCAGGGCAAGGGGAAGTGGCTACCAGCTGGGCCTTGTTTGGGCTCATGGGGTCGTCGACCTCCATGTCAGCAACCGTGTCGTAGTCATTGGCACTCGACGGCCGCTTGAGCTTCATATTTCTGATGTAGTAGCATGCCTTGATGATGATCCATCGATGCAGATGTATCTTGAGTCTAGGAGAGTCAGTTCATGCAACGGTCACGTGCCGTCGGGTGCGTGTGCATGACGGATCTTACATTTCTTTGTCGTCAGGGTCCTCGATGAAGAGATGGCGGGGATACGTCTTCTTGGCCGGGTCCGGGGTCAGGAGGCAGGTGCGGTCGGTGTTGCGGCCCCAGATGGCGGTGCCAAAGGTCTGCAGCAGGTCCTCGAGCTCGCGGTGCAGGCTGTTGGGGTCGGCGGCAAAGTCCAGCAGTGCGTCGCGCTCCTTGGGCAGCTCCTTGGACAGGCGGGTGACCTCGCCGGACAGCTTGCGGTACTCTGGGTTGTCGAACTTGGGGATGCCGCGGTTGGTGGTGCTGCTGCTGGCAGACAGGCCGAGGCCCAAGCACTCGGTGACCTCGCGGATGGTTGGATTGTGGGAGCTAAAGACGGAGATCCAGCGCGGGCGGTCCCAGCGCGCGACGCCCGCGTCGTCCATGTGGGAGGGGGAGTTGCGGGAGCTCTGGCTCATGGCGGCATGTGCATGGGAAGGAGTGAATGTGCAGGCGGCGCGCGTGAGCGTGGGCGGCGACAGAGGGGATACACGACGCGAGGGCCTTTGTGGTTTGTTGGGGCAGTATCGACAATCACGGTAGGCGTGTGGACTAGAGGCCAGCGAGCTCGAAAGGGGTGCGACGTAGAGGCCGCTAGCGTCACATACACTGCCGGGCGAAAAGTCAGCCAGTGCAGAAAAAGTTTGAGCAGAACAGGTCGCTGAGATGTCGCCGGTGCCTCTGGCCCGATGCGGATCTGCAGCGTATGAAGCGGCGCTTGTGGCCGCACCAGAAAGTATCCGACACCTGGCTGACTCGCGCCTCTACAGTGTAGGCGGCCCATTGGCTCCCTGGCCTCCCTTGCTTATTCCATGTACGACGGGAGAGATTATACCCTCGTTATGCCACCCTTTGCATGCACTCGAGCCTGTACACTATCCCCCCAGGGCCAAAATACCCGACGCCTACACTGGCCGTCCAATGCGACGCCCTCGCCATCTACTGCCGCCCCGTCAGCCGTCGCAGCCCAGTAGCCGGTTCCGGGAAAACACCATCTATGACGACGCGCCTACCGAGTAGGCCCTGTAGGATCCGCGCCTTACACTGTCAGTGATAACACCAGCGCGACACTGCAAACGTAAGTTTTATTGCCTGTCGCACGGGTCCGCCCACGCCTTCCCATAGTGGAGTATCGATTCTTGCATGCGAGGTGGCACAGTCTTACACACGCCCGCGTCGATGTAACCCCGGGCCACTGTACCTGCGATACATTGCGCCCGTACCTCGCCGCCTCGTGCGTGCATAACAGCCGCCCAGGCCGACTACTCCTGCGACCCACGCCCCATGAACGTGAACCATCCCATCCGAGGCAGTGACATCTTCTCGCACGCTCGCACCGCTTGAAACGCCGCACCGACTAGCCCGGCCGAGTCAGAGATTGCCCTCCCTGCACCCCCAGATGCTATACCCAACTAGCACCGTCTCAACGCGAGATACGGCGCTAGAGCGACGCCCGTTTGGCCACGCAATAATAGAAATTGCCCTCGGGACGACTGCCTCGTGGGACCGATATACGATTATTGCTGCGGCACCCTCGCCGTATACGTGCGTACACCGACAGGGGCATCTGGTAGCGGAAAATCCCTCGGTTCGCTCCCGCGAGCGCATCCTCCCAACTATTGCCTGTTTTGTGCAGACGAGCGCACCAGTAGCACCAGAGAGCGAGGCCTTGGCTGCTGCATTCCATCTACCTCTACATTGCTGCAAGTCCATGTGTACACCTCGCACCTCGCGCCTCGCCCAACCGGGCAAATGATTATCTGATTAAGCTCCCCGGTACGGCCGGCGATCGCAAAAAAAAGGTTCACTCATCCAAGGCGTCCAAACCTAAACGAGCTCCGAACGTCATCACAATCGACCCTGCAATAAGATTTTCACAACTACCCTGCCTAACCCCAAACGCCCCTGCGCGCTACACCTGCTCGACCTCGCAACGCACTAGGCCAAGACTACCGTTCGAGTAACAATTCGCCGAAAAGATAAAGACGCCACCTCCCCGACTAGGGGGCATACTCTACGAGAAATAGTACACCGTGTCGCCTTCCTGCTCCTTCTCGTAATTCTCCAGAGCATTGGCCAGCCATTGCATAAGCCCAACAAATTCCACGCTCTTCCACTGCAGCTCCACCGCGTACTTGTTCCCTGCCAATACCACCAAGGCTTGTCGCAGCAGCTCGTCGTGGTCCGCTCCCGCCCCGGCCACCTGCGCGATGTCCTCGAAGCTGCGGATGATCTCGCGAGTCGCGCCCATCAGCGTGCGGTGCTGCTCAATGCGGCGCTCGATCTCGGGTGCTGTAGTACCTTCCTCGCCCCATCCTAAGTCATCATTAGTATAAGCGCATAAAAATTAAGCGATGTCGGATAAGGTAATAGCCAGGTACGTACGAGTGCCAGCGCGCTGAAGGTCGGCCAAATGCCGTTTTAGCTCGATCCAGGTAAGGAACGCGCGTTCTCGCGCGATAAACGCGGGTACGTTTTCGAGCATGCGATTGTAATCTGACCGCACGCCATCTCTCCACGTCGTTTCAAGGCGCCGGAGCAGTGCCTCTTCTTCCCACTCTACCTCGGTCTTCTCTTGGTACATGTAATCGCGTAGAGCATACAGCGTCTCCACGTCGAGACCCGGGTACGGCACCGCGTTGCGTTGCGCATCTGGGGGCACGGCCGGAACAGCACAATGCCCGTTTGTGGCAGTAGCTTGCGGTGTAAGATCTGACACAAGTTGAGAAATCTCGGCGCCTAGTTGACGGATGCCTGCAACGGACACCCCTGCTACTGGCGTTGCCTGGGATGACATGCTGCCATTGCGCGATCCGTGGATGCCCACTTCGGCAAGACGATTCCAAACCCCATCCACCACGTTTTGTGCTTGCGAAGGGTGCGACGAGTGTACGTTCACCGGCGCAAAATGGCCACCGCCTAGCTGGCCTTGCGCTGGGCCTATTGGACTCTGACTCGACTCTGGCGGGGTGCTGACGGCCACTGATATCGGACTGCCTCGCGACGTAGTTTCCGCCTTGTAGAGTTGCACATGCCGAGGGTGCTCTGCAACTGGTACGGGAGGAATATTCGTATTCAAGGGTGCTGGTACACCTGAGTTTGGTGCCAAGGGGACGAAAGCTGAGCTTACGCCCTCTTGTGGGACTTCCATCTCGATTCTGGCTCTTTTGTTTTCCTCTTTCTTTTTCCGTTCCCGATCCAGTCTATCGCGGGCCAGGATGACATTGATAGCTTTCATTCCAAGCCACCAATGTAGTAATATCCGTATTCTGTTGCTTGTCAGTCAAACTAAAATGTAAACCCATAACGCGACCAAACTTACTGTTCACGGTCTTCTTCATTTTCGAAATAGAGATCTCTAGGATATAGCTCTTCTTCAACTCCGGGTTCACCAACGCTGATTAGGTGTTCCCTATCGCCCACTCTTCCCCATATCGCAGAGCCATGCTTTTGCAACAAGCCCTCTACCTGCTCGTTCAGGCTCTTCTCAGCAGATAAGAATTTTACTAGATCATCTGACTCTTTTGGAACTGTCGCAACGATGTCACCCATGTCCGTGACCAGGTCGCGCACCAACGCGCTCTCAAAATTTGTTTTGCCACGTTTGTTCTGACTCCATTTCGCGCGCAGCCCCAAGCGCTCGATCAATTCGTGCATGCGCAATTTCGATCTGTTCTTCATGATGTCCAGCCAGTCCTTGGACGTGGCGTAGCCGATTGAGCCCATGGTGTTGGTCGCTATAGAGTTGTCGCAGCAACGTAGACTATCGGGTACAGTGTACGTTGAGAAATTTGTGGGGGGGGGGGGAAACAACGACAGGGTAGAGCATTCAACGGTATTTCGCCCGGTACTGATTACCATTCGCCGCTAAGGAATGGCAAACGTTACCATTGCCCGACTCGTGGGGTATCTTCTGAGGAATGAACAGTGCGCGATTGGTGTCACGGCCATAGCCCTCGACGGCGCTTTATTTTTGATGGGGTCAACCTGCTTGGTGTTGAGAAAAGAAGGAAGTCAGGAGAAGCCATCCCAGGATGGCGCGTTCGGTAACATCTTAGTAGCCCGCCAAGAGAATAGTGCAGATCTTTGTACCACGGCGAACAAAACATCTGTCAAAATCTGTCGCAGCACACGAGGAGGTTGGATTGGCTGATCACTCTCAGTCCATTGCGCGATGCAAAACACGATCGTCAGCCAGTACCCACTCCCAACCGTGTCAGCTGCGTCTCAGCATCATCAAAGCTGGAGCACGCGTGTCGTAGACATTTGAGAATTTCATCCAGCCACTAGTTTACACAAACTTTTCATCTCGCCACAACGCATCCCAACTCCCGCGCCCGCCATAGTTTCCTTACATTTTTGCACGAATGCCTCCACACCCTTATGCAAACAATGATACGCTCACCAGTAGCCCAACCCGGATTTTCTCCGACAACCCTACAGTGTAATCAAGCCTAGAGTCGCTACATTGAACCGGCGCACACCTGCGCCATACTCCTTAGCCGCTTCTATGCAATCGACAGCTCATTTCGGGAGAGAATCAGATATGTGCATGCATTCGTCTCGGATCGCGTCTGCAACCCATTAGGTGCACTTCGCCTACAACCAAAAGTCCATTTTCCAAGAGGACAGCAACTTGTTGTGGGCAACGATGTGATTCGGAAGGCTTTGTTCAAGCATCGGGCTCTCGGCCATCGCTGCGAAGACCCGCGCCAACGAACTGGCAGTACTCAAGGTCTTCTCGTCTTTTCCGTCGTGGATGCCCAAGGCGATTTGACCGCATTTCAGAAGTGTTTGGTGGATTCTGCGACACTTCTCTCCCCCACCGAACATGTTGTTCCATTGTCCCACCGTGAAGCGCGGCGTCGGCTGGCCGCCAAAAGGGTGTATCTGACAAGTTAACAATGGTATATGTCTTTGGAGCAGAGAGAGACTTACCCCAGTGGCCTCAGAGAGCAACCAGCAACCCTCCCTCCAAGAAAGCCAGGCATCCAATGTTCGTAGGTCCTGCTGGAATGAGCCCCCAAGAGATTTGCGGAGCTTGTCTTCATCCTGCCTCCGCAGAGTATGGATGACATTGTCCAAGCGTTTGGATGCCACCAACATCGAATTGGCATCGGGGAGTTTATTGTGGCTTCCATCATCCTCGTGACACAACTCGCTGTAGAGAGATACTGCCATGTCCATTCTCATGCTTCGCTTGACCTCTTCCGATACAGGTCCAACTACCAAGGCTCCATCGCTCCCATTCCTTCCGGCGGTCGAGCTTTCGTCACCTTCAACAGACTGTTCGCTTGCGGAGGAATCGTCGTCGGTCACTATTGCTCGACTGTCAGCTCAAAAGACTTTCGTCCAGCACAACAAGGAGACTATCCGTACCATCGCTGGCACTGAGCCTCGGATATCGTTGAGATGGTCGCCTCCTCTTCGTCGGAGTCCACTCGTTGTCGCTCTCACCAGTTACTTCATAGAGCAGTCTGCCTGCTGCGTCGCGCGCACGCTTCTTCTCCGCGATACGTTTCGAGGTACGGCATAAGACTGCCCGCATCTTATCTGAGGGTAGACGAAAAGTGAATATGTAGCGCGCCACCGATGAGCTCCGCTTCCGTGGTTTCGAAGCTCCCGGGCGCGTGCTCCGCGTGGAGACTGGTCTAGACTCCGCCGCCGACCTTGGTGCCGATGGTCCATGGTAGTTATGATAGACGGCGATGGCTTTCATGAACAGAAGGTGCTCCAGTTGGAGAGTGATGCTGTCTAAATCAACACGCAACTCGAAACATTTGAGACCTGACTTACAACTTTCGGTGACGCTCGTACTGGTAGAAGAGATTGCCCGCCTCGCTTCCGTCCTCTGCAGTCAACAATTGGGACTTAGGGTTTGAACTTAGCTCGCGGTCCTTAAGAGAATCACCCCAGATCTTCTCCCCGTAATTGTCGACCAGGCGCCTAACGTCTTTCGTGTAAGTCTGCTTCTCCCATGCTCTCTTAAGCTCTTGTTGGCTGTGGTTGGGAAGCTTCTTCGCCATGTCGTCAAGCTCACCGTAGAGTTGATTAACGTTTTCGGAGGCAAACACCGGTCGGCCTTTGCCACCTGCATTCTTTTCACGAAAACCTAACGCACGGCGGATATGCTGGTTATAAGGAGCCCAGCCTGGGTTAATCGACTTCTCAAATATGATTTGACGGGTCGCTTTCCCATAGGTGACCGGATCCATCGACCCAGGTGCCCGCACGCGTGAAGATGCGCCCGCCTTGGACATGATTGCAGCGTGTATCAGCGCGCGTTATTCAAGCAGTGTCCTTGTCTGTCAGATAACAAGTCGGATTGAGTGTATTCAAGGTGGTAGTGCAAGAGAAGTGTAATGCAGAGTAAAAGTCGCTGTGTAGCTGTTTGTGTCACTGTGGGGCGGCCGAAGGTCAACAACCCAGCAGGCACCACCGAAGGCAAGAGCGCGCGCACAGACACGAGGCGGCCACGCTGCAAACGAAAGCAACGCCCTCCAGTATGAGACGCGTTTGCCTGAAACTTTGAAAATCGTGCGGTTTGATCGAACGGTAAGACGCAAGCGGGATGCTGCAGGTCACTTTGGTGCACCGGTAGACACAACTTCCGAAATGACGAGCTGTTGCGTTTTCGTTTCTAGATTGGGAGACATCGGCTTAGCAGCGATATACTAAACCTTGTAAGCCTAATTGTATGAAAGTGCTTTTGAGAGACTGGATGAAAGCTATAGTATGAATAGACTTCTAATAGGCAAATATGGTAGCGCTGTCTACGTGCACCATTCCGCGGTTTTCAGTTGGTCGTAGTGTGGTTTGTTTAAATTCTAATGTAACAAACAATAAGAGAATACACAAAATTGTGCTGGGTATCTAGTGCTAGGAAGGGAGGCGGTGGTCAATTGCTACATATCACAGAGAAGATGAAGCATCACGACAGTTGCTGTGGGGAACCCAGAAACATAATTGCATGAAGCTCGCAGAGATACAAACCAGAGAAAAAGCAATGCCCGGTACACTACCACCAAATATGAGTATAGTATATTATTTAGAGGTAGGTAATCTGTGGGCTGACAGTAGTTAGACCTCTGTCAGAGTACTGCATTCAGAATTCACCGATATATAAAGAGGCTGTAGCCTCCAGAGTTAAGCCAGGATCCTCAGTTGTACGTCGATAGTGCCATGCGGGGAGTCCTCCCAAAAGCTGCATTGTGCAAGGAATGACGAAGACGCTCATATCCCTGGTCGTCGTTGGCATCGATTCGCAATGTGAATGACTTTTTGAGCTAACCGGGAGCTTGGTACGTAAGTCGCCACATCATCGTGCTATTAACCTTCTCGGTAACCTGAGGGTCACCCGCGGCCTCTACGATAACCAAGTCTAGGAAATCGGAGAATTTTATACATTCGAGGAGTTTTTGACCAAATTCATATTCGGTATCGTCCATGACGACGTTCCAGACCAGAACTACTCGTTTTGCCTGCTACTTGGTGAGAACTGGACGCACGGTATGATCGTCGTTACTGGGCATTTCCTGTAGGCCGGTTGTGGCGTGCGACACTTCCTGTGAAATCGGTGCCGGAGCATGCGTGCGCACGAGAGTCCCAGTGACATGGCGTTTATTCTATATTGTGTCGGTATCGACAGAGTTGTAAGCTTTGCGCTTCTGCAGAGAGCTGTCGTTGGAGCTGTGAGGTAATAGTAGATCGCCCTCTGAACTGTCCCGATTGGGCGTACCACAATCTATGAACCCACCCGTCGCTGACCTCTCTCGCCCGGACCTTAACTTTGTCTTCGTCATGGGTCTCATGCAGACGGAAGTGACTTTCCGGGGGATTTGTGGGAGACTGGTTGTGATGGTGCAGGAGTAGAGCCGGCAGCTTCTTCCGCAGGTATACCCAATGCCTCGGCCGCTTCGTCTTCGGTACGCACCCAGCTTCTTGTAGCCGGCCTCTTCATGACCTGGATCTCAAGAAGGTGTATCTCAGGGATGCGTAGCCACACGCTCGGCAGATTGCAACTCGAGTGTCATTGCTCGCACCGCCGTCAACCGTAGGAGGAATTGGCTGTGTCATGTTCTTGCAATTGTCTCTAAGCTCCCTGAACGATAGAAGGCCTTAGAATGAGAGGTTATGCTTATTTGGAGCGGTATAGCCAATTTAAACACAGCTTTCGCGAAGACATTTGCGCTTCTTGAATGGCCGTGGGGTCCCTTGGCTCTAAAGATCCTCTGGAGGATTCCTCTCTATCTCTATTGTAGCTAGATAATTCAACATTAATAGTGTTGAGTTGTATTGTGCAGTAACATGACAAAAGAGAATGGAGGAGGCTGTGTAACTTCTGGAGTGGTACCGAGTGCCAGCGTGCGGTTGCTCCCGCGACGTAAGTAAGCATAATGTAGGAAGTGCTTGGATCGGGTAAGTGAGTGAGTGATGTTGTAGAGCAGTCGTTCAGGCTGTCCGAGCTGCGTATGGGGTGGGCGTCGTGTCGCAAAGTCGCATTTGGGTGGGCAGTGACGGGTAGCAAACCAATGTGAGAGATGGACCCTATTCCTGCTATAGCTAAGTTACTACTACAGAAACACTACCGTAGCGTATGCTCAGTAGTTGAGTGTGCGATGAAGCCTCATCGCTTCGACAAGAGCTTCCTCGAAAGCATAACCACTGCTAAAGACACGTGCATTGATGAGTTATTAGACAATGTATTAGAAACAAAAATCATTTCTACATTTATCGATGCAGTAACACGTAGTACCCGCAACAATCATTTGTTAGCGCCTGGCGAGAGAAGATCAACGTGATTGGGTCAAGTCACTATACATGCGTGAATATGCCAATCTAGACGATTCGATAATACAGTACATGATCGGAGCTTCTTTAATTAAGGCTTACATTTCAATCTAGAAAATCGAGATTCGAGAGCAGATGGACTATGTCGCAAGGAGAGAGGCTCAAACAGATGTTGAACACCACATGCAGCTGAAGTGGGCGAGCTCGTCGCCGCCGCACGTGAGCATGTCTAGATTCGTCGAAAAAGTTAGGTTCACGATCTGCGACAACCTTCGGCCGGGCTGACGGCCTACTCCAGCCGTCAGGATCATGCAGCAAGGGCGGATATGAACGCTTAAGCTTTATTGGACGACCTCACGCACGTCTCATGGAGCTAATGACGATTCTTTTTAGAGCCTCAAAGGCTCCTGCGCTGAACACCACCTCAGCACCATCTCCGCCGCCAACATGAGCGTCCAGCCTACCATTGGGCGGTCAGGCGTGCGACATACCGCCCCGAAATCCAGCCCCCAATGCCCCTCCCCGTATTCGCCTGTGGTGCCTCGAACGCGGCTGTGCCTTATTAATAGCACCATGCAACGAGATCGCAGCAGATCCTGGCTGCTGGAATTGCCCTGAAGAAACGCGATTTCACTCTTTCCACGAAATAACTCGACGACGTGTGCACATTGCGCGATTGCGCATCGCTCGCAGTACTCCCTCCCCAGAGTCTGCTGGGACACCCCAACCTTGGCTCGGGCCTATACCTCCCCACAACGAAGACGACGACAGCATCGACAGAAGTGTTTGCGCGGTACGAAGCCTGTGAATTCTCAGTAGTTGGTACCGCGGAGGCATCGAGCAAGCTAACCGGCTGGCTGCTCGTGTTGTGGTCTATTGGCGGCTGGCCGAAGTGTCCATGCGCCGAGGCTGAAGCCAGAGAGCCTCTGAGATAGGCGCCTTTCTAAGCTGGAGTGCCTCCTACGTTTAGGGCTGCTGCGTTCCTATAGCTCCTGTAGAGGAGCAGCGAAGACAGGCGATCATCGTCGCGGATCCTCGACCGGTGCACACGCGCTGCAAACATCCGAATCGGTACCAAAGCGAGCTACACTGGCGCGCGGTAGAGAGCCATGGAGGAGGTTCCGTCACCACTGAAAGTGGGCTCCCCAGTCGCAACAAGGAATGCCTCAGAGGACCGCGTCCCCACGGCTTTGCGCGCTGGGTCGCCTGCAGTCGGTAGCGGAACACCCACGTCACAAGCGCGACCAGGTCTAACGCGACAGAATACGTCTGGGTCCGACCGCCTATCCCAGCTCTTCCCCTCCCGACCAGCATCGATCGCGTCAGTTAGCCCTCTCGAATCGCCCTCATTATCGCGCCGCACATCGTATCCATCGCCTCTGATACCCGCCGCAGAGCCGTCGTACCGTATACCTCGCGCTCCAGCGCCGCCGTCTTTCTCTGACGATACTTCGTACAGCCCTTCGCCTGATGCAGTCAGCCCGACTGGGTCGCAGTCTACACTGCAAAGCAGGAGCGGCACCAACAGGCTCTTGAACCGGCTCGCTTCGCTTCGTAGCGCTAGATCAAGAGGGGGAAACTACAACAGGCTGGAAGATGAGGAGTCTGGCAGGAGGAGGCTGCAAGAAGTTGAAGAGGTGGACGAGCCATTAGGCTATGATTTGAGCGGTTTGGATGGCGGAGTGCCAATGCAACAGTTCGGGCAGCCTAAGAAGATGCTAAGCGCGGCCGACGCAATGGAAGCGGAGCGCGACCTCCACGAAGCTGGTTATGCCGCCGAGTTCGAGAGGTTAGAAGCGCAACTTGGGGCGGGCATGGCGACCGTCACAGAAGTGCCTTTCACACACGCTACACCGTCTGGAGACGATACAGCACGTGGGCATAGGAGAGGATTGTCCGATGCGAACATCATTGATGTTGTCGCAAAGGATGCGCAAGAGGAGGCTGAGAAGACCGGTGGCATTGTAGCGGTCGCAGAGATTCCTGTTGATATCAGCGATATGGCGGGGCACGGGACTGACTTTGACAGCCGCGCTTCACTCGTTTTCGAGCGTGGTAACAATAACGAATCGAGTTACTTCTTTCCTTCGGGTAAGCACCAAGTTAAGCATCGCGAGATTTCATAGGCTGACCGTGGTTTAGACCCTAATATGCCTTCGTGGCGACCCTTTTCAATGGGTTGGCCATTCCTGACGTTCCTCGTTGTCGTTGCACTTGCACTCGCAGGATTGCAAGAGTTCCTTTGTCAGCTGTCCCAGAGAGCGGCCGAATTCGAACCTGGTGACCAACACGAAGGTGGTTTAGTCAAATTCAAGAACGCCAAAGACTTGACTGTTCTCCAATACTTCACCTGGAAATATGCACCTATACTATTTTTTGTCATCTATGGAATCTTATGGCAAATCGTCGATTACGAGGTCAAACGTCTTGAGCCATACTACCAACTCTCAAAGAAGGATGGATCCGCAGCGAGCGAATCGTTGAATATGGACTATCTGACTTTCATGAGCTGGTTAGTGCCATTACGCGCATTACGGCACAAGCAATATGCGGTCATTTACGTGTCCATGGCCACGCTCCTAGCTAGTAGCTTGGTTCCTATCCTTCAATCGGCATCCGTGGAAATGTATCCCGACGAAGACGAACGCGACGTAAAAGACTGGAAAGCTGTACGCATTCAGCCCGTGTGGTCAAGATTCGTTACGATATGTCTGGTCATTGTTGCGATCCTCGGCATGTTTCTCATGAAGGAGATGCGAAGAAAGAGCGGCCTACTCTCTAATCCTCAAGGGATCGCTGGTGTCGCGGCCATGGCTACAAGAAGTCATATTCTAGCGGACTTTCATGGGTTGGATACGGCGCCACTCGAGAAGATCCACAAACAACTTCGCCACCGGCGTTATATCCTTCACAAGAGCTCGCTATGGCAGGGCGCATATATCCGCAATGTTAAAGAAAAAATTCCGGATACTGGCTCTGATCCACGGCCCCTGATGCTGCGTCTCAAAGCTGGCATACCCTACATTTGCTACCTGATCTCCTTTGCCGTCATCCTGCCCGTCTTTCTCTTCGTCGAAGGCGCTCAAATAGTCACGAAGAAGCTTCCCTTCCTTTTAACAACGCTAGCCACTGTTGTCAAACTCCTCTGGAATACCATGAACGGAGACATTCGCACCGTTGAACCCTACCACATCCTTGCACAGCGCAGAGCCCCGGCCAAAACCCTAACCCTCGACTACACCGGCACGAATCCCATCATTCTCCCATTCAAGGCCCTGGTCAATCGACATTACATCGTATGCCTAGTCGGCGTCGGCTCCATCCTCGCCGAAGTGCTCACAGTCTGCGTCTCCTCGTTCTCTGTTGATGGCAAAAAGTTTATACCAGGGCACAGCGGCAATGACAGCAACGATGGGGATGACGCCCACGACCGCGCCAACACAGACCAAACCTTCCGCTCCTTCTGGTCCTCCTTCGTTCTCTCCATCGGCATCATCTTCTTCCTCGTCGGCGTCGCCTGCGTCGTGTACGTGCACCGCTCTCACAAGTTCATGCCGCGGCAGGTAGGCACCATGGCGTCGGTCCTCGCTTTCATCCATCAGAGCAAGATGCTCGTCAACTTCGTTGATACGGAGAAGTTTGATAGCAAGCAGATGACGCTGCATCTGGAAAAGTCGGGGAAGACGTATGCGCTGGGATGGTTTCAAGGAAGGGATGGCGACGATCACTGTGGAATTGATGAGGAGCCGATACTGGCGCCGTATAATTATGGGGTTGATTGGACAAAAGCGAGGGTGCAGGGGCATACGATTGGGACGTGGGAGCATTATTGATGAGGCGGACCCGTATTTCATTTCTGGTCAGGCATCGTGCCGGGTTACATGGTTCACTTGAGATTGGGCTGGAAGTTCAATATGATCGCTAGAGCTCTAGGTAGAGACTCTTTGGAAGCGCAATGCTTATGGGCCAGAATGAAGCTTTATGAAAATAACATGTCACATACTCGCTATACGCTCTTTGCGGTCAACAGGATTGATCAACAGCACGACAGCTCTGAACGAGCAGATCTACTATAACTGCCAGAGAGACAACGGTAATGTTGGAACTATGCCTCATCAGCTAAGAAGAAGGATGTTGTGAATAAGATGGGCTGTGCAAAAGATAGCAATGGACAATAACACCACCAGCGAGATAGCCATGTATAACTGCTGAGTATATGTTTTGTACACGGGTTGGCTGTGAAGGTCAGCGAATTGATTGTTAAATTGAATCAGGGAAAGATGTGTAATTTGTACACTGGATTTAATACTATTTGCGCAAAGTAATTGGTAAAGAATAATAAGAGAACAGGTAGTAGGACACAGTCTGAATGGGTCCAGCAATAGGTACAGAACTAGGTAACGGAGTAATATGTAATGGGTAGGGGCGCCAAAAATTGTTCTCGCCACCATCGTTCAACTCGCTCCGCCAGGGTTTCATCCAACCCCATCATCTTCCACAACTTCCTCATCCATCTATATCGTCCCTTGTCTTATCCATCAACGTATTATCTTTAAAATAGCCAGTAGTAACAGATCCAGAACTGTAAGTCTTTTCTAATATATCCAACCAACTTTAAATCTTATAGGCTTTGACAATCAGCAGCAGTCACGAACTCAAGATTGATAATGCCACCATTGCTAAAATTTCAAGATCAGGACATCAAAACAAAGCGTGCTTTCAATTCGAACGAGATGAAAACAAGGAGACTGGAGTCGTAAATTATCCCTTTGAAACACATTTGTCAGGGTTGCTATCAGAGAACACGGGCTCAACGATTTGCATACAACCCCTCAGTACGAGTACCTTTTTATCCTCGCCATCTTTTCGTCAAGTATATCCGATGATTGCGATCGCACCCGCTTCTTTGTACCGCGACTCTCAGGGACCATCTCATCTGGCGCAATCTCCTCCTCGTCTACCGCCGAGCCTCCGCCCCGTGCAAATGCGTCTTTGAAGTTCCATCCATTGAACCACATGTCTCGACGCTTGTTGTAAAAATCTGCCTCAACATGATATTCGGCAACACTCCTGCAAGCCTTCCTACAATCCTTCCTACGACTCTCCACGAATTCATTCCAGTAGAGCGATTGCTGCGGTGGAACCTGTCCATGAGCGAGACCGGATGTTTCGACTGCTTTGATGAAGTCCAGACGCTCGGGCATATCGATGTGGCCGAAGTACGCGTTCCGGCTCCGGAGTCCGGTCAAGAGCTCCTCCAACTCCTTGCGTCGTCGACGAGTTTTATGAGTATACCTTTGTACATCCACTGGGTGGAATAGCAACATTCGTGCACGGCACAGCTGGACCATCTTCTCGGCAGCGTCGACGCCTTCTTGCAGATCTTGCAACTTCTTGTGAAGGTAGTAGAGGTGATTGATGGACAATTGATTGAGAGCGATAGGACGTGGGAATCCGGCATCCGGCATCGCGTCAGCGTGCGCTGGGCGGAACGTCCTACAGGAATGGTGCAGACAGGAAGTTCGACATTCTGCCTGCTGTGCCGTTTCAAAGGCTAGCAAGGAAACCGGAACTGAGGACAGAACCGAAGACGACACAGAAGAGAGTGCTGAAGACGCAACTGATGACTGCCTCAGACAGCCATCTTCTCCATGCGACGAGCAGGGCTGGCGCGGTGCGACCTTTTTGGCCCGAGCGGCGCTTTCGAGAAAGTCCTGATTTGTGAAGGGCATCGTTATCTTGGCCGGGTCGGGGTTCAGTAAGATATACAGGCACTGTTTTCTGCGTTTCTCGGCCACAGGAACATTTTAAGGCGTCGAGGTCTCAGTGACATTGTTCTTGGTGAATGTTATTTTCACTGTCTCTCAATACCCACGTGCGCAAACAATGCCTCTCGGCCTGTGCCAGCCATGAACTGAAAACTCCCCTTTTTCTCAGAGTAATTGATATACGTAAATGCGGGAGTACCTGAAGACAGTGCTAATTGAATATCGCACAGCCATCTTCCCTAATGTACAGCCGTATATTCGTCATATTACCCGTTCTATGACCGAATGTGACCGAAGCTATTTCGTACGCGGTGCAGTCTCACCCTAGAAACGATTAGGATTTTGGATACTCTACGATTATGTAAATTATACCTTACGCCAGGCACGTCGTCTGACTAGAGCATGGTCTGTACCAGTGTCTGCAGCTCCTCCGTTTGCGATAAAACCTTCTTTTTGTAGATAGCAACATTTCTACCTCTGCTGATCTCGGGGCTGAGCAAGAAACCGTCAATCATCGTGTACGATGTTGCGAAATAGATGCGGTACGCCTTCACCCAGTCCCTTTTAGTATACGATCGAATGTCTGTTTTGACAAGATCAATGAAGACAGAAAGCAGCTGCCCTGTGACTCCCAGAACAGCGTGCAGGGTGGCAGGAGATTGGCCGTGCACTGTTTTCTGACTCGATCTTTGGGTTGTACGTCCGTCGGAACTCTCAACGGCCTCCATGGTAGGTAAACGTGGTCGACTCTCGTCGGAGTGAATTTTTGCAGGGGCGCAAGTAGGGGCATCCTTGGGCAAGACAGAGGCTGCACCCAGTCTGGGCCAATGGATTGTCAACAATGGTGGGTGGTCGCAAGAGGCGACTCCACAGTCCGCGTGGGGTCATTTATGGGAGCGGGCAGTACCAACGTGAGGGTGAGCTCAAGTGTCCACTGCGTCGCGCTCATTTCTTGCCCACTAGCGATTATTTGTCAGTAAATGAAAGATTTGGCCTGAGCTAGTGCCGCTGAGCCCTGAGCGTTGGTGTCCTCGGGTGCCTATAAGAGACCTAACCACCAGGCATCTGCACCATTTCCTCAACCGACGACACCTTCATATCAGGTCGAGTCTCCCGATGGTAAGATCTCTGTGGCAGCTCAGTAAAGGTGCGATGTTTCTTCGCCCCTCGCGGAAGAGCCTTGATCCAGCTCCATAAAACGGATACTGCTGGCTTCGATGTCGCCAAGCACGCGCAAAGTATACCAACTGCGCACTCTACAACTGAAGCAATAATAAGCACAGTATTGGAGAAAGCCTGGCTCATGTCGCGTCCCTTAGCTAGCGCGACTGAGAGAAGGATGGCGTTGGCCCATGTCCCAGCCGTTGCACTGCAGTCTACGATTAATGTACTTCCTCCATTAGAGATCACATCGACTTACAGGAAGCCCATGCAAAGAATGAAAGTTAGTGCTGCTTTTTGTGAGCGCTGGACACGCAGCTTCAGTAGGTACGGAAGTGGCAGGACAAGGATGGACATGTCGGCGATCGTATTCAGCCATGCAACGACCACATGCGCAATCTTTCCAAACTGGAAGTCCGCAAGGCGAAGATGAGGGATCCTCTTCTTGTTTGTGAAGATGATTCCATAGAACGTGAGGTCGATGGTCAAAAAGCAAGGGACCAAGTACAAGAAGCACACCCACCATGCGATGCGAAAGTGGAGATTGTCGAGGGTGAAGACCTGCTTGTACAAGAAGAGAACAGCCAATTTCACAGAGATTGTGGTCGCTGCTCGAAGCCCTGCGAGAGCGAAAAACACCTAGACTGTGTAAGCAATAAGTCGTGCTATAGAGCCAGAAAGAATTCGTACGTTGTCGAAGAGAATCTCATCATGGCGGCTTTGGTTCAGATAGACGATATCGGAACAAGCACCTTTTATAACCACTTGAGATTGTAAGCAACCGTCAAGGAACAGCTGTTGAATGCTTACACCATAAGGCGATAATATCTTTCACAAGTACGTCCACCTGGTTTGGTCAGCGCGGAAGCGCGATGCGAAATCTAAGTGCTTGCGTATGCAAAGTATAGTAAACAGTCGTATGCTGTCAAGTGGGCTTTCCTTATCCTCCGCGACCCCTCATGCAAACACAGACCGGCCGTGGTCAGGAAGAAGGCCAACGCGATGGTCGTTTCGACTTCAACGGTCTTCTCCAACGGCGGAGTAGACATCGACCCCCTGGAGAGGCTTGCTACACGGGCCAATCGTCCTCGTTAGGTCCGGTCGAGGTTCTGGTATACCCTAGAAGAAGTCCAAGTGAAAGGTTCTAGGCGCGATGGCAAGATCCGCACTGTGTTTCAATTAAAACTAACGTTGTGACGCGGAATTGATGAATGCAAGTCGAACGAAAGCATAGGGAAGAAATTTAAACATTCCAATTGCTTGTGTTGCGCGTGGCTTTGACGCCAGGATCCTTCGAAGGATCACGCCAATGGCGGGACATGAGGCTTGTGTTGTGCGACATTTGACATCCCTGGGGCGCAAACGCGCACACTACATGAATATCGGTGAGAGACGCTGTGCCCAGTAGTCTGGTCCACGGCGCCTGCTGCGACTGTGCTCCCGCATTTACCGAAAGCCTAATAGAAGGAATGTGGACAAGTCGCAAGTTGAAACATACTGAGTTGCGATCGTTAGCGAGTCGTGGCATCTGAAAAAGGATCGTATACGCGAGTAAGCACGATATCGGTGTTCTCCGTTGCACAGTGTCAGACCAAATGGTCTTTAGCACTTGTCCTCCCATGCTTGCAACTCTCCTATAGCATTCCTGGCCACTGTGCCATTGCTCGCAAACCACCTTACGACACCATATTCTTCCGTGAATGTTGGCCAATTCTGCCCTTTTAATCCCGATAGCGGATCGTCGATAAACGCTCGATACGCGTCTTGCATCGCTTCGCTGACCGCGATTTGGTACGGCGTCGACGCGCCTCTGTAGTTGCCATGGGTGCCGAATTGCATTGGCTGCTCCGAACCGTGGTATGCCCCCATCCACGGCCGAGGAGAGATGTTGCTGAAGTTTCCGGCGTACATGTATCGGTATGTGGGGAGACCAGCCGCAGCACGCAGTCTGTGAGAGTTTTAGCATGACAAATTAACTGCACGTATCCTTTTCAGGATCAGCAGGTTACAAAATGCTTACTTTGACGTCTTGAACGACGGACAGAGGAAGAGCGCCTGGAACCAGTAGTCTGCCAATGCTTGATCTTCCGCACTTGGTCCGTCAGCGTTGTATGTCACGAAGCCTACGCCCTCGTTCTGGTCAATTCCGACAATCGCAGGCACTTTTGCGATCCTGCCTTCCAGTGCCCACTTCGTCAAGTTCGAGGGCACGATCTTCTCATCAGCTGAGGAACCGAAAGCTAACGGGGGCACTCCCCCACCGTTCAGGTTGTCAGCTATGACCTTCTCGATCGTCGCGGCGTTGACCTTCTTCATGCACGAGAGCTCAGCTGCCGCATCGGTCCGATTTCCACAGCCTACTTGCGTAGCCACGTAAGAGAAATTAGAGAATTTGGGACCGGAACCGTCTTCGATGAACGCTGTGCCAGAATTCATGATGAGACCTTGAACAATGGGATCTTCATGCCAAGCGAAGTTGTAGTAATCGACCTGTTCTGCACCTGACGATTGACCCCATATCGTAATCTTGGAACTATCACCCCCAAATGCCTCTATATTATCTCGAACCCATTCGACAGCAAGTCGTTGGTCAAGCAACCCCAGGTTCTGGTTCGTGGCCCCTTCCGCGTTCGGGTACCCAAAGATGTTGCCTCGCGAATTTGGTTTTACAACGATCAAGTCCTTCGTCCTTTGCACCCACTGTGTCGGGATCGTATATGGCACATCTTGTCCTCCCGTGTACCAACCTCCGCCATAGAAGAAGATGACAACCGGCAATTTAGTGGCGTTCGTGGGTGTCCACAGGCTTAGCGTCAGACAGTCCTCACCGGTTTCCTTGTTTTGGATACTGAGTTCAGGGCAATCCATATTCTCCAGGTTGGGGGTGAGGACCTCGGGTTGCGTACATGACCTCCCATAGGCGGTCGCGTTGACGGGCGACGAGAACCTTTTAGCGAGAGGAGGCTCCCAGCGAAGATCGCCGACTGGCGGCTGTGCATAAGGTATGCCCAAGAACTGACGGACAGACGAGAAGTTCGCGTCGATGAGGCCGTTGACAAGCGTTCCACATGGCAGCTTTACCCTTGTGTATCTCTGAGGATACGAAGCGTATTGCCCACTAGCGATCCATGGTAGGGAGAGCGATAACAACAGGAAGGGACGCATGATCGCTAGACTGGAAGCTGCGTGGGTCGGAACACAAAGGAAAGGAAGAGACGACGTGACAGCGAGCGTTCAAAAGGCATCTTTATTCCTTCGCAGTTCACGTAGTCTCATCGAAGCGACTTACAAACGACTATCGGGAGCCAGGACTTCCATCATTCTTCCTGACCCTAACCCTTACAGCAAACCAGTTAAGGTATAGCCTCCCCGTAGGCTAGCTGCCATTGGCCTTACACTTGCGCGAGGGCGGCCTCAAGTGCGCAAATGTGCTCATATAGATTGCTCGTTAATCTAGTGCGATGACAACGGACGCAAGCCTGGTTTCCGTACCGGTGGACGGAGATTCGGTGACGGGCTAGGCTAGGAAAAGTTAGCTTGGGGGCCCGTTACTACGCGCCATGTTGAACCCTTCCATCGTTCCAGGAGGTGATGTGAAAATGAACATTCAAGATTTAAGACGTGCGATGCTGGCAGAGACGATTCAGTACCCGCCAAGTTCTAGAGCTGCAAGAGAAACAATGTGTTTGCGATCACACTAAGTCTGTCTTTCCCCAGGCCCAACACCGCGCAAGTGCACTCATGATGCGTGCTGGTACCATGAATCGCCTTTCAGCAAGCAGTCGTAACGACAGTAAGGTATAGCAGAGAGCTGTTAAAATGATTTGGTAACCTGGTATGCCTCATTGTGGTCCCAACGTCCGCTGGGCCGTACCGAAACTTCAAAATGACTTCTTCTCCAACGACTTTCGTGAACCACACTTTCATGTTAAGAGTCTTTATAGTTCCCCAGGAGTGTTATCTTTCCAAGCCAGACACTATTACAGCTTCACCACACAGCAGCTTCCAACTCAAGACACTTCCACACCACCTACCAAACTCACCCAAGGACTCTCATCATGAGCCAAAATGCCTTCCAATCTCGAAACACTTCATGACGCGCTCACAGCGCGCTCTATCGCCTGTACCCTCAGCGACGAAGACTCTTTCATACTGTCCTTCACCGCCACACCCCTCTCCTACACCCTACGCATTGCAGGCCACAGACCCAGCACCATAGTCCTTGTGCTCAACCTCTCCACATGCGTCACACTCCTCTACGCTCGCTCGCACGGTGCAACCCAGGCGGCGTCAGATAGAACGGACATGCTGGTGGAGGCAGGCTACGTCGGGGTGCAAGAGGAAGACGACTTCATGCCGCAGATAATTCGGTTGTATGATTTGTCAAAAGTGCAGGACAGAACAGCGTTGGTGAAGCGCATACTGCTGATGCGGGATTTGGAGAGGAAGTTCAAAGCGCCGTTCGAGGAGGGGAAGTGGATGGGAAAGCAGAAGAGTTTTTATAGCGGTTACGCCGCCTGATTCACCACCCAAGGGTGCTTTTGCGAAAAGCTGGGTGGATGTGGAGGAGGATGAAGTTAGTAACATGGGGATGTACGCCGGGACGCTGCGAGAACTTGGGTGTTAGAATGGTGCAAAATCTTCGTATAGTTTCTCACATGTGCTACTAGTTTTAATGCATTTCGTATTACCTGGAGTTGACTGGTAGCCAAAGTGTGGCCTGGGTCAACATGTGCGCCCAAGCTTATGTAGTGGCACTCTACGCTGTAATTAATCGCATTGCCTTTCGTTGTATCCATAAAACACCAATGGGTATCATGCCATCTCAAAACGCCGTTCACTATGCACCTTCGGCACTCCTTCGCGCCTCGTTCACGCCGCCCAGCATGTTCCCCAGCCAGCCCTCGTTCCTTGGTCGACGGCCCGGCCGAAATTTACCAGCAGAGTCCTACTCGTACGTGTTCTCATACGGATCCGCGTCGTCTACATCGTCATCTTCGCCATTGTCGAAATACTGCTCGGCATTGTAGTCGTCGTCCGCCTCCTCCGAATCACTCGACACGGCGGACCAGTTATCCTCGTCGTCACCCTTCTCTTTCTCTTCCTCGTCTTCAGCGGCCTCGTCCTCGTCGAGCTCGTCGTCTTCGTCGTCAGCGCGCGCTTCGGCTTCACGTGTGCGGCCCTCCTCCTGCTCGATGTGCTGCTGGATGGAGGACTTCTCATTGATCTTGGTAGTCACGGCGAGGACGCGCTTCTTCTTGCTGCTGCCGCGATCGAGGTACTGGCGGAGTTCGGGTGGGAATAGCTCGTGGACTAGCACGGGTGTAAGCGGATGTGCGCATTTCGTGCCATGTACGCGAGCTCACCGAAGGGGCGCGTGTCAAGCTTGGGCACCTTGCGGACCCGCTTGTGATATCTGGCCGAGTAGGTCTCGTTGCCGACGAAGGGGTCAAACAGCGACTCGTCGGTAGGAGCCATGTCGCCAGCCCTGCGCTTGAGGCCCGTCTTCATGCCGTCGTTCAGGACGGTGAAGAAGTCGCCGTTGTGGACACGGTCGCGGATGGCGATGTAGTGCTTCAGCGTCGTCTTCTCATAATCGGACGGCGGAGGCGCCTGTGCTGGCGGGGCGCTCTGTCTGGTGTCTCAGCAGGTGTCGAGTCGCGCGGACAGCCGGCGCATCGGCGCAATCAAGTGAGGCCCTCGCCACGAATCCATGGCCCGGAAAAAGCACGCAGAATCCAGAACTTACAGGAAACAAGTCGCCGGGTCCTTTCTGGAGCTCGAGGCCCGTCAGGTCCCAGGCCATCTCGGTGCCTGCGATCATGACTGTGCCTGGAGCGCTGCGCTGCCCGCCGCCGCGCGCGCCACCGCGTCCTCCGCGAGACATGATGATGTTACTTGGTGAGTGTGTGCTGTAGAAAAGTTGCGCTTCAGGTGTGGAGGCCGCGCAGCCGACGTCAGCAGACGTTGGGCAAAGTCATGGTCGAGTCAAAAATTTAGGTTGCGCGACCCTGCAGCAGCTCCAGCCGCGGCCTTTGCTTGGTGGGGCACCGCCGCCGAATGCCCCGCCCGCGCTCTCTCTCAATCCATCATACCCCAGCTACTGTAACTTTGCCCTCGGTACTGCCTCTGAGGGCGGTATCCAGTCGTCGCACTCGCTACACAGCGAGCGAGCCTTGGCCCATCCCTCACACTCGGGACCGTACCTCAACAGATGGCCCCGCACTGAAAAAACTGTTGCCGGACGAGACAGGCCCACGCCTACTGAGCACGCGCCCAGGCCCTTGCACAACGCGCAGTCACATGAGAAGAGCCAGAACCTTCTACTATTGGTTGTCAGCCTCTACACATTACCTACCCAGCTCTGCTATCCACTGCCCAACTCCTTCGTCTGCATAGCCCTCCCAACATGGCGCAGGCTCCAGCTGCTCTCTTCGCGGAGCTCTCTGCACACTTACAGGCGGTAGACGAGGACCCAACCACAACACTAGACGCAGATCTGCTGGAGAAATGCGCTCTCTTTGCAAGCACTGCCGACTACCGAGCACGAATATGGCAGGAAACAGGGCCCCTGTTTCTCCAAATCGCCGCCCTGTTGCCAAAACTCCAGCAAGATCCATCGCCACTCATCCACTTCGTCGTCAAGCTGACTGCGCCATATCGGTTCGAGCATATCAAGGATGTTGACTTCGAGATTGGTTTAGACTTGCAGGCGACGCCAGTTCATGCTCTCATTCTCACTCTCCTGGAGAAGGCGGCTGCAGGAAGCAACGATGCGCAAGCACTTGCCAATCGACCAACCGTAATGGCTGCTGTCGTGCGCCTGTGGCTTTGCACGTCGAATACCGGGGTTGCCACCCAGGCTGGGGACCTCCTTATATCATTACTACGCGCATCAAAGAACGAACCAGCCACCGTCTCTGGAGAAGCACCACTGCACACTTACGGCGCTGGTCCGATGTGGAGACGTTTGTTTGCCGACCGTGACATTGTCGCTCTATACTACCACTACACCTCTTTAAAGACTCTACCCAGTCCGCCGCTACCTTTTCTGAGCAAGCGGGACAAGACGGTTTCGCAGGCACGCCTCTTGACTTGGCTACCCAAAGTTGGGGCGTTGGACTGGAGCACCATCACCTCAAGTCTTGGACTGGACATTGAAAAGGAGGTTGGGCTAGCTGAAGGGCAAGGGCTGCTTCATTATGCTTCATCGAAGATGGTGGACACGGAGGACGATATTCTGATGCACATGACGCTCATCAACTTCTTCCGTGATCTTATTGTCACGGTCAAGACAAAACCCCACCTTACGTATGTATCCCTGCAACGTCCAGCAAATGCAGCTAACGAGTCCCAGGCACTATGACTCCAGTCTGTCGTTGGACTTCTTGAAGGAGCAAAACATACATAAGCACATCATCGATTTCCACATCAGTGATAACCCTGGTCTTGACCACTCCTTCCTAAGCCCACGTACAGCGCAGTACATCAGCGAGTATGCAAGCACCTACCCAGAGAACTTCGAGAACAGTGCCGAGCTACCGGCCGTGCGAACATATCTGCACCGCAACATCCGCAAATGTGAGCCGCACGACCTCAGCATACTCGCCGCGATGCCGCGTGCTACACTCATCCCTCGTAATGGCACGGGCCTCGCATGGGACGACTGCATTCTGCTCGACATTCCTCTGACTCGCACGAACCCCGACGCACTGAAGACATTGGCCGCTGTATTTCACGGACCCCCAAAGCAGGAGATTACCTTTCCACAAATAGAGACTATAGGTCTCGACGTCAAACGCATAGAGATCGAGTCTGTCTTCGCCCGCCTTCTCACCTCTCAGTACTACAGCAAACACCCCTCCTTGTTTTCCGACCTCGTCACGCACGCTTCCACAATAGCAATGAAAGAGAACGCTTTGGCGGCCCTCGTACTGCTTCGTGCTATCATCACATCATCATGGTCGACAACACCTCTCCCAGATCTCATCCCGGCGTCCAATAGGACGTATACCCATCTCCAGAACTTTCCTCGTACAGGCCTCGATCTCATTCTGGATCCCGCCCGCAGCGGCAGCGTTTTGCCTGCGCTCCTGAAGCCCGCGACAACATTCTCTAATCTTGTGGGTGGGAGAGGCGACGCAGAGAATGCAGCCTACCAGGTCGCGGTGGCACGCTTCGACGTGCTGAAGGCGCTGGGACAGAGGCTGGAGCAAGATGGCGGCAGAGACGATGTGCTCCAGATGATCAGGCGGCGTGTCAGTGAGGGTCCGTGGGGCGTTGGTGGAAGCGGGGGTAGCAGAATAGGAACCTTGGACTTGTGAGCGTGGGACGTTCCAACTTCCAACATATTGGAGGATGGGGTTAGCTTGTGCCCAGCACAGTGCGACAATCAGATGAGCATCAAAGCTATACAAATATAGTCCCCAGAGATACATATAAACCTGGACAGCCTCGCAAATCAAAAGCCCCATAGGCCCAGTCGGGCATGATTGACCGTTCGGTGAAATCGTTTGGGTTCCCAGGGATCTGTCGGAGCAGCCGTCGTTGAACACTAGCTCTGCAGGAAAGCTACCGTAGAACTATAGTGCAACTTCCGGGTTCTTTTCTCTTCTTTCTACGCATAGGTTTGGGGGTGCTGTTCGAATCCCTGGCGTTGGCTGTAGAACGGTCCCTCCTTTCAACCCGACCTTCCTTCCTTCTCCTCATTATATAAGACAAGCTGCTCTTGTCTACAACCTTCATCACACTACTCACCTCATCCCGCCATTTCTAACTCTTAATCGAAGCTCTTCATGCTATATTCCCGTATTTCTATAATTGTTACTCCGCCTTGCAGAGACCTCAAAGTTCGCTCTATTCTGCCAGGATCAACTTCCCAAGCTAGGACATACACGACAGAGAAGCCAAAGCAATGTATGGTATCATGCGTCTATATCAAGGGCTACAAGGGTTTCCCATAATGATAGAGTTTGGAGGAAATATCAGTCTGAGGAGAAAGTATGGCGGCCCTAACAGAACGATGCCATCGGCTCCAACAGCCGCACTAGGGAGACATGTTATAGAATTGAGCTTGCGAGCTTTGACTAGGTGTCTATCTCGCACGTTCTGAAGACTGCGCGCAGAGTCCCTCGACGCTGACAAAAGATATACGAGCGCATTCAGGAGGTCGACTAATCCCAACCTAAAACTCCCGTCGGTGAGCGTTTGACAGGAAAACTGACATACCTTTCCAAAGCTTGGTGAACGTCAACACATGCTCTAGAGTGTCTAAGTGCTTTTCTTCACGCACAAAGTTTCTCGGGCGGATATTCTTCACCAGAATGAAATCGAGTCTCCTCATCTCCGAGTTTCCTTCCAAGACGCAGACCATAACAACTAGTCTCGGGACGCCAAGCTGTTTTTCAGATAGATCCGTGATCCATGCAGCCCATTCATCACTTCAGCATGGGCCAATAAACGATTTCACAACCAGTTCCAAGATCAGCCCAGTCATTCCTGTTACAGAAATGTACCGGTCCGCGCAGAGACACTACTGTCACTGCTTCCACCTGTCTCTATATAAATACCCGTCGCTGACTCTTATCCGCCACTCTCCACTATAGAATATCCTGGATACTTTGCTGTGTCAGGGATACGGGAACGATATCTACGATTCTCCGCTCTCAAGTACTTTACGAGCCAAGAACATAGGCTAGTTTTTCTGTCACTTGAGTGTATCCCTACCACTCACACCTTCAATAGGGTATCGTCTCACACCACGAGCGCCAATCTCCCCACTCTCCCTACGGAACTCTTGCAGCAAGTCGTAGAGTATACTCGGGTCGATGATCAGATTGCGAAAGGCACTACTATTCCTGCGCTACGTCTGACCTGCAAAAGCCTTTACGTTGAAATGAACCGCCTTTGCTCCAAGCTCCATTCTGCTATGTTAGCGAATGCAGTCTTCGACCCTGGGTATTGGGACAATGCTATGGATGGAATCAATCCACCAACGCTTTTCGACCGCTGCGCTTGCTATCATTTTAAGAAGTTTCAGACACTCGGTGTTCCTCATCAAACACACAGTGCTCCCCAAGAACGCGTGGTACAGTGGTATGACGCCCCCATCTCACAAACGTCCCAGTCAGCCGCCCACTCGTTCGATGCCTGAACTTTCAGTACTGCCGCACGTTCATCATCTCTTGCCCTGTCCCACACTGCGGGCAGCGGCATTCTTGACTACTGCTACATTTGTATTTCCGTACCACGGCAAACAAAGGGATAATGATCGGTGAGCCTAGGGATCGAACTCTCGCGTGTTCGACTTCCTTTGGGCATGGAAAAGGTGCCAGGCAGGTGGTCCATACATTAGTGCAGATTGGGGCAATCACAGAACGGCGTTACTTGAAGACAGTGTCGGCGGTTATCAGGTGACGATGACCGCGTGTCAGCATCAGTCGTATGCTTTCCGATTATGCAGCGGCGAGACTTGCGGTCGAGTCGCGGTGTCTATATTTATTCAGACTGGATAAGTTTGGGCTTCATTTGCGACAGAAATTCTCCAGGGACCGTGGTATCAGGAACGCGGGGTGTCATTGATTGAACGTGTTGGTGAAGGCTGGGTATCGCACATCTAGACATCCACCATTGTGCTTTTGGCAGCTCACGGCGAAAAACACTATAGCGCAAGTATGATTCTGCTAAATTTCCAGGCTCGTATAATGAAAACACCGCAATGCTTATCAATTCATTTCTGCCTCGTCTCTCCCAGCGAACGTCCTGCTATCCTCGTTCGAACACTCCACATTGGCCATAAGCTTCTGCTCACCATCTACACTTGGTTACTATGGGCGCTATAATTGAAGATTCTGCTCCGCTTCCGCGCAGGCTTCCGCCCCCGCACCTTCGCTCTCGCAGCTCGTATAGGCGCCATGCTGCGGCCGGTGCTCGTACGAGTTCTGACCACAACCTCGCCTCCACAATCTGGAGGGTCATGATTGCAGTTACAGACCCTCCTCCAAGATACCTGTATCACTCCCACTAAGCCATAGCAAAGCCGGGAATCTCGCGGAAGAGGCACTTAGAAAACTTGACTCGATACAGTCCTCCGAGCGAACAAAGCAGAGGTCGCGTGTCCCAGGCAAAATCGCAAGATCTCAAGCGCAGGAACGACACAACAACGCTACTCCCCTCGGGGTATAAGTTGCGCGAGATGGGAACTCTACAGCGAGTTGAGTAAGCCGGGCTAACTGCGTTGGGATGCTAATGTGAAAGGTGGTTGGTGGTGGGTCAGTTGACGGCACAGTAGGGCAAGGTGTACGTCCTAGTGTGTGGGGATAGATGACATAAGATAAGACGAAGATAGGTGAGGTACACCAAAGTGAGGCATGAGAAGGTTCCGCCGGTGTATTATGCACGGCGGACGAACGAGGTGGGTTTGCACATTGGCTGAGTAAGACTGAGCGGATGTACGCGGAGATAACTACGGCGTGGGCTGGAAGATTGTGTGAAGTTTTGTTGTCGTGCTCGAAGACGCATGCCACTGGTTGGCGTGAAGATAGGGGAGCGTTCTCGTACGAACTGAATTGCTGCGTTCGAAGGCATACACACCTGGCAGATACAACCTGTGGTTCACCCGGTTGTTCGGTGCATTTTCAAAATGGAAAGCCATGCTGTCCCCTATTCGTTACAAACCTCCGAAAGGTGTGTTGAATAAGGCGGATCCATCGGGTCCCGAGTTCTGTAGCGTCGATCGTCGATCCCATGCGCCATCGGATTGTGTGTGTGCGATTGAACACATGGGTCAATATCAAGTGCACTGGCTTCCTGCCAATCGAGGCACGGCGTTCGTATTAAACAGGGCGTATGGATACCTTCCGTAATACATGACTCATCCCTTGGTGATGACCGGTTGGGGGCTATATTTGAAGATGGTGTGTAGGCTTGGGATTTGTAACCGAGCTAAGCTCATTGGAGGGTTCAATGGCTTGTGCGATCTCTCTTGCGACGAGTCAATATAGAAATCGTTTATCACTCGTTCGCACCCTGATTACTCACGTTCTCTAGAGGGATTCGGCGCAGCACGGACTTGCATGCCCCCACGTGAAGGGAGTCGTTTCAATTTGCGAAGACGGTGGGAAACCATCGGTGGGCGTATGAGTAAACACACACTCGACCGAATTATCCAGGCCAAAGATGACTTCATCGACAGTAATTCGAAAACGGGCCCCCTGTTGTATTAAGTCGCGAGGTATTCAACAGCGGTATAATTGAATAGCTCTACAGACGAAGACCGATGGTGCTTACTCGCGCGGTTGCGGCCACAGCCGCTTTCCCGCTTTATCCTACACGCCACTGCGAGGAGGTTCGGGGGGCCGACGGAAGGCACGCATGGGTCAATAATGCAGCATCATCGCATACGTTCGAACAAAACACCTGGCTATTGTTGGCATGCATAATCTGTAGGGGACGCCTCATCCGTATTGACGCATCGTTCAGTCGATCCTGTCAGCTTGTAATGTATGAATTTCATTAAGACAGACTTCTGGTTCACTTCTTGAGACCAATTTCGTCAGCAGTCTGGTCACAGAATTCGGCCATCTCGACATCCTTGATGCTGAGCCCCTCCGGTTTGTGGGTAGTCCATTCGATGGTTACTTGGGAGTACAAATTATGCCAGGACGGATGGTGTCGCTTGACCTTGCATTCATCCGCAACAATTGACATAAAGCGCCACGCCGAAGCAAAACCCGGGAATGTAAATTGACGCGTGATGCCTTTATTTGATGGCGACAGCTTCCAATTAGAGAGCTTCGTCAGACGCTTGGGTAGGTCGGACGGTTGCTTGGCGGAGAAGACGACTCCTGCAAATTGATTGCTGTCGACATCGGTGTTGTTTGAAGAATGCGAGGTTGCGAGGGTGCGAGGAGCACACAGCACCCAACGACGAGAATGGCACAACTCGAGAGATGCGCGTGGTATCAGATGATTTGGTAGAATTTGACTCTGAAGTTGGCGCCGTAAAGATGCCCACGGCGCGGCGCGCAAGACGCGTCCGAAGACCCTTGGACTGAATGTCAGAGGAACGTTAGGTTCTGAGGTAGTCATGGAGATGCATGAGGGCCTTGCAGATCTGTCAGTCGACCCGCTTTCGGTGAAACGTACTGAGGTTGCGCCGCAAGCATGCCTGCCAATGTTGTCCACGGCTTGTTTCGACAGCAGTAAGAATGGCAATGACCGTTATAGCTGCTCGAAGAGTGATGCAGCACGCGATGCAGGGGCCAGAATGGAAATTGGCCTATGTCAGCGGCCCCCCAGAGAAGGCAAATGCCGTTGTAGGTCGGGCGAGAGATGATGGATGGTGGTTGGATGTGAATGCACGACGCTGCAAGGTGAAGGGATCAAAGTCCGCTGGGAACAAAGCGCGCTAACTCGCCCCGCAAAGTAATGTGCTACGGCACGACCAACTCGATGCAGAAACGGATTTTGGTGTAGCTAGATGTATTTCTCGCTCCGTCTGCGTGCCGCAGCGACGAGCGACTGGTTACTGAGCTGTACATGTGCGACGAGGGCACTAATCAAGACGCACGGAGCAGAGGTGACGATACTTGGAATAGCTCTACAGAGAGCAACACAATGCAACCAAGCCAAGCTGCTAGCAAAGAATACCCAAAGCGATGGGGCAGCAGTAGCGGATGCCCTCGGATCCAGGAACTTGCTGCTGCCGTAATGCAATGCATGCGGCATGCGTGCTAGCGAGGCACACGCTACTGGCGGAGCTCGCATGTCGTATGCTCCATCTAGTGACGACCGGATACGAACAATGTCCGGCAGACGCCAAGGCCAACGCCGTGAAAGAAAGTGTATTGGTCAGCAGTAGCAGCGTGCAAGACGCGCTGGAGCCGTGTCACGCATAATCGTCCAGAGTGCAGGCTTTTGGTGGCCTGCTGCCAGATGGGGTAAACGGAGGGATCACTATACGCGCGTAATGAATCGACGCACTGGGCCATGGGTCGCGTCTGCTGCGGCGTGGATGGAGGTGGTTGTCGGCTTGTTGGTTAGGTTCCAGGCATGGCCGAAGGGCCGAGGGCAGCGCGCGCAACCCATTACTTAAGGCGGCTGCTCCCCAACTTTGAACAGTCACCCATCAGTCATCAACCATTGACTAAGCCCAGCCGATTCCATCATTCGCGAGCGTGAGTACCTCCGCCCCAATGCGCCGCCCGCCCTCCACCTCTGCAAACATGGACGTCAAGTCCGCTGCGGTCGCGGGGCGCGGCGGACCCTGCCTGTGCCTGCATGGACCGCGAGGCAAGAGCTAACCGCCGCCAGCGTGCCTGCCCGCGCTGCCCTCCACGAGCACAGCGCGCCTGCCACCTCCACCTCTCTACGATCCGGCCTCCATACCGCACCACGCATACGGCCGCGCTTTGGTTGCTCTCAATTGGCGTCAACCAGGCTGCGTCCTCTGCCGCTCTCTCCGTCTCCATTGATGCCGACCGCCCTGCCCACGCTCTATCCAAGCATCCGCACCTATAACATGCAGCAACCGCCGGCCACTCACGTAAGCATGCCGTTGCCCTCTTGCTGACCTGGCCCGGGGCACGTCCAAGGACATGTGCTGACTACCGCAGGACCCAAAAGCGCCCACCATCGAGATGAGTCAGTCAAGTCCTCCCGTTTCCGTCGTCCAAGCCGCGACGTCGCGAAGCCCGATTACTAACACGCCCGCTGCACAGGCCTAAGAGAGCATCTGCTTGCTGCTGGCGCCGGCCAGAGCAGTGCGCCCCAACCCATGCAGCAACACCCTCACCAAAGTCCCCAGCAGCACGCCATCGACCCCGCCATCGCCGGCCAGCAGTACCAGATGAGCCAGGGCGAGACGGCCCATATGGGCGACCAGGGCCAAGCCAATGCGAAAGGCCGCCGCGAACTGAGCACATCGAAGCGCGCTGCCCAGAATCGCGCCGCACAGGTCTGCACCACCGCCTTATGACCCTGAGCTTCACTGACTCTCCCAGCGCGCCTTCCGCCAGCGCAAAGAAGAGTACATCAAACAACTCAAGGACCAGGTCAAAGAGTTCGAGCAGCTGTGCGAGCTTTACAAGACGCTCCAGACCGAGAATTATCAGCTCCGTGACTACATCATCAACCTCCAGTCCCGTCTTCTCGAGACCCAGGGCGAGGTCCCACCGGCACCGGCCGGCGTCGACCTTTCACGCCATGGCGAAGCGCCCAACCCCAATATGAACCAGGCTCCGCCGCAGCCTCAGCCCGACCATCAGGCGCAATCGCAACAGAACACGAACAACAGCAGCAACAACGGTGGCCTCTCAGACAGGCAGATCGGGGAGCTCCAGATGGCCGCTCAAGCAGCAGCCGCTGCGCAGCACGGCGGTCCGTCTCTGAGCAATGGCAAGCATCCCAATGATGGCTCGCCTTTCTCAGGCGACTATGCGGACAAGCGCCAGAAGACCGGAGACTCTCCAGCTTCAGGTCAGCAATTCCAGTCACCATACCCCAATCCTTATGCTTAGAAGCAGCAGGAGCCACCGATCCAAACGGCTTATAGCACCAAGCCGAGGATGTTCTCTTAAATCTCTGAGACGTGGACTGCTAGGGGAATCCAAGACGCGGAAGCTTTCTACCGGCCCCACCTTGTCTCCATGTTTTGTCTATTCCACGACTCCATGCATTGCGCAGCCCGCGGCTGCCGGTAACGGTAATTTCTTATACACGGCGCTACACGGCGGGACCTCTATGTTATACCATATTTCTTGGGGAGGGATGTCTCGGGGGTTATTGTTCAGAATTAGTGACGCAGCCACAAGGTGACTTGAGGTTTCAATTATCATGATCGCACGCATCTGTATGTTTATGATTGTTGCAATACAGAATATGAGGCGGTTGCTTTCGAGTTGTTCCGCTGCAGTGGATTCGTTTGCACGGGAAGTGGCGAGAGCCAAAGAGCGGCCCTGAGACCCACTTAGGTAAGCCGCAATGCTTACTGAGCCGTAAGGGGTACTTGATAAAGCATGGCTTGTGTCATGTGTAGGTTGCTTCTGCTGTCCGAGTGCCCGAGCTCTCTTATTGAGCCGAGAGTGTCACGGGCTCATGTGGCGGGCTGCACTACTGCGGCAACCTGTTCTTCCACAGACAGACCGACCTGGCCTGGGTTGACGCCACCAAGTTGGATCGATAATGTACTGTACGTCACTTGCTAGCTTCTTGAGCTCGCATTGCTAGATGTGGACAAAGGTAAACATTGTCGGATCTGCACTCAATGATCAGTAAGCAATGCATGTATCGCAGCGTCTTGTGTGCCCCCGCCACTGATTAGTACACGAGCTTTGAATCGATCAGTTGAAAGCGTGATTGGGCGTGGTGATCGTGTGACTGTCGCTTTTGGAGTTGCCCGTGTCCATTGTGGGTGGGGCATGAAAGCTCGTCTCCAGCAACAGCTCGATGCACATGTGCGCAATCAGAGAGAAGGTGCCCTGTTGTGAGCTTGCTAGCACATGTGTCTTTGCGGTGCCAACGCATCTCGAATCGGATTGTCAGAACGGGAGCTATCCCGGTCACAATGTCTGCAAGAAGGTGCTGGTGGCTGCAGAGCCTGGGGCGTTTGAAGTGTCCTTGGAACTTCTGCCGGCCTGCATCGTACTTGGCGGTACATATGTACGGGTAGTGTCTGTGCCGCAGCACAGCCACGGTGCGACCATTTTCTTCCACTTCAACCTAAACTTCGCCGGTATGTTTGAATTGATCACGCTGAGGGCCAAGTTCCAGCATCTGTGGGTTCTTTGACACATGAGCTTGTGAGTTCACTCGAGTATCATCTGTACGCGGTACCGGTACTTCCAAGCCCACCGCTTGGTGTGCCGCTCTCTGCCACAATCCACGATGGTGAACTCCGCTTGTCTGGCTCCTTGTACAATTGGAAGATTTGTACACTTCGTGGCTCATGTACTTCGAATTCTGTATTTCAGGTATGGATTACGCTAGATTCCGGAATAGAAGGTCACTCATAGTTTGATTGTATGGGTTTCCAAAGCATAAAGAGGACGAATATGGAGCAAAGAATGCTATGTCTTCCCTATTTTGGCTGTGAGGTGCCACGGTACATCAAGCAAGATGTTACACGAGACCATATTAGTGAAGATCCAGACATGCCGCAAGCTTACCGCCGTGGTATCGCATGAATCCCTTCACTCCCTGATCATACGGGGGGAAGAAAGGAGCCTGAACTCGCCGCTGGAAGCGAAGTCCTTCCCTACCCCGAATCGAGATAGGTCCTGACAGCCGTCAGTGTAGTTCACGCAAGATCCCAAAGAACTTGCGAAATATATGACGAGTGGATAGAACTGACATACTCACACTCAGAAGTCGCTAGAGAATCCGCCCTTTTCAGCCTCAACCCTGGCTGCCTGGACGCGCTTCCTACGCGCCTGCCGCTTGGCCACAGCGCACCAGGTGGTGATGCACATGCCGACAACGACGAGGAAGACGAGAAGACACACGAGACAGCGGACCGTGGCGGGATTTTTCTCGTACGCCCGGGCAAAAACGTGCTTGATGACTACGCAAAGTCAATACCCAGAGGGGCGAGAGTGAGCTGTGGGTATACACACCTCCAGCCCGCTTTGCCAGCTTGCCATTGGGATTGCACTCGAAGAGGGTAGGGCAGTTTCCGGGGAGCCAATCGGGTGGCGGCGGCGGGGGAGGGTCGTCGGGCTTGGAGTGGTGGTGACCCATTGTGATGGCGTGTGTCCGCTTTGTGGGAGCGTGGGAGTGCGGTATTGTAAAAGAAGAGATCGCGTAGTGGATAGATGGAAAAGAAAGATTGGTGCAAATCATGACTTGAAATGTACTGCCTCGCTGGCAAACGGAGAGAAGCGAAGATCACGGCGCGGTGACGCAATCTCATCGTTCAAATTGCAGATATGGGGTTGATTTGAGAGGCGGTAGCGGAGATACCGCACATGGTGCTCTTGCGTGGCAGCGTGCGTTTGCACTGAGCAGATGAACGTGATCAATTGACCGGAAGATCAAGCACCTAAGTTAAGGCTAAGACAATGGTTATGACCGACACTGGCCGCTGGGCAGGAGCCAATCGTTCCTTCGTTCTCACTCATGCCGCCCTCGACACTTCTGCAGGATATGTGCAAAGATGGGATATAAGTGGGTGGCGGTCATATATTGTTAGACTGGCGGATAAGCATAAGTCTAATCCTCTAAGCATGCAGAATGTCAAATCGCAGACCTGCAATATCCTGAGCAGCAACCGCACATCAAACACTCTCACCATCAATCCTGAAAAACGCACTCATAACTCATTCATTGCCTTTGAGCCCCAAGCCCGCATTGTACTCTGGCAACGAGAGACACATTCACACACACGAGCAAGCAACTGATCGAACAAGGAAGGATAGAGGCGACTCGATATCAGTTGGACTACACAACCTGTATTCTCATCGCCGCGCCGCGCCAAGCCAAGCAAGCAAGCAAGCAAGCAAAGTCCTCCTCGCACTGCACACAAGAGACGCCGTTGCCGACCCGCTAAACAGAAAGAAGTAATTCCTATCATTCCACTCCAGTCCATTCCAATTCGTTGCTGCAATTCCCGTCCTCTTGCCTGTATGCTCACCCGCTGTAGCCACGACCTCACGCAACCGTCCTCGTGAAAACCGCAAAGACAGACCGCCATGCAATTGGTTGTATCGTTTCGTCGTCACACATGTGTCTCAACACGCGCGCTGAGCAGAGCTGAGCCGCGCTCAAGGGATAGCTGAGCAAGTCTATCTCGTCTTCTTCACCTCCGTCGCCCAGCCCTCGATCCCCTCCCCTTTGCTACCTACTGCGATGTCCAAGCTCACGCTCTCCATCCCCTTCGTATCCTTCAAGAACGCATGGCCTGCCATCCCGCCCGCATTCGCCCGATCCACAGGCAGCAGCTCCAGCATCGGCAGCAAGAACTCTGCGACCTTCTTGCTCTCCTCGCTCGAGAAGTGGTATTTCTCGTGAAGCACGTCGGGCAGCGCCCAGTGGCGTAATCGGTGGATGTTGCGCAGCTCGCCTTTTCTATTGAAGATTTCTTGCGACCATTTGCCGGACATGCAGAGGGATTTGGGGAAGGCGCCCAGCAATTCGATGATCTGAGCGATATGGTCGTCGTCTTTGCCGTATTTTGTGCCGGATTGCGGGTCAAAGAGGTAGTCGCCTGTTATGAGCTCGAATACCTGGAGATTGTTATTTCACTTTCGAGTGGGGAAAGCATCCGATCGGCATACCATAGCGGCCATACTCCACACATCGGTACTCGCACCCCACTTTCCGCCCAAGATGACCTCCGGAGACCTGTATTGCCGGGTCTGGATGTCGTTGGTGAAGTGATGACCGACCCAGCACGCGTTGCCAAGATCTGCAATCTTGACTGATATAGTCTCGAAAGAGACGTCTTCGGCAAGCTTCTCTGCGGTCGTCTCATTCTTAGAGGAACTGCCGCTTGATTTGTCCAGGCTTATACCCGATACTTCTTTCGTTAGGAGATCACTAGGCGATACGTTAGCTAGGACATCTTTGTGAGGTGGAGAAGCGTACGCAGTCTTCTCGCGCTGTTTCTGCACGTCTTCGTCGCTTGCTGGTGGCTTAAGTCCAAGTCTTTCTGACATGGAAAGAGTGGCCGAGGGTGATGATGTGCCTGTGCCGCCACTCATTACATTGCCGTCTTGCGTAGGCGGACGCAGCGTTGCAGGTGACTCACTACCGGTGCTGTCGCTCACAATCTTATTGAGACTCTGTGTGCTGCCGGGGAAGCTGGCCAAGTCGGAGTGACTGAAGCTCGCATTGAGGGGACTAGGGAGCGGCTGGCTGCCGGTGATCAGCGTTCTACGCCTTCGCCGTCCATTTGGATTATTCCGCTCGCTGTCCTTTTTAAGATCGTCCTTGACGTATGTTTTTACGATCTGCTCGACGTCGCCGATTTCAATGAGCACGTTCTCCGGTTTCAGATCAGTGTGAATGATGCCACACTCGCGGTGGAGGTAGTCGAGGCCTAGCAATACTTGTTTCGTGATTTGCTTGACGAGCGGCATGGGTATGCCGCGATGGTTCCAGCGCTTTATGAGACCCAGCAGATTCTCTCCCAGCACCTCAAAAACCATGCACACATGCACACCATTGGGGCCTTTGTGGTTGAAGGAGTCGAGGAGGCTGACGACATGGGCGCGACCGGGATGGTCCTTGTTCGCGTCGACAACCTTCTTCAGCAACTTGATCTCGTCGAGGGCGGTCTCAGTGTAGTGAGCGGCGGAGCGGACAACCTTGAGGGCTACGTGCTTGCCCGTGGTGTTGTCGCGAGACAGCCAGACGGTGGAAAAGTGGCCCCAGCCCAGCTTGCGCACAATTGTATACTTGCCATCCTTGTACTCCTCGCCGACCTGAACGGGGTGGTAGCCGCCTTTGCAGTAGTCCTCGCTGTCCTCCTCGTCGGCCGTGTTCTCGGCCTCGTCGACCGACGACGACGAACTCGAGGGCGAGTTGCTCAATTGGTTCGCGTACATTTTGTGGTGGCCCAGCGGGGACGCGGTGGAGGGGGGCTGCTGCACACTGTGGCGAGTCAGCAAAAATTCAAATCCAGCCTGTCAACAGCGCGCGGGGGCGCTGACGGCAGGCAAGGCGCACGCTGCGGGGCAGGTGAAGGGAAAGGAGCGCAGGGGACGGGCGACTGCACGCACTTGTAGTGAAAGGCGCCCGAGGCCTCTTCCTGCTGGTGGCCGTCGGACGTGGTGATGATGGGCTTGAGGTCGGCCTTTCTGCGCTTCTTGCCGCCGTTCCCGTTCGCGGCCTGCGCGACCTGCTTCGCCTTGTTGATGGCGGCCTTCTTGATGTCGGCGCCGTTCATCGTGTCCTGCGTCTGTGTGTCCCCGCCGCAAGCGCCAACTAGGGTGGTCCGCGCTGCTTCTGGGGCGCCGGGTGTGCTGAGATGCGGGTGGGCTGCGGACGCGGGCTCAGTTCATCGGGCATGCGCTGCGTGGGTGCGGAGCGGAGGTGTGTCGGGCAAGGCCAGCGCGCGCAGCAGAGCAGGCGTCGTCGTGCTGCACTGCACTTGCAATTGCTGGGTAGAGATGGGCTTCTAGCGCTCGTTTGTCGGCCAATCTTGGGCCGCACACCCCTGGCAGAGAGGGCGGGGTGTCTTTCAGAGCGCGCAACGCTGCGAAGCCGGGGCGGAAGACGGCGGAGGGATGTATCGAGCGAGCTGCAAGAACAGCGTCTGGTGAGGAGAGGGCAAGCGCTCGCATCGGACGGCGATGCTATGGCACGAAGCGCTGCTAGCTCGCAGGCTCGGGGGCGGTATGATGCAACCAGCTTGTTTTCCGGGCCAGCAGGGCTACGGCTACCCAACCTCCAAGGCCGGCGGGGCGCCGCCGCGCAGCACCCACTTCTGCACATGGACATGCAGTCGGCGCACGGGTAAGAGCACGCTGCGTTGCGCCACGAGCAGCAGCACAGCACTCGAGGATAGGCGATCGTACTATTACTTCCTTCGCACTGAGTGCAGCGTCGACAGCTGAGCCTTTGCCTGACCTGGTCGGGCTCGTGGCTAAGCGCCCAGCGGCTATTTCCGCGTGCTCCCCCACGCCCGTCAACTTGCCCTATGGTACATGAGATGCTTTCGGACAATGCGCCATGTCCACAGCAGAAGACACCTATATAGTACAGCCACATGCCATGCCCGGCTTTCCCTTGCTGGTCGTATTCCATCATCCGTCGCTATGCAACACAAACGCCCAAGAAACACCCGAAACAAGAAGGCGCCGCCATGATCACGCATCGACAACAGGGAGCAAAATCCGTGTTGTACAAATCCCGCTCTGCGATGCCCGACTACTTCGCGGAAATGGCCGCAGTCCATCGCTGTTCGTCTTTCCTGCGAGACGTTAGCGGCGCAGACCATCATGTTGAGGCCTCACTTACTTGTCAAAGTGCAGGAGCATCCCCAGCACGGGGATAAGCTGCTGCTGGTACTTCTTGTCCTTCTGTTCCAGGAACTGCAACAGCACGTTCTTCAGGTAGACATAGTCTACGGCTCCATCGCCGGCTTGTGCAGAGGGCACGCCGCCCTTGGGAGTAGGAGATGCGATGCGTGACCGAGCTGATTCGAGCGACGACCTTGATGACTGCACCGTGGAGTCTGCCGCCCGCGTCTTCAAAGCTCTGAGCTCGTCTGACATGGCCTTGCTCGACTTCTGGAGCTTCTCCAGCCGGCTCTGCGTCTCATCAAATGCGCGCCGTAGATCCACCTTCTCCTTCTCCAGGTCCCGCGTTTGCTTCTCGCTGTCGTCCAGTGCATCGCGCAACTGACTGAGCGCCGTACGGACCTCGGCCGCTTCTTCGTTGGCTTGTGCTGCTCGCCGTTCCAAGTCGTCCTTTTGGCGTCTGAGCTCTTTCTCGGACGAGGCCAAATCCTCCTTGTCTTCTTGGGCGCGCGTGACTGCACGTTCTGCGTCGCGAACTTTCTGTTTGAGCTCCTCCAATTCACGCGCACGTCGCCGACCAAACGAACTAGCTTGCTCTTCGGCTCGTTCCCTTTCCTCGATCGCAATGTCAAGGCGCTCTTGCATCTCCCTAACCCGCGCATCGGCGCGACCCTGCGCATCTGCCAGAAGCCTCCTCATGGTCTCAGCTTCACGACTGCGTTCGCTGAGTAGTCGGTGTGCGTCTGCGAGCTCCTCTTCCAGGCTTTCGCTTCTAGCGCGTACCTCCTTCATCTGTGTACCCATTTCTTGCGTGCTCATCTGCATGCTATTCATCAAGTCCTGTGCGCTTGCATACTGAGCAGACTTGAGTTGAATCTCGTCGCGCAAACCACCAGCTTCGCGTTGCAACTTCGCAACCTGCTTTTCCAACTCATCAATCGTATTGCGGGACTTCTTTAGGTCTTCTTGTATCCTGCTGAGATCTTTGGCGAGCTTCTCGCGACTTTCAATGGCGTCATTGCGATCACTTTCCGAATTTTGCAGATCGCGCTGGATCTTTCGGTTCGTCTCCTCCAGGGCGAGTCTCTGCGTCGTTTCTTGTTTGATCTTGTCGTTCAGTGTCTTGATGTCGCCGTCTTTATCAGACACCTGGGTTCGATAGGTCGCGATCTCAGACATGAGGTCTTTCTCGCGGCCCTCCAGACGCCGCAATTCCGAAGATTTCCTGGAAAGCTCCTCTTTGGTACCTCGCAGCTCAATAGCTTCCTTTCGTAAGGAGGCGAGCTCGGGTTGAGCCTTAGTCAGGATCTCTCGCATATCAGTGAGTTCTTTGAAGCGCGATGCAGCCAGCTTTTCTGCTACTGACAGGTCGGTCTGCAGCGAATCCGCCTTGGCTTTGAGTTCCGCAAATTCAGCTGCCAAGGCCTTCTTTTCCTGCTCGGAGCTCTCTTGCGCAGACTTGCCGGTGCGCAATGCTGCGATTTCCTTCTCCAGCTTATCGAGGCTCTCTTGCAGAGCTCCCTTCTCGGCCTGCAACTGCTTCACCTTGTCCTTAGCGTCTGTGTGCTCCGAGCCAAAGTCAAGTAGGTCTTGCCTCAAAGTTTCAATCTCCTCTCTCATTGCCTCTTCGTCCTTCAGTTTCTTGTGCAGGTTGTCGATGAAATTGCCTTTTTCTGCAACCTCGCTCTCCAGGCGCTCAATTGCAGCAATCTTCGCTTCCAAGTCCGATTTGAGCTGCGATACGGTCTTCTGCGCATCTTCCAGCTGCGACGGCGAGAACTCAGCAGCACTAGGGCTTAGGAGGGCACTGGAGTCCCCAGCCTCACTTGGCGTCTTCTCCACAGACGCTGCATCGGCAGCCTTGCCGCCCTTCTTCTTCTTTTTGTTCTTCTTTTTGGAAGAAGGTGCAGACTCTGTAACAGGTGTCGGTGGCGGTATGGAAGTCTTAGCCTCATCCGCACCCTTCTCGTTCGATGCTGCTGCGAGAGCCTTTTGAGCTTGCTTTAGTTCGCTTTGCGCCGTGTCACGTTGCGCTCCAGCATCTTTTAGTTGGTCGCGCAAGTTATTCACCAAGCCGCTCAGAGTCTCGTTGCGTTTGTCTGCGTTTGATTGAGTATCGCGGAGCTTCACAAGTTCACCCTCCAGGCGCTCCACTTCCTTTGCTAAGGCCTCTCGATCATGATTCTCAACGAGCTCTTCTCCCCGGGTCGAATGTAGCTCTTCAAGCTCCTTTGATGTAGAATCCAGCTTTTCGGTGAGTTCCGTGAAAGTCTTTTCTTGCGCACTGTAATCGTCTTTTTGTTTTGTAAGTTCCTGTTCGGCAGTTTGTAGCTTGCTCTGAAGATCATTGATCGTCGAACCGAGCTCCTTCTGGCGATCATCGTTCTCCTTTTGCGCGCGCGTGTACTGATCCTTGAAGGTCAGGAAGTCGTTGGTAGTTGTTTCGAGATTTTTCATGAATGATTCTGCCGACTCCTGTGCTACGGAGAGCTCCTGCTTTAGTGACTGGTTCTCTTTCACAAGCTTCTCAGCCTTATGTTCGCTTTCCTTCAGCTGTGATTGAAGTCGAGGTAGCTCGCTATCGTAAGAGAAGAACTCTTCGTCCTCCGTCGCTTCGGTCTCTTTCGAAGACTTCGACGGTGATGATGGAGCGGCAGATTCTGTCTGGACAGTGGAATCGTCCGTGGGTACTTCGTTCGCTGCAGCCTGGGCCTGCAATTTCTCCACTTCCTCCGTTGCTTCTTTCGCCTTCTTTTCCGCTTCTCCCAGCTTCTTATTCATTTCGTCTCGCTCTTTGGAAACCCTCTTGAGCTCTTCCATGAGCATATCGCTTTTGACATTCAGCTGGGCGAGATATTCTACGAACGCCGCAGGTTCGCTGATTGACGTTAACGGAGTGTTCTCGCGAAGGGAAGCCTCAAATGCTTCAATCAGGCTAACTCGTGCGTGAGCGATGCGGTAGGAGCGAAGCAATTCTAACAGATGATTAGACGCGACACAATGCACAAGCGATCGCACTGACCAGAGTATTTAGGTTCGAGCTTGTCCAGTTTCCTTAACCGAGCTCTTGTTTCTGGAGGTATCTCAGGCGCCGGCGGCGTGTTTCCTTCCGCGGCTTCGGCCTTCCCATTCTCCTCCTTCCCTTGTCCCTCGCCCGTTCCTGTCGCGTCTCCATCCTCAGCCTTCTCCTTCGGACGCGGGGTACCGGCTCTACTCGGCTGGTCATCTTCTTCGCCTATGACAAATTCCGGGTCGAACTCTGAGGGATCGGGGCCCTTCCCCGTGGACCCTGCCTTGCTAGGGCTATCGCCATCCTTTCCCTTGAGCGGTCGCTTCGACGGCGAAAGATTGCGCGAACTTGAGCGCTTGGGGGTCGATCCTGACCGCGATCGTGACGTCTGGGCAGAGGCGCGCTGCTTTGCTTGCTCTTCAGCTATTCGGGCATCAAGTGCACCCTTGATGCGCTGAGGTCTCCATTAGTCGTGAATACAAAAGCACATGAAAAGTAGTACCTGAAGGCCTTGGAACATGTTCGCGATGTACTATGTTATTCAGAGATAGAAAGAGATCGGATCCAGCATCTACGGGGTTGCCATGATCCAGGTGTCCATTGCGCGGGCGCGGCCAAACCGCACTGCGTGTGAGACGACGTTTCTGGGGCTGCAGGGGTCACCACGCTAGCGACCACTTTGGTAAAGCCCGGATCCTGGCGTCGACAAAATAATTCGATTCTTTCGTGAGAGCACCTCTGCACCCCGCAACACATACACCATGACATCTGCGCAGGTACAGATCAACCTGCCTCTGCCGGTCCTGCCTGCGGGCTGGACTGCCGAGAAGGACTTCAAGCCTGTCGGATCCCTTAGCCATGCGATCGACCGCAACATCGAGCCCGTTGGGCCCCATTTCCTCGCCCATGCGCGCAGGGTACGTAATGCTGTAGACAGTATCTGGCCATCGACTAATTACATTCTACCATACAGAAGCGACACAAGCGCACCTTCTCCGAGGACGACCGCATCCAGGCCCAGGCCAACGTGAAGAAGATCGAAGACGACGACGAGGGCGAGATCAGCGAGCCTGAGGACCCGCTTATGCTCCAGCGCGAGGCCAAAGACTGGAAGGGCCAGGACCACTATGCCGTTCTCGGTATCACGAGGTACAGATGGCGTGCCACCGAGGAGCAGATCAAGCGTGCCCACCGCAGGAAGGTCCTCAAGCACCACCCCGATAAGAAGGCCGCTAAGGGCGGAACCGAGGACGATCAGTTCTTCAAGTGCATCCAAAAGGCCACTGAGGTTCTTTCCGACCCGGTCAAGAGGAGGCAGTTCGACTCCGTCGACGAGGCGGCGGATGTTGAGCCACCGTCCAAGTCGGAGACGAAGAAGGGCAACTTCTACAAGCTCTGGGGCAAGGTCTTTGAGGCTGAGGGTCGTTTCTCGCGTCAGCAGCCCGTGCCGAAGCTCGGCAACGAGAAGAGCAGCAAGGCGGAGGTTGAGAACTTCTACAACTTCTGGTACAGCTTCGACAGCTGGCGAACCTTCGAGTACCTTGACGAGGACGTTCCTGATGACAACGAGAACCGTGACCAAAAGCGTCATGTCGAACGCAAGAACCAGAACGCTAGACGCAAGAAGAAGACCGAGGACACTGCCCGTTTGAGAAAGCTTGTTGACGACGCCTTGGCCCTCGACGAGCGTATCAAGCTCTTCCGCCAGCAGGAGAACGCGTCCAAGAACAAGCGCCGTCTCGAGAAGGAGGCCGAGCAGAAGCGTCTCGCCGAGGAGGCTGCCAAGGCTAAGGAGGAGGAGGCCAGGCTCGCTGCTGAGAGGGAGGCTGCTGAGAAGGCACAGAAGGCCGACAGCAAAAAGGCCAAGGAGGCTGCTAAGAACGCTGCGAAGAAGAACAAGCGCGTCATTCGTGGCGCTGTCAAGGATGCCAACTACTTCCACGGAGCTGGAGACGCCCCGGCCTCTCAGATCGACGGCGCGCTCAACGATGTCGATGTTATCATCACCAAGCTCGACAACGAGGAGATTGCCGCGCTGACGGCGAAGCTGAGCGGAGCAAAGGGTGCCGATGCCATCAAGCAGGTCTATCAGGACGAGGTCAAGCAGTTGATTGGCGCCGGCAAGTTGAAGGAGGGCGAGCTCAAGTCTCTGTCGTAGTAGGTGACGTAGCCGCCGTCTTGGTTACTTAGATAGGCTTTCTTTAGTAACATCTGCTGCACTCTTCAAGCACGATGCCAGTGCTATTGCTATTTTGACTCGCCTACACTAAAGTGTGATTGACTCTTTCGCTGGACATGGAGAGAGGCGTGAAGTAATGGATGGCCCAGGACTGGCCAAACTGCGCGGCTCACCCTCACCTGCCACGCCATGAAGTGCAGTGTGACACTGCAAACATGACATATCTGGGTTGCTGTCGTTCACCACCTGCATGTCGCCAAACGTTCACGTGCCTCGTGCAGCGCCCAGGCGGATCCACGTCCCCACGCTTGCCCAGGGAGCACAGCGGTCCGTTTGGGACTCTCGGCGCGGCAGGCGTGCTGGGCGCGACCTGGAGCAGCTTGAGTTGACTTGGAAGCAGCAACTGCCCAAACGGACCCTCAATCTATAGTCCATAACGCCCCCAAGCGCCGTCGGACAACCGCCCACCGCGACCGACCAACCTCTTCAGCGTTACGCTCAGTCGCCAATCGCACGATCCCCCGCCTGATCCCCCCCGCGCCAAGCCGAAGCACAGCAGCATCGTCACTTGTCGGAGCGCACGATTGCACGCAAGGATTTCGGCCGGCGCACTCTGGCATGCGCTTTGCGACCTGATCTGATCAGAGACCAGGATGAGCGGTGTTTCCCCCACGTCACTATCACGGAATGCCTCCCCAGCACCCCGAAGCTCGACGCCAGGCCGGACGGTGAGTCCACAGCTGCTGCCCGCCTCAGCAGGGCCGGAGGACCCCTCGCGCCGCCCGTCAATTCAGTTCAAGGCTCATGCCGACCGGTCGCACCCCAGAGGCAGCCCGCGCCGTGGCCAGCCTAGACGCCGCATATCGTCACCTCCTCCTCCCCCGTAAGTATTGGCTCGCTACGATTCCGCGTGCAGACCGCCCAGGCTTAGAGGCACGTTCCTGCACCTAGCTTCGCCATTCGTTATCATTGTCCTTCCTTCTCTCACTCTCAATAACGGATGGCCATGGCGGAGTATGCCCCACCGCCCGCGGGCAGCTCTAGGAGAGAGCACTAGAGTTGGGAGCCTCTTATGTTCCTCACAGTTGCTTCTGTTTATGAGCCTTTTGCTAACAGTTCCGCAGTGTGTTCCAACCTCGCGTATCCTTCGATACCTTCGACAAACCGGCCGATTTCATTGAAGAAACCTCGTTCACGCTCATAGCCAAACATAAGGACTACGAATACACAAAGCGCTCACGAACATTTCTCTGCGGCTGCGATGACAACTATTATTCCAACTATGCGCTGCAATGGTTGATAGACGAGCTGGTAGACGACGGCGACGAGGTCGTGTGCCTGAGGGTGGTGGAGAAAGATGATAGCATAGCCAGCGACAGAAGCGTAGAAAAGGGTCGCTACCGTGCTGAGGCAGAATCATTGATGAAGTCTGTTCAGGGGAAGAACCATGAAAACAAGGCGATCAATTTGATTTTGGAGTTTGCGATGGGGAAGGTGAACACTGTGATAGATGACATGGTGAGCCAAACCACTGTGCATAGCTGTATCAAGACTGATTGCTCACAGATCAATTTGTACGAGCCGGCAATTCTCGTGGTCGGGACCAAAGGTCGAAGTCTCGGTGGTTTCCAAGGCCTGCTTCCTGGATCGGTTTCGAAGTACTGCTTGCAGCATTCACCTGTGCCCGTCATTGTCGTGCGTCCTTCGTCGAAGCGTGTCAAGGCTCGAACTAAACGCGCTCTGGATCCAAACAGACACTCTTACAAGGACCTATTGGAAAAGAGTGGCCACCTGATCGACACCGATGCACGTAGTTTCACTGTAGACTCACAAGGGGCGTCTGAGGATGAGGCCGCCGCGGTGGCCGCAGCGATCGGATATAAACCGCTCGGAGGAAGTCCACTCGTTCAAACTCAGACGGTTTCCGTGAACCTGGACCGAACCCTCGCCGACCAGGATCTGAAGAGCCCCGGCGTTGTTATGAAGAGCCCGGAGTTGCAGAATCTGGAGAGTCCCGAGATATCAGATTCGAGCAGCAGCGATGATGAAGATGAGGGTGGTGTACCAATGGCAACTTCCGGATTAGGAGTCAACCTTGAGACGCAGGCCAGGGAAGAGCAGACCGAGCTTGAGACCAAAAAGGTAGACTCTATCGAGACAGGTCCTAGTCCCAATAGTGCAGAGGCCACACCTCAGGAGCCAGAGACCAAGGCGGATTAGGTTTTCAGAGTCGAGTCAAATCAACATTGGTATTCGACCTGAGCGCCCTAGTGTCCGACTCAGGCGATGCAGGCGTTGCTCGAGCGCCCAACACAGTCCCTTTCGCAGGCAAGCGAAGGCATCAATCAAAAAGAGTCATGATAACGAGTTTATGATTTCGGAAGAGGTTAGATAGATAATGCAAACAAGCTTGCCCACGCAAAACCAGACCATACTTTGACTTGAAGAAGTGATCGTGTGCTGCGAGCTAGATCTAACTATATTCACATGCGTAGCTTGTTTTGTGGTGTCTACAGTGCATCATATAAAGCCCTACACATGGTGGGGTAATTTGATCCACAATGCACGACAGCTACTGTCCCTTATCGATTATACAAGATGTGGATTCTGCGAACCATTCGCCTCCAAGCCTCTGCTTGAGTCTTAGACTGTCGACACACATACTTGGCTTCGTGAACTGTTTCAGGGACCTGTGCCTAGTTCAAACCCCTGGGGAGATCTGCTCTAGGGATGACGACACGGAGCCGCGTGGGGTGCTCTTGGCGACGTAACACGTTCCGCGCGTTCCTTCTGAGCGTTCCTTCAGGCAGTCCCAACATTGGGTAGATATGCTTGGTTGTTGGCTTATGAGAACACTGTCATGACCTATCGAAGCAGCCCATATGGTGAATCTATCGAGCGCACGCGCATCCTTTTACCGACGACATAGTGACAGTGACGCGACAGCCTGCACGACAGCTACACTTAACACATATACTTGTACTCCATGCTGCCGCTCGACGACGACTGCGATGCCTGCAGCCCCGACTGGATGAAGAAACGAAGCCCATCTGCTATGGCCATTTCCGCACTCCCGTTTGTGGCGACCTTCTTCATTGTCGCTGTCGCCGTGTCGCATAGGCTCTTCCCGCTGCTCTCTGGGCACGCGCCCTTGAAGAACCACCACGATGCTCAGCTAGCAGGCTTCGCCCTTCGCGAAAGGACGTCGGTGTTCAGAAACTTGCGCATAACAGCGCGCACGATCGCCAGCGCGACGTTTTCCACGAACATTGCGCTATCTGCCGTCCTCGTCGAGCTTATCCTCTGCGAGATCTCCAACACCGTCAATCGCGCAACGCGGACACTGGCGCTGAAGATCACACTGCCGTCGCTATTATTTCTGATTATCGTCCTTACACCAGCATTGATTATACATTCGGTGGTTTCGGGATGGAGTTTGAGCAGGTCACAGAATGGTCAGCGTAAGCTGGCGTGGGTTCTTGAGATTACAGGTCTAGCGGCATGGCTTGCGGGCTTCTGGTACCTGGGCAGAGGGCTGCTGGGCACGTTTCTACACGAGGAATCATATATCCATGAGCATACCTTCAGCGAGGGTTGCCTAGAAAGGATCGGTGTCATCGGCATCAGCCTGATGGCTTCGCTGGCCGGCTTTGCCGCTGTCAGTTCGCTCTGGCAGACTTTTGGCGTGAAATACCGCCTCGTACGTAGTGCCCCCGGAACTACTGAGTTCAGTTGTGGTATACTAACTGCTATCGACAGGTCACCGACTCAGATATCGCTCGCAAACAAGCCGGGCTGGATGCTACGAACGACATGCTTGCAACGAAGGAAAGTCGACTTCGCGCTGTCCAAAGAAAACTTTCGGATACACCCCAGGAAGGCTTCGTAACCCGCGTCGTGGGTAGTTTGCGCGGAAACCCCGAGATTGTAGAGCGAAACACCCTACAGCTCGAAATCCAAGGCCTGGAAACGATGCACAACACTCTCCAGAACTCACTGTCTATCTTACAAAACCGTCGACAGACCCAGCTCCGTTCACACACGATCCAGGGTCGCTTGCTGAACCTCGTATCAGTAATATTCTCTCTCTACTGCTTCTACAGAATCACAGCGACAACGTTTACCACTCTGAGACGCTTCTCATCCCCAAACACAAGTTTCTCGAACACCGACCCGATCAACAACTTTCTCGCGATATTAGCCAAGCATTGGGACCCTACCATAGACCGCGTCGCCTGGAGTCGCACCATATCTTTCCTGCTCTCCGGTATCATGCTCCTAGCATCTTTCAACAGCGTGGTACAGACCTTTTTCCTCTTCGCGCGCGTACTCCCAGGCGTTCTTCATCACGCCCAGGCCAACTTCGCTTTACTCATCTCTCAGATTGCTGCTACGTATGTGATCAGCTCCGCACTCCTACTGCGGAGTAATCTGCCGGTGGAGATGAAGAGCGCTATCTCTGAGGCGTTGGGTGCACCGCTGGAGCCGGCTTTCACGGAGAGATGGTTTGAGGGATGGTTCTTGTTAGCGAGTGCAGCCACCGCGATTGGGCTTTGGGCGGGAAAGCGATGGAAAGGCCAGGGATGGGATGATGAGGATGAGTTTGGGGAAGGAGACCTGGAGATGGGAAAGCTGAATTGACGAGGAATAAGGCTGATGTTTCTTAAACGACTATGCCGCGTAGCACTCTCAAAAAGAAGTCAATACCGGTTCGAAATGCAACTAGAGCTTCGTTGGGGCCAGAAACCCCTGGCGAACTACTCTGTCACATGGCATGGGTCAACTATAGATCTAACACGCAGCTCGCAAATATACAACAGAATCCCATCGGCAACCGGCATCTGAATGAAGCAGAGGCTGCCAGATTGAGAATGGTTGTTCCGCATGCCTCACCTCAATATCACAGCCCAACCCATAAGCACATTGTCTGATCTGATACGTCGGACACGGTTCCCGGTGGCTCTTCTGCTCTATCAGCAAGCAGCCCCAGCTCGTCAGCGCATGTTTAATAAAAATTGACGTAGACGCATCCGATCTGAGATTGGGTGCGCGCCAAGCGTGTTTGTAACATGACGTATGCCGTGGGGCACGCAATGGATGAAAAGCGCGGGGCTCGCGCGTTGCCTACAAGCTTCATTGACATCTGAACGACTTTTCTAACTTCCCGAATACTCAAGTAAAACTCAACTCTTTGTAAGTCTACCGTGATCGTATGCTGTAGTTGCAGAATAAGCAACGCTGTGCAGTTATAGACAGAAAGCAACTAACAAGCTCTCGAAGTCACCTCAACAACCCTCCACAAACCGTACGCGCTTCGTCCAACTGCTATCCATATGCTTTTCTAACAGCCAGACAGATCAATATGTCCGCTCAAAACGGTGGCCGTCAATCTCCCGAGCCCGAGCAGCAGACGGGCGCTCAACAGTCCGACGCCCCGGCTACCGACATCAACAACCAGGGCGGCGCTCCCTCAGAAGGCACCAAGCAGGCCAACGACGACCAGAAGGCCAACCTCCAGTCAAACCCCACACACCCGCTCGCGAAGCACGCTGAGGAGACGACGAGCAAGAAATGAGGTGTTGGTGGATGAGCTGAGAGAAGAATGAAGTGGATTAATGGGGCCGGGCATGCATCACGAGTGGTTGCGATGAATCACTGGTGAGCCGCCGCTCCATACCTAAAAGCTGCAAAAAGGTAGCGATAGCATCATAATGACAGATTGCGATTGACGTCACTGCGATTGTTCTCTCTGATATTCGTGCATGTCATGATAAAATTTCCGCCTCTCTATGATTAGCACTGCCTGATTTATCAGTGTACTAAGGACAAATTTCAGAGCCATGTTGGAATCTGTCGTGTCTGGGGTGCTGATAGAGACGCTGATGTACGATGTCAAGTCTCGCGGTCGTCTCAAACGACGGTCCTTCGCTACGCTTAACTACATTCGTCCCCGCATGATGTCCATTGCCTAGCAGGCGTATATTCCTATGCTTACGAACAACAAAGCAAGCATGTCAAGTCAGCCAAAGGTGTCAGGCTTGCGCTGTCTCGTCTAACAAAGTGTGTCCGTATCGGTTGGTCGCATGCTCGGGGACTTCCGCCCATGCCGAGATTTCAGCCCCTGGTTCGTCTCCACTTAGCCCCCCGCTTAGAAGATAGTTCCATCGCCATGCAGAGTGCGCACATTGCTCCTCGAAACAGCCATCAATACGAAAGTAAAGCCTAGTAACTTTTTGGTATATATACACTACGGCGTCACATCATTTCATTAATCAAGCATTGGGCTTGTGGTTTAGGGGTATAATGTTCGCTTCGCATCTTCCAAACGCGTCTGCGAAAGGTCCTGGGTTCGATTCCCAGCAAGTCCACAATTTTTTTATCATTTTTCCACATCTGAAGAAGTCTCCTCCAACCACATCCAGCTGTGACAAATTAGCAAACATATGATGATGGGACTTCATTTTTACACTGGCTATCGGCACCGACGAACAGTCAAGCTGTGTTCGGACCCGGGCCCACCCTCACACATTTCCCACCCCTATGCTTCCACGCGGATTTGGCGTAGTGGCCCCTATCCTCAGGCGCATCTTCGATTTGACACAGCGCCCGGGTTCATGGATGTGTGACTTGCGAATCAATCGCCAATGGCTATTAGCAAAGCAGTCGGCGAGGTCGGTATGTTCTGCGGTCTTAATGACTTTTCTTTTTGAGAACGGAATTGTAATGCAACAGCAAACAAGGCAGACAATGCCTGTACACGATGTGACGTGAAATCCTACATGCATATAAAAAACAGACCACATGAATACGAGATTCCGTTCTGGGTCTGATATTACGTTGGTGGATTCTAGGCTACAGTCTCCAGGGTAATAGTCCCTGTTGCTCTCAACACACGCTGGATTTTTGACAGTCAATCTTGCGTCAAAGATAACACACTTGCCACGTACTACACGGCACACGTTGAGGAGCTTTGCCGCCGCCAATTTGCAAGCCCAGCAAGTTTTCATGCGTAAATTCTTGAACAATAAGCACATGAGGTTTGTCGTGTATTGTTTTGGTGGATGGCTGGTCCGCCTAACTCCTCCTCCTCCTCCTCCTCCTCCTCCTCCTCCGCTCTCTGATACGTAATAGCAGGAACAACCACAACGCTCTCCAATTCCTCATCCTTCCCATCACCGGCTGGTGCCTCTTGGGCAGCACCACTCGACCTCCCCATCATGGGCCCTGACAATGAATTCAGTGGTGCCATGTTTGGACAGGACACGCACGCTAGCGCAAAGATAAACAAACACGGCAGACCAAGACCCAGGCCTAGGACGAGCCCCTCCTGCGGGCCTCGAGGTAAATATGGTGTCTCAGTTGGTCGTGGGGTGGATGTAGTTTGTGCTGGGATCGCAGTGGGTTGCTGAGTGAATATGTCTGTACATGTGTGCACGTGCGTGTCCGGCGCTGGTGCACTGGTCATGGATACTCGACCGCGTTCGTGTATCGTTGCGGTGTTATGCCGTGTCGATGTTTCCATGGTAGTAGCTATAGATGACTCGACCGCTGTGGCCAAACCCGTGCCTGTTGCCGTACTTGTCGCCGTAACTGCCGCTGAATTCTTATATGTGCTTTTGCTTGTACTCGTACTGACTACCTCTACCCGGGCTAGAACTGTCCATGGCAGCGCCGGATCTCTAGTCTGGCCAGTTTCCATCACGCACTGGAAAGTAGTCTTCCCCAGCGTCGTCTCAACCGGCGCGCCATGCCACCACGTGAGCTTGTTGAATTTATTTCGGCGCCCTTCGAGCTTGTGTGATTGAAGGTTACGGGGTCAATGAACTGAGCCGTAGAATGGATTGCGCGGCCGAGGAGGGCCGCGAAGGGTAGCAGGTACGTGGGCTTCATTGTGGGATGTTCTAGTTGAGTGTCGGTGGGGTTTGGGGAGGTAGAAGGGTGCTGTTGTGTGTGCGGATTTGAGTTTGGACTTGTATTGCGCGGATGTTCTGATGGGGTAATTGCAGCACGTGTGTGGGTTTTTATAGAATACCATAATTGGTTTTTTTTATAGAGATGTAGTCCGGTAATGGGGCTATGGGCGTCGGGTGTTTCGTTGGGTGGTAGAGTACCGCGGATGTTGGGCTCCTTCGACCATAGTTGATCAAAGGATGGATCACATAACGCGAACATGTATCCTGACGTTACATACTTTGGATAGTAACGCACGCAAGATGGAGAGGTGAGTACGAGATGTATTTTCGAGGTTTGTATTAAACAATAATTATGGTCGGTGTTCTCCCACCGGAAACTTTTGCTAGGGTATATGTGATGTCACAGAAACGAAGAAAGTCGCAGGGAAAACTACGCAGATACCGCCCTACATGTACAACATACTGGAATAGTGTATACCGGATATGACAGTCAGTATCCCATGGTACAATTAGGCAACGCCGTTAGGCGTCTGTGCAGATGCTTTGCCCTTTTGTACAATGGCTCTGCGGCACCCTTCCTGGAAAATTTCAATGAAGCGATGCACGTCCCAGAACGAATTGTATAGCGGAGCAGGTGCCACGCGCAAGACGTCTGGCTTCCGCTCGTCGACGACTACGCCGTGTTCTTCGATGTAGTGCAGAACATGGTCGAGAAGGCCTGGGTTCAATAGTACACTAATCTGTGCGCCGCGCTCAGCAGGGTTGGCAGGAGTGATGATCTTGTACGGCGGTGTCTTGTTGTCATACCGCAGGAGTCGCTGTTCAAGATATGCAGTGAGGCGCAGACTACGCGCACGGAGCGCTTCCATGGAAGTCATGGAAAAGACATCTAGGCTGGCGAGAACAGACGTCATGTCCAAAGCACTGGGGTTGCTAAGCTGGAACCCGCTTGCACCTGGGATGGGAACAAACTTGTTCTCCATGCGGAAGCGGCTGCTCTTATCGCTGCCCCACCAGCCGCTCAGACGTGGGCGGTAGTGAAGCTGTGTGTCGTTGTTGTACTCTGCGTCGCCGTCAACCTGGGCCTTTTCGACCTTGCCGTGGTTATCGTGGACGAACAGCCCACCGATGACACCGGGCCCGCCGTTCATGTACTTGTAGTTGCACCACGCGGCGAAGTCGACGTTCCAGTCGTGCAGCTTGACAGGCACGTTGCCGACTGCATGCGCAAGGTCCCAGCCAACGATTATGCCCAGGCTGTGGCAGTGGCGCGTTATCAGCTCGATATCGAAGAACTGGCCCGAGTAGAACTGAATGCCCGGAAGGAGGACGAGAGCGGTGGTGGCATTGTGTTGGGAGATGACGGAGAGGATATGCTCGGTGGTGAGGTAGGGAGAGTCGTCGGAGGGTGGCGTGATGGTGATGAGGGCGGACGAGGGGATGCCGTGGTGGGCGAGCTGCGACTGAGCGGCGTACTGGTGCTGCGTGAGCTTTGTGTGCCATGTCGCGGCGCAGTGTATGTGCTTACGTGGTCACTGGGGAAGGCTTTTCCTTCGATGATGATCTTGTACCGTTCTGAGGTAGGCTTGTAAAAGCTCGACATGAGCAGGTGCAGATTGGCCGTCAGTGTCTCCATAACAACGACCTCGCTGGGAAGCGCTCCGACGATCGTGGCCGTCTGCTCCTTGAGGGCATCGTCGAGGTCCAGCCATGGTGGCAGCCCGCCTTGGAGTGGCTTGAAGTGGCCGAAGACGCCTTTGGAGGCCCAAGTGTCGAGATAACGGTTTACATACTCGCGCGTACGACGGGGCTGCAAGCCGAGCGAGTTTCCACACAGATATATGGACTCGTCGTGGTCGTCGTCGCGCGAGACATGGCCTGCACTCACGGTAGCGTTTTCCGCGGGGCCATATCTTTGGTTGCGCAGGTCACCCTTTGTTGGGATCACAAACTCGGCGCGGAGCTTGCTCAGAGGATCGCGCGCGTCCTCGCCGCGGGCAAAGGCTTCGGAGAGGAGGTCTTGGTCGCTGGTGGCGGCGTAGGGGTTGGAGAATTGGGGCATAGCGGAGCTGGCGGAGCTGGGCGGGCAGGGCCTGGGGTGGCGAGTGCGTGAGGCAGCAAGAGGCGGGCTTGCGAGAGCTCGTTGGCGCTGACATGTTTCATGCAGCGTGAAACAGCTAGCTGCCGCGGGGCACAACGGCCCTACGCGGGGTCGGCGGGTGGGCAGCCGCGTCTAGAACCGCCGCCGTCGAGCGCGCCCTGGTTGGTCAGCCGCGCTGTGCGTGCATCCGCCGTCATAGCGACCAACATTCACGCTGCGTCCTCCTGCCACCACCACGCCCTCCTCGCCGCCACTTGCCATGGCCTCGGCGTCCACCATGTGCACCTCGTGCCTGCGGGCAGCGCGTGCTTCGAGGGCTTTCAGCACCGCGCCGCCGGCATACAGCGCTGCATCCGCCACCTCGCGGCCGCTCTTCCTCGACTTCCTGGAGCCCGCCATTCGGCTGCCATGCACGCGGCCAGCGGGCATCGCACTGCCCAGACCCCAGGCCACCCTCCGGAGACGCCTCGCGACGGCAGCATCCCCTCCCACGTCGCCGTCGGACCCGCAGCCCGCCCGCGCCGTCCTCAATCCCCGCACAACAGATTCCGGCGAGCCCATGCGCATCTCCCTCAGCCCGCGCGCTATCCATCGCCTTTCGACCATCGCCACGAAAGACAACAACCCCAACCTCGCGCTGCGAGTCACAATCGAAAGCGGCGGCTGCCACGGCTTCCAGTATCTCATGTCTTTGATCGATCTGACCAAGGAGCCGCCCACCGAGGAGGATACCCTGTTCGAAGGAGACAAGGGCGCAAAAGTCATCGTTGATGAGAGCAGCCTGGAATTGCTGAACGGGAGCACGGTGGACTACACCATGGAGCTGATCGGGAGCCAGTTTAAAGTGACGGGCATCCCCGGCGCGACGAGCAGTTGCGGCTGCGGCACGAGCTTCGACATCAAATTATAATGATAGAACCCAACTTTGTAATATACCCTTCTCTCCACTGCCTTTCTCGTCTACCTGCTGATACGACACTTTTCCCTCCTGCCTTGACTGCGTCTCGTACCCCTCAGCTACCCTTCTCCCTTTCTACCTTGCGATGCTACCGCCTTCTACTTACACCCACTCCTCACACTTTCAATTTCGCGCCACCAATCTCTTCATCCCGAAGCCTTGACCAACAGCAGAAGTGGCTAGCTGCTTCCTCGAGGTGGTTAGATATAGTGCCTCTTGAACTCGCAGTATACGTACCTCCGGACCCTGTGCCGCAGGCTGCAACTCTGCCGGCAGCGTATGCATGTGCTTTTGAATAGCTGGTAGGCATTTTCCTACCTGGGCAAGTACCGCGTAAGCATTAATTTCAGGTGAAGAGTCCCGCCAGCATTCACCTCTCACTCAGAATCTAAGGCCTAACCAGCTCATCATTGTTGCACCTCACTTTGATACAACGAATGCAACTTCGGTTTGCGTACGTTCTTGCTGATTTACTAATTCTACTGGACGATTTCGACCTCGCGATGGTTAGAAGTGAATCAGCTGTTCCGATTGATGAGAGAGGTTGAGCTGGGTAGAGGAGGCATGGTTGGCTTGAAGACGAAATTGCGAAAACACTTCTTCCGTTGGACGTACCATGATTGCAAACAGTCATTTTTTGAAAAATAAATTTAAACAAACATCATGACTTCAGGCCGGGTGGCGTTCGCCCAGACGCCGCATGAGAACCCAAACGCCGGAAAATGCAAAGAAGGCCAGCCGCACATCTCCCCCCGACGCTACGACCGCTTCGCAACAAATCCAAAAAGCCTGTCCATCTGTACCCATTGTCTTCCGTTCTTCTCCAACCACCCACTGACAACTCCCTTCAATGTTGCTAGCATCTCCCTGTTGACCTCTGCCAACACCCTCATCTTCTCTCTGCTCTCCGCCTCGCCTTCAATCTTCACACCGTTGACACCGCTCGCTTCCTTGCCTAGGCGCTCGGTATCGAAGAGTGACTGGTAGTACAGCATCTGGTTGTAGATGTCCCGTTCAGAGTAAATATACGCCATCCTGCCCAAACAGTCCTTCGCAAGGCCCTTCGGTCCCAGGCAGCGGTGACCGTACACGGACATCGAGCGCGTGGTGCAGGAGCAGTCAGGATCGTTACATTTCAGTGTGCCGGCATAGTACGAGGCGAGAGTCTGGCGGATGGAAGATTCCAGTTGGGCAACGATACTCAGTGTAGCCAGAACCTGCTTGCATTCTGCCTTGGGACATGTGATGCCATTATGGCCAAGCGTGGTTGTCGATGTGCGCGATGCGATACCTCGGAACGGGAACGTAGAGCGGCATGCCCGGCAGCGGAGGTATAAGGGCGTGCAATTCTGGAAACGGACGGCGTCGGGGATCTGCGACTCTAGCGGCTGGATCTCGACATCTTGCGCATTTCCTGATCCGGAAGCAGTGGAGACACGGTATTTGGTAGTGTCGAGACCGAGGCAGGCCGCGAGCATGGTAATATTGGTGCCGCTGATAGGGGCGCAGAGACGCTCGACTGGCGGCAAGATCTGCTTGTGCAAGTAGTAGTCGATGTCTGGCTTCAGTTCGCTACCCTCCTTGAGCACTTCATCGACAGGGTATGCGTTCTTTGCCGCGGCTTCGGCGCTGCCAGAGCTTTCACCTGTGATGATGAAGCTCATGACGTCTTTGGCTTTGACATGCTTGCCCTTCTCCATCAGACGAAGAGCAACTTGTACGGAGGGCATCGAATTGCCGTTGGGATAGTCCTTGGGGTTCTTCCCGAGTTGTGTGTAGATTGTGTACTTGCGAGCGGGAATGGTGTGGGCGCGCATATTTTCGCTCAGTGTTCGCAAGTACTCGTGGATCTTTTCAACAACAGTTTCCGGGTCTTCGCCCGAGAGCAGAAAGTTCAGAAGTTCACTACTTGATGTCAGCATTGAATCATGCGGAAATGGGCGGTCGCTACTTACGTCGAGGTCTCCTTGGACAAGGCGCAGTATTCTCTTCGCCTCATATCAAGGCCCTTTACTTCCAGTTTCTCAATGTATTTTCCATCCACAGGGACCATGTTGATGGCAGCGTACTTTTTTTTAGCGTGAAGAAGGATGCGGCGGAAGACATTGTCGATATCGATCTCCAAAAGCCTGTAGCTGTCGTTGACTTCTTTCTTGAACTCATTTCCGATCTTCAGAGCGTCCTGGATATTGTCGACGTTGGTGTTGATCATTACAGAGTCGGTATCACCATAAATGACGCGCAACATCTTCTCCTCTGCCATTTCTTTCGTTTTGCGCAGAGTCTCACGACCTTTGTAGGTGGTGAGTACAGCGAGCGGTCGGGCGTAGAATCGCGACTTGGTGTAACCGAGACATCCGTACATAGAGTTGGCAGTGAGTTTCAGGGCAAGTTGCTTGATGTCCCACGTCGCGAGCTGATCTGAAGTGGCGGAGCGGTCCTTCATCAGCTTCTTAACTTCCCTTCGGCGATCTACGAGCGTCTTAATGAGTTTGGGAAGGATGCCAGGTTCTAGATCCTCGCTAGGGACTTCCGGTACCTTGTCGTCTTCCTCGGAAAGATCCGAACGATCGACAGTGGTGAAGCAAATGTTGTACTCCTGGATGATGCTAGGGTATAGAGAGTTGAAGTCCATAACCAGGATGAACTTGTCATACAAGCCCTTCTCTGGCTCGAAGACAAGACCACCCTTGTACTTGTCCTTCTTCTTGGCGTCGGCACCCTCTTCACCTTCAGCGGCTTCTTCCACTTCTTTCTGTTTGCCTTTGCCCCAAACCTTGTCCGGACAAATATAATTCTCGTTGTGAAATTGATGTAGCAGAATGTACTCGTTTCGCTCAGCACGAGTACCACTCAAGGTACGAGCCCAGGAGTTGCCCGCCAGGTTAGTCAGAACTTTGGTGAGAGGCAGCGCTTGGACCTTGATTGATATGGCGGCGATAAAGAACGCGTCAGCTTGGCAGTGTTTGACGTAGTTCATCAGACCGTCTTTAGTAGTCGCCCATGAACTCAAGGCCTGTTCGTTGTCAAGCTCTTGACGGCGCTTGTTGAGCACAAGTTGACACATCTCTTCCAAGCTCCATGACTGGCACTTGGTCATCAGAGATTTTCCGAGGTCATTGGCCAGATCACAGAGAAGACGTCCAGCGGCCAGCTGCCTTTCAACGAAAAAGCTACCGCCACCCTTCCCCATGGTTTTGGGCCAATCGCTCCTCCGGAGCCGGCCAATGCGGTGCCAACCAGGTGTCTTCTTTTCGCGCATTCGGTTGAGCAGGGTACTGTAGTCCACATCGTCTAGACGGTGGCCGATGAGGACATCTGGATCGTGACGCTGGAACATGGCCATGAAATAGCTTAGCAAGTCCTGTTCGGTCTTTTTCATCATGATGGTTCCTTTCTGCTTCTCAGCTTCCATCTTAAAACCGGCTGGATAATTATCGCCGTTTGGTCGCATGATAGTAAAGCTTTTGCACGGCAACTGATCCGCTGGCGTTGTATCTGTGAGCGAGAAGTTGTCGTAAATCATGGCACTCGCCATCAAGATCTCCTGCTTGTTGTCTTTGGCGTTGAATTTCGTTCGTAGAGAGATACTCATTAATGTGAGAGGCGGCGCTTCTACATTGTCCGAGTTGTCCAGCACGGTGATATTGTTGGGTTTGGTGACGAGGGCTTCAAGTTTGCACCAAGATGCATTATTGATCGAGTTGAAGTCCGCCGTGTCAATCTTCAGCCAACAGGGCCCCATAATCTTCTTTCCGAGCACGAACTGTTCGAAGAGTGCAGTGTTCGTGCCGAAGACATGTGAGAATGTTTCGCCGGTGAGGTCTTGCGCAAGGGGCATCTTATCGTATCCGTACAGCAGCTCGAGGTAGTCAGCTTCCCTCGGGATGTCCGGCAGCTCAAAAGCATACTTCTTCGTGCAAGGCTTGATCTTGTGCATAGTGACGCGGTGCTTGCTCATCAGGTTGTCCACCTCTTCATAAACATCGCTCATTTCAACTTCCTCATCGGTATGCTGTCCTTTCTTTAGACGGGTCTCGCGAGGTAAGAAGTACATCTTGCGGAGGATATTATCGACCTTTACAAAGCAACTGGCGTAGTTGCCCGTATTCTTGTCTTTAACTTTCCCGAACAAGCACAGGCTTCCATTGATCTCAGTATAATCGATCCAAAACATGCGTAGACTGCCATCGTCTTCAAGCGCGGCTTCGGGTTTCAACTTGCCGACGCTACTGGTAATAGCAGGAGCCGGACTGCTCTGAACGTTGAGCTTGTTCGTCACATCGTTCCATGTAGAAGCATCGATAGCTGGAGCTGGGCGTGGTGGAGAAGAACTCGCAGGGGTGGGATACTCAGGCTTCAGGATCTTCGCTACCGGTCGCTTCCCTGTCATGTTGACGCTGGCTGAAGAAATTCCAGTACGGCCGATGGGCTGTGCCACTTCCAGCAGGTCCTCATCTTCTTCCTCAACCTTGACCAAAGGTTGCGCCTTGCGCTCCATGGCCTTCGCAACTGGAGAGGACGGCAGTGGATCGCTCATGGGGACATCATCGTCTATGATAGGCAGCGGATCTTCGTCGTACGCGTTTTCTGCTGGAGGGGTATCGGGCATGTACGCGTCGGAGCCATTGGCAGGCCTCTTGTTTGCGCTCTGTCGGTTTTCTGATATCGGTGGAGATAGCAGACGGGTCTTTCTTCGTGACTCGTTCTTTACCGGGCGTATGCGGGGCTGTGATCGCGATTTATTTGTATCGATTTCACCGAGCAGATCGGCCATGAAATCTTGGTCGGCAGCGGTGGCCACGGGCTGGTTGTTTTAGTAGAAATCCAAAGTTCGCGAATAGGACACGGTCCTACCTTCGCTTTCGGAGCCTGCGCAGCTGCTTTCGCACTAAAGTACTTGCTGATGCCGGTGTCTCGCTTTCGCTTGCTTTCTTCATCTTCTTCGCGCTTCCTCTTTGCTGTTACGTGTTAACATATGCAGAGACGGATCTAATCATCTTCGAAGGCTTACCCGCTTTGCCTTTGGCGGGGCGGTCCTCTTCCTCTTCGCTCTCGGTCGCGGCATCGACCTCCCAGTCTTCTCGCCCATCATCGACATATCCTTCGCCATTGTCGTCGACGATGAAGTCGTCTTGGTCCAGCCGGTTTCTCACAACCTTCTTGTAGCCTTCCTCGTCCACCTCATCGTACAATTGCTCTTCCTCGGCGACCTGGTAAGAGGAAAGACGCGTCTTTCCACCCGCGCGATTCTTTCGCAGCTCTGCTAATGCTGCTGCGCGGCTAGACATGGTATATTAAAAAGTAGAAAAAGGTCAAGCGGGGAATATACAATGCAAGAAGTCGAAGTCTTGTGGTGTTGTGTTCATGCGGGGATGTGTAGGGAGAAGAGCGCGAGACTTGACGCGCAACGCGTTGGTTCGCGTAAAGTGGCGCTTGGGCCAACGCGCTAAGTCGCGTCCATTTCGCTGATCCCTCATTCGCCGCTGGGTAAATCCCAACCACCATCAGACACACACACGCCAAGATGTCTTCCAAAGATCCCCTCGTCTGGATCGATTGCGAAGTGCGTCACACGATGGTTGCGATGAGCTATCCTGACAGAACCAGATGACGGGCCTCGATCCCGATAAGGACACCATAATGTCTCTTGCCTGTTTCGTCACTGACCACGACCTCAACATGTTGGACAAGGATGGGTATGAGGCGATCATACACCACAACAAAGAGGATCTTGACCGCATGGGCGAGTGGTGCACGAAGCATCATGGCGATTCTGGGCTGACTGAAGCCTGCATCAATTCCACCACCACGGCCGAACAGGCCGCCGAAGGCCTATTGGAGTACATAAAGACACACGTGCCGAATACTCGTTCAGCACTGCTGGCTGGTAACTCGGTCCATGCTGACAAGTCGTTCTTGGTCAAGCAGCCGTACAACGTTGTTACGGACTATCTTCATTACCGGATCCTGGACGTCTCCAGCATCAAAGAGGCCGCGCGTCGATGGGCACCTACTGAGGTGTTGAAGAAGGCGCCTAGTAAGAAGATGTTACATGAAGCGAGGGCGGACATCTTGGAAAGTATAGAGGAAGCCAAATATTATCGGGGAGCTTTCTTCATCAAGCAAGCATAATGCACACTTTGATCCTGTGGCAGTCCATAGTTTGTGATCAATATGATTGTGATTTTCCGGTGGACGAAACGGTCGTGTATATAGATAGCTGCCACAATCGTGGGACTTGCTTGTACGCTTCAGGAACCAACAGGTGCGACATATCATCCGCATCTCACGTATTGTTTCGTTGTTGATCATACCTTTTAGGTCACGTAGAATATCCGGGCCCATCTGCAGAGGATGCAATGCGGCAGTGCTCGCCACACTTCTTCGTACGAACCACACGGGTACTACGAGTGAATCCGTCCTGTCACAGAGCTGTTGTATCCCGAGAACACTTGCTCAAACTATGGCGTGTGCACGGCCTTGACTTTCATCCCAAATATATCATACTCGACCTTCTGGGTGCGCCATCCAAACGTCAGCTACATGCCTATTGTCTTTATTTCGGCCGTAACATGATGCATGTCTACCAGACTGCTCCTCTTTTCACCCTGCTTGGTTTCGCCTCTTGTTCAGAGATACAACCGGCAGCAGTTGATGCGACTATAATCTCGACAACGTCAACTCCTATGTGTACCACTGTTTCCTCGATTCATTTAGGCAGTTCTGCTTCTACAGTCAAAGCAACTTCGACACAGGTCATCACTGTGGTGTTAACACTATCGCGCGCCACGTCGCAGCATGGTTTGAGGACGATATCGGACCTTATATCCAAAAACACTCCTTGTACGGAGGCTCCAGTCCTTCCAACCGTAATCATGGAGGGCTCCTCGGCCGTGGACATCCCGGTGTCTGTTACAATCGTCAAACCGCCAACAGAAGACCACCGTCTTTCCACCTCAATTACGAAAAGCTTGTTCCCACCGTCATTTGCATTGCGCCCGACGAGCGTGGAAACTCTGACACGGTCTCGTTCGTCATCTTCGACGGCCCTTGTGCTTCACATCATTCCTATCAGCACCGACACTGCTCCCGATACGACAAGTATACTCTACACGTCAGCAACCACAAATGCAACGACTAGTGGGATCTTGGTGAACGGGGCGAAGGGATTTTGCGGGGGTGTGCCTGGACTATTGACGGCAGCTGTGGTACTCGTGCTGGGAATTGTTGGGATGTAGAGCGGGTTGCAACAATTATCACGTGCACCTGCGAGAGAGGTGCGTGTGTTAAATACCTTCTCATGGATGAGGTCCATGTATGTCTATGTAGCTATTTCTTTGAGCCGTCGGTAGTATCTTGCCTGAAGATTTGTATGCTCAAAGTCTTGAATGAGGAGCAGGGGATTCCAAACTGTGAGTCGCTTTCACGGAACAATAAATTAAAGCTGTCCGAGCATTTTGGTTGGGTTTCCCGCAAGAAGTCTTTGCGCAGCCTATTCATGCCCGCCATATCACGCGGGTGCCACCAGTAGTGTTACCTGCGTAAAATGACTCTCGTCGTACGGCTGAGCCCCCCAGTGAGCCCCAGTGTTGATTGCGCTGGTGATATCGATGTGGACGCATCTTTTCAACCGCATTGCTAACTAGGCCTGGCAGCATTAACATTCACTCAATGGGAATTTCTCTACCTGGCTAGCGCGTTTGCATTTGCTGTACATGGCAGTCGCTCTCTGCAACAAATTAGGTAGCCACACTCCACTCACCTCGTCGACCTTGTTTTCACGTCTACAATAGAAGCGCTCAAGATGTTGCTCCCGACTTTCATCATCGCGCTGCTGGCTTGGCCTGCGCTTGTGCTCTCGCTCTCAATTGAGCTTACACCAAAGCAACGCAATGTCACGCGAGGCGCGGCCACCCAATTCCACTACAAACCCAAGGACACCGTTGTAAGCATATCATACTGCCCAGTATCCAGTTGATGCTAAAAGCTCCTCGTAGGCCACGAACGTGACTGTCATCGATACCCTCACCAACAAGACCTTTCATGTAATCGGTACGTGCTGCATGCAGGCCTCCAACGAGCATTACTAATTCTAGAGGGAAGACAATGCCGTGAACGGTACAGTGGATTGGACGGTGCCCGATGACCTGGAGGTGCGCGGTGGCTACTTCTATGTAGCAGCGCGGAAGGTGAACAATGCCACGATCACTGTCACATCCGCATCAGAGTTCCAGGTGCTGGACAAACCAAAGCCAACACCTTCGAAATCGCCCGAGCATAGCGGAGCATGGGTGAACTCACCTTCGATGGGAACTGTGGGCTCAATGTTGATGGTGGGCCTCGGATTTCTACGCATTGTGATTTAGATGGTTACATGAGACAGACACTCTAGTCTCGTGGGAGTGGTCGCCTAGCATCGGATGGCGTGCTACTTTTCGAAGGCACAGCGTGGAAAGTTCTCCAGGCTTGGATGGAAACAGCCGAAGAGACACATGACAAATGCTTAAGAGCATCTGCATGGGACAAAGCCGGATAGTTTATCATAGGTTACAATTGACGCTAGATGTTTTCGTATTTCAGGAGGGTGCTCTTGCGCCATGCAATAGTGAAGGGGAGGCTCCACGTGCTATGGCCGTTGGAGAAGCTCAAGCAAGGCCTTGGCGACCTAGCAACCAGGCTAATGTCCCACGGTATGGGTACAATGATTGAGCCTCCCCATTCACATTCGCAATAATTTACCGTTTACATTCGCACACCTCGTTTACTTGCTTCGCATATCGTCGCACTTCTGCCTTTCAACATTTTTTCTTATTCCATCATTGCGCTCACACTACTCAGCATGGCTGCCGCTGAAGCACCGCAAGCAGCGTCGCCCATCGACAACTACGATGAAGCGAAGTGCCTAGCAGCCCTGGCGCAGCTAGAGCATCTGAAGCATCAAGTATATCGCCTTCGTTCTGCTGTCTCTACGAGACCCCTGCTAATCGTTTCCCATAGCTCGATGACTTGCGACTCACGCTTCCACGCATCCTTGAGCCCTTCCACATGCCCTCCAAGCCTCCGATGTTCCACGCCTTTAAAGACAACTTGATCAAAGCGCAACGCGACATGAAAACATTTAAGTCACAATGGCAGGGCCAGGAAACGCAGAACATCCTAGAGCACGCCAGGAAGAGCGTGGCTGCGGACCCGGATCTGAGCGCAGGCGCGCAGATCCAGCAGTACGGCTGGATAGAGAAGGAAACAAAGCAAAATGACGCAGCAAAGAACAACGGGGATGGCGAAGAGCGTCCCGACGACCTGGGCATCCGTATTACGAATGAAGAGCGGGACAGCATTGTGGGACAATGGAGGCAGACACATCCGACGATCAAGATAGAGGAGGTAGATGATGGGAAACAGCTCCTGATCCCGTTCGTTGGCGACTCAACCAAGTACCGCTTTCGGGTCACGATCTCGGAGGGAGCAACTTCGCCGCAAGCAATCCAAGCCGAATGTGAAGGTGCAGGAGAACCTTTCACGTCTGTCACAAGATGCCTCGCTTCACGACCGAATCCGAATGATTTAAAACACTTGTTGGTACGTGAAACGATGTCTCTTACCCCTGTACACCCCATAGCATCAAAGAATTGATAGTGTGCAGGACATGATTGCAGCGTACAAAACTGTGAAAGGCCTCCAATGTGCCAAATGCAAGAAGATGCTCGATGATGACACAACAAAGCCGATTGCTAGAAGGTGTCGTCAGGCTACAGGGGCAAGCGAAACGTCTGAGACAGTGTGGGAGCCGTTCCACGAGGGATGCCTAGTGTGATAACAGTACATGCGGCCCTCCTAGGCTGAGCACGTTCAACAATTTTTCATCTTTTGACCTGGAGCACCCGCATCCCAACTATCGTCCTCGTGCCACACTCCGTACACATCTCGGATTTGATGCGGCCAGTTTGAGTTCTTGCGTGGCCCTTGCCAAATGGCGTCCGTCCACATGTCGGGGTGCCAATCTTCGTACCTTCTCGTGCAGAAATCGTAGAATCTCGACTGTTTGCCCACCCAGGGCGGTCCCTTGAGGTATTTCTGACCTTTCCAACCGTAAAGACTTCCCGACCTGTTCAGACGCCAGCCCGACCACCACTCCTTTACCGGGCGATTCCACATGTAGTCATTCTTCTGGGCGCTGATGGAAAGATGAATGTCAGGACCTTTGCCCTGTAAGATGTCCTTGAAGCGCCCAAGCTTGCCTCTGTCTTTGTCTTTGGGCCAGACCAAATGGTAATGGGGGTTGACTTCCCTGCGGACAACTCCACCCTGCGTCCATCCTTTCATTCCATAGTTGGGATAGGAACGGAATATTGCCGGTAATAGTTTTCCGTTATTGTACGGGCCCTGTAGGTTGTAACAAGGCGGGGTCTGAGGCGAGAATGACATTGCGGAAGCGTAGAGGGCTTGGTTTTCGAGGTCTGAACGAGTTGTCAGAGACAGGAAAGGCACGAGGCGCCAACGCTTTAAAGCAGCATTCGTGTACCACTGGGGGCTAATCAACTGAGCGCATACGGAGGGTTCGATGCAGCAATCGCTGGCAGATTTAGGTACTCCACCAGCAAATATAAGCAAATAACGATCGCAATTACATCTGCCTTGAGCTGCAGGTCGCAGACATGGTATACAGTCAAACAAAAGCCCCACTTATATTGTAGCCACGCCAGTACCTTTGTGCTTGGATATGGACACAGGCGCGCGTTTAACCCTTGCCGCTCCTAGTGTGGCCCGAGCTCCTGAGCGCAACGCGATCTCGTTTTATGTTTTCGAGCTGCGGAGAGCAATCAACACGCTGCCGCCAACGCACAACTCGATATCGCGGCGAACATGAGCCTCTTCGGCAATCTGGGCGGCAACCAGCCCGCGTCCAGCGCGCCAAAGTCTTTGTTCGGCAACCTACCCGCTACATCCACGGCGAGCACGCCCAGCTTGTTTGGAGGCTTAGGTGCCTCCACAAACGCTCCCGCAGGCGCATCGACTACGACAACTGCCGGTGGATCGAGCCTATTCTCGGGACTCGGAGGGGGTACATCCTCAGCTGCGCCCAGCTCTTCACTGTTTCCCTCGCTCGGAGGCGCATCATCTCAACCGCAATCGACGGCGCAGCAGCCAGCATCGACAATTCCGTTTGCTAGCAATCGATTTGCTAACACAGGCACCGCAACTAGCACAGCTACCACACAACCGGCAGCTTCGACGGGTGCTTTCGGCAGCACTCCCTTTGGCAGCACAACCAATGCTCAGCAGACGGGTGGCTTGGGGCAATCGACCCTATTCGGTGCCTCGTCTGCGCAGCCGCAAGAACGACAACAACAAGCAGGTGGACCTCTGACACAGTCAAACGCGGGCACCTCGGCACACTTCGACCACCTCCTCGAGAGGAGCCGCAAACGCAACGCTGGCGAAAATGGCTTTGGCGGCTTTGGCGAGCTGCCAACGCTGCAACTGGGACTGGGGGATATTGCACGCAAGGTGCGCAATCTGGGTCAAGGGAGTCCATCGGCGGACCAAGCGCAAGATCGTACAGCACACTATCTGCTCTCCGCTTCTGGCGTGAAGCTGGGTAGTACTCTCCGCGATCTCAACCAGTTCTCAACGCAAGCAGGTATCAGTTCCACAGCGCCTACATCCAACTTGATGGACACGGATGTCGATAGCTACATCGCAAACCTGCACCAGCAATCAACCTTGGCACTGATCCAAGAAGGTTTGGAACAGTCCAAGCGGGACTTTGATACGTTTTTGGAAGACAATGTTCAGATTGAGTGGGACAAGCAACGCCAGCGAATATACGAGCACTTTGGTTTGGGTAGGCAAAGCGAGGAATTGGCGGCCTCTCAGGCTACGTTTGCCGGCGGGGCCACCCGAGGCGCTTTTGGACGGTCTGCACGCAAGGGCCGTTCCATGGGTGCTAGATCGGTGAACGGCGCGTCGTTTGCTGCGTCCACCGGTCCGCCTGTCATCGGATCTGTTATGTCGCCATACCAGAAGAGCACGATCAATGGTGATGCTCCAGACAAGTCTATACTGACTGGGCAGACTGGTCTGGGTGATCGTTACACCCGGGAGAAACAAGAAAAGTTCATGGGGGCGGTCAAGAGGCTCAACGTCAGCAGACAAACAGAGCAGTCCTTCCCTATCTTGGAGGAATTCGCGAAAATTGAACAAGATGCAGAGGGCGAGAACTCCGACCATTTCGTCCAGGCTTATCGTGCACTGTCAATCATTGTCACTACGAATCCGTCCGACCAGGGTACGCCGTTTGTGCCCAAAGAGCGCTGCTTCGCCGCAGAGTACCTGAACGAACAACCAAACGCATTGCTCAGTGTCCAAAGTCGCAAGCGAATTCTCAATGGGTCTCGCGCGTATCTGGAACAGAAATTCCTAGAGCACGTGCAAGATGTCCTCAAGCGGAATGCGGCGGACGCGCGACCCGGTGGTGAACCTACCATGGTCAGCAAGATTCGTGGCTATGTCAGGGCCAAGATAGCCCAGAAAGAGCTGGGTGCGGAAATTGAACACCTGCAAAAGATCGGCGGCGAAAGCGACGACTATCCCTGGGTCATCCTATTCTATCTTCTTCGTGGTGGCCTCATTACAGACGCTGCTGCCTACGTTCGTGAGAGGCGAAACTTCTTTCACAATACCGACAGGAACTTTCAAATTGCAGTGGATCAATATGCGCAGAGTCCAGACCGCCGTTTAGAGCCTGACATGCAGCAGAAAATCACCCACGTTCACTCTCAGCGACAACGAATTGCCCCAACCAACGACCCATATCGCATGGCTTGTTACAAAATCATCGGTCGTTGTGAGTTAACTCGAAAGAGTTTGGATTCGATCAACCAAGGCATGGAAGACTGGGTCTGGTTGCAATTCAACCTTGCACGAGAGGGCAATCGTGCTGAAGAATCCGCCATGGAGGCTTATGGACTTGACGAAATTCGGGAGACGGTGACCGCCATTGGCAAACGACACTTCTTGAATGATGATGCTGAAGCTGCTGGTGGACACGGAGTATACTTCTGGCTCGCAATTCTGGCCGGAATGTATGAATCGGCGGTCAGCTTCCTCTACCAGCACAACTACATCACTGCCGTGCATTTCGCAATCGCTCTTGACTACTACGGTCTCTTGCGAGTGTCGAATTTCAACGAAGCAGGCATGGAAATTTTGACCTACACCCCACAACAGCGAGCCCAATTCAACTTTGCCTGGGTGGTCGGTCGGTACACTGCCGACTTTAGAGCCGCCAGGGCCGATGCTGCTGCTGAGTATCTGATTTTGATCTGTTTGAACGCAGATCTTTCTGGCGAAGCGGGCAAACAGCAAGCCGACATCTGTCACGAGGCTTTGCGTGAGCTAGTCCTTGAAACACGGGAGTTTGCGACACTCCTCGGGGACGTTAGATCTAACGGACACGCCACTGATGGGCTCATCAAGGATCGCATTAAGCTCATCAAACTTACAGATGACGATGCTCTGATCAACTCGATCACCAGCCTGGCAGCCAGGAAAGCTGACGAAGCTGGTCGCACCAACGATGCTGTGTTGCTCAATCATCTCGCCGAACAGTATGAGAATGTCGTCTCCATCTTGTGCCGTGCCCTTTCGGAGGCTCTCTCTGTCGAGATTGGCCAAACGCCGTTGCGTCTTGAGCCGCTGAAGCCACGACTTCCTGCTGTGGAGCAACAGCAGGTCCAGGACACAGGTTCAAGTCTGAGCCTTCTCGGCACTGACGATCCTGTCGAGCTCACACGCAGAGTATCGGAGATGTACGACCACAACCAGCTATGGCATCGGAACATTTCTCAAGCTAGTCGCCAGACCCTGGAGATCTTGTTCATGCTTAACCGCGCCAAGTCTGTAATCGAAGCTCAGCAGTACACACAAGCTTTGGACGTAAGTTGCATCACCACTTTTTGCACCGCGTTGAAGATACTGACAATTGCACTAGATCATACAAAGCCTGCGCATCCTTCCCCTCGACTCCAAGGGCAACCTCTCTGATATCCGTACATTTGCGAACAATTTCTCGGCTTTCGCACCGGAAATTGCCCGTAACATTGGCAATGTGTTGCTCTGGTCTATCGGTTGCTGCTCGAAGTATCGGGAGGTGCTGATGAAGGGCACTTACGAAGATCCTACACGGCAAGCTCTAGCAGCTGATTTGGCGCAAAAGGCAAAGGATCTTATGGTCTTTGCCGGTCTCATCAGGTACAAGTTGCCACCGAGGGTGTTTGAGAGGCTGGCACGGGAAGGGGGAGAGGGGTATTAGGTGGACCCGTCGAACGAAGTGTAACATGATCTTCACGTACTTGAAAGCGGCGTGTCACTGCAGAACAGTCGAACGCACTACTTGGCATCATTGGTAATAGATCATCGTTAGGATTGATCATTGAATGAATGGTATGAGGGGAAGATTGTATTCGGCGTCGATAAAAGCTTCCTCGCTTCAGAAGCTGTGAGCTGTGTAATGCATGTATTTCAGCGTTTCGCTCGCCTTTCTTTCTACATCTCCCATGAAGTTGCAAGTGGTCTATGAACGTGCACTTGGTAATAAGGCATTGATATTGGGTAGATGGCTGCCATTAAGATAGCAAAAGCTGTTCCACCACATCCCCGTCACAGTAGAGCCGATGAGGATAGGATAGAAAAGGTCGCGCCTCGTTCAGGGATCCCCGCTAGGCCGTCTTAGGCGGTTAGGCTTTCAACCTCAAGGCAGCAACACCCATAAGACACTACTTTCTCCACGTATAGTTTGCCAGCTCTCGGACACAATTTCTGAGTTGAGGGTTCTCCTACTTGTTCTACTGAACCTGGAAGCGTCTGCACCTCGAGGTCTTCGGAATTCCTAGAACCTCACCAGGTCATTCTTAGCAACAACAGCAACCATGCTAGACCTAGCAACCCGTCGGAAGATCTGCGAAGATACGATTTTGCGTTCTGCATCCATCACCGAAGAGACTCCCGGAGCGTCCCTCAAAAGCGAATTCATTTCCTCTCAGCTACCCCTTCTCGACAACCAGCATCCGGCGTTTCCATCTCTCACCCTCAAACCCATCAAGATACACAACAGCGACGCCTTCGAACTCGCGCGTAAACTCTATCCCAGCAAAGGCAAAGTCGGTGTGTTGAATCTCGCAAGCGATATACAACCTGGCGGCGGCTGGCGCTATACCCTCTCCAAGACGCAAGAAGAGGCTCTGTGCTACTCCTCGACTCTGTACGCGACGCTGAAGCCGGAATGGTATCCATGGCATAATACCGGACCTCGTTCCTGTGCCGGTATCTTCTCGCCAGATATCGTGGTGTTCCGGGACACAATCGACAATGGGCTCGTCGAGCTACCTGCCGCAGAGAGACACTTGGTGTCCGTCATTACGGTTGCAGCGCCCTGCCTTCCGAAGCTTACGGAGGATGGGGAGCATTTTGCAGTCGCAAGCGATCTTAGGGATCTTCGCGAGAAGATCATACTAACGCTGAGGATGGCGGCCATGAAAGGGGTGACGAAGCTGGTGCTCGGAGCTATGGGGTGTGGTGCATACCATTGTCCACCTCATGTTGTCGCAGAGGAGATGAAGAAGGCCATTGAGAGGGACGAGTTCAAAGGCTGGTTTGAGGACTTGCCGTTCGCGGTGTACGCTGCTGGACCTGTGGGTAGGCAAAACTTCGAGGTGTTCGAGAAGGTTTTCAAAGAGCTCGCGATAGAATCATGATGAACTAGATATGCCGACACGAGGAAGTCCAGTTGCACTCATTCTATTTACCTTTTGCCTTATCATTCTCGGCTCATGTCCTCTCTTGCTCGTGCTCATCTGCCGCTAGCTTTCAACGTATTGCAGCGTTTCAGCCACATGGCCAAAAATAACATGTCACTGCCTTGTTCAAGCGCCTTTCAATTCTCTGGCGTCGTCTCTGGTACCATTTCCATCTTTTCAAGAGCGATCTCGGATTCTCGGATCCTTCGCCATTCAATGGTAAAGGCGCCAATCACGGATGCACTCGACATCGCAAGAGCAACGGACAAGGTTCGCCTCAACGCTCCTTTTTACGCTTCGAGAGCCAAGCCAAGATACTGCGTAGGTATGACCTTTCCGATCTATCGCACTAGCCACGACGATGGCAGGAGCGTCAATTTCAGCAATGCCGAGGTCAGAAACGTACCTACAAATGATTAGCGATGGCCAAGATGCCGCATACAAATCAAGTTACTCCAGCAACTTCTGGCTCAGAATATTATCCCCAGCGCTCAACATATTCGTCGTCCGGGAATATTGTGCAAACATAGTAATAGCCATGGCAGTCGGCGCATCCTGCTGCGTACCCACATTCTGCGCCGCATTCTGTGGAAGCTGCAGCGCGCACCCAGCACCAAAGCATACATAATCTGGAACCCGGCCCACTTCCTCGTCCGAGTGTCCGTTACAGAAGGTGAGTAGGTTAAGAAGAACGGTTGATGGAGTTGAATGTGCGATGGTAGGAATTTGTCCCTGCCGTCAAAGTAAACGCCATCTACTAATGTCGCTTTGCAGCACCCATATGTGAAAGCTATAGATGATACGTCTGTATATGAAAGACGCACATGTAGCATGCATTTCTCCACCTGCAGAGCAAATCAGGACACCCATTATAGACTGATGCCCCTTCCTTACGGCACAGATGTTGCATATTTGGTCAAGAACCCAGAAGATACAAGCCAAGCTCACTGGGCTGATAGCCGTCTGGGGTCCGTCTAAGTCGCTATTGCGAGTCGCCCTATTTGAGATTGCATTCCAGGTCGATATCTAGCCTTTGAGTCGTGAGCGGAAGGTATGGAACACTTTTAATTGGTGCGGGGCCCCAAAGAGAAAGCTAGCCACTAGCATCGCACCATAAGCCCCCGTCAAACGAGGGCTTCATTGCTCCTCAACTGTTCGTGTCCGTAAACAATTGTCGTTTCTATCGTTGCACTTCATCCTATATCCCGTTCAAACGAGATTCCCCGGGCTTGGTCATATTGAAAACGACTATGGCTGCCGCTGGTGGGTTCCAGGCGATTAGGGGGATCGTGCGATGACTGACCAGTGATGGCGCAGACCGACCGACTAAACTCGCGCGTCTTGAACCTCTTCCTCCCACACGCGTGGCTTCAGAGTTTAATAGCGCACACATGGACACTGCTCGGAGATTGCGATCATCATGTGATGCTTGCGGAGCTGCCAAAACCAAGTGCGATCGAATCCAGCCACAATGTGGCCGTTGCAGTTCCATGAACCTGTCCTGTGTGTACGGACCTTCAAAGCAGCTTGGAAAGCGCCCAAGAAGAAGACTTGATTTAGGCTCGAGGATTTCTGATCGTGGCGCGGCACCTTCTCAAGCGAACGCTGCATATCGGAAACCTGTTATAGAGGTATTCGGCACAGAACGCAGTGTTACCAATAGCAGTTTCGATCCCACTCTTGACTTGAGCATGACGCCCCCTCAAGATATGAGTATCACGCCTCCTCAAGACATCCAATTACCATTACCACAAACATCCATTGCATGGCCCCCGACTGACTTTGAACTATGGGGCGACCGACACAGATGCTACCACGAGTCTAATGATGTCATCCAACTGCTCTCTATTCCAGAGAGATTGTTCGCAGATGATGCACCAATCGTTCTGGATGTGTCTGATATCCTTCAGGCTACTAGACGGGCAATAGAGTCTCTCAATCGGCTGGTCGATTGCAGCTGTGCTAAGAACCGAGGTCATCAGGCAATGCTATACGCGTCTCTTATCTCACGTGCCTTGTGGTGGTACCGTGAAGCATCTGGTGATGCGGGTTTTCGCGCACCAGAAGCCACGGGTATGCCGTCACCCAACACTCCATCTGAGAACTCGGTGAGTAATGACCCGTTGCCGTATATGACTTTTTCAGGTTGTGCACATCGTCCGGTAAAACGATGTGACCTAAAACGCATACAGCTGCTAACTGCTTTTTATGACTAGGCACCACCGGCCAGCGTTCACCAGAGCACTGATAGATGTGTCAGAATCAAGGCGTCAGCGGTCACTGTAGGTGGTTTCAACATCGACGACCCCCAAATGCAACGCACCTTTCGAAATCAGCTTATTCGGCATGAAGTGACCAAAGTGGGACCTTTGATTGAGAAGTATGCTGCATTAGCGACCGATCCAGATGTGCGAGAAGAGGACAAGATCCTATTCTTAACGTTGGGCGCCTGGTTGAGAGCAGATCTTTCCAAAGCCATTGCAGCTGTTGCAGACGCAAGTAATAGAGCTGAAGACAGTTGAAAGTTTTGTGGGTCAGCCAATCGGTAACATTGCTCGCTCAGTATTTCGGATATGCAAGATTTGCATCACGCTAGATGAAGACCACGACAATGTAAACGGTAGAAATGCTGTTTATTCTATAAAATATCGAAGTCTCAAGAGTCCGTGTTCATTGACAAGAATGCGGATCAAGTCTTCATCAGCCAGTCGAAAATTTCAATCGCTACCCTCTCTGGCTGGTCGGTCATTACCAAATGCCCAGCATCCGGCACAACCACAAACTCCTTGACTGAATCTTTCAGCAAACCAGCCAAACGCTCCACCTTCTCCCTGGGTATCCATTGATCCTGCTCGCCCCACATGATCTTTATGGGGCATCTAATATTCTCGTAAAGGTTTTGGTCGAGCATCTCCGCAACATCAGCATCGTTTGCCTGCGCAATCTGTCTTACGAAACTATTTTGCTTTGCGCAAGCAACAGAGCTGTCGACGTCGACCCAAGGTTCGGCGAGAATGTCTTCCCACGCATGGCTGAACTCTTTTGGCGCATGAGAAGCGCTACGAATTACCGCCCGCACAACCGCTTCGAAGACACTGGAAGGGAGCTGGAGGAATGTTTTGGCTTCGGAGCGAGCCAACTTGTAGAAGCCATCTCCCCACGGAAGCACAGCATTGATGTCGAGAAGCAGCAGGCTGCGGTATTTGCAGCCATGGAGTAAGCTTGTGCGTAAAGCGATAGCCCCCGCGATATCGTGCGCAATTAGGGCCGGGGAATCGTCTTGATCGAGACGAATGTGTTTGAGCAAAGCGGCCAGGACAGAGGCCTGCATTCGCACTGATGTATCTAAGCAACATTAGCAAATTACGTCGCCGCATTTCTGATCCATATGACCTACCGCCTGCGAACAATTCGCCATATTTTGCCGGATTATCCTGAGTGAAATCCTGCGACTGGCCATATCCCGCTAGATCATATAACACTATACGATATCCGCCTCTGCCCAGGAGCGCTTTCGCAAGCGGTTTGAAAACAGCTGAAGACCATGGTGTTCCGTGAACAAACACAACCGTCTGGTCGTGTGGTTTTTCTGCGCCGAAGACGCCGTATCTGATGGCCCAGCCGTTGGAGGAGAAGGTTTGGGAAAGTTCGAGATCTGAAGTCATGTTTGAGATGTGGTGCGAGTTGCGATAGATTTTGCCTGGAGAAATTCTCTGTATTATAGTTCTCTGTACTCACATCATGCAGCCTGGTCACCTACAATACCTCAGGTACTCAATGACCCCCTTGCTTCGGAAGTCGCGAATCAGAAGTCGCGCTACCGCAAACATCAAGAACAAGAACAAGAACATCGAAAAGTCTCCGCCATATCATCCTATTTGCCCCGAGATCAACAGTGGTTCCTTGTCGCCCTTGTCTGATTTTTATTGAGTAGATTGGTAGACCATGGCTTGCTCGTTGGCTGTTCTCGAATGGCCCTAGGTATTGGCGCGTGTTCATTGTGGGCATGTCACCTTTCATACATCATCTCATCCAGAGTATGGCACATGCACAAAGTCGAACATTTTAATAAGTGGTCTCGACGGCTTGTACTGTGAGTTGTGTCTAAGTACAGAGTGACTGACCTTAATTTACAGACACTTCGTTAACTCTGGATAGCAAGGTGTTAGAATTCGGGCAATTGGGATGTCGGCGCCATCACTTGTATGTTGGTGTCAAATTTCGATCAAATTGTGAGGCTCAGAGCTAGGGCACTATGCGGAGACAAGATGAGTCGAATCTCGTCATATCCTCAGCCCCACGAAGCTATGCTGCAAGCGGTATCGCTTGGAACTTGTCCACCAGAACTCGCGCTCTACTGTACACTCGATGGGGTGTAATTCTCAAAACGATGAGTGCTGCATGAGTGTTGGCTCGGCTACCACCCACGATTAAATTCAATACAAAAGCCAAATTCTCCTCTTGATACTTTCTTCCTGTAAATCTCATAAGCCGCTATTCACTCTTCTGATGCAAGACACAGGCTCATCGTCCACTACAGCAACCACAATGGAGTCTCACTCCTACGCTTTGCCGAAAGGCGTGCATGCGCTGCGTACTTCCAGTCTGGACTTGCGCCCAGATGCCTTGATCGATCACGACATCCTCAACCCGCCATCTATCACCACCGAGAAAAACATATGGTTCTTCTGGCACAGCGGCTTCTCAAACATGCATTCATACACCCAGCGCAACATCCGCGCATGGCACCGCCGCTTATCAAAATGCGGATGGACGATCCGAGTCCTCGATCGCCAGCCAGACTCCCCGCTGAATATCGCCAATTTCCTGGACATCAAAGACAATAACACCTTTCCCAAAGCGTTCACGGACGGAACCATCGGTGGTGCCTACGCTCCTCAGCATACGTCGGATCTTGTGCGCTGGCCGTTGTTACTGAAGTACGGCGGTGTCTACGCCGACGTGGGACTGATGTTAATTGGTGATCTGGACGCGATCTGGAACAAGACCGTGGGCGACCCATCATCTCCCTGGGAAATACTCTCGTATAACGCCGGCGGGCCGTCTAGTCGTAGCCTCACGAATTACTTCTTCTGCTCTGGGAAGAACAATCCGCTGTTTGAGCGTTGCCACAGGCTGCTTTTGGCACTCTGGGCAGCCGATGGTGGCAAAACGAGTACCGACGGCATGTGCGATAGTCCCCTGCTTAAAGGCGTTCCCCATATGGGTGGGACCTTTTCGGTGCCAGGGATAGTCAATGAAGATGGATCGAGGATAGACTCAGAGGGTGTTGGGCGGATGCTCACAGACTATATTATCCAGGGACAAGTTGCGACTATGGTGATGAGCCTCGTGGATGAGGAAGACGGGTGGAATGGGCCGAAGTACTGCGCTGAGCACATCTACGCGATCGACTATATGGAGGGCTCGCAGCTTATCAACGAGTTCACTGCCTGGAACGGACCGAGAGCTTTCAGGCTTATGTCGCTCCAGCTGCCTAACAATGGAGAAGGGGAGACGCAGGAGCAAAGCGAGGCGAGGCGGATAGTGGAAGAGTGTCTAAGTAGGAGTTTCGGGTTCAAGCTGGCGCACGGCCTTATCTTGCGGGTCCTCGGAGATACACTGGGATCGCTTTGGAGAGCGAACGAGGGCTCGGATGATGTGCCTGGGACGTATGCGCATTGGTTGAGGTATGGAACTATGTACTGGTGTCCCGACGAGTTGCCGCAGAGACAAGAGTGGAAGGTGGAAGAGCCGATCAAGCGTGGACCGTTGTTAAGGGAGAGTTAGCAGGTGTAAATATTGGCATATATAATAGCTTGACTGACTTTGGGTACCTCCACAACTGTTTCGAGAGTCTAGCCAGAGTTAATTCGCTTCCAAGCATATAATACACTCTCCACGTTCCCTTGTGCGACTATGTACGATGAATTAAGACTGCATCTCTAACCGCTAGGTCCGAATAGATCCACTTTGATGCTTACTCTTAACAATCAAGTGCATTCCTCACTAGCCACGTCCCAGTGTTCCTTCACCCATTCCGTCATGATATTTGTAAAGCTCTTACCATCAGCATATGAATGCGTGTCTTCCGACGTATAACTCTCTCCAAGGTACCCCAACCCGAGCAAAATCCACTTCTGGATGAACTCGTTGTACATAACGTCCACAACCTCGGGCTTGTCCTCATCACCGGTATTAAATCCGATATTCGCTTGGACGCAGTTCGGCACCTGGTAAAACGGGATGACTTGATGAATTGTGTCGTCCCCATCCTTACCAGCATCATCATGCGTAGTGTATCCCGGAAACAGCTCGTCTTCGGAGCCTCCCAGTAGCGGGGTTTGGTCTTGAGCAGTGTAGCTATGCAGTTCTTGTGACTGGCTCGCAATATACATATCCGGTCTATACTGAGCAGCAACATGCTCCGGCGGTTGCAGATACGTATTGCCATCTTTCATCATGTCTAGGATCGGGCCTTCATTGTTTAAGAGCTTGATCAACCGGCTTGCGGATTTGTAAGGCACGTCTTTGATGTACCGTAGTCCGCTCGTAAAGGGAGAAACTAGGAATTTTGTGTCCTTTGTAAACGGCCCCTTGAAGACATCGAAACGAATACCGCCAGTGTTGGTAATGATGATAGCTTTCTTATTCCTTTCGGACGGCTTAATAGACTGCGGAAGGACTTGGGTGTCTAGCCATGTGAAGATGCTCTCATCATGAGGATACGGGCGGCGCGAAACCCACAAGTCGTGAGGTGCACAGCCATACCGTTCGCCCAAGCCAAGTGAATCTCTCGCCTCTCCGATAGCAAATGTGACATTTAGTCCATGTTCAGTTGGAAATGTGGTCTCATTCTTCTTGGTGTGATGATGCATAGAGAACAAATTGTTGTCAATGTATCTCCGTGAGAATGTCACCTTTGATTTCTGCTGCTGCGCCGGACGTTTATCGGAATCCGCAGTACGAAGCCCGTCGATGGACATGAAACCTATGGTCTCCATGTATCGGCCACTCTCCAAGGCAACCGAAGTTGAATCGAAGATCTTGTAGTCTCGAATATGTGAGTGACCGCCGAAGAATTGAATCGGAGTATCCCATTGCGCGGAACGAATTGTTTTGTATAGGAGAGCATACTCTGCGGAGCGGACGTCTACATGGCCATACACGAGGATGAGATCGATATCTTTGTCTCTCAGCGCGTCCTTGAACCACGATTCCTTCACAGTCTGTTCGACGGGGATCACAAAGGTGTTATTGTCGTTCCCCGTGAAATCAAAGATGAAACCAAATGCGAGGATCCTAATGCCCTGGTTCTTCGTTTTGAACTTTTTATACCGTGGTGCAAGCGGCTGACGTCGCCCATTGTTTGGATTAATGATGTCCAGATTGGAGGCCAGGTAGTTGCCTTTGAAGTCCGGGACTGTATGGAAGAACTCGCCGTCCGCAGACTCTGCCTTGTAAAGCTCATGGTTGCCGGAGCAGATCAGGTCTATGTTTTGCTTCTTCGCGATCTCATATGTAAATTTACCGCGGGGCTTTGAAGAATCATAGATGGCATTTCCTTCTATCCGATCACCAGTATCGATTAGCAGCAAATCGGAGCCGTCGGCGTCGGCGCGATCGCGCAAGTGTTTGGCAAACGAGATATAATCACCCCAATCAGCGGAGAAAGACGCTTCTTGGACATGCCCACCCCACCATCCGTGTATATCGGTGGTATGCAAGAAGTTCAGTTGAGCCCATGGTAGCTCGCGCAACGGTGCGGCTTTTGGCGCAGGCGCTAATGGCTGAGCTGCAAAACTGCCGTAGATAAGGAGGAAAGACACAAGCGAGATTCGTCTCATGATGCCAGCACTTTGACCTCCGATTCCAGATGCAGCTGCCCAGGTGCGCAGGTGGCTAGAGGGACACGTGACGTAGGCTGCAGGCTGCTCGCGATAAAGGAAGAGGCTTCAACGCTGTGAAACAGAACAAGGTGCAGATCCAGCAGGAATGAAACAGGTGAAGTCGATGAAAGATGCCACTCAACCTGCTGACAGGCTTGGTGCAGGTGAAGGAGTCTGATGACTCGAGGTGGGCGAGCACTGTTTGAACGTGATGCCTGGATGACTAAGCGTCACGAGGTGGCTGGTGCGGCTGGGGCCGGGGACGTGAAGGCCCCTGCCCCTGTCGCCTGGCGTCGCCTGATTGCCAGCTAGCGTAAGCGTACAAATGAATCGCGTTCCTGAGCTTTTTTTGAGCGGACCACAACACGCGCAACCCAGCCTCCTCCATCACCTCTTCTTCTCTCAACCGGTGTCGCCATTCACTTTCTCGACGCACACACAATGCCTCCTCGCGCCAACCGCGCGGCCACCGCCGCTGCAAAGGAAGCAACGCCGACTGTCAATGGCACCACCGGTACGTTATGCGCGCATCCGACCATGGTTCGCTTTCCGGAACAGCTGCTCATTCACGTCAATACAGGCAATATGCGTGCGCAACGAAGCGCAACGCGAGCAGTCAACGGCATACTTGAGGAGCCAAAGAGCGCACCCGGTAAGTTTGATGCGCTGCCAACTTTGCCTTTGTCCGCTAAACGCCCCCAAGTTGCCAAAAAGGCCGCAAAGAAAAGCGCCACACCTGCGGCGCCCAAGGCCCTGCCAAAGCGCAAGAAGGTAGCCGAAACTGTATCCTCAGAGGCTGATGAGCCTGCGCCCAAGCGCAAGAAGGACGACGACGAAGGACCTGCAGTGGACGCGGACGGCGATGTCGATATGGAGCCGCAGCCAAAGAAGGCCAAGACCACAAAGGCCCCGACGCCGAAACGCGACCTGCCCAAGGGACCGAGACGCATCAAGGGCAAGAAGACCGAGGTCAACCCGCTACGCTACACCGAGCCGCTGAAGGTCTTCGTCTTTGGCGAAGGAGGCCAAGGCGAGCTGGGCCTGGGCGCAACCAAGAAGGCCATAGATGTCAAGCGCCCGCGATGGAACGAGGCGCTGAGCAAGCAGGATGTTGTCAAGATCGCCACAGGTGGAATGCACGTAGTTGCGTTGACTAAGGACAACCAAATCCTGACCTGGGGTGTCAACGACAACGGTGCTCTGGGGCGTGACACTTCTGGCGGAGAGCAGTTGAAGGATATGAAAGAAGGCGACGACGAAGACTCCGATTCTGATGACGACGAGACAGGCGGTCTGAACCCGCTCGAATCCACCCCGACAGCCATTAGCGCAGACCACTTCCCTGAGGATACTGTGTTTGTCGACATTGCTGCCGGAGACAGCTGTTCGTTTGCCCTGACCAGCGAGGGCGCCGTGTATGGTTGGGGTACCTTCCGCAAAAATGAAGGGATCCTTGGGTTCGCGAGGAATAACGAGACCGCCAACACCCCAGTATATATCGACAGCATCACCAAGGTCACTGCCCTAGCCTGTGGTACGAACCACGTCCTTGCGCTTACCAAAGATCGCCACGTCTATGCATGGGGCAACGGGCAACAGAATCAGCTTGGGCGTCGTGTGACTGAGCGCAACCTCAACGAAGCTTTGGTGCCAAGCCGCCTCGGTTTCCATGACACCAGTTTCAAGAGACCTAGCCAGCGAATCGCGCAGATCGCTTGCGGTGACTACCATGGTCTCGCGATTGCTGAGGATGGCCACATTTGGTCGTGGGGTGCGAACAACTACTGCGAGACTGGCCACGGAGAGAACGCCGGACAAGACAATGCCAGCGTCCTTACACCGCGTATCATCCCTAGCTTGGAAGGCAAAGGCGTCACCACTGTTGAGGGCGGGTCTCACCATAATATCGCAATCACGCAAAAAGGAGAGGTACTCATCTGGGGCCGCTGCGATGGGTCACAAACCGGTATTCCTCCGGCCCAGCTAGAGGCAATAGATGACGAGGATCGTGTTCTGAAGACGGAGGGCGGCAAGCCAAAGATCCTCATCGAGCCCACTGTCATCCCTGGCCTGAGCAACATTGTGACCGGTGCCTGTGGACCTGAGCACACCATTGTCATCAACAAGGACGGCAAGGCATACTCCTGGGGCTTCTCCGCAAATTACCAAACCGGTCAAGGTACTGACGACGATATCGAGACCCCCACTCTCATCGATAACACCGCTGTGAGGGATGTTAAGCTCGTATGGGCTGGAGCTGGTGGCCAGTACTCTGCTCTTGCCAGCAAGCGGGATTAGTTTAGTAATCCGCTTTCTGTCCTTGCATTGCTACTGTTTTGTATCAACGCGGTATATGTTTTTTCTTTCGTGCAGACATACATCGGCGTTTCTGGGTTTCCGTTCAGTCGGCGGTCTGCATAGCGTGTCTCTTCTGGGGTGGATGAAATTTGTAGGGATATAGTCGAGCGTGTAGGAATCCGCACGTTAGGGCCTTGAGCTGGTTTAGATGGATGATCTTGTGGTATGCGACGGGCTATGAACCGTATTTGTAATAACAAATTGCATGGCCAGCTTTTTCCTATTACCTCGACAATTGCTTTCCATCACCGTACAAACGTTATGTGAGCTTTGCATATGTTTGGCTCCTAACTTTTCTGTAGCTATCATCGACGCGCTAGGCAAGCCGGGGCGACGCTGGCACCAGGTGTTTAGAGACCGTGGTGGATCATGTGATCTAGGTAGCAGTGACGTTTCAAAGATCTTGCAAGATTCAAAACACTAGGTATACGTACGTGACAAAATCCAGGTATGCCGTTTTCATTTCCTCTCGAAAAGCTCGCACCAGAACTCCAAATGTCCAAAACATACCCACTAAACGCTTAAGTGCAACCATAGGCTGACGATATAACTAGCTTATAGTATGTACGTGCGACTTTACGTCCATCCTTTATCAACACGTGAGAATCATTGATACTCAACTGTTGGATGTTCATGCGAGACGAATCTCTATAGGTACTGTACGAGCTGGCAGACGCAATGGAAGACATAGACGAGGTAGTGAGGCTTTATGCACGCGAAGTACTGGCGACCTTGGATATTGATTCCGAGCCTGGCGCGTATCATTCCAACTTTGATCCATCAACGATGGAGTACGAAGGTATTGCAAGTGCGTTCCTGCTCTTGAAGATATACGCCCACTACAGACGGCTCCGCGGCGATCAACGATTGTTCGTGGATGCATTGCAGGTCTGACAGATTGAGCATGCAGTAAAGGTGAACGATTTTCTTAAGGTGTGTAGCACAGCAGTGGATCGCTTTGTACTATCTTACTGGTGATGAATACATCAGCCAGGAGTTGGCTTGTGAGACTTCATGGTTTATCTGTAATTTGGCTCAAGACACTCATGGTGCCCAGTACTTTCCTTGCTTTCATCCTTCTTATCAGCAGAGGCGAGGATCAATGTCGCGCCCTCTTATCACGGGCACGATGCATTGGTGCAGAGTGTACGCTCCATGCGAGCTTCAAGTGGCGATGGATCATCTGGGATTATGGCTTTGCATGATAGCGATAACTCGGACTCGTCTTCATATCGCTCAGTTAACTACGGATGGGCACTTCTTGAAGAGCGGGACGCCGATGGCAGACCCTCCGCCACCGAGTATCGAAAAGCCTTCATGTATCTCGGCCTGCTTTTCTGGGATGATGATGGCTTCCTTCAGACTCGACTGACTACGATCAACGATTTCCAAAGCCTGCTGGGCACACTCAATGAAGGGTGGGATGAAGCAGGCGTTAGCGTGTACAATAATGCGTGTCATGATACTGCCATCTTTGTCGATTTCTATTGTCGGTGTAGACTACGACCAGACGACACTGTTGACTAGACGCAGAGTCCGGTGCAGTATACGTTTGGTTAGTGGATGATGAGCACGGTTCGTATGTATCGATTTAGAGGAAAATTAAACGTCATCTAGGGACACCGTTATGGAGAGACGAAAGTCATTTTAGACGGTCGTAGGAAGATTAGCTCTACTATTCCATGGCTTTATGGTGGGGGATTGTTTGAGGGATCCTCGAAGATCGCCGAAATGCATCACCTCGGCGTTTCTGCTGGTTATAACCGACCGTTGAAAGTATACAGCCGACTCAGTTAGGTCGACTAAGCCGGATCAGGGGAGTTGCTCCCCGAAACATACATTCCGAAGACCGACGAGGGTCTCTTGATGAGGAAACTATAGCCACTCTATTAACTCCTCTTACAACAGAGGCTGGCGGTACTCTTGCCAAGCGCACATGTTGTGCTTGTAGGACAGCCACGACGCAGAGAAGTGGAGATACCTTGTTGCTCAGCCGCTTTGTAACACTGTCCAAAGGAGTCAGTGCATTGACATATTTGCGTTACTTCTAGCCAGTATGTCTGTCTGAACTCTTCGAAGGTACGGAGATCATAGGATGATGTTGTTGTGATAGAACCGATTCATGTAGGTCGCGCCACTGGACACACTGCAGGCTCATGGGCAGCGCGAACATCACGCCGATCTCATCGCTTGCGGCGGTTTGGTGGTTTCTTTGCAGCTATGATCGCGCGAGACACCCACCACGTAGGATGCATGTTGTATATTTAGACGCTCTCATCAGTGCAGGTTCCAGACTCGAACATTGCAAAACCTTCATAAAGCCCAGAGCGTCTGGCCACACACCACCCGTAATCAATGAATCTTGAACTGAGCTGATTAGCAACTGATACAGTCTCGTCCTTCCTCGCAGTTCTGAAACTCAAATTTCTCCAGCAGTCCAGCCTCCCACCACTACTCCACGACCCCGGACCGTCTCCGACCGAGCACGCTAGCATAGCCAGATGCACTAAAAAGCATTACCGCCATGCACGAAACCGCCCGGAAGTACTGGAAGCGGCAAGTCGAACGGGCTAGGTTCTCCCTAGTCACGACCACGAGGCGGGCGGCGGGCGGTGATGGTTCGCGGGGTACCCCGCATGAGTGTAGTGCGGGCGCGGGGTGTATCGATGACGCTAGACAGTCGGATAGCTGTCGACAGCTGTCCGTTGGATCAACGACTAACGTATTCCCGGACGGCTTACGCACTCGCGTCTGCGGAGAATGGCTGCGGGCAAATGGGCCCGGAGAGCAGGCGGAGAAGATCGCCGTGAGGGTCCAGAGAGTGATTGGTAGGGATGGAAACGGAACTAGGTTGTGGTGTGCGGGTACTCGTGGCGACCGGCTGCGAGGGAATGTAAACTTGGGATGGTATATAGGGTCAGCCCGCCATTGCTAACAGGGTATCGGTATTCGTGCTATCGACACATCGGCAACTTTTGGAATTGAACGCTCTTGACTTTAGATCTCGCTATGGGTCTCAAGACGGATATCGCGACGGGTAGACATAGCCCTGCTGGGGATACCGATAGCTACAAGGACAATCTTGAGACAGATGTGCTTATTGTAGGCGCTGGTTTTGGCGGCATCTACTTGATGCACAAGCTTCGTCAACAGGGCTTTAAGTGCAAGATATATGAGGCCGGAAAGGATCTGGGTGGCATTTGGCATTGGAATTGCTACCCTGGTGCTCGCGTCGACTCTCAGGTACCTGTTTATGAATACTCGTTTCCAGAAATTTGGAAGGTAAGCGCTCAGAGTCTTTGGTGTTGATTTGGCTTACTGATACTCGGCATAGGACTGGACTTGGTCAACGCGATATCCCGGATGGGAGGAGCTGAGACAGTACTTCGATCACGTGGAGAAGAAGTTGGACATTAAGAAGGATTGTGCTTTCGAGACCACTGTTACCGGCGCCCAGTTCGATAAGCCATCCGGAAAATGGGTCATTGAAACGGAAGATGGTCGAACCGCGCGAGCGAAATATCTGTTGCTGGCAACAGGCTTCGCCGCAAAGCGACATTTCCCCGATTGGAAGGGTATGGACAATTACAAGGGTATTATTCATCACTCGTCCTTTTGGCCGGAAGAAGGCGTCGATGTTAAGGGCAAGCGTGTTGCGGTGATTGGAACGGGGTCAACGGGCATTCAGTTGGCGCAGGATACGGCAAATCAAGGCGCCAAAGTAACAGTGTTCCAGCGCACGCCTAATCTATGCCTTCCGATGCAACAGAAGCCCCTCACCCGAGAAGAACAACAGGAGGCGAAAGCGAAGTATCCAAGTCTTTACGAATACCGACGCACTACATTCGCAGGTTTCCTGTATGATTTCGTCCAGAAGGACACCTTTGATGACAGTGAGGAAGAACGCGAGGCGTTCTACGAGAAGATGTACGAGAACGGCGGCTTCGAGTTCTGGCTCGCGAATTACAAGGTGAGCAAGCGCCTGGTTCCTTCAACAGAGTGGTGGTATATTTGTCTGACGATTTCTTAGGATCTCCTCTTCGACAAGAAGGCCAATAGAGCAGCTTATGATTTCTGGGCTAAGAAGGCGCGGGCTCGTATCACCGACCCCCGGAAGAGGGACATTCTTGCGCCTCTTGAGCCGCCGCACGCGTTTGGAACAAAGCGACCTTCGCTGGAGCAGAACTTTTATGAGATGATCGACAAGCCGGAAAATGACGTGGTCGATGTAAAGAAGACTCCCATCAAAGAGTTCACCGAGATCGGTATCACAACAGAGGATGGAACGCATCGCGAGTTCGACATCATTGCTCTGGCTACCGGTTTCGACTCGGTAACAGGTGGGATGAAGAACATGGGCTTGCGCGATGTTGACGGTACCCCACTTTCGGAGCTTTGGAAGTCAGGAACATGGTCGTACCTAGGAATGTCATGCGCTGGTTTCCCGTAAGTCCCTTCTAGCCCACTCGTAAGGCTCTGACTGACAAGCGCAGGAACATGTTCTTCTTGTACGGGGCCCAAGGGCCCACAGCCTTCAGCAACGGCCCCACATGTGTAGAAGTGCAAGGAGATTGGATCGTTGACGCCATGACTCAGCTCAAGAAGGACAATATCAACTACTGCGACGCGACGAAGGAGGCCACAGAAGTTTGGCGGCAGAAGGTAACGGAACTATCCGATAAGACGCTGTTCCCAGGAACATCATCTTGGTACATGGGCGCGAATGTACCAGGCAAGCCTCGCGAGCAGCTGAATTATGCTGGTGGATTCCCGCTGTACGAGAAGGAGTGTCGGGAGTCGCTGGAAAACGGACTGCAAGGCTTTGTGACAGCGTAGAAGTTGAGACGGTTGTCCCCTTCAGCGACTTTTCTGCGTGTTGTATAGAGTCACAGTATCATTTTCACATGTCCATCTCTATCTCTCTCCCATGTAAGATCTTTTTCGGAATGGTAGGATAGCATTTTCTTCGATTTGAGTGTGTGTGAATGATGCGACTCGCTGAGATGAGCGTGCAACATGGCTCAATGCGGTCTAGGGCGATTTTCACGTCATGACGTCGGACCGTTGGGGTGGACCGCGGCTTGCTCGTGCTGGCGACGCGAATTCGTCGTCCACAATCCAAGAGCCCATGGCCATTTTCCGTGTCTGTTGCAAACCCTCGCTAGTACTATGAGGTCAGCCTTTTGGCTTGGTCGCCAATGTCTTCCTCAAGGGATTCGACGGAGCGCGTCCTTTGCGACACAAGCCTCGACGCGCCGCTTCACCACGGGCACTCCGTCCTCCATCCGCAGACGCATCGCAACTCCTCGATTCCCGCGCAAAACCGTCCTATGGTCTGGAGCAGGGGCGGCCGCGGCCGGCGGAGCCCTTCTCAGCCCCCTCGCGTTCGTCGCAATAAGCAAAGATGGAACCAACATTGGAGACAAGACACATGAGGAGGCAATGCTGGAGGCGTCAAGGAAGGAACTGAAGGAGCAGGTGCCCAAGGCCATCAAGAATTCGAAGAAGTACCGAAGAGGCATTTACTTCTTCGTCGACTTATATATTATTGAACCCATCTGTACCGGCCTTCGCTTCCTGCACCTGGTCATCATCTTCGTGCCAGTAATTGTCACAATACCTTCGATATGGTTTGGCCAGAGGCAGCCGGGAAGGGACAATGAGAGGAGCGGCACGCTATGGTGGTATGCCTTCTTGGTCGCAAGTATGGAACGGGCGGGTGCTGCCTTCATCAAAGTAAGTCTCGCCGCTATGAATGTTCCCTTTCATAGAACTGACCGTACATAGCTTGGTCAATGGGCCGCTTCTCGATCTGATATATTTCCCACCGAGATGTGCAAGACCATGTCTGCCCTTCACTCTAACGCTCCGGCACACTCGCTTGAGGTGACTAAGAAAACCATAGAGAAAGCGTTCGACGGCCGCCGATTCGAAGACATCTTCGACGAGTTTGACGAGAAGCCACTGGGCGTGGGCGCTATTGCACAGGTGTACAAGGCCAAGCTGAAGCCGGATCTTGCCACGCTGCAGCAGAACACCGAAGAAGAGCCTCCGAATCTACGCAAGCGGATAAGGAGAAATGTGGATACAGCACTGAAGGACATGCCACACATGGTACCCTCGAGCCACGTCGCAATCAAAGTGCTGCATCCCAACGTAGAGCGAATTGTGCGTAGAGACCTGCGCATCATGGGTTTCTTTGCCGCTATCATTAACGCTATACCGACCATGGAGTGGCTGTCTTTTCCGGACGAGGTTGAGCAGTTCGGTGAGATGATGAGGCTACAGCTTGACTTGCGTATCGAAGCTGCCAACCTGACTTTATTCCGTCAGCATTTCAAGGAGCGCAACACCGCCTGGTTCCCATACCCTTACACAGAATACACAACACGCAACGTCCTGATTGAAGAATTTGCCCAAGGCATCCCTATGGAAGACTTTCTCCAGAACGGCGGAGGCCCATTTCAAGAAGAGATTGCCAACGAAGGCCTCAATGCTTTCCTTACTATGGTACTGATCGACAATTTCATTCATGCCGATTTGCACCCGGGCAACATCATGGTCCGTTTCTATCAGCCGCAGCAGATTGATGTGGGGCTCTTCACGCGAAAAGAAGACCGTACAACTGGCCCGAAGGATTCGCCAGATGTGACAGAGGAGGTGCTCCGGAGACTCCGACCTCATCGGAAGGATACCCAAGAATGGAACAAGTGTCTTCAAGAGATTGATAGCGAGGGCTACCGACCCCAGCTCATCTTCATCGACACAGGTCTAGTGACTGAGCTCAACGCGACCAACAGAACCAACTTCTTAGATCTCTTCAAGTCAATAGCTGAATTTGACGGCTACAAAGCTGGTCATCTCATGGTCGAAAGATGCAGACAGCCCGAGGCGGTCATCGATTCCGAGGTGTTCGCACTGCGCATGCAACACCTGGTTCTTGGTGTCAAGAGCCGAACCTTTGCCCTGGGCAACATCAAGATTGGCGATATTCTCAACGAAGTTTTATCAATGGTTCGAAGTCATCATGTCCGCTTGGAGGGCGACTTTGTCAACGTCGTGCTAAGCATACTGTTATTGGAGGGCATTGGGAGGAGCCTCAACCCAAACCTGGATCTATTTGCAGGGTATGTTCCCATATAGACCGAGGCTCAATTTTTTCCCTTTTGCTAATCACCTCTTAGAGCGCTCCCTATTTTGCGCCAAGTAGGCGCTCAGAGCGGCTCTGCTATGATACGTGGCGGCGACTTCTCGATGCTCAAAGTCTGGGTTGGTCTTGAAGCTCGCAGCTTCCTTCAAGCGTCCATTGAATCTGTAAGCTGGCCCAGTTCGTTACGTTACTCAATTATTGACTATATCTTTTCTCAGGTTGAAAGATGCGTGAAATACGATCAGCTGTCACCAAACCTTTAGACCCACCAACCATGCAGCAAGAAAGCTTCTGCACGGACCGCTGCAACCAGCTATTTCTGGATTCAGCACTGAGGTCTTCCATGTATGCATTGCTGCGTACAAACATGCAAACAAGCCTCCACACGGGACAGGAATCTCAGATCATTTAGCGTGTCCAGGTCTCTAAGTGACCGACCATACTCCCCTCCACTGGCTACTGGACTCAAATATCCGGACCCTGGTGGCAAACCAGAATTATATACACGATACCTTGCAGTGATAGCGATCTTACCTGACGGAGGCAACTATCTATACCTTGGGGTACGTTAGCTTTCGCGTTAAGATGTCTGGACATAATTTCTCTGGCCATCAGCAGACCATTGCAATGTACATATAAGCGAGACTAGACATGTTTTAGTATAAATGTAAATAATTCAAGGAACACGATCCGCAATGGGACAAGCCAATGCGCAAGGGGCCTGAATGTACACACTACGTCATAGTTTGCCCGCATCACCTAATTGGAGCAAGCAACAAACATCTCGCTGCGCACAGCATCTTCTTTCCTTCCCAATCCTACTATTTGCAGCTCCACTCTGGATATATTCCTCATCTTGGCAGGATACATCACCAACAATCGCCGCTAACAGCCTCGATCTACCATGGAGCCCGCAGCAGCAGGCGCTCTCTATGCCGCCGAGAACCTTCTCTCTGGTGCAGCAGCTTTGGTCAAAGGAATCACCCATCCGACTCTCCCCCTGAAAGCCAACCTCACTCGCATCGAATCTGTACCATTGCCACGGTCCGGCCACTCCCTCTCCGTCGTTAAAGGACGAGCGTACGTGTTCGGCGGCGAGACGGCACATGGCGAACTTGCGGACAATGACATGCACATCATAATTCTACCTTCTTCAGGTGTTCTAGAGGCAGACTATACTACCTTGAAAGCGCGACCCGAGACCGCCGGCGGAGCGGTTCCCGCTTCGCGCAAAGGACACTCGAGCGTGGTGATAGGAGACAGTATATACATCTTCGGCGGCGAAGGCGTACAGGAAGAGAATGGCAGGATCTGGGTCTTGGACACCCTAAGGAATACCTGGTCGTTCCTCGACCCCGCGCCAGACACAGCAGCGCCAGCTCACCGAACCGGTCACGCGGCGGTAGCAAGTGGACTGCCAGGACCTAGAAATGTTACCTACAAGGAGAAGGCACCGCAGCAGCCCGTCGACCCAGCAAAGGTTGTGCCTGAACCGGCCGACGCTGATTCGTGGGGAACGATATTCGTGGTGGGAGGAAGGGAAACAGGGACCGGAGATCTAGCCAAGGACGCGCTGGCTTTCGATGTGCGGTCCCGCACTTGGTCGAACATACCCACACCAGACGGGCCACCCACCGAGGGAGCCAGCCTCGCGCTCGTGGGTAACAGTCTGTACCTGTTCGGAGGCAAGACAGCCACTGAGACAGGAGAAAGCGCGACAGCAAAGACGCAGGTCCTCGACGCGTCGTCCGTGTGGCAGCATGCTGAGGATGGCACCACGCCCCTCGCCAGCGGTTGGGCGTGGGATTCTCTCTCTGCCTCCTCAGCAGCGAACAGTTCGTCGAGTCTCACTCCCTCACCCAGATTCGCGGCGGGACTGGAGGACGTGACCACGGGCCAGGGGAGGCACTACCTCTTGCTCTTTGGAGGTTCCTCGCCGGCGCCAGATAACAACATCACTCTGCTCGATGACGTTTGGGCGTTTCAGCTGCCGTCTGAGCGCGCGAGTGCGGCAATTGCAAAGGATGCTGTACGAGCAGGTCTGAAAAGAGAGACGCATGAAGCGCACTGGGCGGAGGTGGGATGCAGGTACATGGATACGAGGGGTGATGAGCTGGCGCAAGAAAAGAGTGGGATCAAGGGGTTCGGGTCGAGAAGCGGGTTTGCGGCAGCGAAAGGAACAGAAGTCGATGGGGCTAGTGTCGTGGTGTGGGGTGGGGTGGACGCTGAAGGACGGATTCTGAGCGATGGGTGGCTGATCACTGCGGAGAGGTAGCTAGGGGTAGAGGACAAAGCCTGGCGACATTACAGATGTCACGCGCAAAAGACTTGACAAGACTGCACCACATGTGAAACATGATGAAGCTGAAAGCTCGTCACATCAGTATCGTGAAAATCTTCCTGAAGCATGACTCCTAATAACGCCATATATGCATGTTGTAAACGCCAGATCCCGGTTTCCTGCGTCGTCTGGCGCATCTTTATCCAGTGGGGTATCAAAGTGCCCATTATCATTACCGTCTTAACGCCTTAGCCTGTTCTCGTTCGCTCGCATTGTATCTAGCAGTTGTTAGTCCTGACGGGAACATATCAATCGACAATGAGTAGCGAGGAAGGTCGCTTAGACTCTGCGCTTCTCGCGCTCCTTGTCGCGCTCATTGCTTCTCGAAGAATGTGCGGCGCCACTTCTGTTGGTCGCCGAAGTTCACGTACTTGAGCAGTTTCTCGATCAGATCCACGTGGGTGAGGATCATGCGGCGGCAGCAGTAGCGGCGGAGCTCGAGAGCGTCGATGGCGTCCCTGTGGGTCGCGTGGTCAGTATGTGGGCGGGGAACATGAGGAGGTCAAGGCGGGCTGCGCATACACATCGGTCATGCCAGAGTCCAGCTTCTCGAGGTAGGACTCCCAGAGGTCGCCTACTACCTGGTTATTGTCAGCTGCTGGTCTTTGCGCGGGGAGGAGGTCGTGGCGCGGTACCTTTCCGCAACTGAAGCAGCGGATGGGGATGATCATGGTGACGGCTGGCAGGTGTTCTTCCAAGGTAGGGGATGTTGCGCTTGCTTGGAAGAGGTTCGAGCTGGTGTGGGAGGCCTCGGTGGGTGCAGCGGTGGAGCGTGCCTGGTCGTCGCAACGCGGTCAAAGAAATTCAACGAGACCGCGGTAGAGCCAAGGCCGCAGTAGCGCAGCGCTCGGACCAGCTCCGCCGAAAATTATCTCGAACTTTTGGCGGCTGCGTGCGCAAAGAAACCAAACACTAGTCGTCTTCTTGTTTTTACTTGCGTCTGTGCAGGAGGAGTAAATATGGCCGACGTCGCTGCTGCCGCGCAGCTAAAACGCAAAAGAGAAGGCGCAGAGGCGCAGAGGAAGAAGGCGAAAACGGGCAAGAGCAAGCCGGCCGCTGCTGGGGAAGCGACGCCCTCCAAGACGACGAGTGCCACGCCCGAAGCCAGAGTGACTCCGAAGGCTGCCGTCACGCCAGAAGCGAAGGGCGCCCAGAAGAAACAGCCCACACCGCAGAAAGCGCAGGCCAACGGAACCCCCGCAGGCCCCGCTGCAAGCACCCCGTTGGGCTCGAGAAAGAGCAAATCCACACCGAAGACACAGTCGGCAAATGGCGCGGCTGCCCTTGCCGAGAACGAGAAGGATGTCGCACCAGCATCGGCCGCAGTGGCTGCAGAGACACAGAAACAGGTCGAGATCTTCAAGAAAGAACGAAGCCCGCATCCATGGTCTGTCTCTGCTCCGCAAGGCGGATGGTTCTTGCCGCAAGATCCCGTATTCTCGCCTGACGAGAAATACCTGCTCCTGGGCAAGCTGAAGGCATTGGATGTATACGCAGCTGATACCTCATTGCTCGTCCGATCCCTACCTCTAGGCGCCTCTAGCTTGGCTCTGGCCTATGCTCTCTCATCTACCAACTCCGACCTCGTTTATGTGGCAGATTCGGCCGGGATAATATCTCTCTGGAACTGGACCGATGGCTCAAAGCTTGGCCGCTGGGGCATCGGAGCGAATGTTCAACACTTGGTCGTTGTCGAGCAGCCAACCACATCGCGGGACCTCGTCTTCACGCATGAGGCAGACGGCAAACACATCGTGAATGTGCACGCTTTGTATACCGGAGACGAAGCGTCCAAGACAGAAGTAAAGCAGATTTTGAGGACCAGCCGTCCCATCACTGAGATGCAGGTCCTGCTGCAGGGCAAGCTTATCGTCCTGAGTACACCAAACTCGATGATAGTCGGAAAGCGCAGGAAGTTCAAGCAAACGGCACTCCAAGACTTTGAGTATACGTGGCGCGAATTTGAAATGTCTAGGCGCATCACAACCTTCAATGCCTTCGTGCAGATATCTGGTGGAAAGGATAAGGCACTGGAGGATGCCCGAGATCATCTCGATCTCGCTGTCGGAGACGAGGAGGGTGTAATTTACCTGTTTGAAGATGTCATCTCTAGATTCGTCGCCGTCGAGAGGAGCCAGAAGGACGCTTCAGACAAGAAGGTTGGACCAGAAAGCCTGACTCCAAAACGATTGCATTGGCACAGGACTGCCGTGAGATCACTCAAATATTCGCTAGATGGTGAGACCAGCCCTACTTAGAGAAGAGCATTATAGCTAACCAGTATAGGCAATTATTTGATCTCTGGCGGTGACGAAACTGTTCTCACCATCTGGCAGCTAGCGACCGGAAAACAACAACATCTTCCCCATTTGACTGCAGCGATCGAAAGCATCGCAATTTCCCCATCTGGCGCTTCTTACGGAGTGACTTTAGCAAACAACTCTGTCATCGTCTTGTCAACGTCGGAACTGAAGGCCAAGACCAACATCGTTGGTATTCAGACACGCAGAATCAGTGCCGGAAAGCTCCACAGACTATCCAATCCCCACTTCTCGCCCAACTACCTCACTTTAGTACCTATGGATATCGATCCGAACAACAACAGCCACATCACTTTTGTCACGCCTTCTTCACAGCCTCGGCACGGAGGTGCATCCAGATCAGAACCATATATCCAGACATTCGATCTTGCCAATCAGCGACCAATTGCACGACAGCCTTTGACTCGAAACAATGCGACTGATCCTAATATGGGGCCTGACGGCCGCCCGATTCTGGAGCCGAGTGTCAACTTGCTACGCATCAGCCACGATGGTGCGTGGCTTGCCACAGTCGACGAGTGGGTACCGCCTGTCGCAGACCTCTCGTACATCGAAGAGGGCATATCGGCATTGAATGTAGAGGAACGGACACTACGTCGAGAGGTGTATTTGAAGATTTGGAGGCGCGACGAACAGAATGGACAATGGGTGCTGGACGCACGCATCGACGCTCCTCATTTCATCGATGGAGTTTCTGCCCACGCCCGCGTATTCGATCTGATTGCCGACCCATCTGGCGCTGGATTTGCTACAGTTGGTGAAGACCGTGTAGTACGCATTTGGAGACCAAAGACACGGATGCGTGATGGTGTCATCGTGCGCGGCGCAGATCGAATGCGTGGCCTTGTCAACTGGTCTCTGGACCGCGCCGTGAAGCTCGCTGACAAGCTTGAAGTCGACGAAGCTTACGAAGCAGCGCAAACTACCATTCCTCGTACATGCCGGCTGGCATTTTCCGAGGATGGATCTGTCCTTGCCGCTGGTGTTTCATGGGCATCTGACGAGGATCCGGGTGTAGTCCATATCGTCGATACTAATGACGGAAGCATCCGTCGCTCTATAACTGAGATCGACATTTCCGCTCTCTCCAGCGTGGCCATTCTTGGGCGTCACCTCATATTACTCGGCAACACAGTCGTCGTTTGGGATATGATCATGGATCAGCTCGTGTACTCCATCCCGAATAAGACTCCGGGAGTCAGGATCTCTACACATAGTCAACTCCTATCTCTTGCGACAAACAAAGAGGACTGCACATTCGCTGTATCAACACCACGCCTTCAAAAGAAAGAGCCTGAAGATGAGCGCTTTACTAAGATCGCAACCAAAGTCACAGTATATAGCCCTCTCGCGTCCGAACCGGTTTGGTCCTGCACCATACCCGAGGCTCTTGTACTGGGGTTAGTGGCGATAAAGGGAAGCCGGGGCTTCGTTGCGCTCGATACATCTTCAAACATCCGACTACTCACTCCCTCGGTCGCTACCCTCCAGCTTCCTAGCCCCCCGCCGGAGTCCACTTCCGAGTTCACCGAACAAATGGAAGCTGACGAAGACATTATGGAGGACGCTGAAGAGACAGCAGTGCAAAACGCACCTGGCTTGCAATTGTCCGCAAGCGAGGAATTGTTGCGCACTTCTGAAAATGACAAGCCTGTTGTCAGCTCGGAACAATTACAACAGATATTTGACAGTGGGCCTTCACATGCTCTGCCGCCTGTCCGAGATCTCTTTGATGCTGTCCTGGGTCTGTATGGGAGAAAGCCGCGGACAGCAGCCAGTGTTGCATGAATGCGTGTTTACGGTTGTGATTAAGTTGGTGAACGCTATGTAGAACAAGATGACCGGTCCAGGTTTGGCCTCTTGATATAATTCGTCTTGTGTCCTCAAGCAAGCAATGCATTTTCGTGCAGTTGAGATTCCACGTTTCGCGAAACTACCCTGATAGACATTGTCGAGCTGCCTAGCGTATCTTGCTCAAGCTTGAATCACAATGCTAGTTTGGATGAACTTCTTTCGTGAGGGGCTATCAAGATGTTTACGTGAGACGTTTTATTCGGAGTTGAGTTACGCTGCGAGGCCTGGTGGGTAGCTCTACTCCTGGCGGAGATTTGGCTGTCAACCCACGGACGCGCAGCTTGGCGCTCTTCGCAATGTGCGTGCTGCACCTCCGTGAGACGAAGCCACTCAGTCACTCGTTACATAGCATGGCATATGTACTATTTCCTGCTCAATAGACCACCGAATTACCTAGGTACTGTGTAGCATGTGGTTGTCAGGAAGATCATTCCCGATTGAGCCACGCTGGCCGATCTTCCCAAAACAACATCAACCTTCCGCTTCTGTTCTCACAACGGGGTGCCCCCGCTTCCGCAAGCTGCGCACTGTTGCAAGCCTGTAACCATGTGCAACGCTCATTTTCAGTCCGTTTTCCAGTTCTACGATTATATCGCCAAGAGCACTCCAATACCGGACGCCGCTCCAGCATAGCCTTGAAACATCGGCCAGGATGAGGTACACCTTAACAGCCACAGCCCGGCAACTTGACCTCCAGCGCCTGCGCCACGCATCTCAATGCCGCAGACGCGCCCTCATTGGTTCGTTGTAGTGACAGGAGAGCCACTGCGATAGTGCTACGGTCTCGCGGACTTCGGACTGGTTGGCTATTTTTCAGGCGAAACGCGACTTGAGCCTAATCAGGCATGTGAGCGAAACGACGACGCCAGTCCTCGCGCCCACGTAACTGCGCGCCCCTGTTGGTAGATATTTTCGGAGTAATTGGCTTGGTGAGTGGTGGGACGAATTGGGTGAAGGCTCTGGATCACGGTACGGCGTTGTGGGTGAATGGCGGCCAGGCACGCGCACGGGCAGCCTGTGCAGGTGCCACTGGGGCGGAAAGGCGCATGTATATACCTGGGCGATCTCCGTGTGCGTGAGAGAGGCACAGTCGCTTTCGAGGTTCGCTTCTTCAATTCGTGTGTGAAATTTGCTGGTCAAAGGTTCGATTTGAAGAAGGTCGTCAATATGGGTTACGGTAAGGCAACATCCCTTCTCAGCGTTTAGACGAACGCTCGAGTACAATCAGCTACCCCATAAAAACCAATAACCGCACCATTTTCGTCGGACCGTGGCCATTGTTGGACCATCTAAATGAGCAATGAGAGCTGACTCCGGCAGGCGGCTTTCTTACTCTCCTCAATGGCTCTCCGAAGGACTGGGTCGTGAGCGGCCAGCACTCTTACCAGATGGACAAGTGGGAATGGTCAACGGTCAAGGCCGGGACTGCTGCGCAGGTATACGTTGAGTGGGGTCAGAAAGGCAACCAGAAGGACGATGGCGGCGAGGCCTACTACACCATTGACGGCACTTCAGACACGTTCCAGGTCATCGGAAAGAAACCGGACGACTTCCACATCACCATTAATCTTGATAACATGGCGACCAAGCAGAGCCCGAAAGGGTCGAGCATCGATTTGGGTTTCCGCCATGACCATGCTGTGGACTTCATTGTCAGCACCGACGAGCTTGGTGATTGGTGGTCAAACGCTGGAGATCTCACCGACTGGATGCAACAGAGCCTTGGAACCTTGGGGAATAGGACGCTGAAGCAGATCTGCATGCCGGGTTCGCACGATGCTGGCATGAGCTCGTTCGATGCAGGCACCATCGGCGCACACTGGACCAACAGCCAGACGCAGCTCCTCAACTTTTACGACCAGCTCGTGGCTGGATCACGATACTTTGATCTGCGACCTGTGATATCCGGCGGAGAGTTCAAAGCCGGGCACTACTCCGAGATCGAGGACATCTGGCTGGGTGGCAACGGAGAAAAGCTCTCGGACATTATCAACCAGGTCAACGACTTCACGGCAAAATACAAGGAACTCGTCATCATCAACTTGAGCCACACGCTTGACACAGATAATGACTACAAAGACCTCTCTCAAGATCAATGGAATCAGCTTTTTGATAAGCTTAAGGCAGTCAATAACCGCTTCACCGCCGACAATCCCGGAAGTCACGATTTCAGCGGCGACACTCTGGGCAGCTTCATCACCGACCGCGCCTCAGTGTTCATCTTCGCGCAGCTGCCCAGTGGTATCTCGCTCGGCGACTACGCCAACCAAGGCTTCTTCAACCAGGATAACTTCCCCATCTACGACTCGTACGCGAACTCCAACGACGCCGAGGCCATGAAGAAAGACCAGCTCGACAAGCTCAAGGCTGAGCGCAATCTAGTCGCCGATGACGCTACGCGCAAAGACAAGTTCCACATCTTCTCGTGGACACTCACGCAGCAGGCCGAGGACGTGCTCAACTTTGACAAGGCGATTATGAACCTTGCGGCCTCGGTTTACGACCCGCTGTTTGTCGATGCGTTCAATGCGTTTACGCCCGAGAGCTTTCCTAATGTGCTGTATGTTGATGCGGTGGGCGTGCGCGACAAGCCGGCCGTCTTCCCGTATGACAAGCCGGCGGATGTGGGCAGGAATTACGACATCATCAGCCTGGCGATAGCGATCAACAACGCGCGGGCTGGGAAGAACGTTTACATCACTGGTTAGAGGTCGACATCGGTGGAGGAGAAGTGTGAGTGCTGTCATGGGTTTTCTTCGGAAGCACAAAGTTTTCAAACTTCTGGAAGAGCACGGGAGTTGAGACGGTGGTTCGTTTCGTTTGTAAATATCATCTGTTTGTGTAAAGGATACCCCTATAAAGTTCTTACAGGTGTTCAGTCAGCCACAGGCCCACAGCGTCGGTGACAGCGACGGAGCTAACAAACATGAATCGTGCGACCGACATGCGACAGCTAGCCCAAAAACAACCAGACGGCATCAACGACGGCGGAACCGCAAGCACGTCCACCATGACGCGTTTACACAACATCTATGTTGAATGTTGGGACCACAGCGAATCGTCAGGGAGGAACCTTAAGATGGTGTATCGTAATGCTCGTCTCAGACGGCTGCCGCGACCAATGTGTTACCAGGGACTTCTAGCCAGATGTCCCACATTGGCCGGGAATAATCGCTGCAATGGCAAATGCAGTTCCGACATCGATGTCTCAACTCATATGCAGTGCCCCAGATGACCGCATCGCGTGAGTCAACTCAGCATTGCATCCCGTCGCAGTCACACGGCGTTGCTGGGATGGGCGAAATTCGATCGATAACGCTCTGCGCCCAAAAAAAATACAATGAGTCGGTGTGCTGCGCACACGCGGCGCTGCGTATGCTCTCCAGACCATTATAGTCAGGGACTGCGGGATGCGACGTACTTTCACACTTGGCATTGACAGATGGGGCAGTGGGTACGGCGTCGTCAACAACGGCTGGTCGAATGCGGAGGGGACAAGAAATCGGTTAGCAGGGACTAGACCCGCGTGATTTTGCGCCGAGCCGGCGCTCTGGACGAGAATGAGGGGATGAGACGACGCTTTACTCTTCGTATCGAGGGGTAAGTATTGATTTCGGTGCTTCTGCGTGTGAGGGATGGGCATGTTTGATGGGCTCCACACCATCTTTCGGAAGCGATAAGGGAAAGATGCGCGCATGCTTTTGGGTTGTACGTTGTACGAGGCGGGGTGGGTGAAACACGTGGCTTGAATCACCGCCTCGCGAATGTCGAAAGGACATCACAGGCGATGTGCTCGGCGCGAGAGGGACTCGCTTGATGCAGCGCCAGACAGGGGAGACTTTCTTTGCCGATCTCCATACAGTAGCAAGGCTTGATGCGCGACATGCAACGTCCGCTACCATTACTATGACTATGTCGATCGTTGATTCTCGCGCATCGCCGTGTCCTTGATCGTCGCTAGAAGGAAACCACTTCCTCAGCTAGACAGCATAGAGCCTATGGGGGAGATTGACCTCCAGATTTCCAGCCCACTGTTTATATGCCCAGAGCAGCGGCGCGAGCAACAAGACAAACGGTGCGCGCCGACAGCTGGGCTTCATCCGTAGATCAGGTGTAGCGCGCCGCCATACATTTCCAACAATGCAACCCAGCTCCACGTCTTCGCGCCACCATGACCACGCACCCCAATGTCGCACCTGGAATATGCAATCATCCCGCAGCTCCACGGCACACTAGCCGTCCGACTCGAAAATCTTTTGTCCGGCAGGCTCAACACAAGCTGCAGTGCGAGGGGAGAGCACTGCCGGATAGAAGCCGACGTTCATGCTGAGTGCTCGTTCAACGTTTGCCCGCGACCCGGGCCTGCTGAATCCATCGCTGTTTCGTGTAACCCGTCTGGGACAACCCTGAGCGTTACGACAAACGAACGCGCCTAGATGCAAACATCATCATCGACAGTGGAAACCCAAACAGATACACCAAAGCCAGACCATAGGTACCTGATGCATAGCAGCTCATCGTCATGGTTTCGAACGCCGCGGGCCCTGTTGCCCAGACCCTTCTTCCTCTTGAAAATGTGCTTGGAGCGTAGACCATACAGGATATCCATACCAAGCCCAGTAGTCATCTCAATCGATATTGGCCAAGACCCAGGTTCCTGCATTGATTTCAAGAAGACAAATGCCTGTCGTCACACAGCAGCACCCACCAATCCGCGCGAGTCGCCTACGAAGCAGGTCCCGACATTGAGGGAAAATCCACGAAAGCGGTTTGGCGGCAAAGGCCCCACGCCCCTAAAAGATATCTCAGACTAAAGTTAGCGATCTCGGCGGGAGGGCTGTCGTCGCGCCGTCTCTTCTGACCTGCAGAGCCGAGTCAAACATGGGTAGCGAGGAGACTAGCTCTTGCCTCTTGCCTGCAGTCGATCATCCAGCCTCAAAGGCACATAAATATGGCAGGGGCCCTACCACCCTATCTTGCCCTTCTTCTTTAACCTCCTACGCGGTCTAATTCTTCTCCTTTAGAACCAAGAAAGGTCGTTCGGTGTGTAGTCAACACTGCCACCAGTCACTCGCTTCACCTTTCTTTCTCTTCGCACTCAGGGGATTCTCTTCCGTAATATTAATATCGAAATCAAATTCAAATCAACCTTCCAACATGCGTTTCCCCACCGCTATTGCTGCCGTTGCAGCAGTCGTTCCCGCTATTAGCGCCCACGGCGGACCAGGGATTCCGAAGATCGCTGGATTGAACATGAGGGACTTGAAGGCCCGGAACCTGATGGACACCATCAGGGCTCGTGCTGTGGAGCTCACCCAAAATGCTCACGAGGAACACGCAAGCCTGAAGCCTCGCCAAGGTGGCACAAATGGACAGTGCGGTGCGGGTTTCGGATCTTGCGATGCTGGCTACTGCTGCAGTGGTGCAGGATGTAAGTTCTTTCTTGAATCTTACCACCGAGAGCGTAGCGATTACATGGAGTAAATCCTATGACGTACGCTCTTTTAAAGGGCCTCTGATTCTTGGTTTACAATCCTGCAAGATGGTTGTACTTGGAGTCTATTACTATACGCCAATGTCATGGTGCACACTCATCTATGTTGCGGACGCTGACCCAAAACAGGGTGTGGTAACACGGGCGACTACTGCTACTCGCCCGGCTGCAATTACCAATACGGCCCTGGATGCCCGGAGAACACAACCCCAGCAGGGGCCGACACATCTTCCGTCTCCCGAACGAAGTCTGGATCTGTGGAGTATGGGGGTAATGGTGTTTATCAGTGCACAGTTCCGGGTACTGTGGCGTTGACCTACGACGACGGGCCATTCGACAACTACACCGACCACGTGCTGGATCTTTTCAAACAATACAATGCCAAAGGCACGTTCTTCATCACGGGCAACAACATCAACAAGGGCGCGATTGATACTACCGCCAGCCACTCTGCCACAATCAAGCGCATGGCCAGCGAGGGCCACCAGATCGCGTCCCACACCTGGACGCATCTGGATCTGAGCGCCATCTCCGAGACTGACCGCAAGGCGCAGATGGTCAAGAATGAAATGGCTCTGCGCAACATTCTTGGTTACTTTCCAACATACATGCGCCCGCCTTACAGCAGCTGCACTGCAGAGTCTGGTTGCGAAAAGACCATGTCTGATCTCGGCTACCACATTATCTACTTCGACGTTGACACGGATGACTACAACCAGCTCCAAGCTACCCAGATCCAGAAGTCCAAAGACTGGTTCAGGGGCAACATCACTGCTGGTGGCGCGACCCCTGCGAACAATGAGTGGCTGTCCATCGCTCACGACATTCACCCTCAGACTGCGTACAACTTGACTGAGTACATGCTGTCCACTCTAACAACTCTTGGCTACAAGGCCGTTACTGTTGGCGAGTGCCTTGGTGACGATGCCGCCAACTGGTATCGGGCCAACCCAGGTTCCACCAACCCGACGTAAGGAACAATTTTTTTTATTACTATGGGGAGACGGTTTCGATGCCGATGGAATATCCACTGATTGTGTTTGTTTGTGTTTCCAGGTCCTCCGCTGCCATTCCTTCCGCCTCATCCACCAAAAAGGTCTCGACTGATGGAACTTGCGCCGGCACCTCTGGCTTCACGTGCCAGGGCTCGACATTCGGAAACTGCTGCTCCCAGTACGGATGGTGTGGATCTACCACGGATCACTGCTCTACCGGTTGTCAATCTGCTTTCGGCACCTGCGGATCCTCCGCCTCTGCGACCAAGGCTGCTACCTCGACTAAGGCTGCTACTTCTACGAAGGCCGCCACCAGCACCAAGGCTACGACGAGTACGAAGGCCGCGTCCTCAAGCACGAAGGCCGCCACTCCCTCAGCCACCGCTAAGGTCTCAACGGACGGATCATGCGGTGGTACTGTTGGCTTTACATGCAAGGGTTCGTCGTTCGGAAACTGCTGCTCTCAGTATGGATGGTGCGGCTCCACGAGCGGCTACTGCGGAACTGGATGCAACAAGGCGTTCGGTACCTGCACGTAAAATGATCCTGGTGGAAGGGTAGTGTATAGACGGCACGCGGGACGAGTCCCGACTGTATAATTTGCGGATGATTGTGTATAGCGAAGGCGGGGGCGGCGGGCGGTTATCGACGCATTGTATGAGTTCTCAGCACTGCATTCATAATGATTATCAAACCGAGTTGCATGCGTGTGAAGAAATGAGCCTCCTCTGATCCTTGCTTCTGTGAATCACTCTCAAAGCGCATAGTGCGTCTCTCTCATCCAAGGACCGGTAATCCTGAGTCTCCGCAGTCATGCAAGGCCTGGTACTATGCAAAGCTGGCTCCAGCTGCACGACCAGTGCTGCACATGCTGGAATCCTTCTAGTGTTCGCTCTCCGATTGCTTATGTCGTGCATGACAACCGGAAATGGCGCACTCCGTAGTTTCATGATCGACGCCAGGTAGAAGCACGATGGACCAGGAGACAGTCTACAGTCTCGAGGTGTGAGGAAGCTGCGCTGGCAGCCCGTCGAGATGAGATGCGGTCTTTAGCGAGATGGCATCGTAGGCTTCGGGGAGCGATGACACGATCGGTGTGGAGAATCTGGGGAGACGTGCTGATCGCTGGGGATGGCCTAGCGCGAATTCACATGCGGGCGGCGGCCCGCGCAGACTCTAATTTTACCGAATAGATCAGCTTGCTCGTGGCCTGAACCCTTACACCAAACGAGGAACTCAGCAACACCACAGACCCCGAGAACACCACAGCCAGGACAGCTACCTGGCATTATTCACAGACACCACCACCAACGAAGCTGCCATCTATGGGCTCTGCCATCAACAACGCGACCGCTTTTCTTATTCCCCGCGACTGCACCGTGGCTGCAACCGCGACCCCGAACTCTGTGCACCCCTTTGGACTGTCTCCAACCCACGCGAGCTTGGCCGACCTCCTGGGGCAACTACTGGCCGAAGGTCCGCCTTGACTAAACTGGGCGGACGGTAAACCAGACTGAAGAGCTACCTGTGGGAACTTGCAGGTGCGCGCATTCTCGCCATTGCCGAGGAACAGCGTCTGCTGACGCGCACGAACAGACGCAAGCCCAAAATTGTTTGCACTCGTACGGGCCAATTAAAGCAGTCAAATGGCGCTGTTCACCTTCGACGATGAGATCCACCTAGCAGCAAGCGCGAAAAGTGACTCGCTTGCACCGCCCAAGGAACAAGCGCACCTCCCAGACATCGACGAGCGCATGGAGGTCGACGTCCCCGCCGCGCACACCCATGTGGGCACGCCGCCTATCGCGATCGCCTCCCCGATCCCGCGGCGGCTTGTGCCGACAAACGCTGAAGCGAAGCAGCCAGCGCATACCGACAAGCTGGACTTTGATGCTGTCATGAAGAAGGCGCAGAAGAACCGCAAAAAGAAGAAGAAGGGTTCCAAGGCTGCACCCGCAGGGACCACGGTGCGTGGTTTCGAGACGCCTGCTGCGTCCGGTGGAGAAGAGTCAGACTATTCTATTGCGACCACCCCTCGCTTTGGGCCGTCGTGGTCAACATACCCTAGCGTTACCAGCAGTCCCGCTCTTCGACCAACTTCTGCCGCTGGCGTTATCGGCAATCTCAGGCAGCAGCTCGAGGCCTTGAACATCGGTCCGCGCGTTGATTCTCCCCAGAAGCAGTGTGGCTGTGGTCCTGGCCAACTCCGATCTGGCCTTTCCAGCAACGCAAGTGTCTCCAACTTCAGCGACAGTGACCGCACCGAAATGGAGAGCTACGAAGTCGACCTCAACGAGGACTTTGTTAGCCCCGATGTCCACTCGAAGCCTTCAACCATGGTCACAAGCACTGCTGCGCGCAAGATGACAGCAGACGACTTTGACACGCTTACGTGCCTAGGCAAAGGCAGCTTTGGCACCGTTCTTCTCGTCAAGCAGCGTGAGACAGGTCGACTTTACGCTCAGAAGCAGTTCAAGAAGGCCTCCATCACGGTTCGCAAGAAGCTCATCGAACAAACGAAGACCGAGCGCTCTATCCTCGAGAGTGTCAACCGCCATCCATTCATTGTCAACTTGTACTATGCATTCCAGGACCACGAGAAGCTCTACCTGATCCTCGAGTATGCGCAGGGTGGAGAGCTCTTCCATCACCTTGCGCAGGAGCGCATGTTCAACGAGGACACTGCAGCCTTCTACATGGGCGAGATGGTTCTTGCTCTTGACTATCTCCATCGCACCGTCGGCATTGTCTATCGCGACTTGAAGCCTGAAAACTGCCTTCTTGACGCTGAAGGCCACCTGCTTCTTACCGACTTTGGGCTCAGCAAAGTTGCCGTGGATGATCAAACCTGCAACTCCATTGCTGGAACTATCGACTTCATGGCTCCTGAGGTCATCCAAGGCCTCGATTATGGTATGGCTGTAGACTGGTGGTCTCTGGGTGCTCTTGGCTACGACTTGCTCACTGGTTCGCCTCCCTTCGACGGCAACAATCATGCCAAGATCCAACAGAATATTCTGCATAAGAAGCTCACGATGCCTTACTACCTCTCACAAGATGCTAAGGATCTACTGACCCGCTTCCTGCGAAAGGAGCCCAAGAAGCGTCTCGGCTACAACATGCCCAAGGATATGAACACCATCCGCGCCCACCGCTTCTTCCGCAAGCTCGATTGGAAGAAGCTTCAGGCCAGGGAGCTGGAGCCACCTATTATTCCCCTCATCACGGACCCGGAGTTGGCGGAGAACTTTAGCGATGAGTTTACAACCCAGGCGCTGTCGACCGTTGTGAGCCGGAAGAGTGGTTATGATGCATTGGAAGACGAGTATGCGGCTCTGGAGAAGGACCCTTTCGGCGGGTTCAGCTTCGTGGCCAGCCAGAGTCTGTTGGATGAGCCTGTTCTTGGATACTAAGATTCGGTGAGGTCTCGGTCTAGAAGTGGCGCTTCTTGTTTGTTTGTTTCTTCTCTGCCTTCATCTGTTCATTCATTTCGGTTATGAGAGTGGTTTACGTGCGGATCCTGTGTGCAAGACAGGGCAATTGGTACGCGTCTGCCGTGCTTCCTGGATGCCACAGTGGATGCGTTAGGGGCGTTTCAGAGTACATGCTTCCGTTATAGTAATTACATCTTCCTTCTGCATCTTTTGTTCTTCTCCTTCTACGAACATGTCATATCATGCAAAATATCGACGGGAGGTCCCACGTGGGGACTGATGCGACGCGTTGGCGGATGAGCAGCAGGCAGGTACGATAGGGTGGGCGCGCTCCTTCCTCACTTTCATCACTCAGTACATACGCGTCATTGCGGTCGAACACGATCCTCGATGAGCTCACCAAACCTACGCTGCTCGCTCCTCATCCGCAATCCGCACCTTCGTTGCTCCTCTACACGCTCAGCTTTCTGACAAGCCAGCTACTTTGTTCTTAACCACGCCCTCGCAAACTTGTTATGTGTCAGCTCTGCAATCTCCTACCGCCCGACATGACACCGGACACCATCTTACCAGATGGCAACTGGTACTCATCCTTCTCTTTCAGCACGAGCGCAGAAACCTACCATATATAGGGGCACCGGTATTCTCACGACAGGTCTTGAGTACCGCACTATGATCGCTCTCGACAAGGAACTCGTTCTTCGTGAGCTTCGAGCCAAGATCCACGGGCGCGTCGGCTTAGATGTCGAGAAGGACCGCTTCCACAGCCACCTTTCCATCAATGCTCAATACTGTTATGGAACAGCAGTCGAGAGAGTTCGCAAGCACCTTGACACGGGCGTTCTTCAGAATTATTACGACAAAAACTATGGCTAAGATCGCTGCTGGGACGGAAATGATGCTACCATGTTCACTGTCCCAGGCGCGTGTCTTCTCACACTTGGCTTCTCCATGCCCGAGCTGATGCTGCCGAGGCTGAAGTCGTTCATGTGCGTTAACTACCAAGCTTTAATCCAACAGGTTCAGCCTTGCTGTTACATTGCGGAAATGACATCTCTCGCGAGGGAGCAGCTATTGACCGCGATCGAGAGCTATCACCCCGGCCATCCATATTCGTACGGTAACAAACACCAGTCCGAAGTGATGATGACGAATTCCATTGCAGATCTGTCGCCTGGTCACACAACCACAATCAAACTCCACAAAGGTTATCGAGATTATTTAGTCAGGCCATACTCTGTTCAGCCATCACGCTGGAGTCCCTACCGCCCGTGATCTCGCTCTTCGTGCGTGCCATTCATATCACGTCTGTGGAGGCTGTGGCAATTCTATCTCTGCATTCCAAACTTGCAGCGGCTGCAAGGATCGGAGGTATTGCGGGAAGAAGTGCCAGAAGAAGCACTGGAAGCGACACAAGCTCGTCTGTCAAGTTCTGTCAAAGGGGGTAATGGATCGGTTCCTCGAGAGCATCTCCGAGATCAAATTGCAGTCTCCGACCCCGCTTGTGAACGGCGCGATGCTGAATGTAACCATTGGGCCTGACCATCCTTTGAACAAGATAGGTCCTTGAAAGCCGCTCAAGTCTGTGCAGATTTCTCCACACGATGGGAACATGATCTTCCGTCTCAAACGAATACAACCGCGGAATCTTTCACTCCTAAAACATACTAGTCAGGGATGGCTGTGTCTCATTTGATATACTTCCGGCAATCTACGGGGAACATGGAAATACGGGAACATACATAACGGCTTCTCTGTGGGGCACATGGCTTAGGCTTCTCGATTGCACGGATGAGCAAAACCCACGACGGCTGTCCGCTACACAGTGTTCCGGATACACGCAGCTTATTGCCAACATCATGATTCATGATTTTACGAACGGGGAACGTGTAGCTATGATGGGTGAGCGGTCGTTACATGTATACAGAAGCAATATCAATGAAAGTGGCTTGAGGAGACACCGGCTTACGACTGTTCATGCATCAATCGAACCCGAGACTTGTAGGACGGAGAATTGCCTTCTCTAGGGACACACCGTGTGACAATGTATCAATTCGTTTCCCAAGTATAGATGACATGGATAGTCGACACTATCCGTCCGAGGGTAGATACGAAAGCGGGTGCGCCTATGTGCTTACTTTGCCTCTCGGCAGGCGAATTTGACTCAATGTAGGTACCTGAGCTTAGGTGCTGCAAATGCTGAGGCGTACTTGAGCTTTGGGCTCGGAGTGTGATGGCAGCTAAGAACATGCCATTGAGACCGTGCACGCATCGACGTTGACTTCAGTATAAGTCAAAGTCATAAAGAGGGTCGGTCATATCTACAGTGCGGTCCAATTCGCACGCAGCGCATCATGGCATCTCCATACTGTCAGCGACACAAGAACATAGACAGATTGGAAAGGCCGTACCGTGTCTACAATTCGACGCCTTCCATGATGCCACCATAGAACGCCATGCCGTTCCGAGACCCTCTCGGTTCCCCATATAAATGCTCATAATCACACATATCCCCTTCATTTCCCACCGATGCTGAACCCCCTCGTCATGTAGTCCTTGCTATTCGCCAGATCCGCCTTTTGATTCCCCTTTGAAAACAAACTCTTCACGTTGTCATTCTGGCCCAGTTTCCGCCTCTTGTTGCGCTCTTCTTGCTCCTCAAGCACTCTCTTCGTGAGATACGCTGTGCTTGCGTTCTTGATCCCGTTGTCCGCTTGTCGCTCCTTTTTCTCCGGTTTCGCTGCTGATTTCTTATCCTCCTCCGAGGTGCTGGCTTTTGCGTCGGCGGACGAGGCGTCGGCGGTCTTCTTGCGCTTCTTGCTGCCGGGCGCCTTCTTCAGCGCGTGCGTGAGGCCCTTCTCCTTTAACGTCCTTGCGCGGAGAGTCAGCCGCGCGATGTCCGCTGGGACCGTAGGAAGGATGGGTATAACATCGTTCTCGGCGTAGGCCTCGTTGCACTGCTCTTGGTTAGCTTTTCTTTCCTCTTGCGTAACAAACAAGAGACAAAGTGGACCAACATACCTGCACGCAAATCTTCTCCTCAACCTCGCGCACCACGCTCCCCGCAAACGCATGCCCGCACGGCACCACATACACCGCTTTCGCGCCCGGTCCCATCTCCACCCTCGTCACAGGACACACCCACTTCTCCCTCCTCCCTGCGCCAGAAGCCTTATCCTTTTCCCCCTCCGCCTCAACATCTACCTCAAACTTCACCTCCACCACATCCTTCAGCCCCTTCACCCTGCCCGCTAGCACCTTCTCGCCTTCGACCTTCTCCGCGCTGCCCTCCTCCGCGAGCAGAAACTCGAGGACGCTGTCCTTGTTGTAGAGTGTACCCAGGGAATCTGAGACCACGGGCGCGGCGAGGGGTTTCGAGGAGAGCGGGCAGTGGTTCCAGGCGTGGTCTTGGGATTCGGCGCGGGCTTCTTTGATTTGGGCGGCGGTGGGGGCGCGCGCGGCTTCTTTGACGAGCTCGCGGCGCTTGGGGATGGAGCCGCCGTCGTTGCCCATGGTGAGCGATTTAGGTGGGGATCTTGTAAGAGGACTTGCGGGGTGGTTGTGGTCTGGTGTGAGGTATGGGTGGCGATCGCAATGGATGGATGGTGCACGGACCAGTCGTTCATTTGGTTCTGTAGGTACTTTGACGGAGACTTTGCTTTTTGACATCGGAACTTCGGGAGTAATGGTATCTTATACAAGATGAAGTAGATGCGACATTACAGGTCTATGCTATGGTACAACAGTCATGCGAATGATATGATACAGAAAAGCAGTGAGCGTCCCTAAAGCCTGCTCATTTTATAGAACGCCAGTATTTCCCGCTTGGAGCGATCCAAGTCATAGTGACAATTGTATCCCTCATTCTGTGGGAGGAGAAGCCCATTGCTTCCTCCTCTCTGGAGGTGCCGCCCTACGTGTCCGCCAGTTATTACTGGGCCTCGAAAACCCCAGCTTCTCTCTTCTCTCTTCAGTCGCGACTTCCACTTTAGCAGAATCATCTGTCTCACCCTGAGCTTCTTCACTCGCGCTAGGTCCACTCTTGAGAGAGACTCTCTTGACAGAGGCTCTGAAGGCGAGCCTGTTGATCAAGGCGGACATCCTTGCTCGCTCGGCTTTAAATGGGGCTTTTTGCTCTTCTGAAATCAAGTTGGACAGAATGAGCTTGTCGAACACAGCATAGATCTTGCGAAGCGCGGCAACGGCGTCCTGCCTCGCCTCTTCAGATAACGGCTTGATGTCAGCGGAACTACGGCCGCGGTAGGTTTTCTCCGTGCCCACGTTGAGCTGCACCTTGATGCTGTTAGCCACAGGCTGGAGGTATGTGAGAGCTTCCACGAGATCCTCGCCTTTGGCAAGCGGGAAGTCAACAGCAAGTTCAGCGTATTTTTGGATTGTCTTGGGGTCTGCATCTGGCAGAGTGTCCATCATGAGCTGGAGAATCTGGGTCGCATTCTTCAGCGAATTGTGGTTGTTTTTGTCGCGCACGCAGGTGCTCATCGCTATTCGGAACGTGCCAGGCTTGAGATGCAGTTTATTGGCAAAGGATTTATCCTGCAGCATTCGTACTACAGCGGTTGACGCGCGATTTTGACGTAAAAGGCGCAAGCGCTGATGAAGATTGTTGTTGTCGGGTACAATTGCGTAAGTGCCGGGGTCAGTCAGCATCTCCCAGTACTCTTCGGCAGCCTTGGGGGCTACAATCTTTTGGCAGGCTTCAAGAACCATTGATAAGGTCTCGTTTGACGGAGTCGCGTACGTGAGGGGCCTTGACTTCTTGCCATCCACCGTGAGTGCAAGGAACTCGCCTCCACGTTTAGAATCCTCGTCTTCGTTCTCAGGCTTGAATTCCGGAAGTGTGTTGGGCGCTCGAATACGTGGTAGGGCCTCTCGTTCAATGCTTCCCAATCGAGGCACGAGACGTGGTATGTCCATGGTCTGTTCAACAAGGGAGAGTACATCGTCCCAATCGCGAGGCCTGCTCCCTACAAGAAGGAGCCTTCCCATTGCGCAAACCAACTCTTCTTCAACGATCAGATCCGCATTTCTCCACCGGCCAACAACATCTTCCCATATTCGCCTGCCTTCCACCACCCCTCGTTCTCGTCGGTGGGCAAGTTCATTCTCCCCTTCGCCAAGTGGTGCATCCACGAGCAAGTTTTGCCGAACCGCATTCAATATAATGGTGAATGTTCTCGCATCGGCCGCGCCCGGCCCGCTCTCCGGGATTTTTGCGGCGAATCCCCAAAGTGCATCCATATCGAGCGCTCGCGCACACACGGTGAGGACAGCGTTCGTGTGAATAATCGATGGCTTGACCCTGGAGTTCGGCGCAGACAGGGAATGGTACACGGCGATAGCCATGCTCGTAGCACCAGGTTTTTCCGGGTTATTCGACAAGCCTCGAAGGACGATGGTGTAGGTGTACGAGTCCGGAAACTGGCCAATCTTCTTCATCTACAGGACGTAAGCTGCTATTCAAACAATGATGCTACCACCTTACCTCGTTATACACCTTGAAAGCTTCCGAGACCCTCGTTTGCTTCATGAGGTGGTCGATGATGTGGTTCCAGCTGACAACGACTTGCATCGAGTGACTGGCCATACGGACCAGCTGCCGCATCTCCTTCATCTTGCCCTTGGCCAGCTCCTGCTTCACAAACGCTGCGACTTCCAGCGGGTCGCGTAGATGTCGCAGTTCTCTCCGCCGCCTGTCCCACTCAGCTTGGGTTATTGTCGGGTCGCGTTTGCCCAGCCACATTTCCCCGCTCGCAACCTCATTCTTCAGTGCCTCTCTGTCGACTGGGCGCCGCAGCGCTTCATCCTCGCGCCTCTTGAGGCTCCTCGCGGCCGGCGACCGTTCCCACGCGTCCTGCCTGGGCGGACGATCTCCATACGGCCTGTCCCTCGATCGCGGGTTTAGGCGCTCCCGCGCGCGGTCTCCAACATTGCGACTGTCGTACGTTGAAGAGCTCGAGGGCCGCTGCTGGGTCGCAACGAGCGCGGAGAGACCATCACGGCGGACACTGTGCGACTGCAAGGGTGCCGTGTCGAGTGCCCGTATGCATCGCGAGAAGCAGGCGCGACAACGGAGCATGGATGCGCGGACTGGATGCTGATTCGAGTTGCGTACGGCAGCGTGGGAAAAGTTCCGCTTTCCACGCCCAGGGACCAGTCTCGGGCCGAGCGCGTCTCCATCACGTGACGGGGTCCTGGCCGAAGCCGAAGTGGAGACTCGGGAGCATCAACACCAACGTCAACAGCGGCCAGCCCGTCGCACGCCTGCGTGAGCCACGTCAAGCCATGCTTCTGACGGCGGGCTGCCCTCGCTTGTGCTGCCAGCGAGGGCGGGCGGCGGCGGCTAGGAAAAATGTTGCACCCTAAATCGACTTCGGCTGGCGCGCCCGTCGCCGGCGCAGGGAGGCCGGGGCGGCCATGAGGCTCTGTCGTCGAGCCTGCACACCAGCAGGCCGCTGTCGACGCTACCCAGGCTGCTGGGAGAGCGGAGGGCTGCGGGCCAGGGCGTGGTCGGTATCAGCGCTGGCTGTCCGCCTAGCTAGTGCGAGGCAAGACATTCGACCGTATGCCCAATCTACTCGCGGCTTAGAGCGACCACGCCGCCATCTGGCAGCCAGCCCACCATTCCTTCGGCCAACGTGGCGGGACGAGCTGCAAAAATGTCCGTCTGTACTACGCAGAGCCGCGACGGCGGTAACGAGGCGCATGTAATGGTCTGGCGGCCGTCCTGGGCGACGCCTGGTGCGAGGACCACCGTCGATCCTGCTGCCGCCGTTGCTGCGTCGCCCGTGTAGCCTCACGCCGACGGTGCGTGCGACACGACGCGAGCGCGGTCCAGTCGTTCGGCGCCTGCGTGACCCCAGGTGACGAGGTGCGTAATCGTTTGAGCAGCCGTATTGCTGTCGTGGCTATCGTCCCATGTGTCTGCCCTTGCCTCTGCGAACGGTGTGATGCCCGGCCCGTCCTCCCAAACACAAACACAACCTTCCCCGAGACGTCAACGGCGATATGGGCCTGCCAGCCCGCCCGCCTCAAGCCTCGTCCTGTGTCCCAACCGGGCCCGGCCAAGCTTTCTCGTTACTCTGCACGGGACCGTGTCCTGCTGCCGTGCAACCACACCGTCCACGCTTCCCAGCTGGTCCAGGCGAGCCTGCATCTTAGCTGCCGCCCGTTGTCCAGGGCGCCGCTTGCCTGTCATCCAACGCCCGACTCCCGACTCCCAAAAAGCAAAAGGCCCTATTTTGCCCATGGCTACCATGGGCCGCTAGAGGCCATCTCGCATCATCCTCCAGATCTTAGTTTGGACGTCCATCCACGCTCAGATCTGATTTCATGGTCGCTTTCAGCATTCGACCTGTCCAGAACCTTGCCTGTTCTTTGTGGCCGGCATCGCCGGCCCTACTCGCAATCATGATGTTGGTATTCGCCCAATGCGGCGTCGGATACCGGCGGACATGTGTGCTGTCCACATCTCGCCCGCAATACTTGCATGCAGGCAGACAAGCGAGCATCGAGGCAATCTCAGGGCGGCGCATGACCCATCTTCATGCAAGGACTGAGTCGGTTGCGCACACTCTTGCGTGCGCGGGCAGGCAAAGCCTTTCACTGCGCTCAGGGCGGAGCGAATGACTGCCGCATCACCCCTCCACCGCTTCTTCGTCCCACATGCTTCATCTCCGACAGCTGCTGAGCGTTGTGTCCCCGCATTATGCGTCATGGATGCCCAATCAATCTTGCGTCGGGCGTCTCATTGGCTTGTTCGCCTAAAGACTTTGCATACCGATGAAAATTCATTCACCCTGCACATCGCTGTCCGCCACAAAGGTGACACCATTTGGCTGTTTCCGATGATGCAGTCCCTAAGAACAACGCAGTAAGAACAACGTGTGCGAGGTATGGCACACGAAGCTGGCATGCCACAGCGCCAACACGGTCCAATCAGTGGCGGCCTTGCCATCGTACTTCCGCCTCGGTGCTCGAGGACGAGAGATATCGCCAAGGCCTTCCATACCTTCCATCGATTCGAGCGCTCGTTACGCAAAAACTCATTGGCTTCCTATTGATGTGCAGGCCTCGGAGCACCTTCTGTAAACTATCCGCCTCATGTCTGCATGTTCGTATCCGATGCTTGTTTCCTCAAAGGGCAACACAGGTGCACCAATTTATCCAGATAGCCGAGCACAGGCAGCATCTCACGTCTCACAGATACCACATGTTCGCCTTCAGGCCCAACTTTGTAAACCTTCTACATATCGTGTATGCCATTTGCTTCGTATGTGTCCAATGTGAACTCGCTTTGGACACGAAGCTTCTCAGCGTCACCGGAGATGTGCCGAAGACCGTCCCTCACATCCTCTTTCCTGCGTCAACCCAAGTCGACAAGAGGATAGCAGCGGTGCGCCACGTAGTGTGGGTCGGCAAGGAAACGAGGTGCTTCAGGTAACCAGGTGCTCCGCCGTTGCTCGTTTAACGTCGCGCCCCCGTAACCTTCCATCCTGCATGCAATACATACAAGGCGCGCTATCCTCACCGTGCGGTCAAACAGGTTCAAACGTTCAAATGTGCAATCTGTGTGCGGGGAATGGGCATTGCATGGGGAACTAGATAGTGTTACAGAAGTAGAGCAAAACACGCAGAAAATGAGAGTGGTATGCTCTGATTGATCGGCTCTTTCCGTCCTCGAGGAACGCTGCACCATCCCCTCTACTGGCTCACCGTTCCTGAGCTCCTCAGCCCCTCCCAGCGCGTGTCATGCCGTGCACCTGACCAGATAACCGAGCACAATAACAGTGTTCGCGAAAGAAATAAAGGAAATACAATTGTTTCAAAGCGCCATACCGCATGCATGTGTCTAGGCCCGGAAGAAGAGAAATTGAAACCAATTTTCGGCCTCGTCGAAAGGGTTGGGACCTGAGAGCCACAATTACACATGCACCTCCACGTAACTCTATCCTCTGATCACCCCTCAATTTTCCATGTAGACCACGAGAGTAAGCCGTCGTATCGCCTAGGGGAATCTCGATTGTGAAAGTCGTTTACTGCCGATTCCGTAAACACCGTGAAGAGACATACAGCCACCGCCCGTTGAAAATGCAGTCGAAACAGAGCTAAAGAATGCTAACACACCATCCCATGCATCCTTGGCAGGTCATGCAGACTCCCTCCAAAATATCGAAATTCGTTAAGAGCCGCCGGAAACAAGACAAGGAGAAGAGATCTGTTTTGATGCGGTTAGTGCTGATGGTTGTTCAACATCGCATCATCCGCTGCCGGGACGTCGGTCCATGCTCGACGTGCTGTAAAGACCAGTCGGACTTAGTGACCTTGCTGGTACATTTGGGGGTTCGAGCCGTAGGGTGACTGCGGGTAACTGCTGTTGTTACTATTTGGGCTGTTGTAGGCATTGGCAGTGGGGGAGGAATACTGAGCCATGCCCTCCGCTAGTCCCGGGCTCTGTGTCCCATACTGCGGTCCGGATGAGTTGCCAGAGGCAGCAGGCTGGTAGCCGATGGGAGGAAGCTGGGGATGTCCGGGTGCTTGACCGGGAACACCAACTTGCTGACGCATCTGAGCATACCCAGGTGCCTCAACGCCGTTCTCGTGGCCGCGGTTCTGGTCGGCAGCTCGGGCTCGCTCCTCGTCAGCCTTTCGCTGTGCCTCTTCTTCCTTCTTCTTGGCCTTCCACTCCTTTCGAATTTCCTTGAATTCTGTGAAGGACGTGTTAGTAAACTATAGTAGGCATATTAAGATGCGTGCCAAGCAAGGCAAGGGTTGTCTATGACTAGCTTCGGGCATTTGAGGCTATCCCGTTATAGCGGAACACCATCAAAGTAGGCGACGCACCGACACCGATCATGGATGCTAGTCTAGCGCGCAATTTTGGCGCATCGAGACTAAAACATGGGAAACTGAACGTACCTTCGGGAGTTCGCTTTGCGCCGTGCGATTGCATCGTAACGTGTGCGTTTAGGTGGTTAAGAGTGCCGTAGGCCTTCTCACAGCCGTTCCAGCCGCATTTGTACATGCGCTCGATCTCCTCATACCTGCGACGAGGCCGCTTGTGCTGCTGCGCACCTGGGATTGGGACGAATGAGTATACGGTGGACAATGGGTGACCTCCCTAAGAAAATGTTAGCGACGCGTCTCAGATGTCGCGTTGGGCACGGCGGTTCCGTCGCGTACAATTCGCGCGATTAGCTGCGAAGAATACGCGTCAAACGCGCAATAAAATCAACCTACATTTGGGGGGCGTTGCACTGGAGACACCATAGCAGGAGCAGGTGGCCCTGAAGAGGAGGGATAGCCGTAGGGCATCTGGTGCTGCTGAGGATGTTGCCCAGCCCATTCAGGTCGTTGGGCATACATGGGGGTGGCAGGATGCCCCGGGTAGTGCTGCATGTCGTGGTGCGGGGTGTACGGCGAGTACTGTTGATGCTGAGGATACGTAGGGCTCGTCGCGGCCGCGATTGATGGATCTATAGGAACATCCGAGTCAGACTTGAGTTGTTGGGCTTGATGGTCATTGTTCTGGCCATCTTGTAGAGGCATTGACGGACTTTGTGGTTGCGCCATACCGCCAGCTGGTGCACCTTGAGCGCCTGGCTGGTACGAACGTTGAATGTACTCCGGAAACGACCCCGATCGGGCTGATGAGGGGTTGATGGCGTATTCGGAAGAGGGAGTGGCCGTGGAGGAGAAATTTGAGGCTCGCGGGTCTTGTCCTTGGGGAGGATATTGCGCAGCAGATGCTTGATCTGCGTGGGAGTCCTCAGAAGGCGGTTCAGGAAAAGATGGATAGGGCGAGTTCAAACCTGTCTGCGAATATTCCGGTTGTCTCCCGTCCATAGACTGTTTACTGCGCGGTGGTTGGAAGAGTTGCACCTCAGCTTACGGAGCTTGGGTTGGCTGCGCGCTGTAGAGGAAGAGGAAAGGCCGCCAGATAAGACGGTTTGGCAGCCGTCTTCGGATGATTTGCCGCGGACACTTGTAAGACAGGCAGCTAAGACGCAGACAGGAAGAGAACGGGGCCAGGGTGGTGCACAGCCAAAGAACCGGAGAATGGGAGCAGCTCGAGGACGCGGTAGCGCGACCTTAAACGCGGGTGATGTGCAGACGGTCTGTTTTCCAGAGTGGCCTGGTGGAGGGACAGGGCGTTCGGCAGATTCGCACCGTCGAAAAGATAACGCGCAGAAGACGCAAGCTCGAGGCCAACCGGACAGGGGCGGGTCCGGCTAGTGGCTTTGCTCGTTTTGAATCGCGGAGGGCCTCGCGCAGACCAGCGGGAGGTGCAACAAGCGGTAGCACGAGTAGTGTGCTAGCTGGTAGTGGGAGAGCGCTGGAATGGCCTGCTGGCGCGGGCAAGGGAGCGATTTGGGGGCGCGCGTGGTGCTGCAGCTTGGGCCAGTCACTCGCGGCCTGTGGGTGGCGTGTGCGCAAGGAAATAAAGTGGCACCAATAGGCTGGCGAGGAAGACAGCTACTTGCCCAGGCGGCCTTAGTGGACTTGGGCGAGACGATGAAGTAATGGCAGCCGGGGCAGCCTGCCTGACGTCGACCAGGTGAAGGGCCGGGGTGCGTGCGATCGGTTGAGCCGAGCCCGTGCTGATGGAAAGCTCTAGCCGTGGGGCGCTCTAGCGCGACTAGCTGTGGCAGGCCTGGCGGATGAGAGGCACCGGCGGTTCTGGGTGGAGTGCGACGTCGCCGGCGAGGTGGTGGGCTGGGCGGGCGAGTGGCCGCCGCTAGCAGCACAAAAGCTTGGTGACGGCGACTTTCGGGGAGCGCTCTGGGGTGCTGGCAGGCTGCGCGCAGAACAAGCGCAGTCGGGCCGTCGTCGGTCGAGGGATGCTGGGCCTGCGCTCCACGGCTCCACTGGGGCTGGTGATTCCCAAAAGCTCAACTGCGCCGAGCGCTGCCGAGCGATCAGCCTGTCGTCCGGCCGCTTTTCCGTGCGGGCTCCACTGCTCGCGCAAGTTGCTGTTCTGCTGCGCTGCTGAGCGGCGGGACGTGGCCGCGGCAATTGCCACGCTGGAGCTGACGCTGCTGGACGCGTCCTAGTCCTGTCCGGGGTGGGCAATGCGACCTCCGACAAGCGTCGGGGGACGGCCTGGCAGAGAGGGCGCGGTGTTGTTTGGGGACAGCCCTGCGCGCGTCGCACCGTGTAGCACCGGGGCGGCGATACTGGTGCGGGTGCTGGTGCTGGTGTTGGCGCTGTGCGGGCTCACACGCTGCACTAGCTGGACAGACACTACGCGCTCGAGGCAGCGCGAGATGCTGGGGCTTGGGGTTGAGATGGAGATTCGCGATGCACCCTAGGCAAGAGTTGGGAAAGCGTGGAGTGGCGAGGGGAGCGAGCAACCGCTAGGCCGACGGCCTCAAAAAGGGCCTGCTGACTCAGCCCCACCTTGTTTACCTTCACCATCGCCCCGGACAGGCCACGACGCGCCTGATCCTCGCGCGCCGTGCGTCGCTGGGGCCTGCGGAGAGCGCTGGCGACCATGAGATGAGGCTGATATTAGCCTGCCGCTAGAATCTCCCAGCGCAGTGGCCGTTGGCGCGGGCATTTGCAGCGCGACGCCGTAGACTAATGTGTGTGTGTTTGTATATGCTGCGCCAGTTGCTCTTTCTTCCTGTGCACTCTCCTCCACCTCACCACAGCATCCCGCGCACCGCGTCCTCGCTGTCGACCCGCCGCGCGTCGCGGGCAGGTCCTGGCCGGAGCACCTACATAGTCCGACGACATGCGGGCCAATATTGGAAAACGGCACAAAGACGGAAGCGGCAGTGAACTGTGCGGGCTGCGAAAATGCGAACGCGGCTTGCGAGGCCGAGGCGACAACAGCAACGAGTGCCAGCATCCGCATGTGGAGCGGGTCATATCGCCTCTCTTCTGTTACTCATCGCGGTCGACTCGCCTCGCCCCGTCGCTGAGCTTCTCGGGCGTTTTGCGTTGCATTGCGTCGGTCTGCCGTCCACTGCGACAAGAGTGCGATATTCGAGGCCTCACCGCCTAGCTCTGACATGCGCAGCCGCTGATGAGTCGCTCTCTGACATGGCACTGCAGACGATGTGACTGACTGTGCCGCGCTCCTCGCGCTGCATGCGCGGGGACCCACTGGGATGCTCTCGTCTATGCTGACCATCCTGGGATTGCGCAAATTTCCGCTTCAACCCTTCGGCTGCAAGCTTCATTCCTTTCAGCCTTTCACACGATGCTGTACACTTGGTGTTGATCTCAACATGTCACCGGAAAAGGCAGCCAGACAAGACTCCAAGAGTCTTTTTGCGATATGTGCCACGCCAGCGCACTGCCGTGCTACCGTTGCTTTTCCATCCCGGCACTACACGAGGAGGTGCAATGCAAAACGCGTCTGTATGCCGCAAAAAGCGGGGCCCTGTCCTCGTCTCCTCATGCCGGATGCACCCTCGATTTGAACGGAACCGTCCGCCTTAGAAAGCCCCTCAATGTATGATTTGTTGGAACTCTCAGCTCACAGCCGACCATTCCGACGGACTTCTTCCAGCCACGTTGATTGCTGCCCACCGAACCGCGGCTTGTCCATGTATGTACAACCAGACATGGATCATATCGCGAGAGCAGAACAATTTCCTATTTCCAACTATGGACGTCATCATGTCGTCCCGTGTGCTGTGGATGCAACGTCTCGGAAACCATCCGACCAATTTTCATACGACAATTTTCCACCGCATCGTACAACGACGAGTCACAGATTGCGAATTGGGATGCGATTCTGGGGTACAGATTGTGGTGTGTATTCGCGCTGCCTGCACGGTGGCCGAAACCCAGACCTAACGCCGTCCGGCGTAGAGGCAGATTGTTTCACAAAACCTTAACCCAACCTCCACGACTTGAACTTCGAATCAAGCCCGCGTAAGCTAAATTGTGGCATCTTAATCTGATTGGACAAGCCGCACACAAACTTGATCTGACTCCAGGATGAGCGTCAAGACTGCGCTATTTCTATGACGCGTTGCGCCGTCGAGCGGGACGGGAGCATTAAGTAGTGTTCGTATATGCACAGTAACAGCTGAACCGTTCAACGTTGCAACCCTGCTTGCAAAGAATATAGACATTGCCACGCTTGTATATATAAGAAACGAGGAAAGGATATGCTACTCACTACGTACCAGATGCACTATACGCGAGGGAGCGCTCAGACTCAGGGTGTGATTCCAAGCGCCAGTGTCGCCTGCAACGAACCAGCGATTGCGCGTCTCCTTCGATTCAGGTTACAACCTCGTAGCATGTACCAACCTTTGAGAGTTCGCCTGACCCAGGCCTCACGAATGCATTGGCAACGCGGCACAAGATTGGCTAAAACTACCGGTATTACAGAATCCACCTGGCAAGAGTCTCTCTCAGGAACAAGTCCGGCGAGCATTCTGGGTTGTGGGTGGCACGTACAGGGGGGGCCTGGCCCCAAGGTCTAAGTGGGTCCTGTGGCTTCGGCCTTATTAGGGATTTATTTGACCGACACCCTCACGTGGCAAAGATATCCCGGATAGGAATCTTGGAACCGGGATGGGCAAATGCGTCCTTGCTCAAGTGCATGCAGCAGGTCCATGCCCAACACCCAAGAGATCCGGAGTTCCGGAATTCCCTGCCGTGCTACCACAATACGCCGTGTACGAACAACCAATGTCGACACGTGAGTCTTCTCACCAACGTCATTTCGTGAATGTCCTCGGAAGCGCCAAGATCCGGCGAACAATTCCAGCCTCCGAGGTTTGAATCTCAGTCGCCGCGGTGCTGGGCCCATGTGGCAATCACGCGAGGCTTGGATCCTGCGAGCCGTATCTTCCAATCGCATTTCCCTGCTGACGGCCTGCTGCACGAGCGGTCCTCCAAACCCAGCACCACCGGGTGAAGATGTAATCTCAAGAACGACATTGCCAATTTTCCTCCACTAGAAGCCGCCTAGAAGTCTGTGGCAGTACATGTTTGCAAATAATATGTGATGAGCCACGTCTTAACTGCGCTTCACCGCTACATGCAGCTTGAGCCGAGGGTGCGTGCTTCAACGCTCCGCGGAATCGCCTGAAATTGAGACCATGAAGCACGGGCGGTTTGTGCCGACACGACTCACGCGACTGTGAGGATTCAGGAGTGACACCTCAACATGGGTGCGTGTTGTAGATGCATGGAGGGCGCCTCTGCTAAGGGACGGTCGTCGGCTCCTTCGACTGCTCCTTCGACTCAACGTTCGTGCAGATCAGATGATCTCATCTGATGAACGTCAGTGTTACACAGGCCTGTACAATCTCGGCCACGCGCATTATGCTTTGCGCACATCCGGATTTCTTTCTGTGCAGTCAAATATCTCGCTTCCATACTTTGTAAACTCACGACCGTTTGCGCATGCATCAATGACATTACGTATGACCGCGTGAAGCAACAGAATGGACATGTTGCACCCTTCCAAATCATAATTGAATTGGGCAAGTGCATCCTGGACTGAGAGCGCAGCCAACATCAGAACATGGTACGCTAGTATGTCTTCGCGAACATCCCCACTCCCGTTCTTCACACATTCATCCTCGTGATGAATCAGTTCTTCGTCACATTTGCCCTGCGTTTCCCATGAGCAGGAGTATGTCAAGTCTACGAATCAAGCACCTGAACCACCCGTAGAATCGCCGAGAGAGCTCGGGTTCTCCCAATTCGTCCACTAATGCAGCTCGTGCTAAGGCAATCGCCTACGCTAGCCAGTGGAGCAGCTCGGCTGGTCTTCCATCTCAATGACAATGTTCTCTTGCGGGTATATGCGACAGGGTTGCGCAATTCTCCTTCAATCCTTACCCGTTGAGCGAGTCAGATGCTACGCCCACGTTGGCATGCACATGTTGGGAAGCGACACATCATCCGACGAGCTCTTTCCGTGTCGTCTTGTAAAGCGATCACGGTAGCGACGTCGAAACAAAGTTTCAACGACGTATAGCGCGAGACTTCGTAGTATACATGCCAAAGGTAGTCGCTCAGTTCGCGTACAACCACCTACGACCATGCGAACAGCGCTCGCGGCAACCAGCTGTGCTCCCGCAAGGTCCGCGGGCGACCGTCTCATGATCCGACCCCGATCCGACAAAGCTTGTATTTTTAGCTTTTCAACGAGTTTTCGACCGGCGGCGGATGCCCTGACAGAACGATTGAAACTCACCCTGTTTTAGCGTGAACTCAGTATCTGGCTCTACTCCCCACATGTGCACCACAGCTTGTTGATTCGGCTAACTAGCCCTTGGCCTTTGGCTTTCGTAGGCGCCACTTGTTTGCCAATCCCCACTTCGAGGTTGGCCAGCATCTGTGGAGTCAATAAAGTCACGATCTGTGGTACGCTAGCAAACCCGAATGCGAGTGCTGTTCGAATCTCGAAACATCGATCCAGGTCAGTCCTGGTCAGGAAGCTGGTCTGCCGCTTGCGCCACGATGCCAAGTTGCAAAGGACTCCATACCACCCTTTTGTAAAGTACGCAATAGATATAATCATGACCAAAATCATGTCAAAAATGCGCCTCCGAGCGAAGTCTGGCTGCATATCTGCATATCGCTTGTGCTGCTTGAGGCAGCTGCGAACCCAGTCTTGACTTCTCGGGCAACATCCGAGGGTCAGCTTTTAGGCGCCATTTAACCTCACCCAAAAGTCGCGTGTTGACCTTGGGCAACGTCGTGACCAGAAGATGGCGATGAGATTTTAAGGTTCTTCTATTCCCATAGAAAATACGCGAGTGAAGATATCAGCGGCATTGATTGCCGCTGGAGATGGCAATTACGGCATACCCGTAAATAGCCGTGGAAACACACAGTTACAATACAAGCATTGATGCTTCCAACCCTCGCGCAGCGAAATGCAATTTCAACATCATGTGACCCTTCTGCTGCTTTGGAGCATCCACCTTGACTCAACATGACGAATATCCTACCATTGCGATCGAGGGATCAAGCACCCGTGACTTTTTCTTTCCATTCACAAAGACCCTTGCGCCTCTATCAATGGTAAACAATAACCTTGGGAAGTCACTGGGCAACACTACCAAAAGTAAACAGAACCCCACTACCACAGGTACAATACCGTACCAACCAGCTCAAGTGCCATTGCCCAACAAACCCTACAACTTTCCGCCCGATGCGCCGCAACTTCGAACCCGCCTTAGATGCTCAACAACGGTTGCGCTCGCGTGTTTATGGGTCCTTCACGTTTGTGACATGGATCCGTGGACAATCTTCCCGCTCGCACCGTTGGCACGTTCTCCCAACACTGGATGCCGGTTGGTTACCACTTTCGCGGATGCACGTGAGCTTCAAGAGTTGTGGCTGTCAGTTCGGCTGAACCAGCTCTCTTTCTCTACACGTTGTGGATTGTTGATTCAGTCACACAGTCTACTAAGTAGCGAACATTCAACGTGAAACACTCATTAGCGAATGTTCGATTCAACACCCAACCACCACCACAGGCATAGTGTGGCAAGTTTGCGTGAGACTCGCATCTTTGCGCCCAGGAACTTCAGGACGAGATAACATTATCGTGTTCGTGCAAGTAGTTTGAGAATTCACAGCTAGCGGCTCAACACATTGAACAGCGAGCTTCCTCCCACACTTGCAGCCAATGGGCGGTTGCACACAGAACTGGCCTCTTTGAGAAATGCGAGAAGGACTACACATTTCAAAACTGGTAGCAATAGCCGCGCACGGAAATAGGAAAAGGAATGAGGAGGCTACGATATGATCCAGACGGACTGAGCGACTGGAAAATCTTCGAAGATTCCTGCTTTGATCTGAAAGTGTTAGATTGTGGCTCTAGAGACGACTGAAAAGAATCGCCAGCTTACTACTGTACACTAGAAGCCGATGTGATGTACAGGGAAACAAGATAGCCAAATTTCCAGATAGGCACCCGGAGGCACTGCGAATATCCGCAGACATTACAAAAGCATGTCCACGACTAAATCACGTGTCCAATCTCACCAACATCATTCTCCATGTCCTGACCGCCGGACTTCTCACGATCTGATTAGCGTGCGCCACGCTCGCATGAACGGATTCCCACACGTGCATAAGCACGTCTGCTCATGCCATCGCATTCCAGCTGGAAACGTACGGACAGTCATACGGATTGCATACGAACTATACGCATCGAACGGAAGGGATGTAGCAAGGATCGTCGCTAACGTGAGGTATCCTGCGAGAGGGGGGCACTAACGGAGGCAGGTAAATGCATGTTCGTGTGTGCAAATCATCAGCTTACTCGTGCATGCATACTTCCATCAATACGTGCGGTGGTAGACATCTGGCGAAACTGTGCGACGCGCACCCAGTCAGGCTGGAAAGCTTTGAACTCAGCTGCATGCCGTAGGTAGGTTGTCAAGTTTTGAAAGGATAACATATGAATCGCTGAGAACCACACGAAATGGAAAGACGACTTAAACGTCCATACATCACAGGAACCACCAGTGCAATTGCAAACAAATGTCGAGTCGCCCAAGAGCCTTATCACTATATGGTCAAGGGAGTTGAGATTATCCAGAGACACGCTGCTTAATTGACGTCTTATCCATAATACTGCTTCCATTCCCACTCCAGAATGAAGCAATAATGCGCGGAATATCCTTTCGCTTCCCAATTGCCTTCCATCCGTAAATGTAAATTCCTTCATGGCGGTACTCTCTCGGGACGAGCCCAGCATATCTAGCCCAGGCCACCCGCCGCAGTGATTGAAGTTGTACAAAAGTTGTAGGGGATGATGTTATATACACACACCATGGCGTGAGATTCCGCTCGTTGAAATGGTTCCGCTGTATTGTTAAGGGAGCTGGAAGTCTGGAAAGCAGGATATGAATGGCAGTCGGTCGCAGACGAGAAACTTCGATTTTCAACTCAACATGATAGTTGTTCACTTCCTCATACCTTCCTCTATTCGGACTGAGCAGCAAGACTGCACATTGTTTGACTCAGATAGTCGTCCCGTGCCAGGTCTTATATGTTGAACAAATCTTGTGGGAGGGTGGACCCAATGGAGTCCAGAATCACACATGGCTTATGAATTGAATCGAGCCAGGAGAAGTTGACCAGGACGTCCCGCTCGTTCCAAACTCGCCCCAGGAAGCTTTTGGTGGCTTTTTGAACCACTGGTGTGAGTTGGTCGACGTAGTCGCTTACGTTCATGAGCACCTTTTCTCGCTCAGTTGTGCCTCGAATTTCCACCGCGGCGATGATGAATGGCAGAGCCACAAAGCGGACCGGGTGGTCTGATATGCGCCGAGCTAGCTCAAGTTCCATCATTACCTCGCGTGACCATATGTCGGCCTGCCCATCCTCGCGTCCAAATGGATGTCGCAAACGGTGTATCATCAGCAGCGCCGCCAATCGATATACCCTAGCCTGTGCAAGCAATTGCACAACTTCGCTTGCACTAAATTCATGAAGGAATCCTTCCGGATGAGAAGGTTGCCAGTTCTCCACATCAGCCTGGATCTTGTCGAGTTCCTGATGCAAGAGTTCCGTATGTGTTTTGCCGATGTTTCTAACAAGCGAGTGGCTGATGGAGCAGAGATCATAGTAGTATGGGAGTAACGACAGACACAGCCCGAGATGTCGATCAACGATCCCTGGAGCTCGTGGCTGTATTCTTAAAGTCGGCGTTCGTCGGTAAACGATGCACTCCATGGTCTCTAGCAACACTAGAACACTTATACGGGGCTCCATTTTCAGGCCCACAGTGGTGTCTTCGATGAAAGATCTCGTGACACTGAGGCAGTAGTGGCAGATCTTTGCTACGCCCACACCGATCGTTCCATATACCGACAAAGCCAAAGCAAACCCCAATGTTAGACACAGCTCTGCATCTTCAGCCTTGTTGATGGAAAGGCTGCGTAAGACCGCCATAGCGGATGTCGCATAACGGATCTTTGAAGCATTGTCTGTTCCCAACCCATCACCGGGTTGAAGTGATTTCAGAACTCCCGCGTAGGCAAGGTAAGCATCCTTTAAAACGGGCCAAGCAGTTGACCATAGGTTTGTAAACGACTTCTGTTCTGCGTGTTGAAAGCGTGGACTGACGACAGGATAATCGAGGGTTTGAGGATCGCCGAGGAGAGACAGTAGCAGCTCTTGCTCGTCCAGGTCTAGATTGGAAACGTTTGGTATACAGGAGCCAACAGAGTCTGCAGACTGCATGCGGTGGTTCGCCAGAGTAGATATCTTTTGGGAACAAAGTCCCCGATTTTTTGCTTGCCGACCAGGAGGTCGCACTGGACGAACGGTCAAACACACTTGATTTAGCCGCTGGCATCGTTCACAGGAACCGGTGGTGGACACGCGTTCACAACGCTCCTTGAGCTGATAGCATCTATCGCACGCGGTCCGGATACCGCGTACCAATCTTTTAGAGGTCGCCATTTCACTGCATTAGCGGCATATACTGGCTGATAAGCGACTCTTTTTTGCTCTTTGGAGAAGTGCGGCAAAGTAGGAACGGCAGAGTCGACGCGGAAATTACGATCCGTCTGGCAGGCCAATCGCTGGGCTAGAAAGAGAATGGCTTGACTATTAAAATCTCTTTCAAGGGAGTTTTCGGCAATGCGAAGCGCCGAATGGTATGTCACGATCCCTTAGTTGAGATGTTGTTGGAGAGCATCTGAGAAGGGCAGGCACTAGGTACGCTAGGCTAGCGTACTGGTTGAATCGGGCCGGCACAGATGGACTTGTCCACAGCTCTACGATGCGCAACACAAACACCTTGGCATGCGGCATGGTAATAGTCTCCAATTGTCTCTCACAGAATCAAGGTGACGACACTAAACTCCATTTTTTTTTTTTTTTCCTTTTTTTCCTTTCAGCTCCACCGGCCATATCCCCTGTCCATGACAGACAGGTTCAGCATTGACCCGGAACCGGAACCGGAGGGTTCCCAAACGGGCCTGCCAACAACATTGCAGCATCCTATCTTGCGCGATTCGAGAAATCCATGATTCACAGCCGCTGTAATATAAGATTCCCAACATGCTCATCGATCTAAAGATCACATATTCTGAATCATCTTTCGATCACATTCATGATGCCGGCTGTATACAGAGATTATCGGACTATTGCTGCGGAGAAACAAATTGAGCGTCAAAGCAAGATCCCTGAAGAGTGGCTTCTCCATGAGAGCTACCATGGACTCAGCAATCTGATAGATATACCGACCACTTGTGGAATTTTGAGTGTTTTGGAGTGTCATATCACATCCAGTCATGATGCCACGTCCCTGTTAGAGAAGCTTAGAAGCGGTGTTTGGTCTGCGGAACAGGTCACAATCGCTTTCTGCAAACGAGCAGCCATTGCTCATCAGCTGGTTCGTATCACTACTCTACTACAGCTGACCCACGCTCTGAATGGCCAGCTCACTCTGATACCAGACAAATTGCCTGACGGAGATCTTCTTCGACAAGGCAGTCCAGCGGGCTCGCGATCTTGACAGGGAAAAACGAGCCAACCCTACGCGAGCCCTCCGCCCATTCCACGGTCTTCCTATCTCTCTGAAGGATAGCTTCCAGGTGGCAGGATACGACACATCCACCGGATTGGCATGCTTCGTTGGCGAGCCAGCTGAGGAAGACAGTGCTACGGCAGCAATGCTGCTCGATCTAGGAGCTGTACTTTATTGCAAGACTAATCTTCCTCAATCGATCATGACTGGCGACAGCGATAACAATGTCTTTGGCAGGACATTGAATCCTCGTAATATTGGATTGACAGCAGGTGGAAGTACAGGTGGTGAAGGTGCTCTGATTGCCCTCCGAGGTAGTGTTCTTGGTGTTGGTACGGACATCGGTGGGAGTATTCGCGTTCCTTCCGTCTGTAATGGGCTCTACGGATTCAGACCAAGCGTCGGAATAGGTGCGTATCTTCTTTTGCCTATGGTTACCTAGGATCGCTAACGTTGACGATTAGTGCCGCACGGCGGTGTGAGGGATCTAACACCACCAGGAACAGATGGTGTACGTTCATCTGCTGGGCCTTTGGCGACTTCAATTCGAGACGTCGCTCTTTTTCTGAAGACTACAATGCAGGCTACGACCTGGCAGTACGATAGCACTGTCATCTCGATACCGTGGACCAATCAGACGCCAAAGGAGAAACTCCGAATCGGTATTGTTTTTGATAATGGAGTCCACACCCCTTCGCCACCCGTTCGACGTGTCCTGAAGAAAGTCTGTGATTTTCTGAAGCTGAGTCAAAGCGTCGATGTCATCCCTATCACTCTACCAAATGTTCAAGAGCACTACTCAGATCTCCTTAGCTACTTCACGATGGATGGAGGGAAGGTAGGTCCTTCAGTTCTTCCCAGACAGTCTTTTTGCGCTCGTGCTAATACTCCCTTAGAATTACTTGGACCTCTTTGCCAGAACAGGCGAACCAGAAGTGCCCTCTCTCAAAGCCATTGGTCTTTCTTCAATGAAGAGCACCGACTTGTTCGGCTTCTTCGAACTCAACGTACGCCGTCAAGCTGCTGCTAAAAACTATCAGCGGCTGTTCCGCAACAACAGTCTAGACGCGATAATTATGCCCCCCGCGCCGCATACAGCTCTGCCTCCCGATCAGTGGACTTCAGCCTCATACACCGGCCTATGGAACTACCTCGACTATCCAGCCGTTGTCATGCCGGTCGATGTGGTTCGCCCTTCTGATTTTGCCGACGAAATCAGCAATGCTAAATACGGCGCGGATGACACCCGCCTTTATAGTCTCTGTATGTCTAACAAAAGCCCTTCAGAACTTCATCAAGTTAATCAACATAGACACCGGACCTGAGCTCTACAAGGACGCGCCTCTTTCCGTGCAGTTGGTTGGATACCGTCACGCGGACGAAGCGCTGATGCATACAGCATCTTTGGTGGATTCGATCATTAACCGCGTAGAATGACCAGAACCCCTGTCTATGTCACAAAACAATGCGCAATGCCTCAGGAAGATTTTCAGGACTTTGGTGTTTCGCGGTACTCGACTGCCAGCGCTCGTAATTGCGTATATACACTATCCCCTGAGATTCTCGAAATATGCAACATCGCGTTTGAACGTGACGATACCTTTGTATAAATCTGATGAAATGGAATGTAATGCTTTAAACCTACATGGTGTTTCCTCCGGGACCACCTCCCAACAATTCTTTTGAGTCTCAAACGCGATGTGATAATGGAGTCTACGATGAGGAGACATTGTGTCATTACAGTTATGCCTACTACTCTTCTATAGTGACTTGTATGTAGTGAACTTTGTACACCGGAGAAATTCCACTCGATGCCAATAACTTTCACACTTGGTTCCGAGAGGGTGAGAGGGTGACAGGATGGAATCGTTAAGCATCGGTACCTAGACGTCAGTGGCTGCCCGAGCATCTTTGTTCAAAAAACCTTGGGAAGAAATAAAATGCACGATAGTCATGTACCAGACGCATAGGTGGTCCCCTTGCGTACCATGGATACCTCTATGTTCGGGGCATTTGCATACCATAGCTACCGCTAAGCAGCTGTGGATGCAATGCTTCATGAGATGCGCCGGCGCTAGGTGGTTGTAAAATTTATCTTGCAGGTGAACACTTAGTTTGACTATCGCCAAATCCTAGGATACGGGATCAGATTACTGCAAACCAGAGCTTAATGGAGCGGTAATCAACACGTGACCTTGACTCCTACTGCCAATCAGAGTCACCATCGGCTGTTCACGTCTCTCTGATGAGCGCTGCCTTATATTTTCACTCTGATATCTGCTTGAAATGAAGTGTCAAATCTTGAAGAAGTTTTACGCGCCTATCACTACCAGCCACCTTTATCCTGCTGGTGTTGTCTAGCCCCAGCCCTGCGGCCCAGGCGCGCTTGAGCATGGTACCAGGCCGAAGCGAAGATCGTCGCTTCCGCGACTCCAAAGAGCTCACCACCACATTGCGCGCACGTCTACAGCACAGCTACGGCGCACCACGAGAGCCGACCATCCCCCACATCTAGCCTACGAACTCTTGAACATGTGCGTTTGATCACCGTCTGCAGTACAAGCGCACAGTGAAGAGAAGGCTGCTACACGTTGCATGCTTCACCGCATGAAGACACCCGCGACGCCGCTCTCGTACCCCACAGTATTCAGCACCCCAGGCTGTAACTATCCTTTGAGGACCCGTCCCCGCATATCAGATTGCCTCTCCCGACGGCTCATTGACCTGCGCCTACGCTGTTTCAATCTCGACGCTATTTCAGTGCCAGCACGCGCGCTTCAGAGAGAGGCCGCTGTCCAGCTGAGCTTTCATTGAAACGCCGCCAAGCTACATCTACACCTCAACACACCCAGAACAGGATTTGAAGTCTCCCAATCTTCACGATGGTTGGCAAAAAGTCCGGCAGAGCCCAACTTAGGGAGGAGGGTACGCGCCTTTGACACATGTTTGCGAAAGAACGCTGACCAATGTTTGCAGGACTCGCACGGACGGACAACAATCTCGAGCAGACGACATGGCCAGTTGTCAGCATGATCAACCAGAAGAACTATTACACCGAGTTCCTCAAGCGTGACGAGCAGTACCTCGCAGTTCGATACCCCCAGGAGGAAGAGCGCGCGCGTATGGTCCGAGAAGCCCGCGACAAGGATCGTGCGCTGGCGAAAGGAGTGTCAACAACGGAAGCCACAGATGAAGCCGCGGACGAGACTGGACTATCACAGTCCAGAGATGATCCGTCGAAACTGATCGTACTGCACGTCGGCAGCCAGAACCTTAGGATCGGGCTTGGTTCTGATGCGCTTCCGAAGTCAATCCCCATGGTCATAGCACGGAGATGGAAGCAGAGTGAATCGGAGGAGAATGATGGCGAACCTAGTCCCAAGAGATTGAAATTGGAGGGCGCGGTTCCTGCGGATGCCTTACCCGAGAAGTGGTTTGGAGAAGATTTTGCGGATCAGTACATGGCAATGTCCTCGGAACTCAGAACAAGGATGCGTTCCAATAAGCGACGAGTGCTGCCAAATTCAAAGGACCTCGTTACCAATTTCAATCGGCGCACTCCACCCGAGATCATCAACGAGCACAACGATGTGGATAGGATAGACTGGACAGAGCTCCCAAGCGATCCCAAAAAAGCACCTGAATACTTTACCGGACGAGCAGCACTGCGAATACCAGAGAATTCGAATCCTCGTTATAAACTCTTTTGGCCAATTCGAAATGGAACCTTCAACGAAGTTGACTACACTGGTCGAAACCAGATCTATCACGACCTTTCGAAGATAGTTGAAGATGCTTTCAGATCCCAGCTTGGCGTCACGAGTCTCAAAGAGCTCGCGAATTACAAATGTGTCTTCATCATTCCGGATCTCTACGAGCGTGTTTACGTGACGATGATGCTGGACATCCTCATGCGCGACTTGGGCGTTGGGAAGGTTTCCCTGCAACAAGAGAGTCTCTCCGCTACGTTTGGTGCCGGCTACGGTATCGCTTGTGTTGTGGACATTGGAGCGCAGAAGTCATCGATCTGCTGCGTTGACGAAGGTCTGTGCATCGAAGAGTCTCGCGTCAACCTCAAGATGGGAGGCGCAGATGTAACGGAGACATTTATCAAGATGATGCTCTACGGGCATTTCCCCTACTCGGACATGAACCTCAAGAGAAGATACGATTTTTTACTTGCCGAAGAACTGAAACAGAAGTTTTGTTCGATGGACGAAGACTCCGTGACTGTGAAAACGTGGGACTTTCATCTTCGAGCTTCAGGTCAGGACACGAGGAAATACACGTTCAAGACTTACGACGAGACGATGTTGTCTGTCATGGTGAGTAAACTATGCTATCCATGTCTGCAGCTTTCTCTAATTCTGTCCAGGGCTTGTTCAAGCCTTCGATCTTCGACCACTCGAAAAAGCTAGACGGCCGTAGAACGGTGATTCCGAGATCGGTTGACCTATACGACGGATCCCCGAACGACCCAATCTCTCAGGCTCAGATTGCAGTGTACGAGGCGGCAGCAGGGAAACCGATCAATGGAGCACAAGAGTCGGGGGGCACGCCAGCCGTCGCGTCTACCCCGCAGCGTCCAGGGCAATTGAATCCGCTGAACCGACTCAACGACAACGAGACACCACGATCGTCTGTAGCTGGTTCTCCAGCACCAGAGGGCACGAGTACGCCCAATCCAGACCGTGACACACCTATGGGCGATGGCGAGCAAACCCTCATTTTCCGGGATCCTGTGCTCGAAAAAACTAAGATTGCAGAGGAACGCGACAAAACGCTTCCGATTATACCGCTTGACCAAGCTATTCTGGAATCGGTTACTCAAGGAGCGCGCGGCGATGAGCGTAAGCTGCGCGATTTCCTTGGCGGTATCATGCTTGTCGGTGGTGCTAGTAAGACGCCTGGTCTCCGCGAGTTTCTGGAGACCAGACTTAGAGAACAGAGACCTTTCTATGGGAAGGAAATATTGGTTGGCCCACCGCCTAGGGAGTTTGATCCGCAAGTAGTGATCTGGAAGGGAGGAAGCGTTTTTGGGAGGTTGAGTTCTGCTGGTAACGACAGTTGGATCAGCAAGGCGGAGTACGACATGCTGGGAAGCCGCTTGCTGAACAACAAGTGTATGTTCGCGTGGTGATGGGTGCTGTAGGAAAACGAGGACAATACAAGGGACTCCGAGGTTCACTTTCGGTATGCTATGATATGCTAGACCGTGAATGCTTGAATTTGGCGCATACGACACTTGCTGTTGAATTTGAGCAGGCACATGAATGGACATTTCACTATCACCACTTTTGATATTGCTGTTTATCGTCGTGCGAAGCCGCTGTCCACATCGCCATGATTGACTGTTGTAGTCGAGACCCAGTCGGCAACCCCTTTCCATTGGCGATCAATGGGCGTGGAGCATGCTCCGAGCCACGCAACTGTTTGCCACGCGTGACTGTGCACTGCCACGAGCTGCGTGATAGAAGCGCGCGGAAGACGGCGACTGAGCGGCAAGAATGCTTCCGGCGGCCAGTAAGTGAGCCCACGGTGACGCGACCATTTCCTGATGGATCGCACGGGGAAAGCTGCAGCCGGTGCAGAAAAATCTCCCCACGCAAGTGGAGGCGGTGAGGCGGCAGGGCAGCGCAGAGAGCGGACGGTCATTGGGCGGGCCCTGGTGATCTTAGCTCCATCTGCGCTAAATTTCGGAACGGAACTGTCCCTGACGAGCCAGGCGAAAGTGGCTCGATCGCCCAGCAACACACCTTTAAACTAGACCCGCCCTTTGCCTCCTCATTTCCTGCACTGCACCTGGACGCTTTCAACCTACACCGTCCCCGCAGGACTGCCTTGCCATTCTCTCTATCTTCCAAACGTTGGGTTCCTGGTGCTGCAGTCATTCCTTTGGATAGTGCGCCACAATGTACGCCAATCTACGCGCCTCCTATCGCGGCCTCCCAACGCTAACATGTCTAGGAATTCGACCACTGTTCTGTCGCCTATGGCGCGGGACACCTACTGGGGTTCCTTCGAGGAGGTTTCCAAGTACAATGTCTCACTGAACTACGCCGAGCGCATGTGGATGGCCTGGTACGCATACATGCAGAACGATGTGCTCGCCACTGGCATCATGTCCTTCGTCATGCACGAATGCGTGTACTTCGGGCGCTCGCTGCCATGGATCATCATCGACATGATTCCTTGGTTCAGGCGATACAAGATCCAGCCGGTACGTGCACTGTACTCGTCCGACGCGCTGCAAATATTGACATGTCTCAGAACAAAATTCCCACAGCATGGGAACAATGGCAGTGTGCTCTCCTTGTCCTCTTCTCGCACTTCACCGTCGAGCTCCCGCAAATCTGGTTCTTCCACCCCATGTGTCAGTTCTTCGGCCTCAGCACGTCAGTCCCGTTCCCGAGCATCTACAAGATGGCTTTCCAGATCGCTGTCTTCTTCGTCCTCGAGGATACCTGGCACTACTGGATGCACCGCGCCATGCACTACGGCTTCCTCTACAAGAACATCCACAAGATCCACCACCAGTACTCGGCTCCCTTCGGTCTCGCCGCCGAATACGCCTCGCCTATCGAGGTTATGGTTCTCGGACTCGGCACTGTCAGCTCGCCTATCCTCTGGTGCGCGATCACTGGCGATCTGCATATTCTGACCATGTACCTGTGGATCGTCTTACGTCTGTTCCAGGCTATCGATGCACACAGCGGCTACGAGTTCCCCTGGAGCTTGCACCATTTCCTTCCCTTCTGGGCCGGCGCCGAGCACCACGACGTTCACCACGAACGCTTCATCGGCAATTACTCGAGCAGCTTCAGGTGGTGGGACTACGTCCTAGACACCGAGGCTGGTCCTGAGGCCTCCAAGAGGAGGCGCGAGAAGAAGCTTGCAGCTTTGAAGAAGGCTGCGTAAGGGTTCTTCGTAGCGGAGGTGAGATGTCATCAGAGTCTATGCCGCATCAGCTCTGTGAGCTGCATATCCATTTTTGAGATGTGCTATTGTTTGGGTCACGCTCGGAGTTGTATTAGAAAGGTCACGTTGTTAATGCCGGCTGCCAGCAGCTGTAAATATTTAATATTGGATGGATGAAGGAAGACGGATGTAAATGGGCGAGAAACATGTATATCAATACGTAATTCAAACCTCGTCCGCTCTGCGGAATACCTTACTCAATCATCCCAATCGACACTGCCCAGACGAACTTGTCTGGGCCTTTGTATGATGTGTTCTGCTTCCTAAACTCCGTCGGCAGGGGGCCCGTGCGGCGTGCGGTCTTGGCTGCTGGAAGCTTGAAGACGCGCCGCAACGCCAACTTTCTTTCAGCACTTTCGCTCGACTCTCACCGTTCTCTTCCTGATCACTCCTCCTGCAGCGACATGGCGAGACCACAGACCTACCAGCAAGACTATATTGCGCGCATACGATTCTCCAATGCGCTGCCACCGCCGCCATGTCCCCCGAAACTTCTTGATATACCCAATACAGGCCTGTCAAGCGGACAGTACACGTCGGCAGCATTCGCGTCCAGACTGGCAAGGGAACAGCCGCTAAACATCGAGGCGGATGCAGAGCTCGGCATGCCCATCGACCTGGTCGGGATTCCAGGGGTCTTCGACGGCGATGAATCTGGTATGCTGCTTTGCCTTTGCGCCGGACATTCTTACTGATAGTGTGTAGCTATCCAGGCGCTCCCTCACGCTCCAGTGCTGCACCCCGCCGACCGCGCATTGATGCGACCCCCCAATGCGCTGGGCAAGTCCACGGCGAGCGCTGCCGGTGCGTCGTTCTTGCGCCGCACTGAATACATCACATCGAGCACGGCGGGCAGCAAGTCCACATTTGAATCGAGTACCTCGTCAAACACGATGCGGCTGAAAAAGAAACGCACGCGCGTGAACGCTCGGGAAGACGACCCTATCTATATCACTCGCAACATCTTGAAGGGATTCAACCTCGCATACCCGGAAGACGCCTACACAGGTCCTGATACAACCGAGAACTTGCGGGGCGCAGAGATCAGTGTCGAGGACAAGCGCGCCTGGAAGAATCCCAAGCACCCGCGCAACGAGAAGCTGGAGCTTGTTGGTTCATACCCGTTGGTACCAGATTGGGACGCCCTTCCCGACACTGGTAGCTATGCCATGTTCAAATTTCAACACGCGCCCATCAAAGACCAGTCCAACCCTTCCGCATACGACCCACGTATCGACGTGTCTATTCTCCGCCTGGCAGGCGAGTCAGTTGACGATCGCGAGACACACATGCAAGAGCAAGAGGCCTATAAACTGGATCCGTCGGGACCTGTTCCTCTCCCCAAATTCCACTACGAATTCTTCCTGCCTACGAATCGCGAGAGGGTGGCGGGCATCAAGCGCCACTTCACAACCAACGATCCCGACTCGCCAGAGTTGGCGTTCGAGGAGACTGTCGACGATGAAGGGCGCCCTAGGAAATTCTTCAGATACGAAAACATCCGGACCTACGAGACGGCCACTCAACAGAGCAACCTCGACGACCGCTATGGCGATACTGTGGCGCTCGCGCTGCATGATCCTGACATTCACACCAATGAGAACTTGCGCGATAGCAAGCTCCAGAAGGCGGCGTATTTCTATCCCATAGGGCAGAAAACCCAGATCAGAGCGCGGAGGCCAGGGCGCATTCAGATGGTGGAGGAGTTCCCCAAGATCGATTACCTCGATGCTTCAGGTCGAGCGCCGGACGAGGAAGAGGCCAGCAAGCGCGAGGACGTACACAGGGCATATGATCCGGAGAACCTTTGAGGTACGTGGAGATATTGGTCGCGTCAGTACTTGCTGGTTTCTATTTTGGGAGACGTGGTTCACATTTCAAGCGCGGCGTTGAGGGGGGGAAATTGCATATAGGGCTACCGGATTTGGCTTCTATCTTGGGGTGAGAGCGACCTGGAGACTAAACATGGCTAGCATGTACGATACTAATCGGCACTTGGACAACTTCTAGCATCTGTGAATAGATAACATCGCCAAGCGTCCTCGGCTCTCTAGACAAGTGTGAACAACATCGATTCTATGCTCATCCGTCTTAGATTGCAAGCATGGGTATCTCTCTGTCTATGTTGAATCAACCTTGCCAACGCCATCTATATGCTTAACGACTTCTCCGTCCTCTGCGGCGCCCACCCCTTCAGCCATCCCCTCGCCTTATCTAGATCACCACCTTCCGCCTCCAATGCTGCAACACACCACTCCATCCCGTACCCCCCCTTCCCTTCCACCCCCCTCTCCGCACTCAGTATCTCCGCCAACCCTCGTCTTCGCTGACTCGCCTCGTCGGTGCAGAAATGCAGCGGCGTCGCATACCCGCGGCCATCCATGCCCTCGAGAAACGGCTTTACCATGGGAATCGCATCCTTCGTCGGGACCGCCTTGTCGACACCCGAGCTGTTCTTGCGGCCCGTACGGCAGAACTCGTTGCGGCACCAGCTCTTCCCGCAGCCCGTGAGCAGCTGGCTCAGATAGCGCCGCTCGATGCGGCGCCGCAGCGCCTTGCCCTCGGGGTCATGCAGCGAGACGTACAACGGGCCAAAGCACACGCTGCAGAGTCCGATCTCGTTGCCCGGGCCCTGGCCTTTCCGCGTGCCAGCGCGCGTGTCGCCGAGACGGTTCGCGCCGTCTTGCGTGCGGCCGCAGTTTGCATTACGACATATGCGGGGCGCAGGGCGGGACAGGCGCTCGAGGTCGTGGTGCCGGAGGTGCGTTTCCATGTCACGAAAGCGCACGATTTTGGCGCAGAGGTGGCATTCGGTTGTGCGGCCGCCGTCGGCGAGCTCGTGGGGTGTGAGGCCCGAGAGGAGGAGTTCGGGGCTCGGGGGCCCGGTTGGATCGCCTTCTTGCGGGACTTGTAGGTGACAGAAGCGGCAGAGTATGAGTTTGCCTGGGCACTCGGTGACGCGGTGGGAGGCGAGTGTTGGGATGGAGGGGAAGCCCATGTCGCAGGAAGGGCATGCTTGGGGCGTGTGGTAGAGGGCGTTGTGCTTGCTTTGTGAGAGGTGGGTGTTGCCTGTAAAAGTATCATGTGGGCAGTGCCAGTGATTCTTGAATGTTTCGGAGCGCTTCTGGAAGACCTGTCCGCAGCCTTGGGGGCATATGGTGTTGTTTCGAAGGCAAAAGTTTTCGTGGAGGAAGAGCGAGGATTTGGGGACCCATTGGAGGCAGTTTTTGCATTGGACCTCGTCTGGACGGGACTCAGTACCACTTGTGTCTTCCGATTCAGATCCTGCTTGAGGGTCGTAGATAGACGCCTTGAGCTGGAACTGTCTTGGTGTAGTTGATGGGTCGTCTGCTGGATAGGCGCGAACGGAGATGTATATTGCTTCTGCATCTTCGAGTTCCACGTTCGTTGGCTGTAGCCGGATGCGCTTGGGGTATTTACTGGATACGTCTGCGAAGACATGCTCGTCTTCTCGAGGTCGGACGCGTTGTCGGGACGAGTGAGGGCTAACGAAGAGGTCTATTTCGTCTTCTTCGTCAACACCGCTCAGTGATATCTCGAGGCCCTGAGTGCGGTCCCATGACGAGAGCTCGTAATCCACGTATTCGCCATCCAGAACCTGGCCTTCCTGCGCTTTGAATACGTCGATCTTGCCACCAGCTGAACTTCCTCCGGCAGTACCTGGTGCCTTTTGCCTCTTAGCCATGATTTTCTTCAGCGTTTCGCGTGCTTGTTCTTCGTTGAGCGCTTCGATGTCGACCTCCAGATCTGTGTCCACCACACAAATGCCATCTCCTTCCGGTTTGAAGCCATCCACAAGGAATCGAAATTCTTCTCGTCGACCCTTGGAAGCTCGTCCGCCATAGACAACCAGCACTTCGCCGTTGGTGAGCGTGGTGAAATTTGCGCGCAAGTGTTCCTCGAGAAGCGACTTCCAATCTTCTGGGTCGTAGCCTGCCTCGAGCGGTCTCAGCTTGACAAAAGAACCCTTTGGTAATTGCTTTGCATGGACGGTTATCTGTATCGGGTCGGCGCCATCCACCCCGAGCTGTTCCGCACCATGCACCATGTCGGTATCGCCATCTGGGCTGGCTTTCCTCGAAGACTGGGTGGATCCCGCCTCCAAGCCCAGCGCTTCCCGTAAGAAGCCACTCAGCAGTATTTGCCCTTCTTCTGCAGAGAACTCTCGGATGCCGGCATATACGACTCGTCCATTGCCTGGGTTTACGAGGCGAAACGTGAGCGGATGCGGTAGTTGCTGGTGCCGGTCTTGGAACTGCGCGCGTGCCTGGCGCTCAGCGGCGAAGGTATACGGATTATAAGGGTCGAAGGACGTAATGTGTGTCTGATTGGAGTCGGTGGTGATGACAGGCGCTGCTGCGAGCAGTTGTTCGAGTGCCGAGGGCGGCAGTAGGATCTTGTCGCCGGGCAACTGCGTGGCGCGGGACGAGTGGGCGATGGTTAACTGGGCGGACCAGGTCAAGTCGGGCGTCTCTGGCTCTGTCTCCATGGCCGCAGGGTGCAGGTGGAAGGATAGGGTCGTATCTAGGGCAGGGACGGACGAGCAGCCGGCGGCGGCAGAAAAATACCAATGTTAGTAAACGATGCTGCTGACAGACACGGGCTCCGTCGAGTCCGACGTCACTTCGACTCGCTTCTAGAAGGACTGCGCCCTTATCGATTAGCTCTCCCCGCAGTGCACGCGCTGGCTCGCCCAAAAGCACAGGGCCGTGCCGACGCGGTGAGCCATGGCCCATCTTGCATACATCGGCCGCTGGTCGGTGTGTGCATCGAGCGTGACTGGGCCCAGATGCACGCTGCGCGCTGCGCGCTGCGCGTTCGCAACGCGTCGGTTTGGGCGTAGTGGCGACTACGCGACCGCGGGCTTGCACCAGCGCCTACCTCGTAACGCATGGTAATTGTATTCGCTAAGAAAATGGTCGCGTAGAGCTGCCCCACGCCACCGATAGCTACCGCGCCCGCCGCTGTCGGTCGGCGTCTGAGGCCCACCGCCATGGCCGCTTCGACGGCGGGTGTTTTGGCATCATCTCCATCATGTTTCCTGCGCAGGGCCACTGAAACATTCACGGCTTTCCAGACACTTGGCTGCGCCTTAGCATTTTCAAGCAGAGCCCGGCGGCAGCGGCGACTTGCCGGTAGCCACGCGCTTGGCCCAGTCTTGGACCCTTATTCTCGGTGGATCGGCCCCGGGATGATGCGCGACAGCCCACGCTTCTACGACCAACAGCTACCCTTCACGTCTCAACAGCCCGCCGGGCATCTCCACGAGAAACTCTGCCCTGAACAGCCATCAGGCACGTGCCCACCTGGGGACACCTGTCGCAATAAAGTCTGGTGAGTTCTCTTGCTTTGCACCTACAGCATTCCCATCCATCCATCGCCTGGTCCTCGTTCCGCCGCCACTAGCATGGGTCCTCTCAACGTCGACAACTCCCATCCTCACCATCTGGCCAACCTCCTCTCCAACTCCCTTGTCCTTCGACAGACGGCTCCTTATCTGCCCGTGGCTTCGATATGCGCCCTAGCTGCAACTTGCAAAGCGCTCCACCATGTAGTGTATCAAAGTCCCGATGTCTTCCGCTACCTCGACTTGTCCACGGTCAAGTCGGCCATTGTTCCATATGCGCCGCTCGACTCCGGAGGCATCAGCTGGCGCTCCGAACGCATGGATGAGTCGCTGACCGAGGACGAATTCTACTCTGGTCCGATTCGCGGCATATTTTCCAAGCTGCAGCGGCGCCATGTTCTACGCAATGTGCAGACACTGGTGCTAGACGGTTTGAGCGTCCCTGCAGACCTCGTCCGGGAGATTATCGCCGAGGATACTATCAACGTCCGCATCCTGTCCATCCGGGAGTGCAAGCATTTGAATGAGCGCAAGCTTCAGCAGGTGTTGCGCTACGCCGTTCGACCAGGCAGGCCTGCAGGTACACCCACCACCAAGGGCATCTACTTCTTTGGCCAGCGTGAGACTATCCAAGCACAACAAAAGCAGAAGCCTACAAACAAAAAGTCTCGGTCGCCTTCGCCTAAAGGTGTCATGTCGTCGCAAGGAGCTCAAATCGGCGCAGAATGGAACCACAAATCCTCAGAAGCACTCAGCGCCGCTTTGACGCCATCCTCGGACAGATGGTACCAATGCTCTGGGCGAATGATGGCAAAGCGAGCGTCCCTCGAGTGGGCAGAAACCTTGAAAGCCTGTGAGGGTATCATCGCCTTTGACGCAGTCCTTTGCAGAGGTCCCCGTCACGATCCGGCCAGAGCTTTCGTCAGCAACAGTGACAGCGAGTCGTCAGGACTACCACACCCTGCTTCGTATCTGAGCCCCGCCGTCGCGACGGTTGCCCTGGGATCAAAGGGCTGCGAGACCTGCCATTCATGTCCGGAGAAACCAGCCGTATTCGGGCAATCGCCAAGCTCTGAGCTTCCATTGCTGAGTCCTATCCCACTTCACTCCAGCTCTCTGCGAGCAGCCCAAATACCACACACAGTCGACGGCTCCAAACCACCTCCTCTTTTTGTGCGCTGTGAAGATTGTCTGAAGGGCCGTTGGTGTGAGCGCTGTCACAAATGGTGGGATGAGGACTGTTACACCGTCTCTGCCGTTGCACAGCGCACCGAGCTGCAGCAGACCGAATTTATGGAGAACGCCGCAACCGACGGGACCGCGCACATGCTTCCCAAGCAATCCATCAAGGTACATATGGGTCTCTGCGTTAACAGCTGCCTGGTTGGCGAGATGATGGCCGGTGCAGGCAGCAACGGCATGTGGGGATGATATTACGAACAATGCAAACCTTCGGCGTGCTAGGAATGGTCCTTCCGGAGGTCGGGGTAGTTGGATTCCGGATACCAGCTCCACAGCTGGCTTGCGGGAGCTCGACTCACCTCAGCATCTAACACCACCATTGGAAACCAGACCTGGCGCGTCGAGGTGTATGTGCTCAACGGCTGTTCAAGAAATAGGCTAACAAATGGCTTGCAGATCATCGGCGTCAGGAGAGACTGCTTCGGCTGTGGCCATACTGTATGCCGTCCATCACTTGCTGAAGTGCCTTGCTGATCAGTGTTCAGTGCATTACTTGTAAGGAGCTATTCATCCGCGAATGTACCATCTGCCATAGCGAGTATTGTATAGAAGACAACGACGCGTCTTCAGCCACTAAGGTATGATTGACAAGCCTTTTCACATCTTTCGAGTATGACTAATCCTGGTACCAGTGCGACTGGTGCAACTACACATCGAGAAGGACGGTCGAGATGTACTAGGTTGGACATTGGGAGCAAACCCGCTCCGTGTACCCAAGGCGTGCATCCAGGTTTCGGCGCCAAATCATTTTTTCTTGGTCTTTTATTTTCTATACATGTGCTTAGCGGTGTTGCCGACGTGTAGGCATTGTTCTGGCGTTCTGGTGGTTTGGATGGCTTACACGTCCATGGTGTGATGGATCTACTGAACGAGCGACGGCGGAATTACAGCTTGCATACTCTACTCATAGCGTTGCTGAAATAAGATACCCCTCTCAATCCCTATCAAGATGCTTATAAACTTGTATGAGAAAGAGGCCCAGCCGACTGCATTGCGGCGGTGCAGGATAGAATGCCAAGTAGGAGATAATTTTCCAACAGAGTCTCGAGTCCCGTTGAAGTGTTGAGATACGATACTGTCGAACGTTAAAGTGCAGGGGCAATGAGTTACACACTCGCGTGTTGAGTGGACGAACCAGCATGAACAGGACAAGCTCTCGAGTGCGCAGTGTCACGTGATGCGGATTTTGCGAAGCTCAGCAATGGTGAGTTCCGAAGCGACACGAATAAACACTTGGTCGCTTTTCTACACCACTGCCTGCGTCCACCAAAACAAAGTCACGCAAGCACACTTCAAAGTCTTCCACACCTCCGCCCAATTGCATCTTTGGCGAGACTAAATTTCCGCCAACTGGCCTCTGCCTGCCCCACGTTCGCTCCTACAAGTCGCGCAGCTACGTAATACGGGGCACCCACCACCAGGCACCTGCGGCCGCATCTCTACGTGCACGCCCGCCGCACATCCTCTCACCGCGCACAAAGCAGCCCGGCCACGATGGCCCAATACGGCTACGGACAGAGCCCGCCCTACGGCCAACAAAATCCCCAAAACCTCCAGTTCTATTCGTCCTCATTCTCGAACCAGCCGGTCTCTGGACATTCCACACCTTTCCAAGCAAACTACGGAGCGCCCCAGGCGGCGGCATATCCAGCACAATATGGCGCAGGCTTCAGCGCACCGGGTGTGAGCGGGCAGATGGGCGTTGGAGCGTCTGGCCTGCGGACGGGATGGCTGGCTGCATTTGGCACTGAGGGATACGACGGGGAACCGCCGCTGCTGGAGGAGCTGGGCGTGAACTTTGGCCACATGAAGATGAAGACGCTGGCGGTGCTGAACCCATTCGGGAGGATCGACCAGCACATCATGGACGACAGTGACATTGCGGGGCCTGTACTGTTCTTCTTTATCTTCGGAACGAGTCTGCTACTGAGCGGGAAACTGCACTTTGGGTACATATACGGTATGTCGTTTTGCCAAATTGGGGACGGTTGATGCTGACGTTGAGAAGGGCTTGCGGTTCTGGGTACCATACTACTCCACACTATCCTCTCCCTTATGTCACCACCTCTCTCCGCTGCCGAGGTAGCATCGAGCCAAGACCATGGTCAGCACGGAAGCTCGCACTTCTCCTCGTCCCTAACATACCCGCGGTCCGCTTCGGTGCTGGGATACTGCCTATTGCCGCTGGTTCTGGTTGCGATCCTGGGTATTGTTGTGCCGCTGGATGGCTTCTTTGGCTATCTGCTTACGAGCTTGGCGATTGTATGGTGCTCGTACTCGTCCAGCTCTATGTTTACGATTGTTGGTAAGCGTGCAAATATCATGGGGTGGATAGCAGCAAAGCTAACATGATGTAGGACGCATGACTTCAATGAGAGGCTTGGTGGCTTATCCCATGGTTCTGTTCTATGGAAGCTTCGGTATCATGGCCATTTTCAGCTCGAGGGGTACGGGGACACTGGCGAAGGTTGCGACTCCGGCCGCGTAGGCACCAAATGACGCAGAGGATTATTTGAGGAACGATTGATGCGGAATGCGCATATGGAGGCGATATACTGCACTTCTGAGGATGATACCACGTAGCTTTTTGGAAGACTCGAGCTATATGATATACAAACTTCCAGCGCAGAACATACATACTCATAGTTGAACATCAGTTCCAAATTCTTCCAGCCTATTGCGTGTCTCTACGTAGCTCTGATGTTGAAAAACACGCACCACACCCGCAAGACCTGATGGAAATTTATGCGCATGTAATAATTCGGCGACAGCGCCAAAAGACAACCGTCATAACTTCCCGGACGTGCGAGCTTACAGGCTCTGTGTTCATTTACAAGATGCACGCATGTGTACACACAACTACTTCCCGGCGTTTCCAGTAACAGATCCATCCCACTAATGTCTGCTCCCGGCCTTTCCTTCTTCGTGTTTTGAAGTCCAAACAACCTTCCGCGCACCCCAAAGCTGCAAACAAAACACAATAACAGACGCACCGCGACTCGAACGCTTGCCGCATTCAGGTTTAGGGCACGGCAAGCAAAGGGAACATCATAGGGGAGACTGGGGTTCGGGTCCATTGTGCGCGTGCTTGTCTTGTTTTAGCATAGACGAGGTGCAAGAGGTGCTCTGTAGTTGTGTCTTGCCTTTACTCCAATCTCTCCAGTACATACACTCTATACTGGCCGCTATTTGACCAGTATCAGATCTACAGGACCTGTGGTCCAGTGGTAGGACGTCCCTGCCCTGAAACTAACCAGAAGCTACCCTGAAATTTCGCTTCCTTAGATACGTATGGGGAGGAGGATTTAGAGACGGTCTCTGCATGGTGAATGGGGCTGGGTGATGGGGAAGGCGGAGTCTTCGATTCCTCTCGCGTCCATGTTTTTGTCACGGTGCTGGCGTATCAACTCAATGCGTCACATATTTCCCTTCGTGCACAGGATCAACTTTTTACCGTGCCTACTCCGTTCGACACCTGAGTAGCTTTAGCTGCTATTTACTCACACGACACGGTATTTCTTAAGCGGTATTTTTACCGTTGCCTCAAGTTTACTGCTATCAAACTATTGAGCGGACGCGTGGTCTAGCGGTAAGACATCTCCCGCTTGAAACCCACCAGTGTACCCTATTCGATTATGTCGCTAAAGGGGTTTGCAACAAGCGATGCAAATGCATCGCCTCTGTTTCAGCTGGGGCTAGTTGATAGGGAAGATGGGCTTTCGAATCCTCTCGCGTCTATCTTTTAGTGTCAGAACAAGTTCACCTTTCTGCCTGTCTTTGCACTTGAATCCTACCGTGCGGCACGTTCCGTAGATTCAGTTCTTGCACTAGTTCTTTATTAGGCGTTTGTCAGTCAAGACCTATTTGGTAAAACGCTCACCTTGATACATATAACATACTAGAGCTGTTTTCCATCAAACTGTCTGAAGGACGTGTGGTCTAGTGGCAAGATGCCCTTGCCTACAGACCCGCCAGCGTCTCCCCTCTCTCACATAGAAGGCTGAAGCGGAGTAGACTTTCGCCCCAAAAAGCAAAGAAGGTCAAAGTGGACTAGGCCACGCAGAGCACTAGTGCCACAATGCTGCCCTCTGTCTCGACGACAAAAAATCCTGGTACTTCGATGGGGATATCGTCCCGCAGTACCCAAGCCCTACGCACCTACAAGTCTCCATGATCAAGCCTTGATCGCAGGGTCTCGAACTCGCTCTATACCTGTCGCCAGCCCACCTGTCAGAAACATGAACGTCTGAAACGACTGTAGACCATGGCTACCTAGCGTTCGTGAACATGTCAATACCGATGGACCCGTATCCCATTTTACCGCGTCACTGCCTGGTTATTGGCGAGCTTCTAGATTGGGCAAAGTGGATTCTGTCACCCCACCCCACCTGCGACACTCTGAGCATAGCGTTCCGGGCGACGGTGCAGCTTGAGGATCACAGTACGGCGCGCAGGGAACGGGAGCCGGACATGATGAGGCGGGAACAGCTCAGAATGGAACAAAATGCGGAGGAGGAGAACAGGTAAACGCATTTTCAGTCCACCCCCGCCTGAACATGGGAACTGAAATGGAGGAGTACAGGTGGAGGTGAATCAGGAGTAGCCAGAACTCTTTTCATATACGTATTCGGGAACCACTATTATTCTTAGTAGCCTTAATGACTGAATGATGGCAAGACGTTTGTGTAAAACAGTGAGTTGACACTGGACCCTCTGTCAAGTAGGTGGTTATGAGGGCTGCCTTCCTCAATGGAGGTAGAAGCGGGCAACGCAGCGCAGCCAATCAACGCAGAGCAGGTTCCGATTATGACCGTCATTGACAAGGCCGTGCGTCGAACAACCCAAAAAGTTTCTCCTCCGACAATCTCCGCAACGCCTCCCCATCGCTGCTTATATAGCGAATTTGGTCTTCTCTGATACCCTAATTCTTCTTTAATATTACAACTTCATCATGGGCTGGTTCTGGGCTGATACGACGCCGACGGCACCCGTCGCACGCGTTGCGCCACACCCTATGCCGCGAGGAGGCAACGCGGAACCTCCAGTATGTTAACGACCAGGAGTAGAGTTTAAAAATGCCTAATCATGATACAGCCAACATGCCCTATGCACAACAAAATGGCCCCGCCATCGGACAAGGCCGCGCCTCCCTCCACGCCCCAGGGCGCGTGCCCCTACGTCCCTCCCGAGAAGCCCTCGAATGCGCCCGCATCCACGTCGACCGAGCCACCGCAGAAGACCGGTCTCCTCTCCCGTTTGAATCCTCTCAACAACATGTTCTTCTCCCTCGAGAACGAGCGCGCCGAAAACCAAACCCAAGATCTGCCCCTATCACGCGAACAGTCGACGATACCAAAGGCCGACGGCTCGCTCTGGGAGTACCCCTCGCCGCAGCAGATGTACAACGCGATGCTGCGGAAGGGCTACACCGACACACCCATCGATGCCGTCGAATCCATGGTCTCGGTGCACAACTTCCTCAACGAGGGCGCATGGGCAGAAATCATGGGCTGGGAACGGCGCTTCTCGCGCGGCATCGTCGAAGGCTACCGCATCTGCAAGCGCGGCGAAGAGAACGCAAACAAGATGCTCGGCACGGCGGAAGACCCCTTCGACACCACCACCTGGGACGACAAGTCGGTGCAGCCCCCGAAGCTGCTCCGCTTCACCGGCCGCCCGACCGAACTCACGCCCAAGGCGCAGATGCTCCAATGGGCTGCGTGGGGCTGGCCCGGCAAGTTTGCGTCGCCACCGCCCTTCGATCGCCACGACTGGTTCGTCGAGCGCTGCAATGAGAAGGGCTGCGAGGAGGTGCGTTACGTGATCGATTACTACGAGGGCGAGCCGGAGCCGACGGGCGAGCCCGTCTTCTTCCTCGATATTCGACCAGCCATTGATGGCCCGAGAAGTGCAGCAGAGCGGCTAGTAAGATGGGGCACAGACACGTGGTGGACGGCCACCGGAGGGGTTGTGAGAGAAGTACGGAAGGCGGAGGCTGCGAGGAAGAAGCAGGAAGAGGAGCTTGCTGCGAAGAGCAGGTCGTACAACTGATTTTGTGGAGGACTGGCTTCATATTCGGCAGGAGGGAATATATGAATGGGATAATCACGGGTTGCGTTTACGGCGTCATGAACCACGGCTGGATTGTAAGATATGGATTTCTGCTTGGCTTGCGATATTTCTTCTTCATTTTTGTATATTTTCCCTATGGTTACCACGATGTTCTACCTACGCAGAGGAAGCGATCAACTGGGCCCTCCGCTCTCATGTTCAATGCTTTTACTGGCTTACAGCCTGACTATTCACATAAGTGATTCAATATTCTAGTAATTGATTCCAGCTTTATCTTTCATCAATACCCGACGTCGTCTCGATGTCAACATAGCTGCTCACCACCATTGCACGCGTAAGTAAAAAAGTGTCCAGGTGTCGAAGGTTTAGTCGTGCACCTCGCAAGCCATCTATTCTTCCTTTAGCAAAGGTAGAACCGCACATCGCCCGCCTGATCGCAACTCTTTGCCTGAGCCCCTTCGCTGCCACCCGACCCATCGCCATCACGACCGTCGCCAGCAGTGAACACTATCGGCGCACATCCACTCCCCTCAACCTCTAACATCCCTGCTACACCCCCAAACCCGTCCGCCTCGGAGGCTCCAAGACCATACACAATTCCGCCTACACTATCCACCTGATACCTCACCTCATACATCCGCCTCTCAAGTCGGGCAGGCCCTCCACCCTCACCCACACCCTCACCTTCACCCTCCTCTCCCCGCGTCAGCGCAATACTAACACCGCACTCATCCCTCCCCGACTCGTGCCCAAACTGCTCTCCATGGTTACAGATTAGCGCTAAAGTGATGCAAGGGGGATGATGAAGCACTCACCCAAATAGCCGTGTGTGGAGAGATGTGCGCGGTGCCGCCTGCGCCGTTGCACCAAGATTGGAGGGCGTGGATAGGAAAGACGCAGTTGTTCTCGACGTAGGCGTTGATTGTGGTGGTGTTTGTGCGCGTGGGGAAGCTGGAGGTTGGGAGGGCGGATGTGGGAGGGATGGGTAGGAGCAAGGAGGAGAGGCAAAGTATTAAAAAGCAAGGTGGTTTAGTGAAGAGCAACATAGTAGTGGGTGCTTGAGTGGAACTGGTCAGTGTTCCGTGGCAGAAGTATACCTTGGGAGGGACGGACGCGGGGACATTCCGGCGCCTGCGTGTCACGCAAGGTTGTGTTAAAGGGCCAAACCAGCGAGATGAGCAGAACAAATGGGTGTTTAGGCGCAATGTATGGACACAGTTGATCCACAATGTGTTCTGGAATGGCGACGGTTTAGCATGATACCTAGGGCGGATGTAGAACGCCTGCGTAACTATTCTTAAGGTTGTTTTTTCTCTGGTCTGCTACATAATACAGCCCCATATGATACAAGAAGATACCCGAGCGTTGTCTGAACTCCTTATGCCATGCAATCCCGCATATCCAAACACGTACTCTATACACCACCGCTTTTCCCTTGCTCCACTATGATGATGGTGCTACCTTATCCTCCTTCGCAGCCTTCAAAGTCTCTTTCACCTGCGCAAAGTCTATTATCCCCTGCCCGCCCCCATTGCTCACTTTCAGAAAGTTTTGCTTGTACGGGTTGCCCTCCCCCTCAAACGTCTTCAGCCTCTCTAGCCTGCCTTTCCGTAACCGGTTCTTGGGCAGCATGCCGCTGACCGCCCGTCTCAGCACCTCGCCGCCTCCCCACTTCGCCGCCAGATTCTCCAAGCTGATCTCCTGCAGGCTGCCCGGCCGCGTGGTGTGCGTGCGGTATAGCTTCTGTGCGCGCTTTTTGCCCGTGACGTGAATGTGCTCACAGTTGGTTGCGACGACATAGTCGCCGCAGTCGGTGGAGGGGTCGAAGATGGGTTTGTGCTTGCCCATGAGGGTGACGGCTATGCTGGAGGCGAGGCGGCCGAGGGCGCGTTCGTCGCTGGCGACATCAACGTGGTGCCATGCGCGGGCGTAGGCAAGGCGCGTCTAACAAGTGTGTTAGTGGATAGACAGGTGGCGAGCGCAGATGTACGCCGGTGCAGCTCGTAACCGTCGCAGTCATGATTGTGTATAGGGATGCGGAGGCCCGATGGGCGACGTACTTTGCCTACGACTTGTGACATGGTGGCCGGCGGTCAATGTCTCTTTGATTTGGTATGGAGACGTCCTGGAGCTGTTCGCGCTATGCGTGTCGTCCCTGCAGGCTCCAGGTAGTGTGGTGGGTGGATGCGGCGGCTGGATGCTGTTCATGAGGTTGCTTGGCAATTAATTTCTGGAGACGGTGTCACGTGCGCCCTCATCGGCGCTTTGTATGGTCCCGCCCGAGTCCCGCCCGATGTCGTTCGATTTCAAAGCGAGGTAAAGATGAAGACGTGATTCTGAGACCCAACACAGCAGCTCGGATCACGGTTTCGTCACACTCCAATTTACTTCTGCAAGATATCAAAAATGACGATCCCAACCTTTGAAACGACCTTCGCGGTGCCGATGACGTGTGAAGCCTGCATCAAAGACATCGAAGGCTCCCTGCATCAAATTAATGGTACGGTGACCCGGCAAGGGTCCTGGATAGCTCGTTGACAAGAGCAGGAATTAAAAAGGTCACCGCCAGTCTCCAGGACCAACTAGTATCCATCGAAGGCAACGCAGCTCCCTCAGCTATCGTAGAGGCGATACAAAGCACAGGCCGCGATGCTATCTTACGGGGAAGTGGCAAGTCAAATAGTATGTCTCTCCCGACAGCACTGCGTCGAGCAATTTGTTGCTGTCCCAATAGACTTCTCTTGGCTTCGACATCGTTGTATGGTGTTAATTGAAGATCTACAGGCGCTGCTGTATGCATACTAGAGACGTTCGCGCCAAACGTGGAGAACAAGGTGCGGGGACTGGTGCGCATGGTCCAAGTTGCGCCCACTATCACAATCATCGACCTCAGCATTCGAGGACTGTCCGCTGGAACCTACCATGCCTCCATCCGAGAGGCCGGAGACATCTCGGACGGGCCTGAATCTACTGGTCCCATCTGGGAGGCGGCCAAGGCGAAGCTGGACGGCACTCCATGCCGCGGCGTGTTTGGAACTGTCGAAGTGAGCAAAGGTGGCGTAGGTACCGTGTTTCTGGACAAGCCAATCCAGATCTGGGAGATGATCGGACGCAGCATCGTCGTAGCGAGACAGCAGGACGGCGCCTTTGATAAGAATGACCCGGACACCCTTGTGGGAGTCATTGCTCGGTAAGCGTGCCTTGTCCTGTCTGATTGACAGATTACTGACGTGTGCCAGGAGTGCGGGTGTCTGGGAGAACGACAAAACGGTATGTTCATGTTCCGGGAAGACCGTGTGGCAGGAACGCAAGGACGAAGTCGGTAGGGGCATGCTATGAGAAGGCGGGATAGTGGAGAGCTCGTAGATCGGTCCTGGCACCTTGTCTCCAAGGCTCATATAGACGTCAATCACTCGTTTCACTGCCAGATCTGGCGACCGTGAAGCGAGGCTTGCACCTTGAATTCCAGGCCGAAACGCTGCCTACGTGACACGGAACAAGATGGCAGTGGTTTCTCGAGCCTCAGCATCATGCGTTCATGCCTGAGCTCTGGGCAGTCCGATGGCGTAGGTTTGTTGTCACGTGGCTGTCTCAAAGCAAGATGGCCATGTAACAGACCTCAAACGCGGTTCCTCGTCGCCTCTGGAGAAGACTGCGCGGAGTCCGGTGGGCTGCCACGCCACGCTCTCGATAGCAGAGGCGCCCTAGATGGCATTACGATAGCGGCTGGGCGCCGGCGGTATCGCAGAGTCGCCTGGCGGTGGTGTCATGCTCGAATGGGTTGGGACGAAGTGTCGCGGCCGTCCTCGAAGCGCTGTGGAGGCTGGGGTCAAGCGCTCGACCAGCCAATCACGGCTGCCAATGCATCTGGCTTGGCTTCGACATCTCAGACGCGCTGTTCCTCAGATTTGGTCTCCCCACTTGCGCCAGTCTCCAGCCGCCCGCCGGATCCTCCCTGTGCCCTGTCCCCTTGCCGTGCAGCCCTCAAAGCCCCCCTCCTCCCACAAACTCTGCATTCCTCCCTCGAGAGCCGCATCACCGTAGTCACTCTTTTGGCCCGCTCCCCGCAACCCACGACGACGAATCGACCCAACACCAGCAATAGCCGAGGCAGCGAACACACAATCGATAACACGTTCACTACGCCGCGCTCATTCGAAAGGCCCAGGTGGCTGCGCCGTGATCTGACGAGAAGCGAGAGGAGGATTTCGACTAGTCGCGCACCAGACGAAACGAGGGAGCGCTCTCTACCAGCCGTGGAGCGGTAGGCAAGAGCGAAGGACGAGGCTTGACGACACCATACTGCCGGGTAACTAACTAGTAATTTCGTCATGTCTCTGAAGCAGGTATGCACTGTGCCGCTGTTCCAATCCTCTGGAATGTCACCGCTAACACCGCGGGGTAGGAAATCGAGACTTGGGTGGCAGCCCTAGGTGCCTACGACAACAACGAGTTTGACGAGGCCCTGAAGACTTTCGATCAGATCTCGGACACGTCCAAGATTCTGTTCAACTGCGGTGTTATTCATGCGACGCTCGGCGAGCATGAGAAGGCGGTAAGTGCCAGCAGACGTTCGCAACCAAGGCACGTGCTCATGTTGATGTAGGTCGATTGCTACCAGCGCGCTGTGCGGCTGGACCAGTACCTCGCCGTTGCATACTTCCAGCAGGGTGTCTCCAATTTCCTTATGGGTGACTTTGAGGAAGCGCTTGCAAACTTCAATGACACACTATTGTATCTCCGCGGCAACAACAACATCGACTACGAGCAATTGGGCTTGAAGTTCAAGCTGTACTCGTGCGAGGTCCTCTTCAACCGTGGTCTCTGCTACATCTACCTCCAGCAGAAGGATGCCGGTATGCAGGATTTGTCTTTCGCCGCCAAAGAGAAGGTGGTACCCGACCACGACGTGATAGACGAGGCTATCCGAGAGGAGGCAGAAGGCTACACAGTCTTCTCGATCCCCGTCGGCATTGTCTACCGCCCCAATGACGCAAAGGTCAAGAACTTGAAGACGAAAGACTACCTGGGAAAAGCCCGTCTCGTTGCTGCTTCTGACCGACAAAACGCTTTCACTGGATTCGCTGGGTCTGAGATTAAGAAGTTGGCCAACGCGGCCAAGGACGATCGACCCGAAGAGAAGCTGTCATTCGCCGCAACAAACCTCGTTAAGCCGGAGCTCCAGAGCAGAGCACGACAGCAGTCTGAGCCACCGATGAACCGTAACATGTTCCCTCCGACCCCGCCACCCGAGTCGGACAACCGTCGATCTAAAGAGAAGGCTGATCCAAATGCGCCAATGTCCCGTGCTCAATCTGTTCGTGGTGGTGGCCCCAAGCCGCAGCCTCTGAACCTCGGACGTGCTGCCTTCGACCGCAGAGATGATCGCCGGGACGACCGTCAGGATGACCGTCGTGATGACCGCGATCCACCACAACAGCGGAGAGGTACTCAACGGTCTGCTTCTGAGCGTCCTGCGCCTAGTCGACAAGAGTCAACGCGGAACCGTGACATGGGACGCGATCCCCGCGAGCGAGACATGGGCGGCAGGCGTTCCCGAGAGCCTCCTCGTCGCCGTGGGTCTGAAGACGAGGATGATTACGCTGACGATGTCTATGACATGTACCAATCGCGCGGAAGTCGCAGTGGCTACGGACGCGGATCTAAACAGAGACGTCCTGCTTACATCGACGAAGAAGATGAGGATGATTACGACGGCAGTGACGTTGATGATGCTGACTTTGAGATGGTATCCCGCTCGAAGACTAGGAGACGTTCGCCTGTTCGCTCCAACACTTCCGCAGGCCGCAGTGGCACTGGCGGTAAGATCAGGGTCAAGTGCCACGCGGGCGACACGCGCTACGTATTTGTCACCCCGAATTCATCCATGCGAGACTTTGTCCAGTCCATCCGCGAGAAGTTCGGTATCCGCCAGAACTTCAAGGTCGAGATCAAGGACGACGGCGATATGATCACCATGGCAGACGAGGACGACCTGGACATGGCGATTCAGAACGCCAAGAGCATGGCCCGCAAGGAGGGCTCTGATACACCCAAGATGGAGGTATGGCTCACCATTATTCCCCCACAGAGCATAATTCCTGCCCCTCTCACCCCTTCTATCTCGGTCTCCCAATACTAGTTGATCGAGCAGGGGCTAATCAGTGTTGCAATCTAGGTTTGGATACGAGAAGTATAAATTTGAGATACCCGCGCCTTCATCCCCCACGAGGACCGCACCGTTTTTCTTTCACCATCTACATAGGACATCTCACGATATCTTGCGTACCTACGTCTACTCTTACCCACGCCCGCTTTGATGTAATGTCGATATGTTGTTTATCAGCGAGCATCTATTCCCATTTTATACATAGCCTTGCGAGCATGGAGAGCTTTTTCCCTACTCCTTATTTTCACAGCCGGACTGTTGAGTGTCCGCATTAGACATATATTTATCCCTGTCTCTCTACAAGAATAGAAAGACGTAATTATACGAACCAAACATACCTTTCACGCCCTGACATACCTACCTTGCTGTGCATTTAGCCACGGAACGTGACATTCACACCTTCCCCAGCAATTCACCAGACTGCCCTGATACGCCACGCACTTAAGCACGACCCCAGAGCGCATTGCGCCCGCCCATCACACTGAATAGGCGGCTCATCTCGCACTCAGCACACCGCATCCTTCCAGAACGGTTGCAGCCGTCCATGCATGCGTGCATGGGTCTACAGGCAGACGCACCACGCGAGTATCAGACCACTTTGTTTTCGGCATTTCTTCGCCGCTCAAACGCGTCCTGCTTATCACGGTACGGCACGAGGTGTCAGGATCCGGCGTGTCGAAACCGACTGCATGCACACATCATACAAGCGCTGCAATAGCCTCCTTCCGTCTGGCGGGAAGTATGAGTTTCAGGTTAGGGAGGGTGTGGTTTGGGCGGGAGCAAGGAGCTGGAGCTTGGTGAGAGGATACGGTGCACGGGGCATTGAGGGGAGGGCGCTGGGCTGGGCAGGTCGAAGCATCTGTCAGGATTGATGTAGGGCTTGGTGAGGCTTGGGGGTGTTTGAGGGTGGGTAGCATGGGGAACGGTTCGCGTTTCAGATGTACGGTGAGCCTGGGCAAGTGATGTCACGGTGCCGGAGCTGGCCGTGCGAAGCGAAAGCCAGAGAACATTTAGAATATTAGTGATGGTGAGCGCGCGGTAGGTGATTCCTTGGGTGTGGAGCCGTACTGTGTTGACACGCTCGCGATAGGTTGGGTTGTGGATCATGGCTACCCGCGAGACTGACGATTTTCCTTCTTAGTGTTGGCAATTACAGACGCCTCGAATATTCAAGTCTCAACTCTTCTCTGCTGTGCTGGTGTTTGCGCGACCGGTTCCGATGTTGCTGTTCCAATCAAGCTGTTGGTGGGTCGCGATTGTCCAATGGAATTTGGACGACCACAACATCAGATGGCAGGCGCGCACGACGCACTTGCCAACTATGCTCCCATTTCAAGCACTTCATCGTATACAAAGGTTAAAAGCATGTGTTTATCAGGCTGCTTTCAACAATGATCATACCATTGTCTACGATAGTTCTCGCGACCTCCTATCCATACCACCGCCACATCATACCCCAGATCCTGACTTGTGCCATTGACCAAAAGCTAAGCCTCTTCATCATCATCATCATCATCGTCGTCGTCGGCGGCAACAACGGGCACAGCCTCCTTGTCCTTGGGGTCTGTGGTCTTGACCTTGCGGTCCTTCTCGGCACCCGGAGCCTTCTTGACATCGGCATCTTCATTGCCATCGTCGTCGTTCTCAGGCTCAGGGACGGCCTCGTCGTCATCGTCGTCGTCTTCGGGTTCCTCTTCTTCGTCATCCTCGTCATCGTCTTTCTTGCGAGTCTGGCGCGCCTTCTTCTTCGGCGCTATCACATGGTGTCAGTGCAAGATAAGCACAGAGCATAGCACCCGGATCACTTACGGGGAGCCTCTTCGTCAGAAGCATCCTCGTCGTCAAAGGCGGAGCCATCCGACTCTTCATATCTACGGGCATCGAGGTCAGCCTTGCGCCGAGCAGCTGCATATCAAATGGCGCAAACGAGATGTGAGCGGAAACAATGAGACGAAACGGATCCCTGCAGTTCAGCGACCCAGTAGATGGGACTACACAAGAGGAGGCACACCTTTATCGAGCGTGGTTAGGACCCGCTCGGCTGACAGCCCGTTCGCAGACAGATGCGCCGCAACAACGAAGCTTGATGGACGGAAACAAAGACATCAATGCAAAAGCACGACAAAAGGCGACTGCAATGAACGCGTTTCCAGGCGTCTGCGATGGTGTGGTGCGATGGGATATGACGTCAAGAATGCGTTCACTTACTCCTCTTCCTCGTCAGACTCGTCACTAGGGAGAGCCTGGAGCTCTTCCTCCTCCTCGGCCTCTTGCTTTCTCTTGCGGGTGGACATTGTGCTAGGTGGGATGAATGGTTGATGGGATGGATTGGAGATGATGGGGTGAGGTTGGGCTAGAGGTGGACTTCGGGAGGAGGTGAGGTGGGGACCGGTTGAGCGACATCTGGGACCCAGCCACCTCGCAGGCCAGAGCAAGGGGACGCTCGCGAGCTAATTCGAGGTCATGCAGCCAGCCAATGGGCGTTGCGGAGAGGTGACGTTAGCCATCACCTGCATCTGGCGCAAGCTGCAGGAACAGGCGAAGGCCATGGAATGCGCGCGGGCACTCGTGCTGATGCGCTGAGCGAGAGTTTGATAGAGATCGGCTGGCTGGTTCTTCAGAGAGCACAGTTGGAAGCCATTGCGCCTCTAGCCGGCTCTCACGCTTTGCGCTATCTTAAAGACCAACACCCTTCCGAGCACGGTGCGCCAAAGCCCGCCTACGTTCTTGGGGCTGTTGGAGAGGCCGTCGCCGTCTCCCACAATTAGCGGCTCTCGCTTCGGCTCCCGCAGCGCCCCGCCAAAAGCGCGTGAAAGCTCCGCAAAGGCCGCCGTTCGCTGGTACCCCAACCGACTGTTCGTCGCCCGAGTCCAGAACTTCCGACACCAAAAACACCCTTTCCTATAGGTACCTACACACCACGTACACCCGCGTATGCGACTGCGGCCCCCAACACAATGCCAGGTCCCGTAGTGCCGGCACGGCGACGCGTGCGCCTTTCCAACTTCCAATCCAAACCGAGTCCGACGCCGCCACCTGTGCAGCCTGTGCAGCGTCCCAAACACACCTGTTGCGACAACCCCGAGATTGGCGAAGACGATGGAAGGACCGTCTGCTTCAACTGTGGTATGATCCATGACGAAAGCAATATCGTTTCTGAGATCACGTTCGGCGAGACCTCTGGCGGTCGGGCAATGGTCCATGGCGGCACCGTAGGAAACGACCAACGGCACGCGAACAGTATGGGCGGACAGGCTTCGGGTATCAACGGTGGAGACAGCGGGCAAACGACGGCCGACCGAGGCAAGAGCGCCATCAACAGCATTTGCTCCAAAATAAACGTTCCATCCGACGGAGTCATCGCCATTAACGCCAAAAAGTGGTATCAGCTCGCACTCAACCACAGCTTCGTCCAGGGTCGCGGCATATTCAAAGTAGCCGCAGCCGCGATTTATCTCGCCTCTCGGAGACACAAAGGAAGCACGGTGCTGCTTATGGATCTGGCCGAGAGCATCCAGGTCAACGTGTGGAACCTCGGAACGGTGTACAGGTCATTCTGCCAGGTCCTAATGGCGGACGACTCCTCGGGCATCAATGGAAACGACGTCCTTGAGATAGAGCCGCTCATGCTCAAGTTTTGCCAGAGGCTCGAATTCGACCAAGATTCGCACAGAGTGGCGGCCGATGCTTGCCTAATCTTGAAGCGCATGTCCAGAGACTGGATGGTACAAGGACGTAATCCTGCAGGCTTGTGTGGCGCGTGCATCATCCTCGCTGCGCGCATGAACAATTTCCGCCGCACCGTTCGAGAAGTCGTTTACGTCGTCAAAGTCGCCGATACAACCATCAACCAGCGCCTCTACGAGTACCGACGAACACAAAGTGCCCAGCTTACCGTGAAGCAGTTTCGAGAATTTGCACCACGGCTGAGGACCAAAATTGCCCCTCCCGCAGTCTACCTCCGTCAAGAGAGGGAAGAGAGGGCCGAGGCGCGAAAGCGAAAGGCGTCTGAACTTGTAGATGGGGAGACCGAGAACTTTGACGAACTGGACGATGCAGAAGAGGATCTTCCAGAGGGTGCAACACCGCCAGCACCGAGCAAACCTACCAAACGCCAGGCAGAGATCTTGAAGAAACGGAAAACCGACAGCGGAGGGCAATTGCCCACCCCAGCACAAACCCAGGAGTTGGATCAGGCGAACAGTCAAGGTTCTGAAGACATGGTCGTAGATGTCGACGCTTTGACTGCGATGGCAGAAGATGATATCGATGCGGGCCTGGATGCTCTAGCGAATGCTGAGGATGCTGCTGCCGCAGACGAAGAGGCTATTGTCGTCCCTAAGAAGCGCGGACGGCCACGCAAAAAACGTGCACCAGTCATAATTCCCGAGGAAGATCTCGAAGTGGAGCAGGAGCTCGAAGAAGAGATGCTAGAAGCCATGTCCAAGTGGGAAGGCATCTTCAAGGAGTTCAAAGAGAACGACAACCATGTTACCTTCATCGATAGTCTTGAGAAGGCACGCAGACTCGTCGAACTGCACAAGCCTGATCGTGACGTCAACAGCGAGGAAGAGATTGGCGAAGATGAATTCCAGGGCGACCCAGACGTGGACTTCTGCGAGCTCTCTTACGAGGAGTCTCAAGCCAAGGAGAGGATATGGCTGATCGAGAACGAGGACTGGCTGCGCCAACAACAAGAGAAGATTCTCCTCAAAGCCCTGGAAGAGGCAAGAGGCAACCCCAAGAAGCCAAAGCAGAAGCGGCGGAAGCAGCAGATGGGCGACGGCAGCATCCTCGAAGGCCAACCCGCTGCCAGCGCGGAAGAGGCTGCAAAGAAGATGCTGCAGAAGCGCGCCAAGCACTTCAGCAGCCACATCAACTATGACGTGTTCAAAGACCTTATGCCTACTGCGAGCGACGCTTCCTCGGGCACTGCAACACCCGCGGAGCAAGCTGCAACTCCTGTACCTGAGCAGCCCACATACCAAACTGTGCCGGTTGGTGATGGTGATGACGAAGAGGAAGAAGACCAGGACGTGGACGAGGACGAGGAGGAGATGGACCCCAACCTGCTTATGAGTGATGATGAGCAAGGCTTCGGCTCGGATGAGAATTACGGAGATTACTGAGAGGCTTGAGGCAATGCTTTCGGGCCTTCTCGACCTCGCAGAGTCTTGCGAGAGGTGGGAGGATGGTTCCATCTCCATGGTTTTCTTGGCGCGAGATCTGGGAACAGTACTGTGTATTGGTGCAAGTGGATGATGCTGACGGCATCCCCAGGCGTTGATTTGCATTATATACCCCGGCACATGTAGTGGAGTTCGGACCTGGTTTAGTGCCTTGCGTTTTTGCACCATGCGAAGTATTAAGCAACCCTCTCGTGTAGACAGACAGTTAGGATAGCTACGAATAACGATTTCAAGCAATATTTCCCCCTTCTCGGTGCACTGTGGCTGAACCCTAGGACTGAATTTCCAGTACACACCTAACCCTGTAGCATTCGCTCTACCATACGTCTTCACGACGCCCTGACCTGGATCGTGAGTGTTTACATGTACGGGCTAGCAGCGCAGTTCCCATGCCGCTTCGAGCTCAGTCCCAGCATACATCCAATTCAATTCCAAAGTGTTATTCACTTATAGACCGCCGCTCTGTTCGTAAGCAGCGTTTTCTGTGCGCATGCGTCATTTCTTAGCATGCACATATGCCCAATCATGTCGGCGCTCCATCCGAAATCCGCTTAGCCGCGCTCTTCCTGTCCTTTCCGCCCCTCCTTCTCTTCTATTTAAACCCTCCCACATCCACCCCACAACATCTTATCGCTGCCTCTCATCTCTCACACATCATCTGAAAACACTCTTCCACGCCTGTCGCTAGCTTTTCGCAAAGATTAAGAACAATTACTACCTTGCCCCTTTTTTGCTTACTTCAGCAACCCTATCTCCCCCTTACTACCACTGCCCCAATCACCATGTCGAACGTCACAATCCAACCGGGTGCCACCATCTTCGTGACAGGCGTGAACGGCCTCATCGGGAGCTACATCGTCGACGTGCTCCTCAAGAAAGGCTACAACGTCCGCGGCGCCGTGCGCGACGTCAAGAGAAGCAGCTGGCTTCTCGACCACTTCAATGGCAAGCAGGATACGAAGCTAGACCTAGTGAGCGTGCCCGACATGACAATTGAAGGCTGCTACGACGATTTTGTCAAGGGTACTTTCTCTCCCTCTTGCCTGGCCCCGGCTTCTAAGTAGTTTCGATTCTGATCCTCCAGGCACATCGGGCATCATCCACGTCGCGTCCCCCCTCAGCGGATCTAACCCAGAATCCACAATCCCCGTCGGCATCTCCGCCGCGCTGAACGCCCTCTCCGCCGCTGCCAAAACGCCCTCCATCACCCGTGTAGTCTACACCTCTTCCTCCATCGCGTCAACCATGCCCTGCTACTCCGCCGAAAAGACCCTCGATCAGTCCTCTTGGAATGAAGAGGGGATTCAAAAAGGCTGGCACCACCCTGCGGACGAGCCGGAGTCGCTGAAAGGCTTGTACATATACGCCGCGCTGAAAGCGTCCAGCGAGAAAGCTTGCTGGAAGTTCATGGACGACGAGAAGCCCGCATTTGTGCTGAATACCGTCTTGCCCAACTGCAACTTCAGCCGCGTGCTGGTCCCGGAGAAACAGGGTGCGCCCAGTACCATCGAGTGGGCGAGGTACGCGTGGACGGGTGAGAACTTCGAGGCGGTGAGCAAGATTATTACGCCCCGTATGTGTCCCTCCGCCCCACTTTTCCTTGTCTGGTCCCTTCTATCTCACAGGATGTGAGATAGATGTATGCGACGCACGCTAACGCTCCCGTCTGTCCAGAATTCTACATCTCCACGCAAGACTGCGCACTCCTGCACGTCGCAGCCCTGCTCAACCCCTCGATTGCATCTGAGCGCATCTTCGGCTTCGCGGAGCGCTGGGACTTCAACAAGTTGCTCGCTGTGTACCGTGCGCGGTATCCTGAGCGGATGTTCCCGAAAGACCTCGAGGGGCTGGTGGACGACAAGTCCGTGCCGCCGTCTGCACGCGCAGAGGAGATTCTGAAGGGGGTTAAGGAGGGTGGGGAGGGCTGGGATAAGCTGGAAGATAAAGCGGAGGAGATGGCGGTGCAGTTTGCGAGCGGGGAGCTGTGAGCTGGGTCCACAGGGGCTGACAAAGTATTGCAATTGCAAAGTACACTGAGTTTTGTAGTAACTTATACTACTATACCACTCCGAAAGTATGAGGTCGGCCGTCTAATCGTATCCTTCAATACTGTCCAAGCACTTAACCAGATCGGATCCGGGCTGCCATCGCGCGAACTCAAGCTGGTTGAGCTGGAATAATAGCTCGTTTCGAAAGCTCGAGATTTTATACCAAATCCCTTCCCCATTCAGTGTAATTTCCTGTCTTACCGCCGCTATAGACAAAGCGGCTCTCAACATGCCATTTCTGGACGCAGAACGCAAGAGTCATTATATAGATGGCGAGTTTCTACTTGTCTTAGTGCAAGCATGCTTGACCATTGCCGGACCTACCCCAGTCTTGGGGCTCATACCTGGTCCTAGACCGGAAGCGTCGAACAAATCGTCGAGGATGAACTTCTGCAACAGACTACGTTGAGGGCCGAGGTAGTCAGCGAGAGACCAGAGCTCAGCGCTACTGTGGTTAAAGAGGTGGTCTACGCTGTGGTATCTTCCCGTCCTCGCGAAGCGGATAAATATCTCAAATGTGCCCACATTGACGTCTTTGCTTCTTTCCGCGGATTGAGAACATATTGGGGGTCTTTGCACAGGCTGCGGAAGGCCTTGGAGTGGCGGAAGAGTTGCGATGGTTGCACAGTCCAGGAGTGCTTTTTGCGTGCCCTAGAGATTAAGACAATTGTGAAGTCGTAAACTTGGAGCCTTTAGACTTCCAGTGGCCAGCACATGGCTGTTCAAGTGTGCGGAAGTCCTCTTGAACCTATGTAGTCGGTTGAGTCTGTCTTTACTGCTCAAAACCCTCATCATTCCCAGTGGCCGAATTGTATATGAAGGCTTGTTTATGCCTATTAGTTGGCAAATTAGTCGTTGGGACTATAATAACCTCATTTGCTCGTTCACTGTCATCTGGGAAACGAGGGGTGAGAATCGGCAGCGGGTTGTCTGTCATGGCGGGGGCCACAGAGAGAGTTGTACCGTTGTTTAAATAGCTGAGCAAATACGTAGGGAAGTACAATTGAGTTTGTGGGTTGCACTGGTATTATTTGCTGTGAGAGGCATGCTTGGGAGTTGTTCTTCGTGTTGGCTAGAACCTCTGAAAAAAAAAATTTCCTGTCAGGTCGATAGAACTATGTGTCTGCTCGAAGACTAATCGAAAGGACCTTCTGCCTCGAATTTTTGGTATCAAGAGCTTCTCGTTAGCAATGAATCCGTCTCACGATTGACAGAAAGATGATGGATTTGACGTTGTGCTGTGTCATGAATCGGTCAGCTCAAACATCCGAATGGTAAAACGATATTGCGCATGGTCTGTTTCTGCAAACATTGGTATCGTCAAAATTGGCTCATCTTTTTGACGAGCGGGCTTCCGTTGCATGAACAGAACACAGAAGCGTGGCTTCCACCGAGATACCACCCCTTACGTAATTCCTTACTAACCACCCTTCCGTCTAAGCTCCGAAACTTTCTCGATGCCATCACCAGCACCATTACGCCCTCGCACCGTATCAGCAGATACCTCTCCACGACGCCCTTAAACCTCCACAATCAGGTCCGCATTGCCCTCCCCTGATCCCCAACCTCCACCCGCTGACAGGCGCACAGCACCAACCATGGCCCCCAAAGCAGTCAACGGCCGCAGAGGCGCCGAGCCCAACTTCGCCGTCAGCGCGTACCAGACCATTATGAGCCAGGATAACAGGAGCGTCGTTACCGCCATTGGCATGTTCGCTGTAAGATGATCCGGGCGACTGAAGGAGGAAGAGGATTGGCATGGGTCAGGGATAGGGAGGCAATAGGCTAACGCACATGCAGATCGGCGTAACGTTTTTGCACAGCAGCTGGGCGGAGATTTTGCTGCCTGCGTAGGCGTTGAGGAAAATATGAGGGCAGTGAGCAAAGACACGCGTGGACCGGATTGCGACGAAGTGATGGAGATCGAGAGCAATCCGCGACGAGGAAGCGGCGGCAGGGTGACCAGGCGTGTGCATCGGATACGGCGTTTGGGACCGTGTATAACACGACTGAGGGAATCAACATAATGCGCTGGTCCCGGGTGACTGCTTGTACAATACGTGTATTACCAGGAATATGAGCAGTGCGGAGCTGCACGGTTCATGGCTGAGCTAGTGTTCTGTTGCTTGTATGCAATGCCGTCTCCGCGTCGTTGCGGTGTCGTCGCGACCTTTGAGTATCCCCCGGCTGGCGTCACATATATCTGAAATCAGAGCATCAAAGTCGCGGATTCACAATCATCCAGGCCCGCCAATTATATGGTAAACTACTCTCTCATATCATTGCATATCAGCTAAATCTACCCCTGGGTATATAACGTTTACTACTCTCATTGCGCAGCCAGCCCCTCCCCTTGCGCGACAACTCTCTTCTCAAGCCATAGGATTCAAACAATATACGAGAAACGGAGCAAACGACCGAAATATGCCTGGCGTATGGTACAAGATCGTAAAGTCGTGACAAGAACATGGTCGACTCTATAGCTTGGACTTGGGCTTGCGGGCGACGGTGCAGTAGATGAGGCCGTTAGGGTCGGACTGGGGCGCGAAGACGGTGGCGTCTTTGCCCGTATTCTTGAGGCCCTTGTACCAGCTTAGGTCTATCGGATTTGTTAGCACAATGTTCGTGTAGAGGAAGGGATAAAACGTACCAATTTCGAAATAATGCTTGTTTGGCAGCACGTAGTCGACTTCCTCAACGAGCGGTACGTCAGCAAGGATCTGCTCGCCCATCTTGTACATGGTGGCTTGCACGCTCGCGCTGTTGTCCTCGGCGAAAATCTTGAGTGTGATTTCCCTGGCGCGCTGCCACGCGCCATTGAAGTCCACCTTTTTCACCTCAGCGACGTCCTTGAATGTCTTCCACTTCCAGCCGGCCTCAACCTCGGTGCTAAGGATGCGGTCCCAAGTCTCCGGCAGCCGCGTGAACTCGTCGCGGTGGAAGCCATAGAAGGCAGACCCGGTGCTCTTGAGCACGAGCAGCTTCTCGATCTTGGACTTGATCTCCACACCCTGGTTCTCGCGGGTGACGGACTCAACAACGCGGACCTCCTCGCCATCGCGGAAGAACGAGTGTGGGTGCGGCTTGCCGTCGATGGTCATGCGCGTCCAGCGGTGCTGGATGATCTTGACATGTGCGGCGTGGATGTGCGGGTAGGTCTTGACAAAGTGGTCGCCGAGAATCGCGGCGAATTGCTCAGGCGGGTCGATGGCATGCTGCTTGGCCTTGATGTAGATGGTTTGCTTCTGGGTATCCGTGGCAACGACGGGACCGTTGTCGGCTTCGGTGTAGCTGTCGAGGTTAGGCGCATGCAGTTTGAGGGTGAGAAACGAACTTACGCAGTTTCAATGTCGCCCTCGAGAAGAGTGCAGACGGTCTGCTCAATGACGGTGTGCACGCCCGTCTTCTCATTCTTGTCTACCTTGTACAGGCGGACGTTGTCCTTGCCGTACTTGGCGTAGCTGAGCTGAGGCATGCTGATGGTTTGGGGGAATATAGATGGCAACACTGTGTGAAGAGTAAAGGGAAGTCAACGTTCCACGAGGGCGACACAGGAGGAGTGAAGGTGGAGGTGAAGCTTGGTCAGTGGTGAGGGGAGATATGCTACGCGGGAGCTATGCAGTAGATATACTTCAAAAAAGAACGGCTTATCTCCACAGGTTGCCGAGCGGATTTCGCCGAAGCGGACACGGCAGCGAGCGGCAGTGTGGCAGAATATGCAATGCACAATTGGATCGCGTGAGACGTTTGGAAATGCAGAAAACAGCGGCCGTTGCTCCCCAACGCTTGGAGGAGGCCGGCGAGGTCCGACGATGGAGCAGGGCTAGCTCCGAGGAGAAGGACTCCTATTGGCTGGCAGAACTGATCACGTGACCTCAATCTGGCGAGCTCGACCGGCAGCGGGGCTCAGCGATGGAGGTGCGCGATGGATAGACGGGCAGCAATTGAGCGTGTCTGGTGCACAAGGGAGCTGTGGAAGCGGTCGCGTAACAAGCTGCTGCGGATACCGAGATGCTGCAGCAGCACTCGCCGCGGCGGGTCTGGCCTGACATGGCATTCTGGAGCCGCAGTAGCAGCACGGGCCGGTTAACGTTGGCACTGGCGTTCCAGATGGTAGACTATGCAACGTCCCTGAACGCCTGGGAATCCTGTGCAGGCCGCGACTCACCACCACAATCATTGCATCTCCACGGCCGGACTGTCTCTATCCGCTCTGACTTTGACGCCACACGCTCTACGCGACCGCGCCCCGTCCCACTGGCGACGCGACCCCGCTCGACCAGCCTTCACCGTTCCCCGCCGTTTGATGTCTGCGCGCAACAGCTCATGAGGAAAGAGGAGGCGCCCGTTTGTACATCGACATGCGACGCGGTTGGGAGGCGTATGGTTAAGGCCCGCTCATGACGCCACCCGTGCGCTCCGTCAACGCTCCGGCCGAAGGCGACCAGGGCCCTCTGCTTGCGCCCGCGCGCAGTAGAGATGGGCGTTCGCTGCCCGCCCCCGCCAGCAGCATCATGGCCGGCTCGCGGTCCCAGGCTTCCTACGCGACCGCGCGAGAAGCACCCGGGAGCTTCAGCTCGCAGCTGCGGCCCGCGACATCGCACGACGGCCGACTGAAGCCCGACTTCGATACGCACGCCATTATCGTGGGCGACAACAATGACACCACCACCGAACAGCGCCAGGCTGAGTTCCAAGACCAGATCGAGAAGGAGACCAAGATCAAGATCGGCTCCGAGAACCTGCTCGAGGCCTTGAACGCGAAAAATGCGAAAAACACCAGAGACCAGAGGTTGCAGGTCGAGGAGCAGCTCAACATCTCAAACAGGAAGCTCGCGCAGCTGAAGTCTGGACTGGCGGCCGAAATACAAAGAGCGAAGGAGATCAAGTCGCCGCCCGCCGAGGCCCAGAGCAGGCTCTCCTACCTGTTTCGTCGCAACTTATCCCGGTCGCCTTCGCGTCACATCGCAAAGCAAGAGGATGACGAAGATGATGAGACCGAGTCGCCTACCTTTGTGCTCGCAGAGATACTCCGGGCATTGGAGGTTGTTGGGATGCAGCCCGAGTACTACGTGGAAAGGGCAAATTCTCTCGTAGACTTGTTCAAAAGGCATTCCACACTCAAGTACGAATTGGCATGGTCGATCTTCGGCCTGAGGATGCAGACTATGTTGCTCAGTGACAGCCGCGAAGTGGTCGCCGCTGCTTATCGAATCATGCGCTATACCTTCACTGATCGCAAATCGCTGCAGATAATCCGAGCCCTCCACACCGACTACCTCGTCATTTTGTCCCTGGTCAAAGAAAGTAAGGCCAGTGTGGAACGAGAACAAGCGCTCAAATTCGTTCGTGCCTTCCTGGACGTCAAAGGTGGCGTCGAGGAGATATCACGTTCTGTCGTTCGCATTATCGTTGCTGTAGCCGAGCACACCGACGATCGACTGAGAAACATCGCGATCCTTACCTTGGCTGAGATTCTTGTGAAGAAACCAGCTCTCCTGGTGGAGTCTGGTGGAATGGGGACGTTGACGGATGCGCTTGGAGAAGGGAATTACTACGCCGCAGAGAGTGTGGGGAGTGCTTTTGTTTATCTCTTGGATACACCTCAAAGGCGGCGCTTCCTTCGATCTGGATATGAGCTCGAGGCACCTTTTGCCATGTTCACGGATGCTGGGACTGCGCATAGCCACTTGCACGAGGAAAAGCTCAAAGCAAATGCCAAGGTCATTGCATCGCTGCTGCGAAGCTGGTCTGGATTTCTATCGCTCTGCATGAACGACTTTCTAGCCATCCGATCACTACTTATATCGCTCGAGATCCCGACACCCCATGTGCGCAACGTCTTATTGGAACTGTTGTTCGACATCCTCAGAATTAAGCCTCCTTCGTGGTCCACGTCCTTCCTTGCTGGTCGTCGATTGACCACTTACGGGCGTGTAACGAACTTGAGAAACCAAGCGATCCAGGACGACTCGGGCCCCAGCACGGACCCTACGAACAAGTGGAATTTATTAGAGCACTATGTCGCAATGGTTTTGGCTGCATTTCTCCACGCTGGTTTGGTCCCGGCACTTCTCAAAGCTGAAGAAGATCCTTTGAGTCTTCCTCTTAAACGAAAGACCACGCTCCTTCTTGGCGAGGTGCTCAAGATGGCAAACGAGCTTTTGCCGCCATCTTGGAGTTCAGAGCTGCAAGTGCTTCCGCAGCTACTCCGATCTGCCGCAAAGTTCGACACCGAGGCGCGCTTTGTCGCGATTGGCACCATCTACCAAGTGGACAGCGTCAATAGGACTTTATATCGGTCAGGGACTGTGTCGAATCAGCCCAGTAAAGGCACCACAGCAGTTGACAGTGCTGCTTCTGCAAGACAAACCGATCAGTCCAAGGCTCAAGCTGCCATGCAGATGGATGAGACAACTTTCCGGGCTATGATGGTGGACACACAAGTTCTAGGCACTGTCACATTCCAGAAGTGGAGGTGGGACCTAATTCAAAACATTATCGACGGCCCGCTCCTCAACGCTAAGCGCTTAGACGAAGCTACGAAGGTGACGAAGTTTGTCCATCGCTTGCTTGGCTTCTATCGTCCATTCAAATACCGGTTCTCTGAAGTCAAGAACACAAAACCGAACCAGCGATATGTCCGTGCCGGGTGTGCCCTGATGCGAACACTGTTGCAAAATCCCGATGGCGTGCGATATTTGAGTGACAGCAAATTCATTCGGCAACTCGCGGAATGTCTATCTCATTTTGATAGGATGAGCGGACTGACATCTGAATCGCCCATGTTCCAGGAAGACAGGATGAATGAAACCCTCACTGGCGGCTACTTCGCACTGCTTGGTGCACTAACAAAAGATCCCAAGGGTATCCAGATTCTGGAACGCTGGAGAGTTCTGAACATGTTCTACCACATCATAGAACTGAATGACCGTGACGATCTCATCAAAACCTTACTGAGCAACATGGACTACACTCTGGACGGACATCTACGCATCATCATATCCAAAGCCATGACGTCCGGTTCCAAGGAGGTCCGTATCTTCGCGACTCGACTCCTACGAAAGTACGCCACGCGACCCATGCAGCCGACGGATTCCTCGAGTGTCGCGGAGTGGGCCATCAAATCGCTGGTCACGCAGCTGTACGACCCTGATGTTGAAGTATGCGAGGTTGCCATCAAGATTCTAGAAGAAGCATGCAACCAAACAGAGTCGCTGGAATACGTTGTAAAGTGTCGTCCAGCGTTAGATCACCTGGGTGAAATCGGCGCGCCGCTATTGCTTCGTTTCCTCTCCACGTCGGTAGGGTACCACTATCTGGACGGCTTGAACTACATCACCGGGGAGATGGACGACTGGTTTCTAGGGAGGAATGACACCTACGTGGCATTGATCGAGGCATCCATGGCGCGGGCGCTTGCTGACATTCCCGAAAAGCCCCAGACACAGCTGTCCTACGATGACACCCCTGAACACCAGGAGTATGGCATCGTGCCGCCCCACTTTTACCGCGAACTTACCCGGACTAAAGAAGGGTGTAAGCTACTGAAACAGAAAGGCCACTTTGACGAGTTCGTCGCCAACATACGTGACTTTGCAATGGAAAAGGACGATGCCGAAATGATACTGAAAGTCAAAGGCTGCTTATGGGCTGTCGGGAATGTTGGCTCAATGGAGCTCGGCGCACCGTTTCTTGAGAGCTCAGATGTCGTCAAGTGGATTGTGAAGATAGCAGAGATGTCCGAAGTCATGTCGCTCAGAGGTACAGCTTTCTACGTGCTCGGACTGATTTCCAGAAGCCTGCACGGGCAAGAAATCCTGCTGGAATATGGCTGGGATGGTGTCGTCAATGAGGCCGGCGAGGCCCTGGGGTTCTGTCTGCCCCTGGATTTTAAGAAGATGTTCTTGGTATGTCCACTACCATGTGCTCCGTCCATGAAAGCCGCTTACATGAATAGATGACGCCATGGAAAGCCAAATCGGACTACATGAGCTGGAAGCGCAAGGCGGATGTAAAGGTTGCTGTGTCTGACAGCGATCCTCTGAATGCACGCATCCTGAAGCTTGTGACCGACCTTGGTAATACAGTGCTAGCCAAGAAGGCAGCAAACGACCTTCAAGCGTACGTAATCAGGCAAGCTGGCAGTTGGGGTGACACGCTGACAAGATTACAGGATCAAGGCAAAAAGAGCACCTGGCTTCACGAAGCCGGCAATCTTTCACAAGGTCATGCAAATTCTTGAAGCACACCACTTCCGTCTCCCGGCATGCCGATTTGTTTTAGATCTGTTCGACAAATCTGTACTTCCTCAGATAGTGCTGGAAGAGGAAGACCAAAGCGATGAGAGCACCGACTCGGATTCGGCTTCAGAAGCCGCTGGCGCGAACGGGGTCACCCAGATTCCATGAAGTGGTGATACCAAGAGAGTAAGTACGACCACAGCTATGTGTTCGGCAGGAAGGGTGGGGGCTTGGCGGCGTTCAGGACTGTAACAAGCGTGTTCTTTGTACACTATTTTTCGCTAGGGTTCAGCGTTCCGAGGCGATCAACGGGGATGTTTCGCGTATGGAGTTTAGGTGGCTCCGCTGTTAGTATGGGCGGCATCAAGGGGCCAACGCTTTGGGGCATCATTTAGCGACAAGAAGTATTATCGCGACGAGCGGAATCGAACCACTGGGCCGCACGCCCTATCTTCAGTCCGGTCTTCGTGCAGTACAGATCAGGAGACGACCAGGCCTGCCAAGGACTGGTCCGCGGCGTTCCAGAGCAGCGCACACGACCTGACCGCACCAAAGCAGTAAGGTAGTTACCGGCGGGGCCAGTGGTGCTGTCAGGGTCTGGCGGAAAGACGGAGGCTCCAGTGCCACATGTGCTTTGACGGGCAGCTTGTACCAGAGGCCAGGGCGGAGCGGTGATTGGGCAACATGTCCTTTGACTCGACCACATCGATGACGCCTGCACAGCTGCATGCGCATCTTCAACGCGTACACAGCATCAGCGGAGCGTAGGAATGGTGGCCGCATGGCCGCATGAGACGCGACGACGCTGGCTGCGAGCGAGCCTATGTGCTGCCATGGCTGCGACGGCTGGTGGAGCGGGTTTGCTCGTGAAATGGCACTGCTTGGCAGTCCTGGTGGTGCGATCAGATGCATGACGACCACGAGAATGGCCCTGCGAGCTGGAATTCGGCCCAGCGCCACCAAACGGCGGCCCGCGGCAGTCGGGGATGCCGGCGCAGCGCAGAAGCGACCAGAAGCACGCAGAGGCACACGAGGTTTTCTTGATGTTGCTCGAGGGCCGTGCAGATTTTGATAGACGAGCAGCCGGCATGGGGCTAGCGGTGGTCGATGTAGGCCCACAGCTCGATAGGCGCTGAGAGGATAGAGGCGCGATGATCGGAACCAGGGTCCTGTGCCCTCCAGGTCAACATGGCGCACGACGACATCGCCGATCCCAGCCCGGCGACGTATCATGCATTCTGCCTCGTGCGGGATCATGGCCAGTCCATGCCCGCTGATGTCGATGACCCCTTCGACTCCCCGAGCGGAGCGCGGTGATACTTACGCTCCTTGACCCGCCTTTTGCTTTCAGCTGCGATACCTACCGCCCTGCGGAATTCATATACCGTCTTCACCTCGACTTCGTCCCTCGAATCGAGCTGTCGGGCCATCCCTGCGTCTGCTGCTGACGAAGCCTGGTCTGCGACGCTCACCACCACCACGTTTCCGCACCGTCACCGACCTTCAGACTACACCGAGTTGAGCTTTCAGGCTCCTCTGTCTCCCGACGAACCGCCTTCCTCGTCCGCTCGTTGCGCCCGCCCACATCTCGAAGCCCCTCGGATTACCCCGCGAACCGCGCCTTCCTGCCCACGCACACGATCAGCAGTTGCAATCGCGGATTGCACATGCAAACGGAAAGAGCTGACGTGCCGTGAAACCAACTGTATGAATTCACAACGTCGAAAAGAACTCTTCCTCGCCCGCGACGGAGATCAGACCCTCCAGCCACAACTACCCTCAAAAGCCTTGATGGTAGAGAATGTGGTGCCGCAGGAGTACTCGGAGAAGGCTGCTGTAGCGGCGCACGCTGATGCGCGAGAGCTCGTCCGCCTGGTCCAATGCCCACAGTGTTCGAAGCCCTACAGCGCTCCCGTGACGCTGCCATGCGGTCATACCGTCTGCCGCGGCTGCCTTCCTAACCCTGTCGCCCGCACAAATATCTCCTATCCGAACACGCCCGACCGACTCCTCGGCATATCCTGTCCGGTATCATCGTGCGAGGCCGAGCACGCCGCCGCCGAGTGCAGCGTAGATGTGACTCTGACAAAGATCATGGAGTTGATCAAGACTGAGGTCGCCAAGCATCTGCCACTGGTGGAACACATGTCTATACGTCTGCAAGAGGTGTTGAAATGGGATGATGCCCTATCAATGGAACAGGAGGAAAAGATGGAAGCAAAGGGAAGTTCGAGAGTGCTTCAAGGCGGCCAGCTGCTCTCCACTTTCATCATGGCTGAGATGGGTGATCTGCGCTATAGCTCCGAGGTTGAATACGAAACGCTGTCAGATACCCACGAATACCAGGACTTCAACAATGCATTGCTGGAGCGCCTGCGAGACGCCACGCAGAAAGAGCTTGATTGCCTTGTATGTTATAACATGATGCTGGACCCGACGACAACCTCGTGTGGTCACACCTTCTGCCGCCGCTGCCTCGTCCGTGTCATGGACCACAGCAGCATATGTCCTGTGTGCCGACGGGGTTTGCACATTCCTGCTTCGTTGCAGAACAAGCCCAGCAATGTTCTGCTCAATGCCCTTCTGAATACTCTCTGTTCGGATCTCGTCGAGGCCCGGACCAAGGCCGTCGAAGCGGAAGAGCAGAGCGCTGACGATGACCTCAATACTCCGCTTTTTGTGTGTACATTGTCTCTTCCGACGATGCCTACATTTCTCCACGTTTTCGAACCTCGGTATCGCTTGATGATGAGACGTTGTGCAGAAGGCAATAGACAATTTGGCATGGTCATGTACAATCGCAACTCTGCGCCACAAGGTGACCTAGGGCCTACACAATTTCTGGAGTATGGTACTCTTCTTGAAATTATCAATATTGAGGTCATGCGCGACGGACGGAGCTTCGTAGAAACACGGGGTGTCGGTCGCTTCAGGATCCGCAGGCACGGTCTGCTTGACGGATACCACATCGCTCGAGTCGAACGAGTAGAGGATCTCTCTCTGGCCGAAGAAGGTATCCTGGAGCAAAGTGAGACTACTGTTGCAAAGGATTTTGCAGCACGTCTTCAGCAGGAATATCCGCAAATGCCCCTCCCTTTGGACATCGCCGTGAACCAGCTCTCTACACAAGAGCTGCTGGATAATTGCATGGCCTTTGTTCGCCAGATGCGAGACGCCAGTGCCCCCTGGCTGAGCACACGCATTGTTCAAGTATACGGCGAACCACCCGAAGATCCGGCTCTTTTCCCCTATTGGTTCGCATCAGTCGTTCCCATTGCTGAGGAGGAAAAATATACATTGTTACGAACAACGCGTGTCCGCGAACGTCTAAAGATAGTGTTTTCGTGGATCAGGAGGATACGGGGTCAGAGATGGTACGTACTGCCCCCAAAAAAGTCAACAACAGTCGGCTTTAGAGACGCATGACTGCGTCATCAAGAGCCGCAAGAGGAAAAGACAGGGCGGCTAGGTGACACTGTATGCGTTGTACAAGGCTTGCAGCGCCAACATTCTGCAGACTGAAGCCACTGCCAGATATCTCGCACTAGCCGCCTAGGTTAGCCTCAACCGACCAGTCTACCCCGTGTCTTTACAAAACCATTGGACTAACGAGATCTCACCCCAGGCCATCCGGCAGCGCATGCAATATTCTCTGACTATTTATCCTCACCGTTGCGATTGCGTACCTCACGGATTCGTACCGCAACTCATAGAATGCTGTAGCTTTGCTGCACATTCCAGCTACCATTCCTTGTCGGCCATAAATCGATTTACCAATCCACGCCACCGCGCCAGCGAGCAGATGCATCTGGGGGAGTTCTTCTATGCCTACAATTTTTGTTGACACCTGCCGGTGTGCCCAGCATTTTCGGCATTGCGACTTCCATCTCGTTTTGATTCTGATTTTTTACATTTGCGGATTCGGAAAGGAAAAGACCATATGATTACCCCCTCTCAGGAGGACGAACGCTGCCAGGCGTGTCCATGTTATTTGCGCGATCCAGTTGCTAGACTGGCGCTTTGCCTTGATGAAGAATAGCGGTAAGGGTGTGGGAAGAGACCTCATTCAACTGTGCCTGGAATTTGCATGGGTGGAGTTGTTGGGGCTTGCATGCTGCGTTGACTGCAGAAATTTACGTAGCATAGAATTAGAGAGCTTGCTCTAATTCAGTTGACAATGGAAGAAGATTCGGTCAGGGTTGGCCGCACATGCTATATCGTAACGTCAAATTGTTTCCTGATATGACTTGCAGAATGTTTGGACGTGAAAGCGTCACTGGCATGGAGTTGCCTTGCCCAGAAACAGTATGGCTGGTTGCTCAGCACCCTCGGCTCGTTTTGACAATCACAATGGATGGGTCTCCTCTCCTCACGCCTGCACGCAATGGAAACCCTAAGACCCTGGTCTGGTTTTTTGCGATAATTTTAGGCAATGCCCATCACTGCTTGCGCCCAAGACTGCCTAGTGGCCTCTACCACAGCCCCTGGCGATGTCGCAATCGCGGCGATCAACACCACGAAACTCATGTCCCGAGATCCACATACCCCTCTTCCACCTGCCTTCTCAACCCAATCCCGTGATCATTGAAACCGCACATGATTCACAAGAACCGAGATATTACATCCACATCCCAGCCCGAGCAATGTCCCAAATCCACCCCCAAGCCACCCACGGCTTTCATGCCGCCACCTCCTACGACACCCACCGTCCAACATACCCCCCGCCCGCCATATCCGCCCTCCTCTCCAACATCCGCGTCGCCGGCGTTCCTGGCGCACGCCTCGTCGAGCTGGGCGCTGGCACCGGCAAGCTCACAAGCTTGCTTGCGGCAAGGGAAGAGCGGTTTGAGATTGTGGCTGGAGAGCCGCACGGGGAGATGAGAGGGGTATTAGAGGGGAAGGAGTTAGCGGGTGTGAGGGTGGTAGGGGATCGGGGGGAAGAGTTGGCGAGTGTGGAGGGCGGGTGGGCGGATGGGGTAGTTGTTGCGCAGGTTAGTGACGCTTGGTGAGGACAGGGGTTGAGAAAGGTGCTGATGCGCGTAGGCGTTTCATTGGTATGTTTTGGATGATGTGTTGTGTTTGGGTTGAGTTAAGTTGATCTGGGTAGGTTTGCGAAGATTGAGACGCTCAAAGAGATGAAAAGGGTCTTGAAGCCGAGTGGTGGGGGCTTGGGTATGGTTTGGAACGTGGATGATTGTGCGTTAGGACGCCCCTAATATACTTGCGCTGCGAGAAGAGGTGATGCTGATTGACGTAGTCAACGCGCCCATCGACCACACGCCATCCACACCCTACGAAGCGCGCCTCAAAGTTATCATTCGGAGTTTGCCGAACCCTATCAACTTGTACCGTGAGCTCAAGTGGAAGGACGTGCTTCGGCCGGAGCAGCAGCAGCTTTTTGAGTGGCCAATCAAAGAGGAGGAATTAGCGTATAACACTCGACTTTCTAGGGAGCATATCTGGGATCGATTTGCTACGATGTCGCAAATTTCAAGCTTAAAGGGTGGGGAACTACAGGTAAGAGATGGCTCTAGTAGATCAGGCTGTGCTGACTATGACAGGCAATGAAAGATCGTGTACTCGAGGCGTTGACGGGCGACGATGTGGATGAGGATGAAGAAGGGAACATAGGATGGCACGGTAGAGTATGTGCTGACTCGGAGCAAACATCCACTCTGATTCTTACTGCATCTACTAACTGTTGCAGACTGTGTGGTACTGGACGTTCCCCATCTCCGATCGGTGAGGTGGCTGGAGGTGTTGGGTTGGCGGTCATTGCGCTGTACGACCTCGAATGCGATAGAGTGTCCTGTAAACACTCAGGTGGAACTAGGTGCTGTGCTATTTCTGTACGTGTGCCTAAATACTAACCCAAAACATGAGTCATGGGCTACGTTCTCCAAGCAGTCTGGTCTTACAAGGTGTTGTGGTCTCCTTCCTAATACGAGCTCCTAGCGATGCAGTCAGCATTAAAGTCGAAAACGGGAATACAGGACCCTGTCACTACAACAGCGTTCAATATGAGCACTTGGATATAAGTATCGATTTATAGGCTTATCGGAGGCACAACAAACATTTTGCAGCATTTCGTGTAATTGTACAGCTCACATTAAGCTTTAAACAAAACAAGGATGCTGGGATCGATCATCAATCAAGACCAACACACCGCCACCAACAATGGATGTACCCGTCAACGTGTTATTCATTATGAGACGGTCCACAAACATGGACTTTAAAGAAGCCCAATACTATGCCAATGTGACGCACCGCGATCAGATTTCCTACATTCCCACGTCTATCGCATATATTATACACAACACAACAGAGCACCATCATTATGTACGCTACAGCGCAATTCTTCGCTGGCACCAAAGATGGCAAGAAGCCAGCCTTCCTAAACTATGCCACCGGAGAATCAAACCTGCTCCCCGCCGTAAAGAAAAAGATTCATCTCAACGACATCCGCACACTCACCATTCAACCCACTCTCCAATCACATGGTTTCCAAAGAACCGACTTTTCATCCTCCATACAAGAATCAACCTTCCTCAAGTCATCTCCAGCAGGCCCCTCATCAAGCGACGCAACATCCATTTATTACCACGAATGCGAATCCCTCATTCGTAGCCTTACTGGTGCCACAACCGTCCACGCCTTCCACCACCGCTACCGCCAGCAAAAAAGCTCGCCCACGGCAGACACTGAGAAGGTTAAAATATACACCACAACCCCCGTTCCAGACATCCACATCGACAACGACGCCTCGACCGCCCACGCACATCTCTCGCGCCTCCTCCCAGAGGCAGAAGTAGCCCGCTGGACCGCCCCCGGCCGCCACTGGGCCATTGTCAACGTCTGGCGTCCCCTCGCGCCCGTCCACCAAATGCCACTCGCGCTGCTCGATCCGAGCTCGACTCCGATCCATATGACGGGGCTTGCGGAGCCGGTCTACACGAGGGGGAATTATAAGACACATATTAGGGGGCTGAAGTGGCATCCTGAGTATAAATTTTACTATGCGAGTGCAATGGGTGAGGGGGAGGCGTTGTTGTTTGTAGACTTTGATAGTAGGAGGAGGTGGAGGTTAGGTGGAGTGGCGCATGGAGCGGTGCAGCTGGAAGGAGGGTCGGAGGGGAGAGTGTGTGTGCCGTTAAGGAGAAGCGTGGAGGTCAGGTGCTTGGCCTTGTATGATTAGATGGCTGGAAGATGTTTCTGTGCGCAGGCGAAGGTGTGGAATAGTGATAATTTTTTTTTAAAGAATATGGACTCGCACTTGTTTATACTCATAGAACTGAGTACTTCATGCATAGCTCCATCTACAGTATCCTGTAAGTCTGGAATAACGATTGAGTGGCAGGAAAACAAGAAAGATACGAGCGCATTAGAGCCTGTACGTTTACAACATGTGGCAGAAATGAAGGCCTATAGAAACCCACATAATGTAGCATGGCAGCAACATATAAAGAGTGAGCACTTCCGGATTTGACCCGTAGCTTCCCACACTGCCAACACCATCCGACTAGCCGAACTGTAGAAACTTTGGGGCGTCCCCCGGATTCGGTAACTTGTAAAGCCACACACTGTGATGACTCTGGTAGAATTCGGCTCGGATGACATATTCCGCGGCTGCTGGCTTCAGGTGGCTGGGGGACCATTGTGTTGCATAGGCGTCTCGAGCACGGGACCACACTCTCTGGAACATTTGATCGGTCTCGGCAAGAAGAGAACGTATGTTAGCTCCAAACATGTGGGTGCTATACATATGAGCGCCAGTGGGGTGGACAATGCATGGAAATGAAGATCAAAGTATAAGACAGACAAAGAAAAACATAGAAGATTGTATGTTACGGTTTGGTAATACAACACATTGCGCAGGAATAATCAACCTCGGAGAGTCAGGAAGATTCGTATGTAATAAACATTGTAACGTGTATATTTCTCGTGTATACTACCTTTGCCATTAGTACATCCTAGGAGATAAAATTTGGAGAAAGAATTAGGTCTGCATTGAATTCCCCCAAAACGTACGAAAAGACTTCTTTGTTCTAACCAATAAGATCTTTGAGGCTGTTAGAAACCCCTCGTTACAAAGAACACAGCTGGACCTCACGTACACGGCTTAAGCCTGCTCGTTCGCCGTACGATGTAACTGCTAATCTCCCTCATAACCGAATGGTGATCTTATTTGTTTAATGTTACTGGGATTCGTGCCCCAACGCCAAGAGAGACCTTAACCAGCACATAAAGAATACCCATAGGTCTACATTCCACTTTCTCCTAGCCATTTGCTGCCAATCGCCAAGAAATTACCTAGCCAAAAAAGTGCGCTCTCGTTGACTCGATCTTGCCTCGATCCGCATCCCGAAGCCAGCAAAGAGCTCAGAGAGCCCAATAAGATATCTCTGTGATTCCATTCCCGCTTGATTCTAGCCATTCGCCTCAAACTGCCAAGTTACCTCCTAAAGAAGAAAAAAGAAAAGCTTCCATTCGCACAAATTCGCTCCAATCTAGATAACGATCGGCCTAGAGACGAAAAAATAATCGTCTCGACACCTATGGGACTCGAACCCACAATCTTTGCCACGTTCCAAACGAGTAGCCGGAAAGCAACGCCTTACCATTAGGCCAAGGTGCCATTTATTTATATGAATTTTCGGAACAATATAATATATAATGGCTGAAATATAACTAAGAAGGGTCATTCGGGGGATTTCGGCTAAACAGCCAATGTGCGGGGTCAAGCAAATTTGCTACGCGCGACTAGTGCTGTAGAGAATCTCAACATGCGGCAATCACTCCGCAGAACCTAGTGGGGACTTGTCCAAATGTTTGAACACCAAGACCGGAACTTACATTATTTGGACGCCTGCATAAGGGCTTGCGCCATTTCAGATTGCCTGAAAGTCTTTCATACCTCAGTGGCCCCATAACCTTGCCCGTTGGGGCATGGGAAATTCTCTTTTCGTATTGCCTGGGCTCAGACTCAAGATACCACAGGGACTTTAGTCTACTCTAGAAAATCGGGGTGTGCTGTTCTACAAGACGTGAGCCGAGTACTTCTCGCCTCGTATGAAACCGAGTCAAGGTACCCAAGTAGACCTTTCATAGCACACCGAATCAGGAGGTCTCTTTCCTCAGAATCAGACAGGGTCTTTTCGCATTGCATTAATCGACTTCAACCCCCAAGGGTATGTAAAAGAATCAAGCGGATCCATGTATGTGTTATCTGGCTCAATGCCTTCGGGTTATCGCAAGCTTGCACGCGTTAAATTTATGGACCAGCATGCGTACTATACAGTTGACAACCATTAGAAGAATAGTAGGTCGTAGATTTGTGCTGGAAGCAGTGCACTTGGACGGCCGTCAAAATCCGATGCATGCGTTTTTGTGTAGGCGGACTTCTGGTAGCTTGAGTTACGTCTAGATCGGGCGCGATTGCATCGCATGGGAATTGTCACAATAACGTTACGTTGGCTCTGCCGTACCAGTACTGGCCCGGAAAAGTTCTCCATCAGAGGTATCATCAGACGATGTGTAACAGTCCCTGTTGAAGGCAGTAACGAAAGGGTCATCGTATGCGTGAGTGCCGACGCAGAGCCAGCGCAAGTGTTTCTGATACGTAAAGACCTCCTCAACACACATGAAAAGGGAGCGTCCACCACTGAATCAATATTCAAGATCACAATGAAGAAACGTCAGGTTCTGAAGAACAATGACAGGTCAGTTGCAGAGGCTTGGGCTGAGCATCAACGAGGAGGAAGAAGAGTACTTCAATACTTTGCACTACTGCACCAGGTCCAAGAATTGCTATCCGACTAGAAACCCTGGGGTCTTATTTGAGGTTCTCTTTAAACCAAAGGAAGCAGAGGCCGGTCTCTGGGAGCGAGGGCTTGTTAGCTTGGACGAGCGACCAGGGACTCAATGATGAGGTTTGTGTGAGCATTTGAACTCTGGACCTTGTTGCCTAAATCGATTCTTGTTCAAGGGTACATATCCCTGCCTCAATAGTCTCTATCGTCTACCACACATACTAAAGTGCTCTTTGACGCTTTCGTAACAAACCACAAAAACAGGAATAACAACGTATGGATCAAAGCATATGGTATCATCCCCAGCATCTTATCCCATCCCATCCCATCCCCTCTCGCCTCATCCCGTCTCATCCCCGAATCTCAAGAGCGGGTGTTCCGCACCTACCTAATCGCCGGCGCGCCGATTGTCAGCTCGCCCATCGAGTTCTTCCTCAAGTTCACCTTCGCGTCCTCGCGCTCGAGATTCACCTCCTTGGTGCATATCCACGTGCTGGCGTACATGTTCACCCTGCGTTCGTTAGCCTCATACCCTCTTTCCTCTAGTATCCGGCAGGGGGACAACGTAAACTCACCGATCAATACATGCCCCCGGCACCCTAACCGCAACCCTCTTACAGCTAAACCCACACTCCTCAAACGACCTCAAATACCACGGCTCTAGCCCCGCACTTCTTAACATAACGCGACCCTTGATCTTCAACGCGCGGTTCAGCGCGCGGATCTGCTTCCCCGCCTGCGTCCCTGTCGGCGGGAACCAATCCATGCTGTCCATGACGACAACGATGGTGAGCGTGCCGGGCCGCATGCGTGCAATCACCTCTGATATCTCGTCGGTGTGGATGCGCAGGCCGTTGAAAGCGGCGGGGCGGGAGAGTTTGACGTGCGATTTTGGTGAGAGGTAGGTCGGGTGGGAGGACGGCGTGTAGTGGCCGAGGAGGGTGAGAAGGTAGTAGTGGTTGGAAGTGCTCAGCAGGGTGGTGGTGACTACGGGCTCAAATGTGTTCAGTACGTATTCGTAGATGGCGTTGCCGCTATTTGTGCGCTCAGCTGTGGCGGTATCGAATTCGGCGCCCTTCTTGGAGTCGGCTTCGATGACGGCGCGCTGGGCGGGGGGCACGCCGAGGGCTTTCCAGAGCCACTTTTCGTTGGAAAAAACGGTCCAGGTGAGGAGCTTGCTGTGAATGAGGCCCTTCAGACTGCGGTTCCAGATTTCGCGCTGCTCGTTGAGGGTCTGGGCAGCGCAGAGCTTCTGCACGTCGGTGGTGAGGCCGAGGAGGCGGAAGAGCCAGCCGCAGAGGGCGATGGCGTTGCCGGAGCCGCCAGAGTAGTAGAGACCTTTGCTGGAGTCACTAGAGAAGACACTCGGTCCATTCTTGAGCCAGTACTGAAAAGCAGTGGAGCTCATATGCGGGCTAAGCTTCTTGATGAGAAGATCCCGGAAGTCCGGGTGCTTGCCCTCGCCGAAGAGCTTCCAGACATCGGGGTAGGGAAGCGCGGTGAAGGCAGCGACCTTGAGCTCGAGGAGGTGGTTTTGCGAGGGGTTCAGGTCGACGGCGTGGACCCGGCGGGGGGCCTCGAGGCAGAAAGATAGGATGTTATCGCCGGCAGAGGTAATCGCAAGGACGACATCGTCGGGGGTCACTTTGAGCAGGCGGGCGTCAGCGCGGTCATCTTCCCAGGTGAATGCATAGATGTACGAGTCGTTAAATCTGGTGTGCTTGGGTAGGCTCTCGTCGTAGTGTATTCGCCAGTGGTGGTTCTGGTACCTGCTTGCTGTCAGCATGGTAGGAGACTTCATGGAGCATGCTTACCAAGTAGCAGGGAGAGGAAGGCTAGACTGCAGATTCACAATGGCTGATTCGTAGGCCTTGGATCGGACTTCGACATCCGCAGGTGCGGGCCCAGTTCGAAGATCAAGAGCGGACAGGTAGGGTGATTCGGTCGCAGCAGCATCAATTTCAGCGAGCTTCGTGGTTGAGGCACCGCTGTCTTTCGAGCAACCGACCCAGATATAGTATGGCATTCGGACGCCAAAGAAATGGTTGCGAGCGTTGACGCTGAGGACGGTGCCGAAACGGTATTCGAGGTAGTCCTGACAACATTTAGTCTCGACGTCAACGTATAAGCTGTATGATGGTACCCACACGACGAGCAGCCTCAAGATTGACACGGTCGATCTCGAACCACGTCCGCCAGAAGACCCTAGAAATCCACATGCAGTGCCTGTTGATAGCTCCGCCAGTGTAATTCCTTCTGTTGAACTCCACTCTGCTCTGCACATAAAAGTCGACAACACCAACAATGCCGTTCGTGCTCAACAACGAAGAGATCGAGTCAATGACCGGGTAGAATTCTGGAATCATGGAGAGGGCGTAGCTCATGGTCACGAGCTCAGCACCACCAGCATCAGCGTTCTCATCGAGGTCTCGCATGATCTGGCCTTGTGAGATCATCGCCTTGCGCTGATAGGCTTGCGGCTCGTGCTCATGGAGGCGGAAGGTGCGGGCGTCCTGGCAGATGACTTTGACGTTCTTCCATCCAAGGCGGGTGAAGCGCTTGCGTGCCATGTCGCAGAGGCTGGGGGATAGGTCGACGACGTCTGGGAGCATCAGCATGGACTTCCCAACGGGGAAGATACCGTACAAACTGAGCGGAAGAATTCAGGGACAGATACGAATTTCCCCATCTGTTCGACACTATACAAGATCAGTTCGGTCCCGTTAGCCAGCGGCCTTCGTCTGCTCACTTGTGACCGGTCCCGCCGCCGATCTGTAGTGGTCAGTGCTGTAGGGGAACCGCCGGCGATGTACTCACGTCTACCCATACTGGTCTCTGAGAGATCAGTCCAGCTTCACAACGGTGCTTCAACTGCGCTGCCACCAAACCTAGCATATCCTCGCGACCTCTAAGTAATCGCGTACGCGTAGCATCGTAAACGTCCGCCTGGGCCTTGTAGAAGCTTTCCTACTTCGATTTAGCCATGATCATGCTCAGAAACCCGTCAACCTACCAAGGCATCCTGCTGGTCTCCGTTCTTATCTCCAGTATGCGGCTTCAAGAAGCACGCATACGCAAACTTTAAATATGCCTGGAAGGCACTCGCCTCGCCCTTGGGCTTGAACGCAATGGCAAAGGTAGCGAGCACAAAGACGCTCAGCACACCCACAGCCAGGACGACCAAGTTGAAGGGGTCCCTCGGGAGCAATGTTGAAAGGCCGAGCATAGCTGCGGCTACAAAAGTTCAGACGGAACCAGGAGAGCGCACGAGAAATCGAGGGACGCGTAGCCAGAGAAGAGACGAAAGTGACACGCGGATGCATTTGTTATATGGGAGGATGCCCACCAGTTCCGACCAGCGTTCCGACTTCGGTTCGTCATGCTGCCCCGCCACCTGATGCTGGGCCCCGCGCATACGGTAGACAAGTGATCTCGCTCGTCGAGGCGGTGTCTCAGCCAATTGAACGAGGCACATGCGGCGCTGGCCCGAACGCAGAGTTGCTGGATGCGAAATGGAGCGTTTCCAGCTCGCTTTCAGCGGCTATGCAGGGCCCAAGGGACCGAGAGTCTCTCCAGACGCCATTGTTGCGAGACAACGAAGCGGGCGCTTGGGCCTATCACGGGGCATTGCTTTTCCTCGTGGTAGGCTGAGGCTGGTGTTGAGGTCCTGGGGATGCGTTCGGGACATGTTCGTTGTTTAGACTGCAGCCAATCAGCAGCGCCACGAGCGAGGCGTGCAACAACGCAGGGTCTACATCTGATAATGAGCGGGTCGTGACCTGCATTAAGCCTTACAACCAGACCGTGGGAGTCGCACAGCCTGGTGCGCTGATCGCTCCGAGCCTCCAACAGCAGGCCAAGATCGGCCAGTGGACGTGTCGTAAGGCCATTAGGTACTGTGTGCATGCAGGAACACCTCTCACAAAACCCCACCAATGTGCACCGTCAGAAGCGATGCTAGACGTGGTCGTGATTGATTTCTACCTAATATTACAGGGCGGCCGCATACGCATGGAGCCCGCACTTGCAACGAGCTATCTATCCACCCAGCCCCACTACGCGTAGAAATTGACCGTGTCCTTCTTCTTGGCCTGGAGACGGTTAGCCATGGTGTCGAGTGCGGGGCTGGCGTGGGAGTGGTTCGGCTTACCTGTACTTCTGATATGGCGTCGACGTAATGCTCGTGGCTGATCTTCTGCTGTCCTAATCGGAGCGCAATCATGCCTGCCTCGACGCACACGGCCTTGAGCTGCGCACCACCGAACTCATCGGTACTGCGGGCCAGCTCAGGCCAATTGACGGCATCATCCACCGTCATTTTCCGCGAGTGAATGCGCAGAATCTGGGCTCGCGCCTCCTCGTTGGGGAGGGGGAACTCGATCTTCCTGTCCAGACGACCTGATCGGAGCAAGGCAGGATCAAGGACGTCGACACGGTTTGTGGCCGCGAGCACCTTCACACGGTCGTCGGATGCGAAACCGTCAAGCTGGTTCAGCAGCTCCAACATGGTTCGCTGCACTTCACGGTCTCCAGACTTCTCGGAATCGAAACGCTTCGTGCCGACAGCATCCAGCTCGTCGATGAAGATAATCGAGGGTGCTTTCTCCTTTGCAAGCGCAAAACAGTCGCGGACCAGCTTCGCACCGTCCCCTATGAACATCTGCACGAGTTGAGGACCGGCGAGCTTGAGGAAGGTGGCATCTGTCTGCGCAGCGCAAGCACGGGCGAGAAGGGTCTTGCCGGTACCGGGAGGTCCGTACATGAGCGCACCTGTAGAATGTCAGTGTGGTGCTCTCGTATGGTGGAGTGGGAATGCGTACCTTTGGGTGCCTTGATACCGATCTTTTTGAACCGCTCAGCCTCCTTCATCGGCCACACGACAGCCTCCACGAGCTCCTCAATCTGCTTGTCTAGACCACCAACGTCTGTGTACTTCTCCGTAGGCTTCTCGTCGACCTCCATAGCCTTCACTCTGCTGTCATACTCAGCGGGAAGCGTGTCCAGAACGAGGTATGAGTCCTTGTTCACACCAATCAGGTCACCTGGCTTGAGCTTCTCATGGTCGACGAGGCCGATGAGCGGGAGGAAGATGGTTTGCCGTGTCGATGTCTTGATGACGGCCGACTTGCCAACGCGGGTGGCGTCCAGGTCGATGTTTGCACCCTCCTCTGCCGCCTCCTCCGAGACATCGAGATCTAATATCTCGACGACGTTTCCGACGAGGTATGGAAGTTGTCTGCAATTAGTCAGCCATGTAAAACGCGGTAGAACCGTGTGCAAACGGCAAAGCCCATGGTGGCCGGTCGGCGTACCTGTTGTTCTCGATCTTCTCTAGGTTGTCCTTGATCTTCTCGTTCATGGACGCCTTCTCGTGGGACAACCGCTGGAACTCGCTCTTCATTATCCGCATATCGTTCTCCAGCAGCCGCTTCCGCGCGACAATGTCTCGTGTGGCCAGGTTGAGGATCTCGTCGTCCAGCACCTCCTCTTCCGGCTCCGCGTCTTTCATGTCGGCGTCGCCATCGGCCTTCTTGCCATCCTTGCCGTCGTCGCCGTCCTTCTTCTCGTCTTTCTTCTCCTCCTTCTGCTCGCGCTCGAGGTCATCGAGGTCCTCCAGTGTTGACATGGTGGCGGGGTGCGGCGGAGATTGATGCGGGGTGGAAGATAGTCGGAATACAGCAGTAGATATATGGAGGTGCTACAGGGAGCGTGGCGGGGGATGAGTCGCCGGTGCGGGGTGTAAAGGCGGTGTTGATGTTGAGCTCGGAGGCAGCTGCTGTATTACGAAGTGAAGCTGCCGGGATTCTTAGTAACGACCGGTCTTGGCAGTGATTGCCTCCGACCACAACAGCCAATGAGCATCAATCACCGCCGAACAGCGATTGTACTGTAGGTACAGGCGGCCGGAGGTTTCCCCTCGGGCGACGACTGTCGAGAGGTTCATGCCGGCTCTCAATTGTCAACTCACAAGATGAAGGTAACGATCTATCTCAGACGAGAAACATGACCGAAGCCTGTAGCAGCACAACAGACTGAACCCCCCAATATTACTCAATCACGACCAAATCCTGAGTTAAAAAGTCTTTCCGAGACATTGTTCTGTGGTATTTGTAGACAGCTTCGTACACCTAGGCCCAATAGTGGAGATCAACATGTCATTGCGAAATTTGGAATAGACCATTCCGAGATTCTCCAAGATAAGTTCTCAAACCCACCGCGTTCTCCATTACAAGACCACATACAATAATGTGACATGACGAATTGAATTCTCTTTTCCGTCTACCCCGAGTTAAATATATAGAACCACTTGCACGTGCCCCTAAAAATACGCGTACAATCAAGTCCAGCCATGCATCATGCATTTTCATCCTAGACACCTTCTTTCTGGCCTCCCAACCCGTCCATTTCATCCCTAGAGCGAGCAAGTGTCGCCAATGCATAGAAACGACAACAAGTCTATTGTTTTACAAAGATGGTTGTCCAAGGTTCATCCAAGCCGTAGTATCCTCGGCCGTAGTATCCTCGAACGTGAATAAAAGTGGGCGGAGAAAGAAGCGGGCCTTATTTCGCGGCGCCGGGGTAGCGCGTCTTGCCGACAGTGAAGGGAACGTAGCGGTACTTGATCATGTGCTGGATTTGCCGGCGCACTGTTGGAGTTAGCTAGAATGCTCATTTCAATCATGCGATGGGTACATACTGGTCAAGCCAAACAGGATCAGCCAGTAGACCACGAGAACCGGCCAGAATACAGGCAGGTTGAAGACCTCGAACCAACTGCACAGGAAGCCAATGGAGATAGCCTTGGTGGTCGAGTACCAGAACTTGAACTCTGGCAGGCGGCGCACGAATGGCCGGAACTCATCGTCCGCCTTGGTAGGCAGACCTCCTGCGTTGCCGTCCTCCATGCCCTCATCCTGCTCCAGCGAAGGGTCGAACTTGGGCGAAATGAAAGCAAGGAAGAGATTTAGAAGGTAAATGCCGAGTGAATATGCGACTAGCCAATGTTAGCCTCAGACCCCATCATGGCTTTTGCATTCTGCATCCACGTAACCAAGCTACGTGTACGGAAGACCTAAGATGGATGCGCCTACCGATGTACCACCCCTCCGCAATGAAAATTCGTAATGCGAAGAGCACAAACAGGACACCGGTACCGACCCATCGGTATGTGGTGAAGGGTGTCGATTTATCAAGGTAGGCTTGGAATATCTGCCGCGTGTCAATAATCAGGTCTCCGCATCTCTCTCGCAGAAGCAGCGCATTGCAACCAAATGAGTCTGGCAATAGGCAACAGCAATAGGCTGCAAGGACCACTTCCAGCGAGACGGCAGTTCACGCACCCTTCCGTACTTTGTCGTCTGCGCCGTGACAGCCGAGAAAGGGGTATCAGGCTCGGGGGCGTCCATGGTGGCGGCACGGTGATGCGAGTGCAGCAGCGAACAGATGCGCGGGGAATCGCAAAGGGTGGCCGAGGAGAGAACGGCGTGCTGTTTTTAAGGCGTTGGGGGCAAGTGTTGAAGTGTTGCGTGTCGCCAGGCTGCGGTTGCCTCTGCGAAAGATTCCAGCCCTACCAGGGTTAGGAACGTGGCCCGTGCCAAGGGGAGGTGCGCCTGGGCGCTTTCCCATCTTCGTCTGGCGGTTCGCGCCGGGAATACATTCCAGGCGAGCCGAGGTCAACCGCTATGTCATTGTAGCTCCACTCCAGATGTAGCTTCGATACATTCACTCCTTCTTGCTAGATTTTCTGCGCTTCAATTGAGCGACGAAAACCACACATCTACAATGCAGGCATTAAGGTCATCCATTAGGGCAGCCACCCGTGCACCTGCATGTGGCTTCCAGTTCGCTCGCAACTACTCCGCCGGAAAGACATACGAGCATATTCTCGTCTCGTCACCAAAACCCGGTGTAGGCTTCAGTGAGTACCCTCCTCGATCACCTTTCAGAGCCAATCTACCTCGATATCTTCTCCTCTTTCGTCTGCCTCTCAAAAGTCCCGGACTCTTCGCCCGAATGTCCAACCTTCGGTCACTAACTGCTCACAGTCCAACTGAACCGCCCAAAAGCCCTCAACGCCCTCTGCACACCGCTCATCCTCGAGCTCAATGCCGCTCTCCGTGACTATCAAGCCGACAAGTCCATCGGCGCCATCGTCCTTACTGGCTCAGACCGTGCCTTCGCCGCTGGCGCCGATATCAAAGAAATGAAGGACCTCACCTTTAGCACCTCCTACGGGAACGACTTCATCGAGAACTGGTCCGAGCTCGTCACCTTCCTCAAGAAACCCCTCATCGCGGCAGTCAACGGCTACGCCCTCGGCGGTGGCTGCGAGCTCGCTATGATGACCGACATCATCTACGCCGGTCCTAAGGCTACCTTCGGACAACCTGAGATAAAACTCGGCACCATCCCCGGCGGTGGAGGTAGCCAGCGCCTCACCCGCGCCATCGGGAAGTCACGCGCTATGGAGATCATCCTCACAGGGGACAACATCAGCGCAAAGCAGGCCGGCGAGTGGGGTCTTGCGGCACGTGTGTTCGATACGCCTGAGGAGACAATTGAGGCAGCCCTCACGACTGCGGAGAAAATCGCGAGTTACAGCCAGATTGCAGTCAAGGCGTGCAAGGAGGTTGTGAACAAGAGTCAGGAGCTCGGCGTGCGGGACGGCGTGGAGTTTGAGCGGCGGATATTCCACGGGCTGTTTGGAAGCAAGGACCAGACGATTGGGATGACGGCATTTGCAGAGAAGAAGAAGCCCGAGTGGATAAACGAGTAGTGCGGTTACGTGAAGAGACGGGACAGTGGAAAAGTTGAAGTTGAAATTATCGGTACTTGCTCATGAAATTATGTAGGAGGCCGTATAAACCCGCAAATCCCACTACATATCTAGTATACACCAGCCTTCGACTTTTCCCAGCCAGAGAGGCATTATGCGCAGGCGCAGGCCACCATCCAGACCACACACCGGGTATCCAATCCAATCTATGTACGAGAAACAAAACGCTAAATGACAGATACTTCCTCTCTCTGTTCCTCTCCACAACCTCTACCGCGGCGACGCAATCCCAAGCCCTCCCAAACTAACCCTATACGTCGTATCCGCGGTCCCAGGCCTCTCCCCAGTCCCCTCTCCTGCCCTTGATGACTGCGGCACCTTGGGGCTCTGCCTCGGACTCGCAAACGGCTGCGGACTCACCATGGGACTCTCCAACTCCGCAGGCGCGCGCATGGGATGCGCGCCTTCCGCGGGCAACTCAGAGTACCGTTGAGTACCCCCAGCCGTGAAGTCGGCCGGGAGTTCTTGCGGCTCGCTACTCTGCGCGACAGGTGCATACTGGTGTTGTCCAAACGCCGCGAACGGTGGAGGTTTAGGGCTATTATACAGTGGCGGTGCTAGGGAGGCGTTAGATATGCCGAGAGCGTGGTCGTGAGGTCCACGAGGGGGGTGCATGTGCGCGGACGCGGGCGTCGCGGGGGAGAGAGTGGAAGTGGTGTTCGTACCTTCGTCGTAGGCAGAGTGGCGGTACTCTGTTTTCTCTCCTTGGCCGGGGAACGCGGCGCGCGATGAGGACGACGCGGGTCGCGCGTCAATCTTTGCGTTCCGGCGCTTCTTAAAGAGGCAGAAGACAAGGAGCGCGATGATGGCCACGACAGCGACGCCGCCTACTACGGCGCCTACGATGACGCCTGTGTGCGACGACCCGCCCGAGGAGTTGTCTAATCCAGTCTTTCCATCAATGCTGTATGCTTGCTGTAGACTTGCGGTATCGAGTACAGCCGCGGTGAGGTCGTTCTGCGGACAGCTCTTGTTGTCTGGCTCGCCCTGGTGGTTGCACGCGTTTGTCTTGCAGCAACCCCAGAAAGTGGTATCGTTTTTTGGAATGTTGACGCACGAGTAAAAGGTAGACGCGGAGCCACAGGAGGGGTCGGGCAGGGTGCCGTACGCGGAGGCATTGAAGGAGACGGGCGCGAGGTTGCCGAGTGCGCAGCCGCTGATGGAGCAGGGGTCAGTCTTGCAGCAGCCCACGAAGGGTGAGCGGTTTGAAGATGTGGCCTCGCAGGCATACCATTTTGCGCCGTCCTTGCAGGTTGGCTCGAAGAGGTCGAGGGCTTTGTTCGACATGGCGGCGGCGCGTCGAGCGGTGGTCTTGCTGCTAACGCGCTGATATATCTCTTTCTGATTGCGCGTGCAACTAGAGTCGACGTGGCTGGGGTAACTTGAAGCTGTTAAGACGACGTCAGAACAAGCCACGACCTGGTGAACGTGAAATTGGCAATTCTGTCCCGAGTCCTCGCCACCAAGTATTAGTACCGGTACGTTTCAGATAGTGAAGGCGATAGACATTAAGGTAGTTGAAATAGGGAATCTCAAAGGAAACAGGACAAAGGAGCGGGCGCGCGATAACACCTTGAAGGAGTGCAATCGCCTCTCAGCAGTCGAGGACAGCGCCCATTATGAGGCACAGTCGACGCCCTGATCCTTGTTACCAAGACAAAGGCAATCTGACCCGCACGATATGTAGCTCAGCTGCCGAGCACCTGCAGTGAAAGGGCCCATGATGGCGCACATAGTGCCATATCATTGGCCTGAGGCACGCACCAAGCCAGGAGTTTGGTGGCTTGTGCGGTAAAGGATGGACTTGTTGGAATGAGCTACCGAATGCGGTAAGATGTCGAGGCTGAATGTCCTTAGAGAAGCGTGGGTGCAGGGGTTTGGATGAGGCGCAGCCAACGTTGCACCGAGTGGAATCGAGGTGCAAGTAAGCAGAACTCTGACGAGCGCTGTGTGCCTCGCTGTTTGTTGCAAGTTTGAGCGTCGCAGTCCTCATGAACAATTACCCACTTGATTCTCCTCGATCTCTTTGGAACTGCAAGCGGACCACCGCGACTATCGAGGGAATTCATGCTGCAACGAAAGAGCGGGCTGAATTTGTTCGGTCATCTAGTCAGCAAATGAATGCCCAGGTTTCTAATTTCAGCAACATGATCGGACCTGAGCTGTGCGCAGCTGCATGGGGGCCGTTAACAAGCGAAGCGCAAATGAACCCAATTCGCGGCACCAAATTCTCTGCATTGCCCTCGTCACTTGACTGCCGGATTTGAAGAACAGAACTCGGTATTGTAACGCGATAGCAATGATAACTACAAGCTGGCACACCATTTGTTGTATGAGTCCAGGACGCATGGAGAGCTCGGTGGGCACATGAAGCCAGAAAATGTTAGGTATTGTCGCGTAGCCCCAGAACAGCCAATTGCCATAGAGATTTGGATGTGTATTCGACATCCGATTACTACAGGACAACTTGGCCCAAAATATCATAAGCTTTCAGCTTCAGGGCAGGTGTGGCCGTCTGTAGCTTGCTCGGGTACAGACTGGTATTTGTAAAGGATAGTGAGCGGCTGTGCTGTATATAAGTAAGACACCTCCGTAGAAAGGTCCCCTTCGATATGCAGACAGTGTCACGAATCCTCGTACTTGTTGAACGCGACGGGGAGGATTCGGAAGCGACATCTGGACGACAACTGACTAGTTTCGGGGTCGCAAGGCCGCTGGGATGCGGCGGACCAAAAGCTAAAAAGGCTAAATCGCAACGGAAGGAACGATGTATCACAGAAGCTCACCCTGGAATGTGCACATGTGAGTGTCCCACGATCGCGCTCGAGCGTGTGATGGACTACCCGCTTATCAGATCCCGTTAGCGTCATCAGATGACACATCCCTGTCACTGACGCACGTGGAGCACCTCATCAAGTACCTCCCGCGCCTGTCAAAGTTCAGAAGCTCGCTCCAAAGCTCGCGCCACGCTGCACATGTGCTGTTGGACCAGCATCACCTTCCATGGCAGAAGACCTAACAGCATGGCTTCGAGAAGCTCTGCAGTCGTCGCTAAACGAGCCTACCTTCACTATCAGTGCTGCAGGCGGAAATAACGCGAGTAACCCCGACCTCCCAGATGACCCGGGTAAAGCACCGCAGTTTCGGAAGCTCGCCGAAGCAGTTCTGCGCGGGAGACAGGTAGTGAGTACGTACAACCTCGCGTTAATTGCTGTGTTGCTGGGTCTCACTGTATGGCACTGGGGCGAGAAGGTTGCGCTGCGCAAGAGAAGGAGAGGGACCCGGAGGAGCAAGAAGATGGATGAGGCCGTTGAAAGAGCTTGGTCCAGCTCGAGCAGTACTATCGAGGGCACTGCGACGCCGCCGGATGCTTTGAGTAAGAAGGTGGACGAGACATCTCCCCTGCTTTCCACAGGATCAGCCCAACAAGTGCCACCAGGATTGTGGAAGCCGTACTATCTCGTGAAAGCATTTATGCAATACCAGCTGCGTCCCATACCCATCATCAACAGAGCGATGCCTACGAACGCGGTTTCGCTCTTTGTTGTCGCATATATCGCGCTCAACTTAACTTACAACTTTTACGACATGACCTACGAGCCGATGTATATCTTCTCTTTTGCGGACCGATGCGGACTCATCTTCGCCGCCAACCTCCCACTGCTATATCTCCTGGCTGCGAAGAACCAACCATTGAGACTTCTGACGGGTTACTCGTACGAAAGTTTGAATATCTTCCACAGAAGAGTAGGAGAATTGCTGTGCTTTGAAGCGTTTTTGCATTTTGCTGGTAAGAGTCCTAGATATTTCCCCGAACAAGTCCCGTTTATAAAGCGTACTGACCTCGTTCATTGATCAGGCATGTTCATCGTATGGTACGCCGCCCTCCGCAAGCTAGGCTTCACCCTCGCTCGCTTCATTATGAATAGACTCGTCATCCTAGGCCTGCTCGCCTTCTTGTCCTACCAGATTCTCTACTTCACCTCCCTTGGCACATTTCGCAAGCGTATGTACGAGGTCTTCCTAGCACTGCATATTTTCTTCCAGATTGCAGGGCTAGCCTTCCTCTGGTTTCACTACCACACCTCAAGGCCATATGTCGGAGCTTCCCTCGCAATATTCGTTGTGGACCGCCTCATTTTCAGACTCTGGCTGAAAACGAGTACGCACCCTGCGATGTTGACCGTGCTGGATGATAACGAGACCGTGCTCGTGTCTGCGAACTGGGACACTTCAGCGCGGAAATCAGCCCTCGTGCCAAAAACCATGAGCAATGGGTGGAATCCAAATGACCACGTCTTTCTCACCATACCGTCGCTGTCGCGGAGGCACGCACTCCAAGCGCACCCTTTCACCATCTTCTCCGCCGCACCGACTCTCCATACCGACGGCGACGGAAACGCCTCGCACGCGTGGTTCACTCTCCTCATCCGTGCCCAGGCAAACGATGGCTTCACGCACCACCTGATGACATACGCCCGCACACACAGCAGCACTAACATCCGCCTCGATGGTCCCTACGGCTCCGCACACGCGCTCGACGTGCTGCGCGCGTCGGACACTGCGGTCGTGATAGCAGGAGGGTCTGGCATCGCAGTCGCGTATCCTCTGCTCTACGCGTTGTTAAGTCCTACCTCGATCTCCTTCGATATCGAGAACGCGGCCAATACAAGGATTGTCAAGCTCTTTTGGGTCACGCATGAAGCCTCGCACCGCTCGTGGATTCCAGACGATAAGTGGGCGGAACTCATAACCTGGGGTCTGGAAGCGCATGTGCCAGCCGCGACAGCGGAAGCTGGACGCCCGGACGTACCCGCCGCACTTCAAGGGATGGTAAATGGTGGGCAGACGGGCGTCGTCGTCAGCGGCCCAGACGGCCTGGTCCGAGATGTGCGAAACACATGTGCGCGCCTCCTCTCGACGGGTGCGAATGTTAAGCTGCAAGTCGAAAAGTTCGGATGGTAGTGTGCAGTATCAGGTCAGAAGGTCTGGCACATCATGGCTCCTCGTGTACTTACATAGGGTACTCGAACTTCCATCGAGGCATTGCACGTTCGGCCTAGAGGGCGTTTTATGAAGCGTGTTCGTAGTAGCCACGTGGGCTAAAGCGGCTTTGCATAGGGCGATGCGCGGGTTGGGTTGGACTACAGTTTGCACGGCAGCAGAGACACGACAGTGATGCAAGATCTAAACCTGGAGAGATAAGCGTAACGTCGCACGGCATGATGGTCGCATAAAGGGGTCGCATTCCATCCAAGATGTACATGCACTTCCTCTTGAATAAAGCTGATAGAATAGAACAGCCTGTCCAGCTCCAAAGTATTCCACCATCAGCCCCTTCGCAGTCCATTCACTTGAGCACGCAAACACAATATAGAAAGACTTATTTGATGTCAGTTCATGTCAGTTCACGTCGTACACGCTCAATACACTTTCATTTTACATTCCATCACCCTCACTGCTTTCCCTAGCCCTCGGGAACATTCTTCTTGATGCCCACGGCCTCACCACCTGCGCGTGTCGTATCCTGCACCATGCCGCCGGCAGCCTTGGTCGTGTCCCCCAGACCACCCGTAACACCCGTCACGGTGTCGCCCACGCCCTTGCCGAGCCCAGACACGGTGTTGCCGACAAGGTTGGTGGCGCCGCCAATGCCCTTCCCGACAGTATCGGTGGCGGAGCCGAGGGTGTTGCCTGCGGGCGTTAGTTGTACTACACGAAGGAGATGTGGTAGTAGAAGGTAGATGGAAGAAGGGGGTGGCCATGGTCAAGCAAGTTGGAGAAGCAACAAAAAGGGAGCGTACTCATTCCGCCCGTGACAGATCCCCAGACACCTATCCATGGTCAGCATCATCCAACGCACTGCCTCACTATGGCAAACATACCCTTGGACTGCTTCTGCGCCTCGTTCTGATCGGTCATCTTGGCTTGAGCTTCTTATTCTTTCTTTTCTGCTTCGTCCCTGTGATACTTCTGCTTCGTTCGACGATGTAAGATGACTTGTGGATAGGAAGTACTGCAGTGCGTATGTAGTAAGTCAGATCTGCTGGCGCGCTTCCTCGCCCGTTATATGTTCGCGCCCCTCCGACCCTGATGACGTAGCGCGTGCGTTCCCCCCTCTTCGAAGCCTCTCCACACGCGCGCACGCACCGGGTGCCATCTTCCCCTCTCGAACGCTCTTCCGACGAACGCTAGGCGCCTAAGACGCCGATGGCGACACACTTGCCATCATATTACACAGGTATGAGCCGTTCATGTTGGAGGGCTCTTTCGGCGACTGGGCCCGATGACAGTGGCTGACCCAAACAATGGGAATAGAGGCGCACAGCATATCTTATCTAAACTCACTCTAGTGTACGTTCGTAAAATTACAATGTAATAAGTCAGCGTATCTGCTCACAATTGGGTCGTAAGGTTTTATATTTATTGTGAAGTTCTGGTCAGATGCACACATACTTCACGGATCGCGAGGAAACCTATTGAAATAGTATTTTAGATTCGAACCAAATATGAACACTAAAAAGTCCATACCATAATCATGCCGAAGCAAACGATGCATCCTTCGTCTCCCCACTTTCGAATGTGTAAGATCCGCAAGATGGTGGCTGGTTCATCGATGAACAGATGCGTCATTACCTCTGAGGATATCGCCCTCCAAAGCAAACGTGAAGCTCCACCTCTAATACTCGCTGGGAAATAGAGCAATGGCGCAAATAAGAAAAGAGAGACTGAGAACAAGATGAAGCGGCAGAAAAACTGCCTATACAACCGCCATGACGCTCCTGCGAGCAAGCGGAAAAGACGAGGAATCGTGCGAAGTGTCGGGAGACGCTTCGCCCGGCAGGGGACGACAGCGGTAATGACTCCACAAGTCTCCAGGATCCATTGACCGGAACGCCGTTCGTGAAAACCCCCCAAAACCGGAAGTCGTGTTGCAAACATATGCTAGGTAGAACTCAGAATCTTGTTCCTCACCTAGTTCTTTTGAATGCCGACCCAACAACTTGAAAACTTTTGTATCCTTCATGATGCCGAAGTGGAAACCCCGCAAATGCAGAACAATGCGCGCAGAAGATGCCCCGTCTATGCAACACAAGATTAAATTATCGCGTGCGACGACGTCTAAGGGTATAGGTGTGATCGCACGCGGTCGAAGAACGGCCGAAGGTCACCATAGGTGTGAGACTATTCGGATGGCTTGGCGTCGGTGGCAGAAGCACCAGGCGCTGCCTTCGACGGTTGGGGAGACGTGGCCGGAGGCGGAGAGCTGACCTCTTCCGCACCTTCGTTGTCAAGAGCCATGAGTGCACTATAATAGTCAGTAGTTGATCAGCAGACAAGGCTTATGTGACATACCTGAACGAGTTTGCGTGGGATGTGGACTCCTTCTCCTTCTGGACGGGAGGTGTAGCTGTTCGGGACGAAGCCCCCGAATCAGCACCTGCTCCAAAGGCTCCTCCAGGACCAAGACCACGTCGGCCACTACCAGAGCGTCCACCGAGCATGGAAGGACCAATGCCGCTGCTGTTGCGGCCAGATGAGCCCTTGGTCAACTTGCGCAGATCGTCCATTGCGACGCGGCTGCCGAAGTCCTGGGGAGGTGGGATTCCACCTCCAGAGAATGAACGAGCATCACCGCGGCCTTGTGGAAGGCGACCACCACGATTGTTGGCAGCTGATTGAGCGGCGGCCTGCTGAGCGGCTGCAGCCTCGGCGTGGATCTGCTGAATGGTCTTTGGTCCCTTGTCGGCTTGCTTGTCGCGCCAGTTCGCCTTTCGGAGATCAACAAGGTCGAGCAACATGAACTTGAGACGCGATGGCAGTGCCTCCATGTTCATGATCTTTTCCACTCGCTCAAAGTATACCGACAACATCTTTGGTCCGGCGTCGGCTGTCGACATGGTCGCACCAACAGTGCGGAGCAACTTGACCAAGCTCTCGATTGCGGACTCATCGGGAAGACCCTCAAAGTCGAGGAGCTTGAGCACACACTCGTGCATGATGCGCAAGGTAAGCATGTTGAGCTTGTACAGCTCACCGATGAACTGGATGAGACCGAGACCCTTACGCTTGGCAGCGGCAGCAATATAGTACTCCTCCGAGAGCATGACTTCCTCTTGCTTATCGCCGTCGGGCTTGACAGGCAAATTGACCTCCCAACCCTTCTCGAACTCTTCTTGGCAGCGGTTGAGGAGGTACTTCCTGAACAGGGCACCTCCAACGACAGGTTGGCCGTGCTTGTCCTTGACGTTCTCGTCGCGAATCGCGGGATCCATAGTGTTGAGCATCTTGAAGCAGAACTTAGCGTACATGGAAGACCAATGCTGCTCATCACAAGCTTTCTCAAACGTCAGTTGAATAACCTGTCGAAGTGTGCGGCCGTCATCCTCGTTCTTGCTCTGTCCGGCAATTTCAAGTATCTGGTCAGAGATCTTGTCGAACTTCTCGGGAGTCAATTTGTTGAGAGCAGCCTTGACCTTACGCTGGACCATGTCGGGAGCAAGGTGGCCTGCAGCCAGCTGAGCAGCAGCTTGCTGGGTCTTAGAGTGCGGCTGCCAACCTGTGGTGGATTTCTCAAGAGGCTTGAGGTCCATACCAGCAGTGAGCGGCATTGCAGCTTCCTCCTTCTTGTTCGCGGGCTTGTCTCCACGACGGCTGCCGCGTCCACGAGAGCTACCAACACGGGGGGAGTTGGGCGCCATGTTCTGGAAAGACGAAGTGCGTGCCATCTGCACGGGGAACCCACCGCCAGCACGAGGAGGTCCGACCAATTGTGCAAGGGGATTGGTCATTGGGCCTCCGCCTCGCTGTGCCGCCTCGAAACGCTGTGCAGAGGTAGTGCCAGGTGGCAGGGTACGGCCAGTGGGGAAAGAGCCTGTGAAACTGCCCATAGGGCCACCCAGGCCACTACGTGATGGCTGCCGACTACCCATGCCTGACGGAGCACCACGAGCAGACTTGGGACCGGCAGACTCGGAGGAGTCGCCCACAGTCTCCTTGAGCTTCATGTCCCAGTCCACAGAGGGCTTCTCCTTGAAGACATCCTGGAATTGCAGCAAGAATGAGGGCTCGTACACCTTGCCCTTGGACTTCGTACCCATGTTGAGCGCCGGGTTGGGAGAGAGGACGCCCTCGGGGTACTTGACGAGCTCGCTTTGTACCTGAAGGAAGCGGGCCGACTTGAGCGACATCATACCGGGCGTGGGCGCAGGCGGCTCGATGGCCTTTGTAGTCTCCAACTTGAGGTGTGCGGGTTTTGGCTTGCTTGCTCCAGCTGACTTGGTTTGCGTGGGGGGAGTAACCGTGGGCTCAGCTGGTGGCGCGGGGGCTTCCTCCTCGGCCTGGGTGGCAGCGGGTCCAAACATGGTGTTCTTCTTGAGGCTAGCGAACGCCTCACGGTTAGCCTTCTCGCGCTCTGCCTTTTGTTCGGGTGTCTCGGCCTCCTTCGCGGCTTCACGCTCTTCAGCCTCACGCTCAGCCTGCTTCATGCGCTCGTCTGCCTCCTTCGCCTTCTCGGCCTCGCGGGCTTTCTCGGCTTCGAGCTTCTTCTTTTTCTCCTCGGCAAACTTGCGCTCACGCTCCTCCTCTTCTTTCTCTGCGCGTTCCATTTCCTCGATCATGCCTAGGTACCGTTAGCAAAGGTCGTTGTTTCTTCAAGGAGTAATACGTACGCTCCATCTCCTCGTCTGCCTTGCGCTGCTCTTCCTCTGCCTTGCGCTTGGCCTCTTCTTCTTCGTTCTTGGCAGCGGCTTCCGCGGCCTCCTTTTCTTGAGCTTCCTTTTCGGCTTGCGCCTTGGCCGCTGCTTCGGCCTGCTCCTTCTCCTCTTTCTCCTTCTGGGCCTTCTCTTCGGCTTCCTTCGCCTCGGCTTCCTTCTTCTTGTCTTCGTCCTTGCCTTGGAGTTGCTGCTGGAATTGTTTGATGAAGTCAGCCTTTACGTCGCTGGCGGACTTCGCAGCCACGCTCTCAGCACGACTATGCGTAGACTCGGGACGGGGCGGAGGCGTGGGGGTAGCAACAATGGCAGGAGATTTAGAGGGCGCTGGAGGTTGAGCTGGTGACGCGGGCTTCTTGCTGGTGTTAAAGTCAACGACTTGGCCGTCGGCCGTCTTGATCACAATCGCCTTGCTCTTAGTCTTTGGCGGGATGGAGAACGAAGAACCCGGAGCTGGGCTGCCTGACGGAGCACTCGGTGTCTGGGAGACGTGGCTCACGTTAGTCATGGCAGGCGTCGATGGCTGTTGAGCAGCAGACGGCGGTCGTTCCGACATATTCGATGGCGTGCGCGACATGCCCTGGGCTTGCGGGGGCTGACCGTAACCAGGCACAGGATAGGCCTGTTGCGGGTAACCACCACGTCCTGGTGATGCTGGGACGCCTGGATAGTGCATTCCCTGGGGCATTCCATAGTTCTGACCAGGGAAGTTCTGGCCGTAGTAACCGTTGTATGGGTCCAGACCCTGAGGTGGACCGTACATGGCCTGTGTTTGTTGTACTTCGGTCAGAAATTGTTCATCAATAAACTTGGAAGAAAAAGGCGGAACAAGAGGATCGAAATGACCGCTATACGCCGACGAGCCGCGACGCTCCCTTAAGTCGGGGCGCTTTATGGCTGCCGAAGGTACAGGGCAAGACTGAAAAGAGAGTTGTGTCCGAGAAGGTTGTGTTGGCTGAGCCGACTTGCACGACTCGGACACGGAAGAGACAATTGAGAGATTACGAACCGGCTGAGCGTAAGGCTGCTGTGGGTTGTAGCCGTAACCGCTGTAGTTAGCTTGCTGGTGGATCGCCGCTGGCGTGATGGCGGGCGATCTATTGGCGCGGTAAGGAGAATTGGGCTGCATTTGCGGTTGGAATGCAGGAGCCATATGGGGACCGCGAGGCTGGTTAGGCATTGCGCGGAAGGGTTGTGGCGAGGCACTGGGGTGCTGGTGCTGCTGCATGGGCGGGTAGTTATTATAGCCACGACCGCGGCCGCCGTTCGGGGCAAACCCTCGGTTCATGTTCGGGTTGCTCATGTCACTGTGCGCAGACTGTGAAGACTCGCGGCGCAAGTGCTGCGCTTGGGGCAGGGAGTTTGGCTGCGGAGGCAGTGAAATGTTGCGTGCCTGAGTGTGCGTTAGCAAAGTTGAATTTTCACACACGTGCGCTCAACCAACATACGCTGGGATCGGCCTCGTTACCACCGCCAAACACAAGGTTCGGGCGAGTGGGTAGGTTATCAGGCTTGCCGCCGCTCGATATGGGCGTAGGGATGGGCGAGGGCGAGTGCGCGGGCGACGCGACACGCGGGTTCGATGGCTGCGGGTTCAGATTCTGTCCCTGCGGGTGCGGCACGGCGTGTGCGGGCGCAGGGGAGCCAGCGATAGATCCGAAAGTGAGGTTCGAGGGGGCGCGCGAGTTGGGGACTGGGCCTCCGTTGGGAATGTAGCCACTGGTGCCGGCGGCGCTAATGGTCACCGAGGACTTGCGGCTGTGATCGCCCTGTGAAGCGGCGCCGTTGGCGATGGTGGGGCCCATGGCGGGGACTGCGGGCTTGATGGAGTTGCCATTCACCGGGGAGATGCTCTTGCCATTGCTGCTACCACCCACCACAACAGGCGCGGCGCTGTTCGCGATCGGGGGAGATTTGGTCGCGTTGGCGTACGAGCTGCGTGCAGTGGGCGCGGCCTGACCAGCGGCCACGGCGGACGATCCAGACGAGGACGAGTTCGCGGGGGCAGAAGGCTTGGAGGCGGCGACGGTGGGCGGGTTTTGCGCGTTCGTGGAGGTGGATGTCATTAGAAGGGTAGGTGTGCGTCGGTCGAGCGTGTCGAGGTGGTGAGAGGAAGGCTGGCGCGCGACGAGCGGGGTTGCAGGGCGATGCTCGTGTGAAGGAGACCGGCTGCGGTATTAGGAGTGTCCTGGGCGGGCGACTCGAAAGGAGCGGAGGGAGAGAACGGGTGTCCTGGCTCCGGGGAAAAAAGGGCACTGGCTGGCAGGTCGACGCTGCAAAGGCAAGCGGACCGCGTCAGGTAGCCTGGGAATGGGATCAAGCAGGAGATCTGCGATCCAAAAGCAAGCGCCTCGTGAGAATGAGGCCGCTGCGGGATGGGTGTTGGTGGTTCTCTTGATGAGAAAGGGTTGGAGAGGAGAGAAAAGGCGCCGCTGCGGCGACACAATTTTTGGTTGTTAAGCCGGGTTCCCAAGCGAGCGGCCAGGGATCCATCCCAACCCAACGCTTCAGCTGCTTATTGCTCTGACTCGCTGCACGTTTGTTTGCCTGGCCAGCCATGACATTCACCATGGTCACTGCTGCTTGAGGGCTGTCTGCGCACTCTTTGGCCGTGCCTGCCATTGTCCCTAAGGCGTGCCTTCCCTCTGCGCCGTGCTGCACGGGAGGCAGGCGCAAGGCTCAGCTCGACTGCGTCACCACGACGGCACACGCCTCGCCCGCAGCCCGATTGACGTGAGCCTGCGCATCCGCACAAAGGGACAGCTGCGTGCTGGACGCCGTTCCGACCAGCCCTGCGAGCAAACGCTCTCAGGCGTGTCATGGCCTGCTCCTGCCCTGTGCAGCACGCCCTTCCCCGACCAGGTCGCCGGAAGGCTCTTTCAGACAGACAACGCTCGGTTTCGCCCGTCTTTGCTCCCGCGTTGCACCGTCGCGGGCGCGCATCAGCCTCGAGCAGGCCAACAAAGCGCTTCGCCTAGTAGCACTGGGTCCTTGTTGTCTTCAAGATGAAGCCCTTCTCCCGACAATAGCAAATGCGCTTTTGCCCATGACCATTGTCAGCCTCCACGGCGACGCTCGAAACTTTCTGCGATCCAATGCATAATGACGACGACAGCGCGAAATGACTCTCGTGTCGCATCCATGTCCGCCTTAAATCCGCCCAGACCAGCCAATCACACGGTTGGCGACGAGAATCGCCCCCTATTGCGAGCAATCGATAAGAGGCAGACTGTCGCCACAGCAATATCTCCTTCTGCCCTACGCTCTTCTAGAAGAGCGGTCGCTGTGGCGCATCATCTGGCATCTGTCGTTCAGTCGCTTGTGATTCCAGACTCGACATGTGGGGAAGCCGTAGCGTCCCAGCACCCGATCAGACTGGTCCACTCACCAAAACATGGTCCATAAACTCCTCGCTACCGTAAGTATACAGCAGGCTTGCCCGCCACCTGCCCATACTCGACAAACGGTGTATTTCACAGTCGAAGAGAGATGCCAACGCCAACCGATCGACTCATGCACAAGTACCCAATGTACGCCAGTCCCTTCCTTCGGCTGCGCATGTGTGGAACCAACCGGGATGAGTCAACTCTCAGACACCACGGACATTCACGTTGCCATCGCCACCACCCACACCACAAGTATTCGTCATCATAATAAATGGCGGTGCCAATGCCTAGCCGTAGTGGACTTCAACGTCACTAACGAGCAGCCTGGACGGGCTTGAGGTGTGCTGGGCGTAGCTTTTTCCAGATGCTCTGCAGATGCGCTGTTCGGGGTGCGGGCATGCCGTCGCCATTTGCGCGGTGCGACAGCCGGGGTAAGCCAGCACGAAGCATTTGGATTCTGGCATCGAGACACTGCACATGTCACAAAGCTCGGCCTGTACTGCGGGTTGCCGTGGACGCAGCACAAACGGCATCTACGGAAGCAGAACGCCTTTGCATGAGCTGGTGTGACTCCATTGCACTACCCATACCCACATCCGCGTCTGCTTCTGCATGTGGCTGGTACGAACCGAGAGCTCGAGTACACTGTGCGTTTCTTCGTGAGTCAAGCGTGTGATACTGGGCTTGCAACTGTGACTGAAGGTGACAGACCGAGACTGCATGTCGCATGCGCGAACATACTCGCCGTTTTCGCGCTAAGAACATACACGTTGGCTTGTCGACAGACTACCCTTTGCGCTGTTGTGGTAAGAGTACAGCTAACGCAGTGTCGTTATCTGACTGCGAAAGTCTCGGGAATAGAATCTCGTCTCGCAGTGGCTATACAAAGCGCACCTGAAAGAGCCATGATCACTACACCTTCTACTTCTCTTTTTCGAGGACACACTATTGAGTGGCTAAGCAGATGCAAGGCTACCCTGTATAGAAACACAGGCAGTCGATCCACCTTCATTGGCGCGAATCTCGGGGATCAGCACCAAATGCATGCAGGACACCACCTCGGGCACTACAGCACCTCACAGCGCCTCTGATCCCGTGCCGGATAACAAGACCGAACTTTAGAGGAATGGGAAGGTCGACATGAAACGCCATCGCAAGTGAGATCGATGTTTGCTTTTGCATCGACCAAGGTGGCAGTCGCGTTGAAGATAAGGAAGCTGTGATGCGCAAGCGACACATGCGAACTATTCTCAGCCATCGCGTCAAACCGATGAACATGGTGTGCCGCATTAATACGGAGTCGTTCAAGGAGGCAGTGAGCGGAAGGAGAGGGACTGCCAAATCGCTGACTGTGAGTGCTAGCATGTGAGACCCCCTTACACGTGATCTCGTATTTAGCCCACCAATGGTTCCGAATCCAGCATTCACCCCGGTACGAAAGAGGCAATGCGGATCTTGTACGCCCAAACTTCTCCGCACCAATCGCATGACCGGGAGGAATTTTGCATCCGTTCGGGATCACCCGCAAGGCGTCTTTGGTTCAGACCCCACGACGATACTCGCTGTCTCAGTTTACCGCCCGCAGCGAACGTTGTGCGAGCCATGCCGCTCGACGCGGGCGCTACGCTCGGTGGCTATCCTTCCGCTCGACGAAAAAGGAACAATGACATGCAACGGGCAGCGGATGTTGCGCCGTCCTAGGAACGAGTGTCCGACGTTCCGATGAGCCTCTTTTCGTACCTGCACCACACGGACATTTTCTGTGAGCGTGCTAGCTTGTTCCCATCTTCCGGTCAGCAACAGGTTACAGCGAGGATGTCGTCAATGCGATTTCAGGTACAGAATGCAAAAGCAGCGAGCACACTGTCTCCACATTCTGAACACAATAAGCTCGCGAAGTCGGCGCCGATGCTGGAAGGAGGTTGCATATCCGACTTGGCCTCAACGCTCAGCTTAGTTTTGCTCGCGTAGCATTGACTACACCCAAACCCCTGCTCTACTTACATAACCCACCCCGTCTATACTCGCAAAACTGATAGAATCGACGAACAACGCATCGAGCACGGTGCACACCGTCCCAAACCTTATCGCTGCGATGGATATCACCAGATCACATGCCGAACAAGCAGACCCAGCTCCTTGACCGATATTCGAGCGCCTTCTGGAAGCCACCTGGAAGAAGCATCCGTTGCGAATCTTCCAATTCGTGCGGCAACAGCAGCTAGCCCTCGCAGCACTGTACACGCCGAGCCTTGCAATTAAGCCTAAGATCTGCAGCAAGGCCAGGAGTAGCGCCGTTAGAAATCATCCGCGGCTCTGCCAGCTTCTTCTCCACAAACCCATGACCCTGCCCAGCGCATCGCATCGTATCGCATCGCGTCGCTCATCGCCCATGCCCTGCGCTGGCCTGCAAGCTGCATGCAGGCAGGGCCAGGTGAATGACCATGCATTGTAGCCGCACTCAATTTCGCACCGCCCCAATCTACGCGATCAGCAGAAGCCGCCCTCTTCCGCGCCAGACCGAACAGCCCGCAATCTATGCACCGCAATTCCTCTCTCCAACTTCACCCCAGCGCCCCAGCCGTTCGTCAGCTGGCCTGGCCTGCAGCCGCGCCGGTATACCCTTCCGTCACCACTAACCTCGTACTCACCCCCGCACGCCATCTATCCCTCCCCCTTCTAACCTGCTTCCATGCACGTCTTCACCCTGCATACCACTGTAGTCCTATACCACCCTACTCCTTCCCCGCAAGTCGCAGAAATTGCCCGGCGAAAGGGCGCTCAGGACCCCCAATTTATCCAGACTGTGGAAGCATGCATGGAAGACGGTTCCTGCGCTACAGGAGCCGATGGCGTCTGGGGTGCGTGTGGAGATAGATTGCGGGCGCAGTGGTCATGTGGAAGGCGGACGTAGATCGGTCGGACGTGCCAAGCGGTCCGGCGTGGAAGAAGTCTGGAAGGGAAGGGGAGGGAGCCAGCTAGCCAGCCAGCCGCTGCGTCGCGATGCGGTGGAATGATCGGAGGCATGCTTGCGAAAGGCTTGTGGGCGGTGTGCTTGTCAGTGCTTGCTGCTGGCGGGTGGAAATGGAAGGGATCGAGGACGTTAGGGTAGACAGACTGTGTTGGCTCTGGCTCGAGTCTGGTGCTTTCTACCGTTTTTCCAGAAGCAAGCGTAGACCTCACGTTGATACCAACGTCCCTCTACGTAGTTCCTCCCTTCACTTCCTCTCCTCCTCCCACCCCGTCCCCACTCTTTCACCGCCCACCTCGCTCACACACTTCTCGCCACTCCCTCCCCATGAATCGCCATCTCCACAAACGCACCCTCCCACGCCCATCACCTGCTGTGTGCCATCGCTTGGATATACCATCTGCACCCCAGCCCGTGCACCCACCCCACACGCAGCGGGCACGCACGCAGCTAAGATTTTTCCCGCTGTCAGTCCAATTTCTACTCTGCTAGGCGTTCATTGGCCTGCAGCGGGTCGCCAAGCGCTACGTACCTACGCGCGCATGCGGGTTGTTGGGTGGTGAGCTGCTAGTCAGATGATTGAGGGGCGATCGTAGGGTGAAAGAAGGAAAAATGGCGAAGGAGAATGGTGAAGTCGCCTTGTGATCTCATACAATCTGCTTTTGCGAAACTGTGTGTTCAGCATGTCATCACAATGTTCAACGCACATAGAATGAGGTTGATATATGGTTTTTTTTGTATTGGAGTTGTAGACCTGAATACTGGATATAGAATGTTGGGTATCATTACTTCGTATTTGCTTTCGTTGGATTTATACACCACTCCCGTGTAAACATGTGCTCCAAGAAGGAACTAGAAGTGCGCGACAAAACAGCAACCCTCGTCAAGTCAAGTCCGGGTACGGTGGTGGGTGGCGACGTTGAACGCACGAGGCGCCGGCCATCGCGGTCGTGCTGCGGCATCGGAAGAATCGAAGTCCGCCACTCCACGTTCAACAGAACACGATGAGTGTCGGACACGACTGCGCGCCCGCACCACCGTCCGCGGGAGCAAGAAGAAGAAAATGGTAGGTACAAGAAGGGTATGCCACCGGCGCCAGTCGCAGCTGTCAATGGAGAAAGGTAAAAAGATGCCAAACCCGGTGCATAAACAATGGGCCCTGGAGGACCCGCTCGCATTGATGTCAGACCAAAAGACAGGCGTGTGGAAAAACACCGGGCGGAATTCCCGAAACCCGCGAGCCTGGAAAATGAAAAGGGGAGGAGCGATACCCACCCGGGGCTTCGAAACGCGATAGGTATGAAACAGCCACCAGGGGTGCCCACCAAAAGCAGCATCGGACGCTCCAGCGCCAGTCACCAGCCCAAGCGTGTGCTCGGGCATCGTCGTGATCCCCAAAGCTCCTGTCCAATGTTCATAACTCGTCTTAAAACTTTTCCAATCATAGAAGACTGCCGCCCCAACTCCATGCCTTTGACGCGCGTAACCGCAATGCGCATGAAGGAGTCACCGCTCAGTAATGACTGTCGTGGTCGTCGTCGGTGTGACTTGAGTTATCGAGGACCTCTCCCAATATCGCCCCCGCACCGGGGTACTGCTCTGATTGCGAAGAATCGTTTCGTAAATACGAGTTGGGAAAAGAAGTCATGTGGTGTGGCGCACTTAGTTGAGGTATCGCAAAACTCTGAGGTGTCACAAGCGGGGAGCTGGTGTATGTTGGGAAGGTGGCCGTTTGCGGTGTGGTTACACTGCGACTTGGCGTGTAATGCGAGCTCAGTTCGATGCGACGCGGGACGCTGCTGGAAAATGAGCGCATCCTTGACGAACTGGCCTGGAATCCCGGGACAGGCGAGTAGGAGTAACCGATTCCGTAAGGCAGGTGGCTGCTGGAATCATGGGAGCTCGTGAGGCTGTCGCCACTCGTATAGCTCATGCTGGCCCTCAAAGGCGTCGACAATGATTCAGCGCGACTTCTTGCAAGACGGTCAGCATGCAAAGAAAGCCTCGGAATGCTGTGGTGCGCCGCATAAGCCGGCGATGCAGTGATTGAAGAGGAGAAAGGGTTCGACGTTCGAGGGCTGGTGTCCAATCCACTGGAATGGAAGCCGAAGGGGGAGTCTCCGTGGCTGGAAATAGGAGACAGCGTATCAGTTGCTGACTGTGGAGGTGTGAATGTGAAGCCACCAAAGGCAGGGCTAATTCCGGTAGGTGAGATATGGGAGTCAATGGGGCCACGCCTCAAGGTATCAATGCTCAGGGGCCGCATCATGTTTCCTTCGGGGAAGGAGGGTGCGTAGGAGCCGGGAGAGGCCAGAGGTGTTCCCAAGCCGTGGGTGTTGCCGAAAGGCGAATGCAGAGCCTGGGCCATGTCGAAGTCCTCAGGCAGCGCTCTTGATCGCATCATGCGTTCACGGTCGTCGCTTGTAAGTCGCTTGAGTTTCGCTCTCCTTAAGAACAGTTAGCAGACATAAATCGGGTTATTGTGCTGTGCCTACCTGTTCTGGAACCAGACCTGTACTTGTCGAGGGCTCAGGCCGGGGATTTCACGGGCGAGTCGCTCTCGATGGGCGGCATCAGGATGAGCTTGTCGTGCGAACTCACTCATCAGGAACCGTGTCTGATTGTGGGTAAGTCTAAACCTCTTCATCTTGCGTTTCTGGGCCCGGATCTCTGCGGCGGTCATAGGAGGCTTGTCCGTGTCCTTAGACTCTTCGGCATCCTCGTCTTTTTCTTCGGTGATGATCTCGTCGCCCTCCACCTTGATATCATCTCCGCAAAGACCGTCATGAGGTGATGGAGGAGTCAACCTCGATACGGGACTCGCGGGTGCTGAACCTCCAAAGGTTACTGTAGGCATGTCGTTCGACTCAATCTCATCGATGTTGCTGATGCTGATGCGCTCTCGTGCAGGCGAGCTTGCATGCTTGCCATCAAGAGCGAATGGAAAGCTCTTATGGGTTCGCAGCATGGGACGCTTCAAGTCGAAGTTGTGACCATTCACTTCGGCTTGAAGCAGCGCCATGTCGCTCTCAGATGTCGATGAGCTCTCCAAGGATTTGATGTCTGTGTGCCACTCGTTGTCTGCAGGAGTCGTGCTGTATGCAGACATGCGCGGCGAGCTAGGCGGAGAGAGGGGGATGAAGAGGTTTCCGTCCACCATTGGCACTTTGTTGACAGTTTGATGCGTGATGGTATAACCTAGGGTGACTCTGCGCCTACTCTGGCTACAGATGTTCTTCCTAGTACGGTAAGACTGGCGAGTGGTCGAAACGAGGCGAACGCCCGGCAGATGGCTGCAAAGAGAGAGGATCCGATGAGGTTTGGGGTAAACAGACTCTATCGGACTCCAATCCCAGTGCGGGGTTGGACACGGGTGATCGGCGAAGGAACGAAGAGAGCGTTCGCGATGTTTAAGAGCTGAATCGAGCGTATAAGCTACTCAATGCGTTAAGGTCGCAGGTCTGTAACAGAGACAGGCCTGGGGCGCCGCGTCGGAGGAGGGTTGGGGGTCGTTGATATGCAGGCTCAAGGCTGAATGGCTGATGTCGCGCCCAAGACAGGAATGGGGCGCGGAGTTTTGGTGTGACGCCTGCTCGAAATAGCAGCTAGTAAGAAGGTGATACCGGAGGCCAAATAAAGAACGACCCGGACCGACAGCGGGTGGCACTTGACAAAACTGAGGGCAGTGTGGGTAGTGCTCCAGTTATGTGCGTGCGTCGACTCGGGAGTCTTTGTAAGGTGGTCAGGAACAGAACCGCACGATAGCTATATCAGCGATAGCGGCCGGGAGGCGAACAGATCATTCAGACTGGAAAGGCTTGACGGCACTTTACCGTTGGCGATCCGGATAAATCGAGGTTAAGAGAAGTTCAGAGACTGGGGTGTTGGACGCCGCCAGGGCAGAGGGGCTTCTTAGGGAAACATGATATCCATCGAGGATCTGGAAGCGGTTTGTTACACAAGGAGAAGCGTGACTGTCCTCGAGAGCTAGCAAACCCCGGGCAAGATTCAAGGCACAAGGAAGCGGTACCTCGGGACGCGAGCCTTTCAGACGAGGGGAACGGAGCGGACTCTGGCGAATCGAAGGCCGCAGGGATCAGGTGTGCTGGCCACCACAAGGGTGTCCTTCTCGAAGGAGAATGTGAGAGGCGTGAACATGGAGCCCTGTCGAGCTTGCAGAGGACCAGGGGGTTGTGGAGAAAACCGCCGACGACCAAGGCCCGGCGGGGACTGAGTGTCAACGCTCATGGGGCGGCATTATTGGCAGGTGCATGTCCAACGGGAGGGTAGGGGTCTGCAGCACGAACAGCAGGGATGCTACAGGGCTCGGCAACGCTTGTTGCGGGGTCTCGCTGCTTTAGCTGGCCGTGATGGGTGGTGGAGGTTGGAAGTTGCCCACCCGCGCGTGGTGCAGCGTGGTGGTGCTGTCGAGTAACCACCCACAGAAGCCGCTACTTTGTGGGATCCGGCGCGGGCCTTTTTTGCGTGTGCCTGTGATGCGACCCGGAGATGCAGTCCAGGCCCCATTTTGCAGAAGAACAGTCCGTTTCTGTTCGTCGACGGCCATGACACTTGCAATTTGGCGGGCCATAGCCGTTACGGAACGCCTACGCATGAGCGCACTGTTAAGCCACACGGCCATCTGATAGGCGCGCTCACCCGGATGCGTCAGGAACAGTCTGCATCGTCAGCCTTGCTCTTGAGCCGCCCATTGCGCCCATGGTGATGCTGCTGCATGAAAGACGACGCCGTCAGGCGTCAGGCATCGGCGAGCAACCAGCGACCACCACCACCAGCGCCGCGCCCGCTAGCTGTATTGGTGACCCTGCTGCTGCACCTGCGCCATCGGTCGTAGTGAGCGCCTAGCCGCATCCCACTGCGAATGGGAGGGGCGTGCTGGGAACGAGCGAACAGATCTGGCTGGCCGATTAGATCCAAACGTTGAAAAGCTCGGCCCGCTCCGGGAAAATTGCTGTTTCTCGAAGCCTGCGGTGCGCGTGCTTTAGCGCAGCAGCAGTGTTTGTCAAACGCTGGTTGACAGCGGTGCCTCAGCGCAGCGTAACGTGACTCTCGCCTGTCAACTCGGGCTGGAAGAGTGGTGCAGCCTCTGACAGCCGGCATGTCAAGGTCCAGTTGCTGGCTGGGTCAGACGGCTACAATTTCTATGCCTGACGCTCGCTTCGGGGCAGATCCGCTCTGGCCACCACCGCGATCGCTGAAGCAAGCCACCAAGAGCCTTCCGCGCTGATCAGCGCCGGGTACCTCAGCGCCTCTCAGAGGGCGCCCTCACTCTTTGTCCTTGCCAGAAGCAGCAGACAGGCCGTCTGACGCCGCAGCAGCCGTCTGGGCTGCGTTTGCATTGCAACTGCACAGAATCCGGCACGGTCGCGCTCAACGGGCAGGCATAGGCGGCAGACGCGTCCGTGTGAGACGGGCGTTTCGCAGGCGCCAGAAACACGGTCGGCGGTCGCTGGCATACGCAATCTCTGGACGATGCCGTAGTGTTTCCCAAACGTCGCCAAGCACGCGGGCCTTGAGGTTGGACGGGAGCACCCCAATCGCGAGGACGGCGAGGCGGGCAGGAAATGAGCAGGACGGACACCTAGAGAGCGAACCCGAGCGGCGCCGTGTCCGCGGATATTTCCACGGCTCATGGGGCAGGGCGCAAGCTTTGGTCGCGGAGGTTTGATAGACGACATGGATCCTCTGCTGAGGTCGGCAGAAGATGCTGTGTGCGATGGGAGCTATTGCTAGCGCGCCTGACATAATGCCCACTGTAGAACGACCGTCGACACATCAGAAACCACACGGGCGCATCGGGCTGCGACGAGCCATTGTCTGAGCAAAACGTCCCACCGGATGTCAGCGCAGAGGATCGAGGCCCGCCGTATCTCGCACGTCGGCAGCATGGAGTGAGCAGGCGATGGTACACAAAAGTCCCTTTCATTTCGGAACGCTGCAGAATCGCCCACTTCGATGGATCGAGTGCTGACAACGCATACTCAATGAGCCTGAAGTCGGCCAATACTAGTACCGCGCCCCCATCCACATCCCATTTGTTACCCCGGTCCGCGAGGGCCATTCGCTGCTGTGCTATGATGCCGGCCGGAAGACGCCTGACTAGCCATGAAAGGCTCAGCGGTCATCTTAGATTTCTGCTGCAGCGGCATTCCAGAATCTGCCATGACTTCATCCAGTTCCGGGTGTGAGTTCACTGCCAAGTCACTCATTTCCTGGGCATCAGCCTGTGCACAGTCTAATGTGTGTATCTTGTATCCTGGACTGAGTAGATCTATAATGTGTCATGAAGATAAAATCGAATTGTTGATACTGGTTTGGTCGATATGCGCCGCGATTGCCTTGACTCTGCCGCGAGCGGCATCGAGTGGCACGGTTGATCGACATGGCCAGTCGTGGGATGTCACCACCCACGTCTTTGGGGAATTGTCCATCTTCTGCCACAAAAGTGGTCCGTCCAGTGCTGCATCACCCACGCAGCGCCACTTCCCATCAACTCCATGCATATTGTTATAAAGGGCAAAGCCTCATCCAGCTGCATCCTCCCGAGTTTCTCAACAGTGGACGAATACGGTCACGCACGTCTGCGCTGAGATACAGCCGGCATGTGTATTGTATTGGGGTGGTCGCCCCACGATTTTCTCCGCAGACTGGTGCCTGTGGCTCGGATCAAGCATGCGCTGACATGTTGGTGTATGTGAACTGTAATCTGGGGTAGCTCAAGCCACAATACCCTGTTGATCGGCCCGCGGCTCCTCTACACTTTGCTCTGGCTGTGGGTCGCTACCCTTGTCCTCAATTCGCGTCTGGCCCGGCTGAAAGAGGCTCTTCAGGCCATTTGCATGGTTGAATCTATCGAATAAGCTCAGCTGGTCTTGCGAAGCCAGGCGGAGACCCCTCCACGTGCTGCTGGTGATCTTTTCGTTTAGTTCGCGCGCGTCTTCCTCTGTTGGTGGCTCTTGGTCGGTCGTTTCAATCCGCACAGTATAGTCCTGCGGACTTGGCTTGGTGAACCTGATCTCGTGAGCGTTTGACGCTGATCGGACGAAGGGAACTCACTTTCCGCGCTGTCTCAGCTGTGCCAGCCCCTTTCCCGGCTCAGCAGTAGCCACGAACCGCAAGGCCGGTGGTACTCCTGCTGGCTTGCGGTCTTTCTTGCTGGTGACCGCAGCTATCGCTCCGCCCTTTGATTCCAGAAAGATCTTAGCTGGCACTTTTTGGCGCGTAAATGATTGGCAGCGGTCCATTTTCCATCTAACCCAATTCTTGTCGCGGGAAAGTACCGTATCAACCACTCGGTAATAGAATTTGCCATCCGGACCATCCTGCAGGTAATTTGCGATGGCGTTCTTGATGCCCAACGCCCACTCAGTCTGTGCTCTCAGGTCAGCTGCAGCACGATCACTTCCTCTGGGAGCGCTGATCGAAGGAAGACCTGCAAGTTACCCTAGGTTCTATGGGACAGACACGAATTTCTGGCTGCAAACATCTCGAACGGGCAGCTCAACGATCAGTTGCAGTAGAGCCGGCGCTTGAATTGTGCAAGCTGTGGTTCTGACAGGAGTAGAATAGACTTACATTTTCATCGCTCAGAGTAAAGTTGTATTTCATCGACTGTTGTGCGTTCTCGTAGTGCGGCTTGCTCTTCGCCGTTCCTGTCAACGTCAAGAGGAAATCGATCAAGATCAGGGCCTGAACCAGGACGTGACGTTGGAAAGCGACATCGCTAAGCTGCGGACAATAAGTGGTAGCTCCTCAACAATGCTGCGGGAGCGGCGCATACCTCAAGCTTGAACAGATCACGACTAGTAAGATACTTTGGATTAAAAGCATTGGCAAATTCGTCATAGCTATCGTCCGCCGTAGTTGGAGATCCTGCTTTGCGAGCCGATTCTCCGGACTGGATGACCTTGTCAACTTCTTTGAACTTTGCGAGCGTAGCTTCTAGCGCGTCTTGAAAGTGCTTAAATTTTCCTTCGTCGAACAGTTGCGGAGGATTTGAGAACGAGTGCTGCAACGACCAGAAGACAGGGTAGAGCGTAGCGAGATCCTTCGTAGTTGGCTTCCTTTCAACAGAGCTTTCAGGTTCTGATGGTTTCGTCTCTTCTGCTTTGACTTCTCCCTTGACGCTCTCAACCTGTTCAGTGTTGGAGGCATCCTCCATAACCTGATCATCGGTTTGCTCTGACACAATCCAATCTTCGAAGGTCGTCACATTACCAACATGGAACTCGCCTCGCAGATTGACGGAGCCCTTGTGCCCCAATGGGAAGCTCTGGAAGAGGAACACATATACACGTCCGCAGAAAACGGGATCCTCTGCGCGCGATAAACGGCGCAGCAGCTCATTGCATGTGCGTAGGATAACCATCTCTTTGCTTCCTGTTGTCCCAGTGCCCCCCTAACATTGTCAGCAACTTTGTCCAACATCCCGCCAAAATAGGCCGTAGTAAGCTTTGTCCCATCATGGAACGCCCAAACTGAAACACCCAATCCATAGGCGGAACCTTGCTAATCTGACTTACAGATAAAATAGCCTCTCTCCGCGACTCGAGATAGTTGAACGCAACATGGCAATCAGCAATCGACAAGCTGTCCAGTACCTCCTCGGCAAGCAGCAGTACGAGCTGGTTCGAGCAAAGATCTCTGTCTGCACAACCTTGAACGATATCCAGAAGGTTCCAAACATCGACAAAGGAAGGATCATTGATGCGAGCAGAGCTCAAGATTGGATAAAGGATGTTCTTGGCGGCGCTTTCGGCGGTGAGTTCGCGGAGATCCCTAGGCTCTATGCGCTCGACGATAGCTTCGTTGTCATCTAGAAGCGCCGAAATCTGGAGAGGCGGGTCAATAGACGTCTCCTGTTTCACTGCACGCGCTCGCTGAACCAGAGCACTGAGTCGCGAGCTTAAGGAACCTTCGGAAGACATGGCTGAGATCGCCATTGTGGAAGTAGTTACGTCGAAGAGAAGAAAGCGCGGGTTGTGGAGATGCCCTTTCCTAAGGGAGGGCTGATTGAAAACCCGGTTGCTGCTCACAAATATATGGGAGTAGAGGCCCTGAGTAGCTAAAGGCTCATATTATGTTCTTTTTTAGTTCTCTGAGGCTGGGTCGCAAATATGAGTTCGTGTCTTTGTCGCAGGCGCAGAGTGAGCGGCTTCTAGGAATCAGATGCGTTAGCGGCTCGGTTGATTATGTCATTAGCTTGACGGTCGCGTCGCGCGGGGGAGACGCGACGCGCGCCAACTCGCACCGCTACACGCACGCATTCTGAGCAGATTGCTCTTGCACAATCCGTTCCAATTTGCGCCAACCTCGGTTGACGTATCGCGGCCCCGAAAGAGTTTACAATGGCCGCAGCCGCAGCTATCCCATCAACCAACGACATCCCGGACGATGACGAGCTTGATGCAATTCTCAACGGCACCTTGAACGGTCAAGACATCTTCAACATTAGCAACCCAGAACTACAAACACAACCTTCTCGTCCTTCGAAACCAACTGCAGATGATTCGGGTCTCGGCATCGACGAAGAAATCAAAGTCGTTAAGAAGCGGGAGCCTATTCCCAAGCTCGACGATAACCGCCTTCTTTCGGATCCTGGCATTCCGAAACTACGCAGAATCTCCAAAGAGCGATTGAAATTCAAGGGGAAGGGTCATGAGGTACACTTCTGTTTAACCTCTGGGAGTGGGGAGCTGGGAGCTAATTGGTGGCAGTACGGCGACATCGCGCGCATGCTCAATATGTATCAGTTCTGGCTTGACGAGCTTTACCCACGTGCCAAGTTCGCGGACGGACTCGCCATGATTGAGAAGCTTGGTCACTCGAAACGTGTACAGATGATGCGGAAAGAGTGGATAGATGAGGGCAAGCCGAAACACAACGCACGAGAAGATGAGGATGAAGACGTAGTCGAGGTCGATAACGCGAACGAATTTGTACAAAGGGTAGACGACCTTATGGAAGATGTGCAAGGCGAGATAACTCGGAGCATAGAGGAGGACGCTCGACGATCCGTTGCAAACGGAGCTAGAGGTGCTTCTGCGCCACCAGGGGAACCTGACGAAGATGAGTTGGACACATTGCTGGCGGGCGATCCGGCTCCCGTGCTCCCACCTACAGCAGCTGCAGTGAACACAGCTACCAATGTTGAGGACGACGATCCATTTGCGGACGCTATGGACGCGATGGCCGATATGGACGGCATGTGGTGAACGGTTCCCTGAATCACTCAATACGCTTGGCTGAGCGTTGGGCAAGTAGAATTCTCTACAGTACCAGGACAAAAGTCTGAGCTCGTTCGGGCTTACATATCACCTATCCGGAGGTGACACAGTGTTCAGACGTCTGTCCAGTACTGTATCATTCATGCATAGCGAGGCGTTCGATATCCGATGATATTTTATGATTGTGTACATACTCCTCCCTTGACGTTCATACTCTGATCTGGCAAAGAAGATGACGCTGTTGCGTGGCTCAGATGTTTGCTGTCGAGAAGCAAATTATTGGAGATCTAGCCTCTGTAGAGTGACCATATGGTAAAGAAAACAGTGTGCAGGCCAGGTACATTTTGTTCTTGGGAGCACACAACGGAACGAACTTTGTCTTTATCGTGTCGTAGTGTCATAGGAATACAGGAGACAGTTTAGAGTGGGGCGCTCTTGCCCCGCGGAGTCTTGGCAGCTGTCCTTTCGTTTGTCGTCACCTCACGATCCACCATCACGCTTCAATCGAGGCCAACTATCAACATACGCCCTTGAGATATGGAGGGACTGGCTGAGCAGCTCGAACAGCTGCGTGTCAGCGCTGACAACGTGTCTGACCTAAATTGGGTAGATTCGCTTGCAAACGAGCAGCGTCCACCAAAGCGCCAACGCAAGAGCAAAAATGACATCAAGAAAGAGTTGGAAGCCGAATTCCTGACACCTACGCGATCGTTCAACACACGATGGTTGAATCGGTTGCAGCAGCGGTGGGATGCGCCGACCAACTATCGCGGCCTGTTCGAGGTTGCGCCCACTCAAACACGCACCATTATACGCTTCACACGTGAAGGACTTGAAGGCCGTGTCACGGGTTATAAAGAAGTCACTGTGCCTGCTAATTCTGCTACTGCAAAAAATTCCACGTCGCTGCTGAGGAAGCCCGCAAATAGAGCTGAGTTTGTGCGCGGCGCGGCCGGCTTTTTCCCATTTGCACCGGGCGGTCTAGACGGCGTGGAAGCAATTGCGGCTATTGAAGACGAAGCTATCTCCCGCCAGGAAGCCGCAAATGGAAAGAAAGCGAACGCCTTAGACCGGGTTATCAATTTCAGCGCCGAAGGTGGGCTTTTAGAGATCCCTCCAGGCTTCACACGGGGATTGGATTTTCAAAAGAAGCCTGCTTCAGATTCTAAGACTGCCAAAGAAGTAGAGGATACGCTGAGTGAGGAGCCAACCCAGTCGCCAGCCGACGCTGCCGACGACGATGAAATCGAGGACGGCCTCAAGGCGTCCAACGGCACTGCTACAGGGGATGATGAAGCGCAAACGCCTGGCGAGGAGGAAATTGATGCTCTTCTTCCCGTCGAATTCCCGGCATTAGCTCCACATGGTCCTTTGGGAATGACTTCAGCGAAGAAGGGCGGCAAAGAATGGGCTCATATGGTTGATGTCAACCGCGAAATCACCAACTTCCACGAGCTGGTGCCTGAGATGGCCCGTGAGTATCCTTTCGAACTGGATACCTTCCAAAAAGAGGCTGTCTATCATCTGGAGCACGGCGATTCGGTATTTGTTGCGGCTCATACCTCTGCTGGAAAGACTGTGGTTGCCGAGTATGCAATAGCTCTGGCTGCGAAACACATGACCAAGGCTATCTACACATCCCCGATCAAAGCTCTCAGTAACCAAAAGTTTCGCGACTTCCGGCTGACATTTGATGATGTTGGTATCTTGACTGGCGATGTGCAGATTCGACCCGAAGCCAGCTGCTTGATCATGACTACCGAGATTCTACGAAGCATGTTGTACCGGGGCGCAGATCTCATCCGAGATGTTGAATTCGTTATTTTCGACGAAGTGCACTACGTTAATGACCTGGAGCGAGGTGTCGTGTGGGAGGAGGTGATCATAATGTTACCGGAACACGTTACCCTCATTCTCCTTTCCGCTACCGTTCCGAACACTCACGAGTTTGCCTCTTGGGTAGGAAGAACGAAGAAGAAGAACATATACGTTATCTCCACGCCTAAGCGTCCTATCCCTCTCGAGCACTATCTATGGGCTGGTAAGGGCATCCATAAGATCGTAACGGCGGATAAAAAGTTTGTGGAAAGTGGGTGGAAGGACGCAAACGATATTTTCTCTGGTAGAGATAAAGTCAAAGCACCGCCCACTAACGAGGTTCAAGGTGGACGAGGAGGCGGTGGTAGAGGCGATCGAGGCAGGGGCGGCCAAAACCAACGTGGCAGAGGCCAACAACAGGGGCAGCGTGGGGGTGGTAGAGGAGGCGGCCCACCAGCTCAGCGAAGCCGTGGCAACATTGCTCGTACCGGAAGAGGCGGTGGTAGAACAACAGCCGCGCAAGACCGCAATATCTGGGTTCACTTAATCTCGTTCTTGCGCAACAAAGACCTCCTCCCGGCCTGTATATTCGTGTTTTCAAAAAAGAGATGCGAAGAGAATGCCGATGCTCTTTCAAACATCGACTATTGCACGGCCGCTGAGAAGAGTGCTATCCACATGACTGTTGAAAAGTCGCTCGCCCGACTTAGTCCGGAGGATCGAGCGCTTCCTCAAATTACACGCCTACGGGAGCTATTGAGTCGAGGAATTGCAGTACATCACGGAGGCATGCTACCTATCGTCAAGGAAGTGGTCGAGATATTGTTCGCGAAGACACTCGTCAAAGTTCTCTTCGCTACGGAGACATTCGCCATGGGCCTCAACCTGCCTACAAGGACGGTCGTGTTCTCTGGATTCCGCAAACACGACGGCCGACAGTTCCGAGACCTCTTGCCGGGAGAATACACTCAGATGGCGGGCCGCGCCGGTAGGAGAGGTCTTGACACCGTGGGTACTGTCATAATATGTGCCCCAGGGGTAGACGAAGCACCACCCGTTGCACGTCTTAGGCAAATGATGCTAGGAGAGCCTACCAAGCTTAGGTCTCAATTCCGCCTTACCTACAACATGATGCTCAATCTTCTCCGCGTAGAAGCCCTCAAGATCGAAGAGATGATCAAGCGAAGTTTCAGCGAAAATGCCACCCAGGCCCTGTTACCGGAACATGAGAAGAAAGTTAAGATTTCTGAGGCCGATCTTGAAAAGCTAAAGCGCGAGCCTTGCAAGACCTGTGATGTCGACCTGGAGGCCTGTCACCAAGCTTGCATGGACTATCAGCGCCTGACGAATGAGCTTCATCTCTCGTTGCTGAATTATCCTGCCGGGAGAGCGGTGTATGTGCAGAACCGTTTGATCGTTTATAAGAAGGTACAAATCATAGCAGCATAAACCTCTCAAATTTGAAGCTGACCGATACAGAATGACATTCGAACGGTTGGCATGCTGCTCCGAGGTGTGGTGAACAGCAGAGGCGAAGAGCCTACCGTGCAGGTGCTGGAGATCGCGGCGAACGAACAACGCAAAGCCGACGACTTACTCCCGTATCTGGCACCACTAGCCAGATTCTTCCGACCTCTACCAAAGGCCAAGAAGGACCTCATAATGAAGCGTGCCCTCATCCCGCTAAGCGATATAGAATGCTTTACAGCTACCGTCATCGATATTCCAGAAGGCGTTGAGAATCTTTTCAGGAAGAAGGGTATGCAAACTTACTAATCACACCTTATGAGAGTACTAATAGTGAGCAGATGCTCTCAAACTTGCACAAGATCAGTTCATCCCTCTTTGCCAGTCCTGGAACTACCAAGATTGGGACGAGTTCGACTACGAGAAGATCAAGAAGCTCGAATTCAGGGAAATTGACATGGCCCGGCGAAAGGCAGGCAGAGAAGCCACGGGCAAAACTTGTCTCGGATGCCCCAACTTCCTCAAGCACTACGCGATGGAGCACGACGAGTGGCTTATCAAAGAAAACATTGTGCAGCTTCGCCAGCTCATGTCTGACCAAAACCTCCAGCTCTTGCCCGACTATGAGCAGCGAATTTCGGTGCTCAAGGACCTAGGCTTCATTGACGAGGATTCCCGGGTCGAACTCAAAGGCAAGGTAGCCTGCGAGATCCACTCTGCCGATGAGCTTGTCCTCACTGAGCTGATCCTCGAGAACGTCCTCGCCGAATATGAGCCGGAAGAGATCGTCGCGCTCCTCTCTGCCTTCGTCTTCCAAGAGAAAACCGACGTGGAGCCCACACTAACCGCCAGCCTGGAACGCGGCGTGGCCAAGATCGTCGAGATCTCGGAGAAGGTCAACCAACTGCAGACGCTGCACCAGGTCATCCTCTCGGCAGACGACAGCAACGACTTCGTTAGCAAGCCGCGCTTCGGCATGGTCGAGGTCGTGTACGAGTGGGCGCGCGGCATGTCGTTCAACCGCATTACGGACCTGACGGATGTCATGGAGGGCACGATCGTGCGTGTCATCACGCGACTGGACGAAACTTGCCGTGAAGTCAAAAACGCCGCAAGAATCATCGGGGATCCCACGCTGTTCCAGAAGATGGGAACATGCCAGGAGTTGATCAAACGGTATGTTGATTTCCGTTCATCCCATCCCAACTCCCCGCTAGCGAAGACATGCATTCCCGGGGCAAGAAATGGAGGGTTGATGCTGACATATGTAACAGGGATATCTGTAACTGCGCGAGCTTGTACCTATAGGGTGTTTCGCAACGACATAGCGAGCGAGCGTTTCGAGATATAAATACCGCGAGCGTCAACTCGAGTTGGCGAGACGCATGACGGAGTGTCGCTATTATGAGCATATAAGGCTGCAGGACGAGGCTGTCACGGGGAATGTCGCAGGCAACGCATGGTATGGTTGCGCACCGCTGAATGGGCAGATGCGGCATGGGTGTTGCACGAATCGAATTGGGGCCGCAGTCGGAGTCTCCCAGCTCAAGTGCGCCAGGTACCTCGAATGTAATCGAAAGCGTCTCAATTGCAGGACATGTCTAGGTCCCGATCCCAAGCGGACACATGACGACGACAACATTGGGCGGCTAAGGAGGCGATAAAGTTGCATTTGTGGTTCATGTTTTGCGTTCTTCCAGCTTGTTATGCCACTGCTCAATCAACGTTCTTCCAACTTGTGGCTAGTCGGAAAAGAAATTCTGCAAGTTTGTCTCTCCGAAGCTTGTCGGCCGACCTGAGCACAAGCACGTGCAACATACTCCTCCAGGCGGTACACCCTGAAGTAACGTACTATAGCATTGTGCCAGATGCGCTCCTGGAGAACGAGGGACGAGCATCCTGGCCCGCAAGGCAAGATAATGCAATGCGGGGGAGAAAGGCCCGCTCACGATTGGACGGGTCCTGCCGAAGCGGGCATGCGCAGCTGCAGTCCCCTTCTGCTGCCGGCCGATGCAACCAAGGCGCTGAAGGAGCCTTATTTTGATGTCTCCAGATTGCCATTGCCCAGCGCCCTGGGGTAGGCCGCCGGCAGCGAGTTCATCGTGTGCGAGGCAGGGCGCTAACCCTGGCGGTGGCTAGCGTCGCTATCGCACACGAAACTTTACAGTGTACAGCCCCTCCATCTTTCCCTTGCCCGTATACCCTGAGCACACGCCAAAGGGGCCTAAAGGTGACCAGACAATAGGCCTGCTCGCGGCCTTTGCCAGCTTCTCCCGCAGTTTTACGCACCCCCGCCGCCGCACGCAGGCGCCCCACGGCCGAGCGATACCGCCTGCCCTCGCTGCGCCCTCACGTAGACCCTCGAAGAGGTCCCGCTACCCACCTGGCCCGCACCGCCAGACTGCACCACGACCGCCAACATGGACGTCGCAGCACTGCGGGAGCGTGTTAAGAACACGCTGGACATCAATGCTGCCATCCGCCAGCAAGCCGAGCTTGACCTCAAACACGTAGGCGTCGCCGCTGCTGCCCACGCAAGGTACGGCAGCTAACTGACCGCTGCAGGCCGAAGAACAGCCCGGTTTCACAGACGCGCTGCTCAACGTGCTCGAGAACGAGCAGGAAGATGCCATCCGCCTGTCCAGTAAGGCCGCGCCCCGCACAACTGCGCCCGCCCTGAGCTAACGTGTCTGCAGCGTCCATCTACCTCAAGAACCGCGTCTCCAAGGGCTGGTCGCCTGCCGAGGAGTTCAGCCAAGCGAAGCCCATCCCCGAGGAGGAGAAGCAGTCCTTCAAGAGCCGTCTCGTGCCCGTCCTCGTCGCCTCTCAGCCGAACGTGCGCGCCCAACTTATTCCTACCCTCCAGAAGGTCCTCGCCTACGACTTCCCCCAGAAGTGGCCCGACTTCCTGGATATCACTATCCAACTGCTGAATACAGGAGACGTTGCGTCAGTGTTTGCTGGTGTGCAGTGTTTGCTTGCGATATGCAAAATCTACCGCTTCAAGTCGGGCGAGAACCGCGCCGATTTCGAGAAGATTGTGGCACTATCATTCCCCCAGCTTCTGAATCTGGGCAACGGGTTGGCCAACGAGACGAGCCTGGAAGCCGGCGAAATATTGCGGACAGTGCTCAAGGTGTACAAGCATGCGATATACGTAAGACAGCAGCACTAACGACCCGGAAGCACGAGGGCTAACGCCAGCTAGTATGATCTCCCCGCTTCGTTGCGCGAACAGTCCGTCATGGTGGGTTGGTGCACATTGTTCCTAAATGTTATCAGCAAGGACCCGCCGGAGTGCGCCATGTCCGAAGACGTCGATGAGCGCGAAGTGAACCACTGGTGGAAGGCAAAGAAATGGTCGTATGCCAACTTGAACCGACTCTACGTCAGGTATGATCCGAAGAGCAATGCAGGCCGCAAAGTTGCTAACCCGGTCCAGGTACGGCAACCCCGGAGGCCTGACCAAGAATAACGACGTAGACTACACCGAAGTCGCCAAATATTTCATCGCCAACTTTGCACCCGAAATTCTCACGCGATACCTGCAGCAAGTCGAGAAGTGGGTCAAAAAGGAGACGTGGTTATCAAAGGCGAGCTTATACTACACCCTCAACTTCCTAGACGAGTGCATCAAGCCCAAGTCCATGTGGAACCTGCTGAAGCCGCACACGGATAACCTTATTTCACATTTGTTATTCCCTGTGCTGTGCCAAACAGACGAGGACATCGAACTGTTCGAGGACGAGCCGCAAGAGTATTTGCACCGCAAACTCAACTTCTACGAAGAGGTCACCTCGCCAGATGTTGCAGCCACTAACTTTTTGGTCACTCTAACAAAGAGTCGGAGAAAGCAGACTTACACCGTCCTTAACTTCATCAACGGAATCGTAAACCAATACGAGGCGGCACCAGACAATGAGAAGAACCCACGGGAAAAGGAGGGCGCATTGCGCATGATTGGAACGCTCCCTGGCGTTCTCCTGTCGAAGAAAAGCCCCATTGCCGATCAGGTTGAGTACTTCTTTGTCCGCCACGTTTTCCCCGAATTCCGAAGCCCTCACGGATTCTTGCGAGCGCGCGCCTGCGACACGCTGGAGAAGTTCGAGCAACTCGATTTTAAAGACCCCAATAACCTCATCATTATCTACCGTAATATCCTGGAGTCAATGGCAGATCCCACTCTCCCCGTCCGAGTTGCCGCCGCGTTGGCACTCCAACCTCTCATCCGCCACGATATCATCCGGACCAACATGAAACAAAACATTCCCCAAGTCATGCAGCAGCTTCTGAAACTCGCAAACGAGGTTGACGTAGATGCTCTTGCGAACGTTATGGAGGATTTCGTCGAGGTCTTTGCTCCCGAGCTCACGCCATTCGCCGTGGCGCTCAGCGAACAGCTCCGAGATACCTACCTCCGCATAGTCGGCGAGTTGCTCTCTCGGAACCAAGAAAAGGGAGGAGATGATGAATTTGGCGACTTCCTTGACGAGAAGAGCATTACCGCCCTCGGTGTCCTGCAGACTATCGGCACGCTCATTCTTACATTGGAGAGCACACCCGACGTTCTACTCCACCTCGAAACCATATTGATGCCCGTCATCACCATCACATTGGAGAATAAGCTCTACGATCTGTACAACGAGGTCTTCGAAATCATCGATAGCTGCACATTTGCCGCCAAGAGCATTTCGTCGACCATGTGGCAAGCATTCGAGTTGATTCATCGGACATTCAAGGCTGGCGCGGAGCTCTATCTCGAAGACATGCTGCCTGCGCTAGAGAACTTCGTCAACTATGGTACAGCGACATTGGTGCAGAACCGCCAGTACCTCGATGCCATAGTCGATATGGTCCGAACAATCTTCAAGGACGACAAGGTCGGCGGCGTTGATCGCATTTGTGGATGCAAGTTGGCAGAAATTATCATGCTCAACATGCGCGGCCACGTTGATGAATACGTGCCTGAGTTTATCAACCTCACCATGAACGTTCTAACGAACGACGAACTCAAAGTCAAGTCCCTTAGGATACACCTGATGGAAGTGGTCATCAACGCGATATACTACAACCCTGTCTTGGCGCTACACGTTCTTGAGACGAATGGCTGGACTAACAAGTTCTTTAGCCTATGGTTCTCCACCATCGACAGCTTCACCAGGGTGCATGACAAGAAGCTGTGTATTTCGGGTATCTGCGCGCTCTTGACCCTCAAGGGCCAGGATGTACCCGTCAGTGTCCAACAGGGCTGGCCTCGTCTCCTCCAAGGCATCGTTCGCTTGTTCCAGACACTGCCCGCCGCTTTGAAGAGTAAGTACCTCCGCCAGCCTTCTGGTAAGAACCACATTAACCTTTTGCAGACCGCGAAGAGGCTAAGAAGGAGGACAACTTCGAATACGCGAACTACGATGACGAAGAAGAAGACGAAGAATGGGGTGACGAGAATGAGTGGACCAACGAGCCCGAGGAGGCGGAAGACGTCAAGGACGAAAGCGCCGCTTACCTCGAATTCCTGAACGAAGAAGCCCAGAAATTCACCTCGGTCACCGATGATGATGACGACGAGCTTGAGGAGGAGAGCCTTCTCGAGACGCCGCTTGACAAGGTTGAGCCGTACAGCATGTTCAAGCATGCATTGATGAGTAAGTTGCACACCAGGGCTACTACTCACCGTCTGGGTTTGTTAGTAACAACTTCTAGGACTCCAACAAGAACAGCCTGCCCTTTACGAAAACCTCACCAAGAACCTAAACCCCGAAGAACAGCAGATCGTCCAGGGCGCCGTCCACCAGGCCGATGTCATCGCCCAAGCTGCTGCTCAAGCCGCAGCTGCGGCAGCAGCCGGCACCCAGCCCAATGGCGGTGCAGTAGCTGGACAATAGGATTGGCGGAAATATGCCCATCATAAGGCCAGGTCTGAGCGCAGCGTGCGCGACTTGTTTTACGACTCATAGATAGCCTTTCTGTCTGTTTTGGATTCCCCTCCTCTTATACATGTTGCCCACAACCCCTGTTTAGCGAGCATTTTGTCACGATTTCGTCGGCGTTGGTGAAAGCGGAGTGCTTTCCTGGCGGCTTTGCTCCGGCGCATCTTCAACCGGGCGGACTGGTGGAGGGACGATGTTATGATGCGAAGAAGAATGAGGGGTGTGCATGTGGGTGTCATGAGGAGAGTTGGGATAATCAAGGTATAGTGCGGAGGAGAGTTGAGATCGGTGTGGCCGACCACAAGATAAGAGATGGAAAAGTTGAGGGCTTCGGGATGGAGAAGGGGAAGGGGCAACAGGGCGGGTGAGGTAGATAGCGTCCTTTGAATAGGATCACGCGAATGAGAAAGAGCACGTTCATGTCTGCATGTTGGAATACGTAGATATCCCCAGATATATCTTAGAGCGACTGTTCGTAAACGAATAGTCAAAACGTTCAATCTAGTCAGGTTTGCATTCATCTGGTGAATCGAGCCACTGTCTGTGTGCAACGACAAGCGAAAGCTCGGTCAATGACGACCATGTTCCGAATTGATCGCGAAACTCCGTGCATCGTGCAAAGAAGCCTGGGAGGGTGTGTGCATGCAAGGTTGCTGCATTGATCAAAATGCGCAGATACAAACGATGCATATGTGGTGAAGGTTCCCGTGTTGACGTCTGGTCCAGAATCAGAAACAGTAGCTGCCTAAAGCGTGCCCTCATTGGATCGGTCAAAACTCCAGGAAATACTATGGCCATCTCGATTTCTCACAGTCGATGCGTGATACTGTGTCATGAGGAATGTCACATAGAAGGGCAGGATACCACAATTGATCACCATAGGTGCGCAGAGCATGTTTCGAGCTCATGCAAACGCTTCTACTGCAATACATGAACGTTTGGCTCATGAACGTTTGGCTCATGAACGTTTGGCTCATGAAGTACCGGTAGGTCCACGCTAGCGCAAACGTAACAGGCCGAGAGCAAGATCGCCAATGTACCATGCACCTTCACTTGCGCTAGTACTTCAAGAGCAGCATAAAGCTTTTCTGACGTCCGGCTCGCTTCCCTAACGCCGCATACCCAAACACGCCCAAATACACTTCGGCGTTGCAGCGATGCCGCCTGCGGTCGACACCATCAATGCTCTGGAGCAGGGCAATGCTGTTGAACGCGAGACACTGGAGAAGTTGAAGGAAGGCGCTGTGACACTTTTGGACGGCCTCATTACAAGCGGGGTGCTGCTCTTCAAGAGCTCAAGATCACCGCTCAAGAGGCGAGTATCCATAAAATGTGCAATTCAAGACCATTTAGGCTAACAAACTCGAAAGTTGCCCTCGAATCTGCTTTGGTGCCGGTCAATCACTTTGCACTTCTCATACAGATGTTCGGAAAGCTCCTGGAAGATTGCGAAGCAGCTGGAGAGAGGCGCAGTCAACGCCGTCGAAAAAATAAAGATGACATTGATCTTAACCACGACGCCGGCTGGAAGGATGTAGTGGAAGTGTGGGAAGAGATCAAGACATTTCGCTCATCACTTATCGACCTGGAAAATGTCGGATACTCTGGGCGAGACTATCGATTCCGCAGAGTGATGCAGGAGACATTGGATACGGCCATTCCAACGTGCGATCGGATTGAAAAGAAGCTCAGGAGCATGAGAAAAGTATGCGACGATACAAAAAGGAGGCAGAATATGTGGTCAACAAGGATGACGACGACGAGCGGCACGAGCAGCGGAAATATCGAGATCATCTCCGTGAACTAGCACAGCTGATGCAAAGACTTCGACACTAAATTGAAGGCTGAAAGTGGACCAAGAGCGGTGAGGATGAAAATGGCTGGAAGAGGGTTTGCTCGAACGATATGGAAACGACATCATGCAGGGGATTGTAGTCTGTCGCGTTTGCAGACCAGTTGCGCGACCTCGATACATAGTCTAATCCGATTCATTGGAGCATTGAAGACTGTCGCTCGATAGATAGTCCAAATATGGATGATCTGCAAAGGCGCCCTGTCCTCACTCTTGCCGTTCACCAGTCGTGCCTCCCTCCTTTGCGCGGCTCTTCCCGCACACTCACCAACAATTTTCCGACAACTTATGATTCCCTTCCCACTACATGATACCTCCGAAACTACGTACGTTTACCACCTGACAGCCGTAGTCGTAACACTATCCTCTCACCATGGCACCTACCTCTAGCACCCTAGCCGCACTCAAGGCATGCAATCAGCTCGAGCGAGATATACTTGAGCAAATGAAAGAGGGAATGCTTTCGCTGCTAGACGGCCTGATCGCGGAGGCAGACAAGCGCGACGCAACAATGGAAGAGCTAGAGGAGGAATTGGACACGGTTAGGGCCCTTTTCACGTGGAATCAAACGAGCGCTACCGGTAACGGGAGTAGGACAAATGCAAGATGTGCAGTATCATTTTCGAAGAGGCACGCATCTTTTCTTCACTCCATTCTGCACTCCAAAAGGTCGACCGCATTATGGATGACGAGATCCGCGAGATCAAGAACGACATGATCGATTCGTACGATCGCTACCTCGCCGCCACGGAGCAAGCTCGGGCGGAGTACGATCGAAGCGTCAACGACGGCGATTCCAGTTACAAGGACGTTCAGCTTTTGCAGGAATCTCGGAACCTTCTGGAGTCCAAGAGTGGCCAGAGTCAAGATTTGGTAGTCCGTGTCGATGAGATCAAGCGTAAACTCAACGGGCTACTATCGCGAAGTGCGATGATACCACTAAAGTACTGGGCTCATCAGCGGCGGAACAGATAAGAGATCTCGCAACCAGGAGGCTCAAGGCAGGTACTTGAATGGGAGGAAGGCTATGGACAGCCGTGGCAAGCGATTAGAGGACAATGGAAAGCTGATCAAAGATATACTCAAAGCCCTCGAGCCGTACACTGCATGAGCTGAGCTCGACTCCCGTACGGTGTTCAGTCATGCAAACGATGTAGCATGCGGCTCACACAATATATGTGTACATGGTGCAGGCAGTCGAGAAGTTTCATTCCGCTTGATGACTGCACAAAAAAACCTGCTCAACGAATCTGGGACAAACTCAAGATGGTTGGAGATGGCACAATGATCTTCGCGATAGCTCGAAATCCAAGTAATACATTCGCTCCCCTAGACCACTGATGTACTCAGTCTGAACCCATTCTAGAACATCAATCGCGTCTCCGGAGACCCTTCCCCCTCCGTAACACCATGCTAGATAGATAACCCAAACACGAATATAAAAACACACGTCCCCTACCTCGACTTCTGATAAGTTACATCAACATGGAATAAACTATCCCAAATACTCCCCTTCCGCCCAGGCGGCTGCTTCCTTGGGCTCGTCGCCGGACTAGCCGTCCTCGCAGCCTCGCCCTCACGCACAACCCTCTGCGTATCCGGCGGCCCCATCCTCGCCTCAGCACCGCGCAACACACCACTACCACTACCAGCCATACTCGACGACCCAAGCGAGAAGCCCCTGCTTGGCGAGACATACCGCTCAGACGAAGACGCGCGACCCTGTCACAAGTCAGCCCGGCTCGACGGCAACGCGGGCGCTTAGATTTACACTGCGCAGCAACTGCAAACCTAAGGGCCCCAGAGGTGGTCCTTCCTGACCTGGTACTCGCTCGCTGCACCGCTAGCCTCGCTCTCCCTCAGATGACTTGGGCCTGGCCCATTTCCCCCAGCCGGACTCGCGCCTCTCGTCGCGTTATTGGAATTAGGACCCGAGTCCACGACCGCCTCGCCGACGTCCATTGAGTTGCGGTGGCTCACCACGGGGACGCTCTTCCTGCTAGTTCCGCTGCTGCGCCGGCTGTCGAGCGACTTGCCCAGCGTCTTCGCGGGGTCGGCGCCGGGGGCTTTCTTTTCCATTTTGCCTTGCCCGTCGATGCGGGTTACTGCGGCGGCGGCGGCAGACTTGCCGAGCCCGGGGCCGCCCGGCGCGCCGGGCTTCTCTTCGGTGGCTTCGATGAGATACCACCGCAGCCCGTCGGAGAGCTCGAAGGGGTTGTCGTCTTCGAAGGAGACGGCGCTGCTGGAGGCAACGGAGCGGCCGTCGATGGAGGCGCGGGCTGCTGTGTCAATTGTTTTGGAGAGGTCGACGATACGCTCTTCAACTTTGGAGATGCGCGCTACGAGCCAGTCGCGGCCTTGCAGTCTGTGCGATTCTTCTTCGCGGAGGAAGAAGTGCGGGGCTCCGACGTTGAAGGCGGCCCAGGGTCGGGTGGCCTGGTTGCGCGTAGGGAGGAAGAGGGCTAGATCGCCTTCTTTAAATGAGCGGTAGGCGATCTTGTTGTGCGATTCGGTCTGAAGAGCTTTGGCTTTCTCGCGGTAGGCACGGGTCTCGTGCTTGAATTTACGAGCTGTGTATTCAATGTCTCGCATGCGCTTAGAAAAGAACTCGCAGAAAGTGTCCAGATCGAATCTGTTGAGGTTGTCCATGAGCTCGTGGTAGCGTTGGTCCTCTTCCTCGGGATCTGTCGACTCCGTCCAGTGTAGGAATGCAAGGTCAGCGTAGTTCTCAAGCTGCTGCTTCAGAGGTGTAGGCGAAGGCGTGGTAGTGCTCCTGCCCAGACCGATGGTGTCGGACAGTGTCGTGCTATTACCGACCTTTGACGCTCGATGCAAGGTCATGGTGCCGTCTTCGAAAGTGATGACATATCCGAGCGAATCTACGAGACGAAGCAAACGATCCTGTTGCGAGTATACGCGCTTGCTGAGTTCCTTGGCACGGCGCAATCGCTCGTGGGTTCTTGAAGAATCAAATTCTTCGTACTTTAGGATCTTCTTCTGCAGGTGCATAAGCTCGACATCCAGGCTGTTTGAGTGGCCTCTCTCCTCCGCGAGTTCCATCTGGAGTCGCCCGAGTTTCTCTTCTTCCTCTTCCACACGCTTTCTGAGTGCTTCGGAACCTGTTTCACCTTCTGCGAACTTGGCCCTCAAATCATGGAGGTGTTGGCGTTCTTCGTCGAGCTCTGTGGAGATAGATGTGACCTTTGCATTTGCCTTGTCCAACTGCTCACGTAAGGACAGTGTTGTCGTCTCCTCATTGACGAGCTTAGACTTCAGGGCCGTTTCTTGCTCATTTGCTGTGCGACGAGCACTCTCGTTCTCTGCTTTTGCCATCGCTACAGCTTGTTGGAGCGCATGAAGGTGATCTGAAGAACGCTCAGCCAGAACTTCGATATGCCTGACCAGCGACTGGGTGTCGCTAGGGACTTCTGTAGCGGGCTGCAGATGAGTGAATGCGTTGGAGAGTGATTGGTATTGCTCGTCGTGCGCTCTATTCCGTTTTTCAAGCTCGGCTCGTACGTCGGCAACCCGCTTATTTGCTTCTTTGCTTTGCTCTGCGGCGTGTTTACGGACCCTCTCAATCTCAGCCACCAGTTCCTGAATTTTTGCATCGACGCCTGTCCGCTCGTGGTCACGACTGCCAAGTACGCGATCTAGCTCATCCTCAGCCTCTTCGATCTTGCTCTTATACGCCTGTATCTCTTGTTCCAAGGAGCGTCGCTCATCAGCGAATTCCTTCTGCTGTGCTTTCATGTTCTCCATGAGCTCAGCTTTGGTAGAAACCGCTTCGTTGATCTGTGTTTGCAGTGTCAACTCTTCGTCTTTCTTCGCTTGTGCCTCTTTCTCAAGACTGGTGCGTGCCTCCTTCTCAGTCGCCAGTTCTTGCTCTAGGCGTACAATTCGACGCTTGTCGTCTTGGCCTTGATTCGTAGAGAAACGCCGTGAAGACACTGACGATCTTCGAGAATGTTCTACCATTGGCCCAGGGGATGGTGCCTCGATTGTCGGGGTGGAGGGATCAGCAGGGCTCTGCGGTCCAAAAGATGGCATACCACCTCCAATCGAGAGCCTATTGATGTGGTTCTGGCGGTGTAGGACATCCTCCAAGCGTCGCACTCTACTCTTGGAGCCCCTTAGTTCGTCCTCTAGCTTGGCATTTGCCTCTTTCAGCACGCGAAGCTCTTCGTCTCCTCTCAACATAAGCTGGGAATTTTTGCCAAAGGCAGGCTCATGAACACTTCCCATCTTGAAGGCTTTTGCGCGCTTGACTTGCTGCCGCGTAGGCCGGTCCAGGTCTTTGATGGTCTGAGCCAGCGTCTCAGCCTCAGTACTCTGTCCTTCGAGCCCTTGCAGTATCTTGTGGTAGTCGTTGAGCTCGACACGAGTGACTTCTGGCCAATTCTTCTCAGGCTGGATGTTCATCTCGAAGCCCGATGGGCTCGTCTGTACAGCCTCCAGGTTGACCACATCCGAGACCTGTTTCAGCCATTTCTTTCTGCGGCGGTCCTCTTCTTCTTGGAACGTAGCCATCTCTTCGGCAAGCGATGATGTATCTCTCTGCATCTTCTCAGCCCATTCGCGCCGGCGCACGGATTCGACCATGAGTGTCCCATAGACAAAAGGCAGTCTTCCGACGAGCGATATCAACTCAAACGCAGCCATGCCTTCTGGCGGGAGATTAATGTTGTCCAGTTCCGCGTGAAGTCTCGCTATATTGGATCCGATATCAGCAACTCCGCGCATGCTCTCAACTGCGCCCCGAACCGCGTTGTTCTTCTGCTCTACAGACCGTCTGACCAGATCGCTCATCTCGATGCTGTACTCCTTGATCGCAGGTAGGAAATTTCGGGTATGCAGTAATGCCATCTTGGATACCGAGGCCACCGATTTGGGATCTGAAGGGAGGCCCATGACGTGTCCCAGATCCGAATTTACTTTCTTGACCACCAGATCGATCTCGTTGTACAGCCGAGGGGGTTCCTCCGAGTCGTCTACCAATGACCTACTTTGACTCTGCCCTGCCGCGCCCTGAAGGTCGTTGTATTCGCCACCGATCCTCTCCACTTGAGCACCCATGTCCGCCAAATGTTTCTTGAACACTTCGCGAACGGCTTTGCTCACGCCTGTGGCTTGTTTAATCGAGTCAAAGTCCAGAAAGTCCTGCAGAGACATTGCCCGACCAGCAGAGGAGCTCTTGCGGACGCTCTGTACTGTTTGCGCCGATCGTAACTCCTTGGCCAAGAATTGAATGAATTCGCCCTTGGCTGGTATTGCCCCCAGTTGACCATAATCCGCATCCAGTCTTCGCAGGTTCTCGACTGCTTCTTTCTCGACCCCATCGAACCACTCCTTTGCCTCGCGGTGTTTCTGCTCTAAACCTTTGACGTGTGCGCCAGGATTTCCGACAGCAACTTGCGTTGCTTTCTCTATGGTTGCTTGCTCGGCGAAGGTCTGGGAGGCCGCGCGGGACATGGAGAGTGCCTGCTCCAGGACAGCGTAGGCCCAGTCGCGGCGGGCCTGGAATAGTGTCTGCCATGCTCTGAGGTCGGTGTGGCTGGATAAGGTATCGGGTGGGTCATCGGGGGCAAAGGGTTCGGGGAGCGGTGCTTCGATGGAGGCAGCCTGGGACACAGCGGAGAGCTCGCGATCGTAGACGAAGAGGTCCTTCTATGACAATGTCAGCGTGGGGAACGGCTACAGGAGAGCTGGAAGTACCTCTGTCAGCAGTGTCTGCAGCTTTACGTGCTTCCCGCGCGGCGTCAGTAGTATCTGGTGCTCGGGCGGTATGTTCACTACGGTCGCGATCCACTGCTTCAGCGCATCGACCGAATTGAAGCCGACGGGATCAGCGTCAAAACGCTGGCCCGTATGAGCTACAGCTATCTGCAGCGACATTCGGGGCCCGCTCCAGCTGCACAGCTTCTGCCTGGTCAGCTCGTGGAGGAGAAAGAGAGCTCGAGTGTAGGAAGTCCACGGCGTTAGGCACGGTACCGCTAGGGCGCGTGGTTGCAGGGATTAGCGGCACGGGCCCACCGAGGCTGATCATCTACCACCTGGAGTACCCACCAAAGACGCGCTCAGGTGGGCGATCCATGTTTCTTAAACGTGATACCTGATCGCGATAGCACTCATGGCGACTTCAGACGATGTCCACATGGGCGATGCTGCGACTTCTAAACCTATCAACGCGAACGACTATACCGATTTGCTCCAAACGCCGCACACTGACGCGTTCGCGTTCTCAGAAACCGAGCAATTCGCGCTGCAGCTCTACGACCAACTGCGGGAGCTTGAGCTAGAAAAGAGCCTCCTCGAGGCGCACGTGAAAGGTACATCTTCGTCATTATCATGTGCACATATGAGAAAGTCAACCAATCTAACGTCATTTTGTCAGATGTGTCTGACGTTTCAGCACTATCAGATGATGTCTTACACGAGCACCTGATGGCCGCAGAGCGCGAGGCCATGGAAGCCAAGGCAAAGTTCGAAATTCGTAACAAAGTATCTCAAAACGTACTAATAATGGATCCCGTCCTCAAGGCTGTTCATGGTGGCCAGCACCACACCGTCGAAAAGTATGTGTACGTGCGAGATTTGCTCCACGTAGGCTGATCTTTCGCAGACGCTTGTTGCCTCTAATCTCTGAAAACGATGCCGTGTCCATGGTCCATGGTTTGTTGACCACGAAATTGGCAAACACACAACGTATCTTGAGCGCTGCTGAGCGAGGCAACATTGCCACCAACAAAGAGAACCGCAATCAATCCAGAACTGTCTTGGAGTTAGCTGAAGAGGCGAAGGCCCAGTCGATCGAAGACATTGGCAACCTTTCGCTCCGCGAACAAGTTGGAAAAGCCGAGGCAAACGTCAAAGAATCCCGAAAACGCACAGCTATCATCAAAGGAATTCTGTCTGCGATGATCGTTGGAAGCGGCATCAATTGGGCAGCCGACGAAGAGCTACGTGAGCTCGTCATGGATGACGAAGAAGCCGGATGAGACCCGTGTACCAACAAGATCTTCGAGCATACCGCTTGCCCCTGATTCTAAGATTGAAAGCTGCAAATGAGGATGGTAGCAATAGCTCATGGACACAACCATCTGCCGGCACGCGCGGTATGTGGTGGTCTTCGCTCGAGATGGGACATGGAGCTTCAAGTTATCGATGGAACGCGACCTTCAAGCAACGGTGCGCTCAAAGCCAGCGGCATTTTCACCATCAAGCTAAGGAAAGCTGGCCACAAATACCCCCGAGCCCAGCCTGCAGCGGCATGTTAATGGCCACAGTATCGGAGGGTGCAAGAAGACTTCAAAGCATAGGGTAGGGACAGAGGTAGCCTCCCGTAGATGCCAGCGATGAAGTTCAGCCGTGTTGTCGCAATGAAACGAAATTCTTCCGTTCCTGATTGTGTTGGTCAAGTTCATGAGCACGACTTCGGGACCCACTCGACATCCCAATGATGTATCGTCTCGATGCAATGCGTTATGTGCTTCTGCAATGACCCCCGGTGAATTAGTAATGCCCACTGCCAGTGCGAGACGTTTGGTTTTGGGACAGTGACGATTAAGCGATGGCACGGGGGAGTTGTCCCGGGAGGCCATTTGTCGGCTCCGCTGGGGTCCAAGGGTTACGTGGGGTATGAGACACGCCCCATGGCTGTGCTCTCTGCAGGATCAAAGCAGTGGTACCGACCGATCTTGGAGAGAGGAAAAGAATGAGCAATGCCATGGTCTTACGAATTGCCGAAAGGGCGGTTCAAGGTGCCCAACACGTGGGGCGACAGGAGTCTTCGCTGGGCACATGGCGATTTTGAGGGAGTGAGCAGCGCGACCAGGGGCATCGCCATGTCTACACTGTACGGTCTACTGATAGCTGTGCAGCGACAAGGCTGGGCGGGCTGGAGCTGGGATGCTACCGGTTGTGGTTAGACGGGTCGAGACGCAAGCGGCCGTCGAAACCAAGGTGGATAGTCGCGCGTCGTACTGCTGCGACTTGGAAGCATCAACGAGTGTGCAATGCTTGTCTGATTGCTGCGGGCTGAAAAGGCGCATGCGCAAGCTGATTAGCCACGGCGGTCCGCCGAGCGCGCCTGGACTCGATGGTTCCAGTGAGCCAGCCCTAGACGCATGGAGCAGAAGGGGAATGGGATGATATACACGGCATCGCCTCGAGAGCTCCGCTGCGCACGCCGGACCGGTCACGCAGCAACGGCGGCGAGCTGGGAGGAGGTGTCATTTCGCGCAGGACGAATTAGAGTTCCCTGCCCTCAGCGGCCTGCATGAAACGAGGCAGGAAGGCACCACCAGTACCATGTTCGCTCATTCCAGCAATCGTGCCTGCCCTCCGACGCCCGACACGCAGGCCGGTAGCAGCACGGCGGCGCAGAGAGGCGGCGAGAGGGCATGCATCCCAATGGTGCGAAGACGGCCGATCCGCGCGCACCGTCTGCGGCTCTTGCACGCGACACGGCGAGCGCGCAGTCGCGGCCTGGACAGTGGGAGGGGTCGGGTCGGTCTGTTGTTGCTGTGTTTAGCGGCAAGCGCGAAGGGGCTGGGCCGTGCACGCCGCGCTGTTGGGTAGTCGCGCGCCCGCCGCACAGCAAAGCTGTCCTGCGCAGCCAGTTCCTCACCCAGCACACCTCTGCTCATACAAATCGACGTCCGCAACTTTCGCCCTCAAGGTGAGTCTCGCGTACCATAACTTGCACCGCCAGCACCCGCATTGCGCGCGCAACACAACATGTCTTTTTTTGCGCGTTTTCACGCCATCATGCCCTCTGCAGCTTCATCTCTTGCTTCTTCAGAGCGTCATCGCGTTCCATTTATTTCGTCGTCGCCGTCATCAGCTTCCCGCGCATACCAGTACTGATACACCACAGACTTCAGTCAACGGCGAATTATCCAGCATTTTCAAACACATCCGTAAGTACTTCCGCATGCTTCTTGCTCGTCTCGCGCAATCTCGCGACACCGCCATGTGGTGTTGTGCGAACGCGGCGCTCCACGCACGCGCAGCGACGCGATGCGCCCTGGTCACCATGCACCGCAGCAACTGTCTGCGTTTGCCATGGCACCTGCTCTGCTCTCACTTCACCCACATGTAACCTGTGCCGCCGCCCCCCATTTTGTTCATTGCACCGTACCCCTCGGCCTCAGCTCAACCCACAGCTCCTCTGACTTCCGCTTCAGACAGCTACAGCAGCTACATACACCACCATGCCTAAGGAGAAGTCTACCCGCGGCAAGGGCAAAGCCACCAAGGCCGACGCCGGCAAGAAGAAGAAGGGTAAGTCTCACGTGCCCTGCACATTTCCAAGGTTGCGTCATTGTGTTGACAATAACAGACCCCAACGCACCCAAGCGCGGTCTCTCTGCCTACATGTTCTTCGCCAACGACCAGCGTGACAAGGTCCGCGAGGAGAACCCCGGAATCAAGTTCGGTAAGTCTTCGTATGCTGTTTGTCTTCACAAGGCTGACATGTATTAGGTGAGGTTGGCAAGATGCTCGGTGAGAAGTGGAAGACTCTCTCCGAGAAGCAGCGCCAGCCCTACGAGGCCAAGGCCGCCGCCGACAAGAAGCGCTACGAGGAGGAGAAGGTAGCCTACCAGGTAAGTCTCCCTGCTCACGTCTATCACGCATCGCAACTGACCACATCCAGAACGCCGCAGAGGAAGAGGAAGAGGAGTCCGAGTAGGCTGCTTGCTGTTGATCAGTGCTCGCACACCTGGCCCACCTCCTGACCAAATCCTCCGATCCATTGACTTCTACGGGTGTCAAGGGCTAGGATATTGTATCAGGTTTTCATGTTTCTCTCATCTGTCATCTTATTCCAGGATGGGTCTTTCGGGGGAGCTTTCTCGTCTTGGTAATTTTCAGAAGACCGCAGGAAGCTTTTGCATGAGGCTTCTTAATGATGCTTGGGCGTCCCAGCAACTTCGGGCGCGGGAGGCATCACGAAGCTCATGACTACCATGTATATTAGTTGTCTGCGGAACGAAAAGTGCTGGCAGATCTTTCAACTTGCCGTGACTAACTTTTGGTGTTGTTGAGCTACTGTTGAACAACGCGTTGTTCGTGGAGTGTCTCCGCGTAGAGCTGCTCATGGCCTCGCGTATTTTGGATCCCTAACAGTGTTCAACCTCTGCCACACAAGCCTTAACCTGCTACAGCATCTCGTCAAGTGTTTGAGGCCATCAAGGGGAGCACGCAGTGCCCACACCGATGCCCTGTTCCTCTAACATGTACCTGTCTCGCCGCCATGCCCTTCTCGTCTTCACCCCAAGCCGTGACGCATGCATATACATCTGCATAACATACCTAACATCGGACCTGTGCCATGCTATACTATACTTGTTGTGAATGATCTACCACTCTACCACGAGGTGTCCCTTTTTTCTGTATGGAAAGACAAGTAAAGAATCCCAGCAGTCCACGCAAACGGATTCTGTGCAGATTCGCCCTGTCGTCTCCTCGCGTGCTTGCGCCTACCCCGACCGCCTCATCGGAAACCCGCAGCGACAAACGCACGCTGCCGTTGCTCTTCTCGTACCCCCTCCCCTAACCCCCGGTCCTTCCATTCTCTTCTCGCAATCGAACCGTTTCTCCCTTCGGGGCCGTGTTTCCTGGGGGTCATATATCGTGATCAAGACACGATGGTAGCATCAAACAAGAGCACAGAAAGCGCCGTTGGTGCAGTGGTTAGCATACTGCCTTCCCAGTGCTTTGCGGCTGAGAGGCAGGGGTCCGGGGTTCGAACCCCCGACGGCGCAGTTGCTTGCTTCCTTTTTTCTTTCGGTGGCGTGGTGGAGGAAGGAGGAGTGGACTGTCTTTCTGGGCTGCCCGAGGTTCGGGCTCGTCCGGATCGAAAAGTGTGTGTTTGGGACTGGGATATGGAATGACGGAGTAGGATGGAATATATGGAGCGGAATAAGCATGCAGGAGTGCTGGAGGTGAGACATTGGGTAGTATGACGCAAAGTACGCATAACAATCATTTGACATCATGACGTGGTATATGTAGTAGAAGATGGATATCTCCTTCTTATATGGATGACCAAAGTACTGATACTGTTAAACGCCATACTACCGAGGCTGCAAATATAGACCCCACCATGACTTACTCCAACGGCGTGGCTGCAATACGCTGTCCCAATTTCGAAACAGGGTGTCAAGACAGGAAGATCTAGGCTTCGTGATACCTTCTTCCCCAATGAAAGACCTCTTCCATCAATAGCTCCCTAGCGCCTACTCGCGCTGTAGTACCACCATCAACCCCATTATGCCCAGCATGGCCTGTTTCAACCATGGGTATTCGCTCAGCAAGATCGTGACGTACCCGACAAAAGGGATGAAGCCGACGACGCTGCCGATGACATCCTCCTTGCGGTTCAGGTGGGTTTGACCTGCGGCGTAAAGCTCCGTGTCGTCCGCGAGGTTGTTGTCACCTTTTGTGAGGAGACGGAGAGGTGATTTTCTGAATTCGAATATCAGCACTCTTAGGCCCCGAAACAGAGAGGTCAAGACAGCGGTGTCAGAGAGAGAGCTTTTACAAGCTTCTCATGCTCGTCGCAACCACCGCAGCCTGCGCGCGGGTGTTTTCTTACCCTCCGCCGAATCTCCGCACCACACGATGCACAATCGGAATGTCCTTCCCCTTCACATTGTATACGACGACCTCCCCCAGCTGTGTATCCAGTCCCCGGTTCCACAGGAACAGCAGGTCTCCTCTTTGGAAGGCGGGCTCCATGGATCCTGACAGCACGACGACAATTGGTGAGGGCGAGTCCGCGACGACAGAGATGCCCTTCCATAGCATGAATGCGGTAGAGAGGACGAGCGCGAAATTGAGGACTTGGGTGGCCAGCTGCCGGGGCTGCATGTTCGCTATGCCCATCATCTTTGTGGCGGGGACGGAGGTCGGATTTGGATCGTGAGTCGGATTTTGGTATGTCTCGTGGGTGCGTCGCGTGCGTCTAATCTCGCTTGTATGGTTCGAAGCTGTCCCGAGTGATCATGGGGCCGTGGGTAGTTGCGCGGGTTGTGCTGTTGCGGAGCGAGAGCTTGATGCCAGATGTTCGTGAAACCGGTGATTGGCTAGTGGTGGACCCTGGTTTACCTCGCCTGACTAAGCTGCAACACCTACACCACAGCACTTTCACAATTCACCTCTGTGATCAGTGCTGTCGATGATCATGCACACTGATGCTGCTGGCTCTGAGGAATTCGTCTGCTTTTGAAATGGAAGAAGCGGGGTCATCCTCTCTCACGTCTGATTGCTTCAGCAGCAACTTACCTTCACCTTTGCTAATTGCCTTCCCCCACGGTTGCAAGAAATATGTTATTCCAACTTGCCAGTGTTTCTCTTCTCAACTTTCTACCCGCTCGTTCCTGACGGACCTGTGCGAACTTTTTAGAGTACATGCCAACTGGAGCCAAATAGTGATCTCTCAGTACTACCACAACCTCTGGGACACGGCAATAACGATTGAGCCAGCCCATCATACCAGACAATAAGCTTACCTCCGGATACAATGATTCAGATACCGTCCCCCGGAGTATACGTCCTCCTTCGACGCATGGGAAGACCAGACTGGCCAGCAATGATTTGCACAGATGATATGGCTCCCAATGACCTGCCACGGCCAAATGGGTTTCTCACCCTTGTCCTTTTGATCGACAGAAACCCGACCTTGTGAGTTCATACCATCCAAAAACATATCGAAATGCCTTGAGTCTGACCCCGAAACGATAGCTACTACGCAGCGTCAGGAGAGCTCCTTGAATTCGAACCCGTCGGAGAACATCCTGACAAAGAACTGCAAGCTGCCCACGATCGCGTACTACAGTCGATGGACTCGTCGCGATCGAGCCTCGATTATTGGAGGCTCAGAACTGAGCACCAACGGGGACCATCGAAAGTCACTGTACCACTGACTACACTGACGCCTATATCATCACACAAAAGCGATTACGTTTCCGACTGTGGCGAGATCGAAATAGCGAAAATTCTGAGTCTCAGCGCGTGGAACGAACGCACGGAGAGGAATCGGATGTCTCTATCGCCACCAGCACCCACGGCCCAATCACGCTTTGCAACAGCGGCCCTGGGACGCGACCCGCGGCGGAGGATGGAGTCTGCTCAAGGGGGCTGTCTAGCCGGATTCAGCCGTCCACGGCCACGAATATTCAAGAGTGCTCGGGCCGCAGCCGATCTTCGAGAACACTTTCGACCCATACGAAGTGGGAATAGGACAATCTCAACTGGGTCAAATGCGAAGCGATACAAACCAAATCAAAAAGACTATATCAATGGTGAATTGTAAGTACGGTATCACGTCCATGATTGTGTCTCAAGCGTGATTCTGACTGTTATTCTCAAGGTCAAGTAGCTGCGAGCTCGTCAAAGTCCACGTGGGAACAGGAAATGACGAGTTCTTGATTCCGAAATCGGAGGTAGAAAAGCTTCCTTTCCTATCTGATCCGCAGATTGGGTGTATGTCTACCATGGACGATGGAACATCGAGACTTGACTTGCAATGTCTCCAAGACTTCGATCCCGCTCACTTCAGGTTCGTGGCCGAATTCCTCTCTACGGGCCAGTTCGGCCACTCCATCGTCAACGAACAGACGCGCGAGGCCGTTCTTGAGGAATGTGCGGATGCATGGCCGATCGCAGACCGTATCGTGCTGGAAGATATGTTAGACCATATTGTGGCGAAAGTACAACAAGCGCAAGTGCAGGAGTGGGAATTGGCCTGGGCTTTGGCTCTCATAGTTTATGAGACGTCCGGAACGCCGCTTGATGCGTACAAGCTTATGAAAGAGTTACTCGTCGAAGTCATCGCGGCCGACTTCCTCGCCAAGGTTGATACGTATGCTACCGAGCACGGCAATGATATCATTGACCATCTCCGAGATCTACCTGAACTTGAGCGGGATATTTACAGGAGACTGTTAGAGACTGCGGAGCAACGAGTCGGTGAAAATTGATCGTGCTGTAACTTGAACTACAACATTTACTCAAACGATTGACCAAGCGTGGCACAACGGCTATACGATATTTCGTTCCACTTCAGCACTGAAACTTCTCATCCAAGTATCTGAAACTACCATTAAGATCTGCACTAGAAGCTGTTCGACCTAGGGTTACTTAAGGCGTCGTCACGGACCGCCATTCTACCTACCAACTCGTCGGAGAAAATCACCTATCCCGGTTCATCAGTGAGTTTGAGCAGCGGCTTCGCGAGGTGTTATAAGGATGTTTGAGGAGTTGCGCTCAAGTTGGGCAGACAGTATGCACAAGGCTCGGTCTGCTCACATTGGCGGCAGTATTTGTAAACTATCTACCATCAATATATTCCTTCGAGACAATAGCATTTCGTGGTTTTCCTAGCTGATATATGGGTGTAGAAAGTGACTGCACTGTGTGCGCGATGGATAACACGAAATATCTGCCACTCTCTTCCATGTTCTGTTCGCTTTGCGTTGCGTACGTCAACGCCTACCACAAGCCCTTGATCTGCGATACGCGTTGCGTAGGCGCAATGCCTTCCATACTATCCGCGTTCCCCTGCACTCCCTCCGACCTCGAGAAGCTTCCACTGTCCTGGAAAGTCGCGAAATTCCCAGTGTTTCGGTCCGCGCTGGCATCCCAGCCAAGGGCCTCTTCTTCGTTGTTATTGTAGTCCACAGGCTCCCACTGGGTATCTTCTTCTTCACCTTGATTCACGAATAGAGACTCTGGATCGTCTTGCAGCCGGGTTGGCGACGATGGCTGGCGGGAGCCTACTTGGCGTCGAGTGGACCGTCGAGAGGCTGGTTCCACAGGCGGTGGCATGCTGCGATTGTCACGAGCATCCGGGGCAGCTGCAGATATAGCGCGAGATGCGACGCGGCTTGCAATTTGGGGAGCAACAGGAGCGGGTGTCGGCGGGGCAGTTCCCCCATTGTAGTCTCCTGATGTCATGAGCGTGAACTCGCAGAGCAGACCGTCAGAGCCGTAACTGAACTGTAGTGGACGTGTGGGTTGCGAATAATATGCCTTCAAACTAGTTTTAAGCGTGTCAGCGTGTATGACAATCGCCTTGAAGTCCTTCACGCTGATGACGATGTGTAGCCCGGGCTGGACCTTGAACTCTTCGAAGTCGGATGTGTTGACAGCAACGGCGGTTACGAGTGGATGCTTCAAGATCTCTTTGCCATTCGCAATCTTCTCTGTATAGCTCTTGAACACAGCGCGCCCATCATCCCCGGCGAAGACATCTAGCATCTCTGTCTTGGTGCCGAAGAACTCGATGTATTCTTTCATGGCGCCTGCGTTCATGCTCCAACGATTTACCGCCGCGTTGCGGTCGAATAGGGCGTGCATGACATCCACAGCTTCGTAGGTGAGTTTGTAGGTCTTGATGACTCCCTGGTTGCAAACCATTTTGACTATAAAGCGACATTGCGTCTCATCTGCGCGATCTTGCACGCTCACCTCGCACCTGTCGATTGCACCGTCTCGGCCTAGAGGATCATACAAACGCCCTTTGAAGACCGAGAGAAGAGCTTTGGTGTACATGCTGCACGTGAAACGTCCTTCGGGACCGCCATGACTGGGTATACACTCGTAAGTGGAAAAGAACTGCTTCCCGTCGAGCGTCAAGGCGGCATAGGCGGATTTGGAAGAATTGAGAGCGGTGAAGACGAGCTAAGGGAAAGGAATGAGACACCGATATGTTAGAGGAAGTGATCAACCTACTCGTTCGCGACGCGACTCAATGGCGACCGTGTCGCTGAATTTTCCTAGGCAGACGAGCAGGTCATGAATTTTGGACGCTGCCTCAGGCGTGAGGGTGAAGTTGAGCACGACCATCGCGTATCATGGTGATAGCATATACCGTTATTATTCAGTGTCCCAATTGGATGGAAGGTGTTGGCGGGTCGAGGCATGTGCGTGCGGAAGGCGCGCAAACCGAAAGCGGCTAAGCGCTGTTCCTCGTGACGTTGTGCACCACACTGCGCGAGGGCCCGGACGACGTACGCCGTCGGCACCAACGATAACAAAACATTCGATATGGCTCCAGCACTTCCAGATGACATCTTACACTTGCTATGCGAGCAGTTGGGCGAGCAGGAACAGTTTGACGCGCTGTTCAATTGCGCATGCGCTAGCCGAAGTCTTGCTATACCTGCCTTAACCAATCTGTATCGGTACGTTTTGATTGATGTTGTATCACCTCAAGTCGATGCAAGCTTGTGCAAAGTCTGAACTTGAATGCGACGAAGATGTGGACTCAACAGCTTATACGAAGCTAACAGACGTATAGTGCTCATCACAAATCTCCCATTCGCGGAGCTGATCAAGACGATGTTGCTTTTCAACGCTCCATGAGGCTATTGGTTGTACAAAAATGGTCGTACGTAGATGAACTCAGCTACACCTTCTCGTATGTATAGAGCTCTCGCTAAGATCCTGTCATTGCTAGCATCCTATGGAAGGCCATCATCGCCTCGGCTCTGGACGCAACGCTATTTCCATATTGTCGGTATATCAGGGCGCTCGATTTCCGGGACCTGGAAAACTTGCTGGAAGACGACCAGTTCACGGCCAAGGTGTCAAAACATTTCTTTGGTGGCCCGATGAAACAGTTCCACAAGACGGAACCAGTGACCCAGCACAACGGGAGGAAGCTCGAACGACTGAACGTCAAGTCGATCGTTAACGCGATCGGAGAGGTGGTGACTCAGCATACACCTACCCTCGAGATGATCAGCGGCCAATTGTCCTCTACGGCCTTGATGCAGTGGGCTCCCAGGGTTCCCCGCCTCCAGGAACTGGAGCTGTGGGACGGTAGCACCCTCGAAGATGGACTTGTGGCAGCTTCTATTCACGAAAATTGCCCCAACTTCAACTCTCTCATGATCTTCCTTTGGACCGGTATAGACAAGGATCATAAGTTTGCTCAGTTCTTATCAGCGTTACGACCAAACACGTTGCAAAAGCTAAATACGATCAGCGACATTGGTGCCGCTGCGGAATCTTTCCTTGCGCTCAGCGCTCACGGCCAGTCGCTGAAAAGCTTGAAGTGCGTTTCCACTCACGCTGTATTAGAAAAACTGAAGCTAACCGTATCTTGATTCACAGGATCTGTGTATCCGATGATTCATTGCCACATTTGTCACTACTATCAGGCTGTACCGCTCTGGAAGAAGTACGCATTGAAGATGTTCATAGCAGGACGACGCTTGAAGATACACAGAATGACGTATTTCTAGAGACGATCAATTGGCTCCGCAGTTGCGAGAAGCTATACCGCATCAGGTTCACGGGACTGCTCTCTGCTGCAACACTCCTCACGCCCATTCTTCTGGAGCAAAAGATTCAGTTGAGGTCACTCGAGATTGACTCCTATGTTTTGAAAGATAGCCGCCAGTTCCACCAGGCTCTCGTTCACCAGAAAGATTCCCTGGCCTACTTATCGCTCAGTGGCGACACGGATGGGATGTTCCGTGATGATGTTGACATTCTTGTCGACTCTCTCAAAGAGCTGAAACAGATGGAAACCCTTCGCTTGCTCTTGCAAGAGATGTTCCGGGAGGAACATTTGATTAATGTGGTCAGCAATCTCAGTCGACTGCAGGAGCTCTATGTTAGCGGTCTCGAGCTTACAGACAGCCTTTTGGAAGTAGTCGGCACGCTCCCAAACTTACGCAGCGTAGCCTTTGCGGGCATTTCAAAGTTCACCATGGGCGGGCTTACCGGCTTCATCCACCAGCTAGGCCCGACTAACGCTGGCATACGCGTCATGATTGACATGGCCGATCCTGACACTCTGATCGATGATGGGGAGGTCAATGACCTAAGGGCCCTATTAGCAGAAAAGGTCGGGGGGACTTTAGATTATACACCATGGAGAGGTACGAGGCTTGCCAATCTGGCTCGATCAGTATGACTAACATGTCCTACAGATCCGAATGTCTCAGAATTCGAAGGCGACTCGGACTAGGATGATTTTTGCTTTTCGAATCGATGTGAAACCAGAAGAAGGATCAAGTTATGACAGGGTCGGTATTAGCGGGGTTACCAAGAGGCTAGTGTTACCTCTAGCGCTCTACTTTTGTATGCAAAAGATTATCATTCTCGATAGTCATGATACCAGAAACGAAGAGAAGATGGTCTAAAACTCAAATGTTGCTTCACAAATCACATTGCTCCTGCTCTGCATGTGAGCAGTTGTGAAGTGCCTACGCTAAGATGACGTTGGTCTCGCTTAGCGGGGCGCATGAAGAACATTTCTAGAACCTCGTCCATGCTCCCATGTCGTCCCATTGATCGTAGTACCAGCATTGCCATGTCCCCAAAACGGATATTAGTAATTGCCGGCTCCGATAGTTCGGGCGGAGCGTACGTTCCGCTAGAATCGAAGTCTTAACCTGGAGTCGCTAACTCATCATGGTAGCGGCCTCGAAGCAGACCAGAAGGTCATTGCAGCGCATGGATGCTATGCGATGACTGCAACAACCGCTTTAACGGCGCAAAACACATTAGGCGTTCAAGACGTCCACCATACCCCCCCGCCATTTGTGAAAAAGCAGATCGATGCCTGCATTGATGACATTGGCGTCGATGTCGTCAAGACTGGTAGCATTCCCATTGACATGCGATACGAAACATTCTTGCTGACACCATTGAGGTATGCTCGCATCTGCAGAAACAGTCGAAGTCGTTGCCGATGCCTTTCGTCGGCACAATATCACTACCTCTGTCGTTGACCCTGTATGTCTCCCAATTCAGCAACGCTGCCTTAGCTCATGCTACATCAGGTTATGGTATCGACAAGCGGGTCCAATCTTCTTCCCACCGCCGCAATTGCAACCTTGATTGGCTCTCTCCTTCCTTTGACAACGCTTCTCACCCCGAATCTTCCTGAAGCAGAGCTCCTTCTCAAAACGGCTGGCAAGGAGCTGAGATCACCTGAGAGTGTAGACGACATCATCCGCATCGCCAAGGCAATCAAAGAGCTTGGACCCAAATATGTTTTGGTGAAAGGCGGACATATTCCTATGACGAAGGGGAGACTCGTGCCTAAAGATGAAGCGGAGAAGCACATCGTGCTGAATGTATTAATTGGCGATAAAGACGATGTGACTGTCATGGAAACAGCATATCTAAGGAGCCGCAATACACATGGGACTGGATGTTCGCTTGCATGTATGTCTTGATCAAGCGCTTCGATGCATGACGCTGACCGATAAATCAGCCGCCATTGCTTGCAATCTTGCCTCTGGGATGAATATGAAGAGCGCTGTCCAGAAAGCTAATCTGTACATCGAGGCGGGGATCAGAACCGGTTCAGATATTGGACGGGGCAGCGGTCCTATCAATCACTTCCATTCGACATACACATTACCTTTCGCTCCGTAAGTAACGTTAAATTGCGTTACGAGGATTGCTAACATACGCCAGTGGCGCTTTCATCAACTACTTACTCGACCGTGATGACGTGAGAGGACCTTGGCAGAAGTTTACACAGTGAGCTATCTCGCTCATTATGCAGAACACATTCGCTGATGATAGCTCCGCCAGCCACGACTTCGTGCAGCGGATGGCGGATGGAACGTTACCTGTCGCCAACTTCAAGCACTACTTAGTTCAAGACTATTTGTTTCTGGCAAGGCACTCATCACAACCCAGGAAACCAAAGATCAAGCTAACCTACAAGGCCAGATTCACTTTGCAAGAGCGAATGCGCTAGCATCCTACAAATCCAAGTCCATGGATGACATTGGCCGCGTGAGTCTGTCTACATAGTATTGCGGCTTTGGCTGATGATTTACAGTCCGCGCGGCAAGTCTTGCACCTTCAGACGGAGATCAATCTTCATGTGCAATTTTGCAAAGACTATGGATTGAATCCAGAAGATTTGGAAAGGCAAGAAGAAGATCAAGGTGAGCGCTCGCACGAGTAGAAGAGTGTGACCTGCTGATTGTTCTCAAGCATGCACCGCATACACAAGGTATATCACTCTTCGCCTACCATAACATTATTGACACCCGGCAGATACGTCTTAGACATTGGCCAGTCTGAGGATTGGCTCGCCCTGCAGATCGCACTCCTGCCCTGTCTCATCGGATATGGCATCATCGCCCGGCGGTTATATGATGATCAAGACACAGTACGAGAAGGAAGCAAGTACTGGAAATGGATCGAGACATATGTAGCCGATGACTACCTGGAGGCGATGCAAATCGGAAGAGGTAAGATGTAGCACGATGAAAGCCATGACCGTGGCGGGATCAGCTAACCTCCCAGACCTGATCGAGACACACGCGAGAAAGCAAAGTTCATCGCGGATAGACGAGCTGGCTCAAATCTTCGTACACGCGACTAATGTAAGTTTTTGATGCAGAACGAGAACATCGTGTACGCTTGCTCATCAGCATAGATGGAGAAGGGCTTCTGGGACATGGGCCTGGCCGCTAAAGGGTAGTGAGTTCCGACAGCGTCAATCGATGATTCTGTAGAGCTAGTTGCAAATCACAAAACCGGGACGAATTGAAAACTCAGATTGCGCTTGAGCCGGACGCATGTTGCCACTGCGAAAAACTAGGCTCATGCTCGCCCGAACCATGTTGGCAGTGCCAAGCTTGATAAGATAAGCCGAAGCCCCTGCCTCCGCATCAAGGCTAGCGCCTGTCTGTTAGCGTTTGCGACTGACTTTTTCAAATGTTCTTCTGCCTCGCCTCCGACGTCTCTTCCAACACATCTCTCTCACCCCAACACATATCCCTCAACCGACGTGTCAAGTCACACGCCTCACACTCTCTCTTACAGCACGTCTCTCGCGCTGTACTCATTCAAACAGGCACTCGCTCAGTCACCAGCCTGCACCTGACACAAGCAACGCTCCTTAACGACCCACTCCTTTCTTCTCGATAACATGTCGTACGGAGGTGGCAGCTACGGCGGCGGCGGCGGCTATGGCGGCGGACGTCATGGCGGCGGCGGTGGTGGATACGGCGGCAGCAACGGGTACGATACAACCGCTGGGGGATATGGCGGATCCGCTTACTACGATTACTCCGGCGGCCAATATGCTTATGGGTAGGCATGATCGGCGTGGTTTTATCGGCGGCCCCATACATCCTGCATTTTCTTTGCTCATCTCTTCTACGTGCAGAAAGAGTAATGACGCGGCTCAAGCGGCGGCTCACGCAGCCCTCGCACTCCGGCCGGCCGGTCAAAAACTCTCTGCGTTGACGTAGAAGCCCTCGTCTCATTCCTGCTCGAATATGTGCTAACTTTAACTCAGATACAGCGGTGGCTCCAACGGCTACAGCGGTGGCGGCGGCGGCGGTTACGGAGGTGACCGACGCGGTGGAGGCTTCGGCGGTGGCGGTGATCGCATGAGCAATCTCGGCGATGGTCTTCAGACACAAAACTGGGGTATGTGGATGGCCCTATCACGTCTCACAACGCAGGCTAACAGTGTAAACAGACCTTGAGACAATGCCCAAATTCGAGAAGTCCTTCTACAAAGAGGACCCGGCCGTGAGCGCCCGCGATGAATCAGAGGTCGCCGCGTTCCGCAAGGAAAAGGAAATTACTGTGCAGGGCAAGAACGTCCCCCGGCCTGTAACAACATTCGATGAGGCTGGTTTCCCTTCATACGTTATGAGCGAGGTCAAGGCACAGGGCTTCCCCCACCCCACGGCTATCCAGTCTCAGGGTTGGCCTATGGCTTTGTCCGGACGCGATGTCGTCGGTGTCGCTGAGACCGGTTCCGGAAAAACGCTCACCTACTGCCTTCCGGCCATTGTTCACATCAACGCCCAGCCTCTGCTTGCACCCGGCGACGGGCCCATCGTCTTGATCCTTGCCCCGACTCGTGAACTGGCGGTTCAGATTCAGCAAGAAATCAGCAAGTTCGGAAAGTCTTCCAGGATCAGGAACACCTGTGTCTACGGAGGTGTTCCCAAGGGCCCGCAAATCCGTGATCTCGCCCGTGGTGTCGAGGTCTGCATTGCTACGCCTGGTCGTTTGATCGACATGCTCGAGGCTGGCAAGACCAACCTGCGCCGTGTAACCTACCTCGTTCTTGACGAGGCTGATCGTATGCTTGATATGGGTTTCGAGCCCCAGATCCGCAAAATCATTGGCCAGATTCGTCCGGACCGTCAGACTTGCATGTGGTCAGCTACCTGGCCCAAGGAGGTTCGTCAGCTTGCTTCCGACTACCAGAAAGACTTCATTCAGGTCAACATCGGTTCTATGGAGCTTTCTGCCAATCACCGTATTCAACAAATCGTTGAGGTTGTTACCGATTTTGAGAAGCGCGACAGAATGAGCAAGCACCTCGAGACAATCATGAACGACAAGGAGAACAAGGTCTTAGTCTTCACAGGCACCAAGCGTGTTGCAGACGAGATTACCCGGTTCCTCCGACAAGACGGATGGCCAGCGCTTTCCATCCACGGCGACAAGCAGCAAAACGAGCGAGATTGGGTCTTAGACCAATTCAAGACGGGCAAGAGCCCCATCATGGTTGCCACCGACGTGGCTTCCCGTGGTATCGGTATGATTGAAAACCCCCCGCACTCCCCCCCATTGACGCCCTCGGGTATTTTTATGCGTGATCTGTTCGATGCTCTGCTTAGGTCGTCTCGTGCGCTCGCTGCTTTTGTTTCCATGACATCGTCCAGGGCTTTACGTTTCTCGAATCTGATCACCAGGGTTCCTTGGATATGCTGGTGAAGCTTTCTTCACCGCTCTTTGTTTCAAGTATCGTTCTGATACTTCTGAGGCAAGTTGAGATGTTTGCGTCCTCGCAAGTTTTAATCTCTTCCAAGGTGCTCTGGCCAGGAGACAGTCACAGCCATCCCCATTGGACCCGGATGCCATGACCATTTGTAGCGCACAGAGACGGTTGCATGCAACATACTGCAGCTTCACGCGACCTGTTCTGGTCGTCTTTTGCTCGCCACTTTGATTCTTATGCTAACATATCGCGTTCAAGATGTTCGTAACATTACCCACGTGCTCAACTATGACTACCCGAACAATTCGGAGGACTACGTCCACCGAATTGGTCGTACCGGTCGTGCTGGTGCCAAGGGTACTGCCATTACTTTCTTTACCACTGAGAGTAAGTTGTTCAGCCCGACTTGCCGAGACGAAGCTAACATTCTCCAGACTCCAAGCAAGCTCGTGACCTCGTCGGTATACTCACCGAGTCCAAGCAGCAGATTGATCCTCGCCTTCACGAGATGGCTCGCTACGGCGGCGGTGGAGGTGGCGGTGGTCGCTGGGGAGGCGGTCGTGGCCGTGGCCGTGGCGGAGGTGGTGGTAAGTCGCTCTGGAATCACGACGTTGCTAGATGCTAACTCATCAACAGGCTGGACTGGCGGTAACAACGCTCCTGTCCGCAACAGCCGCTGGTAGAGCACCCAGCAACCCTGTTCCTCTGTCGCCGTTGTCGCTTGCTTCACTCTGAAGCCAGCCTCAGAACTAAGGCGTTTTCATCATCACCGGCGTACTGACATAGATATTTCGTTATGGGTTGGCTTTCTTTATGTCGTTTGTTTCCTCCAGCAGTGGACAGCCAAATCCTCTGCCAATGTATGCTGATACCCAGGAGGAGAAGCAACCGGGCCACCAAGCTTCGGGTCGGCCCTATTAGACTGGCATCTTCAAGTAATACGTGCGAGCTGCGCAGTCGTTAGCTCATTTTTGCAAGAGCCAGGCTACCCGTTGGGAAGCTGTGCCGCATTGCGATAGGAGCTGAAGGCGTTTTCTAAGTAAAAAGTCATGTTCATAATTAGTTCATATGAATTAAACCACTGCATCGTATGCCTTGCCTGCTACTAATCAGTACTCCTTACGACTGTCTGAAATGCTGCAAATGTCACTGAACGTTTCAGTACTGATGTGCCATGTCCGCATGCCGCCTCTGCAGCGAGGAGCGGGCTAGACTCGATTACCTTTTGCAACGGACGTTCCTGAGGGTGTCAGATTCCTCGTATCACTAACGACCATTTGTGGTGATGATGATGCTCCATCCTAAGACAAGATACGCAATATTGTCGTGGTATACCATACTTTGTTCATATGGTTATCATTTCATATAGATTGGTCGGATCATAAAAGCTACATAGGTACATGGAACAAGATATCAATCAGCACTCTGCACACACCATGGCACCTGTCAGCCAGTTCTTTTCTACAATTTCTCCTTCTCCAGACCCTTCCAACCCCATTGCTGGGCAATCAGTTCCGCAGCCCTCTCGCCGATGCCCAGCACCGTCAACATGGGGTTGATGGTCGGCATCTCCGGGAACACACCGGCATCCGCAATCCTGATGCCCTGCAGCCCCCTCACGCGCAGCTCGTGATCCACGACGGCGAGCTCGTCCTTGGCAACATCCCCCATCTTGGTGGTGCCCGCGGGGTGGTACACGGTGTGGGCGACGCGACGGCCGTACTCGGAGAGCTGCTCGTCGGTGGTGATGTCGGGCCCGGGGGCGACTTCGCGCTTGAGCCAGTCTTTGAAGGGAGCTTGTTGGGCGACTTTGCGCGCAGCTTTGAGGCCTGCGACGATGGTGGCGGCGTCGTAGCCTTCGGGGTCGGTGAAGTAGCGGAAGTCGAGGGCGGGCTTGACGCTAGGGTCCGCCGAGGTGAGGTAGATGCGGCCGCGGGAGCGGGGGCGCGGGATGTTGGGCGTCATGCAGAAGGCGTCGATGGGGGTGTCGTAACCGAGTCTGTAAGACGGGTGTTAGTCTGGGATGGAGCATGGGTAGGAGGAGGGGTCAGGGCTTACCGGGAGGTGTTGAGGCAGAAGGGAATCTGGTAGCAGTGCATCATCACGTCGGCCCAGTCGCTGTCGCCGCCGGCGGCGTTGGGGACCTCGCGGCGGAGGAAGATGCCCGCGTCCGAGTCCATGGTGGTCTGGTTCTGGGGTACGGGCTTGTTGAGCTCCCAGATGATGATGCTTTCCGGGTGGTCGAGAAGGTTCTCACCCACGCCGGGGATGTCCTTGACGACGGGGATGTTGAGGGAGGAGAGCTGGTCCTTGGGGCCGAGCCCGGAGAGCAGCATGAGGCGCGGGGTGTCGACGGCGCCGGCGCAGAGGATGGTCTCGCAGGCGGGGGAGAGCACGCGCTGCTCGCCGTTCTGGAGGGTGAGGTTGACGCCCGTGACTTTGCTGCCTTGGACGTTGATCTTGCTGACCCAGGCGTTGGTCAGGACGGTGAGATTCTCCCGCTTCTCTTCGTCGCGGAGGATGGGGTGGATGTAGGCGACGGAGGCACTGCTTCGTCGGCCGTCCTCGGGGTTGTAGGAGACGGAGAAGAAGCCGACGCTGGGCTTGAGGCCGCCCTTTGTCTTGATCTCGTGGTTGAAATCGTGGATCACGGGGATGTCGAGGGAAGTGGAGCATGACTCGATCCAGTCCAGGCACAGCTGGTTCCTGTGCTTCTCGTGGACAGGCTGGACGGTGTTGCGCAGGTTGTCCAAGACGCGCATGAAGGTCTTGAAGCTCCAGCCCTTGCAGCCCTGGGCCTCCCACCTCTTGCAGTCATATTCAAACGGCCTGAAGGAGATCAAGGTGTTGTGGGAGGAGCAGCCTCCGAGGACCTTGGCGCGCGAGTGTCTGATGTGCGAGTTGCCCATGGGCTGCTCGGTGGTGCCATAGTCGTAGTCGAGCTCTCCGCCCAGCAGATTGAGCCAGTCCTTGAGCAGGAGCACGCGGTCGTCCATGAAGTCGCTAGGGCCAGCCTCGATCAACAGGACCTTCTTGTCGGGCAGGTACTCGGTGAGGCGCGAGGCAATAACGCAGCCGGCGGTGCCGCCGCCCACGATGACGAAGTCATACTGGGCATTGGAGGGGATGGTGGTGGTGGTGGGCGCCATGGCTTCGACTTCAGACAATGAGGAAGAACAGAGAGCAAGCTTGAGCTTGAACTTGTCGTGTGCTTGCGGCGAAAAAGCTTCGGGCCGGAGCTTCTAAATAGCTCCGCTAGGTACCAAACGGCCAGCAAAAGCGTTAGCGAGACACTATCCGACGACGCGCAAAGCGCAGGGCGATCGAACGATAACTTGCGGTGTCAAGGGTTGACCGGAAGCACAGACGGAGAGTTGCGCTGCACGGCACGCCTGGCCTCTGCGCGCTCGAAGGTGAAGATACAGCCGTGAAGTCAGCGCGCTACTGCAAAAGCTGTAGCTGAGCTACCCGGATAAGATATGGCTCGACCAGAGATGGGTGGGCCCAGGCCGCAATCCACGTGCTGGGAGTGAGCGATGCAGCTGGCCTCGCTGGTGGCCGTCGACGACTGCACCATGCCTGATGGAACTCGAGGCACTGAAGAGGCGGCCCTGCTCCACCCAGCTGCTTCCCCAGATTCCCAGGCTCGAGGCGCGCTGCGCTGCACACGAGCGGTCGTCAGACTCTTCGCTGATGATGTGATTGCGATGCGAGGTTCGGGCCGACCCCACCTGGGTTTGCTCAGAGGCTGCAAAAGATGGGGTGCTTCCCTGCCAGCGCGCGCTCGTCTAACCAGGCGCGGCCTAGCGCAAACGGCCGAGGCAAGCCGATCCTACGTATGCCAACGCGCTTGGGGCATGTCTATCCAGCGCTGCGACGGTCGCCATGGTGCATCTCGCGACGTGCCGTCTCGCCCGGATCGCTTGTCTCTTCGTGTCGACCGGCTGCTGGCCGTTATCGTGCAGAGAGCTACCCCGCCGGGCGCGCTCGATCCATCTCTGCGAGGGGGACCACGCGCTGATTGCCACCGCAAGACGAACCCAGCGCCGCGCTGCAACGACTGCTCCCAGACCGGAGTCTTTGCTGGGCGTCACTAGCAGTGGAGCTCTGACCCTGGCGCAACGCAGTGCCTTGCGCCGTCGACAGCCAACCACACGCTGATCGCGTGTGAGCTCCGTTGCTGAACACACGGCTGCATATTCCTACCACTCCCACGTGCCGTCAATGCCTTGCCTCCACGACGACACCGCCATGTCTCTCCCGTACCCCCCGCGCTCCGCCTACTACGACGGCAAGCTGCAATCCGCATCCTCGACCTCCTCCTTCCAGACCATCGACCCCGCCACCGCAAAGCCTCTCGCAAACATCCACACTACCTCGCAGTCCGGTATAGACGCCGCAGTCGCCTCGGCGAAAAAGGCGTTCCCCGCATGGTCCGCGACACCACACATCGAGCGCGCGCGCATACTCCAGAAAGCTGCCGCCATCCTCCGCGCGCGGAACGATGAGCTGGCCAAGGTCGAGACGCACGACACGGGCAAGGCGTTCTCCGAGACGTCGACCGTGGATGTCGTGACCGGAGCCGACGTGCTCGAATACTTTGCCAACATGGTCGGCGGCGGCGGGCTGAATGGCGAGACGATACAGCTGCGTCCCAATGCGTGGGTATACACAACCAAGAACGCCCTAGGCGTGTGTGCAGGCATCGGCGCCTGGAACTATCCCATCCAGATCGCCCTGTGGAAGTCTGCGCCGTGCCTCGCTGCTGGCAACACCATGGTGTACAAGCCCTCCGAGTTCACCCCGCTGCATTCCACTCTGCTCGCAGAGATATACGCCGAGGCGGGTGTGCCTCCGGGTGTCTTCAACGTTGTCCAGGGAGGAGGCGACGTTGGCGCATACCTCACCAAGCACCCGGATGTTGCAAAGGTCAGCTTCACAGGCCAGGTCTCGACGGGACAAAAGGTTGCGGGAAGTGCTGCGGGCGGCATGAAATATGTCACCATGGAGCTGGGCGGAAAGTCTGCATGCATCATTCTCCCAGACGCCGATATCGACCAAGCCGTCGACGGCGCCATGATGGCCAACTTCTTCTCCACCGGCCAAGTCTGCACAAACGGAACACGCGTCTTCGTCCCCCAGTCCATCAAGGCAGCTTTCGAGAAGAAGCTCCTCGACAAAGTCAAGCACATCCGCGCCGGTGATGTTTCGGATCCAAACACAAACTTCGGGCCTCTCGTGAGCAAACCACACTACGAAAAGGTCCTCTCTTACATCAAGCACGGCATCCAAGTGGACAAGGCCACACTGCTCTGCGGAGGGCCCGAGAAGCCCGCCTGGCTCTCCTCGCACAAGAACAAGGACTACCAGAACGGGTACTGGGTCACCCCCACCATCTTCACCGACTGCACCGATAATATGCGCATCGTGCAGGAAGAGATTTTTGGTCCCGTCATGTCCCTCCTTTCTTACGCCGACAACGACATCGCCTCGCTCATCGCGCGCGCCAACAACACAGACGTCGGCCTCGCCGCAGGCGTTTTCACCAAGAACCTCAATCTCGCGCACCAGGTCATCGGACAGCTCGAGGCCGGCATCACCTGGATCAACACATGGGGTGAGAGCCCCGCGGAAATGAGCGTCGGAGGGTGGAAGTTGAGCGGAGTGGGCGTCGAGAATGGACGGAAGGGGCTGGAGGCGTGGGTCAAGAATAAGAGCACGCTTGTAGATATGGGCGGTGAGGTGCCGACGGTGTTTGCGAAGTTGTAGGTTGAAGAGATAGGCTGATGCTGTAAATATTATGACTTGTACGTGTTCTAACGTTGCCAAGTGTGGGTGCAGTTGGGAGGTGAAGCCTGCCCTGCTCTTTCCTGGATTGTCCTGCGTCGCGCTCTCCTCGTTACTTCAAGTGATGTGTCTGCTCCAAGCAGAGATGCCTGATCAATCAACCGCACTCGCCATTTGTGTATTCTCGTTTGCATCCGGTGACACAACGGCCAATCGGTCAGGCAGCGGTGGTGACCAACACATGTTTTGTATGAAACGGTGATCAATTTCCAAAGCGTCCGAAGACCGACCCTTCTCGCGTTCAACAACAGACGTTTTCTCCTTTCCACCAGCATCGCTAGCATCCGACTGCATCTTCATGTCAATGGGCCGATGCCTCCGACATCTCTACCACAGCCTCTACAAGTCACGACAAAGCTTCTAATAGAGCTCCTCTTGACGTTACTTGCGGGGTCTGGCTTACGCCCACCTCGCTTCTCTAGTTTGGAACTTCTATGGCGCGCGATTCGAGTTAGCATAGCGGTGTTTCAAAGGCCGGACGCAGCATTGGGAACCGACGGTTCCAAATAGACGAGGAGATCTAGGTCACCTGCACAACGACCGACATGCCAACAGAAATCTCAATATTAGATCTGACTCGAGCTTTGCTCCCTCACACAGCGTTGCATTGGAAGGGTGTCAGTTATTCGTAGACAGCTAAGGACTTGATCCGCCCACGCAGTCGAGCTAGCATTTGCTCTGGTCACTCCAGGCTCTACCGCATGTCTTCTCCCCAACAACGCCAAAAAGCAATCAGGTCGAGATCTACGGCAGCAGAGGATCTCGGTTGGACGCCAAAGCAATTCCCTGTAAACGCAAGCTACTTCCAGATGGCCTCACACTCCACACACCCAACGAAGCGCGGCAGTGCCGCTCCGTTGTTCGCATCGCGCGTACAACCACGAGGCATGACAGGCTGTATCCGCTTGACCTCTTAAGGCCTTGATTCTGACAGCGTTCGGAACGCTTGCAATGCTGGTCTGTTATGTCAAAGCAGCCATTAAGTTGCCACGCCAATGCCCCAAGCGGTAAGAGCAACCGCACAGTCGGTACCCTGCCCCCGATGGAAACGTCAAAGTCGCGGAGGCCAGGCGCCGTACCACCGACTTCCGTCTCCGCTCCACCACATCAGTGATCAACACCGGGCTGCACTGAGGAGAGCCGACGAAGCCTCCAACCCCAACACGCGGCGTCTCATCGCGCGTCACCATCAATGTGAGACCGCGTCTGCCGATATGTCGCAAGGGTCTGTCCAAACAGTTTCGAAACAGCTGGGTTGACTCCTGTAAAATGTTTACCTGCATTCAGTGTTGGGGATGTGTACATTTGCGAGAATAGTATGCGCAGCCACAGTGGCTATCGACTTGATGAGCTGAGCGCTGCTACAACGTTACCACGGCGTGCATGCGCTTAGTTCTCATTACACGCACAGAGAATCGCCGGGTCCCCGTTCCAGCAAGGCGCAGGCCCGTAAACCTAGGCCGAGCCAGGAACTGCTGTACGCCTTCTACCTGAAATGACTAGGCTATGCGATTTCGATTGGTTTGCTTTTCCGTTTCATGTGCGTCGTGGGCGCACTGCCGTCATCCATTGAACTCACGCTAGAGCTATTCATGGTTCTAAGGCAAGGTTGAGCCGTTTCCGGCCCCACCCCATGTGAGAACAGCTGGGCTGGATGTCTGATATATGTCCCAACCTCCCTGATCTTTGCATTGATCCTTTTGCCTAGTCATCATACCGAAAGCACTTGCTGAACATGTCTTCCACAGGTGGTCCAGGACAAGCTGTAAGTGGCTGGGTACCGCATAAGAGTGCAACAGTTGACATCTTAAAGGGTCCACCACAATCTGCGCCGTATGCACCTCGATACATCGGCCTGGGCGGCAGGCCAGCAATAATCCCAGATATACCGATAACGTCGGCCTTTCTCGTTTTCTATCTCATCTTCGCCGTGATCCACATAAAGATTATGAAATACAACAAGCATCGGGGGCATAAGTTCATCTTCAATGGAGCGTTATTCGGTAAGTTCAGCATTTTGCGGCGAGGCGAACCAACAGACTGACAGCATTAGGGTTCTGCAAAGTGCGATTGATTACCATGTCCTTGAGAATAGCCTGGGCATGCTACCCAACGAATGTCAGCCTCGGAATCGCAGCGCAAGTCTTTGTCTACGTCGGAACGATCATTCTCTATCTCTGCAACTGGTTCTTTGTCCAACGCGTTATCCGAGCCCAGCATCCGCACATTGGATGGTCAACTCCGTACCGAATTTTCCACCGGGGCGGTATGATAGCACTCATCCTTGCTTTGTTAATGATCATCGTGGCCTCTATACAGCAATTCTTCACTCTGGACTTTACTATACTTCGAGTCGACCGGGACTTGCAACTTGCGGCATTCACATTCTTCGGAGCCTTTACCCTCGCACCATTGTTTATGTTGCTTGTATCCTTCGTCATACCCCGCGAAGCAACAGAGAAGTTTGGTGCTGGTCGTCTGAGGAACGCTATTGGTGTACTCTTCATCGGAAGTTTCATCTTGGCGCTCGGCCAGTGTTTCCGTACTATCACCGGGTGGCTTCCAGAGGTGCCGTTGCGCAATGATCAAGGTCAGCCCAACGCAGTCCCGTGGTACTTCTCCAAGGCCTGCTTTTACGTATTCAACTTCTTGACCGAGCTGTTGGTCGTAATCTTCTACGCTGTCATGCGCGTCGATCTTCGCTTCTACGTTCCCGATGGAGCCAAAAAGCCAGGAGACTACCGAGCATACCGCCAAAGCCAGTTCAATGTGGACGTGATTGGCAATGAGAAGAGGCTCAAGCGCCAATCTGGGCCCGCCGCAAGCGTCAATACGGTTGCCTCAAATGAGACCCTCCATGAGTACGATGCTTCCATCTTTGAAGATACACGCACTTTAGCCGACTCACTCCGTTTCCAGTCATCTGTAATGGAAATCGATGACAAGACTGGCAACTGGAAAGTCAAGCGCCCGTCGATGTCAAACAACGGCTCAATCAGAAGCAGCTCACGACCTTCAAGCAGGTCACAATCCTCGCTGTGGGATCCCACCCGAGCAACCCTCCTGAGCGAGCTGGCGCCACCGGTCCCATTGCTACCCCAATCCGCGGACTGGCCTCTGCGCGGATCTCGAATGCCCCTTGGCCAGCACCCAGTCAAACAGCAACGAGTCCGTTCAAGCAGTTCACCTAACCAATCCTCTCATCTGATCTATGCGAATTTTGCGAGCACCCCGGACATTGAGAAGAGCGATGCCATCGACATGGCCTCCAGAAAACTCGAGGGAAACGCACCGCCGGACTATAGTTTTGTGGTCCTCCCAGCACCGATGCCGACATACCATCCTAGCTTTGACGTGCCCCAAAAGCATACTTACGCACCCGCTTCTTCGACTCCGGACATTCTCAGCAAGAGGGACTACACGCCTACCCCTTTCACCCTAGCCGCGTTCGATCTGCCTGCGAAAAAGGACTGCTCTGCGCCCGTTGCGGATGCGTTGCCGCAGGGGCAGACGTCCTCGACATACAGCGAGGCCAACAAAACGAGCATCAATACCGAGGCGGCAGAGAGTGAGTTTGTGCGCTTCAGCTTCGAGGCATCGCCGAGGAACCGCAGTTTTGAGGACGAGCGGAAGGCGCCGCGAAGGTTTCTATGACGGCTAAACATTTATTCTTTTGTCACGTGAGCGTTGGCATTTGGCGTTTTTCTCATCATGCCGCTGGCACCCTTTGCATGTGTATATACATAACTGGTACCATAAGGAGGTTGAGATAGGATAGTAATTCTTCTAGACTCGACTTGATCACTGCGGCGACGACCATCCCTCCGTGCTCACTCACACGGCCATGTTCATCAATCCAGTCTCCGGAAGCCCATCCACACTCTCTCGAATCCAAACACGGGGTTCTTGAGATTCTTCGCAGCTTCCCAGCGTTGCCCCGGCACCAGCAGCTGCATGGCCCCCTCACCCACAGCCCACCCGAGAATAGCCCAGTAGCGTACCGAGCCCCTACCCCTCTTGTTCACAGTCCGCGCGCCTAGCGTACCGTGCCCGAGCGTCAGGCTGGCAACACCAAGGCGAGGGGCTGTGGCAGTAGCGGTGGCGTGAGCATGAGCGTGGGCGTGGGCGTGGGCGTGTGCGAGGACGCTTGCAAAGGTGTTTGAAGTGGCTGACGGGGTCCTTGCCGTACCGACAAAGGAGGAGGCATCGTGCGTCGACGGGCTGGATTTGTGTGGGTGAAACGAGCGAAGAGTACACGGAGGGGAGAGTACGAGTGGAGCTGCAGCTGCAGTGGCGAGGAGGGAGGGTGAGGTCGCTACGCTGTGCTACAACACAAAGAGCAGTTCAGGACTTGCTTCGTTTGTAAGCTAGATATTGTACATGGTGATAACTTCTCTGATCCATAATGACTTGCTTGACTTGGCGTCGGAGAGTATGGCTGTTTTCACTTGGTATATTTGATTACAGAGGTTGTGTTGAAAGTTTCGAGTCGATTGTGAATATTGGACGCATTGCTGTGTCCCGTGAATGCATCAAAGGGCAAGGGTACTATTTGATACCACCGAATCGGAGAAACAGGCCTGAGCAGGTTGCTATTTGATCATCCAACCGATCCTTGATGTGGGATCGCCCTCGGAAGAGATCTAGGGAGTCTGGCTTGGAAAGTTGGACCACGGTGCTCGAGATCCTGTATTTCTTCGATGCTGTACTGGAGCACCTGTGCACTACCGAGGAGACCACGGACAACGCGCCGGCATGAGTCAGAGCTGAGAGAAGAGGCGGTTCTGCTGCAAGAGATCCTTTCGGACACGCTAGGCAAAGTGTAAGCCAGATCGTGTGATGGTAAAATGCCTTTTTAGGAGAGGCGGACATCTGTGTGGACTCTCTGTTGTAAAACACAACATCAGAAGTGCAAGAGCCCACCCTTCAGCCTGGCGTAACGCACTACAGGGAGAAGTGACGAAGTGAATCAGATTTCTATTACTGTACGAAGTACTGGTGTCTATGCGGGATGGGAGAGTGTTCTTTGGCTTCTCTATTTTTGAGGCGCCTATCGCTCTCATAGCCAAAGCAAACTACTTTTTAATACCTTACCTTGTAGGAAGTTACTGGATGATACAGTTATAAAAGCACAATTAGACTGTCTGTCCCGGAATTCTACAGCCACAGAAAGTCCAGTATTCTTTGGTCACGCACTGTGATCGCGATACTGGCTTGACGATTTTGACCACTCTCAGGTCGCGGTGAAGGGCACGTGACTATCGCAGCGGGTTCACAGCCATGGAACCTGGCACTGAGCTTTCATAGGACTAGCCTTACACCGCGAATGCAGCCGGCCGGAGGATGCGCCAGCCAGCTGACGGCCAACACGGCCAGGCCGAGCGCCTCAGTACTTATGCGACATTGAGACAACCTGTGAGGTGCTGGCGCAATTGAGCGGTCAAAAATGTGGACGCATGCAAGCCGCAGCACAGCCTTCATACACGCGCGTAGCCCCAATAATGTTAGCTTGGCGTGGACGGCTCTGGAGTATTCCGACTCTTTTCGCTAGCTTGCGTGACAGGCTGGAAGAGATAAGAGATGACCATCCCGCTGATTGAAATGCTACCGACTAGCTGTCAATACATGGATGGTCGAAATTGCCATCACCCGACATTACAAGCCTTCTTTCATGTGCTCGCGCTGACATAGCAAGCTAAAATTAGGCCCGCAAGAGCGAGGGGCTTCAAGCATTCTTTATCACGAAGCCAACACGCCCGCGTTATTGCAGGTGAGAGATTTGGATCGACATCGCGAAATCATCTTATCCACGCTGGCCTACAATAGCAAGAGGGACAGTTCGCGTGGTGTTTCGGGTATTTTTGTTTCCAGTCCTCCATACGGCTGACATCATCGCGTACGCCACGTGCATGACGCGGTCTCTCATAGGGCCAAGCTGTTGATCTAGCCAGGCCGACTGCTCTAGATAGCTGGGCGGTACCCAGCTAACAAATCCGAAGCATCGGCGCTGAGGAGGGCCGTCAGCAGCTTATTATACCCCGTCTCCAGCTGTCCTGCGCACTTTTCGCCCTCTTCACGACCCCAGCGACCCCCATCACCATGGGCCTCACCAGGAAGAAAACCACCTACATCAACATTACGCCGATACCGAGCTTCATACCCCGACAGCTCGCGATAGACATGCTACACAGCCATGGGGAGATAATCGAACTGAACCCGCTCGTGTTGAGCTTCGAAGCCGTCAAAGCGCCCCGTGATGCGCCCGCTGACGAGTTCTATGCGACGTGGTACGAAATTACGGAGCGCATCCAGTATATTCCAGGTATCGGCAAGCTTGGCTCTGGCATTATCAAATTCAAGGGATGCTTTCACGACATGCCATGGGGTTTGCAGACACATACCTATGCGCCTGCGAATGTAGATGTGCGGAACAAATGGCAGATATGTGGTACTCAACCAGGCGAACCGCCTGAGACTCAAGAGTTGGGTATTGGGGCACCGGCGGAGGGCTTGTACCTGCGCGAAGATATCGAGATCAAATGCAACATGACCATGACCAGTTTCGTGAAGAAGGAGATGAAGGCCGCTTCGAAGGTGCTGGTGGACAGGATGCTTAAGAAAGCCGAGCTGTTGGACTCTGGAGCTATATCAGCAATGATGGAGAACGGAAAGCTCAAGACTATCAATCCTGCAGACCGCTCGAGCGTTGCTAAACTCGCTGCATCACCAGACTCGCCAAACCAGCAACCATATAAATTGCCCAACTCACCTATGCGATCACCGGCTTTTCCGGCGACACAAATGTACCATCCGTCAAAGCACACAGGGGAGCAGGGCGCTGTGATGGAGCTACCGGGCGACTTCTACCACCCGCAACCATCGCCAAACCATCTGAATCCGCAAGATAGGCGTTATTCGATTGCTTCGGAATTATCTAGCAACGAGCAGAATGCTCCAGACAGCCGATGGTCCTACCAGAGCGCCAGTACGAGGCCAAGCTCTTACAACTCGAGTGGCGGTATGCGCTCACCCGGACTCGAGTACAACAAAGAATACTTGGCCGAGCTTCCGACCATGAATGAAGCGCACGAAGAACATGCAGAGCGGAGGGAGCTCCAAGAAGTTCCGTGGCCGAGTAAAGAGCAACACCAGTATCGGTACAATCCTCAGGATTTCGCGCGCATGCAACAACAATACACGCAACCTCCACAATACTCCGCCTACGATACGCGACGGCCGAGCGGGGCTTGAGAAATAATTCGTTCTGTTTGCTCTGTTTATTTGATTGTATCAAGATTCCCCGCGGGCACGCATTTTGATGATGAAAGGTTTCGAAGGCGTTATCTCGGATTGAGCACGTGTAGCGATATCACTGTATTTGTTGGAGTTGGCTCCTCATGTCTAATACCAAAATCCTTCCCGCTTGCACGCACACCCTCTTTCTGTCTTGAAAGCCGTTCGTCAATCCCGAATCACCCACCATCCACGGCGTGCGTTGCGTTGACCTGCCAATTGCCGGCAAATTGCGTGCAGATCACGATGACCGGAGTGAGGAGAAACAGCCGCATTTCCCCCATTGGTTCGCATTACCCCGTCCGCGCTACGATAGCCAGGCGCACGTGGCACCGCTGTTTCTTTGTCCGACGGTTGTGTCCGCTGCACGACTTGTGAGCCGCGGCGGTGGGCTCTGGGGCAGCGGTGACCGGCGATCCTTCGCTCTCACTCGTCAAGACGATGAGCTTCATCGCGCTTATCTTCTCCTAGCGTGCTTTGCCCGCTCTTGTCGCAAAGCTTCGTCTATAAACCGTGCAGCTCTCCCCGCATTCTTTCCCCAGACTTCCCCAGCATTGCTCCATCATGGCAGAACACGCGCTAAGGGACAGCGATATCATCGGCACGGTGGAGAAGGCGGAGGTCATGCACCAGGAAGATGCTGACTCTCACCATGACGAATTGACCGATGAGGAGAAGAGGATTGCGAAGAAGCTGGTGCGCAAGATAGATATGCGAATTATGCCTCTGGTTATTCTGGTTTACCTCATGAACTACATTGACCGGTATGTCGAGGTTGCGGCTGTTTACGCGAAACATGCTGACCGATTAATGCAGGAACAACTACGCCGCTGCCAAATTGCAGGGGCTGGTCGAAGATTTGCATCTCGTGAGCGATCAGTATCAGACTGGTCTTTCGATCCTCTTCGTTGGATACATCTTGATGCAGGTGCGTAATGCCCGGACACAAAGCTGCCATGTTTCGCACATAACTGCACAAGAGCCATGCTGACTCATCTTGCGTGTATAGGTACCGTCCAACTTGGCACTCAACTATGTCGGTAGGCCTTCTTGGTACCTTGGCTTCTTCACCATCGCATGGGGTCTGGTCAGCGCCTGCACCTCTCAAGTGAGGACCTATGGTGGCATCGTGGCTTGCCGGTTCATTCTCGGTTTGGTCGAAGCCCCATTCTTTGCAGGTGTTCTGTTCTATCTGTCAAAGTGGTACACGAAGTAAGTCTACAGTATCGTCATACCTGAAGACCTGCTTGCTGACCGTTGCTCCACCCTAGGGATGAACTTGCTAAGCGTAACGCCATATTCTACTCCGGATCTCTCGTGTCCGGCGCCTTCGGCAACCTCATCGCTGCTGGTATATTGCACGGCTTGGCTGGCGAGAGGGGAATGGACGCGTGGCAGTGGCTGTACATCATTGAGGGCGCGATTACTGTCGCAGTCGGCATCCTCGTAGTACTCATCCTACCTGACTTCCCAAACACCTGGGGTGCGCTCTCGCCTGAAGAAAAGCATGTCGCAAACCGACGTCTCGCCATCGATGCCGCAGAAGCAGACGTTGACGAAGCAGGCGGCATGTCGCAGATCCGAGGCATGAAGCTCGCGTTCCAGGACCCGAAAACATACCTGCTCGCAATCGCATACATGGGCATCACAGGCGCTGCTGGTTTCCAGAACTTCTTCCCCACTTTGACGAAGACACTCGGTTACAGCGAGACGATTTCGCTACTGCTGGTCGCGCCACCATACGTCTTCATGGTGTTTTACTCGTTTGCGCACTGCTATGCGAGCGACTACTACGGCAACCGTTTCTGGTTCTTGACATACCCAGTCTTCGTGAGCACTATCGGCTTCGTGATCTTCATGACTACCGATACTTTCGGGCCTCGCTACTTCTCCTTCTTTTTGATGAACTTCGTCTTCGCCCAGAACGGTACGATCTACGCCTGGATTTCGAGTGCCATCCCACGGCCACCGGCTAAGCGTGCTGCTGCGCTCGCATTCATCAATAGTATTGGAAACAGTGCGTCTATCTGGACGCCCTTTACTTATGCTCCGTCTTCGGCGCCGCACTATCGACCTGCGCTCGGGGTGTGCATCGGTCTCCAATTCCTCGCGCTTGCGTGCTTCATAAGCTTGAGACTCTATCTTCAAATGCAGAACCGACAGTTGGAGCAGATGGAGAAGGAAGACAGGGAGCTAAGCGAGGCAGAGAGACGCAAGTTGGAGAAGACGGCTGAGATGGAGGGCGTAGACATCAGCAAGGCCAGGAAGATGCAGAAGGGGTACAGGTATATGCTTTGATTGCGTTCGGAGATGGGTCTCGCGAAGCTGTAGAAGACATAAGGAGAAGAGCAGTTGAGGGTACATTAGTGAAATACAATAAGGCGAGACCAGCTCAGCCATAAAGGAGGGCTACACGAGCGCCAGACCACTCCCCTAGTACTCCGGTCCTCGTACCCCTCATCGCCCCCATCCGCCTCCAAGATCACGATCTTGTCGTCCTCGTCCTCGATAGCTCCCTCCATCTCCTCGTTCTCTTCCACAACCACTGCCTCCAGGTCGTCATCGTCCACAAAGACTACTTCCACCTCACTCTCACTCTCGCTCTGCATCTCTCCAAACGCACTCGGCCCCCTGCTAAGACTAGCCGTCCTCCTCTCCATCGCCATCTCCCCCCGGAAAGCCCACTCGCTAGTGATCGGCCGCTTCCAAGCCGGCAGCCCGTTCTCCTCGCCCTGCAGCTCGTTCTCCAGGTCCTCCTCGTCCAGCCCAGACTGCACTATGCACTCGCGCGTGCCACGCGACTCCTCCGCGAACGAGCGCCAAGCGAGGTACGCGCCGCCTTCGGTCGCCGTGCGGTTGCGGACCAGCAGCGGCTTGTGCTCGGTCTGCTCGTCGGCGGACAGCGGGGCAGGCGCGACGTGCCGTCACGCGCGCGGATTTGGCGATCGTAGGCGCCACGAAGTTGCCCTCTGTAGCGGCGTCGGCGGAGTGGTGCTCGGCTAGCTGAGGCGGGCGGTGCTGGATGGTGATGGTGGCCGGGATGGCCAGGGCGAGGTTGAGGCGCGGGTGCGGTGGCGAGGGGTGCGCTTCTCCTTGGGCGGCTCGTCGTCCGAGTCGGGGTCGGAGTCCGAATCGGAGTCGGAGAAGATGATATGGTCTTCTTTGGTGCCTGGAGCTGGAGTGGAGAAGAGGGTTGAGGTGGATGAGAAGTCGGAGTCTGAGATGGGGTTGGCTTCGGTTCCGGAAGGCATGTTGATGAAAATCGGTTGATTTGTGGCATAGAGGGAAGTGGTAATGGAGATATGAAGGGTAGTCATCCAGCACAAGATAAAGAGAGTGGGTATGAGATGTGATGAAAGTCATGTCGAAAGCACGAACGTGAGGAAGAAAGCAGGAGCGAGAGCGCTGACTTATAAGTTCGAAGAGCTCCGAGAATACCTCAAAAAGTTTACAAGCAGCCCCCTCAAACTTTTCGCGAAACCAAACCTTTGAAAAAGTCGAACCTGTTGCTGTCACTCTGTAAGCTCACCATCCGACCCGTCGGCCTCTCCCCATCACCCAGTTCTTCCGCAAGCAGAAGACCCCAATCCCTCGTGATACCTTTGACGCGCGCTTTCATCCCGCCATGTGTGTCCAACTGAACAACCTGTTCACTGTGTAACCAATTCTCGTAGTACAGCTCTTCCAGCTGTCTGCTCCACCCCGACCTGCAGAAGGTTCTATACAGCGACTCGAAGGACGCGAGAATGCTGGCAAGGAGCTTCTCGTTCGTCATGGCTTTGAGACCGAGAGCACTGATCAGACTGTTGAGTGAAATGGTGGGCAGAGGGTTGTCCAGGTTGAGACCGATTCCGACCGTGAGCGAGTAGTCACTACCGGAGTAGCTGGAGTTGACTAAGATGCCTACGATCTTGACCAAAGGATTGGTAGGGGAGCCGGGGATCTGGGCATAGATATCGTTGGGCCATTTGAGCTTGACTGACACATTCTCGTAGCCTGGTGCGTAGGTTTTTATGCCCTGAACGACAGCTAGAGCGGCGATGTATTGTACAAAGATGACAGGTGCGTTTTGTGTCAGCGAGAAGGGGTGGTGGATAACGGTGGAAAACATAAGCGCTCCGGGAGGTGCGATCCAGACATTTGAGCCACGACCACGGCCCGCAACTTGTGTCCTGGCAGTCGCCGTAAAGCCTGTGGGAAGGTTCCGCAGCAAAGACGGATTCTTTTCGAGGATCGTGTTGGTAGAGGTCGTGACTTCGCTGTAGAGCAGATTCGTGCCAAAGGTAGGGCCGTGATTTTGTGCTTTCTGGTGGTGATGTGCAAGATTTGCGTAATACGACTCGTGGTCAAAAAATGGAGTTGCTTGCTTAGAGGGGAGTTCATTTACATAGTAGACGACTCTCTTGATGATCTTATCGTAGTCAATGTCTCGGTCTGGTGAAGCCGATGATGTATACGCCACGCGCTCGCGGATCTGTTCTTCTTTCGTCTTGGGCTTCTTCTGGTCATCGGAACTCTGCTCGCTCTTCTGTCCGCTATCTGGCGTCTTCTTATCGTCCTGACCCGTAAGAGCTTTAGGCAGAACGTCGAGAGCAACGTCGGAGACTGCTCTTGTCAAGCCTCGCACGCTCCAAGTCCCATCATTCTTCTTAACATGGAAAACATCGTTTACATCCACGATGTAGTCTTCGTCATCGACTATAGTGAAGCTTTCAGACCACGTCGCAACGAGGTCGGCGACACCTGTCGGCTTATGAGACGAGAGGTGCAGACGGGAAAGGGGTGGTACCGCTTGTTGTTCTTCGTTGACACTAAGGGCGAATTTCGAAAGAAGAAGCCTCATGAAAGCGACCCGAGTAGAATCCGTGGCGGCAATTGCATCAATCGTCTGAGAATATTTCGGATCCCCAGTGGGTTTCGTGAGATTAGCAGGAGCGAATCTGGACCGTGGTCAGCAGGACAGTGGGAGGTTTGTAGGGAGGACCTTACTCGGGATGCGGTCCAGTGAGAATGACGTGACCCTGGCCAAGTTTACGGTACACAACCGCAGCTTTGCCTTCACCAGAGTCGACATGCAAGTCCTCGGTGTAGCTCGCCAGAACTTCGACGCCTCGGCTTGCGAACGTCTTCGCATCCACGAAGACTCCGCCACCGTTGTAGTAGCTCTTGAAGCTGTTTGGCAGCTCTTCTTTAGCATCGCTAAAAGCATCCTTGTGAATCTTCAGATCCGCAGCCCTCGCGCCAGCCTCAGAGTGATACACAAATCCTGGAAATGCAAGTCCTCGACATACTCCTGGAAAGAACTCAAGCTCCCTTGTACCAACAACGGCTAACTCAGGGTTGTCGGGTTCAAATTCGCACTTGGAAGAGCCATAGTACCCTCCAGCACAGAAGCCCAGATACGAACCTCCGTTGTTGACATAACGACTTATACGGCGGTTCCCCTCCCCATTGAGCGTGCGACAGTAGCCTAGATCGGCACCGCCGGGGAACACGAGAAGTGCACACGACGCCATCCATGGTTCTTTAACGAGGACGTCTCCAGTCACGGGAATGACCGCATAGCTAGGGGATAGCAACCGGCGCAGTGTGAACAAGCAATGCCGAACCGATTCCGTCGTCGTCCCAGTCCCTTCCACAGATCAGCATATCCTAAAAACGAAACTCAGCCGCGAGTGATCAATACCGGAATAGACCATAACATTCATCTTGGCCGCCATGGCTGATGTGACCGTGTCTCGGCGCCGTGTTTCTCCGCCGAGTGACAACCTCACCCGTGCACTGCTCACTCCACTGCGTCTAGTCCGGAAATCCCGACACCCACAAGAGACTACGAACCGAAGCAATGTCGAACGACGCAGCACGAACCGACGCCTTGTCCAAGATGCAGGACGATGATGAGCCGGATGACTGGTGCGTACGGCCAATTGCTGTTTTCGTTGGGCGAGCGGGGACGTGAGTGGACGGCGAAAGCTTAGCTAACGACCACGCGAAGGGACAAGCGGATATTCAGCACGGGATGCGCAGGTACGCCGACGTTCAGTATCGGAGCCGGAGAACGCGGGAATACTGATTTAGCACTGCAGACGAAAACATGAAATTGACCGATTGCTACTACGAGAAGAAAGATTGGCGCTTGTGCAAGAAGGAGGTTAGTCCCGATTGAGCGCCGACCCGAGGCCTTCCACCGATCCCGATGAGAGCTTTATCCCTACCAAAACATTCTGACCCGAGTACCGGCATGTTGGTGCGGTCATGTTTGAACGCCGAGGACTAACTGGTGCCTTGCAGATGGAAATTTTCCGAGCATGCTGGAAGAAGCATGGCAATGACAAGCGAACTGCAGCCAAAGATGTTTGAAAGAGGTGATCTTTCGGACCGGGGCAAGTGTTCCTGTATTGCAACTGTTTCACTACTGTACTATATGCCGTAATCGTAACAATTTACAATGGTGTTGAAATGAGAATGTGCGAACCCTTGTACTCTCATTCAGTTTTGCTGAGAGCTCGGGTACTATGCCTGGACACCCCTTTGAGTGCCTTGTGTTTCTCTCCGAGGGGCAGTACAGTACTGAGTTTGATGGGCCTAGCAATGCAGCGTTTTTAATCGCATGCCGCATGTCGCTTCCAGCATACCTAAGGAAATGACGATCTAGTAGACGGCCTTGAGCTTCATGTACAGCGGCTCCTTCTGGTTAAGAATGAAAATCTTCTGGTCGGTCCAGCCGTCACTTTCGGGGCTGAGCTCAAAGTCAAACTGATGATGAACTTTCGCAGCAATGAGACGCATCTCGTGCCATGCCAAGCTGTATGGCTGTTAGCATTCCAACTCAAACGTTTCGGCGGACTAGCGAAACGTACTTCTTGCCCAGGCAATCACGAGGACCAACGTGGAACGGCTCGAACGCTTTTCGGTTGTCGCTCTCAAAGCGTTCGTCGCCCAGCCAGCGCTCAGGTATATACTCGAGAGCGTGCTTGAAGTTGGTCTCTGATCGGTACATGGCATACTGCGGGATAGATACAACAGTCTGCGAAGATTAGTGCACTGCACACTGTTTCGTAGAGGCATGACATCTTACATTCGGAGGCATGAACTCTCCCATGACCGTGGTTCCATCCGCAGGCGTAAGCATAGGCTGAGCGTTGCTAACTGGTGGGTACACACGAAGAGCCTCTTTCAGGCAGGCGTTAAGGTATGGCAGAGCTTGAGCCCTTTCGATGTTGATCTCGTCTTGGCTCTTGAATGTTTCGCGGACCTCCTTCTTGAATTTCGCGTACACTTCAGGATTCTTGCACATTAGGTATGCAAATCCGGCGCTGATAGTGGCAGTAGTCTCTGTTCCAGCAACCATGAACAGGTTGGCGTTGGCAAACATCTCCCCACGAGACAAACCTTCACGCTTTCCTTCTTTGTCCAATACGAGAGTCCAAAGATCATGACCATCGGTTGCACGGCCTTGGTCGACACGCTTGTTGACCTTGTCAACAGTGTATTGGAAATGCTCCTGTCTCTGCTTGGCCATGAGCTTCATCAGCTGGCGGACGCCGTACCGGGTAACCGCGTAGTACTGGCACATCTCAAGGAACGTAAAGGTCTTCAAGTACTCAAACGTGTTCGCCACCCATGGGTCATACTCATCGTTGTTCAACATGTGTAATGATTCTCCGAAAGCCAGATCGCCCATGACATCAAATGTTGTGAAGTTGAAGTATTTGACAATGTCGATAGCTCCCTGCGGTGCCTTTTCCCTAAGCCGTTCTCGGAGTAAGTCGATGTACTTGATAATAAGCGGCTCCTGGAGCTTTAGAGAACGGTCAGAGAAGGCAGAGTGGAATACACGTCGCATGCGAGAGTGAGATCCAGTAGGCGCAAAGAGAAGAGACGGGGTATCGGTGACATCATTCCCAGAGCGGATCCAGTGTTTTTGCGGCCTCGAGCCTTGAGCTTTTGTGTCGCCGTGGCCGTGGACGAATTTCCATGCTTCAGGATCGATGTAGCTGATTTCATCTGGGGCAGTTCGGACCACACGTCCATACTTTGCGTGAATAGCTTCAATGCGTTTATGTGGCTCTCCCTTCCATAGGCCAATCATCTGCGGGATCCTCGTGAAGGCATGGAGCTTAGGACCAGGGTATTTGGAAAGAGGATGGAAATAGACACGGTAGACGCCTCTCAGAATGAAACGAGCAGTCAACTGCAGCATATCAGTTAACTTTACCCCGGCATACCACACGGCGATACTTACAATAACAATGAAAGAAAGGAAAATCTGCGAGGCGGATGCGCTGGTCAGCTGGCCGACTAGGCCAGTGCTCGCCGCGGCCGTAGACATAATTGCTGCTGAGACGTCGTTCAGTCGATTAATGCAGTGGCTAGAAGATTCCTCGGTTGTTATATATGATCGGCTGTTGCTATCCCATGCATCCTCCCAGACTATCAGGCTGTGCTAACGAGGGTTGTAGCGTCGAACCATTAGATGGCGTACATCACCGAGTTCCCGGAGTCCGGGCTGAATCCAACCGACATATTCGTGGGTAGTGGCTGTCAGAAATCATGATTCGTTGCTGGGGGCCTTCATTGATGGTGCACCACTGTCAGAATCGCTCGGCCAACGTCAGCAACTGCGAACATCGGTTATGCGTCACGAGCAACAATGTAAGTAGAAGAAGTAATAGGAAACATGGCGTTTTGGTGCTGCTGTATAGCAATGTTCTCTCGATACGAACTCTTGATGTTGCGGTGAGGCTGCTAGAACGAAATCCCTGCGTGAATCAACTACGGTCCCCGACCGAGATGCAAGCTAGAGAAACGAGATGTCGGCCGAGATGTTGGAAAAAAGTCATCCCATTCTTATTGGTCCCATTAGCCTTCTTCACAAGCGCAACTGGACATGTACTGCTGGGGGTGGCTCTTTCCCGCCCGGAGCATTGGTATGGTGGTGTGAGCGAGGTACACTGCCGATGATGTGCTAGGCCGTTGTTGGTACACAGTTGACCGAATTATCTGTACTGAATCGTAAATAGACTGATCGATGATTGCTGCAGCAATAGTCTGCGGTCGGTGGGCATTGAATGGTGGCGTGAAGTTGGCTTGATCGTCCGACATTCTAAGCATGCAATGAGCCTCCTTGTCCTCACGGACGCATCGATACACTAGGCGGCTATCTATCTGTCGCTCGGTATTCAAACGCTTGTCAAGCCAAGTGAGTTGTCACTTGATGGAGTGAGAAACTTGGAAGATGATACAGAAAGTCCTTGAGTCGGAAGCAGCTTCACCCTGATTGGCCAGCGAAATGACAGGCAGGACCGTGACTTCGCGTCCAGCAACTCGTCGCCATACTGGAACGACAGCACCGCGCCATATCTCACAATGGCAGCACGCAGGGGAGTCTCGTCTCTAATCACATCTTCCTGCTCAAGAAGCACTCCTTCTGCCTACCGGGCCACCCACCGCGCCTTCTCCTCGTCCCCAGCCTCCGGCGCATTCGTGAACAGCACGCCACGCGCCTCAACAGCCTCGACGAGCACAGCAGCGAAACCTGCGTCAACGACCACAGCTACCAAGCCAGCATCGGCTACCTCACCGTCGTACTCCTCGACCCAGCGCACAGTCACGCCCAGCTTCCCTGCGAAAGAGCCTCCTGTCCCGACCGCTCGAAATGCCTCAGCAACTGAGGCCACGACTGGGCAGCGGTCCCTCACTGACGGCCTGTCAGATCAGCCAGCCGAGATCGAAGGCGTCCCAGCAATTGACTGGACGCGCTCATACCACGGTCTTGGTAGCGTGTCCTTCTCGCCCGAGCAGGCCGAGGTCCTCCTTGCGCCAATCGTGCAGGATGATGTAGAAGTCAAGCCGGACGGTATAATATACCTGCCTGAGATCAAGTACAGGCGGATATTGAACAAGGCTTTCGGACCTGGAGGATGGGGTCTCGCACCCAGGGGTGAGAGCATTGTGACGGGGAAGATTGTCACCAGGGAATACGGCTTGATTGTTCAAGGAAGGTGAGCTATATCGGCATACTCGAAAATACGCAGTTGAACTAATTTGGGGCAGGCTTGTTGCCATTGCGCGCGGCGAGCAGCAATATTTCGACCCAGACGGCATACCCACCGCCACAGAGGGCTGCAAGTCTAATGCCTTGATGCGCTGCTGCAAGGATCTCGGTATCGCGTCTGAGCTGTGGGACCCGCGCTTTATCCGCACCTTTACCAAGGACAACACCAAGGAGATCTGGGTTGAGCATGTGGTGAACAAGAAGAAGAAGAAGGTTGTGATACGCAAAGACGACGTCGTTCGCTACCCGTTCAAGGCGACACAGTAGATGGCTTGACTTGTGCATATGGACACATTGAGTATACGCAGGGTATGAGAAAGCCAGCCGCTGGAAAGCTGGGTTTGTGCGCCTGAAAGGACGATGTAGGATATTGTAGAGTACGGGACAGACAAGATGAAGGACCGAGCTGAAAGCTCAGAGCATAGACATGGATGTGGATGCACATCTATATATATAATGTAAGATCACATCAGTGTCTCGACTTACATGGAGAAGACAGTTGTCCAAGGTCCAAATCGTTGCAATACCTGATATCCATTGTGCCCTTTTCTCAGCCAAGCCAAGATGGTTAGAACACGTTTGGAGCATTTTATCTAGCTCCCGATCCAACGTAGTATTATTAACGCCGTAATTTGAGAATAACGAGAACGGATCCCACAGCATGCACCAACTAACGGTCACCAGCGTCGTAGCCCGTAGAATGACCCTGATCACGTCGCGAACCAGGCTCCCTGCCATAGGCAAGCGGGTCGTCTTCCCGTGGCGGTGGTGGCGGCGGTCCGCGCTGCCAATTCCAAGGCATCCACCCGCTGCTCGTTCTCCGATCAAATGCTGGCGGAGTGATGGGATACGGCGGTCGCTCTGAGCCAGAGCCAGAGCTCGCCTCGTCAACCTCAATCCTATCGAACTCGGCCTCACTCCTGCTCTTCGACAGCCCGCCGGTTCCCTCGTAGTACCTGCTTCCGCCCTCCCGCTGAGCACGCACGTTATCGGCTTCGCGGTCGAACGCCTGGAGGAGTGTCATCAGGCGCTCTCGCTGCGAGGAGACGTAGTTGAGCCGGTCGTCGTTATTGCGGATGTTATCCGGGATGATGTTTGCGCTTCGGCTGAGCTCTGCAGCTTGGGCGTCTCTGTTTCCTGCGTAGAGCGCGCTTGCGCCGCTGAGCGCTTGGTTGACCAAGCCGTACAGGTTGTCACTTCCGCGCGCAGAAGGCATATTAAACCTCGACATGAGGTTTTGGGCGTAGCTTTGACCCGGGGTGGGCGAGGGAGCGCGCTCCTGCGGCGCGAAGCCCAGCACATTGACCTTAGCCCATTCGACGGCTTGCTGGAGGTATGCTAGCCCCGCCTTCTTTGAATTGTCGTGTGCCTGGGTTATGAAGTCATCGATTTCGCGCTCGTGGTGGTACAGGAACGGCTCGATGTACTCCTGGTAGAGGAAAGTTGCGCCTTGGGAACCCGGCAGGATGAGGTAGAGATGCGCGAAGAAGCGGATCCAAGAATAGAATGGAACCCATGCTAGGATGAAGTCGAAAGTGTTCTCAATTGTATGGAAGAGAAGGAGGGTAATGAAGTAGATAAGCCACGGTGCGAGTTGGGCTGGATCGGAGGTGTGGAGGGCTTTGTAGGAAGCGAAGATCGGAAGGAGGACGGTGATGGCGACGCTGAGGGTTCGTTAGCCTATCTATAAGGACCTGATATACTGGCTCAAAGCTCTTAGAAGCTATAATGGCTTTGCGAATGTACCCATAGCTGAGGTTCGCATGCTCTCATGGCGGGGGCGGGGTACACTCACGTCAACCCGTCGGCAATGAAGCCAAACATTTTCACTAAGTCCGAATCCCAGCGGCAGCTGGTTGTGAAGAATAGAAGAGGAGTTGCGAGGCCAGGTATGCGGCGGTCGTGTGAGGTAGGGCTTAAAGCTGCCTGGTACCGTATCGGAGTTGGGTTACTCAGCTTCAACTGGTGGGAGCTCACGCTCGAGCCCCGCTATTTCGACGGTGCCGTTGCCGGCCATCCGTGGTGTCCATGACGCAGCTTTCCCGAACAAAGAGAGAAAACCCGCAGCTCGAATCTGTAACCATCAAGCGCAACGTGCACGATACTAAAGGCAGACTGTAGCTGATGGAGTGCACACCAAGCTAATCTAACCAATGTTGCGGAAAGAGCCGAGGCACCCTAAGGCACCATGTCACTCTTTCCACGCAGTACTTATATACTTTAGTACACTGTGTTTCCCTAGGAGGAGCAATGCAGGGCCCCATTTGTGTGGTAATTTATGTTAAAGAAGTTCACTTCGGTATTGACGTTGTACTTAAAAATGCGGATCAACTTGGAAGGGATGTTTGTTGTCCTTAGTCTACCACATCGATGCTTAGTTTCAATGGACAGCTGGTATGTATCTCAGTGCAAGATGCAAACCGGGTTAGTCGGGCAATATAGTAAAGCAAGACTGAGCCCATGCACGGCTCGAGGACAAGGCAAGCCTGGCTAACAAAATGTTCTAGGACAGGAGCAAGAGTATTGAAAATCTGACAGATTGAAAGAACGAACGGATTGCTTTAGTAGTCATAGAAGCCCTTGCCGGACTTCTTGCCCAACCATCCAGCATCCACCATCTTCTTGAGCAGCACTGCAGGCCTGTATTTTGAGTCCCCAGTGTCGTTGTACAGCACCTGCATGATCGAGAGACAGGTGTCGATGCCAATGAAGTCAGCCAGTTGCAGCGGTCCCATCGGCACGTTGGTGCCGTTTTTCATGATGCTATCAATGTCCTCTTTCTTTCCCACGCCTGTTTCCAAGCATATGATAGCCTCGTTGATGTATGGCATCAAGATGCGATTTGCGAGAAAGCCAGGCGAGTCTGCACTCGTCGAAGGGATCTTGCCCATGCGCTTGCATAGTTCGAGAGCGGTCTCGAGCGTGGCCTCGGAGGTTTGAAGTCCAGTTATGATTTCCACACCTTTCTGGATTGGAACAGGGTTCATAAAATGCGTGCTGATAACGCGCGACGAGGCGGACAGGTCCGTGGGGTCGTTTGTAGTCGCAGCGGCGATCTTCGTGATCGATATCGAGGAAGTATTCGTTGCTAGGATAGCGTGTGATGGGCATATTTGCGCGAGCTGGGCAAAGATTTTGTTCTTTAGCTCTACAATTTCCTGCGAGCAGTGTGAGCTTGGAGTTGGGTCATCAGACGGGCGGACGAACGGGAACAGCTTCGATCACGAAATCGACGTCTGAGAGATCTTCTAATTTTGTGCTGGACGTGAGACGCTCCCTAGTTGCGGCAGCATCCTCTTTGGATATTCTTCCTTTGCCGACGTCCTTCTCAAGCAGCTTGTCTGCGAACTTCAAGCCTTTGTCGATGGAGGCTTGCGAAGAGTCAATCAATTGCACAGGGAGATTGGCTCTTTGCGCTGCTACAAGCGCGATACCGAGACCCTGCACCTGTTGGCAATCTAATTATTTCGAGCACAGTCTCTACGTACCATTTGGCCAGCTCCGATCACACCAAGCTTCTTGACCTCCGCTGCTGCGCCAACAGCAGCCGTCGAGCTGAAGCTACGGCATTGCCTTTTCGCGGCAGAACTAATTGCTCGTCTGGAAACTGCTGCAAACATGGTAAACTCTGTGGTAAAATTCGAAAGTGTCAAAAGCGTCGAGAAAACAACGTGGAAAGCTGGGGCTCAATCGAAGCCCGTGGGGAAGCGAGGAAAGCCGAGGCATGACGTTCGGACCGCGCTGTGAGAGCCGGGGGCCTGTGCGCGATGCGCCACTATAGCACTTTATGAGTACGCGTGCTAGCGCGACGCGTTCGCGCAATGTGAGCAGCGTGGGATTGCGACCTCAACCACACCAATGGCCCAACAAACGACTCTGGATGAGTGGGCGAAGGATCCCGTGGATCCTGAGATCCGTGCTCATGTTTACAGTCTTATCACCGCTGTAGGCACGATTCTACCATGTTATGAGTTCTATTGCTAATGAACAGTAGCTCGGTGGTACTGGCGACGACGGCACTTACTCCTTCGGAGACGACGCCCTTCTCTGTCTGAAGGACCTACGCAAGTGGCTCAAGTTCGCCGACGGACAATTAAACCGCCGCGATGTGGCACGATGCATGGCCGAGGCGAACCTAGTGAAAGGAGACCTACTAGAGATCCTTGCGAAGGTGTCCCCAAAGGTGACGGATGATCGTCTGAAGCATAAGCTCGCTGTTGCGACATGTACGACATGTGGGAGAGCCTGACGACCACGAGAGCTGACATAGGGCAGTGGAACTTCTTGTACCTTTGACCTGGCCGTTCGAGATCGACCCCGTCGAAGCGACCGTAAACCACCACCGCCATGGACCGTATATCCAACTCGCACAGATCGCCTACAAACGTGCAATCCTGCAGTATGATCGTACACACATCCTCCAGACCGCTGTTCGCATCGCTCTCCCTTCCATGGCCATTCCCCTACGCGAACGAACACCTCGAGACGATGGCATCATCCGCATCGCTTTATACTTTATCCGAAACGTAGTTATGCTTTCACCCCCCAAAAGCGTACCAATAGACATAGATGAGGCGGAGGTATCCAGGTCAGCTGTGATTGATGCCTTTCAGCAACAGGACATCTTCCAGGTCATTCTCAGCGTCGCCTCGAGCATCGGAGAGGACTTCGTTTCGCAAGATGTTATTGTACTAGAGATCCTGTTCTATTTGCTCAAAGGCATTGACGCGGAGAAATTGTTCATGGAAGAAAAGAAACTTAGGAGCAAAAACACCGATGAGCTCAAGAGTTTAATCCAAAAAGAGAAGTCAATGCTGGCTGGGTACGCGCGACATGCTCCGTCACGGCACAACAGATTCGGCACTATGATTTGGCTCAAGCGTGGGGACGACGAGCAGGTATCAACGATTTCTGGACAAGATGTGCTCGGTAAAGCACAAAAGAGTATGCAGAAGATGGATATGACAAAAAAGTGGAATAAACCGAAGCGCCCAGGACGAAAAACGGATGGTGAACAGGAGCGCGAGGAATTCGACCTACCAGTTGCCCTCACCTCTTCCGCACAGAAGCACATCAAAACGTTTGTTGAGGAGTTTCTCGACTCTTCGTTCAATCCGCTTTTCCTCCATCTCAGGAAAGCAATCGAACGAGAAACCGAACGAGTAGAGGATCGCCATTCACGGCAGTTCTTCTACCTTGTATCGTGGTTCCTGCAAGCGGAGTGTGCCCGTCGGCGTACTATGAAGGAGAAGGCAGCTGACTCAAAGAGCAAGCAAGTTCTCAGTGCCGAAGACGAAAGCTATGGTCTAGTGGCAGAGGTGATGAATCAAGAGACGTTCATCCTGATGAACCGTTTCATGCAGAAGAGTGAAGATGAGAAAGCATGGCAAGATCTCAACGCCGGCATGAAGTGCTTCACGCAGGTTCTGCTTACAGTACAGGAGATGTCTGACTCGGCAGTAGAGGATGACCAAGAAATCGCCGAGAACATACAGAATCGAATTTTCTACGAGGAGTCGACGCATGACCGGATAGTCCACACTCTGCGATCGTATAAAGACCAGGGTTTCGGGTATCTTGATGCGGTTACTGAGCTTTCTCACGTTTTTTTGCGCATGCTGGAACGCTATTCGAAGCAAAATGTGGATATGCAAGTTCGGTCGAAACGGCGCGCTCGAACGATTCGTAAGAAGCAAGCCGAAGCCCAGGGAGAAGATGGTGAACCAGAGGGCCACGTCTCGGAAAGGGAAGACCTCGAGGCAGCACAAAAAACAGTATCGGAGCGTAAATTTGACTTCTCTCGCTTTGCGGCCAAGTTCATCAATCAAAGCAGCGTCAACACGTTCATTGCGTTTTTAAAATATTACAACGAACTCGATCTGGACCAACTGAAACGGGTACACCGATTCTTCCACAGGGTGGCCTTCAAGATGGAACTGGGCGTCTTACTGTACCGCGTGGATATCCTCCAGCTATTCAACAAGATGATCAAGGGCCCAGAGGGGTTAGATTCCGACTCGCCATCGTTCAAAGAGTGGGAGGAGTTCGTGAGACACTTCTTCCGGACCGTTGTGAAACGGATACAGGACAGACCTGAGCTCATTGTGGAGATGCTCTTTAGCAAAATTCCACAAACCATATTCTTCTTGGAGCACGGATACGACCGACAGCTGCCCACAAGGACACCACGCGCCCCAGCCGAGCTTGAAGTCAAACCTGGTATGGAAAAGCCTGAACAGATTGGTGTCGTTGTGGGTGTACTTGTCAATCAACAGAAATCAGACGCTTTGCACTGGGTGCGAGACGTCTTAGCCTCAGCCGTTGAAGAGCGAAAAGCATGGGAAGACATGCATGAAGCGCAGAAAGAACTAGCAGCAGTAGTAGAACCAGATGGACAGGCTGCTATAGATCAAGACGAAGCAGAGGCTCCCAAGCCGCCATCTATACGTAAGTCCGGTTGCCACTGCGTCATTTTATATTGCTGATTGTTTGCAGTAATTAAGCCTGACAGCGAGGAGCGTCGCGTGGCAATGTTCAAAGACAACAAGCTTCGTCTTCTGTTGACGCTTGTGGGCTTCACCCGCTTGGGCGCCAACGACGATCTTGATGCGAGCTGGGTGATACCATCTTATTTGACATCCGCAGAGCTACAACAAGCAATCGACCTTATCCGCAAGTATGAGTTCGATCCGCCAACGTACGATGACGGCAAAGGCCCTGAGGACATGCTTCGCAGCAAGGCCGCGGCAGCACGTCGCCCCACTCGTCGCGTGGATTGGGACGATGATGATGACGGCATCGATCACGATTCTGGAGAAGATCGCGGAGAGTATGCCTTGGACGAGCCGACTGCAAGAAAGGCTGATCGAAGCGGGAAGAAAGTACTCAAGGGTCGTCGAAGGGCACGCACGCCGGTTGAGCTTGATGATGAGGAGAAAGAAGAGAGGGCAAACGCTCGACGCCAAAAAGAAATCGAGAAGCAGCTCAAAGTCAAAAGTACAATGTTTGTCCACGACTCCGACGAAGAAGATGATCCAGAAGCGGACGCGGCATTCTTTGCAAGGGAAGAAGCACTTCGGGCGCAAACCAAGGCAAACATCGCCAAGTCACTAGTGTTGGGAAACACGGAGCCTGCTGCGTCAAAAAAGAGAAAGGCGGATGGAACGACAGGAATGGATAGCAAGAGAAGAAAAAACCCGCCAAAGCAGAAACAGAGAGCGGGACCATTCGACTCGGATGAGAGCGATGAGGAAGAGGCTGATGACGGGTCTGAGGGTAATCCTAGCAGCAGAGCCCAGTCAGAAGAGAGGCAGGTCAACATGGATGACAGTGAGGAGGAGCCTCCTGATACGCCCCTGTCGTCCCAACTTGCCAGTGCAGCAGAACTACCGGCGAAATCTGCTCCTAACGCGTCTGCAGATGGCGATGTGACAATGGCTGATCCGGATGATGATGATGCTGAAGACGAAGTCGTCACCGTTCGGCGGCCTTCGAGGAACACGCGGGCTGGTTTCGTCATTGACAGTGATTCGGAGTAGAACATTTGCATTGATTTTGCATGGCTCAGGTGGCGTTCTTAGCATGGTATGTGAATTCGGATACCCTCTATCTCATAGATCATCAATTACGCTGTATATGCGACCATGGCGCTTCATTTGCTTGCCGCTCACGTATTGTCTGTGTCCGTTCTTGGATTTGTGCATTACCGAGAGAGCACGTTATCGCTGAGGTTGAATGTGTGAGGGGTTGAACCGTTTCCGTCGTTCTTTCCTGTTTGTGGAGAGCGGACGTCACGTTGTTTACGTCGAAATGTATCGTTACTGCCTGTTCACTCCACCTTCGCAACTTCGTCTCACATTCGCAGCTCTTCGTGCACCCTTTCATGTACGTGCCATCCTTAATCCCCGCATTGCCACGTTAGGAAGTATGCTGAGTTATCCAGATCGTCAGAGGTTTGAAGAAATTCGCTCGCGGTGGGAAGCGGCGCAGGTCGCGAACAGCGAGACGCAACTGAAAATGGTTGGCCGCAAAGAGAGAGTGGCCACTCAGCCGCTCAACGGCGACGATAGCAACAATACGAGCAAGTTCCGCCGAAAGCTCAGCCAGGGCTTGTCCCTCATATCACTCTCGCAGCGCAAGACCACACCAGTGCGCCCGTTGCTTCTTTCAAACGACCTGAGCGGCTCCATCAATCTCCCGCACGCACACAAATCGACGAGGCTCTTGTCTCCTATGCGCGAATCGTCTTCTTACGGCGTCTCGGTACGCAAGACGACGCCGGTAAAACATGTGAGCCCGCAAAGGGATCCGAATACAGAGACCATGTCCAAGCACCTCCCACGTTCGCGCACTATGAGCTTTATCCCGCGCCCCAGTCGAAACGAAAGCGCATCGCTAGTACTTGACATAGATCAGGCACGCAGGCCAAGTCTTCCTTGCCCACTTGAAGAGGAAACTTACGTTACACCCACAAAGATCCCATCACCTGACTCTTCCGCACCAGCACACCGGAACTCAAGCCCTCGTCAGTATAACTCGAACCTTACAACTCAGGAAGAGAGGCAAATAGGTGCCGGGAATGCCTTTCCTGAGGCCAAAGAGCAATCGCCTTCCAAGTCATCGCCGGTAAGATCTTATACGACACCGAATCTGGTGAAGACAGCGCACGCGCACGGCCTCAACACCTTAACGTCACACCGAAGGCTCAATCAGCATAGGATTTCCGGCATTCCTGGTCCTCCGAGACCGCATCTGAAAGAGAATTCGACGCCAATCACTCAACGTCATGTCAAGCCATTGTCCAACATCCAAGAACGCTCGCCACAGCCACCAAGACGAGATGGTCTGATGGCTCCTATCATCACATCGAAGATGGGTTCGATTGGACCTGCCACACCGCCAGCATCCAGCAAACGCAAGCACCGGCAGAATGTGGCCCAGACTCCGTTCGCAGCCCAACGAGCTGTGCCTAAGAAGCGAAGCCCTGTTCACCCCCTAAGTTCGCAGCCTGGTTTAAATGAAAATACTTACAGAAATACGCGTCTGCTTGGGTCTATCAGTCCACCTAATTCGACGAAGATCGGCTATGCTGCTACACGGTCGGCCTTGCCTCGAGCATCCACCGAGAAAACCCTCCGGAAGCGCACGTTCCCTGGACCAAAGAAGCGGATGGGCGGTGGTGCACTGGCGCGCTCTCAGGCTATGGTGAATAATGAGGTGAGACTCCCTCGTTCCTCTACTTTTCACCACTTTGTGGGTGCAGGGGATGTTCCACCTGTGCCTCCGATTCCCGAGAAGTACAAGAGCGCGTCTATGTCTATGCTTGTTCCAGCAAAAGAGCCCTTCGAGAGTTCCACGAGAAATCCGACAGGGACAATACAAGAAGAATCTCGAAAGACGAGTCCTGATTCCGGCGATAGCTCAGTTACTGCGCTTCCGACTATGCTCGGCTCTGGCGACGTGCAGCAGAACAATGGTTCCGATAAAGCCTGGATTAAGAAGCCTCGTTTGGCGGGAAAGAAGTCAAAACTTAGCATCCACATCCCAACAACTGGTCGATCGTTCTCTGCCAAGTCTAGTTGCGTGTGGTCTGCGAAGACCCCGCAAGACCTAGACATCGCTGACATTGGTGTCTCTCTACAGGTGAAAGACTACATGCCAGCGTTGTACTGGGCCGGCCGTTTTCAATCGCGTTACGACCAATGGCGCACCGAGGCGATGCAGGACGAGCTGAATCCTGACTATCATATGAGCGGACCGCTCGCGCACTATAACGTGCATCAAGAGAATGTAGCAGCATGCCACATTTTCATTCAGCTTCGAGAATTATGTCTCTCGCATCTAGCAGCAGACAGTCTATGGGTAAGCAACCGTGCAATAGTGAAACCTAGCTATACTCACAGTTGCTAGGAATTCGAATATAAATACCGTCAAGACCACAACTTGCTTGGAACCGATGTGCCCCCATTGAACGCTAAGCCTGAAGACGGAAATCAAGGGCCGTTAGGCCGCGCCATACGGAAGATGACGCCGCGGAAGAGTAGCTTTGTCAATCTGTTGAAAGGAAAGGGTTGGAATGCGGAAGACGTGACTGACCGTGATGTCACACTTCGCAAGGCCTCCGAGACATCTGAAGAGAGCCACCTAGGATGAGACCGCCGGCTACAATGGAACACGATGCCTCTACAATATAAGATGGACGATGTGACGAAACGTATGACATTATGGACACGACTTCCGAGAATTGCTTCTGTATCATGTGGAAAGCGATGTTGTTCGGAGCGAAAGATGTTGAGGTATCGTACCGCGTCGCGTATGCACTATACGCTACATTCGCTGTCCACTATAGTCAAATTGATTCAGGGTGTTGTGACAAGGTTTCGCTGCGCTATAGCATAGTAATATACGTATCGAAAGCGGTTCGTTATGTATTGATTCTTGATGAAGGATCTCTTGGTCTTGCTGGAGTACCAGGATGAAGATCTCAGTACTCTCGGCCTACGTATAGCCTACATTGGGATACCACACTGTGTTCAGGCTGTCGTCTTGGTGCAGCAGTCTACTCTTTCTTTTCCACCCTGGGGGACAATTCTCCGGTGATGTTGTTCGGATCTTTCCAGGCCAATGCGATAAACTTTGTGTGACTCCCACGTGCAAACACCTCGTCTTTCTCATTCTTGAACTGGATAGACGTGAATGCCATAGTCTTCCCAACTACGGTACGTCAATATCGCACTTGGAGTTACTTGCTTGGGTCACTGGCATGGGAAATGAAGAGGAGACTTACACTTGTCGCACGATACTTCCGCCCTGATGAGATCTCCTATCTTGCCCCCGGATGAGAGGTAAGTAACGTTCAGGTCGGTTGAGACACCAGTTGCGAAAAGGCCACGCGAGGCTACGGCCAGGGAGCCTCCGAGGTCTACCATGCTGGCGATGGTGCCGCCATGGAGAATATTCAAGCGATTCTAGGAGCTATTAGAGGGCCTGGAAAGTGGACACAGGAGATATAGTTGTAGACGGACTGTGTGATGTTTCTCGATTGGGAGCTCGAACTTCACACGGCCGGGGACCGCGGAGGTTACTTTGAGCTGGGCGGCTGATTAGACTGATGGTTTCTGGGATACTTTTTGTTCTTAGTATCATACGCCGTCAAGTAATCTAGAACGGTCTCAGTATCGTAGCATCGCTTTCTGGGAGAGATATCTGTATACCTCGGCTCCAGGCCGGATGATGCTCGGAATGACTCCCACACCTACACAGTTGATTAGATGCCATGTGCTGTAATGAATATAGTATATGTAAATCATACAGATCGCACAAATTTGAGGGCAGGCATCTTTGCAATGTTGGCTATCTTGCCGTGTAGGAGCGATGTCTCGCTCCGCTCGGCAGTTGTCGAAACCACCGTTAGGCGAACAAGGGGGTGGAGCGGACGCTGCTACCCGCTCCCTGGCGGCTTGGCACGCGTCAATGAACCTCGCGGCCTCCCGCGTTTGCTTTACCTGCCACTACTTTTCTACACGACACAAGCAGCTCGTCGAGAACGAACCCCACCGCAAGATCATATCATGATATCGCGGTAGTCCATAGTCTTTCGCCCACATCCCCCACGATGTCGGCCTCATCCTTCCAGGCGCTCGACTACCTCGAGCAGCTGCCCGTGCAAACGCACAGGAAACTCTACGAGCAGCCCTCCACCGTACTGGCCATCTTCCGCTGCATGTTGCCGCACCTGGGTATGTTACTCCTTTCCCTCCATCCCAGTCCGCTTTGTAGACGTGTATGCAAATGCTCACGCGCTTCAGCAAAATCCATCGTCATGGCCCTGCTCTACATGCCCGCGCCGTTTCCTGCCGCCGACCTGGACGCCTGGTTCCGCGCAGACTCCGCGCAGACGAAGCGAGGCGCCATGTATATCCTTGAGAAACTGCACATTACTGTTCAGAAGCAGGACGACGCGCGGACGCTCTCGTATGAGCTGTATCCTAGCTTTGCTTCGAGCCTGCGGCAGGCGCTCGAGGGGAGCGGGTCACACCGCTCGTTCGGCGTGCCATCGCACAAGAGCGAGGAGAAGAGGGTCAGCGTGGAGTTCCTGGATAGTTACTCGCAACGGCAGTGGGAGAACATCTTGTTCTACCTGGTTGGAGGCACGGTGGGATTCAGGAACACAGGAGGACAGGATATTGGCACCGGAACAAAAAATCTGCTGCAGATGGCAGGCTTCTTCCATCATGGCATGATCACGCGAGAGGGTTTCACGTTTGTGCTTAGGGACACGAATGCACAGGTCTGGAGCTTGCTCGTTGCCTACCTGAGGAACGCGCCTCAGCTTTCCATGTCCGAGACCGACATTCTCAACTTTCTCTTCATGCTCGGCTCCCTCGAGCTGGGGCAAGACTATTCCACCGCCACCCTCTCCGCAACACAACTGCAAATGCTCGAAGACCTCGCCGAGTTCGGCATCATCTACCGCTCGCACAAAGCCGCCTCCACCTTCTACCCGACCCGCCTCGCTGTAGCCCTCACCTCCGACGCAGGCGCTCTCTCGCAAGGCGCCGGCTCCGCCACCGGCGGCGGGTCTACCCAAAAAGGCTTCATCATCATCGAGACCAACTACCGCCTCTACGCCTACACCAACAGCCTTCTGCAAATCGCCATCCTCTCCCTCTTCACACATATGCGCACGCGCTTCCCCAACCTCGTGACGGGCAAAATAACGCGGCGCTCCATCGGGCGTGCAATCTCCTACGGTATCACATCCGCGCAGATTATCGAGTACCTCGACACGCACGCGCATCCGCAGATGCAGAAGACGAAGCCGTTCCTGCCGCCCACCGTCATGGATCAGATCCGCCTGTGGGAGTACGAGCGGGAGCGCATGGAGACGACCCAGGGGTATCTGATGAGAGAGTTCCCGAGCGAGTTGGTGTACAAGGAGTACGTGCAGTATGCGAAGGATAACGGGGTCCTCGTCTGGCAAAGTGACAAACTGCGGATGTTTTTTGTTGACAGTTTTGAGGTTGTGCAGGCAAAGGTCAAGAGGGACAGGGAGAGGACGCAGGCGCGAGGGGTACGGTGAGGCGACTGCTTCACAGGGTGGGAGTTGCATTTCTGTGCGTCATGATACCTTGCATTCGGATTTGCAACCGACTTTGATTATACAAGAACGATAGGCGCCTCAGGGAGCTTCACGATCTGTACCACCAAAATACCACGCACTTGCCAAGGAAACAAGACCGACTCAACATACAAGCGGCTTCGAGCGTACGGGCTCGCAGGATTGGATGTCCCGTTGGCTGACATGCATTGCCGGAGCTACATCTGTGGCGCCGTTGTCTGGAACTGGAGGCTCGACAACTGCCGCGGACGCTGTTTCCCCGGATTCGGCTGGTCCCGTTGTACGCCCAGCAAGATTTCCAACGCGCCTAGCAGCATCCTGAGATGGCCTGTCGTAGCAGAGGTCCCAAGGCAGCGTATGCGCCACAGTGAGCCTGTCCTCAGGCAAAGGGCTTGAATAAGGCGGAGGCTGTACTGGCTCGTCGGGCATGCTCCCACGCCCTGGAACCCTTGGCTGCCGAAGGTGGTGATGGTTAGACTTGGAGCTTGTTAAACGCTTGCAGTTGAGCAACTTGGAGGCTCGTATTTGGAGAGCACGGCGCTTGTGGTGGCGGTAGTGGTGGGGATCGTGCTTTTGGGCCGCGCTGGCTGGGTCGCGCATCACGGCGCGAGGTGCGACTGCGATGTGAAGATCGATCCGCATGGTCAACAGTAACGTGCCTAGCAGTAAAAAAGGCACGAGTCGTAAGACATGATAAGAGAACGAAGGAACATGGCGTAGTGATCAAATGTAGCTTAGATAAAGTTTCTAAGGATGGGTTGTCTATGAAAACGACGGTTTGCGGATGTTGAGATGAGGGTCGAAGGCGCCGGACAGGAGGTTACGCGACCTCGCCCTGGGTGGTTGTTGGGAAGCAGCGACCATGGGTCGCTTTCGCTTCTGACAGTTGAACCTATAATTCGTGAACCAGGATAGGCAGGCGCTGGTTCAGCACTCTGCAGTGTCGTAGCTGGTTTCGACCAACTAAGACTAGTGTAGCCGTTGGGCTGACATGATGCAGGCCTACAAGTATTTGTGCATCTCTTGGGAACAACGTATTGTAATTTATGAAGTTCATACCTAATGGACGTACAGAAAGCTCGGAAGCCCCCAATACCCATTTTTGTAAATGTGTCCGAGTTTACCGTGATCTCTTAGTCCGAAATCCCCGGTAAATGAAAAATCAGGAGACGTCCGCCCATATGTTGTTTCGCTTTGGATGATCCAAGCCTCCATTCAGCTCCCGAGTAGAACGCCAATAACGCCAATCCATATGCCAAAGTGAACTTGCGTATATGTGAATGAGACTCGCAGACGAACAGAGCGGGTGAGAAAGCCTGAGCTGGAAAGTAGGATCACTTTGCCACTTGCTGTGGCGGAGGCACTGGTATTACTCAGGTCATGGTACCCTCGCAGCCGTGCTGCGTAGACACTTGGTCGAAATTACCTTGCGTGACCACTGAGGCAGTCAGGCAAAGCCAGAAGCTTCAAGACCAATTGACAAAATCCCATTCGTCGTCAGAAGTCGAACCGGCAGTCTCCTGCTTGACGTTGGAATCTGACTTGATGGTAGGCTCTGATTTGATAGCAGACTCTAGCTTGACGGTGACGTCTGGCTTGATAACTTCCCAGGGGCCAGGGTCGTGGAATGGGTTCGACGGAACAAGGTCTGTGAAGGGCTTTGCAAACGGATCGGTCGCTGTCGGGGAATGGGTCAGGACCGGCTCGGTTTGTGACTCAGGCTTTGGGCGGTGGACGAGCGAGAATCCGAATTCGTCGCTCGAGCTCTCGGAGTCACTATCGCTTGCTGAACAGGTCGCTCCTCCACCAAGTGTCCTGGGTCTGTGAACAAGAGTGAAGCCTCCGTGCGACGGCTCTTGCTTCTTCGTGTGACTGCTACCCTCGGTGTCGTTGCCTTCCAAAGCAGGTCCCTCATCATCCTGGAATATCTCGTATTGGAAATCACCGATAGCGCGCTTGAGCAGGGTAGCCTGCGAGTGTGGCGTTGGGCGACACACGGGTAGTTGCACGATCTCGTTCGCTCCGTCATCCTCGAAGTTTCGACGCATGCTGGTTCTACAAAGGTCTTGGTGGAAGGTAAAGTTTTCGAAGGCGGTCTGGCGGAAATCCACCCGGTCACCAAGCAATTGGTATTTGAAGACGGAGACACAGTAATTAAGGATCGTGTCCAGAAGAGATCTATGTTCATCCGAGTTGGAATTTCGCCCCCCAAAGTGTTCGTAGATGAACCTGATGGTTTCGCATAGATCCGAAGGGGGCGTTGCGTTGCAACAGGCGAATTCGGTCTCTCGTGTGAAGTTGACATAGGCCTGCACTTGGAACTCGGGGACGTCAAAGTCCTCGGCGACCTTGAAAGCTTCGGCATGGGGGAGAAGAGAGCCTAAGCATTCTTCTGGGTCAGAAACGTAGGTACCGGTGTACAGGAACCTGAGTAGCGATACAACGGCGGATCGCGACGTAGCCTTGATGAATGGTCAGCCGAGTCCAGCACTCGTACATTACCAAAACGTACCTCTATGCTAGCTTGTTCGACCTCACTGAACTCACGGAACTCGAAGGCGTGGTACAAGAGCGGACATTTGTCGAGAAGTGCGAACCTGCTGATGTTGTGGATCTGGACGACGGAGCCGTCAGGCAACAGCACCATGAGAGTTGACGTCGCCGAAGCGTCGGCAGCAGCAGCTTGCTCCAAGAAATTGAGGTCGTCCATGGCGCGACTGGCCATGTACGGAGAGGACAGTCTGGATCTGGTGATATGCAGCAACAATGGGGTGCGGAGGGACAGAAGCTAGGGATCGACTCAGTCGGGAGTGATCGAGGCTTCCTCACGGTGAAGGTGATTCGCCAGCTCGTCCCTTGCTAGGCTCCAACTTGGACACTGGTGCATGCGAAGGCTTGGGTGAAGACGGGCAAGCTGACAGCTACCGGTGAGTCGGCTGTGCCTGAGTCAATCAATGAACAGCCGCAATTGCAGCTGAAGTGGGTTCGTGGACAACATTGCACGGCAAATGGAGAGTTTGCGGGGAAGGCTGGGAGCGTTTGGTGGCACCGCGATACAGACACGGATTGGCTGTGCTGGTCAAGGTCAAGCGCGTGCTCTCAGCGTGGCCGTCTTCCTGCGGCCCTGGGTAGTGATTGGGGCTGATGGTGGGATGACGCAGGACTGTTGTGTTCGGTGAGCTCTTAGGAGTCCAGCCACACCTCGCCAGGCCGCCATGACGGCTGTGTTGGTCGTGGTGCCGACGGGACACCCTGTGACCTATGTAGCTAATGGTGTAGTAAACACAACCCCGGTATGCGAACGGGCGTTGCGGGTACGCTGCCGCACCAGCCACAGTGTAGGGGGCTATCGATAAGGACGGCGTGGGATGCTCCTGTCGCCGTTCCGCGTTCCGCGAATTTCCTCAACAACATTGCACCAAAGCTCGCACTCGTTGATGCCTTCGCTGGCTTGGCTCTTTGCGACTCTCTGAGACTGCCTGCGCGGTGACGTTGTTCTGCATCCTCGCTCTGCAGTCGCGTTCGTTCTCTCGCTGAGTCGGGCGTCCTGCCTTCTGCTCTCGCGCGCCCCGTCCTGCCATGGGCCTGCTCTCCTTGCTCCCTGACGAGTATGCGTCGGTGGAGACATGGCTCAAGCGATTGTTTGTGAGGCGCCAACTCTTCCATCGTAGCTATTGTTATTCTAACGGCTCTGCATGGCAGTTCCTTTTGGGTGTCGTCACGCTCGGGCCGTGGGCCTTTCTCGTTGTCTACGACCTCGTCTTGTACATTGTCCGCTCCGTCACGTATGAGATTCCGTTCGTCGGCGGCCGCGCGCGCGGCAAAGCCCGTCCTCGAGCTCCGAGCCTAACCGAGCGACCCAGCGGACACAGGCGCAAGTTCAGTCTCGCTCGACGGCGCGAGCCTGAGAGTCCCACGAGTAGTGCTTTCCAATCGAGTCCCCAAGACACACGATGGCGCAACATACAAGAGGAGACGCACGATGCTGCAAACAAGACTTCGTTGAGCTCGGACTCAACGGACTGATTGGGTCTGTGAGTTGCCGCTGGAGGTTACATTGTTGGGTATTGCGCGGCCTGCTTGCGCGAAGCCAACAGGACCGACAGCAGAGAACGTGGACACGGTCCAATCGGCGCTGTCCAGCCTTGCACGCAGACTTCTGGAGCTGTTTGCTATCGGACATGTTGTGCTGTACCGGACGCGTCATATGTATTGGCATGGTTGATACCGTACCGTCTCCGTAGTGAGCGTTTCAACGATGCCACTGGTCACAGGATGCTCACGCAAGCCATTTCGAAACAGCTACCAGTCTTCGCGCAATGAATATCGCGATCTGATCCATGCGTGCTCATAATCTGCACCTCACGAGTCTGATTCTCTGCCGTCTGTTGGCAAATCTGTCAACATGACCCCACAACAACCACCATGCTCGTGCAAACGCCCGCGTGCTCTTCAGAATTTCCTTTCTGCTGAAGAAGTTTGACAAAAGTGTACGGATGCTCTGCACTATAAACATGAATGCAACGTCTGATAGGCGGCACATATGGGGCACCTTCCCTCGATTGTTTGCTTCATCGTCGTACACATCCTTTCCGGTGCTGCAGCCCATGAAGAACTCACCGCTCTGTGCTCTGGCCTGATCTTGCTAGCCACTCAATTGACTCAAGGGGTAACGCCGAATCAGCACGGACATGGACACTCAACCAAGGCCAACTGGTCAATGCCATCGCATATGTGCGAACAAGTGCCAACGTATTATCAAGATCCTGCATTTCGTTCCCTTTATGCCCTAAACTCTGCAGTCTCTGCACTGCAACCCTGACACCACACATTGTCACCACCTCGCTTTTTGCGAGGCAATCAGTCTTTACCTATCACTCCCCAGCTTCTTATACAAATGACTTTCGACTACGGTGTCTTTGAACAATCGAGGCTTCCATTCCGACCTCGTCCTCCGCCAATGTCCAGTCTGCCTCGGCCCCCAATGCACATCCCAATGGACGAACAACTGCATCGCGCGACGTCGGGATCTCCATTCGTAGAAATAAATCCGCGAGATCCCCGCGTTATGAGTGCGCCCTTCGATTCCAGGCTGGGCATGGAGGTACCCGACTATTTGTCTGCACTGGGCTCGCCCATAGGCAAAGGGACGTTCGGATCTCGCAACCAAAGAAGCTCGTATCCTCCAGGCTTCGAACCAGAAACTATGATGAGCGGCCCTGAGCAGTATATCGATGAGCTGGTACGCAGGTGAGATGGGCACATAGCGAAATTATCGACGGAACTAACGCGTTCAGAACCAATCTGATGGTACAATTCGTCAATAGCCAGATCCGGCCTGGAGCGCGATACTGCCAGCTGCAGCCCAAAATGTGCCACGATGCGAAGTTCCCTCCCGAGTTCAGAATTCCCAAGACTGTCGATGAAGTGAGGGCCATGGACCGTACGCATGCTGTATCCCGATCGCCAGTTGAACGCTGACATATGTGAAGCATCTTCGGTGGACAGAGTCCTACGAGCTTACAACCTTCCAACTGACCTGCGGTCGTTTCGTGCAATGACGCAGGACACGATCAACCCCAGGACCGCCCATCAAGCGAAGCTGTGTACACTGTTTGATTTTCTGGGCGCGACACAGATATCAGAGCGGCAGAGGAGCAAGAGGAACAACGGACCGCCGTACTAATGCAATATGAGTAAGAACCTCACTCGTATGGGACAACTGTTAGACAAATGCATCAATGCTGAGTACCTGGGCTTCTCGTCATAGATGCTGCCTTTCCATTGCTTACCGTTGAATACATCATAACGCTCAACAAGAGTACAATGAAACAAACCATACATGTTCATATCACTCCATCGGACTCCGAAGCATGACTTGCGGTACCTTACTCAAAGTCCATTGTATGAGCGTGCCCCATATGTTGCCTTCCCCGCAGCTAAGCGCCGCTTGGCCGAATCAGGAAAACAAATGCCCGATCACCAGCACTCCTCTCAAAAAAATTACGCTATACACGCCCTAGTCGCCATCTCGATGAGTCGATGAACGAAGCATAGGTACTTACAAGGACGCTGTACAGCTGGCGCAACAGCTTGTGCACTCGTGCGGACTCCGTACCAACATCCATTGTCGTCATGATACAGCCAGACATGACCCAGAGCCCTTTCGCCTGGTTGCTATTGCTACTCGGTGTTTCTGCCTTTGCAGCCCGGTGGGTTCTGAGAAGACCTCAAGCAAAGGTATTTTGATAATCCGACGACCATTCATTCTCTCGGAAGGCGCCGAAGTGACATGTTCCACAGTCTACTTCACAACCATTCGCGCCTCGCACAAAGCAGCAGCCAGAATATTCCGAAGATGCATACAACAGCATCGAACCTCTGCATAGTCTGCAATTGGAATCGGAGCAACCCATTCAGCTCCGAACTTTCAAGCCAAAGTATCACCTCACTATGGGTACCTATGCACGCCGTCCTTAGTTCTTCTAAACTACTAAACAGCTCTCAGCGCTCGAGAACACAACCATGTCTGACTTAGTAGCCATGGACAACACCTATGAGTCGCGCATCAAGCTTCGCTCAGACCTGATTCGTGAGAATCAACACGATGTGCTTGCGCATCGTCCAGTCGTTGGCCCAGCAGTTCTTGAGTTCTACACCTGGATGCTGGAATATCTCCCTTCCCGCTTTCCCACCGTATACACCCGCACACCTAGCGGCCTCCTCAATACCATCACCAACCTCACCCTCCCACAAAATATCACAGACACGGAGCAAGCCCTCTCCCTCCTCGGCTCAAACGTCGACACCGATTTCCTATTCCTCCTGCCCATCCCTGCCACCGACTCCGATCCCCCCCCCTCTGAAGGCACAAAATACCACCTCGAAGGCTTCATAACCTGCTTCCCCTCAGGCTTCTCCACGCGCTCCAAGCTCGGCCTCTCCCTTGCCGCCATCCACACGCCCGTCCCAGGCTACGCCACAAAACTACAAAAGTCAATGGACCGCTTCTTCGCCGCCCTCCCCGTCGGCCGCATCGTCAAGCGGCACAATTGGACCATCAACACACGGCCCGACCTCTTCGTGACCAGCGGAACGCACATCCACTCCGACGACGAACTCACAGAGGCCGATGCACAGGAGGAGGTGGACCTCAGCAGGACGGTGCTGCGGTGCGAGAGGCAAACGCTGCACCGGCTGCCGGGGACGGGAGCGTTGGTATTTGCGTTCAAAACGTATACGTATCCGATAGAGCAGGTGCGGGCGGAGGGGAGTGGGGAGGCGCTGGCGGAGGCGATTGAGGGGCTGGGGAGGGGGAACGTGCCTGAGATGACGGTGTATAAGAGGCAGGTGGTTTGGGCGCCAAAGGTTACTGCGTTTTTAAGGGGGGAGATAGACGAGTAGGGCGGTGAGGAGAGGGAGGGGTTGTTCGGTAGAATAACTGTTCTGGAGCGTATTTGGGGGCGTTGGCAAGTAGTCTCGCTGGTAGGCTCGTTTGTGGCCTTGCCTAATATACTTGCTTGCTTATGCTGATCCGAGAATAACAAATATCATGTTTGTATGTAACACAAGCTATACCCTCCTTGCACAGCTCACGTGCATGCACATCAGCCGAGTCATAATTTTAGCATGAGTTTAACCGATCTTGAATCCTGCATCTCCCACCATCACCGATCAGCTCTACACGACATGTTGACAGTGCTTCCCTATCGGTTTCAAGCCCCCTAAAATAAAACTCTCTCAAAATGATGTCTTGCGACTAGGAACAAAAGTCCCCACGTGCCAGTCACTACACCAATGAGCCCTCCCACAGACCTCTGTGGCCCCTCTAATCACACCCCTAGCCCCGTATATTCGCGCGACATTTTCTGCCCCAAACGTCCTACACACCACCGTGGCTAGGCGGACCCACTTCCTACCCTGTGCGTGGGGCGCAATCCGCAGGATGCGGTTCCCTGCGAGCACGGCGTATGTTTGCGGTGAGAAGCTTGTGGTGGGTCGAGCTTGGTTTTACCGTGGGTGGTGTGAGGTTTTGGGATGGAGAGGTGGGTGGCGTAGGTGTGAGGGTGAAGGACGAGAGTGGATGGGCGTGGGTGGGCGTGGGTGCGTGCGGGTGCTCGAGGACGTATGCTGGTCTTTCTACTGGCAGTTTAGGCTGGTGGTAGATGCGGATAGCCCTACGAGTCGCATTCGGTGTAGCGAATGGTTGATGGGTGGATGCGTGTGTTTACTGGAATGGCACATGCTCACGAGGAATATGGGAGGCTTCAAGCGTGTGTAGCTGCGTCGCGGCTTATTTGTATTTCCGGTCTGGATGGGTCAGTCACTGCCATGCTTGTGAATGAAAACTTATAGAATACCTAGCGTAGATGTGTTCGTGTAAACAGCATAGTTATGTCTCCGTTCCTGGGGGTTCCGAGCCTCCTTCCCGCGGACAGGGCGTAACGTCTTGTGGGAAAGAAAAAGTATCGCGTGGAATGCTGCTAGACTAACTTCCTGGCTTCAAGACTTCCATTGATCCGCGCTCAGGAGCTGGGAGGATGGCGTGAGTGCGGTGACGGTTTTGACATCATGCCGACGGTCACATAATTCGTAATCGTTCTTGATGGTCGGAGCGTCCACTGCTGAAAAGCATCCGACTGTCACCGTCATTGTTTGAAGGGGACCAAGAGACGATTGGCCGTCGAGGGTATGCGAATGCGAGCATACACCCGTCTAGATAAACTCTCTTTCCTTTTTTAGACGAAAGAAAGACATTTCGAGTCGTCGTCGTCGACGTCTCTCTTACAATCTCTTCTGTTGCCCCATAGTAGTTGACAATCCCCGACGACTGCACGCCACTCTTCCGATACACTCCTACTCCCCGTCTTCCACACTCCAAATCACGCTAAAGTAAGGGTCGTAGGTGAAGGACATCGCAAACCGAACGCGGTATTTTAACTTGCAGGGGCAAACATTCCAGCTACGCCGACAGGACAATCCTAACGGAAGAATAATCCGCTGATGTTGTCTAGCGGGGCAATCACTTCGTGGACATGACTCGTAGCTGCAACACGAAAGCTTGGAGGCTTGGTACGGTCCGTCGGATGCGGCACGTCCATGTACGCTGATAGGGTGTACAACAACTAGGATCGGGGTTGGTCTCCATGCATGACGAAACGTACATTTCGAATAGATAGCAATACAGCAAGCTGAAATGATGTATTGAGCGATAGAGCCCAGCCAAGAGGAACCAGTGATGACATGCACGTGCGCTATGCAACTACAAGAAGGCCAAAGGGAAAGGGTCCCGACGGCAAGAATACCGCCAAGTGCGTAGACCGCGTCAGAACTTGACGTACTTTTCGACGGGCACGCCGTTGCACATCATGTAGTTGACGCCTATCTGGCGGTCGGCCATGTTGACGTTGACAAAGACGTCTTGCACACGCTTGCTCTCCTGGACCTGGCTGCTGTCTCTGCATTTGTTTGTAAGCGGGAGCCAGTTGTCGGCCCCCGGATCCACAGCGAGGTCCATGCCTTCCTCTAGCTTGATGCAATGAAGTGCGACCATAGCGGCGCCAAACGAGTCCCAAACGCCTTCGCGTCGGCGGCAATTCATCAGGATTGCTACAGCGCGGCGGCGAAGAATTGGGTCGCGACAACGACAGGCTGTTACGAAAAGTGGCACGATCGGCGAAAGTTCGAATGATGGAGAAAATGATGGAGGTTTTCTCTTGGATGTGGACGGTAGGGTAAACTCGGACGGGCTCCCTGTAGGCTGTCTAGTTGGCGAGGGTGAGGAGAAGTAGGTCGTGGTTGCAGGGCCAGTAGGTGACGGAACGGAAGGTACAGCAGGGTTTGGTGCAATGGAACGGTGCTTCGATGATGGCGGCTGTGGTGTCTCGGTTCGAGACGGCGGTGTCGAGGTCTGCGGCGAAACTGGCGGTACACTTGCTGTCAGGGTAGGTAATGTTTCTGCCAAATCGACGATCGTCTTGAATGAGTCTTTGAACATGTCCCAGGCCATCTCTGTCCTCATACCAGTCCCTGCGGCCATGATGATACGCGTCATAATGAAAGACATTTTCAGCAGAGTATTTCCAGCGTACACTTTCGGGTCGCCCTGCTCGTGTGGTGGCAGATTGTTTTGATACAAGTCGAAAGCCCGTTCCCATGGGTCAAAGAAGGTGACGACTTGTGAATATAATCGGAGCCAAATAGGGTTGTCTGTTGCGTTCAGGTTGATGTTGGCAATTCCAGACACCCACATCATACACCTCATCAGACCTACAAGGTCGTTCCTTGCATCCGAATTTCTTGTGTACATCTCCGGTATCTGTGGACAGTCTGGGGGATTGTCAAAACCATAGTCGTAAGGTGAAGTATTGTCCGAGAAAGTCATGGCCTGTAGATCGAAGCGGTACAGCACATTGCCGATGGATTCTTGCGCAGCAGTTCGGACCTCTGGGGCAACCCCACGCTTGTGTTGGTTGAGAATAAGCAGCCCATTACGCAGATGCATATTTGCAGCTCTGTAGTTGCCCGCTAGATTCTCGTAGCAGGTGAAGATTATACATGCAATCAAAACTTTCTCAACGTCAACCCTGCCTTGGCTATGCGCCCTGAGTAGTTCGTTGGAATGTTTTACCGCTTGCATGTATTGCACAAACGCAAAATCATTTGATTTACTGGTGAAAATTGGCGATGTGCTTTCGAAACGTTCATGCATAGTGCTCAACGCGAGGATGCCATGCTTGATAGCCGGTTCAACATGGCTCAGCTGCATGATTTTTTGACTCCATAGATCCGAGTCGAAGAATTCTGTCCACTTTGGAAGCGTGTGGGCTTGGAAGTAGAGAAAAGAGCGATTCTCCATGGCATCTGGTGAAAGACTTCGGGTAGGAGTTTTGGGTACATTGGGTGACGGAGGTTGCTGAGGAACAACCAGGAATGACGAATTTCGGAACGAGGCAGCAGCTGAAGGCGAGCCGTGCCGTGCTGTCTGAACATGTTTGTAGCCCTCGCACTTGCGACCGGTTTTGGTGCAGCGCAGGCACTCTGGCTTAGTTTCATCGCATTTGACACGACGAGCTCTAAAGACAGGTCACTACTTCACTGTACTGAAGGGTTGAGGAGTTCCCTACGTACCTGCAGGTCTCGCAGCCAGTCTTGACACGTAACTTGTGCTGACGTTCGAGCTGACGCAGCTGGTTTTCATCCATTGTCAACAGCGAGTGCCACAGGTGTTACGGTTGAGGTAAATGGTGCATGGTGTGGCTCATGGAGTGCTAAATAACTCAGCGCGTCCACATACGGTGCGCTCGGCGACTGTCAGCGGGAGGGGAACGTGCGCCGGCCTCGCATAAATCATAACCCTATCTGACTGGCCTCTGCATCAACGGTGGTGACGGAACAAGAAAGATGAGATAAGCCAGCTGAATCCTTCGTGTGCTTTCTCGCCAGCTCGTGTAGTATTCCTTCATAATCGCGCTTAGTCCCCAAACGTGTACGTAGGCACTTTTCATGACATGGTGTTGCGGTTGTGCAATGCCCATGACCGGTGGACCGCCAAAGCCGATTCGCGTACGTGCCTGCAGCCACCCGTGGCGGAAATAACGACACTGTGTGTCGTAGGAACAGGAACGGTTGTACACAAATCATATCTTCGAGGTTTGGAGGTGCGTGCGCTGACGCCATTGATCCCCTGTACTTACAGACAATACCTAGCGATACACCGGATAGAGACAGGAGGCATGTCGAACGACATCTGATGACACTCATAGACTCGTGGAAACGATGCCGTGTTGTCGTTCTTCGTGCACCGAACCAGGACGACTGGGGATCCATTGTGTACAATACGGTTACCGAGGCGGTGGAAGCAACCGCTTCGAGAAGCACTACCGATAGAGTCGAGTAGGATCGTTTATACAGTACCTTGGCAATTGGTTAGCGCCATTCGGCGGCTGTCTTGGAAGCTGTACCAAAACCATCAACATTGAACTTCGAACATCACAAGTGCGAGGCGGCAAGGAGAGATTGCAAACGCGCGATGGAATAACGGCCATCCCGGCTATTCATTCAACATAAATTCCCATGATTTATACATTCGCCTTTATGGTCCTGCGCGGAAGATCGAACAGAGCCTTCCTGTCCGACTTCGCCAAAGCCTCATTCCCTGGGATTATATATGCTCCCAAATGTCCTTCCCAGACGAAAGAAGGACACATACATAGATACTCCAACACGATGCGTGGGTGCGGCGCACGCGGAACACAGACAAGAACGCCTTAGGAGCTCAACAATCCAGTATGCGCTTGAGCTCCGTATGCAAAACAGAGACGAGAAAGAAATCGTGGAACAAGACATGGTTCCAGTCCTGCTGGGGAAAGCCAGAGACGATTATGTAGAAGTTGCATGTACCATGTCGATGCTTGTACAGAGTTTGGTGCAGGAAAAAAGGCGCTAAACAGCAACAGCAATCGAGCTATGCAGATGAAAAGACAAAAGATAACGTTCACCCGGGGCGTCTGAAAGCTTCTACAGCGAGAGTGGGTGTTTCAACTTGTCTGTTCGAAGGGACTCCTTCGTTCTTCCGACGATCGAAGAAGTTCTGGCATTCGTGTGAAACAAACGTCCATTCAGCAAGTGCACGCCCAGCATAGGTACTGGACGTAGCCGCAGGCCCAGTTGGTTGTGCACTTAAGACTGGATTGATATTGATTCCTTTCTCCTGGAGGAGCACCTGCGCAGGTAATGGTAGACGCGGTGGACTGAGGCGCATGTTCTGATAGGTACCAAATCGTTTGTCTACCCACTCCAAGGAGAAACGGAAGCTGTAGCTACGGTGGGCGGGTACCGGGTGGGAATATGCGGTGACAGGCGCTTCTTTGATATCCGGCACAGGATCAAGTTCGCTATTCGGCGCCGCAGGGCCAATCGGTTTAGTGTTTTCCTTTTCCTTTTTAAGTGCGTCGCTGCTCTTTGATTTTGTCGACTGTTTCGGCGCACCACCTATGAAACTGCGGAGGATGTTCCATCGCCCTTTCGGTGCGGCTTCGTCTGGGAAATCCTGAGAGTCGACCGAAGCGGACGATAAAGGACGCTCGGGTGTGGATTTCGAGGAAGGCGAAGCTCGTCTTGACGATGGCGACTGCATGACACCGTCGAACGAGAGGAATGGCTGAGTATTGGTGACAATAGGATTATCATTACGTATGATGAGAAAACGACGACCGGGTGCGGGATTGCAAGCTTGTGTAGACGGGGGAAGAATCCGCTTATTCTCTGCTTGCTCGCGAAGCCACAGATAGTGAGACCATACTGAGCGCAGTCGGTCGCTCAAAGTTTTCATAATAGTTCTATTCCAATGATTAGTAGGGCAGGGAACATGGACGAAATTACTCACAACTCCAACGCTCCATCCCCCCCATCGAAGCGGGCGACCCTCCAACACAATATCCGCATATAGTAAGAACGAACCATCGGACACCAGTGGTTGAATCTACTCTCAAAGAATTCCGACTCGAGTAGGAATTGAAGGCAAAGGCTTTCCTTGCGACGTTCGTCCAAAACCAGGACCGACCAAGTACTGTATAGGAAAGAGAAGAGCTTGATCTCGGTTGCGGTATTGTGACTTGAGGCCATCAGTTTGCAGACCGACATCCAGAATGGCCAGTCTAGCACTGAGTGACGCTCATCCAGCATCTGTTCGTATCGTGCCAAGATTACAAACGCCTCTTCCAAAAAGTCACAAAGCCTATAGCAGGCGTTATTATCATAGACGGAGACTCTCCGAGCCGCTGCCTTCAGCAGGCAGCTGAAACCCTCCGCAAAGATCTGTCTAGCGGAAGTAATGTGAGAATTCCGCTCGGAGAGAAAATCGCGTATCAGCATAATGATACGATTTTCGGCCATTTGTCGAGTGGCGTTCGCTGGAGGGATAGGCACAGTCGAGGCAGAAGCATCTGGATCCGCTAGAACATCATCGAAGGTGATGGAAGATGTACTGTTCGTGGGTTCCTCGGTCTGCTGCGGAGCGGCAAAACGGTTGATTGTTGCATCCAAGTTCACCAGGATTTGACTATGAACCATGATCATACCCGGAGCGCAGAGACGCTGTACGCTTGTTGATGTCTTCGGGAGAAACTCAGAGACGAGTATGTGGTAGTGCTTCACGAAGACGTAAAATAGGTCACTCTCGGCACCCGACCAGCGTTTGACCCAGGCACCGTACCAATCTAAACTGGCAGTCCCAAGCGGCATAATTGCCGAACGACGTAGGGACCGGGCCGTGGTGGCCAAGGACTTAAATTTTAACGAATGGAGCGTTGGAGGGAAGGCGGAAACAATGTGCTCTGAGACGTCGTCGAGCCTATCCAGTCTTGTGATGCCCGACTCTTCCATGACCCGCTTCATCGCATCATGAGCAGGCGTCCAGAGACGTACCAAGATATCAGCAATTCCAGGGCAGAAGCAAAACGCATATGCGCATGTCTTCCCACAGAAAGTCACCAAGCTAGCAGCTGCGTTTCGAAGTGCCATCTTCTCGATCACAAAGGCCATCTGCGCAAGTAGATTTTGCGTGAAGATGTTGCGAACGTTGTGGTAAACTGATTCCGTGAGAAAATCAGAGGACGACGATGAAGCCGACCCCGCAGATTTTGTAGTAGTTGTAGACGCAGTCTCGACCCGGTCGGCAAGGGCACAGAATGGCGACGGTGAAAGTCTCCATTCTGGTCTTTCCATGATTCCAGAAATGCCCTCCAATATGGCAGGACGGTCGGTTCCAGATATGGATTGGTTGTTGCGCCCCGAGAGGAGCTCCAAAAGCGCTGTCCACCAACCATTCAAAATGTTGGCGCGTCGGTCCAGATCTTCCGGACGAAGTTTGTGGTTTGAGGGGTGGACGGCGTAGGCTCGGAGGAACGGCAGCAGCCCAGTGCGCAGGACATTGGCCTTGAAGGCAATGGACTTGTGTTGGAACTTGCGGAGGTCCCCCTCGAGCGTCCGGAACACCGTCCAGAGCTCGTCCTTCTTACGTGGCTCCGTCTTGGGACCTTTGATCTTGTCTGGAGCGATGCTCTGCGGTAGCGGAGGAATGTGGGTCGGACTGGTTGGCGATCTGACATAGGAAGGTAGCTTGTCAGTGGAGAATGATTTCGGGAACGAAGGAACGGGCGGTTCGTTTGCGTTTGCAGGCTGTGGAACGGGATCCGTGGACGACGGAGTGAAGATGCCACTGAGTCGTTTGTTTTTCTTGGTAAGAAAACGGCTCTTGTGTGTCGTGGGGCTATCGCTCGCCTCCTGCGTTGATCTGGACTCCTCTGGAATGCTGGCATTTACTTCCAAGCCCTTCCGCTTGTTTGCCTCGACACTCAGCGAATTCTTGCGCGAGTCGTCGTCTTTCTTGGGACTACCAGTCTCCTTGGTGGGCGAGGAGGACCTCGAACCGACAAAGCTCTTCCGCCGCAGGCGCGTCAGCCCGCGGACTGGCGATATGGCATTCGAGCTCTCTGATCGCTTTAAGCTGTCGCTGCGGGTGCGGTCGGCTTTGCGCTCTCGGGAGGGCTCGCGGCTTTTGCTAGAAAAAGACAGGAATATCGACGACCGGCGTGAATTACGGGGCCTCAGCTGCGGCATTTCTGGCATTCGCTCCTCGGGTAGCCCCTCCTCGTCGGGGCTCGAACCATCCGACGATGTGTACGACTCATCTGGGCTGACGCCCGTCTTCAGTTCTTCTTCTGATATCGTCCCCTTCAATTCCAAGAGGTGCGGGTCATCCAGGTCTTTGACGCGCGGAAAGTAGGTGTAACTGGCGGCTTTGGGCAGCTGCGGCTGCTCACGCGGGCGTTCGGACGGAGGAGGCAGGGCTTCTGAAACAGCCCGGTTGCGGCCTCGAAGCGCGTTGGAGAGCAAATCGTGGCCGCGCTGGACGGAGGCAACAGCGTGCATGTTGGTGAATCAGGACGATGGCCCGGACTCGCTTCCCCACGAGCTCGCTCGTGGTGTTGGTGCGGAGCTTTCTAAGGGCTCATATTTCCCAGCGAGTGGCTCAACATAGGCGGGTTCAGGATAGTACGTTCGTTAGCCGTCTCTGTGCGGTGCAAGAGGCTGGGGTGAAGATGTCAGCGGGGCGGCGAGGCAGACGGAGGCTTCAGAGCGGAAATGGGCGGGTGTTGCGGCGGAACGAGAGAAGGGGAACGCGCTGGGGCAACGAGTGTGGTGGGCAGTGAGGTAGCGACCGACAGGAGCTGTGGATGGAGACGCCGTCTGCAAGCACTGAATGCTGCGGACCCTCCGCGATGGACCGTTGATGCTGATTTCGGTAAATTGGGCCATGTAATGGCACCGCCGCGAGCTAGCAGGGATGGCGAGCAGGTTTGATCTCGGATGGCTTCGCCTCGCGGCGATCAAGATTCAGGTTGCGCTCCTGCCGCGAATCTGCATGCTTCGGGGCATTTTGCCATCCATATCCAGATGCAATCATGCGCGGCCTTCCGGCCTGCTGCCGCCTGCGTGCTGCATTCGCACAGGGGCGCAGCGTGTGACATCAGGACCACGCTTCACATAAAGAGAACGTGGGTCGTGCGATATGCAGAACCTCTTTCGCCTTTAGCGGACTTAAAGCCTGGATGGTGGAGAGCGCCCGGTGCCGGCCTCGTCGCCCAGTTAATTTCGAACGTGTTTGAGAACCGGTCTTGATGATCCAAGTATAAGTAAGCTTCATGACGCACTGCAGAGCTGCTACGGAGCATGCACAGTGCACAGCGCGTCTTCCTCCACCGTCGACTGTTATTGCCGTGGCCATGGGCTGCTCTCTAGCGCGGCTTGTGATGGCGACACAAAACGCCATTCCTAAGCCATGTGGACAGAAATGTAGTGCATCACAGCCTCTCCTGCAGCAGCGGGTGCTGGGGCTCGGCGTGGGTCTCGCATGCGAGTAGCGCAATTTCATGAAGTATTTCTGCAACCGATCTACCCGTGAGTCGTGACCGGCTGGTGGTCGTCAACCCAGAGCACCGGACTTCCGGCTGCATGATTTGAGCAGGAGTCAACGCTGGGATAGCCAGTAGCAAAAGACTTCTCAGGGCGACGTATTGCGTAACTCGCTCCAACATAACGATGGCGATTGCTGCCAACAATGTATGCTCTTGCATGTCCATGTGCACAGTCAATTGATAGCTGCATGCATAACCTCCGAAGTAGTTTCTATTCTTAGCAGCAGTGGCAAACAATGAAACCATCATGCCCAGGTGTGGGCTGGACATGGCGTATAAGTACATGTGAGCTCGCTACTGGATGCTTACAGCCCTGGTCATGCGAGCATATTCGACGGAATGGCAGATGTTACAGGGGAGACTTTGGGATTAGAACGCGGTTACCAGGAAATATAGGAAATCACGTGATATGGTGCGGCCCAGATTGGCACCTGGGTGTAATCAGGACGTGGAATGCTTAGTCGGCACTTTCTGGATGCAGCTATGTTGCCCGATAATGAGACACCCGATTATTTTGTACACGTTGTATCCTACTCGCCAGTGCTTTAATGGGCAGCAGCAGGCGCCTCCTCTGCCTCCTCCTCGAACCAGTCCTCCTCAACTGGTGCCGCGCCCGATTCCGATGAAGACGAGCCCTCGAGCTCCACCTGCTGCGTCTCGTACGCCTTCAAGTCGTTTGCGAGGTCGCTCTCTTCGGGGGATGGCGGGGCCTTGGGGAGGGCGAACTTCTGGACGTGGCCGTCGGCGTCGGATGCCTTGACCTGAGGAACCTTGTAGTTCTTGAGCTCGCGGAGGTACAGGTCCTGGACAAGATCGGCTAAAAGGCGCCAATGGCATTAGTAAAGCCCTTTCGCATGCTGCTAGGGATGATGTACCTTGTCGGACAGCCGTCGGGGCGATGAAGGTGCGGCGAGCGATCAAGGCAGGTTGCTGGCGGGCGACGCGGGCGAGCGTCTGGCGCTGCATTGGGTCAGTAGAGGTCCTCAATTGGATTGCTGGTCGCACGCACCGAAGCCCTGATGGATTGCGCAAGCATGATGGCGGATTGGGGGTGCAAGCTGAGCTGTAGAGTTGTGATCCGTCGGCTGTAGCGTTTTCTCAGGGAAAGAGCGGCCGTCCTGGGACGCACGGGCCATCTTGTCTTGGCTAGCAAACCGCGCCTGCCTGATCATAATCCCGCTCCTTCTGCCTCACACCCTCTCTCTCTGTAACTCTTGCCACAACGACCCATCGCAGCTCTGAGTGAACACACACTCAACTCCGTCCCTACCGCCGAACGCTATAGCAGCCGCTCGCTCGCTCGCTCGCTCGTACAGGAAGGTCGTGCCGTGAACCGGGTACTTTGTGCTCCTCAGATAGACAATACAAAGACCGACCGTGCTTCAATACCATCATGTCACTCAGCGTCCCCGCGTTCGCGCCCGACGGCCGCCAGCTGTCGCCTGGCGAAGTCTGGGAAGAGACAACGTCCGCTCCGAAGCAGGAGGAGTGGCGTCAAGATCTCAACGTACTCCTCATTTGCCCCGACTGTCGCGAGGTCCCGCCGAACCTAGTCGAGAACTTCTCCCGCGGTGACACGGTGTGCGGAGACTGTGGCCGGGTCCTGTCAGAGCGGAACCTTGACTTCCGCTCTGAGTGGCGCACCTTCTCCAACGATGACCAAGGCAACGATGACCCCTCGCGTATTGGAGACGCAGCCAACCCTCTGCTTCATGGCTCCCAGCTGCACACCGAGATTGCATACGGCGATGCAAGCAACAAACATCGTGAACTCTCCCGCGCCCAGAACAAGTCCAACGACAACAAGACCAACAAGTCTCTGTCCTCCGCCTATGCCTCCATCGGTCATCTCTGTGAGCAACACTCCATGAACAAGGTGATTGCTGAGTCTGCCAAGCTGCTCTACAAGATGACGGACGACGGAAAGCTGTTCAAGGGCAAATCGCAGGACGCCGTCATCGCCGGTTGCATCTTCATCGCGTGTCGTCAGCATGGCTACGGACGCTCGTTCCGTGAAATCTATAAGCTCACCCGCGTCTCCAAGAAGGAGATTGGCCGAACCTTCAAGATCCTTGAGGCCTACATCAACAAGAAGAAGAAGGAGCAAGACGGCCCCAAGGCAGCTGGCAGTGGTGCTGTGATCAACGCTGGCAACTTCAACCTCACCAAAGCCACTACGGCCTCCGAGCTTATTGGCCGAGCCTGTTCAAGGTTGCATATCGGGAAACTGGAGATGATTGCGAAAGACTGCGCCAACAAGGTCAACCAACTCGGTGTAGCTGCTGGTCGATCTCCTCTGTCAATCACGGGAGCTGTCCTTTTCCTCGTTTCGCATCTCATGGGCAGCCCGAAGAGCCCCAAAGAGATTGGCGCGGTTGTGGATGTCTCCGACGGTACTATTCGTACCGCCTACAAGCTCATGTACGCGCGCCTAGACGAAATCGTGGAGCCTGGGTGGATCGAGAAGGGCGGCGACAAGTCTCGGGTCCCAGTCGCTTAGATTGTGGGTGGGCCACCACGGCACGATGTGAGAGTTCGTTCTGCCCCAGAGCAAGCACTGCACGGGAAGGTTGTACCCAATTGTTCAATCTGGTACCACTTGGATGAGCAGTATGGAGCTTGAAGGATGTTCGTTCTACGGTACAGATTGTTCTCATTGTTTCGTTCTTCCAACTGATTTCTTATCATTTCATTGCATGGACGACGGCGTTGCAGATGGCACTGTTCGATTACGGTCATGATTACGGCTCTCGTCTCTGCCTTTGCTTTCTTTCCAAATTGTTCTCCTTGATACCCGCCGCACAACATGCGGTACAATAGATGCCCCATTTGTAATACAGACTTTGCCACACCGGCAAATCAAAAACACAAAAAAAACCTGATGCTCTCTTGAATATCCTTTCCGTTCAGTCTTCGCAGTGACGCCTGTGAGTCCGATAGGAAGAGATTAGAAAACAGGACCGCCTCCTTCAAGTCAATACAGCATTCAGTATTCGGATCCGTACGATTGGTTTATTTGCAAAGGACTTGAGGCCACCTTTAGATGTTTGTACTTCGACTAAGTGGATCTGTTGAGAGACGTGCGGGCTGTGCTTTCGAACTTGTTGAGAAGTTTGCGGGTCGTGTCTTCCTTCCACCGCTGCTGGAGCTGTCCACTTCGTCGAATGAGCACAATTCGATTATTTCTCGTCTTGTATGCGGGCTGGTTACCATTCCCAAGGTTGTTCTCCCACTTCACCATGGCGGAGTGACCGCCTTTGTTCTGACGGTGCAGCAGCCATTGAACGACGCTTGGTTTGCGCGGTCTGTCCGCCATTATACCGCTGTGGTGGTAGATTTTGTGATCCCACAGGTCAAGATCTGTAGCTGCGGCTGTCAGTGATGGGAGGCTTGCAAGGTGTCAGTTCTGTAGGATTCCAGTGACGCTCTTCTCAAATCGTTGCGGATCGATTCCACTGGGGAACAGCCTCCCCCTAACGAGCCTCTTTTGCGGCCACTTGCTCAACATCATGCATAACACGCAGTGTCTTCATGCCTGTTACTCGGATGCGATGGTTTCTCCTTGTGATAGGCTCTCACTTTCGAGACGTTGGAAGTAGATCTGCGGGACTTTTATCACCAGCGGGGTTCAAGTGAGTGTTACCGTGGCACCCCGAAAAGCCGCCCAGTTTGCATGCCGGAATAACAGACAGCAGGCGACCATTTCCCTGATGGATGAGCTCTGTTCCGTACACCTGCCCCTCGCTTTTTACTTACCCTCCATCCCATACCCGCCTCCTCAAGCTTTTTATCCCCTGGCGCACAGAATACGTTGCTTGCGAGTGACTTGCGCGACATCGCAACTTCGTACCAGCATGGATCTCTGAGGGAAAGCAACATCTACCTGTCCAGAATTCGTACCTGATTCCTGCTGTCACGGCCCTTCTGTTTACAAACATGGCTCAATCTTTCGGTATCGCCACGTTCCGCTTTTTGTTCTTCCTCAGTATCCTACTGCTTTTGCTCCAGACTCAAAGTACAGACGCAGCCAACACCGTGATCTGGAAGAACCACTGCGACTACGACCTTTACTTTTGGGTTGTGCCCCCCGGAGGACCAGAGCGCAACGATGCCTTCACACGTGTCCCTGCCCGTGGCGAGCATATCCACCAGATGATTTGGCACAAAGACGGCGGCATCGTCCTCAAATATCGAGATGTTCCTTACTACACCAGAGCCCCTGCCGGAATTCTTCAGGCAGAGTATTACATGGATCGGCGCGAGAATAAGCTCTGGTACGACTCCAGCATCATCGACTGCGATAGGGGTCTGGGTCCCCAGAACCCCTACTATTGCCCGTTTGCACACGGTGGTGTGAACATGTACGTAATCGGAAACAGAGGGGGCAATCCCTTTTGTAGAGATTCGTCCTGCCAATTAGGAGGCCAATGTGACGAGGCCACATACTTGGTGCCAGGAGGCTGGGTGGGTGAGCCGACTCTATCGTGTCCCCTTGGTGTGGATTTGGTATTCGAGACTTGCACCAAGAGATACATGGAGAAGACGTGGGTGAAAGGACAAGTTGGCCCTGCACCTGCACCAGTACCTGCACCATGGCAACCGCAGCCAGCTCCGGTGCAACCACCTCTGCCTCCACCTGCTCCATGGATATCTCACAGTATTCCCGGGACTACGGTACTGACTTCGTCTATCAACAAGGCGACAGCATCCTTTGTCGTTGTTCCTACACGCCTAACACGACCGCTAAAGCCGCAGACGTTCCCAGTCCCACAAGGATACCCTGAAGGAACAATCTGTTTCGATCCAGGCTGCAGGTGCTATGCGTTCTCGGGTCCAAGGCGGCCCGGACGAGCTGACTGTACGGGCTTTGAGGGTGCCCTTGAGTGCATCTTGGGTAAAGATTGTGGGACGTGGCGGCAAACCGAAAGAAGAAGAAGACAGGAATGGCAGTGAGAATGGGCCAGCGTCGTGGGGTTACACAGTGAGGCTTCCAGGGACGTCTAAGTGTATGTTCTCTTCTCTCCTTCGTCGACCTGGTTCTGTACGAATCCCAGTCCTCATCACAACAAGGCAATGCTAAACAGAGTCCAGGTATGTGAGCTTGGTGATAGTGCAGTGACTGGCGTGGGTTTCCATATCGCCCAAACTATTTGATGATGGTCAGGCTCTGGAGTACGACCGGAAGCTCTGAGCTGACTCTCAGCGGTTGGATTGTGCTGGCCTATGTTCCAAGGTTCCTCACGGTTGCTGGGTCAAGTTTTGAAATGACGTTTTTGGCGTCGGTTGTGTGGTCCTTGATTCACTCCTCTGTTTCACGCGGTATATAGCTCAGGATTATGAGCTTGGATATGCTCAGTTGTTGTTGTTGCCGGGTGCCGGGGTAGCTGCCTGGGCGAAGTTCCGTAGCGTTGCTTATTCACAGGTCTCCACTCGGTTCGCGGTGCTCATGTGCGACGGGTATCTCATGAAGAGAGGCCGTGAAGGGTTCAACAGCCCAACAATGGTGGTCACTGCCGTCAGCGGACCAGCAGTAAGGATAGCAGAAGGACGTCGGATGGGAGCTTGATCGGTTTAGGCAGTTCTTGAATCAGAGCCTGCCCCGATTGGCCCGCAGCGACCAGAACTAGCCCGGTTGCCACGCGCAGGCTCAGGGTCCCTGCGGCGCTGCGGCACTGGCATGTCGTCCGCGTCCGCGAGGAGCAAAAGAAACAAGACCGTTTCGCACTCGGACCTTTGCTACGCGGCGTCGACATTCTTTTAGCCCTCACTGCACGCGCCGAGACGTGTTGCGACCACTCGAGTTCCACAAGGCGCAGCAATTGTGCCTCGACGGTCGAAGAACATCTGGCGCCCTGCTCGTCCGGACATCGCAACGCACGACTCAACTCCTGAGCCCACAGGCGTGACAGTGCTGGCCCCGTCCCACGCTTGCCCGCGCCCGCTGCAAGCCACCACACATTCTTTACCTCGAGCCCACGCCAATTGATCGCCCCTGCCGCTACCATCCGCCATGGCCGCAAAGAAGTACCAGCCCCTCACCCTCACGCCCATTAACTTCTCGCTCACTGAGGGCACCTCGATCCCCGCGCCCGTCGACACGCCGCCAGAGACGCCGCACCAGCCTGCGCCGGGAAAGGGCCCTCTCTCGTCGCACCCGACCCCCAAGTCGGCCGTCTTCCCGCACCACGAAGCGACTCCTCCGGCCAAAGAATCCTCGGAGACAGCAGAGCCGAACCTCCACCAGACCGCTACCAACGATGGCGCCAGCACCATGTCGCCGTCGAGCCCCTCGAGCAGGCGCCCGTCCTCGGTGCGCAAGTTCCTGGGCCTGCGCCCGCTCTCGTCACACGATAGCCTGAAGTCGGAGCGACCGGGTTCACCGGCTACAATTGCCAGCCAGCCAAGTCTGTCCAGGAAGAAGAGTGGCAGCTGGTTCGGCAAGAACAAGAGGCAGAGCTCCTTCATCATCGGTTCGCTGCCGGAAGGTAAAGAGAGCACCACAAACTACCAAGCCAACGGGGCCAAATCACCGCCCGTGAAGAAGGGCCCGCCGCCCCCGGCGTTACCAGACCTCAAGAGCTTTGGCGTCAGCTCGGACCTCGGAGCAGATGACATGTTCAAGGGCATAAACTAAAGACGAACACGGGGTAGCATGCAAGGATGGGTACACGTTTACGATGGATTCTAATGGACCGAGTTTAATGACGCTTGTCGATTCTTTTGGTGGATACGCCGGATATGGTTGGGCGTTTGTCCAGCTTGTGGATATATATTTTTTGCTAGCATTGCACACGATACCCCCAGTCGGAGGAAAAGGCGGATGTTGGCGCGTCACGAAAACGGTGGAGGCAGGCATGCCCTGCGAAGACCCTCGAGAGCAACGGGGAGACTGGGGAAGAAGAGGAGACTTGGAGCATAATTTCTCACCCCACGTTTGCAGTACGCTGCAGCATTCCATCTGCCGCCTTCTATGTATCTTCTTCTTTTCCTACCGGAGATGCTTCCGGGAGTCACCTAAAATTCAAGATCACGTTTCTTATGTCGAGTCACCCGTGTCCTATGCAGCACGGTCTCCGGTGATTGTTAATTTGCAGTGTGATCCTGGCTAGAGTCGACGTGGCTGGGCATCAATGTCAACAACGCAGCTCGTGTGCCCAATCATGGGTGCAGGTGGCTGCTGCCGTTGCTGGGCAGCTCTAGGACGGATTGGGACACCACAACAAACAAGACCCTGGCCCAGTCAACACCATTGTCGCCGCCACCTTCTACCGCCGCACCACTACCGCACTGCATACTTTTTGCTTGAATACCAGCTGCTTTGCGCATTTTGAACCACGGCTCTGTTGCGACACAAAGTACCATGGCCCATGATCCGGGCCTTTTCTCCGTCCGCCGCCAGGTAAGGCCCCGAGCGTTCGCCTGTTGCAGCGCAATATGCGGCTCTCTCTCTAACAATGCGCGCAGACTCTGGCGCCCATGAACAACAACATCACATCGATCCCCATGCCCTCGTCCGCCATGAAGCGCCAAAGCTCTGTCAACGGAATGCAGCAGATGGGCGCGCCTTTCACCGCAAACCACGCGCGATCGCAGTCCGGCTCCCGAATGTCGCTCGCGCCGGGTCGCCCGAGCCAGCCCGTTTTCCAGCGCTCCTCGTCTGGAACGAATCTCGCTGAGCAGGGTCTCCACTCGGCACATCGCAATTCCACAAGTAACATGTTTGGCGCAAGCAGCACTGGAGCCAGAAAGAGTTTTGCGCCGGGCGCGTCCATCTTCCAGGCGACACCTGCGCCCCCACCCAAATTCCAGCAAGAATCACAGAGACGAAGTAGTGTTTTCAAATCGCGAACCTCTCAAGTGCCTGGGCAGAGCGGCATTAAGCAATCGTTCTTTCAGACGGCACCACAACCATCCGGCGTTCCAAACGATCCCCGCCGGTTGAAGGATGCTAGCACGCGGCAACAGCTGGCCGCTGAGCTGCTGGAATACCTCACGCTTAATAACTTTGAGATGGAGTCTAAGCATGTGCTTTCACCAAAATGCATGTCTTCGCCCACACAGAAAGACTTTGTCAGCATGTTCCAATGGCTTTACCACCGCATCGACCCTTCATACCGCTTTCAAAAATCGATCGACGCAGAAGTGCCAGTGCTGCTCAAACAGCTGCGATACCCTTATGAGAAGTCTATCATGAAGTCACAACTCGCAGCCGTTGGCGGCAACAATTGGCCCACATTTCTGGGACTGCTCCACTGGATGATGCAGCTATCCAAGATGATCAACGCCTATGAACAAGGCTCCTACGATGATGCGTGTTTTGCCAGTGGCCACGATGTCTCAGGAGACCGAATCATCTTCGATTTCTTGTCCGACGCATACGCCACATGGCTTTCTGCTGAGGACGTCGAGGAAGGAGGAGACGAAGAGGAAGCCCAGCGGAAGATCATCGAACCACACATACAGAACATGGCTCGCAAGTTTGACGAATCCAACGCCCAGCATGTCGAGGAGGTCAAGTTACTGGAAGCAGAGCACAAAGCGCTCCAGGATCAAATCGACAAGCTCTCCGAGGCTGGTCCCCGGATCCAAGAACTGACACTCCAGATCAAGACTCTTGAGGACGATCGATCTAAGTTTGAAGCCTACAACAACTCTCTCGACCAACGCGTTCAGAAGTATACGGATCGGAGTACTCTCCTTCAACAAGAAATAGAAAAGACTGAAGGCGAGCTGAAGGCGTCAGAGGAAGAGCGACAGGAATTGCAAGCCATTATCGATGGACGCGGCATGACTATCGCCGACATCGATCGCATGTCTTCTGAGAAGGAGCGTCTTGACACGTCTCTCCAAGCAGCCTCCGCTCGTGTCGAGGAGTCCAAGAAGCGGGTTGCAGAGAAGGAACTCGCCGCATCCCGCAAACTCGACGAGCTAGAGCATACCATTGAGCGATTCAACAACCTAGGTTACCAGATCGGCGTGATCCCGTCAACTGCCGCGAACGCGAAGGGCCTTGAATATGAGCTCGTTCTCACCATCAACGACGGGCCAAACTTCTCCGGTAGCCAGATGGGCTCCTCAGCGCGAGAAGCGTCGGACCGTCTGCTCGCAGACAGTGGTACAGGGTACTCGCCACACCACCTTCTGAACTTGGACGTGCGAGGCACCATCAAACAAAATATCATCAGCCTTCGCAAGGATATCGCTGAGCGCCGCAACTCAGCGCTCGAAGCCGACATGTGCAACCACGACATGCTCGACAAAGTGAAGGAAGCCATCGACGACAAACAGGCCGAGGTCGAGGCACTAGGGCACCGCGTCGCGCAGGCTGAAGAGGAGCTCGAGAAGCTGCGCGAGATTACCAGCACGCAAAAGACGGCGTCTGACGCGCAGATTGAGAAGATGGAGAAGGAGCTGGGGAGAATGCGGAGCGGGCTCGGCGAGAGCGTGCAGCTGATGGTGCAGAGGGAGATGGCGGTCAACATCGAGTAAGTGATTCACCAACCCTGGGGAGTAGTTTACCGGGAGCTAACGCACGCAGATATGAGCAATTGCAATTGCGGGCTAATACCCTGCGCGAGGAACTGCACACGGAAATTGAGCGCATGCTTGATGATATCGTGCGCTTCAAGCTGCATATTCAGAAGAGCCTGGAGGAGTACGAGCAGTTCATCGCTGATGAGGTGGAGAGGAGCTGTCAGGAGGAGGACCAGCTCGGCGACGTCGAGGACGCGGACGAGATGTAGTGCGCGCGTACTGCACCATTGACGTTTGATGATGCATAATGCGGGGTCTTGGTTAATACGGTTTATGACGGACGGCGTTTTAGAGTGTGTGTTTGGGATGCCTCTGCTCTGTTGTTGTTGATTATGGCGGTGCGGTGCGGAAGGGTTGGGCTGAGGGTTTCCATGTTTGCGAATGATACCTCTTCTTTTGCACTGAGCTTCGTCTTACATAGGAGTTGGGTTGGATTGGATCCTGGAATTTCAACTGTGCGATTCACGTCTCCAGATTGTACGTTTGCGTCGATTTGTGCTTTCATCTATTCCTGTTTTCGTGATGGGGAAAAGGCGTACTGATTCATTCAACATTGCATACATACAGGTGTCGTTTCAAAACATGGGTCTTTCGAGATGCATGTTTCTTCGTACAGTTGCGTGTGCCCGAACCGAAAAACTCCCTCCCGCCAGAGACAAACTGCAGATTACGCACAACTTCACAGCGCGCATCTCTACTGCTGCATCTTGTTTTGCGACGGACGCCCGCTGAGAATGTCCACGTACTCCTTGAGATCCATCCAGAACTCCTTCTTGGGCCGTCGTCGGTGCCAGTCGGTCTCCTGGTAGTCATTAGCAATGCATTCAACGACAATAGTCCGGATCAGTGAAGATGATAAGGGGAGAACAGAACGTACCTTCTTCTCAATGGCCTCCATGGGCGAAAACAGCACCTTCGCGCCCTTGATCCCAATGACCGCCGTGCTCATCGCGTCGTCGTCGATATCATCCGGATCCATGCCAGCATACTGCTCGATATGCTCCAGACTTCTGAACGCGAATCTTACCGCCCTGACGCGGTCCATGGGGCTCGGCGTGGTACCCTGCTGAAAATGGCCGGGGACGCCGTGCCTGCTTTCGAACTTGCCCTTGCCGGCCTCGGCAATCATGTCGGCGATGATCTGCACCGAGTACGTCTTTGACGCCTTCTCGTTGACGAGGACGATCTTACCCGCGCGGTTCTGGCCCTTGTCCTTCTTGAACGTCTCGCGGAGGGAGTCGATGTCATGGTCGAGCATCTTGAGTGAGATGCCGTCCTCGGGGGTGTACACGGCGAAGGCGCCGATGGAGAGACCCGCGATGGTGGCGATGTAGCCGGACTCGCCGCCCTGGGTTTCGATGACGAAGACGCGGCGGCGGCTGGCCGAGGCCGACTGGCGGCAGGCGTCGCAGTACTGGATGAGGGCGTTGAGGCACGTGTCGGAGCCGATGGAATATTCGGTTCCCGGGACGTTATTGGAGATAGTGGCGGGGAGGACGACCATTGGGATCTTGAACGACTTGTAGTGCTCCCTGCCCTTGCGTAGCTCGCTGACTGCGGTGAAGGCCTCGAAGCCGCCGACGACGAAGAGAGCTTGGATGTTGTATTGCTTGAATACATACGATACGGTCTCGAGATCTTCACTGGGAAGGCCGCGGTTGGTACCGATCTCGGAACCGCCCTTGTTGGCCCAGCTTTCGGCGTCGAGCCAGGCGATGTCTCGTACTGCACCAAGAGGCTTGTCTGAGTGGTGTCGGATGAGTCCGGGGAAACCGTTGTGGAGAGCAACGGGGGTGTGTCCGCGTGCCAAACAGTAAGCAACAGCCGCGCGCGTTGCTGCATTCATGCCACCTGCTGGGGCTCCGACGTGGATGATACCAATACGCATCCGCTTCTCCTTTGGGAGCAAGAGCTCTGGCTGGTCCGTTGATGTCGTGATTTGGTACGACTTAAAGTACTCAGCAAATTCAGCATCGCGCAGTTCCATAGCTGTCTTGAAATCCTTCCTTTCGATAGCCTCGGCAACCTTCTTGGTCTGGGCGACTGCTTCGAGTAGCGGACGGCGCACAATTTTGTTTTCAATCATGCAAATGACGGGAGAGGGCGTCTCAGGGGTTGCCTCGAGGACAGCCTTCACAGCCTCGACACCTTGCAACGTTGACAGCATCCTGTCGTATGCCGCAGGCTGCCCACCGCGCTGAACGTGGCCAAGGGTGGTGACTCGAGTATCAAGGCCAGCTCCGGAAAGGATCTCCTTGATCTGGTGCGGTGTGATCTTGTTGAGGTTCTCATCAATAGCGCCCTCGGCCACAATGACGATGGTCTTTCTCTTGCCCAAATGACGGTGCTTTTGGATGACAGAGAGCATGTTGCCCTCCCAGCCCTCCTTCGCAGGCTGCTCCGGAATGAATATGAAATCGCTGCCGGTAGCGACACCAGCCATGAGTGTGAGCCATCCGCAATGTCTTCCCATAGTCTCCACGACGAAGGCACGTTGGTGACTAGTCGCAGTCGTGTCCACCGAATCGATTGCCTCGCAGATTCTCGCGAGCGAGCTGTAGCAGCCAATGGTTGCGTCTGTCATGCTGAGATCGTTGTCGATGGAGCCGACGAGTCCGACGATGTTGAGGTGCTTGAACGGTGCGACCTGCTCGGAAGTGAGCTCCTTCTTCTCAACAAGCTCCTCTAGCAGACTGGGCCATTCGTCGCGGAACTTGTCTGCTCCCGTAAGACTGCCATCACCACCGCAGATGACGAGGGCGTCGATGCCCTTGAGGATCATGTTCTTGGCCGCTGTTCTTCGGCCGTCGCGCTGCATGAACTCCATGCATCGTGCCTGCGAGATGCGTCAGTGCCCGCAGTTCTGCGGCTGCCCGGGGTGTCGTACTGTGCCAATGAGTGTGCCGCCCTCAGACAAAAAGCCTCTCACGTCCTCCCACTGCATCTCCTTGATCATGTCGCCGCCTTTGACCAGGCCGTCGTAGCCTTCGTAGATGGCGTATGCTTCGCAGTTGCTGTACAGAGCCATGCGGACCACGGCCCGCACGCTTCCGTTCATGCCTGGCGCGTCGCCTCCAGAAGTCATGACCCCAATCCTCCTCTTCTTGCCCTCCAGGGGCGGCGGGATGTCTGTGGGTGCCATGTTTTGCGCTGTGCTGTGCACAATGGGTCTCAGAGTGAAAGGCGGGAGGGCTGCGGGGTGCAGCTGCCAGAGTCGGATTCCGATCAGCTGGGGGATTGTTGGTTGCCCTGCAGGCGTATAAGCAATTCGCCAGACACAGTCGTGCAGCCTGGACGCACCTGGTGGGTTTTGCAGCGAATTGGGTCGCTGTCCTGCTGGCGGTGAGCTCTGAGCGGGTCTTCGCAGCTTGTTGAGGGGCGCGATGCTGAGAAGGGTTTATATGGCAGCTTTCGCCGTGATTCCTCTGCGAGAGACGATGGCGAGCGCGTGAGGAGAGAAAGGCAGGCGGTCACGCATACAGCCAGGTAATAGGAATGGAGTAAGATTTTGCTGCGATAAGGTACCTCTGGAACGCTCGCAATGACGTGGGAGTCGCGAAAAACAAAGCTCCCTGGTCCACTTGACTGCGGCGCCGGCGGCGGGGCACCTCTCGCACGCGGGCCGCCCAAGTCGCTCACCACCTCACGCCACGACCCCCAGCCAAGCGCTGCAAAACGCACGCCTCACGCCCAAGCCGGCCCCCGAGTCTTGACGGATGCAAACAAGAAATACCCATACACGGAGCGGGCGATGCGACAAGGCCAATGCGACGCTCCCGGCGACCCCACGTTCCAGCATGCGCCTTTATCCAACGTTTAACACCTCGTGCGTGGGAGACATGAGGCTAGCTACATGCAATATCTGACCCTCGCTGTTCCGACTTCCGATCGGCCTGCTCATGGGTCTCCAAGCGATTCCTTGTGAAAACCATGCGAGAGCCGTGCTTGGTACTCAAGAGCGCCCGCTTCTAGAGACGCATTGCTGAGACCGTCCAAGGCGAAGGAATCGCAAAGACTGTATTTGACATCAAGCTCGCATGCCGCAAACCCTCATTATAAGCCGTGCGTGATTCTCTGAGGCCTTCGTTGACCCCACGAAGCTGCGCCACTGCAGGTACTGTCAGGCCATCACCAGACCTGCAGGCATTAAGTTGCTGTCTGCATCAAGTACGTGGCATTCGAGAAGAATGACCAGAGAATTTTTCGTCTCTCGAAGAGACTGTGTTCCCTCAGGATGAGCAATTCGGCACCCACGCTACTAGCCTAGTCTTCACTCCAGCTCCTCTTACTCGACCTATCTACCTAATGGACAAGCCAAAAGCCAATAGATACACATTGCAGTGGAAGTCAATCCACCGCCTCGACCAGCCCAATCATTGACATTTTTGCACTGTAATTGCATCTATGAGAAGCCCAGTTATGCTCAAAAACCCAAAAGCTTGCCAGAGGGGCATGGATGAAGAAGACCAGGCATCCACACAAACCTATGTAACCCATCGCTTCTACGCGTCCCTCCAGCCTCATGTTTCCAACCGAGCGATCCTCCACAAACAATACAAAGGCAGCATCAAATCTATAGGACCGAATAACTGACCCCTTTTGTAAAAACCAGACAGCTGGCGTATTGCTTCGCGCAGTCCACGACTCGAGGGTAAAAAGGACCACACACAAATCGGGCCGAAGCCGTACTGTGCCCGCCGCAAAGGCAGTGCCCTACATCTGGCGTACGAGCACACGGTACAGCACCTCCAAGTCAGACCAAATGCAAACCTATTCACGCAAGCAGCCTTGTGGTCCCTGAACAGACTTTGATGTACGTGTGCAGCACACCAACGCTTCCCAAAACGGCAACCCCCACCCCCCATCGAACACAGCCGTTGTCCTTCGCTTTCACCCGGCCCAGCATCACTTCCTCGGAGCATTTCCTAGCCTACCAGCTGCAGCCGCACAGCGTCGAACTTCCCTTCGCGGCAAGATGCGCAAAGGTCGTTGAATGCCGTTGTATGATATCCTCGCGTTCAAGAATCGGCCGATCGCCGCAGGGGGGCAGAGGGCCAGTGGCTAAGACATGGACATATGGAGCGGAGGGGGATGTTACACTGCGCTACCCCAAGGCAACGATATGCGGGGTAGCACAGCGGTTCGGTGAGACTTTCGAGAACGGTACAGAGAGTATCACATTAAGCTAATCCAGGGGTATTCCATCGTGAACGCATCAGAAGCTAAACGCCCTTGCAGCCTCGCACAAACCGGAAATAAAAAAAAAGACGAGTGAAATCGAGACGAGCAGATAGAACGCAGATAGCAAAGTCACTCAAAACAGATCCTGTATCTCCACCGCGCTCCTCGCGATGTTCCCACCAGCAGCATGCCGACACCCACTCGAAGAACTAGCGACCTCCCACTCGCCCATGACATCGTCGATCCCTGTGATCCACTCGTGCACATACTCCTCGTCTTCATCTACCGCTTCGCGATTCCGGTCAGGCTTCAGGTCGTACGTGATGTTGCTGCGCAAGTCGCCCAAAAATCCGCCAATGTTGGTCTCCACTCGTACGTTGTCTTCCGGATCTGTCACTCTGACGGCTACGGCGGGGTTCTCGCGTGCGCAGAGGATACGCGCATGTGCTGCGAGACGCGAACGTGCGGGTGTGGGTTGTGGGATGTCTTGGAGGTGGCTGGCGAACCTTGCGGACGAGGGCGAGAGCATGACCGAATCGGCGCGTCCGTCGGGGGCTGTGTTCAAGAATTCCTTGAGTGAGCACGTAGTTTCCTTCTCGGGGTTTTTGAGTGTGGACTGCGCGGATGAGTGGTCAAGCTTCAGCGCTGCTGCGAGATGTGATGTGTCTGATCGGAATAAGGCAGTACCGAGAGGCTTGCAGAGCGCTTGGAGGACGCCTTGCGGGTCGTGGGGTGCACGAATCCGTCGTAGACCGGGTAGAAGGCCATCTTTGATACTGTTTGCAAGCACTCCTGTTGCGAGACACGCCACGAGCTCTTCATTCGAGCAGCAAAGTGGCTGTGGAGCTCTGACCGAGAGGGAAGATTGTGTGGTAGGCGGCCGGGTGACTTGGGAACGTAACTCCCAGTGAACGCTTTTCAATACATTTGATCGGAAGATGGGACAGCCTGAGCCGGCGTGTCGTGTCGGAGCTCTGTGCTGACAAAGGGTGAACTTTTCGAGGTGCTGCAAGTGCGGTGACAAGAAGGCTGCTAGTACGTCCAGGTTATTGATTTCCAGGTCAATGAGTGCAAGTGTCTTCAAGGACGTCACAACATATGATGACGACAGCCGCTGAAGACCTTTTTCATTGATGCCGGGCAAATTTTCCAGCCGCAAAGAAAGGAGGTCGGGTGGAAGAGCGCTCAAGGCGAGGTTGGGAAACGACGAACTGGACAACCCAGACAATGACAGGTGGCGAAGCAATGGCAGCTGTCTTATGGTGCCAATTACAGCTCGGTAAGTCAGATCGATGACTGGTCGAGCAGATTCTTGATGTAGAACCAAGGTTGATAGGTACTGCAGGTTCGTGTTGAGCTCCAGGAATTTCTCCGTAGGATCGCAGGCTGCGTGGTAATATCCTTGCACTGAGCCGTCATCGTACTCATCCTCTTCCACGTTTGCGTCCGCTATAACCCATAACCTCTCCTTCAGATTTGGTCTGGTAGATAGCGCATATGATAGGCGATCAAACGTGTGGGTATAGGGGATATGGAATCCAACCAGTCGCTCTAAGCTAGGACAAGCCATGACGAGCGAGGCCACGAGGTTGACGATTTCTTCCCGTTCTATAGTCGCGAAGGAGTAAAGTGCCTGAAGATCAGGCAAGTGGATCTCCCGCACTATCTTTGCCAAAGCTGTGTGCTCACGGAGAGTTCGTCGAAGCAATTTGAGCCGACTTGTCCCTGCGACACGCAGCTTTGGAAGTCTGCAACCGTCCTCATGACTGAGGACATGAATTTTGCGATACCTAACGATTACTGTTAGTCAATTTTTCAAGATCCACATACAGTCTTTGGTGATGATGAACCCGACCCAGTTGTTGTCCTTGCAGTGGAGCGTACTGTTAAGACTAAATTGATGCACGACATATAATCCAATTCGGTCGCAAACAACGGTGAGACTCGACCGCTTGACAGATCGCAAAACTTTCAGGTGATGGGTGAGGTAAATCAACGAAATAAGGACGTACAGTTGGATTGTAGCAGCTCGGTCCCATGCTCGACTGGTCAAAGATAGACTACAGAGATCTCTGAGATAGCATGGCGGACAGTGCTGGTCCTTTCCGAAGTACTGCAGCTCTAACCATTCGAGAACGCAGTCGTAGACCTCTCGTGGAAGGTTCTTGAATACGTGCTGGGGCAACTGAGCTTCCTGGGGTGCGCGTTTCCAGACGGAGTTTCTCTTGTAGCGTTCAACTTCCCAGGGCGTTCTAGTGAGGCGGGGGATCTCGTACGTATCGTAAGCCATGGTATCCGGCGAAGTCGCCAAAGAAGCCTTGCGAAAGACAATTGACCGGTTTACTCTGACACCATCAAATGGTTTGCTATGCGGAGTACCGGAAGGATTGTCGCCAATCGTCGCGAACGATGAGGAAGGGTACCTAGCACTTGCATAAGGAATAGTTCATGATTGCAGACGCCGTTCGTAGCGAGTCAAGAACACGACAAGCGCTTCACGTGCAGATTGGATCGGAGATGTTGATGACTCGGGTCTGGTACCGTCGGTGATCGTAATCAGGCATCCAATGTGTTTAAGTAAACTTTACTTACGAGTTGGTCGCATCGTTGGGCGAGAGGTGAACTCGTGTGGTGCGGAGTTGCAACATGGTCGCATGGACAGAGTTGAGATCGATAGCAGGCTGAGTTGACTCGAACCCAGGAGAACCCTTGACATAAAAAGCAGGTCATTAACAGAAAGCAATAAAGAGGAGCAGGGTCCACGATGGCGATACGATGACCCTCACTTCGAAGATGCAGCAAGCAAGGCTACCCCAGGCACATCGTAATATATTAGGCCCTGCGTAGGGAGGGCTGGTCAGGGTTCACACTCTAGAGGCAGAGAGACGCAAAGACGCGTCTTGCGGTTAAAACGACCTCCAATCAGGAGTAAGCGTCTGAAATGCAAGCAAATTCAAAGTCAGCGGACAAATGGCAGCAGTGGCGCTAAGTTGGTCTGAGGTAAACCGTGGTAATTGGCACAGAACAGCATGTTCGGCGAGGAAGGTACCGTGCGGATAGCGACAGATTGTCCCCTGCAATGTGCGAAGAGCTGAGAGGTAGAGATCACGTCGTAGAACAGCGGCGGTTTGCATCGTTGCTCTTTGCGAAACAAGCCAGCGACGGCCACAGAGAACGTTGCTGTGCGACGCGTCCGGTAGCTGGTCATGGCGTCAACGAGACGCGCGAAGGCTGGAGTGAGGTCGGAGGCTTGAGCGGGGCTGGGCTGAGTCCAGGAGATTGGCGAGCAGATGCGCGAAGATCCGGCGATCATTGCGCCGCCGTAGCCAGCCATGAACTGCATCCTGGGACCTGACACGCAGCCTCTCTAACGTTAACTTTCGTATATGCTCTGTGCATCCCACGTGGGAACGGAATCTGCAATCTGACGCATCTGGCGTCCACTCGGCTCTCCCACCTCGCGTCGCCAATGCGCAATGTGGTCTTCCTGCTCACGAGCACCCGCGAGCATGCTCCCTGATGCATCTTCAAACTGCGATACGCACGGGCGGGCGAGGTGTGCGGTGCGCCAAGTGTGGCACCACGGCTTGGGAAATGAGCTGAAGCGCTGCGTTTTCAATCTCATAGCGTCCAACGTCCACTAATAGATTAGTGGTAGTACAGCGCCAACTGAAACATTCCACTGAGCTGGACAGCGGCCATCCAGCCTAGCAGGTGGTGAAAGGAAGGGAAGCATGTAACTCCAGAGCAGAGGTCTGTTTGGGGAATCTCACCAGGAAGAACGGTCCGTGTGACTCGCTACCGAGATAAGTAACACCCCGGCGCCGACCGTCTCTTCCTTACGCTACACATGCTGCTACGCTGTCACATGTACCATGCAACGATGATGGACTCGATCACCGACGCAGGAGATCTAATGCGCCGACGGAGAAGATGCATGCACGAATTGGAGCAAATGAGTGACGAGCTGCAGGGCAAGTTGAAGTTGTGTCATTACACATGAGTTGTCCTTATCGATCTCTTGGTATCGCTACAACATGGACAATATGAAAACTAGAAACGCTAAAGCACACTTTTACAGCTTCCTTGCATATGGAGCTTGCTCCGGCCGGCGAAGGTGCTGCATCGACCCTCAATATTGTACAGTGACGAAACCATCGTCGACTCCTTACTCCTCCTCCGGCCAGACGTTGTAGCCGAAAGTGTCCTTCATGTTGACGAAGCGCGTGTGACGTCCCTTTGCGACGCTCTGGACGGCCTCAAAGTCTTCGTCGCTCAACTCGGGAATGAGCCAGTTGCTGTCGATGCGCTTCGGTGTGGAGCTCTTCGGGAGCACCACATAACCCCTCCTCAATCCCCAAGCAAGCAATACCTGTGCCAGATCGTGACCGCTCCTCTCAGCCACTTCCTTCAGTGTCTTGTTCTCGCGCACCGTCTCGCCAGTGGTAGGCACCTGGTTCTGACTACCAAGCGGCGAGTATGCCTCAGGCAGGATGTTGTTCTTGATACAGAACTGCACCAACTCGTCGTTGGGAAGGAAGGGGTGGCATTCGATCTGGTTCACCGCAGGCTTGACCTCAGCGTACGAGAGGAGCTTCTTAAGACCTTCGATCGTCCAGTTTGAGCAACCGATCGCCTTGGCCTTGCCTGAGCGGTTGATTTCCTCCAAAGCCCGCCATGAAGGTTCCAGGTTCTCGGTTAATCCCTTCTTCAGGATATATTTGCCATCAGCGCCAATCTTAGGCATGCGGTCCTCATTGGACTCAACTGCAAATGGCCAATGCAGCAAGAACAGGTCGATGTAGTCCATCCGCAGCTTCTGCAACGAGTTGTTGAAGCTCCACTTGATATCCTCGGGTTCCATCAAGTGAGGCCACACCTTTGTGCAGATGAAGAGGTCCGAGCGCTTGACTGAGGGGTTCGACTTGAGGAAGTCGTGGACTGCATCTCCAACCTCAGCTTCGTTCTGGTAGAACCAAGCGCAATCGAGATGTCGGTAGCCCGTGTTCAACGCGTGTGTGACGGCCTTGTAGGTCTCTCCGGTGGCTCCTTCGTTCGCAAAGGTACCGAAACCGACTGCGGGGATGGTGACGCCATTGTTCAGCTTGTACGTCTTGGTGTTCGCGAGGGGTGCCATTTTGAAATATGGTAATGCGTAACAGGATCAAGTCGTGTAGATGCAGCTCAAGGTAAATTCAGAAGTTGTGGTTATGCTCAAGCTAATGATGTACAGTTGTGATGATGGAATGCTAGGTATCTGCGCGGGGTCAATGTGAATGCACATATACCCAGTTTCAAGGCTCCGACAGAGAATTATCGAGAATTCTACGCCACAGCATGACCGCCCGATCTCACCGTACTCTTTCCACGGCCGGCTCCAGACGATGCTCGTACCAGTACCCATCTTCCGCCGCGCCAAATCTCGTAATCTCCATAAATCAGCATCCAACAGTTTCATCCTGTGCAGTTTTCTGCCAGAGCTTAACCAGGCATTACATCATTACGGCGGAGACTCGGTGGACCCTTCCTCACTAAGCCGACACAAGCCAGCACAAGCCAGGAGAGCCGAGCGGTGCGCTGCCGATTCGCCGGCCCAAGGAAACCTCCAAATTTGGGCGGTGCAACTTTGCCGACTTTTCCACGCGGTCAGGCCTTTCTTCGGACACCCAGGCAACGTCAAGCGCGATCAGCAGGAACGGACCGTTTTAATTGTGGGTCGTATGGAAATAAGGCCGAACACTCGGCGAACGACGTCGAGGTCAAGCATCACACCTTTCGCATACCCACTTTTCGGGCAGGCTCCTCGTGGCCTGCAGCCAATCGAGGCGCTTCCACGATGAGGCTCCTCGCTTGAGGCGCCGAGAGACAGCTCATTATCAGCGCTTGTACGCTTTTCGCACAGCTTGCGCGCAGCTCATCGTCTGCGCTGCAGGCGCGGGTAGCGACAATGTTGATGCGGACACGGCATAGATATGGTAGGTCTAGCGGTGAGTGTGGAGAGAGGCGTGCAGCATAGACACATGGAGTTGAGACCACTTTTGGAACCAGTGATGACATTCGTCGATCGGATCTCTACCGTGTGGCGAATCTGCCACGTTCATTCAGCACCGCACCCATTTTTACCCGCTTTTCGGGGTGACGAAACTTGGTCGAAATAGGTTTGCTGGTGCTTACGCTAAACAGACGCGATAACGGTCGTTCCAGTGCGGCCACCGAGCACCGTTGAGGCCAAACAGTGGTTCCGGTCAAGGCGACGCCTTTCGTCATCATGCCTTGTCTGTGGAGTATGACGGTGGAACCCAATAAGGGTTTCAGGATCTCAAGAATGGAGCATATCGGGAGGCCACGGGTAGGGCTGCGGCCGAACAAAAGAATACGCGAAGACTTTGACCAGAGTTCTACCTCTAGGACGGCGTAGCGTGGTAACGTGTAATGCTGCCTGCCCACTGACATCAGATATATACTCTGTCCCTCCGCACTTAGGGTTGCTCGTCCCTCTCATCTCATCTTAACAGTCTCTCTGGTCAAGAGGCCCTTCTACCGTTCATCTTACCTCATTTACCTTCTTGAACCTTGACAACACACTACATCATGCCTGCCTTCGACGACTCTGACTTCGGCGTGAACACGCCCCTTGCTCCTGTCAAGACCAATGGCAGTACCAATGGAACTACCAACGGCTCCTACAAGGAGACGCTCAGCATCCCCGCTGACAACAATGGCACCACCTCCATCGAGGTTCCCGCAACCCGTTCCTCCATCTCCGATGCTTCCGCCTACATGCACAACCTGTCTCTCTCGCCCAGCATGAGGGACCGCCGTGGATCAAGAAATTCTTTCGGTGCTTCTCTTCCCATTCCTCGCTCAAAGCGTCAGTCCCGGCTCTCGAGCGTGCACTACGCGGAGGATGGCAAGCCCTCCCGTCCCGGCATGCCTCCGGTCCAGCCTACTCGAGACATCCTAGCTGCTCAAATGCAAGACTTGAGCGGTGAGAAGGTTACTGCTGCCAAGGATATGGCATTCGTCTTCGACATTGATGGTGTCCTTGTCCACGGTGACCGGTTGATTCCCGAGGGCAAGCGCGTCCTTGAGATCCTCAACGGCGACAATGAACTCGGCATCAAGATTCCCCACATCTTCCTCACCAACGGCTCCGGAAAGGTCGAGACGCAGCGTGTGGCTCAACTGAGCAAGATCCTGCACAACCCCATCTCCACCGAGCAATTCATTCAGTCTCACACGCCTATGCGTGCTCTGGCCGAGTACTACAAGACTGTACTCGTCGTCGGTGGTGAAGGCTACAAGTGCCGCGAGGTCGCTGAGGAGTATGGTTTCCAAGATATCGTCGTTCCCAACGACATCATTGCCTGGGACCCAACCATCGCCCCCTACCGCGTCTTCACCGAGGAGGAGCGCAAAACCAGCCGACCCCGCGACTTCAGCAAGTGCAACATTGACGCGATCATGGTCTTCTCCGACAGCCGAGATTACGCCACCGATATGCAGATCATCATGGACCTGCTCCAGTCTGAGGACGGCCGCTTCGGCACCCGCGCCAAGGACCCCGTCTCCCAGCGCATCCCCATCTATTTCTCCCAGGGCGACCTGCTGTGCCCCACCGAGCACCCCTTCCCTCGCATGTCGCAGGGCGCCTTCCGCATCGGCCTCGAAGCTATGTACAAGGCGCTCACCGGCGTTGACCTCGAGCGTGTCGTCTACGGCAAGCCCGAGCTGGCGACCTACAAGTACGCCGACGAGATCATCACCAGCTGGATGGAAACGATCCACAGCGAGGAGAAGCTGCCCAAGAACATCTACATGATCGGCGACAACCCGGCCTCGGACATCATTGGCGGCAACATGTACGGCTGGAACACGTGCCTGGTGCGCACCGGCGTGTACCAGGGCGAGGGCAATGACAAGGAGAACCCCGCCTCCTTCGGCGTCTTCGCCAACGTGCTCGCCGCCGTGCAGACGGCTATCAAGAAGGAGCTCGGCGAAGAATTTAGGTTCCAGTTTGACGAGTCGATGAACCCCATCAACGGACAGGGTGTGTCGGCGATTGAGTAAAGGGTGGATGGCTCAAGTGCTGAGTCTGGTTCCCGATGGCATATCTAGGCGTTTTTTTGGGATGCAGTTTTGGGTCTACAGTTTTCTTTTTCTTCCCTTTTTATTTGTTTCACGCATAGCTTGCCTTTGCATATGAATAACTGCTGCTGCATAGCTCAGACGATTCCCAATTTGATACCAAAAGCATTTCATTACCTCTATATATGATTGAACGTTCTCTTCGTGTGCATGTGACGTTGTATCCTCGGACCTCCTGTGAACTCACTACGATACTCTTGATGCCTTGCAATATCAACACAAAAGCGGCGCAGGTGTTCAATGCCAAGAAGAGCTTGGTGGCGTAGACGACGCTACTGTCCGTAGCATCTGGGTCACAAATACATGCAAGCTGCGATCAACGCACGACATCCCATGAGATGATTAAAAAGGTGATTGGAAAATGGCGTGGTGGGACGACGCGTGTTCTCATTGTCTACTTCATCTCGGCATACTGTCCATCAGGTTTTGTTTACATCAGTAGACTGTCATGATCGATCCCTATCTCAGCTTGTATGTATAGACACAGTCTAGCCTACTAAGCGTCACGCAGACACTTTCCGTAATCTCGGAGATTTACATGCTCCTCGCTGTTCGACGGCGCTTGACCCCAACAACCTTGTGGTTGTTCATGTGAGGCGCCTTCGGTGGACGATGCTGGACCGCAATGACCCTAGGAGCATTGGGATATACCGTGATGGACCAAACATGTGGGCAATGCCATGGTCTGGTGTGACAGCGAGCAGAAACTTTTTGCCAAGACACCTTGATAGAGGGTGTTTTTGTTTATGAGAGTTCGGCCAGGGCCGGATGGTAGGAGATCCTTAGGGTGAGGACCCTGGCTATCGCGCGAATGTATCCTGTGCAGTGGGAGCCAGGCGTGGTGCTGATATGCGGCATGCGAGTATTGTTCATGTGGCCAAGAAGCCATCCAGCAGCGCAATATTCCTTTTCTCGTCTTGGGTTTTCTTCTGCTCTGAGACCCCCCGGTTTGTCTGGTGAGGAGCGCTGGAATGATACTTGATCAACACCAAATCTTCAAAATGCTCCTTTGTGAACTGCATAGCAATCTGCGCATCCGCCAGCTTCTCTTCTTTGATTAATTGCTGTGCGGCTCCTAGGCACATCCGCACAAAAAATCTTTGTCTACTTGGCTTTGAATGGGTAGACGCAAGGAAGCTGTCTGCATTCTTGATGATCTTGAGTGCGGGCTGGGGATCAGGATTCGTGGGATGGCACAGACAAAGCATCGCTTGTACAACAGGCTTCCACGCAAATAACCATCCATGGGTAGACAGCGCAAATTGTTCGTAAAGTTCCGGTGTACATGGAATCTGAGAATCGGCGACGATCAGGTCCACGAGTCGGGCTCCAGCTACTTGAAGGCTGTTAACATAGGCCTTGTTCTTGCCAGCCTCAGCCAATTGGAATGCGTGCTGGAAGATTGCGAATGCTTCATCGCGAGTTCGCGCCCCGTTGACCATCTCTTTCAGCAGTTGGCACTTGAACGGTGATAATTGAGCTTGATTGAGCATATCGCCCTCTTCCGGCTCATAGGTATACCAGCGCCATAACGGAGCGTGGTTACCTTCGGTGAGTAATAATGGGACCAGTCTGTTAACAAGGCTTCTCCTAGGAGCACCTTTGGCAGGTAATTGGCTGATCAAGAATGCTTTCGAGGTCTCCTCGCCGCTCGTACGCAGCCATTCTGCAATCACTGACGCCGGCCTCCGATCGCCATTTGATATTGACCCTCTGCGCCCCTTTGTTTTGTTCTGAGCTCTTTGTAATAGGTCGAGGCACAACGCAGCCTTCGGAATGTCGGCTGTGCCGATAGCCGCCTGGTCTAGGAACCAGGCGAAAGGATCGTTCAGCGCATTTGCTGCAGCGGAATCGGATCCTCTCCGGGATGGTTTCCTCGCAAACAGCGGGTTCGAGAGGATCGAGTCGATGTGCTCGGAGGCCGAATCATACGACGATGACAGACGCCTGGACTGTTCTACCTTGACAAGCTGGGTGGTGGTGCTCGCAGGTGGCGCCTCTGACGGCCCGGCGGGGTACTCGCGGTCGAGGTGGGATCTGAACGAGGTGGTGAGGAGATTAAGCAACTGCTGGCTCTCCCGCGGAGTGAGCGGTAGCTGTGGGTGGATTTTGGAGGCGAGCGAACTCAAGGCACGTCGGGCTACGGCTGCCTGCATGGTGACCGAGATCGCTGTCGAAGTAGCCAGTCGACACGCGCGGACGCGGTTTTGGGGGTGGTGGTGGTGGGCTGGGGCGGCGCGTCCGGTGAGACGTGGGCGTGGGCGTGGGCGTGGGCGTGATGACGGCCTGCGCGGGCAGCTTGGGCTTGGGCGAGCGACCCACACGGGCAGAGGATTGCAAGGGCACGTGATGCTCAGCCCGACCAGCCCAGGAAAGAAATGCAGCAGCGCACAGCCAGCGCGCGGCTCAGCCCTGCAGTCGATTCTTGCACCCGCTTCACCTCACATGCAATCACCTCTCCCGTAACTCCAGAGCCTGAGACAGCGCCAAACCCCAGCGCGCCTGCCTGCGCCAAGCTTCTTACCTCGTTTAGCCCCATCCCCATCTCTCCTTCCAAACGACATCATCCCCCACAATACCCTTCTCCTCACGCCAATCTCGCAGAGGCACACACATCACAACACACACATGTCTGACGTACAGTCCAGGCCTGCGCGCGGCAGGAGTGCCGCTCGCGGCGGCAGGGGAGGCCACGGCTCGCGAGGGCCGCGATCAAACAAACAGACAAACGGCGATGCCGCCATCGACACATCCGCAGACCAGGGCCAGCTCGGCGAGCTCAAGAAACAATATTCGTCGCAATTGAGCACTCTGAAAGAGCTCTTTCCCGACTGGGCTGATGTAGATCTTGTCCTGGCGCTCGAAGAATCTGATGGAGACCTTGCCTCGACTGTCGAGAAGATTACTGAGGGTGAGTGTTACGAGCTGCACCCCACGCGTATGCAGCCTGCTGCGCGTGGTGCATAGCGACCCCGATGCGCCTGACGAGCTTTGCTGACCATCCCGCCAGGACATGTTTCCCAATTCGCTGAGGTCAAGAAGGCCAGCGATCGATCCCGCTCCAAGGTCAAGGACACCACTGCTGCAAACGATAGCGCGCCCACTCCTCGCGGAGGTAGTGCCCGAGCCCGTGGAGGCGACAGCATTCGTGGTCGAGGACGCGGCACAGACCGTGGTCGAGGAGGATTCCGGGGCCGTGGAGGGGCTGCGAACGGAACACGCACTGGCGGACCTTCTGGCCCGACTTCAGTTCCTACCACTGAGTCGAACGCTTGGGAGACTCCTGCTGCCACGGAAGCAAAGGAAGACGCACAGCCCAAGGCCGCCGAGGCCCCGACCGCAAAGCTAGAGGCACCCAAGCCTGCAGCTGCAGCCCCCGCCGCGAAGACGTGGGCCAGCATGTTTGCCTCCGTCCCGAAGCCTGCAGTTCCGAAGCCTGTCGCGAAACCAGCGCCGCCGCCAGAAGAGCCCACTCCTTCTGCAGAGGTACCCGAAGTCGCACAGGAACCCCCGGTCGAAGTAGCGGAAGTGCCTCCACCGCTAGTCGCGGATGATATTGTTGAAGAACCGCCCATCGAAGAGACGTCCCAGGTGACGCCCGATAAGGAAGAAGGCGCCGGTCCCGAGCTTACCCTCACGCCTTCCAAGGATGAGTTGACGAAGGATAACATCGAGCATCTACCCGATGACTCAAACGGCCCGCCCACGGAAACTGTTGCTAGTACGGTTGCTAGCTCAAAGGATATCGGAAGTCTCGCGAGTGTTGCAACCCCGCTGAGCACTGGGGGCCAGGCCCCGATTGGTCGTCCCGGCATTGGAGGATACCAAACGACGGCACTCAAGGCCACCTCTGGCTCGCACCGTAGCACGAGCTTCCAGAGAAGGCTTCAGGAACAACAGGAGGCGGTTGTCATGCCCGGAAACCACGCGGTGAACCAGGCAGCAGTTCAGTTCGGCAGTTTGGGCCTGAACGGCGATGTTGATGCGGACCTCGATGTTGATGAAGATAGGGAAGATGCAGAGACACGCACTCAGCCTCCTCAGCACTCGCCGGTTGCGCAACCGAGGGCGGCTCTCCCTCCTGCGCCGCGACAAGCGCCTGCCGCCGAGTCGCAACCGGAGTCGATCCCCACACCCAAGCAGGCTCCCGGTCTACCTCCCGTTCCCCAGCAGCCGCTCTCCCAACAATCTCCGTCAATCCCCCTCACCTCGCAGGCAATGCAAAACCAGGGCTCGCAAAGCCAGCAGCCCTACAACCAGTTCGGTCGCTACGGCCAGGCAGAGACCGCGGCACCCCCGCAGAAGCCTTACGATCCATTTGGCCAGCAAGCACCGCAGTCCAGCCAGTACGACTACCCCGGTCAACAGCAGGCTCAGCAACAACCATCTCAGACTCAGATCGGCGGGTTCTCATCTGCCCCAGAAGCCTTTGGGTCTCAATACCCAACTTCCGAACAACAGCGCTCTGCCGCATACCAGCAGTACTACGGCAACTATGGCCAGCAAGGCACCCCAAGCCAACAAGAAGCCGGAGTCGCTCAACAGCGTAGCGGCAGTGCTTTTGGGGCAGGGCCCAATGACTCCACCTTTTCCCAGAGTCAATCCCAACAGCAGTCTCGATACAACGAGGCGCAAAACAGCGGCCACAACACTCCCAACCCAGCTTTGGGTGGTCAGCACCCGAGCGGGCCTGCATCGCAGCAACAAGGTCAGCACATGCAGCAACCGCATGGCCAGCCAGGACACGCGGGCAACTACCCTTACACTCACCCGTATTATGCATCGAACCCATACTACGCCAACTATGCCAGCCAGTATGGCGGCTATGGCCAAGGTGGGTACGCCAACTTTGGAAAGAGTATGTATGGCCAATCGCACCATTACGGTGGGATGCCTCCTCAGGGTTCTTTCGATCAACATTCGTCCTCCCCGGCTAATGTAGGCGCCTTTGGCGGCTCCTCTGTTCACGGCCGCGACTCCGGACTGGGTGGAGGACTGGGCGACTACGGCAGGTCGGTGTCAGGTGCTGGACAGAACCAGCACAATGCTACTGCTGGCTCTGGCGCATTCGGTGGCATCCCGGACTCTTACCGCCAGCCTCAAGGTGGTTACGGAGGTCAAAGCTCCTACGGTCAACAACAGCAAGGCCCCAGCGAGGATTCCCTGAAGCCGTTTGGCGACACCAAGAGTGCCGGACCCAGCCCTTCCGCTCTTGGGGCTCAGCCTGGCCGCCCCGGATCTGCTACGAACAACCCGCAGAGCCAGGGGAGCCAAACTGGCCTGCCTCAGCAGCAGGGCTTCGGCGGTTACCCAGGTCATCTTAACCAGGGCCAGGGCAACCAGTACGGTGGTGGTCTTGGTGGATTGGGGCACCAGGGTGCCGGAAGCCATCAAAACAACTTTGGCCAGTATGGTGGATTCGGTGGTGGTTACGGGTCTTACAGCCGTGGCGGCTGGGGCACAAACTATCAACAGCACTAGAGGTTCCGTTGCGGACCTCGTATTGAGTTGAAATTGGAGGATGGCATTCTGGCTGCGCTTTTGCTCAAGATGTCGCGGCTAGACTTTGAAAAGGTTATCAAACAGTATAGCCTTTTCATTTCTATCTCTTCTTCTCCGGCTCTTTCTCTCCTCACTCTGTCTGCATATCTGATTGATTAACGGCTAAAAGTGGCCTAACTTGTATTATGACGGGGACTTGTTCATCTCTTTTTCTCTGGAATTTGGCTTTGCTCTTGCATCCTCTCACTTCTGGACCGGATCAGAATGGCGTTTTGCGTCTTGAGCAAGGGTGGGTCCACTTTATAAGCATCGATGCAAAAAACTTGTTTTGTTTCTTGGTTTTGTTCTTCAGGAAAGGGAGAGGATAGGGATGTCTAAACATTAGTCTAGTTTGGGATGGAATGGGGATTATGGAGTTTGCAACACGGCAACTGGCGGAAGTGGGTGGGATGGGATGGATCGGGATAGTGAAATGTCAATGAACATGTGTGAATGGGAAAGTGCTGTCCCGAATGATTGAGATGTCTCGTGAATGCAGCCAGAATGAAAGTGGCACCTTTCGTTGACGTTGTTCACTCACCGCTTGATATGTGACCACTGATTCCATGAAAATAATTGAGCCCCTCATTGGTCGTAGAGGGTTTATCCGGATTTATTTCACTGCGCAGCAAGGTTGGTGCAATCTAGTGGCCGCAAGTAGAGCTCTCTACAAAGTCCGTCCAGTTCAGGCTTTTGCATGTATTTCTGGTATAACAGGGCTCCCTAGGTATGCCTTTACTCACACTGGTCGAAGTAAGGCTTTCAATATGTTTATTGTAAATAGGGCGTTCCATCCCATCCATTGCATTTTGGATTTCAAGTCTATGAAGTTCCGGTGAGGCTGTTGTCGTACGAGCAGCACTCGCCTCCAAAGGATTTGCGCAGGGATCATTGTAATTCGGCTGCAGGGGCAAGATCTGTTCCTGGCCGAATATACGAGTGGCGCTGACTTCCGATGAGACATAGCAGCGCGATGTGTACTAATCGCGTATATGTGCCAGTAAAAGTGTTGACACGGCCGCAGCATTTGCGTATGAGTGAACAAGAATGAAATTCGGTGCCAGCGCAATGCCGCAGGATTGCATGTAGCCGATCGCCTTTCCAGTGATATCCATGCTCCTCGGAGACTAGAATTACGTTGGACAAGGCGCCTCTCGCTGACCATTCCTGAGAGTATGTTGACCGCCAGACCTCCTCTGCGCGAGGGTCGTCGAATCGCGCGCAAACGTCATCCCGGCTAGATCCACTGCATCGAGAAAAACGGCGTCTAACGGCGCCGCTACTGCATGTCGCACGTCGGTGCTGCGCTGCTTGGGGCATCGGTGTCGGGGCGGCTCGGGGAATTGAGAAAAAGTTAAGCTTATCGCACCATGATGGCTTTAAGATGTGGGAAGGCCGGCTCAAAAGGCAAGGACGCCCAATTGTCGGAGTGATTCTGGGAATTCCTTTTGGTATGAAGAGGCAATTTGGAGCAGACTCTAATTGTAAGACGAGAATACCTGTGCTGGTGTAAGAAGAGAGAGGTACGCTGCGCTGGTTCTGGACGTGGTCTTTCGTAAGTATGGAGCACCTGCATGGACGACGCGTGACTGAACTGACCTCATTGCAGAACGATATTTTCCACGATTGAGACCGCGTCTTCGTTCAAAACATATGCTCGAGAATAATATTGCTAGAAAGAAAATTACCGCACTGCCAGAAACATGGCCGAACCAACCTCACCGCTGCTTCGCCTTCCCTTTGAGATCCGCCTCATGGTATATGAATACCTGCTCTTCCCTTCTGCGACACCTTCATCCTCGCACTCGACCTCCGTCGCCAATCTCCTCCCGGACTTCCACACATATCACTCAAGCGACACAAACGATACGCCCTTCACCCTCGCCGTCCGCACCATCGACCCTTACGCCGGCGTAAACAGCTCCCGCGGCTGGAGACTCCGGTCCACCTACCACGTCCGCACTGGTAAGCTTCTTTCCCCGACCTAGTACAAACGGTTTCCGCGCGCATTGTGTATTTACCTGGCTCGCAAAACCCAAAGGCTTAATAACCGGCGCGACAGGCCCCTTCCTCACCACCACAACGCCCACCACCTACCGCGTGCTGCTCTCACCGTACACCGCGCACCTCCGACACACCGTGCCGTCCCTCTTGTCGCTGAGCCACCAGATTCACGCCGAAGCCGCGAAAGTCCTCTACGCGAACTACACGTTCAGCTTCCACACCAGCATCGAGGCCGCGGTCCCGTTCTTCTCGGATCTGACGCCGATAGCGAGGGATTCTGTGAGGCATGTCGCGCTCACCAAGAAGGGACTGCCGTACACCAAGGAATTCGATCGTCTGGAGTGGGGCGCGCTGTGCGGCTACCTGGCACGCGAGGTCTGCTTGTCGCACCTGTATCTCTCCGTCGTTGCAGGGAAGCCTGGGGACAACGGGTGGGATAGTGTAGCCCCTATTTCGAAGGAGGCGTTTGCGTTGATGCAGCGCATGAAGAATGATTGGGGGAGTAGTGTTGGGGGTGCGGATTTGACGTGGGTGGATCAGCTGTTTGAGGTGAGGGGGTTTAGGGAAGTTAGTGTGAAGGCGCTGGTGGAGCATTGTCCGCCGGCGGTGAGCGAGACGATGGCGTTTTGGATTGCGTTTAGTAAGAGTGTGGAGGGGGGGTTTGGGGAGTGGGTTCGGGGGGTTATGGTTGGGGGTGAGACGAGGTGAGGTGAGGATGGTGGGAATGTCGGAACGAAGACCTTGGGTTCTGCATATCTATGCTGAAATTATAGCACTCATTGCTCAACATATTAGCGCGTACGTAATAGGTCTTTTAGAAGGGTTCGGGTAGGACTCGAAGGAGGAACTTTATACATATTCATTGGGTATCATGGCAACTCTACGCACCCTTCTCATCACCCTCCTCCTTCCTCTCACCAAATAGTTCTGCTCCCAGCTCATTCAAGAACCGGTCAGCTTGGCCCTTTGCCTTCTTCTCCTGAATCGCGCGTTTCTTCTCCTTAATCATCTCCTTCCTCTTCTCAATCTGCTCTTTGCGCTCGCGCCGCGCCCGCTCCGTCTCCTGTCTCTCCTTCTCCAGATTCGACATCTGCTTCCTCCTCTCCTCCTCATCCTTGGAGAAGTGCATGAACGCCGTGCCACGCTGCCGCACCTCTTGGCGCCCATCAAAGTGCTCGTCCGGAGGCGGAGTAAGCTCCTTGTCGCGCTTGGCCGCAAGCTCGGCCATCTGCTGCGCGATAGTCTCGTCGGGGTTGAAGGCCTGGCTCTGCACGGCATCCCCGTATATGATATTCGTTGGCATGCTCGGCCGCGCGGTGAAGCGATCCGGCTCGTCAGCCGCAAGCGTGCGTTTCCGTCGCTCCTCCCGCGCCATCTCCGCCCGCGTGCCCTTCCGCGTCCGGCCAAACTCGTCCTGGTACTCAACCAGCTCCTCGTCCGACGCTTCAGACTCGGAGCTCGACGAGTCTGCACCTGCGCCTCCCTTCTCCTGCTGCTCCGCCCACTTGGCATCAAAGTCTACGCCGTACTTGTCGTCGACATCTTCTATGTCGCCCCGCTTCAGTGCGTTGTATAGGCGTGCCTTTTCCTCCATGCGCCGCTTTGCGCGCTTCCAGTGCGCCTCATCCTCTGCCTTCTCGTCGCTCGTGAGCTTGCGGTGTTTCTGTGTGAATTGGGAGTCTTCCAAGTCTTTTGCTGCGCGCTTGTTTACGCCTTTGTTGTGTGACTTGAAGATGTCTTCTTTCGTGGATCGTGCGCGGCCGGCGGCGGGCTTGGAGGCGTCGGAGGAGGCGGTTTTGATGAGGCTCGAAAGCGTGGAGGAGAGGGCTATGGAGCTGGCCGAGGAGATGGGCTTGCCTTTCGGGCGGGAGCTTGGTCGGTCTTGGTTGTAGAGGTGCGCGTCTTTCTTGGACAAGTGCGACATTGTTGAGATAATCAGCCGTGGCGGCTGCGAGGGGTGACTTGCGAGCGCGTGCTGATGTCGGGTGCTGGTGCTGGCCGTCGGCTTGGCAAGCTTGTTTGGTCCACGGTCGCGCTTCCTGGAAAGGCGCTTCGTGGACGACCAACGCGCGTGCAGACAACAGAGCTGTTGGACGCAACAATGGTCGGGGTGCCGTAGCGTTATCGATATCGGTAGGGCTGAACGATCCCTGGCGGCGATGTCGGACCAGGAGCTAGGGAGCTTCGGTGGTGGGGTGTCCGCAAACACGAGTCCAAAGCGGGGTGGATGTTTCTTGTCACCATATACGGCAAAACCCTAATTGCTCCGATCAGCACCGGGAGATAATCTCTCAATCACTTCCTCGTCTAACAGAAACTCCATCCGCATTTCCCTATTCAGATAACCACACAATCATGCCTCTCCCACGCCAGGTCTTCGTTGCAGTCATTGGTAGCTATTCCTCCTCATGGCACATGCCATTGACTAAACTGCTGACCATGAACAGGTGCCGGAGGCGTTGGAAAGTGCTTCCTAGCCCAGCTATCGTCCCTCGCACAATCGCTCTCCCAATCCCCCGCCGCTCCCACCTACCTCTCCCTCATCTACCTCAGCACATCCAAAAAGGCCCTCTTGCACGCCGACTACAAGTCCCAACAGCTCTCGAGCTGGGAGTCGGAGCTCCAAGCCTCCTCTACCGCCCCCTTGCCTCCTCCACAGCTCGCCGACTACCTAGTAAAAGCCCCAGGCAAGGTCATCCTTGTCGACAACACCTCGAACCAGGAGGTCGCCGACTCATACCCTCTCTTCCTGAAGAAAGGCATCTCGATCGTGACGCCCAACAAGAAGGCCTTCTCCGGCTCCTACAAGCTCTGGGAGGACATCTTCAACGTCGCATCCAACGGCACCGGCGCCAATGGCCTGGGCGCCGGCGGCTACGTCTTCCATGAGTCCTCCGTCGGCGCGGGCCTGCCCGTCATCGTCACCCTGAAGGATCTCATACGGACCGGCGATGAGATCCGCAAGATCGAGGGCGTCTTCAGCGGCACCATGAGTTTCCTCTTCAACTCGTTCCAGCCGACCAACGGCGGCGGAGGCAAGTTCTCGGCTGAAGTGAAGAAGGCAAAGGACCTGGGATACACGGAGCCGGATCCAAGAGACGATCTAAATGGTCTGGATGTCGCGCGCAAGCTCACTATTCTGGTACGTAGTCACCGCCATCATTGATCTTCTCGAGCATGCTGACCCTCACCGCAACCAGGCCCGTATCGCCGGCCTGAAAGTCGAGTCGCCCACCTCCTTCCCCGTCCAATCCCTCATCCCCAAGGAGCTCGAGTCTGCCTCCTCAGGCGACGAGTTCCTCTCCCGTCTGCCCGAGTTCGACGGCCAGATGGACCAACTCAAAGCCGACGCCGAGAAGGAAGACAAGGTCGTCCGCTTTGTCGGTAGCATAGACGTGCAGAATGGCGACGTCAAGGTCGGGCTGGAGAAGTTCGACAAGAGCCACCCTATTGCTGCTCTCAAGGGTAGCGACAACATCATCGCTTTCTACACGAAGCGCTACGGTGACAACCCGCTCATCATCCAGGGTGCGGGTGCGGGCGGCGATGTCACGGCTATGGGTGTTACTGGTGACCTGTTGAGGGTGCTTAGGCTCATCCGTTAGGTGCAGTAGGTAGTGACTATGGGCAGCGCTATATGTTCTAAGGTTCACTTTGTTTGACCAACAACGACATCTTTGATAGAATGTTCTCTACAAAATTGGATTAGGTAGAATGAAGCAATAGTGGAATAAGTACGCGCTCGAATTATCGCAATAATAGAGATGCGCTACATCTGAGAAAAGATACACTCTTCGAGTAGCCATCCAAGCTTGGAGCTCTTCGGCGCCGCCAGCAAAGCCGTTCTTCACATATTGTATTGGACTCAAGGTACACGTTAGCTACAATTGAGAGCACAGTTAGAAGGCTAATTAAGAACACTAGCGTAGTAAAGCCGATATTTGGATGTTGTATTAATATACTGGATTGACATAGTCGCGGCGACAGTCCAGATGCCTTCTCCCGCACAAGATCTCAGTCGAGCAAAACTCCTATCAATCGCCTTCTTGACCAACAATACAATGAAATGGTGGAGGATGTTACATACAAAATCGCTTCGTCATCAGAGCAGTACAAGCGTGCAAGTGGAGAGGCACACAAAGACAGCAGAGCCGTCCTGCCACCCAAACAATGCAATGGCTTTCTCCCTCTCATCTGCGGCATTAGCCACGCTCTTCCACTCGGACACCCCATCCGACACACTTACCGCATCATTATGATCGATCGAGCCGAGACGCAAGACTATAACAAGTCCCAAGCAATGTCGCCACGAACAACAAAACTATCATCGACAAGGTACCCTCATTTTCGTCGAGCTTCTTCGATTCGCCCTTCGAGCTCTTCTGGGTGGACTTACTCTGCGGCTATAGCAGTCCGGTCGGGTTTTCATGAACGAGTGCACAGTGCGTACACTAAACCCAAAATGAGACAGCATCATTCAACGACTGCGCCCAATACGACCATGCCTCGCCCCTTTTGTAAATCTCCGATTGATACTACTTACATCCGAGGACGGTAGAGGATGACGGGAGAACGGGAGGGCATTTTGGCCCCGCGAAAATGAAGCAGGCGGTTCGGTTCGCTAGTCATTGGTTGCCCCACGTACCCCACGGCTGTATCATTGCGTATACTAAGCCCTTTTGGTCCCTTTACATCAGTACTACAATCCCGACCATAGCACCGGCGTCCGCTTGGTCGCTTCTACCGTGTACGCCTTCACTGTGCCAGACAAACATAGAACTGAGATGCAGAATTTCTTGCCACGAAAAGAATCAGTACACCCAAAATCTCCGCTATCGTTAAACATTGGGCTGCACCGGTCTTGTTTCGGCATCATGGGAGATAGAGAGCCGTAGAACCCTCGGGGCGGATGGCTGCAGCAAGGAGTTGAAATGCATCAGGGATTAATCGGGACTGTGTTTCCTTGGGGAGAGGCAGTGCTAATCATGGCCCTTGTTCTTGGTCGTACTCGTGCTGGGTGGTGTCTAGTCCCTGTAGATTAATGTCGCCCATGTGGTTCTTAACCGGAGAACTCTAGTTTGGGCTTTCTGAGTGGGTGTAGCTTACCTAGGTAGTTACAGTTGCCGGAGTCCGATAAGATTGGCATGGCTACATCTGTCTTTAAAACGATATTGGGAAGCCCTTGGAACCGTGGATCCTGCCACCAGCTCTTTCCAAATCTCCAACAGACGATAAACTATATGTTCTTTCTGCATCCCATCGCATCCAATCTTTAAGCACGCATCTCTTCTACATTATGTTAGCCAATTCCATGTTATTAGGACGCGATCCAGATCCGAATGCAGCTTTCGTCGATACCGCGCTATTCAGCGTCGCGATTTCGCTTCCGACTATTGCAACCACGGCTGTTATATTGAGATGCATGGCCAAAAGATGGACTGGCAAGAAGATTTTCTCTGGCGATGACTGGATGATATTTATCACCTTGGTGAGCGACAATTATTATCGTAATATCTCGAGCACTACTAAGATTCAAAAAGGTCTTCTGCTGGGGCCATTCAGTCAACACGTTTGTTGCTGCCGGCTTGGGGGGAATCAATAGGATCACCATAGGCCAACGCGAGTACGCAAACCTAGCCTTGAGGGTATGGAAAATATCCAAAAACAACATTTTTGTTTGACACTAAAAGGATGGCAGACGTTGTGGATATCAAACTTTCTGCTAGTGACGGCGCTCTACACCGTCAAGGTGTCAATACTGCTCTTCTATTGGCAAATATTTTACATAAGCCATCGATTTCGCAAAGCCTGTATGGCCATGATTGGCTTGCTATCCCTCTGGTGGATATCTGCCATCATTGTATATAGCCAAGATCTTATTGAAAGATTCTTGCTAACATATTACAGGTCATCTTCTTGATCGGTGATCCAATAGATTCCTCATGGAAGAATGCTGCCCTCGCGAAGCATCGCTTTGACTTCAATGCGTGGTATCTGGCCTTTTGTGGTCTGTCCATCGTGTTCGACATCGCCATCCTCTGCTTCCCGATCCCTGTGATCCGGACCCTCAAGATTGACACAAGGCGGAAATTATCGATTGTCGGTATCTTCTGGCTCGGAAGCTTTGTCTGCATCAGTGCAATTGTTCGATTTGTGCTCTTCTATCAATCCATCAATGGGCTTTCCGATTTCGGCAAGAATCAGTACAGCTCGATTACCAACGCTTTCATCTGGTCAGGAATCGAACCAAACACTTCAGTCATTGCCGCTTGCTTGCCGACGTATGGACCTTTCTTTAGGGACAGCGGGATTGTGCCGAAATTCATACAATCCGTCAAGTCGACGTTCGGGACATCGAGCGCCTCGGAATACAAGACAGAGTTTTCATTCCAGAGCAAGTCACTATCCAATGGCACGTACATGGAACTCGAGAAGACAAAGGGTAGCGAGAGGATTGCGGTGAGAAAGGCAAATGAAGATACCGAGCGCATTGGCTAGAGATCCAGAATATGAGCATCAGAAGATACCAGAGGCTTTCCCAGCGGGAAGGGAAAACAACCCTGATTGCAAACAAGGTCCCGCGTCAGTCTCAGATGTTCATTGTGCAGTCAGAATAGTGTTCCAACCTTCTTACTCAGTTCTCCAGTCTTCCCACTCAGCCCACGCCGCTTTAAGAGAGGGGCGCTGAAAGTCATCGTAAGAATATGTCACCCTCGTACACAGCTTTACAATGAGTTCTTCTCGTGAGTATACTCGACTTGTTGAACAGCTATCCTTCACCCACAGCCTGTCAGTCTCTAAACGACCTCATGTCACGCTACACCGTCTCATCAACGCCGCACTCCCCTCATAGGACGCCGTACGAGCTCCTCCCAACTGCCGGCCGCCAACGCTGCACAAAGGGTCCGCGACGATCCGACCCAAGACCCGGGCACAGAACCGCTGTCATATGCGCCTGGGTATAAGCACCGCGCGTAGAGCGCCAAAGCCTCGCAGTGTGGTCTGGACCCCCCGGGTCTATAAACAGAACTATCGTCCTCTGCTGTCGTGCAACCGTGGTGGTGAGCCAGAACTGCTGAGTAGGCCACTGCGTGTGCCACTGCGTGGTGAGCCATCGGGTTAGTCGGCATGCCGAAGGCTTGCTTTGCCGGGCTGGCTGGCGCCGGCGTATAATAAGTGATGGGTAAAAGTGGCGCGAGCTGACCGAGTGCGGGGATGGCTCGGCAGGCGGAGAGGGCTGGGGTCTTGGTGTTGTCTAAGACACTCTTCTCTTGTCTGTGTTTCATCCGTTTTAGACATTGTCTTGAGTAGTCTCGACTATGCTGCTGGAGTCAGTTGACAAACTGACTGCCTAGGCAAGAACATGCTGATTACACGGGTGTTTTGGGCGTGCTTTATGGGCTGGGGAGGTCGTGTGCGATATGTTGTGGTGCGAAGAGGCGGAAGGATGGACGGGCGCCAAGGAGACCAAGCCTCACCAAGCTGCGGAAACTTGCTCGGGGCTGAGAGCGGGATCGGGATCGAGGACCAGCCAGTGTGACATGGTGAAGGAGAATGGCATGTGGACGGTGTTGGTGTGCAGGCGCTGGCAGACGTGAGCAGGGATGTTGTGGTGACTGACCGAAAGCCCATAACGGCGAACAGCTTGTGACATAGTGGAGGACCTGGCCCGCGCTTGTGTAGACATGAACGCTAGGAATGCAGTATCAGGTGAAGATAAAGAAGACCTTCAATAGTCTAAGTTGCCCTAAGGTCCACTGTCAAGTATTCGAATGGAGAACTTCCAAGCCTAGAAGTAGAGAAATCCGCTGGGCACATTGATCGCATACTTTGCTAAGTCGGCTAAAGGCATACAGTCTTCTGGGATATTTTTTGGGACACATCAAGTCATATGCCGTGTCCGTTTAGGTGTTTTAATGCAGAGGAGTTGCAGCGTTGTCCATGTATGATGAACCTGGTAGTCGGCAATAGCTGCCTAGGATTCGACAGATTGGACATATAGCACAGATTTCCGCAAACCAGAATGCAAGTATGCCGGCTGTCGAACCCTGCTGTGACGTGTGGTCTACATAATAGAGTCTGGAATGCTGCAGACTCGTCCGTTATCCGGTCAAGGCCCACTCCGAAGCACGAAGTATAGCGATACTAGCGCTTGCTGGGGATTGTGGGGTAAGTTGGCCGTGAAGCTACGGAGCCGGGATCTACCTCACAAGATAAGACGCGCTGCCGCTGAAGAGGGTGACGTGACCGCGGGGTTGGAACCTCCAGCGTCTTGTCGGGTTCTTGGTCTTCAGGACCCAGCATGGTGAGACTTTGTTTCCCCAGACACGCAGAGCTGAACGACTTCTTGGCATGTAGGGGCCTCCGCGTGCGTTCGCCTCGGCTTGTGTCGCGTTCCATTGGACATGCGACAGTGTGACGGCGCGCGTGGCATCGTGTGTTGGTTCCGCGAGCGGGGTCGCAAGCTCGCGGCCAAGCAGGCCAAGTCGCTGCCAAGGGCATGGGGAGGAGCGGAATCGAATGGCGGACGGCGCCGCGACTAGGGTGCAGGATGGCGTTGGGGCTGTGCCAGAATCTGGGATCCCTGCTTGCGGCAGCGATACTGTCTGTGTGTCTCAACTTCTCCTTTCCGCGTCAGCCCGCACGGTGATGGGATGGATTGATAATCTGCCATGGATGTATGTGGGAGGAGCGGACTCTGCCGCAAAATGGGTCGATAACGTGGGGCTTTGGCCCAAAACAGGGCCAGTCTTTGCTTTGGTTGACATGCGACCAACGAGAGGATGTGACGGATTGGGATATTGCGCAGGAATGGTGCCTTCTCACCGCACATCGCAACGGTACGCCTCTCGCTGCGCGTCCAGCTCAACGTGCCCACAGAGACCCCAGCACGCTAAGGTTTGATAGTCCACGTCCGTGTAACTAGCTGGGTATCTGAAGGATGCTTGCTTCTTCGACCATTGGGCCGGGCGATCTCGCGTTATCTTTCTTTGTTACACCTGCACAGTCGACATACTGGGTTGCTATGCTTTGTTCTGCAGCAGATGAGTGTGGCACGATCAAACGCGACAGGGATGCCGTGCAGGCGCCAGAGGGTGATTCCGCCGCGATTTAGGCATGACTTCATCAAAAAAGAAACAGGCGGCTCGTTGGATGGATTCACCCGCTCTGTGTTCCCCGGGCATGTTTCCCTGCTGGTGCTCGCTACCGACGGCTGATAGCGGCACCTCCTAAGGACCACGTTTGCATGCACACAAAGCAAAGGTTTGATGATGTTGGGCGCATGCGAGGTCCTTGGGCACAGCTGACAAGCCGGGACGGCGGGAGGAAAGCGACGGTGCCGTCTTGGACGGGCCTTGGGGCACTCGCCCTCGCCTCGCCCAGGACGGCTGTTTTGACACCGTCGTCTGGCCTCGGTGCTTCGTGCGCGGGACGACTCTTGGTGATCCCCGGCCCCTGCCCCCCTGCCAGTCGCCGTTTGGGCAGACTCAAGGGCGGGCCTCAGCTCCCTTCTCGAAGCATCGTCGGGACAGGAGTCAGGACGCTCGTAGCACAGACTCACCGCATCCTCAGACAGGTGCGCCCTGCAGCCAATGGCGCCTCCACGTTGCGACCGCACCGCGACATGTCGACGCCGCAGCGCCAGTGCGGTGAGATTGGCAGTGCTGGCGGGTGTTGTCGAGCCCAACGCACTGGTAACAGATCTGCCGGGGGCCGTCACCAACTGTCGCTAGCTCCTTTTCCGCGTGCTCCTCGTCCCGCGAGTGAATGTCTAGCCTGCTTGCGGAAACGCACAAGACCTCCTGGCCTGCTTGGGACGCGACGTCGCCAGGCGACAATCTCCACCCGAGCTAGGGGTCTTCCATGTGTACTCAAGCCTCCGCCCAGCTGCCCCAACGCCCTGGGACACTTATTAAAGCGGGCTCCGCCGCCATGGTGGTGCCGTCTGATTCACCCTACGCCGCCTGTTGCAGTAGACAAGGCTGACCATCCGTTTGTCGTCCTGCATTTGCATTCCACACGCCCCGTCACCACCGCTACCAGCACCCGCACCTTCCGCTGCTGAGCATCTGGCTTGCTCATTCCTGCTCCTGCACCCTCGCCTGCGTCATTCCGGCTGCTTCACGCAACCAAGGAAGGAACCAAGGGGGATCATCACCACCCCGTCCACCTATCACCATCGCCGGCTTGGCACACGACCTCGTTGCACCGCCTGCATCGCCATATCAGACCACGTCCTCGTTACGCACTGGAAACACCGTCTCCCCACCTTGTCATCGGTGCCCCGTGCATGTCCCATACATAGCCCGCCGCCTTTCGATCGACGCCGTGGCCGCTACGTCCAGCCATCGCTCCCGATTCACTCATCACGCTGCTACCACAGCCAACGCCACGCAGCCTTCACACCACCAGTCACTCTTCACGACGTCGTCTCTAGCAACCCACAGCCTGCCCGAAGGCAGCGTCCTTCCCACCCGGACATATCTCGACATCACTTGAAGCACCTTCCGACATCATGTGCGTTGCCGAACTCAACGTTTCCCTCATGCCTTGTCGGCACCGGTGGTACCACCTGTCGCGCGCCTGCAGCCCGTCCACCGACCTCTCCAACTGCGACAAGAAGCTCGGTCTAGCAGGATGGGAGATCAAATGCGACTTCTGTCCTTACTGCTCAGGATGGAACTTGACCAAATCCGAGTACCGCCTTGTCGGCAATGACCGAGCACCTGCCATAGGAGGTCTTTCCCGCACACCATCGCTTAGCCTGAATACTGCGCGTCGCGAGTCCCGTCGCGGCAGCCTGTCTAGGACCGACAGCAGCAACAGCATCGCAATTCTGGCACAAGAGAAAAATCGCGCCCTCAACGCTCGTGTGGACGCCTACCTGAAGGTCGCTCCCGAGCCGCCTCTGCCATCACCATACCCGGCTCCGCTGGCCGACGTGAATGAAGACGACGGGGTAGCCTTGTCCAGCAGCCCCAGTGACACTTCCAGCGAAGGGCCAGAGAGCGTGCGCCACTCATCCACCTCCACCCAGGGCGACTCTGTGAGCATTATCAAGAGGATGCGTCACAAGTCGAAGAGGCTATCGATGAGCCTCTTCAAGTGATCACACCACGATTGGGCATTCCCTAACCACTGACGCTTGGGGTCCGAAAAACATTCATGACGTGGTTTTAGCGTACCGCTTCTCGTTCTAGGCCATTTGCCGGTCTCCACGGTACCCGTTCCGCGACCCCCGGTTTGTGAAACGGCCCGATATCTCTATCCAGCATCAGGCGTCGTGTCACTCCATTTTTACTCAACGGCGCCTAAAATGACTCCACTCTTCGTTTCATCCTTGTCTTCAACACTATCGAATTAATCCAGCTCTACCGGCTTCCATCATCTCTTCTCTTTACACTTAGATACCCAGAGTGCGCTCAGGCACATCCGAGCGCGACCGAGTCACGGTCATGTCGATCGCTTTGTAACGATCGCAGGGGTCTACGCTTTCGGCGTTATTCAGAACAGGATCTGTGTATTTCAATGTTGGTTTGGGATCGGAACGGAACACAAGGCGGCCTTTGCGATCATGAGGCGTTAGTCAGGTGTGCGTACACACGGACGCACGAATTGATCATACCCCGTCTATGAACGCACATGGGCAGACATGTCGTCGCATCGTGTATAGGCTTTTCCTGCCTTCGTCGCTATCTGCGCCCTTTATAGCTACCTCCAAAACAATTTACTTGAACAATCTGCAATCATTTGTAGGATACCTTTGATTATGTGCCGAACACTCGAGAGTTTGGAAGTAATTGTTTCGGCACCCTACTGAGTTCATGTACTGTATCTCGCTGCAGCCTGCCAAAGTGCGCGAACTATTCGGTTTGATAATGTGTGACATCCAACGACATTGAAACACTGTATGGACTGACATACACAAGACAACAGGGCCTCAAAACTACTACTTCTTCTGACACTACCATTAGACCAAGTAGCGGTGGCATCAGAGTAGCATGAAGTAACCCTTTTTCTTCTCCGCTCGATCCATAACATCATATCATACACATCACAAAACGTCTCAACGTGACGTCCCCACTGACAACCCCTCAACCCTAAACTCCCAAATCCTCCACCCTCAGCATTCCGCTCTGCATCCCCGCCACAGCCCAAGCCCCACACTTCAAATTCGGATTCCACGCCACCCTTGTCGCCGCCGAATTCTCCTCGAACACGGTGATGAACTTCGCGCCATCCTTGTGCCGCTTCGTCGAGTCTGGATACTGCATGCTCGTCTGCACCGGCTTGTAGCCCTCGGTGATGCGCGTGAGTGGCCTCGACATAATGCCCGGATCATCTGGACAAGCAGGTTTGCCCTCGATCGATCCATCTGACTGTACGACAGGACTAGCGTTGTCCGCCTCGCTATCCTCCACGGGCCTTCTCCATTCGTGCTTGAACCACGTCAGACTCCACGGGATATCCTTCGCGTTCATGATCTTGCACAACCCATTCGACGCTGCGACACTCCCGTCTGACGACCCAACCAACACTGCTGGGTGGACCGGACTCGTCGCCACCGCCGTAAGCGTGCTGTCTGTCCTGAACGTGTAGATGGCCTGGTTGTAGCGGCGCAGCGTGCCGTGCTTGAGCAGGTAGTACTCATCGAGCATGACGAAGGACTGCGTGTGCTCGTGCCAGGCCTGGGAATGGACAATCATGCGGCCACGGAGAGACGATATGCAATCGGCGACGGGGGCGCGCAGGTCAATGAGGCGGGCGAAGCCGTCGGCGGTCGTCAAGGAGAGGAATTGGGGGCGAGAGGGGTAGCCAGATGAGACAGTCACAACATAAGTGTCTGCGAGCTGTTTGTGGAACCAAGGTCGAGGGCAGGGTCTTCCAGCGTCTGGTCTATTTAAGGGAGGAAACATTCCTGGATGCGTGAGCGTCCATATTGCGATGTTTCCAGAGGCGGTTCCGACCGCGATGGTAGTAGGTGAGAGCCAGCATAAGCAGCTCGGAAGCGTGCTCAGCTTTTCCACTGGGTTTCCAGCCTTGTCTGTAGAGGGCGGATCCCGGAAGGCGAGCTCCAGGGCGGCTTCTGTGTAGTGTACATACTGTGTGATAGAGGAGCCCGCCGTGGGATTTCTTAGTGACACATCTAATATCCTCACCATTCCATCAGACCAAATGCCAGCGAGAAGTCCGAGTCGAACCACGCCGTTCTGATCTGGCTCGATGGAATCTTCAGCGCCTATGGGCCACCACTGGATTGCTTTAGGTGCTCCCCAATCTGTACAGAGGACAAGTGCGAGGCGCGGCTCGTTCTTCGCGCTCATGGTGCCGTGTTTCGTTGAATCAAATGCCCAGATCTGTATCGATGCAGGAAAAGGGCTTGTCGCGATGAAAGCCGGCGCTTTCGGATTTCCAAAGCGTTTGTGCTTCTTCGCCGTCATATCATCTTGTTCGACGATGACTGCAAGGTATTGCGTTATTCCAAGTTGATTTGGGGCCCAGTTCACGTCTTGTATTCGCGAACCGAGATGGAAAATCCAACCTTTCCGCTTGCTGTCCGATCCGAACGGTGCTGCAGCGCTCATATGCCTTCTCTTCTTGAGCGAGAATATGCGTTGGTTGTTCAGAGCGCCCATCAACAGGTCCAAAGACTCTGGTCCCAGATTCAACAAGTAAGCTTGTGCCTGCTCTTCGTTCATCTGCACGGTTGTCTGCCCCTGGGCGAAGGCGGCCCGTCCGAAATTCGCATACCATTGGCGTACGTTTTTGATGTCCTTGGCTCTGGTTTCCTCCGTGACATACGGCGACGGTGCTAAGTGGTTGAATGATCGACTCGGTAAAGCCACCTGTGAGAGCCACGTCTTCTTCGCATCGAAGACTGGACGCAGATCTTCACCCGTGGGTCCGAAGAGGTTTCGCAGCCGGCTCTCCTGTCCTCCCTCACGCCATTCACCTACTGCTCTTTGGCGGGTCGTCGTTGCTCCAGCGGTGTTAGCACCCAAGGGAATGTACCGCGCGCCCGCAACACCCGGAGTACCGACGCAGCGCACGCCTGTCAAACCGGTAGTGCGTAGCGATTTCGTTTTGCCTGAGCGAACTGGTGTCGCAGGAGCACTGTCGAGACTACTGTTACGATGTTCCACAGTGATCGACCTGGCGCGTAGGACATCTCTGAGTGCCTTCATTGATACAACGATGTCTTCTTCCCTGACATGCTCTTCTTGCTCTTCTCCTTCCTCTTCCTCTACCTCAGCTTCTGCTGGCTCGTCTACCATGAACTCATCTGGGTCATCATCTTCAGCAGGCGGCACGAAGTCATCCTGTTCTTCTTCTCCGACTTCACCTGCATCGTTCTCTTCTGCTTCTGCCTCCGAGCCCGAGAGTTCTATACCACTGAATGCCTCTTTGTAGTTGTACGCCACGCGCCGGCCAGCATTGCGCGCTCGACTCTCTGCAGTACTGTCAATGCGCGTCTGGATATGATGGCTGGGGTGCATACCTCTAGCCATTTCGGTGCACTAGAGTGAGATCCGAGCACATGTCAAGCAGTTTCGCAGCTGTGGAGCGGAACTCGCGCTGGTAGAAGAGGTACTATGTATCGTGGCTGTGGTATTAGCAAATCGTTCCTCGCTCTTCGTATCAAATGTGTGGGCGCGTGTCTGTCTATTGTCGTAGTCTCGTAACGGCACAGAAAAGGTGGGCCTGCAAAAGGTCGCCAGAGAGTTAAAGACCCGAAGGTCGACCCCGCTGCCCCGCCGCACAGACCCGCTCTTTCTGCATGACGAGCTGGCGCGATCCCTCTTGCCCCAACAAGTCTCGCATGCCTCTCCCTCTGTGCAATTTTCAGGGATATATAATAACGTTGCCCAACTTCTTACATCAATCAAATACCACGGTGGTATGGTCTAGTGGTATGACGTCGCGTTGTGGTTCAAATACCGCGCCAGCCTGGGGTAGGTTGGCCCTCTCATCTGAGGATTATCAACGCAAGCAAGTGTACTGACTGTAGCAACAGTTCGATTCCCAGTACCGCCAAACAGCGGATTCGCTTCTTTTTTTTTTTTTTGCAGATTTTTCTTAGTGGGTTTGGGTACTTGTTTGCGAGGCTCGGCGGCTAGAAGCAGGGGCGGGGCATGCCTAGCCTGTCTGCTCTTTGCGGTGCGTAGGGCGCGTCTCAAGATTGACCTTTTAAGGACAAAATTGCTCTCCTTGCGTCATTCACTGTACTCATACTTCCCATTAATCACTTCAGCAAGTCTTGATATCTTAGTGAGAAGTACGTCCATAACAAGTGCAAAGACTTTACTGTTATACGAAGGCAAGATCTGAGTACAAGTCGCTTGCCTACTGTCTACCATGCGTAAAACACTGCATTCAACCTCTGGGCATAACGTTATACGCGTGACGCAATTGCACATGCTTTAAAAAAAAAATTCGCTGAACTGTGTACATTTGCTAATAAGCAGCGTGGTACCCTGAAGCCAACTGCCAATAGACCTGGTCAAACGCCCCGCGCAATGCTCAATCCGCGTGCCAATGCTACCGAAACCGATCTATCAAAGCTCACTTGCCAGCCTGCACACGCATGCAATAAGCCCCGCCCTACGTCGACTTGTTCTTCCTCTTGCCCTTGCTGCCGTCGTAATCCAGCACTTTGCGCTGGCGATGATTCTGCGCCGTCTTCCACCGCGCATACAATACAAAAGCGTCCTTCAAGCCAACAAGCAAACATCCGGCGACTATGCTTCGTGCCCATCTATTCTGCAGGAAACCGGTCGGTTTGCCGGAAGAGGGCGGTGTCACCCAGGATTTGGGCAGTGCAATCCTTAGCACTTCTCCAAAGGTCCCTGCGAGCCCAGGGAAGATGAAAGTGCCCAGAATTGTATCCACTATGCTTCCTGTTAAGGAGATGTTGTTTCGTTCGCGGCGAATGCGCGGGCGGCGCGGTTGTGCGTGCTGTTGTGGTACGTTTGGTGCAGGGGCAGCAGCATCCTCCTCCTCCTGGTTCGCCGCAGCTGCCACCGGAGCACCATCCTCCACTGGTGGGGCTTCAAGCGGTGGTGCTGCTGGCCCACGTGCGATAGGAACTGGCGGATTCTCGGGCGCGTTGTTGTTATCCGCCGCACCGCCTGCATTCCAGTCGAAGAGCAAGTCAACATCGACCTCCACCTCTACAATGTCCTCACCATCCTCACCATCTTCGTCTTCATCTGCTATAGCATTGAGTATAGCTTCCGCATCATCCTCCATATCTTGTGCGTCCGCCTCAATCTCATCTTCTGTGCCAGCTCGTGGCTGCACCTCTTTCAGCCAACGCCGCTCGTGCGGTGCCCAGAACCGATCGTAGTACGAGTTGTAGATACTCCGCACGTAGGGTAGAGCGGCGACGGTGAAGGCAGCACTCGGCGGCCATGTGATTTGCAGGAGGCTGTCGCCTTGCGCTGCGTCTGCTCCTCCACCAGCGAGGAATATGAGAGGGAGAAACGGCAGGAACGAATCTGCCATGCGTGTCCTGCTAAGAACTAGTATGACGGGTATAGCAGGTAGGCCGAGATCGATTTGCCAGTTCTTGCGAATGTGGTTAAGCAGATGCATGGTAATCGACTCGGAGGGGAGGCCCGACGGGACGCAACGGTGTCGAAGTATCGTCTGGGCATCTTGCACCCCAAAGATCTTGTACACGATGTCCTTTCCAAACCAGCGCAACGTAGTGTATGTTGCGGTTCCAGCGACGAAGAAGATGATAGGAAGCTGCAGCATCTTCGTCATTTTCTCAGTCATGCGCACGTACTCTACGATTACATTTCTTGGCCGGTCTAGCTTTATCTCGGCCTTGCATTGAGGACACAGAATCTTTCCTCTCGTGGTTCCGAGGCGCAGACGTGAGTCTGGTGCTTCCATATCCGCTATCCAGTCCAGCAGGCATTTCTCGTGCGCGACAAGGACGCAAGGGCATGGGGATCGCCATTCAGAGGTATTCTCGTCGTCCTCTGTCTCATCGTTGAAGCATATCCAGCACCGGCGTGGTTCGTTGTCTTCGGCAGATTGCGCCTCTGCCTGCGCCGGCGCATGCTGCTGCGTTGCATCAGCCTCGGTAGGCTTCACGGCTTCGGTGGGCGGGGAGTTGAGCAGGAGGGTCTGCGAGTCGACTGAGTCGGCGGAGAAGCTGTTGGTTCGAGCTGCGTTGCTCTGTTCCGGGCGCGCGGATTCTGCAGGCGGCGACGGCCTCCGCTGCTGGTGCTGCTGAGGCGGGAGTGAGGCCATGGCGAGTGTGGCCGAGTGTTTTGCAGCACAAGGAGGAGTAAGCGCGAAGAGACAGGGAGGGTGTCAAGTTGGCGCAAGGAGGTGGTGAGAGGGCGCATGCGCGTCGGTTTGCACCGTGTTGATGGTTTGCCGAATCGGACGGGGAAGACGTCACCGCTCGTGCCTTCACCACGCAGCCCGAGGCCGTGCTACGATACTATCTCCACAGCGGAAGCGCTCCGCTTTACTCGCTTGTGTAACATATGATAGCGCAGGGACCTCTGATGCCATTAAAGATTAAAGCTCTGCTGACGCTCTCACACTCAGGTTCCATTGAGCAGACCCTGGGGCGGATTGAGGCTACGTATCTACTATTCCGTATGAATATTTGACCCGATAGGATAATGCCAGTATTCACATTACGCAAGCGGAGGTTCTACTTGCTGCAAGACTGTATTGATTGAGTGCTGGCTACCAGCCCTCGATCTCATACTCAAACCTGCGATCACCCTTCCCCATCTCTATAGGCTTCGCATCTCTATCGTAAAGTGTTCGCTCTAAGAAATACACCTTCCCTTGCTTGTCCACCATGATAATGATGTTCTTCTGCGTCCCGTACACCCCATCAGTCGCATGAGCAGCTTTCTGCTTGACCGTGTCACCAATCTCATGCGCAGGCATTTTCAGCTCCTCCAGGTCGTCCCTCCCAATCGAAGGAACGAATATAGTGTGGCGTAGCTGATTCATGTACATGTCCCATTCCTCGTTCTCTTTCTGTTTGGGCATCGTGTCGGTGCTCAGCACATCCAACAGCCGCTGAACCAATTGCTCGCGTGTTTCGTTCAATTTGCTGCTCTGGGCGATTGCTTCCTTCGTCCACTTCTCACCATTGACGACTTTCGGCCAGCTTCGATCGCCGTACGCTGCATTGCTGAGAGCATATGTTTCTCCGGGCTGGCTCGCGAGATGGACAACGCCGTGGACATCAGGAGTCCGGTTGGAGATAATTCCGAGACCCTTCTCTGATCTCTTCACAACGTCTTGGACGAAGCCGTACAGCAGACTGAAGCCACCAACTCCCTTGACGCCGTCTTCCTCGATCATGCGCTTCTCGAATGCTTCGGTAGATTCTCTAGCTTCAGGGTCCGACTTTAACCAAGCATTGGGGATGAGACCTCGACTTCGAGCACCTTGGATAATGTCTTCGTTCTCTTCGCGGTAGTTGGTTAGGACTGCGATGCGGCCTTGCCGCGTTATTCCCAGCCACGTGCCGTGAGCCGGTCGATGCAGGTCGTAGCCGCCCAAAACTTGGTCATCTGGTGCAGGCCACCAATCCGCCTCTTGTGTAGGTCGGTGAAGGTATTCCTGGGTAAGTGTTAGCAGATGATTCGCAATCTGGGAGGTACAAAGTCACATCGCGGTTGTTGAGGATGATCAACGGATACTCAGGGTGCTCAGTCGTGACAATTGCGATGCACATGTTGAAGTTCTGCGCAGACTGATGTATCGCTATGAACGGAGGGAAGCAATGGGTGAATATTGAGGCGAAAGTGCGATGTCGCGAAGGATTAATCGAGGTTGGTGTGGAATGGTTGGTTCGACGTGGACGAATGATTCAGGCTCTTGAGGAGACTGCGCCTGTGCTACGTGTTATATGCTGTGTACGCTGGCACTGCCGGGTAGGAGCCCTGCGCATGTGTCTCCAGACCATCTTGGCTGTGAAGCTCGGCCCGGCGCTTCCCGATGGCGGGAGATGTGAAGACATCCTGGTCTCGTGAGATCGTGACAGCCGGTTTGTACCAATCATAGGAGGGCTGCTAAGCAAAGCTGCGCTACTCAATACACCAATTCTTGCGAGCAATGTTAGAGAGCCCAAGAAAGAAGTGGAACAAGAGCAGCATAGCATAGAAGATCAAACCGCTTGAGGTGCTTCCTGACATGCCCATGGTGAGCTTTGGATCCAATGCACTTTCGAAAAGCTGCAATTGTACTCATTTGTGATGCCCTAGTCTATGGAAGATTCCAACCTACTAATCACCTAGATACTAGAAAGAAATACCTAAAGCGGACGCGAGCCCAATTTTTGCGAGGACTCATGTCGCCCTGCGATTCACCGTGTTGGTGACAGAAGCCCAAGGAGCTTTTAGCCGCTTCAGGAAACAGGGTCAATGACGCGTTGCAAGGGACAGGGCCCACGCAAGCTCCGTGAGCTCAGCCCTATGCACCTCACAGGCACCACCACGCGGGTGCTGCCATCTCCTCGCTTTCGCAGCAAGCCACCGACAGCAAGCCGCTAAACACCTGCCATGGCAAACTTCGCGCCCTACCAAGACATCCCCGAGACCACGCGCGCCCTCAGCCCGCCCATCGTATCTCCGCGCACCTCTCTCGATCGCACGCGCAACATCGGCACCGTCGCCGTGACCTCGCCCACGACCCAGTCGTATCAGCAGCGGGACTACTTTAGCGGCGACGATGTGGAAGAGCAGCGGGAGCGCGTGGCGTGGAATGCGCCGCTGGGAGGATCGCGGGAGGACGTCGATATGTTCTCCACCAGCATCGGCTTGAGGATGGACCACGCGGCGTGTTTAGCATACTTGCTTCTCCCTCCCGCGGGCCCGGTGGCACTGTTGATATTCGAGCACCGGAGCGACTACGTCAGGTGAGCGACACGCAGCGTGCCCTTGTGTTGCGCTCGTAGGTTACTAGCATGCGACCGGGAGGCAATGCATGCAGGTGTGCGACTAGCGAAGTAGGAACAGTATTGATTGCACCACAGGTTTCACGCATGGCAGTCGAGCTTGCTGTTCGCCTTCATCTTCGTCATTCACATCATCTTCTCTTGGTCGAGCATAATCTCTTGGTTCTTGCTCATTGGAGACTTGGGCCTCATTTGCTTCCTTACCATGCATGCATATCAGGATGGTACGTACGTCTGCCTCTTCCTGGTAATGATATTGACCACCGCGTAGCATCGACCTTGGATCGCTATGAGATCCCCTTCTTCGGACCGCTTGCGACCTCGATCACCGACGACGAGTAATGGCGGGTCGACCTTTAACGGTTGAAGGTTCACGGCTTGCGAGATACATAGATGGGGACAAGGAGTTAACGGGCATCACTGGCGTCTCGCGTACCTAATGGGAAATTTTGGCCAGTCGGAGGTTATCTTGGAAGCTTAGTTTCATCTGAGACTTTTATGTCGATTTGTCTATGTTGATTTGTCTCCGGCTCGGGCATAGCTATCTTTCGTTGTAAAGACGTTATGGCCTCAGCCAAATCTCTCTTTTGCAATTTGCTTCAGAAAGTCCATGGTTTGCGCTTCTTTTGCCCTCCGATCCGCAAGTCGTTCCTCCCGCTCAGCATCCCGCGCGCGCATGATTTCCTCTTTTCGAATCTCACGTTCACTCTTCTGTCGCTCTGCGTCCCTCTTTTTCTTCTTGTACACCTCCACACCATCGTCGCCCATCAGATCAGCCTCTGCGACTTCGACGTCGCCGCTTTCCTTGGCGTCGCGGAAATCCATTAGTGTACTAGTGGTCTCTCGTTTCTTCTCCAGCTGCCGTTCCCTCGAACCAGGGTCTGCACGAGGCACCAGCTCGTCCAGTCGCTCCTTCTGCACATTGCGGTCCAGCTTGCGTTCGTATCGGATTCCGTCGACGTAGTTTGCCTGGGCGCGCGCACGGTCTTCAACTTGCATCTCGTTTCTCAGAGCTAGATCGTCGAATCTGGGCACTGTCGGGCCGTGGCCTGTACGTCTCGAGACGCCGCCAGGAGGTGGCGCGGGGCCGAAGTCGTCGTCATCGCTCTGAGGCTCCAGAGTTTTGGGAGAGTAGACGGGTGACGCGCGGCGCTTGCTCTCCGTTGTTTGTAGAGAATGCGCGGTTTCCCGGGCCTGCTTGAGCATTGACGGGTCGTACCAGCTGCGCGAAAGCTCCCCGCGGTTCCTGAGACTTGTTAGCAGCTTATTAAAGTACAGCATGACATGACATAGCTAACCATCGTCCTATGAAGCTCTTCCAGCGGCCTTTCGCTTCACGTTCGTCTAGCTCATCGAGGATAATCTGTTTCTGTATGTCCAGATAGGATTGGAATAAGGGCTTGTATTCTTCGAAGTGCCGCTTCGACAACTCTTTCGCATGATACGGCAGCGTCACCGGGTGCGGGAGAGGCGAACGCGAGCGGCGCCGCTTGTGCTTGTCGTCATCGCGTCGAGGAGATCGCGAGCGCGGATGCCGGGAGTTGTGGTGGTGTCTGTGGCGATGCCCACTAGAGGGTGACTTCCGGTGCGATCGAGAGTCTCGTTCGTCCAGTTGTCGTTCAGAGGATTGTGGCATGGTGGGTTGTTGACGATTAAGGAAATAGTTGGGTGGAGATTAGTTCGTAAGCCGCGGTTCGGCTGCACCTTCCTTACCTCACCCAATAACCTTCAACAGGTCTATAATTTATACTCGAAGACTCAACGTGATAGCCATAATTTTACGCTAATATCAAGGCAGGCTATCTGACATTGTCGTTCTTCACGAACATGATACTGCCCAGAGCTCACAGGTTTCTAGCACCCCGATCTCCGGTATTTCAACAGGATGCTTGAAGCTTCCTTAACGGGCGTCAAGACCACATTTCGACTTGCATCGGACTAGAGCTCATGAGAATGAAGATATAAAGTTCACTTAAAAGGGTTTGAGTTCCATATTGCTGAACCTGGGATAGCACAGTGTATCAAAATTGCTGGCGAGGTACTAAACTCCCCTTACTCATTTTCTGCCTTCATCGCCCAGTCCGCAGCGGCGGTTGCATGTATTGTTGTAGTGTCAAAAACCGGTATATCACTATGTGCCTCATGAATCAAAAACGCTATCTCGGTACAGCCGAGGGACAAACATTCCGCACGAGCAAACTCTGAGGTAACTCGTCGATAGATCTCCTGAGAGGATTCCCTGATGACGCCGTATACGAGCCCGGTGTATATCGAATTGTGTACAGCTTGGCGGCGCTGCTCGTCAGCGACAATGACTTCTAGCCCAAACTTCTCGGTCAGATGCGCTTTGTAGAAGTCCTGCTCCATCGTGAACCACGTACCCAGTAGGCTAACTTTCTGGAACCCGGCTTTGAGTATGCACTCAGCCGTGGAGCCGGCGATGTGGAGAAGGGGAAGCTGCGTTGTTCAAAAGCAGACTAACCTCTTCCCACTCATCGGCGTGTTGGAGCTCTGCAATTCTTGCGAAGTCGAAAGAACACATGAGTAGAGACGCATATGCAGGCCGCCCTTGACCTCCCGCACTCGTCGTTTGATCACTTGGTAATATTTGACTGTAAATTCCCGGCTCATTCCTCCCAATCATCTGAGCGTCTTCATCGTGGATTGAAAAGAAGAACCTCGAGCAGTATCGAGCAGATGCCACACCGGGCCAAGGGCATCAATGTTGTGGAATATTGAAGACAGCACTGTCGCAAACGAGGATTACGTGGCTGACTCCTTCGCCGTATGGCTGACGCACTGAAGAGCCGAGCAAGCCGGTTACTGAAATAGCATCGTAGCCTTGCTTAGCATGCTCGACCATCAACACGAGATGTTTTTTCTTCGGAAAAAGGGTTCGTGTCTCTTTCTGTGTTCGTCCTAATCGAGGGCCTTGCTATGTTACACGAATGAAGATGGCTTTGGGACCCACTCATTCTTTTCACGCAAGTGACATCACCGAGGATGGGAAGGGGTCTCAGCCCAGCGGGACTGAGGTCGCACCTGCAAAATTCTAACTGATCTCCAAGTTTCCGTGGGTACAACGACTCATTGAATCCTGGCCCTGCTAGATCGTGATGTTTGCTTCCGACAAGGAGTATCGAATACGCTCTCTCGACTCCTTTCGATGCCGTGAACGGTATAGAAATCGACAGTTTCGATGCGCTGGTATGACTTTGCTGTAATACGATACTTCGCGTTCGGTCTGTAGTAGGTTCGCTAGGTATTGGATACGCCTTCGAAGACAGTGTCACGGCTCACAACCGAAGAAGCAAGTCTCGGTTCCAACGTAGTGCAGTCGTATATGATTGTTGGAATATCATCTGTGACATTATATCACCAGATGTGCGAAGCAGCGAAAGAGGCTTTCCAGGACTAATCAGATCGAGCAGAGTCAAGGACCAACAGACAGCCTGGATGGCAAGGAGAACGGCCATGAAGAGACGCAAAGAGGAATCTTTGACCATTTTAGACTCCTGTCAAATTGAGAGGCCTAGCGCAGCTACCGTATATACACTTTATACGGGGGAAGCACACTGTACCTGTACGTGAGACGTAGCGTTGTGACAGAAAGATTGAAATCAACAAGGTGGGCGCTGGTTTTTAAGAACAGCTTCGTTCTGTGAAACGAGTGTAGAGAGAGTGAAAGCGAGCATAGTAAGCATGAGGCCTCCCTTGAATCTCCACATGTCTTCTTTGTAATAATGTCTCTGAAGTTGCAAAGTGGCCTTTTATTTTATTTTATACGAGGTTGCACGCGGACTGCCCTAAAGAACAGTGCACAACCATACCTTCATTTCTGCATATTGCAATGCCATCGGCAATTTCTCCGTGCGGACGTAGCCATCATTGTTAAATTATCGCCTTTGGACGGGGTTGTCAGTGAATGAGTGGAGTAGTGCCAAGGACCGAGGCGCTGGAAGGTGGATTGCGTAGGGCTAGCGACGGCAACGAATCATGGACTTTCGCACGTCCGTCGACCTTCGACTTGCGACAACGATGGCCGACGAGATGCAGATAAATCCACAGCGAGCAAAGCAGCTTGCAGAGAACCTCGCCAGCATAACCTCTCGCATCAATGCTGCCAACAAAAGCTCTAGACAAGTACGCAGCTGCCCCTCCACCCCGCCTGGATCACTCTAACAGCTGTAGATCCGGCTTATAGCCGTCTCCAAGCTCAAACCCGCCACCGACATCCTCGCGCTACACCAGCAGCCGCAACCTATACACTATCACTTCGGCGAGAACTATGTTCAGGAGCTGCTAGAGAAGTCGGAGCTTCTGCCACGGTCGATACGATGGCACTTTATTGGAGGTCTCCAATCAAATAAATGCAAGCAGCTGGCAGAAAAAATACCAAACCTCTGGTGCGTGAGCAGCGTAGATACCGAGAAGAAGTGCGATCAGCTGGAGAAGGGGCGCAAGGCGTTGGTCGAAAGTGATGCTTCGGTGGAACCGTTGCGCGTCATGGTACAGGTCAACACCAGCGGCGAGGAGTCCAAGTCTGGAGTTGAACCGGATGATGCGCTCGCACTGGCAAAGCACATTGTCGATAAGTGCCCTACTTTGCGCTTCACGGGGCTGATGACTATCGGCGCAATCGCGAGGAGCAAGGCCACCACAGCCGAGACGGAGAACGAAGACTTTGTGGCCTTGAGAGATATTAGAGACAAGGTTGCTGAGGGTCTGAGCTGGGAGAAGGAGAAGCTGGAGCTGAGCATGGGAATGAGTGCAGACTTCGAGGGCGCAATAACAATGGGCAGCGATGAAGTAAGAGTAGGGAGCGACATCTTCGGCACAAGGCCAGCAAAGAAAGATGCGGTGGTTGTGGAAAAGGGTTAGGGCTACACTAAGAGGAAAAGAAATAGCTCTTCAGTGCTTGTCCACAGCTGGTCATATCATTGTACACTGTGTGGCTGTTGTGACGCCTTCCGATGCGGATGCCATGTCTAAATCGGCGCTGCAGCCTGGCTCGGCGCTCTTTATCTAACTTCCGAGAAGATCCCTATTGTTCCTAAGATGTTATGGTCTATTTTGATTTCATCGCTGTTCTCTCAAGCACTCTCCTGGAACTTTGCGAGAGCGTCGTCATTCCAACTCAAAAATTTCCCACTCAAGTCTTTGCCCCCAGCCACAGCAAGCTTCGCGAGGACATGGCCCGGCTGTTCTGGCTTCAACAAACCTCCATCCTTCTTCAACCCAGCGAACTTCGCAGCATCTTTCTCAGTCATGGCCTTGTTATGGAGTTCCCTGATCTCTCGTTGCATCTCCGTGTCGACAACGCCTGGGCGAATGGATATAGTCGTCACATCAAGCTCCTCAACCGCCAAGGTGAGGGCCAGGTGGTTGAGCACAGCTTTGCCCGCACCATACGCACCCCAGCCCTGGTAAGCACCAACAGCGGCACCGCTAGAAGTGAGGATGATGCGACCTTGCGTTTTACGGAGTGAGGGCAAAGCAGCCTGGATCTAATTCGCGATACGTCAGTTAATGCACGTGATCTTTTGACGTCTGGTACGCTCTATTATACGTACCAAAGCAATCGCGCTAAAGACGTTGGTATCGAAAGCCTTGCTCCACTCCTCAGGAGTCGAGTCCGCGACCTTTTTCACAGGTTCCAACGCTCCGTGATTGACGATGAGTCCGTCGATGCGACCAAAGCGGTCATTGGCGACTTCGACCGCCTTCTTAGAGATGCTGAAGTCGGCAAGGTCACCAGCAACAACTTCGACTTTGTCGGCGCCGTACTGGTCGCGGAGTTGGGTAAGCGCAGATGCAGTACGAGAGACCAGGACAAGCTTGTGAGATTGTTTGAGCAGATAATGAGCAGCCGCCAGGCCGATGCCTTGAGGCCCGTCAGCAAATAATATTGAAGAGAGATTTCTTAAATTTCGATGATGGAATATCTCAAGCGAGGTGTAAGACATGCCAGAAAGTACGTGATCTTGAGAATTTTGGATGTGCGGGGTAGGAACAGCAATGGACATGAAATAAGTGCACTGTCTTACCCCTTGACGCGCCAGTCAGTATGATGACCATCTCTTTGGATTCAGACATGACGAAGATTCGGGAGTGTGGTGGGATGGGTAAGGCTATTGTACAAGATTGGATGGCCCAACATCATTGCGCGCTTACCATAATGGACCCACTAGCAATCAAGGCAGGTGCGGATAAGTATCCGTATTCCAGGTATGTACACCTTGATTGACAAACGAGCACTTTGAGAAACGCTGGCACACACAGAGAACGTCTGCCAGGTGTTGTACTCTCTTTATTCTGATCATGTGTTACAGAGATCATGCAAGTGCGCTATAGACAATCGGTATCTGAGGAGACATGTTGCAGCATGAATAACGAGAATGAGCAACTCGTACCGGACCCCAGTCAAAATCTATGCGCCTAACTCCGGAACTCCAAAGTGATGCCTCGATCCAACAGACTAGCTTAGTTCCTTAGTGCTCGGAGGCGCTCGTTCAGGCCTTGCTCCTCTTGTTCGGTAGGACCGATCTTTGTTTTGGCGGGCGTGGCCTCCTCGAGATCGGCCGACAGCTCGACGCCAACCTTATCTGCAGCTTGGGCCATCAGCCGGTCGACATCATCCTGGGGTGTTCCCACCGCGGTCGCTGAGGATGTCGCTTCACGGGTGAATTCGTCCACAACGTCGAGATCGTTGAAGTTCTTCTCGAAACCGTCCATGACAGCCGTTATCTGTGGCCCAAAAGTTAGAAGACCTATCTTCAGGGGTAATATGCGAGTGTGTTATAGCAAATCCAGAGTTCACGTACCCTTTCCAAGTTCATCGACTTCATAGCTACATCCATGCTCTTCACCACCTTCTGCATGTTGCCGGTGACCTGGCGCATCGTGACTGCGGTTTGTACCCGGCCGGCGACCGCGTCGACGCGCGAGGCAAGTTGCAGGAGGTTCAGCTTCTCGTTCTGCTTGCGGACGGCGTTTTGGGCGTAGATACGCGCGATATCGTGGTGGCCCTGCTTCATTGCCTGACATGCTGTTAGCGCACAACAGCACATAGGGAGCACAGCTCACCTTCTCTACCTTCGCTTTTTCTGCTGTTTCATCTTTCCCAGCCTTGAGCGCTTGTCGGTTCAGCGACTTCGCCGTGAACTGGTGTGCGTCAGCAGGCAGCAAGAGAGAAGGCGAGCGGCAGCGGACCTTCAGGTTGAAGAGGGCAGCTTCAAGACCAGACATGCTCAAAGCGGGTTGAGTGCGACTAGGATTGTCTGCGTGACGGGCGGCAGATGCAGTGTGGATGCGGTCGAGAACGCGGAGGTTGATGGATGCGGCTGATGCTCGGCGTTCAGTGAAATGGTGGGGTTGGGCGCAAACAACGTCATTGGCAGGCCTCGGCGCCTTTCACGTGGGGGCACTCACTCCAGGGCTCAGACCCTATCCGCCGCCCACCACGCGTTCGCATTAGCTTCGTGATAGCGATAAGGGAAAGTGCATATAGTATCTGCATGCATGTATGCCATGTAGTGTGCCTTCACCGATCACACCGATGACTTCATAACCGTAGAGCCGGGGAGTCATAGCCCACTCGCCTGCACAGTGATGCCGAGTCGTTGCAGCGGTAGGTTGGGTAACTTTTCCATTTGAAACGAAATCCAGATATAGGTATCATGCCATGCAAACGCCTCCCGTTACCACTAAGGTGGTTTTCCCAACTCCGAAAGAAGTAACCCGAACAATCCTACCACGTCAATCTCAAGAAGTAGGCTCCGAGTTGAATTTGTTTGTTGCGTTGCGGAATAGTTCCTCTTGCGCGCGAATAAGCTCCTCCTCGGTCATGCCGCTCTGCTCGATCTTTGTTTGTTTTTTCTCGCGATTCTAGGACAAGTCAGCAACGTATTCAAGGTGGCCTAGGAAGCAGCGGAAGATCATTTGCAAGCAGGTGTGTATCATGTACCCGCGAGTAACTTGGTCTTTGCAAGGCTGTTTTGATGGTGTGTGCGCGTACCTGTTGCTGCTTTTTGTAATCCGCCGCAACCTCAAGGATAGCCGGAACGTAGTCGTGGAAGTCTAGCTCTTCCAGCGCCTGCTTCACGTGCTCGCATGCGATCGTCTTCTTTGCATCCTTTTCTGCAATTTCGTTGGCCTCAGAGGATATGAGCGTGATGAACTCAACGCAGCACTCGATGAGCAGGTCGCGCGAGTCTTTCGCAAAAGTCATGCCCGGCTCGGACTGCAGGATCTCGGTGACAATCTTCTGCACCGTTGCTGCGCGCTGTTAGCTGGGTCCGAACCAAGCAAAAGTTTGCAGGGATGCGTGTACCCTTGGGCAGCGACAGGTCGTCGTTGCCACCGAACTCGCGATCTGACATGGTGTCGGGGTGGTGGAATGTGTATTGTGCATACTGCCTGTGGAGCGCGTTACATTATCTATGCGCGGCGACGGTCGCGCTTAGACGGAATTACATTGACCCCGCCCGTCAAAGCGCGCGGCCGATGCTCGTTTCCCAAAGCGGTAAGAACATGCTTTGGCACGGACGCGCTCTGGCTCGAGGGCTGTCACCGGGGCCTAGCACATGATGGTTTTCACTGACTCTGGAACTCGTCGTCCGCCCTGTCTCGCGCACTTCCTCTTTCGGATGATGCAGGGCAGGTCGGGTGCTGATCATACGAGCGACTGACGCGCTTTTGGCGGACTGCACAGGCACGAGCTATCTGGGTTTAGGCGCTCCAAGTGGAACTAACCTCCCTAGATATGCATCGAATTGTGGATAACCTGCCGAATCGATTGCGTGCAGCAACTTGACCGGAGCAAAACGGCAGCGTGTTTGTTCCTTTGCCGCCCCCTGCGCCTCGAGGCCCGCTGTCATCTTATTTTGAGCAGTCGCGAAACGCTAGGGTATGGTAGAGTAATACGAGCATGCAATGCAGCACGCCGAAGTGAGGCCTTGGATCTGTGATTTGCGACGGGAGCGTGCAACACCAGGCGGCTCCTCGACGTCAGTGTGTGCAGGGTGCTTGGCGCATCCGACAAGGGAAACAGGAATCCGCGAGCCTTACCCGAGCACGGTCTATCGGTGTGCGGATGACGATGAGGCGGTGAAAATCCGGAGGGGAAGGCAGCGTGTTTCATCGGTTGAGGCGGCGTACAGGCATGCGCACTGCAGTCAAAAGAAAGGCTGCTGCTGGCTGCGCAAAGAGCGTATCATCTCAGCAGCCCTTCCCAGTCCCGCCGCACCAAACGACGACAGCCGCTACAACCCCTACACTTTCCCGACTGTGGCCCGCAACTGTCCCTGCCCTTCATCAACGACGAGTGCACGCTCCAAGTACCAGTACACACTTGCCCCAGGTACCGGCCCTCACCGCCGTGGACCCTTTCGTCCTTGATTGATCGACTGGGCCTCGGATTGCCTGCTGCCCACGCGGCGCCCCTAGCAGGCCCGATAGAAGCGCAGCAGAGTTTTTCGATTCTGTGCACCGGCCTGTTTTTGGTTAAAAGCCGCCCAGACAGCCAGACAGGTCGGGTTGATTATTATGACGCGTGAACGCCGTGAGCCCGCCGTAATCCAGCACAGCCAGCGCAGCTCGCCGCTCTCCACGTCGCCGCCCGTCTCCCGCTCGTCCTTTTCAGCAATCGCCTCAGCAACACGCGCAGACACCCGTCCGCCATCGTCCAGAGGAGCCGATGGGAATGCACCTACTCGTCCAGCTCTAGTCTCACGTGCAACTGGCATACCCGTCCCGCCTTCACCTACCCGGCCTCGACCACGTCGCTCGGTACACAAGTCATCCAAGTCGACTTCGGCCGTCCCGACACTCTCCAGGTACGTTGTGTTGCTCCTGATTAGGAAGTCCTGAGCCATGTGCTGAAGCGTTTATCCAGCTTCGCCATCCCCCGCGCTCTCCCCACCTACTGGCTGCCGACCATGACGAACTCGACCGGTGGCGCCAGCTCTCAGACAGCCGCAGATCTGCTGCGGCAGGTTGCGATGCAGAGGTAAGCAGTCCGAATGTAACTTCGTGCGCGCCAGGCCCGCGTGGATGAGCTGTCTCAGCGCGCGTGTGCCCGAGTGCAAATAGCGAGAGGTGCGGCGTCGCTTAGGCTCTACATCGAGCCAGACAGACATGCCGGCGCTCAGGTTACACGCCGGCTTCCTGGAATAGTCCCGCAGCCGCACATGCACACCTATATTGCTCGCCGCCGCGCTCTCGTCTCACGCCCACCCACCGCCCATCCGCTCTCTCATCATGACGTCTTCGAGCGCCCTTCTAACGCCCAGTTACAGGATGAGCAACGACGACGAACATGACCAGATAGGCTCCAACAGCTCCACGCCGCCGGGCGCCTCGACGCCGCGCCCCGATCCGACCGATAAGCGACTGCCAGGTATCCTGCACAGTTACTTTGGCCAGGTTCGTGATTCTTTGATACCCCGTCGGAAGTCTTCTGCGGTCAACCCCTCCCCCGCACTTGCACCTGCCACTCAGACCGCAGACCCGTCATCGAAAGAGGATTCCGATGCTAGCCGTCTGCCGTCAAACACACTGCCCAGCCCCACGCCCAGTGCTTCTTCTACTTCCCGACATCCCTCAACCTCTCAGTTGAATGATGGAGAAACGGAGAAGCTAACAGAAGGCGCTTATGCGCCGCCGTATAACCAGGCCACGCCTCCTCAGACTCCCCGCACACGCTCGCAGGAAGGCAAGCGGCCTGCCTCGAGCCTGTCTCAATCCACCCTCGCCTCGAACCAGCAGAAGACGAAGGAGAAAGAGACCAGAGAGCGGGGCCCCGCTGATGTTGGCCCGCCAAAGGGCAAGCTGTCGGTCGCCATCTCTGAGGGAAGAGATCTTCGACCAAGCGTTGACCCGTACGTCGTGTGCCAATTCCAGTGGGCTGAGTACATTTCGGACGGACCGCGGAACGACGCAGCAAAGGACAAGCGGCATCCGCTTGCTATTCAGCGGACTGACAGTGAGACTGGCAAGCCAATGGCGATTCCAATGCGGAGCCGACAGAGCAGCAACAACGGCACCAGCTCAGACCCACGCGAGAACGGATCATTGAAAGATGTCACTAACCCCAAATGGGAGCATGAGGCCATATTGTGGGTATATTCATTTTCTACGTGGCCCCACTCAACTGACTTTGTGCAGCGACGTCGTCGGTGACCATTCTGAAATCGACATCTCCGTATACGATCGTAGCAATGCCGAAGCCTTCCTTGGCCACGTCCGGTTTTGCCCCAATCTTGTCGAGTACGAGAAGCCCTACGATGGATGGTTCACCCTTGAACCGCGGGATGGTGAGGAAGACTACGTGACTGGAGAGATCCACCTGAAAATCAATTTCCACAAAATCGATAAGAAACACTACGGACCCGAAGATTTCGAGATTTTGAAACTTATCGGAAAGGGCACATTCGGACAGGTCTTCCAGGTACGCAAGCGTGATACTCGACGCATCTACGCCATGAAAGTACTTTCCAAGAAGGTCATCGTACAGAAGAAAGAGGTGGCTCACACACTCGGCGAACGGAACATCCTGGTGCGAACAGCTATGGCCGACTCCGCGTTTATAGTTGGCTTGAAATTCTCTTTCCAGACGCCTTCCGACCTTTATTTGGTCACAGACTACATGTCGGGCGGTGAACTCTTCTGGCATCTCCAACGTGAGGGACGTTTCCAGGAAGGTCGCGCCAAGTTTTATATCGCCGAGTTGATCCTCGCTCTGCAGCATTTGCACGAGCACAATATCGTATACCGCGATCTGAAGCCAGAAAACATCCTTTTGGACGCCAAGGGTCATATCGCGCTCTGCGATTTCGGTCTGTCTAAGGCGAACTTGACTGAAAACGCTACCACGAACACTTTTTGTGGCACAACAGAATATTTGGCCCCCGAGGTACTGCTCGACGAACATGGTTACACCAAGATGGTGGACTTCTGGTCCTTGGGTGTGCTCGTCTTCGAGATGTGCTGCGGTTGGAGCCCTTTCTACGCGGAAGACACTCAGCAAATGTACAAGAACATTGCGTTCGGAAAAGTGCGATTCCCACGAGATGCTCTCAGCACTGAGGGGCGTAACTTTGTAAAGGGCTTACTCAACCGAAACCCCAAGCACCGACTCGGTGCAACGCGAGATGCCGAGGAGTTGAAAGCGCACCCTTTCTTCGCGGACATCGATTGGGACGCCTTACAAAAGAAGAACGTTGTCCCGCCATTCAAGCCCAAGTTGAAGTCCGAGCTAGACGTCTCGAACTTCGACCCGGAGTTCACGAATGCGTTGAACGGAAACGGATCTTTGAATGCGCGGGCCGCTGCTCTGGCCTCGGGCGTAAACCCTGCGTCGACACCGTTGTCGCCAACAATGCAAGCCAATTTTGCAGGCTTCACATTTGTGGACGAAAGCACCATGGACCAACAATTCGCCCACAAGAACAGGGAGCACGAACCTGAGCGTATGGACGAAGACGATAAGGATGACATAAATTGGGACAAGCCCGCAGGACGGGGTGACCGAATGAGTGGCGTCATCCCCAGTAACGACCACGACATATTCAATCACGGAAACTTCGACGTTTAATGAATCTCCAGCAGCGTTTCTATGTACTCGAGTTGTCCACTAGCTTTGTACCTCGACGTACTCACACTAAAAGTGTTTTTCACGTCCACTTGCGACTGCACCGGTGCTACGAAACCCCATGGGCAGTATCACATAGCCAAACTTATAAGGCTTGATCGAGTGCCCTGCACGCCGACCTACGTGTGCCTTAAGGTTATTCACGCCCTTTCGACTGTTCGAGATAGGTTGTATAATCTGCTACACGCATGGGCTGCGTATCTACACCCTAGGTGTGGATACGTATCGTTGGGCCTTTCTTCTCGGCCAAGCGTTTTCGCTTGGATCACTCTTTCTGGCTGCAGCATACCATCTAGTTTATCCGGAACGAACGTCACTGTCGACTATTACGCACATACACCCTGGAGTTAATTGTGGTTCCATGATAGCATTGCGTAGGTGATTATGCGGAGCATCTGAGCTTTCATCAACATTTATAGGTTTCGGGTTCTGCCTGGCTTTCCTCCATATCTTAGTTGCTATAAATTCACAGGACGCAAGCTGAGTATATTGCTACCTGCAAATGCGCATCGTATCTGTCACGTGGAGGTAGCTAATGACGCCGTTTGGCATGAATTGTACATATCGAATGGAAACCAATCAACATGGTAATAATCTCTGATGCACAGATACCACTTGCTTGTTCCTGTCTTTTGACAAGAGCTCTCGTGGTACCGCGATGAAATGCACTCTCACAATGGGCTGCAATTGTGCAAAGACAAACCTCGTTCCGATGCATCCGACATCGCTCATGCTGGGATCGTAGAGAGAGTGCCTCACTAGCTCTTTCGAAGCTAGCCAAGGTTGACATACGTGGGCGATTCAACCTCGGCAAAAACTGGTGAGCTCCGCTTAAGCTCCAGGACTTCGATTGCCGCCCCGCGTAAGACGCGATCCAGCTGTACCAACTTGCCAAATCTCTCTTCACTGAAGCTGCAACCTGCATCAAAGTTCCAGACATAGAGACCTCTATTTACTCAAGTCAACATGGGCGAACAAGGACCGGGTGTAGGATTTGAGTTTCCAACCTTCGAGGTGTCGTGGAAGAAGAGGGACTTGCTCCTCTTCGCGGCCAGCATTGGCGCAACATACCCCGACGAGCTTCATTTTCTCTATGTAAGTTCTATCACTTTGGGATGCGATTAAGAATCAGATGAATCCTCCCCATCAATACCCATCCTTGTCCAATTGGGTTGCTCATTTTGCTACAGGAACTCAACCCCAACTTCGCGGCGTTCCCGACCTACCCGATCATCCTCCCATTCAAGCACACGGATTCCGAAGTTATCGACTTCTATGCGCGCTCAAATAGTACGCCTATTGCAGGAGTTCCCAAGTTCGACACCAAGGGCGTTCTCGATGGCGAGCGCAAGCTCCAGTTCCTGAAGCCGATCCCGGTATCTAGCGAGGGTCGCAAGTTCGAGGTCAGGAGCAAGGTTCTGGGCGTGTATGACAAGGGGAAGCCGGGCACGGTAGTCGAGACAGAAAAGACGCTCGTGGATGCGCAGTCTGGTGAGGTGTACACCAGGGAAGTGGGCAGTGGATTCTACGTCGGACAGGGTGGTTGGGGGGGTCCCAAAGGTAAGTCACGCTGGCTGAGGTTTGCGCAGAGAAGCGATGCTAATGGTAGTATTCAGGCCCTAAGACCGTGAACTTCCCTCCGCCCGCGAATACTCCCCCGACCGCGACCCGTGTTACCCAAACCACGCTCGAAACTGCGCTCCTCTACCGCCTCAACGGCGATTACAACCCCCTCCACGCGACTCCCGAGCCGGGTGTCAAGATGGGTTTCGGTGGACCGATCATCCACGGTCTGTTCAGCTGGAACACAGCGGCGCATGCTGTCTTGCAGCAATTTGGTAGGTCAAAGCCTGAGAACATGAAGGAGTTCCAGGCGCGATTTGCAGCGCCGGTCAAACCGGGGGACAAGCTGATTACGGAAATGTGGCAGACTGGCCAGAAGGAGGGTGGTTTCGAGGAGATCAGATTTATTGTCAGGGTCGAGGGAGGTAAGACGGTCTTGACGAATGGAAGGGCGCTGGTGAAAGTGGAGGAGGTCAAGGCTAAGCTGTAGACACTTCAGCTGAGAAGCTAGTTTGAATTCGTATTCAAGCTCAAGTGATATTTTGACATGATTCTACAAGCTTTCTCCAAGCCGTTATGTCTTACTGCGCCTAGGGCTGACTTGAGTTGACTCAAATGGTTCAAATTGCTGGATTATACTGGACCTAGGTGTGACTTGAGATAGATGACTTGGCAGGTGCTGCCAGTGCACGTGCCATTAGCGTGCCCTTCGCTAAGAGTAGTCGTTGTGGGTCACTGTTTGTCGGAGGAGAGATGACACTCCGCATCTCATCTGATAAGATCGATGGCATTAATGTTGGAAAGCGCAGCCGATCAAAGTGTCACGTGCACTCGTCTTGGCTCTCCATGAAACACTAAGATCAGCCATCGGGAAAACGGCATTGGCTGCAACACTGCTCAAGGGGCACCTGTCTGACCTTCCTGTTGGACTCTGTACGTTTCGGCTAGCTGGCTCTTGAAACAGTTCACGATGTCCTGCCCGCAGCCCTGCGCTACATTCTGATACTCGCGCATGCCTTACGTCGCCGCTACTTCCACCTGACAGCATGTCAATGCTGTCAAGCATCCACCACACACCACAAACAACATGGCTTCCCGGTTGCCTCCTTTGCGAGGCGTGCTACTATGGCTGCATTTTTTCTTGCTAATCGGCTTGGGTACGGCATATAAACCCCTCTCCGACGGCTTCCTGCGCGCGATACCTTCCCCCGGCGACGAGTTCAACATCGATAACAGCACCGGCATACTCGCACCGCTCCTCATACCTCGAGTTCCCGGAACAGCCGGCCAAGTCGTCGCGCAGCGTCACCTAGTCGATTACTTCCAGCGCGAACTGCCGAAGTGGACTATCACATGGCAGAATAGCACACAGAAGACACCGACATCCAAGAACACCGAGCTCCCCTTTGCGAATCTCATAATCAGGCGCGAGCCGCCATGGGTCAAGCCCGGACAGACGAATTTTCTTACGCTTGTCGCGCATTACGATAGCAAGCTGAAGCCAGATGGATTCATTGGCGCGACGGACAGTGCGGCTCCATGCGCAATGATCATGTGGGCTGCCAAGGTGGTGGATGGATATGCACAGCAGATGTACGACGAGATGTCTGAGTTAGGAGAGGGTGGAGACGTGGATATGGACATGGGTATTCAGATCTTGTTCTTGGATGGCGAGGAGGCATTTGAGACATGGACGGACACGGATTCGCTATACGGCTCAAGGTATGTATTTACATTTCCTCTAAAACCTGTAGAATGCGGATCGCTGACACTGACTATAGATCCCTTTCTAACTTCTGGGTCAATAGCCCAAACCCACCAGCCCAAAAGTTTTACAAGTACAAAACGCCGCTTTCCCAGATATCCCTCTTCATGCTCCTCGACCTCCTCGGTTCTTCCGAACCCAGCGTGCCGTCCTACTACACCACCACGCACTGGGCTTACCGCGCCTTCTCTAACGTCGAGTCACGCATGCGCTCCCTTAATCTCCTCGAATCCTCACCCCCTTCGCCGTTCCTACCCGACGTGAACAAGACAATGGCCTTGGGCGGCATTTCGGACGACCACTTGCCTTTCATCTGGAGGGGCGTAGAAACCCTCCATGTTATCCCTCAGCCGTTTCCGAGGGTTTGGCACACGAGCGCGGACGACGGACCGCATTTAGATATGAAGGTCGTAAGAGACTGGGCGCGCATTGTGGCAGGCTTCATGTTGGAATGGTTGGACATGATGGAGGTTTGGAGTGGAGAGGAGCCGGAAGCAGGATCGACACTTGCGATCCATGATGGACGGTGACACGAGAATGAGCGGGCACCACGAAAACTGTCTTGAGCGTCAATATCGACGTTGCCAATATCTATGGTTTGGAGACTGATCGAAGTCAATCTAGATTATACATCGAACAACCAACTTTCCCGAAGCTTCAAAAGCTAGCGAGGTTCCAGTCGGGATCGGTGTCGGTGGAAAACACGCGTTGTGGTCTCGATCGGGTTATCAATCAGTTTGGAGTTATGAGGCTTAAGGAGGACATCTCTGGTGAGCTCGCGCTTTGTGCCAGCTGAGACGGTCGACCGTTCAACAATTTTGATATGGACTTAGGCCATAGCGGGAACAATACCCACCTTTTCTTTTGCTTCATTCCATCGCCTTTGAACCTATTCGCCGAGAGCACTAACAGCTCTATAGTGCTCAATCGTGTAGATGTGGGCTGGCGGGCCAATCTAAGGAATCCTCTTCTGGCCAATACTGGCCCTCGTGTCCTCATTTGGAAACCTTCATTTCTGCATTGATTCACAGAAATTTCGAAGGAATGACTCTCCTTTTAGAGATGCGATTATAGTTGTCAAGCAGATCGCATGGTAAGGCCTCCGCCACGCCAAGCTCAGCACAAGGATGTTTTCGCATTCGATGCGAAAGCAATGAGCAAGAGCGGAAACCGTCCTTTTATGTATTAATTGGGCCAGTCTTGATCTCAAAAGATGTTCCAAGCTCTTACATTCCCGAGGCTGCGACATGGTAGGATCGATGTGGTTGCACATGCTTTGCGTGTCGACGCTTGGGATTGCTGCGCAGGCACAAGGCGGTTGGGAACAGACGGAAAACGTGGTGCACGAAGCTCCAGGTAATACACACTCGAAGGGCTGTTATCCTTCGCCTTCGAGGGAGCGCATGGGAAGGGAGACGTGAGCCGAGATGCGAATTTGAATGTGAATGTGGAAGGATTTGCACATCTCTGTAAGTGATCTGGCGGCATGTTTAACGAAGGGTAGCCACTCACTGTTCGCGAACATCTAGTCCGCAGAGCTGGTTGCTCGATGTACGAAGCCGGCAAAACGTATACCTGCGTGGACTCCAGCGACATTTGCTGCACTGTAGGGGAACTGGGCTGGTGCTGTGCAAACACTGTCGCATGCGGGACGACATCGAGCCAGTGCACGTTTGATGTGTAAGTAACGAATGATCACTTTTAGAAGGAGCAAGGATTGTTGGGCTGTCTGGCTACTGCGTTACGTCAGATTATCTGACAAAAACCGAGTGTAGAGTGAACAAAGCCTCAATTGCGCATATTCCCTTTTGTAGCTCGCCTCAGCCCTTCCTGGGGTAACACCGCGTCGATAGTTCAGGGGAAGCAGGCCCTTATCACCCGTTGTGACATGTTACGCAGCAGTGGCTAATCCAGGCACAAAAAGATTGGTCCACATCCACGTATTGGAGAACGACGTACAGCACCAACTACTATTATTACACTTCCACTCTATACAGCACGTACTTCGTCATGTCTACCTACTTCAGTTACACCACGATAACCGCCGATGTGGATCCGGCTACGGAGTGGGTCACTGTGACTAGCGAGGCTCTTCGGACGGGTAGGAGAGGTATGCCAGCGGAGCCAACATCATCGATATCTCTTCCAGCCGCTCTCGTTCCACCACAAATACCGTCGTTACCTAGTGCAACGCTTGCTTCAGAAAGACTGCAACGTCTTGAGCTTCAAGATTCGAAGATTACCGCAGCGCCGCCTTATATCCAGATCCGAGGCTTGATTTTGCTCCGGCAAAGTCACACAGATACATTGGAAACAATAGTAACTGAAACGACTACGATCACAACGACAGGTGAGTCGACGATCTTCAGTACTTCCACAGTCAGCGATGTCGAGTGGACAACTTCGTGTGATACGCGCATTGCTGCGCTCAACGCGAAGACAACCGTGACTAGCACGGCGACCCTTCGCCTTCAACCTGGCGAAACAGGCCTCCCCTATGCAGAGGACGATGAAGATGTAGTCGGAAGTGGAGCTGGCAATACGGTGAGGAGGAAATATATATCCAGCGCAGCGAGAGCAGGTATCGGTGTCGATGTAGCGCTGGTCATCGCTGGAATCGCAGCGATCATAGGATATTTTGTCAAGAAACGGAAGAATAAGAAGACCGCCACTGCTGCGGGAGCTGGAGCTGAAATCCCAATGATAATCCGGAACCAATCATACAACGGCCCCTCACAAAACCCATCAGGCTCGCCGACGACAATGTTTGATTAGCGATACTCGTACACGACACCCACACCACCCATTAGCTACGGGACTCCCTCGCCGGTATATGGCTATCAGCAGCAGCAAAGCATGCCTGTTGATTCTTCGCCATTACAACAGTACCAGCAGCCTTACGTTGCGTATCAGTACCCTAGACCGCCAAGTCCGACTCTTGGAGGGCCACTGGAGCTCGCAAGCGGGGACGCGCGTCGGCATGCTGGCCCTGGTTTGCCAAGTGAGATGCCAGCTGTGTACAGTCCGCATCCACAGAGGCGTTCGTAGGGCACGAACGTTGGCAAATCCAGGATGACTCTTCACCGACCGCATCTCCCTGTGCATCACTCCAGAAAGTATGATACAAGGCTAGAGTCGAGAATTCAGCAGCTTTCCATGTGTCCTGGTGTCGGAAATAATAGGCCGTAAGTCCGTAACACGGATGCCCATATCAAAGCTTGGAGATGTGTGCTTGGTGAGCGAGAAACGCCGTGTATCTGAATCGTCAAAGAAGGAATTCCTAAACGATTTTAATACTGCCATGGAAAGAAATGGCTGTCTGACCAGTCGCTGCAAGGCGAACTGTAAGTATTATTAGTACATGTCTGTACAGGCGAGTCCTTGTTTCCTACTCGTCTTCATGAGTCCATCTCAACTCCTTACTGCATCTTTCATCCCAAGTTCTTGTCGTGTTCACACAAGCCTGTGTCATTGACGTCGCATTTCTGAATGCCAATCAGTGCATCATACCATCTTGACGACTACTTTTGATGGCATTTCTGGTTCAATTAGCAGAAGCTCAACAGCCGATATCAATTTTCCTTTACCTCCTCCAAGGTCTGCCAGCACGTTACCATCCTCAGTTATCAAACCTGCATCTGCATGCCTGTCAGCGAAGATCCGGGCTGTTGTCGGTCGTTTGGGATTCTTAACATACTCGCAAACTTGATCTGGTACGAAGTCCCTTCCTCGTGAGCAATGACAGGGTGCACTGGAAGCTTTTCGCTGTCGGCGCCAATCTTGAACCACCGTACAGGTTTGGGAAGGAAGCTTCTGTTCTCTACGGTTGCTCGTGCAAGAACCCAGTCACCAGACTGGAGCCTTCGGTCCTTCAGAGTGAACACTGCAGCATCAGGCCCGGTAGTCGCCTGCACGTGGTCTTCGGCGTCCGATCCTACTTTGGCAATAGGTTTACCATCGATTTCAATGATGAAGGGTCCGCTGAGAGTGTCCATTGTGTCCGTGAACGAAGGTTCCAAATCGGAAGTAGCAGGAGAAAAGCAGGCGCCAAACGGCCGATATGAGGCCGCGCGTTCTTGTAAATGCCAAGTTGCCAGGCGTCGGTGCACTGCTGGTCTCGTAGGAGCTAGAATGTGAAGGGGCAGGTGAGACGTGGTTCGCCTTGGTAGCAAGGCGGAAGTGGTAAACGGAGGAATAATACGCTTGTACACGTGCTTACGATGTTGTGAGAACCTTGGCTCGTCCCGGACAACGCCGATTTACTACCGTAGCATCAGGCTACACTTGTTCACCTGCCTGCGGTAAGCTAGCGTACTCGCTTATTTAGCCAGGAGATCTTTGTTCGCAGTGTTACGCGGGGGCTATGTGAAACACTAAGCCCAAGGCGGGGCAGATATATATTAGCCCCACGAATCACAGTTTGGAGCATAGCGATGGTGTGCGCCTTAATATACTCCATGTACTCATCCCGGAGGTTTCTTGCAGATCATCCTGCTACCCCGGTCTGCGCGCCCTCCAAGCATGTGTTTGCCGCCACCAAGACGTTTCAAAAGCTTATGACTTATGTTGATCTCTAGATGACCTCGTTAGTGGTACTCGCCCCGCCATACGCGCCCACTCCTCGACAATTGTTTTGAATCGTGCGCCACCGACAACTTATGGTATTGGATGTCTCCGAAATAAAAGTTTGTACTACAAACGAATGGGGAAAGTCAAAGCTACAATGCCCAAGCTCACCGAGGCTGGGATCGGAGGCAGTGTCCGGGGGGGCGAGATAAGCCCTGGACAAGCTTCCTGTTTAGAAACGCCAGTCAGGTACCAAGCGCCGGCGACGCACAGCAGATAGCAAATCGTCTCCACTACGACTGCTGTACATCCCGACCACACACGACTTAGAGTGAACCACAAACGGAAGGCAAGTAGCCAGCGCAGTCTTGGCTGTCTTGGATCCTTCACATCGATAGGCGGGGATTGTCGTGGCTCAAGATTTCGACATTGAGGCAATGTCGGCAAATTGTATAAGTATGCTGTGACCGACACACCTGTGGCAATCATCCGCTCGCTGCAGCTTCAGTTCTACACCTGTTACTCTTCGCCAGCGCCCAGTCCCGGGAATCTAGCCGATTCGAGCCTTCAAGATGGCCATCAAGTCCTTCCTGACCGCCGCCCTTGTGGCTCCCGCTGCCGTGTTCGGCGCTGCCATTCCCCCGACTGAGGCCGGTACTTCGAGCATCAACATCGTTGGTGGAGAGGCTGCCTCTGCAGGCGACTTCCCCTTTATCGTCTCTCTGCAAGTGAGCGGCTCTCACTTCTGCGGTGGTTCCCTCCTCAACGCGAACACTGTCGTCACTGCCGGTCACTGCGGTGTCGCCTACGCGGCTTCCCGCGTCACCGTCCGCGCTGGATCCTTGGTAAGTTGCTCCGCACTATAAGTTCACGAGTATGAACAGGGATTGATAGTTTGCAGAACAGGAACTCTGGTGGTACTGTCGTCAGCGTTTCGTCTATCAAGACGTACTCTGGCTTCAACTCGAACACCCTTGATGGCGATGTTTCCATCCTCAAGCTCGCAACCTCGATCCCCACGAGCTCTACCATCAGCTACGCTACCCTGGCCGCGTCTGGCTCTGACCCGGCCTCTGGAACTACCCTCACCGTTGCTGGATGGTAAGTCACTCACCATTGTTCCCGTTATGGAACTTCAGTGAGGCTAATCCACAGATAGGGGTACCACTACCGAGGGCGGCTCTTCGCTCCCCACTGCTCTTCGCAAGGTCAGCGTTCCGGTCGTTGCCCGTGATACCTGCGCTTCGCAGTACAAGGCCATCGACCAAAGCTACACCATCACGACCAACATGTTCTGCGCTGGTCTGGCCGCTGGTGGCAAGGACTCCTGCCAGGGTGACTCTGGAGGTCCCATTGTCGACTCGTCCAAGACTCTTGTCGGTCTTGTTTCCTGGGGCGAGGGCTGCGCTGAGCCCAACGCTCCTGGTGTCTACACTCGTGTTGGCTCTTCCGTAATCAGGTCTTTCATCACCTCTAACTCGTAAATATCGCATTTGGAAATGATGTCGGTAGTTCGCGATTGTGGAAAGCTTGGTTGCATTGAAATGAGCGTTTTGCATTGGGGGCTGACGGGGGGACTGTGTGGCAGAGTATCTATTCCATGATTATGATTTATGAAGTAGTAGTCTAAATACAGTTGCAAAGAAGCTTCTGCCAATTGTCAATCTGCCAATTTGCCAATGCCGGTGACAAGCGAACTTTAATATCCGTGAGCCTGGCGCGCAGATGTGGCACAGTCGAGGCCTAGATCGATCTGCTGCTCAAGTCTCAAGTCGGCATAGTTTGTAATACCTGTTGTGCATGGTATATGTAAATCATATGCCCGAAGGTTGTGACCAGGTACTTGAGATCCGCCGGGAAGCCGACAGAGCACTTATGTCACTCTGAACACGTAGAGTGTCGCGTGCTCACTGCGGATCCTCGAGCCAACAAATAAGCAAATTCGGCACTTTATGCCCTTATCCTTAGGTAGCTGCTAGACAAACTGCACGGCATGTCAAATAGTAAGTTGGGAATTTCAAAACCACAAAGCGATTACCTCAGGCTCCGGACTAATACTTCAACTCGTCTGTTATATTCCGTTGCCTATATCCCCCAAACAGTAGAGCGTAAATACTGGCCTATTTCTGGTGTTGTGGTCCTATCCTGGGAATGATGTCTCAGCAATCGGCCAACAAACGAATTGGTCTTTAAAGTACCACTTTGACACACGATCCAGTAACAGAGTATGTACCAAGTTTGTTTGGTGGCGGTTTTCGTGTCTAGTACTCACAAGAATACGATCCGAGTCAAAGTCTTTTGTTGATTTTAGCCTTTCGGACCGTGCTGACTTCTTACCAGCATACTCCATCGTGATGCTTCGTTTCTTTGACAAGACTACGCCTTGGGAGAAGGACACCAGTATGCGACTTCTGAAGAGGTTTATCAATTTTAGAACAGGAGCGCCCCCACACGGAACGAGGAGTTTAGCGCCCATGTTGACATCGGACCTGCAGCTGAAACAGTTTCCAATGCGGATACGAGTTATCTAACCCAATCGGGAACGGTCACATGAATGGAGGCTTGGGAATTGCCTTGGCATACGCGCAACCTCCCTATACAGTGACACCTACCCGCTGCATGTCTCTGTTCAAACTTAACTGCGATATATACCCAACAACGGAACGATGGCTTCACACACCACACCAGTCGGGTCCGCACACCCCATTATCGCTCCTGCCAACCCAGTCAACAGCCAGCTGAGCAGCTCACTAAACAACTTAAGCTTGCAAAGTCCTCCCGGTATGACGACTGCTAGCCTTGATTCTGCGAATAGCACGACCGCCTGGATTTCCGATGCTCCAACCAATTCGGAAGACTCTGGAAGCAATACAGGGGGCCAGCCTGTCAATAATGGAACGGGGGCTCATTTCGTCTTTAGTCCAATCGAGGAAACAGCAGATTCTGGCGAAACCGCCGATACTATAACTATTGAAACAATCACTCGCGACCCTCGGTTCAGTTGCTTCAGTCTAGAGGAGCTTAGAGTTGTTGACTACGCTCAAGGGAGGAAAGCTGTTGGATCGGGGACTACGAGTAGCGGCTTCTCGCACCAGAATCTATCTTCGCTTTCCACTCGTGCGAGGATCTTACATATGTGCGTCTTGCTGTCTATCACACCTTTACTTTTTGCAATCTTACTCGCTGCTGAATATTGTGTGCTAATCATTCTCAGGCTTAAAGGCTCAGGCATAGACATCGTTGTTGGGTCCAAAACCGCTACATTTGGCAAACAAGAGACATGGTGCTTGCCAAAGGCTCTGATATCATATCACTCGCTTTTCTTCAAGGCTGTATGTTTTCACGACTTCAAGGAGAAGGAGGAAAATCGCGTCATCTTAGAAGACGAAGACCCACGGGTATTCTCCCTCTTCGTCGAGTGGATGTTTTACAACAGGTATTCGCTCAGCTCCAGCTGTATGTTCAACGCGGATCTAAAAGCTTGGGTCTTAGGCGACAAGTTGATGTCAACGACATTCAAGAACCACGCTATGAAACGTCTCTACGATGCGCATCATATCGACAACTTGTCCGCTTCATTCGTTACGACGAACATGGTTAGCTTTGTATGCAATAATACTTGCGAAGGTGCGAAGCTACGGCAGTTCTACATCGACTTTGTGGTCACGCATTTCTCGAATCCGTACAAGGTTTTAGGAACAATCGAAGAGTGGGACAATGTTCTGCTGGACTTCGATGACATGCGAATGGCTCTTTTAACGGCCATGAGATCAGACGATCAGCTGGATCGGGTTGAGAAGCTAGAGTTCTACTTGGAGGATACGGATTCACAGATTCCGGATGACTGATTTGGTAGGGGTCTTTGATGTAGACTTTGAAAGGATGTGGCAATGAGTACACACTAGTGTATTAACTCGTAAAATTCAAAGTCCAAAATAAAGAGCAATGATCGAGGCAAGCAGAAGTTCCAAGACATCTAAGTGGAAACCCTCGTGTGGACAGAATCACCAATCAGTAGACATACTGCTTGCGATTTATGAGGACGAGGCAAAGAAAATGAACTGTTATATGGCGGGGCCCATAGCTCTGCACTTTATCGCTGCCTCGGATGCGTACTTGGCTCCTCAACAAGGCCGGAGCACTTGCATGGTAGAGATTGATATGTGTTTCGATGCAAAGACGGGCAAGAAGCTGATGAAGGCGATAACGAAGCGGGTACAGACCGGCAACCCTGGGTCAGACTCCACTGGGGATTGGATCTCGACACTGGGAAGCGAAGGACTTGTGGAACGCTACGAGGAGACTCCGCAGTGGTTGAAGGTGTATTTTGAGCTGAATCAGTCAGGGATCGTCAACGGTCCTCTCAATGTTAAAGCTGGGATTTCAACGAACGTTGGATTGCGATAGTAGGATTTGTGGTGGACAAATAGAATTGCCGGGGTAACGACGGTTTCGTGTTACTTATGCGTATGCGGTGCTGATACGTCCCTAAGCGGGTACCACTGGTGATACTGTTTTTACCGTGCTAGTCCATTGCTGGGCTCCGTAGGTGCCTTGGTATCTCGTGGTACGGAATTGCAGTGGGCTTATCTTAGCATGTAACGTGGTATTCACACGGCCCGGACGTGTGACTCGTGTTGCGAAAACACTGTCTCCTTCGTTCATGTAAAGCATGGTTGCCCCACCAATTCAGCGCGCGCAGCCCCAAGATATCTGCGCTTAAAATATTTCCGAAGGACTTGGAGATGTTGGTGAATGGGGGAGAGCTGTATGTTGAGTATGTGGTGTCGTCCAACGTAGTGGGCCAAGTCGCTAATGCGCAGTTATAGCTGCCTCACTTTGTCGAATCTCATACCTTCAGGCTCTAGCGTTTTTGTCCGCAAGAAGCTCTTCCATAACCTCTACGGCAAGTTCACTGTTTTGAATCGTAACCACATAAGCGAAAGATGGCGTGTAGACCAGAGGAACTCTCCGCGTCGACTGAAACCACGCAAGATCCCAGGACCGAGGAAGATGCCGCAACATCGCGAAACAGACCTACACCGCCTCCCCAGAACTCGCTAATCACGCAATACACCTTCACACAGCCGTACAGCAGCACGTCACAGGCCTCTTCACCGACATTGGCATCTGAGACCCGAGACGTCTTAACAACTGGATCGTGGATCGGGATATGTGCTGGGGTTTCCATCGGGGTTTTGTTGATCGCTGTTGCAGCCCTCTTCCTCGTTTTGCGTTTGCGGCGAAGAAAGAAAGACGCCAGCGAAGGATATAGAGCACAATCGTATCCTCTTAAGAGCATTCTGGACGAAAGAAGAGTACATACTTTGTTAGATATATCCAGACATAGAGGGCTGTCGAGCCCGACCTGAAGAGTCCTTGGATCAAGATGGCTGGACGGTATGACGGCATCTCCAATTCGTACGAAATGAGGCATGGGAAAATAGGACGGTAATGTCTAATGAGAAATCGCAAGCCTGCAAAGCGTCACAATCCGACCCAAATCTGACATATGGGGAGGACAAGCGGCAAGCCGCGTCCCAGAGAGGACCCGTACATATCTTACTTGCGCAATTCTTTTTCACTGCAGATGAGTCGCTGCTTACTTCTATATGCAGACTGTCGAAAAGGTAGGGCTTGCGCATGCAGAACAGCGTTACGCGCTAAACTAGCGCGCGGCTGACCGGTTGCGTGCACGGGCCGCCCAACCTCGCGAAGGACGAAAGCCAGCCACCTCAATCTTCCTCCATCATGAGAACCACAAAAGGCTTCGCCACCATGCATCTTCTAAGATCCAATTCCTTGCATTGGAGAACATCTGCTCTCCACGGTCCTCCGTCGATATTACCGTCCCCCTTCTTGCATCAACTTCAAGAGCTTCTTTGATATCTTTCATCATGCAGCTTACATCGCTGTACTTCACCTTACTGCTCTCTCTGACTTCTGGTCTACCTTTGGAGGGCGCACCGAACCGACATCTGGCAGCACGCTCAAAGACTTATGCAGTTGTCAACGTAGATGGAGGCTCGTCAATAGCAGCACAGCCAGGAACGACTACTATAGTCGACGATCAGACCAAAACCGTTCGAGTCACCGATGCTGCCTCCATAATCACCACCACGGACAGGCTGATAACTACAATTGTTCCTGCTCCGACACCGACGAGTTCGACGACGTCTATCAGCTCCACTAGCTCGAGCAGGTCGAGCAGTAGATCTGCAAGCTCAAGTGCCACTTTGGCCAAAACGTCAACCTCGGCTCAAACCACAACCATCCCCACGGCTGCATTCAATCCAGCAACGACGTCTGAGGCGTTGGCTACTACGCAATCAGAGAAAAATCCGGGAACCAGCCTTGTTACTGTGACCATTACAGAAGGTCCTGCGCCAACAGAATGGTACGATGACGGGTTTTGGCATACAAGATATGCCATCAAGACGAAATGGGACTAGTCTGCCTCTTCTCAGCTGCGCAACGCGGCACTTCAACGCAGACTTTGCCCATGACAATGTCGGAATGTGCTTTTCTTGAACATATTTGAAACGAGCGGTTTGAAGGGGTGAGGTGTGGTTCGAATGGTGAGTCTCGATCACGGTTGAGATAAGGATACACGATTCGATGCATCGGAATGGCGTTTTTCATGATAATGCAGTGCGCAAGACATGAGCTTAGAATATGAGTTTGAGCAATAATCCTAGCATAGCAACGGAGACCATGTACGAACATTACCTTCCTAGGGTTGCAAACACATCAGTCACTGAATTCTCATGTCGATCCCATATTCTTGCTCTGATATGCACAGAGAGTCGATGAGTTGCACGATGCCTGTAGTCTACCCAATTAGGGAAAGCGCTGTCCGCTGTGCCGTGCACTTCCCTCTCCACCTTCCATTCATAGTAGCTCCTTGCACCTAAAATCGAAAACTACCGCCGATATGGATTTTTTCCATCCCCTTTTTCAGAGTGAAGGGCTGCGATTATTGTTCGAATGCCTGCTGCTCAGTCATCCGGGTTAGCATTCCCCCGCAAGCGTCACGAAAAGGCCCGGCTACGAGTTCCCCACCTGTCACGTGTGCAGATCTTACCCCAGAACCCCGGAGTGAAGTGCGGAGGGAAAACGGTAGAATTGGATGGAACATGGTTTCCGAACCGCCGAGAGACCGCATGGCTTAGATCTACGCAGCGCCAGCAATATAACAACCGTTACCAGCCAGATAGCTTAATACTCCTTCAAACGACTGCTGGCCATTAGTAACAGTTCGCCATCATGACGGGATTTGCTCGCGCAAAGGAGGATAGGCCGACCCCGCCGGAAGTCGTAAGTCTGACCACCTTGTAATGTTGAGCTTTCACCAAAACACAGGTTCATAGTACAATTGGCGGGTGTATGCCATGGCATTAGTCATTAGCATGGGCGTCCTCACTTATGGCTACGATTCCTCGTTTATCGGGACGACCATCACACAGAAGAGCTTCCAGCGAGACTTTGGCATGGACAAGATGAGCAAGAAGGAATTGAACGACGTATCGTCAAATCTTACTTCAATTTGTAAGCTTGCATTCCTTCGAGAATTACAGATCAGTGTTAACGAACGCTCAGACTCGGCAGGCGGTTTCTTCGGAGCACTCTTCGCCTTCTTCTCTTTGGAGCTTCTCGGTCGTCGCTGGACTGTCATCTTGTCAGACATTGTTTTCATCGTCGGTGCGCTTTTCTGCACTATTGGAACAGTCCCATCCCGCTCCCTTGGCCTTATCTACACAGGACGCCTCCTTACCGGCCTCGGTGTCGGGGGCATCGCGGCTGTATCACCGATCTACATCGCCGAAATCTCTCCACCAGCCATCCGTGGTCGATTGACAGGTTTCTTCGAATCGTTCTATCAAACTGGAGCTGTGATCGGCTTCTCGATTAATTATGGCATCGTTCATAACCTGGACACGAACGACTCCAACGCGTGGAGGATCCCTATGGCGGTCCAGCTAATCCCGGCTGGAATCCTTGCCCTCATGGCGCCAATATTAAAGGAGAGCCCTACATGGTTGCTCAAGCGTGGCCGCGAAGAGGAAGCATATCAAGTGTATAGTTTCATTCGCATGCTACCGGCTGACCACGAGTATATTGCTGAAGACGTGCACTTCATCAAGGAGGGGATCGCAAAGGAACGCGCAGCTCTTGTGGGCTCAACTAACGCTACGCTGGGTCGCGTGATGAAGGGTGCGGCAAGAGAGTCATCGCTCAAAGGCATGCGGAATCGCTTCTTGCTCGTGTTTCTTATGTTCATGTGGCAGGCATGGTCCGGTGCCGCAGCCATCAACTGTAGGTGCACACTAAAACGTCAACATTCCGATGTACACCACGACTGACTAGTTGCGCAGACTACTCGCCCACAATCTTTACTTCGATTGGCCTGACTGACGTCACGCTCTGGACAGGTATTTACGGCGTCATCAAAGCTGCGGGATCCATCATCTTTTTCACCTGGTTTATCGACAAATTCGGACGAAAGTGGCCATGGATCATATCATCCCTTGCCTGCGCTTTTTGCCAGTATTATCTTGCAATTTACATTGCAATTGGACATCCGGAGACTGGCGTTCCGCAATCAGCGTCGACTGTTGCGGGCGGCAAGGGGGCTACGGCAATGATCATGATCTTTGGGGCGGCCTGGAGCTTCGGTGCCAATGGTCTGCCCTGGATTATCTCAGCTGAGATCTTTCCTTCTTCTTTGAGGTCTATATCTGGGGCGAGTACTACAACAGAGCTGTGGTCACGATCAAAGCTAATGACGTCAGTAGCCTTTTGCCGCCATGAGCGTCTGGTTGTGGACGTATGTGGTTACGAGAGCGCTGCCAAGTATGTACACGTCCATGGGATGGGGTGTATATGTGTTCTTCGCCACATGCTTGGTCTGTGCGAGCATCTACGCCTTCTTCTTCATTCACGAGACGAAAGGGCTGCGTGTCGACCAGATGGACGAGCTCTTTGGCTTCGAGAAGCGACACCAGGTAGGTGCACCGGCGGCCAAAGCTTTTGCCGAGGATGATGACGGCGAGACAACGAAGGCAAAGGTTGTCAAGAGCGAGGTAGTGTGACACAAGTATGTATTTAGATGTAATCGTGGCCAGGAGCTTCCCGACAGGGACCTGAAGATGTCATGCTTTTGTTGATGTTTGGGAAACGGTGATGCTGAACGATGACGACGCTTGGAGCTTGGAGCTGATCCCTGTTCCCCGCCAAGCCATGGACACGGGCAGGTGCATCCCACACCCATTGCGCTACCCCATCTCTCCGCACCCTGCGCCCAGATCCCACCTTTCGACACACACAATGGCGACGTCGCCGCCGCCGGTCGAGGACCAGGCGCGTCTGCTCGAGGACGCGCTCGCCGTGGTCCGCCAGCAGACGATGCTCATGCGCCGCTGCCTCGAGACGCCCGGCAAGCTGATGGATGCGCTCAAGTGCAGGTACCGAACAGGCCTCTCTGGACCACCGCCCGCTTGCTAATCTACCCGCGCGCAGCTCCACGCTCGTCTCGGAACTGCGGACTAGCAGCTTGGGACCTAAGCAGTACTACGAGCTCTACATGTCCGTCTTCGATGCCCTGCGCCATCTTTCCGTCTACCTCCGCGAGAACCACCCCGTGAACCACCTCGCCGACTTGTACGAGCTCGTGCAGTATGCCGGGAACATTATACCTCGCCTTTATCTCATGGTCACCGTGGGCACTGTATATATGGCCATTGAGGATGCGCCTGTCAAGGAGATCATGAAGGACATGATGGAGATGAGTCGCGGTGTCCAGCACCCAATTCGCGGCCTCTTTCTGCGCTACTACCTTGCGGGGCAGGCTCGCGACTGCTTGCCCGAGGGAGACGGCGAGGGTCCCGAGGGAAATCTGCAGGACTCAATCAGCTTCATACTCACCAACTTCGTGGAAATGAACAAGCTATGGGTACGGCTGCAACACCAGGGTCACTCCAGAGAGCGGGAGCAGAGGACCAAGGAGCGTCAGGAGCTGCAGCTCCTGGTAGGCAGCAACCTCGTCCGTCTCAGCCAGCTGGTCGATCTACAGAACTACAAGAAGATCTTAAACCCGTTATTGGAGCAGATCGTGCAATGCCGAGATGTCCTGGCGCAGGAATACCTACTGGAAGGTGAGCCAGACCGCTTCCAAGACGGGAGGCCCATCAGGTGCTAACCTTACGCCAGTTGTTACCCAGGTCTTCCCCGACGAATTCCACCTCCACACCCTCGACCAGTTCCTCTCCGCAGTCGCCCGCCTAAATCCGCACGTCAACGTCAAGGGAATCGTAGTCGGTTTAATGGACCGCTTGTCTGCATACGCGCAACGTGAGTCCGAGTCAGAAAGCCCAGACCAGCGCAAAAAGACGGAAGAGGAGGCGATAGCAAATCTCATGGAGCAACTGAGGATACAAAAGGAGCAAAAGCCTGTCGAAGAGGCGCCACCGGAAACACAGCAAAATGGCGGTACGTCCGAGTCGGAAACTGCCGCCGATTCCGCGTCGATAGCAACTGGAACGACTGCTGCTGAGCCTCTCGAGTCCGAAACATCCGAAGCGCCTGAAGCATCCGAAGCCAACGAAGCAGCCGAGACAGACGGTGAGATCGAAAAGCACAGGGGCATTCCAAAGAACGTGAAGCTGTTCGAGATCTTCCACGAACAAGTGGCGACGCTGGTGAAGATGCAACGGCTTTCGATTCAGGACACTGTTGGTTTGCTTGTTTCGCTAGCCAATCTTGCATTGTGGGTCTTCTCCATACATCATTTGGATTAGTCGACTGACTTCAGCAGAAACATCTACCCCGAGCGCCTGGATTACGTTGACCAAGTACTGGCATTCGCGAACCAGAAGGTCACGGAATTTGCGAACAGTGCTGACCTGCACTCGCAAACCTGTCAAAGCCAGATTCTTAGCCTCTTGCTGGCACCCATCAAGACATACGTATCTATGTTCACCGCTCTCGCTCTTCCTAACTTCATTCCTCTTCTACATAATCAGCCATATCCCACGCGGAGGGCAGTAGCGGGCGAGGTTGCAAGAAGTCTGTTACGGAACCAAACGCACATCACCTCAGTAGAAAACCTGGAGAGTGTCTTGGAGATTCTCAAGGTCCTCATTAAGGAAGGTATGCAGCAGGCCACCGGTTATCCCGGCGGTCCTATTCAGCGGAGAGCGCAAGAGACAGACGAAACGATAGAAGAGCAAGGCTGGTTAGCACGAATAGTGCACTACATCCGTGGAGCCGACAACGATACCCAATTCAAGCTCCTGCAAACTGCTCGAAAGGCCTTCGCGGAGGGTAATGAACGTGTCAAGTTCACCACGCCAGCAATTATCACTGCCTCCCTAAAGCTTGCACGTCGGTACAAAGCTCGCGAACATTTCGAGGACAACTGGCAATCACAGTCATCTGCCCTTTACAAGTTCATGCACAGCACACTATCGACACTGTATACCAGGGTCACAGGCTCCGCCGACCTATCGCTCCGATTGTTCATTGCTTGCGGACAAGTCGCTGACCAGAACGGCTTCGAAGAGGTCGCGTATGAGTTCTTCGCACAAGCCTTCACAATCTACGAGGAAGCCATAAGCGATTCAAGAGCGCAGTTCCAGGCGGTCTGCGTTATTGCAAGCGCACTGCATACTACCAGGAACTTCGGAAAGGAGAACTACGACACCCTCATAACCAAGTGCGCGCTGCACGGAAGTAAGCTCCTCAAGAAGCCGGATCAATGCCGCGCGGTGTATCTGGCGAGTCATCTCTGGTGGGCGACGGAGATCCGAGCTTTGGGCGAGGAGGACCCGAAGAATGTGAGTTCATTTAAATACTGGATGCTCATATATTGACTCATCGTAGCTTTACCGTGACGGCAAGCGCGTGCTCGAGTGTCTGCAGCGTGCTCTCCGTGTAGCGGATGCCTGCATGGACGCAGCGGTGTCTGTCGAACTCTTCGTCGAGATTCTCAACCGCTATGTCTACTACTTTGACCAGGAGAACGAGGCGGTAAGCGTTTCCAAATTTTATTCACATCAGTCAAAGCTGACGAAGCTTAGGTCACTACCAAATATCTCAACGGACTCATCGAGCTAATCCACTCCAACCTCCAATCCAACGAGAACGCGTCCGCGCTTGAGAACCCGAAACGACATTTTCAGCGTACGCTGGACTACATCGCGAGTAGAGAGTATGAAGGTGTTGTTACGGCGCCCAAGTAGGACGTCGGAATGGTCAGAGGGAAGAGGCCTAGTAAGGGGTGTTCGCCTCGCATGGGGTTTCTTGTACTAATAGCTTGCGAAGTGAGGATCTGAGGCATAGCGATCGTGTCAATGTTGTAGAAGGGTGGTGGGCCTGGAGAGTAGATAAGAAATTTCTGGACTGGAAACTCGATGTGTGTGTACGATGACAAGAATGTGTTCCATGTTGGTGCTTCTGGAGGCTCAGATTGGAAGCTGACAAAGTCAGTGACAACTTTTAGGAGGCAATTGATGATAGCCTTACGCTTGGCGATTTGCCGATGATACTCAAGAACCGTAGCAGATACGAAGTGGAGTTGAAGAGGGTGCCGCAGGCTGGGTCATCTCTTCCTCGCTCCCAGTGGACAGCAGCAACGGAGTTGCTCTGGTGTCCAACGCAGGCACGAACCCCGCGGCGACGAGTCAAACCATCAACTTCATAGGCTGCGCTCCATGGAACGCAGATGAATGCTTCGCGTCGATTGTTCTTCCAAGACAATGTTGACAGTACGATGTATGCAATTTGCTTATCTCTTTTTACGACTTTGTCAGCCTTGCGAGCTCAAGTTAACTCGGACAAGGCAGGCTCGCTCATGCACGCCAAGACTTAGGCCGCGGCTCACTGTGTGCCACTTCGCGTCTCCTCGTGGACATGACTTGGGCCACTCTAGTTTCGTGGTATTTGTCTGCGGCCCATGCCCAAAACCCTGCATATGTGGGCAGATGATGCGACCTGCCGACACCAGACCACGTCAACCCATTTCGTCTCTCACGAGTCCTAAAAGATAAGGCTGAAAGAGGTGAGACATGTGGAATGTGCCCGCAATATAATCATTGCAAAACCTGACTAGTTTACGAGACGTATGATATTTGTTTTGCTGATCTGCAGATATCCTCCATAGTCGCGCTACTAAGAACAATCTCTCACCGGGAGAAGCACGTTTCATCGCTTTACCTTCTCTGTCGCGTAACGTCTAGCATAAACCGGGCTGGAATTCCGGAGATAGAAGGACACTGGTCATGCCATCTAGTCACATGTGTTCTGTTGCCGTGTCTTCCGGCAATGAAGAGCTCGAAACATCGTCTCTGTGCAACAAATGCGAATCGATCTTCCACTTCGAATATATCGGATGGCGTAAAGACGACATGAGGCCGCATCACATTACCATGAATACCCTGGAACAATCTGCCAATTCCGACTGTTATATCTGTACTCGTCTTTTGAAGAGTGTGAGTGGTTGTCGAAAGATAAATATCCAGTTTGCAGGGATCAAGTCTCGGCAATGGGTCTTTGAATTTATCGTCGTCTTCTGTATTCAATACTGGGAAGCCCCCAGCGATGAATACGAATGGAGCCCGATGAGAGTCATCGAGACTGAATTTTGCTGTCTCAGCTTGGACCGGGCCAGACAGTTGAGTATGCAGAGGTCGCTCCAGGTTGGAACTCGCTCGCATAATACCATGCGACAAGCCCGAAATTGGATCGATCAATGTATGAGGAAGCATGAACGTTGTACCGTATTTGAGGAACAGTCATGGATACCGTCGCGCCTAGTCAACGTTGAAAGAATTTCAAAGTCGACCATGGTTGCCAAGCTCTGTACCCGAGGAACCATTGCACCTGGGACGTCCTATCTTTCGCTTAGCCACCGATGGGGCAAAGGGGATTTTTTGACTCTGAAATCTCAGTCCCTGGAGTCTTGGAAGAAAAGAATTCCTATTGATGAACTTAGCCGGGTGTTCCAAGACGCGATACATGTAACAGACGCACTCGGTTTCGCATATATCTGGATCGATTCACTTTGCATCATTCAAGACGATCTGAACGACTGGAAAAGGGAGTCCATGACGATGCATCGCATCTACAAAGGCGCTGCGTGTAATCTTGCGGCCGCAGAGTCCGAGAGCGGTGAAGAAGGCTTCGTCAACACGCAGCGACCGAGCAATCCAATGTTTCCGATAGTTCGGACTTTATGGCTGGACCGCCCCCAAAGAATGGGCTATTTGATAGCAGGTCGTCCTTTTGAGCATCGACATGAGGGCCCTCTATTCACGCGAGCTTGGGTATTACAGGAGCAAATACTAGTAAGAAGTCACTGACATTTTGGAGGACCATCATAACAGAAGTAGGCCGCCCGAACGTTGAATTTTGGTGGGGAGTCTGTTTCTTGGGAATGCAATGAGCTTGTGGCTGATGAAATGTGGCCCCTGGGATTTCCGCTGGAGGAAGGGCGACCAAATACGTACAACCCAGTGGAGCGAAGATCCATCGACGTTGGTGTATCCCAGATCAAACTGAGGGAGCTATCAACTAAGCCGGTAGGTGCTGTCGTTGAGATCTACCCTAACAATGATCTATATGGAAGAAGTGCAGCTAACTGTTAAGCAACACGTGATTCATCACGCTTGGAAATGTATCATCGTAGACTACATGCGACGCGACATATCAAAGCCCTCTGACAGATTACCGGCTCTTGCTGGACTTGCGAATGCTTTCCAATCAATACTACCCACGGATCGCTATCGCTTTGGAGCATGGATGAACGATCCCATGAGCCTGCTGTGGTCACCTCGTCATCAAGAGTTCCAAGAATATGAGCTCGCGAACGAAGTTCCGAGTTGGTCCTTTGCACGATACGAAACAGAGATATATTGGAGATACGGAAAAGAAGAAGCCAGAGACAGGACCAACTACATGCTCGCACAATGCCTGGACGCGCCAGCTTGCGATGCCTTTCCTTCGCAGCTACATATTCAAGGACCACTCATGCTTCCGCGTAGGATTCCTCCGGAGTATTCTAATGAGTTCAAGTTTTCTGTGGAACTCAGGGCAGGCGGCGCTTGCGCGTTCACTTATCACATGGATACCCGTTTCCTGAGATCTGTCAAGTCCGAAATCAAGGACGAATCCCATCCAGAAAGCAGTTTCCATGTTTTGCCAATTGTGGAAATATGGTTGTCCCAAACCTATGGTGGCCAGAAGTGGGGCGTATGGAGCATGCTTCTGAAGCGCGATCACACCCTCGGGAAAGCCTTTTATAGACGTGCAGGAACTGCATACCACATTTCAAGAGTGGCTTTCGGAAGCTTGTTGCCCCAACTTCAGGAAGGGTTAAGCGAGGATGACTACGTGGATATGGACGTGGATGGGACTTGTACGGTCATAGTAGTGTAGGCAAACCATCAACCTTGCGCCACTCAATGCATGTTTGATCTTATCCAGAACGAACTTTCGAGAGCACATATAGCGGCTACAGGACTTGGTGAACACTTTCAAGGCTTGGCTTGACAACTGTTAGCGTAGTCCTTCTGCATACTCTTCCATTCTCCGTGAGAGTACTGAATGAATTGAGATCATAGTGGGAGCGCCACATCTGGATGCGATAACTAGACGTCAGCACTAGTCTGCTATTCGAGAGTTCGTAGTTCTCTTGCTACCGTGGATACGTTCAACGTCAACATGTCGTAATGCCATGCCGGTGTCAACAAGCAGCGGGCCGCTCTTCAGTGTCTGAGAGCTGTGATGGTGTTGACGAAACGACTATCACGTCGCAGCGGATTTCACTGTTGTTGACCAATGCATTGTAATATATGAATGCTTCTATGGGGTATGTGCGTGCCCTCACCAAACCCAATTCCCGTCGCTACAGCTATCTATGCTATGCTGTTAACGCCTGATGAAAAATGTGAAGAGGACTGTTTGCGCCGGTGATGCTGAAATTTCTCTGGAGTGCCAACGCTGTGAGAGTAAGAAAGAAATGCAATGAATCGCTCAAACGCCTGATACCAGAATACCGCATGTTGTTGCGCCGCCACCTCCCTCGATGGAACAAGATCCCAGGCCGTGATGCAGAAGTCGTAAAATCCATCAAACGGGGCGAACAACATCATCAACTCCTGATGCTATGCCCTTAAGCTTCCACGTCCTCCACCATGATGTGTACAACCTTGCTCTTACGCCGTTGCGACAAAGCTGAATTGACACTAACATTGCACTTCCGCGCCGCGCGGCTCATGCACGGGATCTGCAAGACTCCCACGATGGCCATCAGCGCTGAAGCCCACCATGCCAGAGGAGTGAAACGAATATCAATCGAGATCCCGTAGAGTAGCCCAGCGATCGGGCTGGCCATGGTTCGGCACGCTGCGCCAGTGCTCGCGGCTAGACCGTTGATCCTTCCAAGGTGGTTGGGCGCAGGTGCGGCCTCTTTGATCATGATAAGGAGAAGCGGATACGCAACGATGGAGGTGATGCTTCGGACCGTGAGACAAGCGTAGATTCCGGGATACACGAGGGTAGCAGGGAGCAACGGAAGGAAGGGAACGACGAAGTAAGCAATGGGGTGGCCGACGGTAACGAGGACGAGAAGGCGCCAAACGCCAAAGAATGAGGCGAGCACAGGGAAGAGGGCGCCTTGGATAAACAACTGGATGAGTCCGTTGATGGACAAGATGATGCCCACGTTTTGCAGTGGAATACCGAGGCCTCCTCCAAAAGCGTTCGGTGAAAGTGACATGGAAGAAACATCATCCGCGCGTTTGTCCTGGAGGAAGATGGGCAGCAGGTGGTCGTATGTCATCTTGAGTGGGTCAGCTCAATTCAATGCGTCGAGGCAGCGTTGAACTTACCGAGTGGTAGGTGAAAATGCCCAGAGCAATCACGAAAGTGAGCACTGTCTTTGTGATGACCTTCTCGTGCGACGGGGAATTCTCATCGATCCAGTCGCCGTTCGACTTGACACGCCATAGCTCGTCGTGGTGCGTGTCTACGTCATCGAATGTCCCATAGCTCTCGGCAGTCAAGTTCGCAGGTGCGTTTGCAATGGCACCTTGGGCTGGCAAGAGCGGAGTTTCGGCAGTAGTGGCGTCGAGATCGGCTTGGCTGCTCCACGGCTGCATATCTGGGTGAGTTTCCTCGAGCAGAAAGTAGCCTGCGAGAATAGCAACAAGAAGCAACCCAGTGCAGAGGATATTCGGCAGCAAGTACGGGAACTTCCCAAAAATGCCAGCAGAAGAAAAGAAGGACGGGAAGTTATCTGCTGGTTCGGCAAAGTAACCACCGATCGAAGCTGCGAGATCAGTAAAGCATGGATTGTATTGGGAGGAAAGACTGCTTACGTCCGATGATGGTACCGATGCTCCAGACGAAAGGCATCACTGCATATGCTCTCGCTACTTTGGTCAGCATCCCTACTTTCATTGATAGCGTACGTTACTTACGTTCATGCTTCGGGTTCTTGACGAGTTCGCCGACCATGGTTTGGATCACTCCGATATTTCCGTTTAGTATACCACCAAGAATTCTGCCTGCGAGAGCCATCCAGAAGCTTGATGAGAAACCAACGACTAAAAGGGAAGAGACGGTACCGAAGCAGCCCATCAAAAGTACCTACTATTGTCAGTAACCATCGACTGTGAACCGGCTGCAACCACTGCGATCTTGAAGGTAACATACTGGCTTGCGACCTATTTTGTCTGAGAGGCCTCCCCAATACATGCCTGTGCATGCTTCGGCGAGAGAAAAGGCAGAGATAAGGATGCCCGCAAAGAAGGGCGCTTGCGACTCAGATGCTCCATAATGGGCAACGAGCTTGATAGCGTAGGGAAAGATGGAGGTGAGCGCAATGGGCTCGGCAACTCGTACGAGCGCTGCGACACATGTTAACGACGTTTCCTAGGAATCGAAGGTGCGACTATACTGACCAAGGAGAAAGAGCTGCGCGACAGGAAATTCGTCTGGGGTCCGCGGGCTTGTTCTTGCTTTGGTGAGTCCAAACATATCCTATAGCCTGACTTGATCCTTACGATTACGCCAAGACGCAAGCAGTGGCGGTCGTGGGGGGCTGCTATGTGAGTATCTTCTTGCTTGCGCGTGGCGTCAAAGAGTCGTGCGTGATTGCTGGAGGCCGAAAGCAGGCTAAGGAATGAAGTAGAGAGTGAAGGTGTGAAAAAAACGTGTTCAGTGGTGTTGAGGAATGAAGTGAGGAGCATGAAAGAAAAGGCGGCGACAAGAGCAAGTTAACGAGCGGACTGTCCAATGGGATTCTGAGATATGCGTTGGGCTCGGGCGAGACCGTGCGTCCTTCGGGCCATCGGCAATCTCCTGATAGATATCCGTCCGTTTGCAACCATGTTGCCACGTCTGCTCAGCTACATACACACGACGTTCCAAGTGATAACATGTTAGATCACTCCGACGTCGAAATAGTACTCGATTGCGTGCTGTAGTTGATAGAGACGGACTTCGCGGGGAGTGGCGGATCCCTGCCAATTGCCCTAAGACAGGCAGCCAAGCGAAAAGCTAGCAGCTAGTACCCACTAGCGCATGTGGGGAAGGAACGCCAGGACCGCCTTCTGACATTGCCATGTTGCCTCATGGTTTCGTAACGTTTCGCACACGACACGCCGTCGACGTCATCAAGCATCAGCTTGCAATCAAGTCTCTGGGGCACATTGAGACAACTAAAACGTTCCGAGGCCAAGTTTAGATTCGGCCTAGCTGGACAACCCAGCGAGGTACGAGTACCCGGGTAACTAACAAGCAAAAGACTGATGATTAGACAATGCGAGCTATTGACAATTATAGGTACCTGCGAGCAAATAGTAGGAACATCCTACACACCACAGTATAGGGACCTTGACAAATACGAGCAGAGGTCGTGGCCATGCCCCGTAGTCATGAATGGCCTATCAGGTACCATCAACGCCCCGGGTTTTACAACCCAAAGCCTATGTCAAGGCGAGACAACGAGATTTCTCCTGGACCATAGGTGGTAGAGATGCTAATCGCTGCCTGGAACGTTCCAACGCCAACCTCCCCAGGTGTCCCTACGGGGACCAAACCAACACCGACCTGAGCAACCATAGGACCTTCATCTATGATCCTTGTCCAGATGAGACCACCCTAGAAAACATCAGTATCTGTTCACAGGCAGGTCCGAAATTAAGGCTTACGTCGAGTTCTTCTGCTCCCGCTGTCGCCAGCATGTCGACTTGCACGTTGAAGTTTGTTTCTCTAACAGTGTCCCCCTCTTCAAACTTGATGTCGTTGCTCGCGAAAGCGCCGATAAAAAGCTCTGCCTGTCCATTCTCGGGATAGACGAACTCGAAATTGATGTTGAGCGTGCACGTGACTGGAGCAGGGGTGGTTGTGCTGTTGAAGAAGAAGATGCTAGGATCAACGTCGACGTAAGTGTTAAGCGACTTGCCCGGCTCGATAGGCTGCGCGTGGTAGCTTCCTGCAGGGCAACCACTGCCTTCGAGAACGCTGAAGGAAGTAAGAGTTCCGTTCACCGGAATCGGTGTGGTATCGTCGTTCGAGGAGGTGGCATGCGGAGCGCTTCCTCTTAAGACTTGAATTGCTTGCCCGACGGAGATGAGCAGGGAGAATGTCTTGAAAAGCATGACGAATAACGGCTTCCTAGTGATGAGAGATTGATCGCGCTCAGCTTGATGCTTGGTTCGTGGCCTTGATTACCTCTTTATATTGCGGTGCGCGCCCCAATCTTAACAAACAAAGAGGATTCATGACAACTACGCGAATGCATGTTACCATTTCACACAAAGCGTAAGAACGCGTACGCAAAGGAAAACCCAGTTGAAGTTCCGCGTAATCACGACACCGAGTACAAAGTGATCCGGCCCCAGCCAAGCCCTATACGAAGACCATCTTATATAGAAAGGATTGTACCTACAAGGATCGTGACCAATCAGAAAATGGAAAAAGCCTACACAGTATGTTCACAGTCGGATAATCGCTATCACGATAAAATCATTTTGAGGGTGTTCTTTCTCTCTCAAGATCTATGCAGTCCCTTGAACTCGTCAAGGAAGTCAAGCTAAGCACGTGATAATAGTAAGGATAAGGATGTAAACACTCAAAGGGTCCTGTGTCCTGTCTTGACGTCTTTCCTCGTCGTACAGCTAGAAGCATTAAGCGACAAGCTGCATGCTACATGCGTAGATAGAAGATCGCGACCTACTAATTTGGGCTAGGGTAGGACGCAGGGCGTACCTTTGTTGAGCCAAAAGCCACGCGTCCAACATCATATTATTTCATTTCGAGTTGTTAAAGTAACTTAGCTGGCTCTTAGGATTCATTGCCCAGATATCACACGGCGTGTGATTGTACTCGGCCCTGGATGTTCTCCGACCAGCCCCCCGCCAACTCCATGAAATGCTGCGCAATCACACGCAAAGAGGCCCGAGCGTACCGCGAATTCCTACAGGAAAACAAACACTGTGCAGCTCTATTTTAGCTAGAGCTCCTTAGACTTATCCGCCCTCGTGGTCGACAGAACGTGGACCATTGGCGAATACCCCCTTTGTAATGCAATTGCTTAATGCTTGGATGCGCCAATTGACCGACGTGTCAGCCATGCATGAGCAACTGTACTGCGAGTCCGGTCTTCTGTTTGAATGAAGACAACGTCCCAATGTCAATAGGGATTTAATCAAGAATACGCGTTATCCATTCAATAGGTAGTGGATGTTTCTTAGGAGGGTTTATAACAAAGGCCTCAAGCGCCCTCTCTCAATAACCGTTGGAGTTCCTTCTTATAAATTGCCTTGTCCTCTTTTCCGACCTCCGCCCAGGTCCCTCCTCCCCTCAAGAACATTTCTCCACTTAGTTGTAGCACCTCAACACCCTTGTAAAAATCCCCGTGTACAGCTCCCATGGCCTCCAGCCACAAATGGCAATCGCGATACACCTTCCTTGCAATTCTCTTGGGAGTGGGAGTATCTTTCCTCTGTTTTCTTCCCAGGCCTGCATAGTAACCATAGTAACTCCTGTTGATGAAATATCCCATCGAACAATTGATGAATAGACTGGTCAAACTGGTGACTCCCTTTGCGGCAAGCATAGCGATCGAGTTGTAACCTTGCGATTTGCGGGAACGGGTTGGGGTCCAGCAACGAATCTCGATTGAGCGAATAAGCTTAGCTGTCCGTGGAGAGAGCTTCGCAGCGAAACCGAACAGACCGTCAACATCCGTGAAAACCAGGGGTCGGGCGTACATCATAGGTGCTGCCTCGTCATAGATTTGCTTGCACACCGACAGAATATTGAAACCAAATGTTTTAGGACCAGTCTGCGGTTCCTCGTTTTGCGATTCCGAGTCGTCGTGAGCATTGCTAGGGAGACTGCTTGCCTGACCACGGCCACGACCACGCCCTGTTCCTCGCCTAGTCGCACGTGCGACAAACCCGATGCCAAATTGCACATTTTCGAGTTCTGTCTCATCTAACGAAGGAACATACGCGACCGTCTTCTTATAGGATCGTTGTGTGAAGCTTAACCAAATTCCTTCTCTGTTCCCTTCGTACGAATCCGGTAGCTTGGTCGGGGAAGGCAAGCATTCTTCATAAATGCGGTTTCGCAGCTCTGCCGGTAGAGCCATAAAGGGGAAAATCTTGTGTTTGGGCGGTGGCTTTGTGGTACGCGCTCGCTGTTGTAGTGTTATGTAAGCAGAAATAATCGTGAATTGGTCGCGATGATTTATATACCTTCACGGGCATGGTATACTCCAGTTCCGAGTCATCGTCTGTGTTTTCGGCATCTTCATAATCGTAGTGCACTTCAGCACGCTTTCGTTTCGGGTATCGTGGCTCTGCTGGATTTAAGGATGGCACGCTGCTCTCAGGTCGAGCAGCTGGAACAGGAACAACGTGATTGAAGAGGTTACCGAACATGATTTCTTTTGCAATGATGAGAAACGCGTTTGTGACGCGCTGTCATGTGCGTTTTATAGATCTTTTCTGTTCATTGGCGATGCCCTGGGCGGAGGGTTGCTGCCTGGCTTCCGTACTTGGCGCAGGCAGCAGGAGCGTAGACGACCAATCGCCCAGGGCATCTTGCCACCATTGGTACTTGGTATTAACGTCTCCGCGAAGTATGATCACGACGAGTGAGCTCTGCCGGGTTCTGGCGCCCGATGGGACGAAGGAGTCTCTTGTCTTTTGCATGCCGAGGTGGTGTCGCGCAACTCGTAGTTTACCGTACCATCAACCGCGCTAGCATGGCGTCAGCACTAGAGCAGTTATCCGTCACACTAAGTGACTGCCCAGCTTTCCACATCGACTCTACCTTTGCGGTCCAGAATGATGAAAGAGGAGTCAATAGTCTCCAAAATATGCTTCCAATTGCCAAGGAAATCGCTAGATATTATAAGTAGCACGTACACGCATCTTCCGCGGACCCTGAGAAGTTGATCGAGCTTGCTTTCCACGTCATAATCTTGTACCGATAAATCTTTTCTGGAATCAGCCATCTAGGTAAATAGGCAGGCAATCTGATGCTGTCCTATTACAGATCGTGGCCGTCTCGTATAATCGCGCAATGGTACACCGCAACCTTGCATACGAGAGCGTTCATTGCGCCAACACACGAAACCCCTCAGCAGGAGAACAATGTCTCTTTGCGCTCCAAACGGCCGTACCTCCTCTCAGCATCATAATCAATTCGCAAAGTGTCTCCTCTGCTCATACTGCTAGCGTGGTTACTGATCTATGTTCCAGTTACAGTACGTCCTTGATGTCCCCAAGCAACATGAACGTGCGCCGACTAGTCGTCAAAGTATACCCTGTACTGTATCGGCAAAGCTATTTAATATGTGTCATCGCATGCCCTCGCGCGAATTCCTGGACCACGTCTTCGCTCAGCCTTCCATTTCCTCTTCCTCTACGAAATCTGGACTGGACAAAGTAGTGCAGAATTGGCACCAGCTGCACGAACAGTACGGTCATGTAGTTCGAATATAACCCACTTTCCGGTCTTTCACCAGCACAGACGCGCGGCGGGGCATCTTTAGATCGATTCGAAAGGACCCTGATGTATACGCGCCTCCGGCCGACGGTGCCTCTGATTCTGATCATGCACGCATTCGACGTCTGTTTAGCCACAGGTTCTCCGATCATGCCGTAAAACAACAGGAAGCACTCGCCCAGTCCTATGCTGATACATTCATATTCAAGCTGCGTCAGAAAGTGGCGGATGCTGCGCCATGAGGATTGGGACGACCAAAGGTTTTCAACCTTCCCCAAAAGAAACCGTTACTTGCCAAACTGAAGGAGAGACTGTGATCAGGCATCGTGATAAACGCACGTTGTGCCCCGTACCAATGCGTGAGTATGAGCGGCTGATGTATACATCATATGATACTAGCAAAACCTAGCATCCGAGCGAGCAGTCGAGCAAGTCGACTATGAACATCTGGCGCGATCACTTCAATTCCACCAATTCTCACTCAATAATTACCCTTTCAGGCGCCGCATATGATAGCGAGGAAGATGACCAGGATGAATCTGGTGAGACTGATTTCGGTGAATTGAGCTATGTGGAGATTGACCGCCATAATCTCGTTGTATCGTCATTGAAGATTGGCAGAGCTAATCATATCAGCTCTAGCAAAGGAGAAGACGAGGAAGATATGTATGCCCGCAAAAATTCGACAGCGAAACCAAGCGCCACTGCAAGTAGCAAATCGTCGCAACCCGCGGTCAGCCTCCCTCCCTTGTTGCGGCGCGACCTTCTCCTCCGGCGTTGTATTTGGCACGTTGCGGCTGTACCACGTCCAATATGTTAACAAGAAGAGCAACGCGAGCTTCAAGATCAAGAACAACAAGAAGTTCGAATTAATATAGAGAGGTCGTGAGAAGGGGGAGAGTGAGATCCAGATCAGCTCTGATGCACCGCTCATAAGATCACTTTCAGTAACCACGGTACGACGTTCACCGGCACGTTTAGCTGCAAATATACTGGCAAAGTGACCGTCAAGAGCGCCAAGATGTCTCATGGACATCTCCAGAGAGGCTCAAGCGCGTCGCGCTGGGAGCAGCTCTCAGAAAGTGCTCATGACCGAGAGTCACGTTCTCGCTGGGGAAAGTGGAGTTGGTGAAAAGTGACCTCTGTGCTGTGATATTACCCACTTTGCTGCAGGTGTTCCTCGGAATTCTACGCGGGAGTGGGGAATAAGAATGCTCGATCAAAATAGCAATCGATTCTTTTGTTCTTCCGAAACACAAACGAGCGTGACCTTTCCTCCCCTCTATCCACCCTCACCGCACCCTCATTCCACCATCTCTTTCCCCGTTGCCTTCCCGGAACCCTCTCCAACATTCCCAAACCTACCACTTACACTGAAGCGGATTGCACTGTGTCCCACACTTGCACTTACGAATATCGGTCTTGCACATCCCATACCCACCGGTACTCTTGCAGCACTCTTTGACGCTCTTGCTGCAGGAAAACGCGCTACCGCAGTTGCAGGCGCGGGCGGTAAGCTCGGCGGAGCGGTCGACGAGTGCGGCGTCACTCGAGACAAGGGCGCTTGGGAAGCGGGCGATGATGTCGTTGGTGTTAGCCTCGGGGATGGCGGTGGTGGAGGCCATAGTGGCGAGGAGGAGACTGAAGAAGGTGGTGGTGAAGTGCATCTTGTATTGCTGGTTTGGTTCGAATTTGAAGAGTGAAGTGATGATTTGGCTGTGGCGATGTGGTGAATGATTTTTGGGGATTCCGAAGGGTTTTTATACTCGAGATGCGGATCAGGCGGCTAGAGTGATCTGCTGTTTCTCTAATCGAGTCCCACTGTCCCAGATTCAGCACTTCGGTACTATCAGGAACTCTGTATTCGATTCATTTTACGGATCTGGATGCCCTCGGTTGGCTCACACGGCATACGCTCGGATACACAAGTGATACCACAGCAGACTATTGCGTGTACGAAGGTTCATATTTGGAAGATTGAGGCCCCCATCTGCAGCCTTGGAATATAAGTATGGGGCTAGGACTAGACTCGGGACTGAAAGCGGGCAAATACTGGCAGTCGAATTTACTACATGTCAGGATCTGCCTCGATGAGGAGATCATCAATCGCTCAACTGGATGAGCAACATCCTGATATTATCTAGTAAGCCATACCAACCTGCGCACTAAACTACTGAGCAAACTGTTCGAAGAATAATCGTGGTACAGTCGTGGGATGTTTTGGGCGACCTAGCACCTTTGTGGAAGGGGACAAGCGTAAGCTGACGTAAGGTGTGCCCAGACAGCTAGATTTGCCGAGACTTGGGCCGGTACCCAAAAAGGCAATAGAATTGTATTAAGGTATGCCTTGTATATAAGATGAGGAGTCGCTCGGAGTTCACGGCGTGAGGGCAGCGTGCTTAAGAAAGACCCACTCTTTTGCAGCACGTCCCACCAATCGATTGGCGCAGAAACACTAAGTGGACACACAGATATCAAAGAAACCATTCATTTGTGCTTCACCCGCCTATACTATTCAGAAGCCGCATATTGCGGGATAATTATGATACAAACGCGTTCAGTCGTTCCATCATTCCTTCATGAAAATCGTGACATACTCCCAATCATTTACTCCCTCGCTTCAGTAACATGGAGTCGAAGCGCCTTTTCCTTAGCACAGTGCGGACAGGGGGAGCACAATCACAATTACCCACACGGGCCAAGGTTGAGTGTTACCGGCACCATTGGGGCTAAGAGGCTCTGAGGTCACACCCGGGTAAAGTCCAGACACTGTGACAGAGCTACTAATGCCAGTGACTGTTGAATTCTTGCCCTGGAGCGCGACGGTAGTAGTCATGTGGACCATGCTGATTGTGCCGTCGACTTGGCTCTGTTGCTCCTCATCCCGACGCTTGGGCGGGGCCGCAGTTGGATACGGCGGTGAGTCCAAGGAGAAGAACGTGCCGTCAGTCGATACCGAGGGCTCAAGTGTGGTAGAATCGGGCTTGATGGTAGGGTAGTTTTCAATGTCGGTGATGGTGGATTCTTGCCCAGTGATGGACCAGGAAGTCTCCGAATCGGAAGGCAAAGAAATACCGTTGTCCGAGACTGGAGTCGTGAGTTGAGGCAAGCTTGGGGCGGGGCGGTCGTCCAGCGCTGTCATTGTGAGTGAAGCGGAGGGAAGACCTGGGGCAAGTTCAGGCACGACGGGTGTGATTATGGGGTCCATCATAGATGATGCCGAGGAGCGATCATAGCCTGGAATAGGTGGGTTGGGTATCGGTCCAGTGGCTGACGGTATGACCGGCGTGAATGTAGAGTTGATTACGACGGACCCAGCAGCGCCATCAGTCGACACAGAAGCTGCAGTCGAGGATGTATGCGATAGCATGTTCAGGTAGAGAGTCGACTTGGACTCTGTGACTGACAGCTCCAGCGTGAGTGTAGAGTTGGTCGTTGAGGATGCAGTAACGCTAGAGATTGACAGAGATGCTGCAGACGATTTCGTATGCGATGGCATAGTCAGGTAGAGGGTGGACTCGGAATCTGTACCAGATGACCCAGCAATTCCATCAGTTGACATGGACGCTGCAGCCGACGTTGTCAGTGATGGCATGGTCAGGTAGATAAGAGTCAAATAATTTGTGCCTGAAGAGATAGCCATACCATAAGTCGAGACGGAAATTACAGTCGACGTCGTGCGCGGCACCATGATGTGGTGCAGAGTAGAGTTAGACTCTGTGCCAGAGGAAGACTGTGGGACAACTTCCGGGATGGTGGTGTTCAACCAGATCCCAGAAGCGGCAGGTGATGGATGTAGAGGATTGGTCAGAATCAAGTGAGTGGGACGAAGGGGCCAGAACGGCAGGGCAGAATGAGAGCTCATAGTCTTGAGGACCGTAATTGCTGACTTTAAGGTCACGTGTACTGTTGTGGTCGGCTCTGGGTAATTTTGAATAGGCACAGAGGGCTCAGGGTAACCATGCTCGCCGGTGGCCCTGTCACATTAGATATCCTGTTCATGTTGTTGGAAAGAAACCACATGTGTGGTAGAGACTTACACCGCAGCTGAAGAGCTCACGAGAGGGTTGCTGGCCGAGATGGGAGTCTCGTCGAGAGGAGACGAGGTCAGTTGCTTGCTCATAACAGTCTTGGTGATGAAGAGCATCGACTTGCTTGTGATCATGAAATTTGTCGTCTTCTCATCGTCGCTAGGACTTTTGCTGTTAGCGTGCACTCATAGTCTCCCACTTGGGTTGTACTCACACAGAAGTCGAAGCCCCCGGAAATTTGCTCTCACCTTCATGCACAGTGACGAAGATAGTCTCAGTTAGCTGGACGGTCTTTGTCTCGGGACAGAGGTAGGTGAGACGGGTAGTTGTGCCCTTGATCATCGCATCGTCTGTGCAGAGCTTTGGGATACAGTCGCAGCTATCGAGACAGACCAGACCAGCGGTGCTAGTGGGAGCAGGAGCCATCTCCGCACTACGCCAGAACGACGTCGGGATGTCAGCTGCTGCACATGGCAGGGCAGCTGTGTTAGTCAGCTCGAGTTCTGTGGTATGCGGAGATGAGTGGTGGCTTACCCGCGACCACGCCGAGCACGATGTTGCGAGTGTACATCATGGTCAACAAAGCCGAGTGACTGCTGTTTTGTAAGTAATGTAGAGTCCCCTGGTATGGTTTGCCGTAAGATGATCGACAAGCGCGTTTGAAGGCCAGGCCCAATCCAATGCCAACAAGTACTTGCGTCCATCGCTGAACATTAGGAAAAGAAAAGGAGCAGGGGAAAGGGGGAGAAGCAAAGGCAAACAGGGGATGACTTACACTTGAGAGAATGACTGTGGTGAGGAGTCCGGTCGGAAATTGACAAGAGCACGCAGGTGAAGAGAGAGCTGGGAGAGCGGGGGGAGGGCACGTTTATATCAACAGCGTCGCCAGCAGACGCACTAGCGCGCTCTTAGCGTCGTCATAGCCCATCAATAAAGCGACGGTCGTCGGCCAGTGCGAGAGAGGACGAGCTCTCGTTGCATGGTGAATGGTGATATGTGACAGTGCGGCTAGTTGCCACCTCAAAACAGGCAGTCGCAATAGCAGCTGCCTGGCACTAAAGATTTAATGTCTATCACAGAAAAGCGTGTTAAGCCGGATGCAATCTGAGGTGTTGGATACAGTTTTATCTTCAGCTTATCATTTGTACAGACATACAAATCTCAAAAGAACTAATGGAGAAGTCGACACTGCCAAAGGCCTCACACAGAGATGTGTACAAAAGGCACAGATGATTCGAAGAAGAGGGCAACACATACCCGATCCGATCTAATCCCCATACAACTCCATCAGGTGATTCAGCATCTTCCTCTGCAACTCCAGCAACTCTCCCTTCGTAACCTTCTTCCCGCTCTCGTCGCCTTCATCGCTCCCATCGGAACGCAAGAACTCCGACCTCAACCCAAAGAACGGTACACCCAAGCCTTTAAGATCCTTGAACTGCAACTCCACCATCCTCTGGGCCGCCCTATACACCTTGTTCCCATACATCTCCAGCTCCTCCTTCTCAACCTCAACCGTCCGCAGCGGCGCAATTTTGTCACTCATACCAGGCAAAGACAAAACAGCGAGGTGCGTCTGTTCATTCTCGCGCTTGACGGCCTGTTCCTCGATGAGGCGCTGGCGACCAGACTCCCAGTCTTTGACGTTGCGCGCTTGGTCAGCTATGAGCTTTTGGACGGCCGGCACGAAAGCTGGGTTTTGAGTCGCGATCTTGTTGACGCAGCGGAGGCCGTGCTTCCATTCTGTGATTGTTGCTGGATCGATGGGCGATGGTGTCGTCCGGCTATTGGGAGGTGCTTGGCGGTTGGAGAGGGTGGTCTGTGGGCGGGCGTTGAGACGAGGGTCTTGAGACTGCTCGTACAGAATGCGCGTCTGCGATGGATAATGCGACGCGGGAGTGCCAGTTGACTGGGCGTCGAAAAGACCTTGGGGGTGGATTTGCTGTTCAAACGGCACCGGAGGGGTTGTAGTCTGAGGCAGGCTTGCCAACGTCGCCAGAATCTGCTCGAGATTGAGCTCCGGTGATAAGTTGTTGTCGGCCATCCTGTTCTATAGCTCTTGATGTGTACCCAAGCCGGGGTTGTTCTCAAATAGGATTATCGGGTGTTTTATAAGTGTGGAATGAGCGTTTGGTAGGCAGCATATGCAAACATGGCGCGTCAACCAAGAACATGGACTACGATTCATCCAGGTTCGTAAAACGGTTCTCGTTAGCTTTCTCGAAGCGGTGTAACCGATTCAGGTGCCCGAGTCATCTTGTTACTTTTCCTAGGCGCGTCGAGGAAGCAACGCATCGATCGAGGTAGTTGTCCAATCACGGTCCAACGTAGCGCCGGCGCCCGAATTGCACTAACTTTTGCTGCGTCGTTCGACCTCTCTAAGCCCCCTCTTCCCATTTGTCCTCCCCCAGTACGCTCCTTCTCTTCTCTTTAAGATGTCGAAGTCGCCGAAGGAGTCGACGCGCTTCACAGCGACGGGAGTGTGGGCGCACACGCGGCCCGGCGGCAAGGCAACGACGCTGCAATTCGCAGACCCAGCACCGAAGAACGAGACGCCACAGCAGAAAGTCAAGCGATTGAGAGAGGCAGCAAACCGCGCCAAGTTGGCGCAGGTCACGCGGTGGGACTATGCGTATATGTACGGCAGGATGGCCGCGGATGCGGTACATAGATTTACGGTATACGGCATTATTTTTGCCACGGGTATGGCAGCCCTTCCCTATCTTGGGCAATTGGTTCATAAGGATTGTGTGTGGATGCGAGCAGAAGCTGACAAGTAAAACAGGATGCATTGGTGTCCTCGCTGTCTTCTCGATAGGTGACATGGTCGTCTACAACCGCCGAAAACGCGCAATCTTCTTTGAAGACCAGGAACGCGAACAAGCCAAGATCCTCAGCATTGCCAGAACCGCCGTCGCAGAGGGCCGCGCGACCCCCGCCCAGGCCGCTCTTGTCGAAGGAATCGCAGAAGAGGAACGGTTGATGGATCTCAAGAAGGCGGAGCGGAAGGCTCCCTCAAAGATACTTTGGTGGTTGCACGGCGAATGGAACGAAGACAAGGCGCTGAAGGAGCAGAGGAGGCTTGCTGTTGAGGACTTCCAGAAGAAAGAGATGCAGGCCGCTGGTCAAGGAAGCGTAACGCAAGCGGTGCAGGCAGCGCAGCAAGCACGGTCCGACAACGCACAACCCGCAGTTGGCGGCCCGCTCGACCAGCAAGCCGCGAAGGCGACCGCATTCGCGGAGAACACGGTCAAGGGTGCCAGCAGCGGCTGGTTCGGATGGTTGGGCGGATCGAAGAAGGAATAAACCAAGAGCAGGGAAACAAAAGGACGGTAGTCCGTGTATCATATTGAACTCCCGGCATGTAAAACGCTGTGTCACTACTGTATTGCATCATGGCGTTGGGAAGCTATATTTGGTGTAGATGTCTTGGTTGGGTATGTTGACGTTCGTGTCCATAGTCTGCACCTGCTGCGCGATATCCAAGAACTCCGTAGTAAAGCAAACGATTCTGATCAAATCATGTCCCGTTACTGTTCCGCTGAGACGGGAATGTACGAGCGGCGCTGGCGGGCTCTCTGTGACGGTGTCAGCTTCCATACTTTACAGCTCATTGCACTTGGATGAATGTTTTGGAGCATACATACCTCGGCCCACTGATCAATCCAAGGCCTCACCCCCGCATAGCTCAGCAATCCCATTGTAGCCAGGATGAATATCCAAACGACCGCCTGATCCTTCGCAGAGTCCCTCTCTGCATAAAATCAGCTCTGCTTTCTCGCGTCTCCTCATACGCCACACAGGTCTACGTACGGAAGCAGGTTGTGAACACTTGGTCCTCCTTCACGCCCTGGCAGAACGGATAGCCCAGGCAGAACTGGCGATTGCAGTCGTTGCACGTCTTCTTGGTGGCACGTTCGCGGAGGTTTGGCGATGACTTCTGGGAGGTCGCGGGCGCGTCGAGGGCGACGATGGTGCTATTGCCAGCACATGTGCATTTGCAGAAGGAAGTTGGTGCTGGAGGGTCAGCTTGTTCTCCTAGCACCCTGGGTATATTGCAAGCATACTTTTGGCTAGGGCAAGAGAGAAGAGTGACAGGAACGCGAGCAAAAGGAGCCACGATGCGCGCTTCCGCATGGTCACGATTATCCGTAGCTCATTGACGTCTGTCGTCCAGCGGCGTTCACGATGGTTGCAGCGGCCCTAGCGCCCAGGGTTCTGGGTCCCAGCCGACCGGCGCTAGAGCTTTTGTTCGAATCCTTCTGCCGCTCGCTCACGACACCACATCACAAGCGGGCAGAGGCGCATATCGAGTATTGCTGTCTATGAACACTCGCGCCTGAGTCACCTGTTCTATTGGCGCGTAATATCCCCGCGAGAAAGCGTGCAACCGCAACAACCGCCGCGCCTCGATGCCCGCAACACCAGCGGCTACACCAAAGCCTAAGCAGAGGCCTGGAGCGGCAGCGCCGAGCACACCAACACCCGCCCAGCCTACCCCAGACGACAGGGACAAGACTGTCAGGCTGCACATCACGCCCTTCAATCCCACCCTCCTCAAAGCCTACATCCCGCCCTCGGTGCTGCCCGTCGCGAAAAACATCTCCTACCACACCCTCGAGACGTTCCCCGAGAAAGGCTTCGGCTACGTCGAGCTGCCCGCCATGGAGGCCCAGAAGCTGAAGAAGAAGCTGAATGGGTCTACGCTGAAGGGATCCAAAGTCAGGATCGAGGAAGCGAAGCCGGAGAAGCGCAAAGCCGGCGATGTTGTGGACGTCGAAGCTGAGGAGGCAGAGCGGGCGGCGAAGCGCGCGAAGAAGGAGAAGAAGAGGAAGAGGAAGGAAGACGGCGTGTTGGAGGGCGTGCAGTTACCTGACGAGCGCAAGGTCAAGCGCGGGTGGACCGAGGTTCCGGTGAAGGGCAAGAAGGAGCGGACGGAAAAGAAGGAAAAGAAAGACAAGAAGGAGGAGAAGAGGGAGCGGAAGAAGTCCAAGTACACCAAGGAGCCGGAACTGCTCTTCAAGGCAAAGTTGACGCCCGTCGCGGCCACCGAGGTCGCACACAAGGAGAAGAAAGACAAGAAGAAGAAGGACAAGAAGGACAAATCGAAGCAGGAGGTCGTCGTGCATGAGTTCGAGAAGAATACCAAAACACCCAGCTTCCTCAAAGCTACCGCGATATCCACGGACAAAAAGGGTGCAGTCGATTACGTGAATGACAAGGGATGGGTGGATGAGGAAGGCAACGTGATAGAGCCGGAAACAGCCAAGGCGAAGAACAGAAGAGTGCTGGAGCTCGTCGAATCCAGGCCAGATGCCCCCTCGCCAAAGTCCAAGAAGAAAGCCCCTGCCACACCCCCGCCCAACGGCTCTCCAGCGCCCAAGTCGGCAGGAAAGGACAAGAAGAGAGCCAAGAAGGCGACCCCCCCGTCAGAATCTTCAGAGCCAGAGGATTCATCAGTCGTATCTTCATCGTCCGACTCCGACTTTGATTCCGATTCTGAAGCCTCAGCCGGCGCGTCCGAACCCGCCTCTCCAGCACCCGCATCCACCCCAGCAAAAGCCAAGTCCAGCACCCCCGAGATCGCCATCACGCCCTCTTCCCCTGCCAAGAGGGAAATACACCCGCTCGAAGCCCTTTTCAAGAAGCCCAAACCCGCGCCCCTTCTTACGCCTTCCTCACACCCAACATCCACCCCCGCGAAAGGCCTCGCCCCAATCAACACCTCTTTCTCCTTTTTCGACGGCGAGCCCGACGCAGACGCAGACGTCCACATGGAGAACGGCGACGGCGATCACGCTGCTGTGCCATTCACCCCGCAGACCCAGCGCGACATAGAGTGGCGCGGTCTCCGCAGCGCAGCGCCCACGCCAGACACCGCTGCCATCGGGCGTCGGTTCAGCTTTCCGTGGCGCAGTGGCAGCCAGGAAGCTGACGACGACGATGACGACGACCAAGATGCCGACGTCGAAGCATCCGCGCAGCTGTCGAACAACACTAAGGCTAATGCCACGGCATCACAGCTTGCTGATGTTGCGGAGGAAGACGAGGAGGAGGTTGAAGGGGTCGTTGGTGCAGAGGAGGAGAAGGAGGAGGAGGGCGAGAAGGAGGAGAGCGAGTTTAGAAAGTGGTTCTGGGAGAATCAGGGGAATTTGAACAGGGCGTGGAAGAGGAGGAGGAAGGATGCGGTCAAGACGAAGAGGAGTGTGGAGAACAGGCGGGCGGCTGGGGGTGCGAGGAGGGGCGCGTGAGGAGTAGAATTAACGTTGTAGGTAGTAGTGTGAAAAGGTATTTGGTATTCTGAGAAGTTTAAGTCGTGTGCGGAATCTCAAACAGAACGAGAACGAGAAAACTTCGTCTAGGACATGTCAAAATCAAACAAAGGAGATGGGAACAACTCCTGCTCAACCTCCGCTCTCGCCTGCAGAATTTTCTCTCTCAACTCATGTGCCAGCTCCACAGCTGGGGTCTCGCGTCGGGCTGTTGCAAATTTGATGGCTCTCTCAAACTGTTTCTCTCCAAAATGCGAGACGAGGTCCGCCCCAGACCTCACCAGAAGCAACATCATATCCAATCGGCCGTATTCAGTAGCCGCTTCGAAAGCAGTTCTGCCATGAATTCTTGCCCGGGGTGCGTTTACCTGGGCCCCTTGCTCAATCAAGTACTCTGCGATTGGGGTAAATCCAGCCTTGGCTGCGAGCTGCAATGCTGTGAAGCCTGCCAGGGGTGCAGGAGGGACGTTGACATCCGCGCCTTTTCCGACCAAGTAGGGGATCATGTCCGTACGCCCAAGCTCTACGGCTGACTGGAGTGCTGTTCGCTTGCTTGTGCTAGTTGGTGGTTTGTTGAGATCCGCTCCATACTCTAGCAGTAGGTCGATGTAAGGTTTCGAGTTGAACAACACTGCACTGCCGAGTGGGGTATACCGGCAGGTCAGGTTCTCCTTGTCGAACATTTCTCTACACATATCCAAGCAGATTACTTCGGGATCGCATCCTGCATCAAGAACCGCACGCACTATATCCAAAGCATTTCCCCGCTGTGAGCCTACTACCATGGCGACGCCTAACATGTTACACAACGCCCACAGCTCATAGCGAGAATGAAGTCCCGAACAACCGTAATGCTCGCGCCACGGAAAGTCCTTCCCATTTGGATAAATCTGTTCGTCTCGTGAAACTCGTAACGCTGTAGGTCGTCTTGGAGGTAGCCTCTGAAGATGAGCATGTGGTGCCAGATAGCGAACGAGCTTAACATTGTACCCTTCAAGCGCGTCCACAAGGGCAACTGACAAATGGTTCGATTTGGACTTCCCGGTACGTCTTTCCTTTGCTTGAAGGATAGCTTCTATCGAGTTCCAATCTTCCAAAGATCCTAACTTCAGTATCGCTCTGGCATCGCAGGGCTCAGCGCCGTGGTCCAAGAGCTGCTGGATCAAGGCTCGGTCCTGTATTGCTGCGGCTGCTTCAAGGGCGCTGATATGGTCTCTTGTCCGAGGCGGGCAAGTTGTGCCAATGTTGATGTCGACGTTTAAAGGCACTCCGTTATCTAGGAGGAAACGGATGATGGAAGTATTGCGTTGTCGGATAGCTAATGCGATAGGAGCTTCCAATGGGATGGAGTTTTCAGGGTCACCAAGAATAGTAGACGCAGCAGACATTGGTGAGTCGGTTCCTATACCACTTTGTACTAGAACCTGGACCATAGCCAAATCCTCCAATTGGACTGCTTTCAAGAGGAGATCTCCACCGCTCTTGATATGTTGGGTGTCGATTCAGTCTAAGACATATAGGAGGATTTCCCGATCGCGACATTCCATTGCTAATAGGACGACATCGAGTATAGAGCACAAAGACTCATCGATTTTCTCGAGAAGCAGTGTAATCATATCCTTATCGTGTGATTGGAACGCACAGTGAAATAATTCCACAGTCGGAGCGGCTCCATTGTTGAAAAGCGCAACGCATATATCCCTATGCCCATTGCGTCCTGCTTCTACCATTGCGTCCGCAAAAGCACAAGCCTGGTAAACGTCAAAATTTCCATGGCCACGTTCTCGAAGAACACTGTCAGAGCTCTTCAGGATAAGTTCGCCGTCTTCGGGTTTCAGAAATGTTTGTAGTAAAGCGTGGTCCCCGATCCGAGAAGCAGCAACGATGTGCGCGAGTCTCGCGAGACCATTGTTTTCAGCTGCAGGTCGCTCATCAAATAAATACAAAGCTTCCGGATAACGCTCAAGTATAGCTGTGGCGTAAGGTGTTGTCCAGCCAAACTGTGGAACTCTTCCGGTCTGAAATATGGGATCCATACAATTTTCGCCACGTAAAGGAATAAGTTCGAAAGCCGAAGCACCTGCATCTAATAACTTCTTTATCACATCTAAACAAGCCCAGCCAACAGCCTCATTGAGGCACGATGCCGTTGCCCGAGCCCCCGCTGTTATGAGATAGTTGATGACAGACGTGAATTTCCTGGCCGTCGCAACGTTCAAAGCGCGCTCCATGGATATTTGTACGTCCACACGAGGCCACGAAAGACAGCCCCTTTGTATGTGTCGTTGAATAATTACATGGATTGTCCAGAGTGCGTCTTCTTCGGACAAATTACGAATAACATTAGCGAGCTCGTGTAACAATGACTTGGCATATCCTCATCGGATTGACGTAACCCACCAAGTAGCAGCTCTGAACAGCCGGGGTTGGGGCCTGGGGCGGCGTGTGGACCATAACCTGGACTACACGACCTGAGCCAAAATCTGGAAGCCACAGCGTAAACCCCAACTGAAAAGCCAAACCCTCAACATCACCGCCTGGACACCACAACCTGGACACCACAACCTGGACACCACAACCTGGACACCACAACCTGGACACCACAACCTGGACACCACAACCTGGACACCACAACCTGG